AACTTTCGGTAATAGTTAATTAATTCGTAGAACGCCTATACTTCCTTAACTATCGTTAGTTCTAGCTATTCTTTAATAGCTCGGACTTTCTCTTAGTTCGGTACGAGTCCTTTCAAAGATATAATATAGCCTAGGAATCTAATACTATTCTTATAGAATTCGTATTTAGATAGCTTAAGTAGGATTTTATTTTCCTTTAGCTTTTCTATTACCTTCTTTATATACTCTACGTATTCCTCGTAAGTCTTTAAGAAGATTAGGATATCGTCGAGATAGATAAGGGCGAATATATCTAAATATTCTCTTAGAGCGTTATTTATAAATTCTTAGAACGTTAATAGTGTATTAGTAAGTCTAAAAGGTATAACTAGGAATTCGTAGACTTCCTATCTTATTCGGAATACCGTTTTCTATTCTTCTTCGTTAGCTATTCTAATTAGGTAATAGGCGTCCCTAGTATCTAACGCTATAAACTATACGGCGCCTAAGAGGCGATCCTATAGCTTATCCTACCGGAAAATAGAATAATAGTCCTTAATAGTTTTATCGTTAAGTAGTCTATAGTTAATATATAGTCGTAGTAATCTATCCTTCTTTATTACGAAGAATATACTATAGGATATAGATCCGTATTTTCCCGCCTTTAGTTAGCTTCTTCTAACTAAGCCTTTTACTTCTAGTTTTTCGATATAATCTTTTAGGAAGTCTTCTTCTTTTTTCGAGAGTAACTTTAACTATTCCTTATAGTTAAGTACTTCCCCTTCTTTTATAGGTATTCGGTAATCTTAAGGCTAGTATTCTAGAAGCGCTACTCTACCTTCCTTTTCTATAAATAATTCTTTATATTTCGTATATTCCGGGAGTAGCTCTTCGATATTAGTTTAAGCTAATATTCTACCTCTCGGTCGTACCTATATCGCCTTTACGAAGGGAACCTTTAAAGATAATTAGTCTTCTATTTTTATTCCGTAACTATAATTCGGAAATTCGAGTTCTCTTATTTTCTAGTTTATCTAGGGGTTATATTTTTCTAGCTACCCTATTTCTAGTATAGCGTTATATTTTATCGCTATTATATCTAGGGTTATCTTTTCCTAATAGGTTCCTATTAGTAGTTCGACTAATCGTAGTTCTTTTCTTATCTATTTATCCTTAAACTCTATTAGTGACCCGTCTACTATTATAAGTCGGTATAGTTCTATCTTTACCTTTACGTAGTCTTTTAACCTTTACGCTACGTAGTATAAGACGTAATTCCCGTTTACTCCGGAGTCTATTATAAGTTGTATAGGAAGGTTCTATAGAACGGCCGTAAGGACTATATATTCCGCTTTTCCTCTATCTAGCTTATATAGAGTCTAAGGCTATTACCGTAGGTAACCTAGCCTTAATAGGTTATCTCCTCGTCGTTTTTTAAATATACGTATAGTCTTAGCTCTACTACGTAAGTACGTTTATTATACTCGTTTATCGATCGATATATTATCTTACTAATCGAAATCCGGAGTTAATTAGGACTTATATTCTATAGGTGTTAATGTAGCTTAAAGTACTATTAGTAGCTTCTTCCCGCGTAGCTAAAATAACCGAATAGGTACGTTAGGTTTACTCGTCCGTCGATGTAAGGTATATCTTCTTTCTTGTCCTCCTATATCGTATATAAGTCTCGTATCGTTAGTACTTCTATTCCCTAGATTTTCTTCGCGTCTTCCTAGTCGAGGTTTACTATAATTTATTCGTAAGTTAAGCCTTATACGTATATATATACTATCGGCGCTCGATTATATCCGTAATCCTAGTAAAATAATATATTAATTTCGTTCCATTATTCTTATAGTTTTATCCTAGGATCGTAATAGATATAGAGGTGTCTTCCGGTCTCGCTAGTATATTCTATATATTTACTATATTTCTAGTACTTTATTATAATTTTAATCTAGTTCCTTATAACCTTAGCTACGTAATATTTTCCTTCTTCTTCTAACGATACGTCGGAATCTTCGTCCGATTTTTCCGCGTTTACTTCCTCTTATTCTTCTTCTTTATTATCGAGGGATACTAATCGTACTTATACTCCTCCGATTATTTATACTAATAGGTTATATCGTACTACTTAGCCCCCTACTATATTATACGAATAGTAAGAGGCTACCGCTAGATATTCTAGATCGTAGTATCCGTCTAGGCTAACCGGTCTTCGAGTTAATTACCTTAGTCCGCTAGGGTAGAATATTAATTTCTTAATACCGTCTTTAATGCTTACCTAGTAGTAGTTAGTAATAAATACTATAAGATAATATTCCGATACTATTACCTTATTTTCTTCCTCGTTTAATACTACGTCGTTAGGGTAGGTATACGTTATTCTCTATAGTCTTACTTTCTCGTATTTATTTAACTACCATCGTAATTCTTCTAATTATTTATTATTTTCTCCTTCCCTAAATAGGAAAGGGAATACGTAGTCTATATAATCGTACGTATAGCTATTTTCTTTGTCCTCGTATTTATCCTAGGTATATTTATAGATTATTATATAGATTCTTTCTTTCTTCGGTTATCCTAGGGGATTATACTATATTTCGGGGTTCTCCGCTAATCCTACTATCTAGTAGTAGGTTCGGATGATTACTAGATCGGGCTTATTTAGTATAATCTTATCCGCGGGTCCTTTTTCTATTATAGATATATTATAATAAGGCGGTAGTAGCGTTACCGTCCTAAAACTAAATAGTCCTTACTTAAGCTAAACTAACTATCCTTCTATATAGGTTACTCCTTTACCTAGTCCTTTAAAGGTCGTAAAGTAAGCTTCTCCGTTATACGTATCGTACGTATATTCGGCTTATAAGGAATATTTCTAGTCGTTATATTTCTAAATCTATATATATTTTTATTCTCTTCTAGGAGTAGCGCCTAGGTTATAACGGTATAGGGTTTCTCCTTCCCTTCTATCCTAGAAATATATATAGAATTCTATAGAGTTCTTATATTATCGTAATATCTCGTCTATCGATGCCTATTCGTCTTCCTCTCGCTAAATTTTTAGTTAATATAGTTCCCTATCTTTCGTATATATATAGGTATATCTATATTATTAGTATCCTCGGGTTCGGTACTTATAGATTAACGCTATCCTAAACGTTTTCTACGTTACTCTTCTATCTAATATTATAATTCCGTTAACTATCTTCTAGAATCTTATTCTAATTATCGTATAGTTATCTATATTTATAAGTATTGTTTCTTTTTCGAAATCGGCTATTATTATAGCTAGGGTTTTCTAGACCCTCTATTCCTATTCTCGAGGTTTTATACTCCCTCCATCTCTATATAGAAACTACTATTTTTCGGTCTTTAAAGCTAAATAGAGCTAGTAGTCGTCCTCGTAGTAGAAATACTATAATTCTTAAGCGTATCTTACGGTATTCCTCCTCGTATTATATATTACTTCGCTCTATTATTCTCCCTTTAGGAGTTCGTCGAACTTTTCTTTCTTCTAAGTCTTACGCTTAGATCCTTTAGGTTTCTTAGTCTAGTATCTTAACTAAAACTCCTCTTCTAATTACTTAGTATCTAACTTACCTAACCCTCGGGGGTTATCCGATTCTTAGTAGTCCTTCTATACTAGTTTACCCTTACCCTCGGTAGGTCCTTAGGTTTCTTTAATAGTATCGGCCTTTTTCGCTATTAAGCCGTCTATACTACCGCTCTATATATTTATTATATATAGTCCTCGAGCGCCTTTCTTTTCTAGATAATCGCGTATATAGTATCCGGGCTTACTATATTCGTAGTATAGGTTTTCCTTCCTTTATCTTTCTTTCTCTCGATCTCGTCCTCCTATAACCTTTCGTCCTATATTTCGGCCTCTACCTAGGCCTATTCGTCGGGTATTATAACGTTCTATAGCGTCTAGGTCTATAGGGTTCCCGTAGTCTCGTAGGCGTTTCGTATTAGCTCGAGGAGAATATCGATACCCCCGGTACCCTCGCTTTCCTAAGCCTCTTCCTTAATTATCTTCTATACGTAGCTCGTATAGTCGATTATTAAGTTTAATAGCCTTATCTACTATATCTTTATAGGTTTCTAGGCGCTCTATTATTTCCTTCCTAACTTCCTTTTTTAATTTATTATAGAACGTATCCTTAAAGACGTTATCGTTCGTATATTCTAGTTCCTTTACTAGCTTCTTAAATTCCGAATAATAATTAGCTATAGATCCTATTTATTTAAGGGTATAGATAGTACGAGAAGCTATCGTAGCTTTATTAACCGTACTATAGATTTATTTAATTATTATTTCGAACTATATAAAGTTCCTAAAGTATACCTTAGTTTCGTCGTCGGGGTTAGAGGACTCGAAATAGTCGTCCTATACTAGTTTAAACTAATAGAACGCCGCCCCCTTAAGGTACATTACTACGAATATAACCTTATCTTCTACTTTAGTATACTTAGCTAGATTAAGCTTAAAGGTAGTCTTAAGTTATATAAGGAAGTATCCTAGCTTCTCCCTATTTCTATAGAATAGTTCTACCTTAATACTATTCCGAGATATATTAGTAAATCCTAGTACGTTAACTATATCTACGTCGGAGTCTTCGTCGGAACTACTATCTTAAACGATGTTAGTCTTTAAAGAATTGTTTAAGGCTGTAAGTAGACGTACGCTAGGTAGTAGGGATCTAAGTCGAGATAATCCTATATTAGACATCTAATACTAATTAAGTAGTAGTTAAAGTATTATAATCCGAGCTATAAGTAGTTCTAACTAAGGTAGGGTTCCTTAATAGAATAGGTACTAGAGTATTAACTAGGATAATAAAGGGAATACTTATTCGTCGGACTATATCCTAAAATGTAGGTATAGGATTACTAACGAAGTTAACTACGAACTATTCTATCTAGGTGAAGGAGTGTATATATATAATGCTTAAAGTGCTGCTTTAGTGTATTGGTACATTGTTCTAATGCGGTAATGTATCAATGCACCCCCTAGTCACGTGATGCAGCCTCGTTCTCCATCGGCTGACCTTCCTCAAACTGTCCCTTGGAACGTGGGGCGCCTGTCCTGGCGACCTCATCCATGACCTGGTTCGTAACAATATCCATCGGATCAAAGTTTGTTGGCGGATGGCAGAATATTGCCAAGACTGGTTATGTCCGGGGTGCTAATATTATCTCCGTCGTCCCAGAAATTTTTTGTACGAGTCTTCATTGCCCGCCTTCAAGATTCGCACTGCCTGCCAACCACCCCACCGTGAAACACCATGGCGTCTGCATACAAGTCCGCCATACGCGCAGCTGACCCGAATGACTCTGATGATAGCAGCACTACTGTTCGCGCAGACTCCTCAGATTTGTCTGATGGAGAACAGAAAGCAGCACACAAGGAATCCTTGTCCGACCTACCACTGGAGCTTAGAAATCGAGTCTTGATGTTGACTTCTCGTGGCGTATCATATAGGTAGGACGAACTCAGGATCACCTCTGAATGTTCGGCTAACAAGAGTCAGACATCGTCACCTGCTAACTGATCTCCACGCTCTCCTCCCCCACACTTACAAGGACACCAAGCTTGATACAAAATCAAACAATAATTACAACTCGGCTCTCAATGGACTCGCCGACCTGCACTCTTGCAACTATATTTTCTTCTTGGAAGCTCGCAAACACGGTCAGGATCTCTACCTCTGGCTCGCACAGCCACCAAACGGTCCCACGATCAAATTTAGTGTCACCAACCTCCACACCATGGCCGAGCTCGGATTTGGAGGAAACTGCTTGAAGGGTGGAAGAGGAATTGTTGTGTTTGACAAGAGCTTCGACGAGAATATCGTGGGACAAGAGCATCTATCCCTCATCCGAGAGATGTTGCGCGGCGTTTTCTGTGTCCCATCCAAAGGAGTACGAGGAATGAAGCCATTCATTGATCGCGTCATCGGTGTTTATGGTCTGGACGGAAAGATCTGGATCCGAGTGTATGAAATCCGGGAGTCTGAGCCTGACAAAACTAGCAACGACAATGTCAAAGGAGCAGACGTTTCGCTGGTCGAAATTGGTCCACGTTTTGTCTTAACTCCAGTGGTCATTCTCGAAGGGAGCTTTGGTGGGCCAGTCATCTTCGAGAACAAACAATTCGTCAGCCCTAACCAGCTACGTCGGGAGACAAGACTCCGCCATGCCCAAAAGTATGCAAGCCGAAGAGGCGAGGCCGAAGGCCTTGCGATCAAGCGAAAATCACTCGGGTTGAACACTGGAGCGAAAAGGAAAGCTTCTGCTCTTGGAAACACGACACTGTTTGGGTAGTTTACAATAACAACACACATTTAGATGTTGGACGGAAGCACGTCCACTGTGCCGTCTGCACAATTTGAGCCGAATACGTGGAAGGCCTTGGGTGATGACGATTCGGCCGCGTTCCTGCACCACCAGACGATGAACAGTATAATGCTGGCCTCTAACCCTTCGTCCAGAAGCAGGACTCCAGCCCCGATTCGCAACTCCTCTCAAATATATCTAACACTAGGCTTTGGCCAAAATCTTCAAAACTCAAGTCAGCGGATGTCCATGCTCCCAGCGATTGATACCTAGTGGTACTTGAGAGCGACTAGTCAGATTGTCCCTCTTTCCCACCTGCCAATCAGGCATGACTTCAAGTTGCGCGCGCCTTTTGCGCATCGTGCAGAACAGCATGTATCGGGTGCAAAACGTCGATGCCATAACATTGTCTCATGCTATGATGCTTGATATAAGATCGGCGGCTGCAGGATTCCATGTTCTCAAGTGCTAAGCGAGTTTCAGACCAACACCCCGTCTGAAGGTCGTATTCTGCGCAACTCCGATAGTAAATTCAGGAGCATACTCATGATGTGCAATGGTATGTTTCCATCACAGATGGTACCCGTTGGGTGATCGGTCATGCCTTCCGAGAGGAAACTCTCAAACTATTCAAAGCGCCAAAAGTTTCCCAATCATTAGATCAGACATGATTTGCCTGTACTGTTATATATATGTGTACACAAGACTACACAAACGTATGTAGCCTTAGCTATATTATTTCATGCTTAGCTAGCTTCATTCCCACCACAAAGCCTACGAAAGGAGCTGCAAGGCTGAGTCACGTGCGAGGCTAGCGTCGCCAAGTCCATGACTGCCCCTTCTTTTCTCTCGCGTGCTCTAGCGGTGAAAACAAAGAACTGCGACTTCGAATCTTTTCTTTGCGCGTGCGTTTTTTGCTATCCTTTGGTTGTCTGATATTGCCATGTCCGACTTCCCGCCATCAATGGGGATGGATGGGTCCAACATGGGTGCCCTTTCTTTGGGTGACCCTTCTAAGCAACACGAATCGAACCCCAGGTTCCTCTCCACAGAAAGCCATTCACTTCAATATAGCCCCCGTGGCGGGGTGTCGATTTGTTGAGGCCCTTGGAATCTCGTAGCCAACGGCTGCGATCCATATTGAAAAATCAAGCTATTGACCGTGTGCAATAAGGCTTTGACCGTACGCTCACCTCACCTCCATCAACCGCAGGTGTGCTGACTCATTTTCTAGACAATGGCGATGCAAGAGCTCGCTCCAGAGATACTCGTTCACATCTTCGAGGCATTGTCCTCGGCCTCCGACATCATCAATCTATCCCTTACCTGTCGATGTTTTCACACACTACTACCCAGTTCACAAAAGCTCACACTATTTTACAATGCAATGGATCAAACCATGGGACCCGTGGAAGAGATCATTCAGTTACTTACATTCAATGGCAACCAGCTGCTCCATATTCGAAGGACTCCGCCGTTGTCGTATGCACTTCTTACCCAGATCGCTCACGTTGGTCGGGTTGGGCAACGGTTTGTTGCCCTCTACCCGACCCTTAAATGGGTTGAAGACCAAAGCGTCAACCGGCGGTTTCTCAGAAAGGACGAAGCTCGGAGACTTCGTCGAGCCGTTTATCGGTTTTGGTTCTATTCACAGGCCTTTCATAGTTCGCCTGCCTACCGTTACCTTCGTTCGAACACCACCTCCTCTGAACGACTTCAACTGTTGCGAGGTTGGCCAACAGAGGACCTTTTAGACTTCGAGGACTTTCGAGGTATCCTCGAGCAACTCCTTGCATCGGAGATCTGTCCCACTGATGGTGATGTATACTCGCGCCACCAAGAAGATGCACGAGTTGGGTTCCAGACATGCCACCGTTCTGCGGGTTGGGTCGATCCAAGCATCATGTTCCCAGATCTTTTCCATAGTTCTCGCGATGAAGCCACCCTCGTGGAAAGTACCAAACTTACGGTCCAGGAGCTCCGATTCAAGCACATGAGAGGTTGGGGAACTGATCTCGACAATTTCTACTTAGTGCAGGCATTCCTCAAGCTCACACCTGTCCAAATGCTGTGGCTGTACGACAATGCGGTATCAAAGGCCGACGTGGAGCGATATCTTGAGGAACAAACGCATGACATATGCTTTTTGGAGAGTGGTTCTTTGGTCTTTCAGGATTGGGTAACTATTTTGCACCAGCGCGGCATCGATGTTCAGCAGGTGCGAGAGGGGATCTGGGACGGAGTATGTGGCATCGGCGTCGACTAGATACAATTGAGCGATACAGCTCAAAGGCCATCGATTCTCTGTGGACATAAATTTCAGCATCGCTAGATTTTTGCTTTGAGCTGGACGTGGTAGGTGAGCGTGCGATGGTAAACAAGGTTCAACGCACCCTAGATATGATTGTTGGCACACCTGAGTGTTCTCGTAGCCTGCAAGCGCTCTTTCTCTACCCAAAGCTCAATCCGACACTTTCCCTTCGGTTGCCAGGTCTGCCAGTCATCGGTTAGATTAGAACAGCCAGCCTTGTCATGTGACCCTCCCAGTAGCGCTTCCCCCCACTCCAACGTAGCCTTGCCTTGTGCTTCGTGAGGAATAAGGTTTCACCTTCTGGCAACCTGCGCACTTGCTGCCACTTTTGTAACAAAAACATGTACTGAGTAACTCATATAGCTAGACAACAGCGTACGTCAGCAGCTGATATAAGTCACTGCGGGACCTGACTTACCGCTATCTTGCTTCCTTACACACGTGGTTCTCCAGGGTCTGTCTGCATGAGTCTTCATCCTTGCCCTGCAATGCCAACCAATCAATCCCCTGATCTTTACGAGAGCCAAGAACATGACTTTAGTCGATTGGCCACACCAGGTCCGCCACCCCCCCGCCTTTGATGGTCTGATTCTCCTGGTTGTTTCTCTCTACAACTTCCCGGATTCTGACCATTGGAATCACATTGCCCGACGAGATATGCTTCAAGGACCCCTTCTTTATCTTTGCCATTGCCACTGCCAAGGTGGGTGTACTTTCGGGCTGGGCGCCTGATGTCTGATCTATCGTTGCGAACTCCTCTCATCCGCCTAATCATCCTAGGACTATTAGGAGTATGACCTGGGCCTGAAGGCTTGATTTGACATACAGACAAGGCTACTGCGAAATCCTTCTTCTGGAAAGAGGTTGTCGAAACAACAATTAGCCCAGGACCTACATCTAATGAGCCTACTTCCGGAGCTTTAGCCCGTGGGGGATAAGTTAGCGGCCTTTTTCTTAAGAGGAAATCTGAGGTTCTAGCTGAAAGAAAGGTACCCTTTATGCTTTTAGGTTCCTCTCAATCCATCTAACTATCTGACAGATTACTCTTGTCATGTCGGCTGCTGGCTAGTGGACTTGGGGCATTTTCTCGACAAAATGGCGTTGACTCGTAAATCACATGAGAAAGGTTTGTGTTCGAGGAAACCATACCGTCAAGATATCAAATTGCTAATGGCTTATGTACAGTTAGAACGGGGTGCCGAACTTGCAAAGTCAGAAGAGTCAAATGCGATGAAACAAGACCTAGGTGTCTTCGCTGTACGCGGTCCAAGTATGTTTGTGAAGGATATCTCTTCTCTTTCTCGGCCTATTGTCCCAGTCCCGAGAGGCACGAGTCTTCCGACGATGCCTCTCAGGAAAACATCAAGCCTGCCGATTCTTTATGCTTTTACCGGACCCTGAAAACTCTCGCCGAGCTGTCAGAACCTGATTACCGGTCTTACGATTTCTGCCGTCGATACACACTACATAACATGGCTACTCATCATTTTACTCGTTTCTGGACCCATACCGTGATATCTGCCTCGCACGCGGATCCGTCTATACTTCATGCAATGCTGGCGCTCTCTGGAGTCTGCAGAGTGTACCAGGAGGGTTTACCAACGCTTCCGAGTGGAGATCGAAACACCTTCATGATTCCAGTATGGGCGCACTATGGCAAAGCTATTCACTTCCTCCAGAATCGGATGACTTCCGCCAGCCTCGAAGACACACACATTGTGCTCATTGTCTGTCTCATCTTACTCACTTTTGACATCATCGAAGGACGCTATCGCGAAGCTTTAGTTCATTTGAATCATGGCCGCCGGATTCTAAAGCGGCTCCACGGGGCAGCACCGGTTGATAAGACCATGATTAAACTGTTACTCCCTCAACAGGCGCTCACTACTCTCGACGAAATTTCTTATTCCTTCGCTCTGATGGATCTACAGTCAGTCTATTTTGACAGTGAATTGCAATTCAAGCTCGTCGACAATCTAGATGTCGGTGGCACAGACTTACCGCGTATACCGCCGTCCTTTAACACTTTTGATGATGCCTGGCGCATGATGCTACTTCTTTTCAACGAATCCTGCCAGCTGGCTGCTGCCATAACTCGCACGGGCCCCGAGGAATCCGCTGAGCACTCGACGCTAGTGATGTGGCAAGGAAAGCTCCTCGCAGCGTTAAGGCAGTGGAAGGCTGCATTTGACAGCAGTCCGTTCCGAACCATACCACGCGCATCGCCCACACCTCTTGGGGACGAGCGGTGGATTTCGCTGCGAATTAGTCATCTCTACCTGACCATCGTTGTGCGCATCAGCCTCACCCGTCACAACAACAACATGGTTTTCGATCCGCTGCTGCCCTACTTCTCCTCGCTGGTCTCGCTGTGTGAAGACTTGGTCCCAAGACTGCCTGCCATCAGCCTCGATTCTCGAGTGATCGAGCCGCTGTATACTACAGGCTGCCTGTGCCGCCACCCGGGGCTTCGACGCAGTGCACTTCGAGTGTTGGAAAAGGCCGGCAGAGAAGGTCACTGGGACAGCAAAATGATCAGTGTAGTGTTGCGTGAAAAGATGATGTTGGAGGAAGAAGGCGCGCAATATGCGTATGATCCTGGTACCCCAATTACAGAAGACCCAGGCGCTCTGGCTCTCATCATCCCGAAGCATGCGCGTTGGTCCGAGACACATGCGCACTTTCTCTCAGACGACTATAAGCAGCTAGAGTTGCAGTTCAGGAGGAAATCTAACAACCCTCAAACCTCCCTGTCCGGTGACGATTGCTACGAGGTCTTCAAGAAGATTGTGCGGCTCGATTAGTCTAGCCAGTGGGAGTTAGGGTGATCTAGGAGTGTCGCCGAGTAGCATCCTACACCGCCACGGCTCCTCTACACCGCTTACAGTCAAGGGCATGGGTACATTATGGTATGACTTCAGTATAGTGATACTATGAGCTATCCAGGCATTGTGGCACAGGAGAGGTCGTCATAGGGTGGATATATGCGTCAGCACTGACAGAGGGCCTAGCCGCTAAGGCCGTTATCAACTCTTCTCAATAATCAATCCAATCCTTCGTCAAGTCCGTGAGCTGAGCAGGCCATGTCCCATCCGGCACAGCAGCACTCGCACGACGCTGGAAGGCGTCGTAGAACTGCTTCAACCGCGGATACCTCTCAGTCAAGTCCCAACCAAACATGTTTTCCGCGTATTGCAACACAGCAAAGAGAGCGCAATCCGCGGTGCTGACCCTCGCTTCCGCATCATGCGAGTCCCCATCGAATTTTGCAAGCGACGGCGTTCTTCCAGCAGGGGCCGCATATTCAGCTATCCTGCTGATGCTCTGGTGCGCACGACCTAGCAGCCATCTCACAGCGGCAGCAGACTGCTCTGACTCGCCGCCGACGACCGATGCAAACAGCTTACATCCGAAAACGGGCGCGTACTCGATATCGACCGTCAGCGCATCGACCAGGCCCAGCATTTCTCTCATCTTCGCTCTCGCTTCAGGGGTCGACCCCCGCATTGTCGGGAGCCCTTGTGCCTCCGCTAGGTCCTCGAGGTATTCCATGATGGCCAAGGACTCGCGCAGAATGAACCCCGTCGACTCGTCGTGCAGCACCGGCACCGATCCAGCGGGTTTCCCAGGTGCTTCGGCTGGCGCGCCGGGTGCGGAAATGGTGCAGGGGATTATCTCGATGAAATCCTGAGGGAATTTGCGCTCCGCTAGGTATATCACCACGCGGCGCGGCGCGGGGCCTCCGTGGAAAACGAAGAGTTTGAGTTTCGCCTGGCCCTTCATCGTGCTGCGTCTTGAATCACAATGTCCAGAAGACTATTCTTCTTCCTGTTGATGCTTATTTGCAATACAAAATCTCTCGCTCGGCGGACAGGACTTCCCATGAATGAATCCATGATGAAGATTAACTAGATACATATATTACATATCTATACCCCTGTGAAACCCTGGGTTCCGTTGCAAGGTCGGAGACTTCTGCCCACCTGCCGGAGACTTCTGATTAATGTATCAACCAGCGCATCATTGAACAGAGCTTGAGCCACTAGAGTGTTTAGCCTTCACGCATTACCAATTGCCAAACCACCCCCCACAAAAAGTATTTCAGCCTCGTTCCGAGATGAGCACGGCAGGTTCAAATAATAATTTGGGTCTCAAGGCCAGTGTCAGTGCCAAGGCTTTGCAAGCTCCGAAGAAGAGGGAATAAAAGCGGAAGTAGAGCTAGATGGGATTCGTCCTACTTCACATTACCAATATAATAGAATGATATCTACTGTGTGGGCATCCCTAAGCTATCGCGAGCTTGTACTTGGGATATATTCCGCTGGAACAATGGTTTATCCAACGGGGGAGTTCCTAAAAGCGGTGAGAGTGGCGCGAGAGGGAAAAGGGGGACGTTTCACCTCACTTGCAAAACCAAAGTTCAATATGTCGGAGAGTCAATAGTAGCATTACTGAGCTTCTTATCTGGAGCGGTGTAGTGATGTTTTGTAGTGGGCCTGAATGCGAGAGTGTGACTCTGTCGCATCTTAAGCCTTTTCTCCTTGCATGAGTATGCACTTCCTTGTACTTCGTATATGCTGCGAGAGCTGAACCGAGTAGTGTAAGAGTTTGGTAATATCTATAGCGAGCACCAATAAAATGGCTGCCGACTCCTATTTATAATACTTCATGTGGCCCAGCATTCACTGGCACAAGAAGCGAAGAGGTAATTTCCGACCCTCTGCACTGCACTCCCCATGCAGCCGAGGTCTCTCCTGCCCTAAATCCTTATGTTCAATCACAAAGTATAAATGAAATCGGGCCTCTTGTCACCGGAAACCCAGATTTGCTCTGGGGTCTTGCCTTCATGCATGTTATCTCTCTCGCCGGACAATCTCTTACGGTTTTCGATCCTCAGAAGGACATGCATGGCGACGGTGCCTCCCAACAGGGCCAAAGTCAAGGCAGCCAGGACCACTCCATGGCCGGTATAGAAATGTGGTGCCTCGGTCTTGAGATAAATATTGGACGAGACGATTCCGTTGAGATTTCCCCAGCCGACGACTATTCCCAGGACGACTCCACGCTTATAGACGCCATCGGTATTGTTGGTGACCCAGGCGAGAGTGTTGGGAATACACGGGTAGATTCCCATGGCACCTAAGAATGTTCCTGCGTACTGGATCTTAGGGTTGGTGGAGCCGATCAACATGCAGAAGCCGAGGATTCCCAGGCAGGATATGCCCATGCTGAAATATCCTCGGAGACGGCTTCGGTCCGCGAGCCAGCCAACGGTAATTGTCAAGACTGCGGCGCAGGCGTAGGGTGGGACAGAGAGAAGTTGCGCGCGTGTTCCAGTGTAGCCCATACCACGCAGAATCGTGGGGAGGAAGAGGGAAAATGCGTAGAGAGGGATGAGGCAGCCCATATAGATATACGCATAGAGCCATGTCTTCCAATCTTTGAGGGCTTCATAGATATGGCGCTTGTCATATTCTTCGTGAGTTGATGCCTGGTTGTCTGCCGCGAGACGACGGCGGAGGCGGATTCTGTCCTCTGGAGTCAGGAATGTAGCGGTGTCTGGCCAGTCGAATACCATCCACCAGCAGGCGAGGCCAACGAAGACGGTAGCTACACCCTCAATGATGAAGATCCACGCCCAGCCAGGTTTCCCGCCAATGCCATCCATGGTAGCGATTGCAGCTGCTAAGAGACCACCGAAAGAACCGGCGAGAGCTGCGGCGGAAAAGAAGGCCGCAGCGCGGACACCGATTTCGCTGCGCTTGTACCAACAGCTGAGATAGTAGTTGACACCTACAGGTTAATTAGCTGCTGTCTCGTTTATCAAGTTCCGTGAGCGCAGTGACTTACCAGGAAATAGACCAGCTTCAGCGAGTCCGAGGAACCAGCGGCATGCAAGTAATCCAGCGTAGTTGGTCACAATGCCCATGAGCGCCATAATTATCCCCCAAGAAAGGATGATGCCTGTGAAGAAGTATCGAGGGGTAAGGCGCTTAAGCATAATGTTTGTCAACGGCTCGGCGAGAGCGTAGCTGATCTAGAAAGTATTCGTCAGAGAGTCAAACAAGGGCTGGGAATGTCAAGACTCAAACTTACAAAGAAAATGGTCAACGAGTTATTGTAATCATGCCCGACCATATGTAGATCGGTCTCGAGTCCTGCAAGGCGAGCATTGCCGATATTGGTACGATCGAGGAAGCTGAGCAAATAGAGCAGACAGAGCCATGGGATCAGCCAGAGGTCAACTTTCCACATCAATTTGCGGTCCTGCCAAGTGTTAGTTCCTTTCTTGAACTGCTATGAAACTGCATGCTGCTTACAATCGCCGCCCTCTCCTCATCGCTCTTGCCAGAATCAGGGTCTGGGAGCTCATTGAGATCCTCAGATCGCTCAATGAAAAGGGCTGCAGCCTTCTCAGACCGGGGTCCCTCTTCCACAGAGGCGGATCGCTCAGCGACTGTCATGTTGGAGATTGAAGGCTCGGTGTATGCACTTGTCGTCTATGTTATTCAAGAAGCAGCTGGTTTGCTTGAGAGAATAGTGACCAGTCTTAACAGCGAGGATATGGGCTCCTTTATACAACATGACCTCAAGCTCTCAGAGTGTTATGAACATCGATACTCAGTATAGTCAGCAAGCCGAAATGCATTCGCCTTAGCCGACAGGTCGGCTATGGTAAAGCGGGCCCGGGTGGGTGGCTCTAACGCCTTGGACAGGAAGACGAGGCCACGATTGGCAGTAATATAGCGCTTAGTCGTGTAAGGAGAGCCTTGCTTCCTTTCCTCCGGGAAGATCCACTCCCATATTTGCCATGCTTGGTTCTAAATTGATGTTATGGTGGAATCTGTTGCACGAGCAAGCGAGCCTACAGCCCCAGTGTAGACTCAATAGCATCACGTCGTGTGAGGCGAGGAGGTGGTGCGACTCCAAGGTTTAGAAAATGGAATGATGTTGGCACGGGATACCTCGTGTACCGGCTGGAAACCACGTTCTAGCGCCATACAGACATCCTTCTAGAACAGGGCAGCGAGTATCAATGATTGGTCCACGCGTGAAGCTACCTTCAGGCCAAGTGTGCCACAGGGTCACATAGTGCATTTGCAAGCTGGAGGACGTGGTCTGAGACTTTCTGTACGGAGTATGTGGGACATGGTTTTAACCACTTGATGGTGGTATTCGGGGTAGTTCGGGAGGGAACCCCGGCATTTGAATGGTTTCCCCATGGGTTATTGGGCGTCACGGATTTGAGCTGAGGAGAGTTCGTCCGTAAGTTCAAAGACCGAGTTCTAACCATCGAACAAAGCTACGAAACCCCTAGGTAATTGAGTAGAGTTTCCAAGCATGTGAAAGAGTATCATTCTGCAGCTGACGGTCAAGGCTTTGCCAAATTTTCGATCCTTCCGAAACCTTGGAACTATGAATATTGTTTAGTTGAGAACTGAGTCACGAAAGGGTTCTACGAGGAGCTCCTTGTCTACCTGACAGGTCCGGCCCTGAATGACTGTGCGTCAGTCATTATGCTTGATTTCGAGAGCCTTAGACGTGAGTCTGTCAAGTAATCGAGCGCCTCTTTTGCACCTGATTTATCCGAATCGACATGAGGAGATTTCGCCTAAAATGTTCAATATGGACTCTATGCTGCGTGAACTAGCCAACATTGGAACTATGCAATTTCCAGAGGCTCACGTACTGACTCGGTTTCAATGAATAGCTGACAACTGATTCGCGCTCCTCGGCTAGCTCGTCCCACATGAATTCGTCTGTCACCATCCCGCCTTCATCGAACTCATGGCAGTGATCTTCACTGCCTGCTTCCTTGGTATTCACAATTTGCATGCGAGAGCCAATGTATCTGAAGCGATCTCTCCCGACATCGATCAATCCTTTGGATGCTTGGTCGGGCTGAGCTTAGATCGATGTACCGGCAGAGGGCAGGCACCCTCCTGGAGAACGTCACTGCAACCGAAAACTCTTATTGTCAGACCCGGTTGGGAAGTGCACGACCCAACGCTTCCCATATCTGACCAACATGGCCATCAAAGGGAGAGGGCTACTGCCAGCGTAACCCTACGTAAGCAGGGTTCGATTTGGATTCTGTTGCGCGTCCTCGAAATGATTGCACTAGGCTTGAGCCGGAAAATTGGGACACTTAGCCACGGCAACACTCCTTGATCGCGATTTGCAGTCGTTTATTCAACTGGCAGCCACAATCGACGAATTCACCACTTAGTGCAGCGCATTTGACTTCAGAAAAGCTGCCCCAAATTCAGGAAGACGTCGACTGTGCTGGCAATCATCAGAATTGGTATCCGTGATGACATATTGACATGCTGAATGATTGATGAGTGCTCCCATACTGCTGGTAATTACCAGGACATCCTCGACAGTACGACGGCCTAAGTTAACCATGCTTGACTTCCAGATAAAGCTCACCCCGACAGTGGTGGGAGAAATGCGATAATTCAATGGTGAGTGCAAATGTCGAGTCTCAATGCTTCAAGATGAATGCTAATGTCAGTCAAGGAGAGCCTGTTAACCTGCACCACAGCCTTCTCAAGCGCGGCGTCTAGTTACCCAATACCATGACCTTTTGAGCCAATCCTTGAACATTTCACTTACGCCCCAAGACATGTCTGATGCCACGCTAGGGCGTCGAGGAGTGTTACAAGTTATGAACTGGACGCATTCCGTCCAGCTTGTGATAGTGTATATGATCGAGTTGCCCAATCCGTGGAACGGAATACAAATGGCAGAGGCGAGGTAGAGGCTATATATTTGGTTGTCGGGGGCGATAAAAGTATTGTATACTCGGTTGACGCTGATCGGAACCCATGTGATAAGGAGAACAATTGTATATAAAAAGGCGAATTGTGCGTATTTCCAGTGTACAGCATCGAAGCGAGAAGGAGTCCTTCGAAGAGGCGTCTGGCTTGTGGTGGATAGCGTGCGTTCACGTCCAACCGCCGGGATAATTTGATTGGACGATGAGCGTGAAATTGATAATTCGTGAGAGTATGTCGGTGCAAGAGGTTGCAAATCTTTTGAGTTGGGATCGTCAGAGAAATTTGGCTCGTGGAAGACAACCTGGGAAGGACGCTCTGGTTCTGTAGAATTGTTGGATTCGATATTCCCATTCGCATAGTTGTGTTCCCCACTTAACTGTTGATGCAAGGGGCTCTTAGTCTTGACAGCATTCAGCCTTTGTCGAACTCGGAGTATACTCTTTCCACTGAGAGCGAAAAGGAACAGCGATGTTAGAATGGAAATCCTGTTGTGGTCAGTCAGCAGATCAGGATATCATCGGCAGAGGTATTTACCAAATAGGGCCGTAGAATGCAGCAAGTCTTAGAATTCCCGATTCCCGGGAAATCCAGCACCATGTTGTTGCATCCCCGTAGACTGTCCTGCCGTTTGGACGCCAGAGTAAGAATGTCAAGGCAGAAGGAAATGGGACCATGAAGGCAAGACCAATTCCCAAAAGGTCAGTCTTTCGAAGCTCCTTCAGACTCCGTTTCCTCCGTATTGTCAAATAGACATTAAGTGCCATAACAGTGACCTGAATGGGTGATTAGTGGACTAGGGTATCCAGTGTTAGGCGGAGGCCCTACCAGCAAGGGATCTGTCATGACAAACCAAGTGATGAAAAATCCCTGCGTTTGACAAAAGCCTGAGTTTCGCCCAGCAGCTACAGGATAACGGCCCCAGGAGTAAGCAACACAAGCTAAACTATTCGTGATGGAGATGCAGAAACTGAATCGATTCACGGGTTTTCGCAATGGTGGATACATGATGTAACTGATCATGGTCCATGCTGACCCCACTATCGAAAGACATGCTGACACTCTTGCGGCAACATCGAGACGACTCAATTGCGCCGGGCTGAACGATTCCTGACCAGACATAACATTGTGTGTTGGGAACCTCAATTCACAAGGCTACTTGAAACTGGCGTTTTGAGATGCAACTCCGGCTGGCCGGATGGACCAATCTCAGATGAAAAACGAAGGCACTGAACGAAAGCCTCGGGTCTAGCCAACGTTGATCAGTGCAATAGGTAATTTTGGAACGCTGATCACTTGGGATAATGAAATGAATGTGTAGATCTCATCGTATGTACAGTTGGTTAAGTTTGAGGGGAATCAGAGAGAGAATTGAGCTTTCGTTGTCGTGGTTTCGGTCTGGGGATTACGCGAGAGCCGTGGGATGGGAGACTAAGCGAGGGCTGACGGACTTCCAGGGCAGACTCTGGGGTCTCAGAGAGTCAGAGTACGGAGTATTTTGGGAGCTCGTAACTTGTGCGGGAGATTCGACGCCTCTGCTACTGGGGCTAGACCTTTTCCGGAGTTGTGGAGTTAGAAATTGAATGGCTGGGAAAGAGGAGCCCCTCTGTACACGTGACCCACGCTGCTAAAGGAAAATGCCAAGCTCGGGTGACGGGAAAACGATGGAAGATCCCGTGATCTGCCGAAATACGGCTTACGCTTGGGCGTAGCAAAGGTACGGTGGACCTTCCCGCGACTATCGCAATTCCGGAAATTGGTTGTCGATCATCCGTGATAATATCCGCGACAAACAAGCACTCCGAGTGCCAATTCGAACAGACATTTGTCAAACAGTTAATTGTCCGGACTGGGCGAGTAACCATCCCATACTGTTGTGTGCTTATTACGGATTTCCTTGCAAATAGTCTGAACGAGAAGCCAGTAAACAAAGCTGGGGATCCTGGAGCCTGAAGTTGACTCAGGCCTCCATGGATACCTAGGAAGCCCAGTTTCAAACTCTCCAAACCAGTGTTTCCTCACCCGTCCATACTTGATCCTCGGTACTCCATCTCTATCCAAAACCTGTTTAAACACGGAAAGACCCAGGCGCTAAATTGGACTCTCAGTGGACAGCGATCGAATGTGTTAGAAGCACGTCTCTATTCGAAGCCTGGCTCGCTGAGCCCTGAGTTCTTGCAATCTACCATCGTTTAACGATCCGTTTTGGTACGAGGCTAATCTCCATCAAGCCGGGAATGACGCATCGCCCCCAGTCAGTTCTTGAGGGCTCAATCTTGAAACTTCCCAGGCACTTCCTTTTGTCTCAAGCCACGCCCAAAGTTCCCCAGGGGGCCTAGGAACATGGCGACCTAAAGGCTAAACATTCGATTACCCACCAAAACTCTCGACCTAGTTATTAACCCATCCTTCAGCCCTACCTCGCCCAAGCCATTACGTATCTCAGTGAATGCCGTCTAGTTTCAGTTGTCAGAGAAGCATGTCTATAGCCTCACCTTTTCTGGGATGTCGAATTACAAAGGCAGTGTTCGTATCGAACATGATGTCAAGTCTAGCAAGAGCGAGGATGTCATCCCCGTCAACTGGAACCAATTGGCTTCAACTGAACGATGGTGGAATCTCTCGTTACTTTTTCATGGTGAGCATATCACTTTGCGAGTGGAGCATTGCCTACCCTTATTCTGTGCCTTAGAGTATTTGATAAGCTAATATCGAGACGGTGGCAGTCTTCATCTTAAGTGGTTCACTCTCGATGGTTGGTTTTGACATGTCTATCGTTGGCCCATTGTTATCACTCCCAATGTTCGCGGAGAAGTATCAAGGCAACCCTGGCCCCTTGACTGTGAGTCTCTACTACTACAATCTACATTGTTTCTTTCCCAAAGGGGAAGGGTGTGCTAATTCCACTTCAGACCAAGAATCTCAACTTGATCGTCACTGTGCCTATTGTAGGGGCTATCATTGCAAGTTTCGGTGCGCCACCCATGCAGAAAGCCGTTGGGCGAAGGAAGACGCTGCTGTGGGCACAGTTTTGTGTTTGCCTACCGAGTGCATTGTTACAACTATTTGCGCCCAACTTGGGAGTCCTCGTCGCTGGTCGTGTGATTCACTACGTTGGGTTGGGATTCGCAGCCAACACCGGACCGTTGTACCTTTCTGAGATTGCGCCTGCTCATGTTCGTGGCCGTCTCATTGGGTTCTGCTCAGTCATGTACATGGCGTCCGGAATACTGGGTAGTACAGTGGTTTGGGGGTGCGAAAAGCTCAGCACCAATCTCGAATTTCAAATCCCGCTGGGGATTCAAGCCGGGCTCAGTGTTTTCTTTGGGTTACTGACAGTTCCGCTTTTCGAATCTCCACAATGGCACGCCTTGCGAGGCGACTACCATATTTCAGAATCCATTTTATATCAGATACGGGGAACAAACAAAGTTCTCGCCATGGCAGAGGTGGACGACTACCGGAGGGCATTCGCAAAGACAGCATCAAACCCCTCAAACGGCACACTCTTTGATATCGTCTCGCGTGAGAATATTAAACGGACTCTCATTAGCGGCGCATATATCAGCTTCGAACAGGTCTCTGGATTAGTGATGATCGGGGCATTTTCAACTGTAACTTTAACCCAGGCTGGAGTCGGCGACGTCTTCAAAGTCACAATCTTCATTAATTGTCTAATGTTCGCAGGTCAGCTGGTGGGACCATATCTTGTCGACACAATGGGTCGCAGACCGGTGGCATTGACGTTTTTGCCTATCATTGCGGGCCTGAACATGGCAGCTGCGAGCCTCGCCATGGCGGGCCTGGAGAAGAACTCGATGCGCTCAAAAGCGGTGGCAGGCGTGTTCATATGCCTTGGCTTCTTTATCACTGTCGCTTACGGCTCCTTAAGTTGGGTGATCCAAACCGAGATAGCTGTACTCCACCTGCGGGAAAAGTCTGTCGGATGGAGTCAGTTCTGGTCATATATCGCCGCGATTGTGACGAGTTTCGTGGTCCCTCGGCTTGCCAATCCGGACGGATTGAATCTGGGCGCTCGTGTCGCTTACATCTTCGCAGGCACGAACACCGTGGCATTGATTTTCACTTACTTCTGTCTACCAGAGACGAAGGGACGAACCTTTGCAGAAATCCAAGCGATGTATGATAACGATGTGTGTGGAGTACGCCTGTCTAAAACACCTCGTCTGTCAACAAGCACCGCCTCTCGAGAATGCAGTGATGGTAGATTACGATCATGAACCAATGTCTAAGTGAATTGGCCTTCCACTATTTTCGCCTACAAACTGACCGCCCCGCCATCGTGAGAGTGCACCTCCAATTGCCTATCTTTGGCTTAGATACTTCCAAGTGTCGATGTGTGCCCAACATCGGAGAAGGGTGTCAGAAAACACGTTGCACAGACCTTGAATGGATACCGTCTTGCTGATCTTCCGAGGCGGAATATATGTACTTCAGAGACGACCCAGTGTTACGGTCGGAGGGATTGTCTAGAGGATGACAAACCTTCGTTAATGGAGCTTGGAATATGAAGGCCTAGCTTATGCCGAAGGTCTAACCCGATCATGTTCCAGCAAGCAACGTGACTAAGTAGTTAGTCACAACGCGACCGCGCTCCTCTTCTCCCGGAGGTGTGCCGTTGTTGTCATGCGTCGTTCATGAGACGGGCCATACAATACACCCACCAAAACCGAAGTGGACAGCCTCCCGCCGACGCTATCCCACTGCGCGAGTTCCACCATCACGAGGCACTCAGATACTCATTTGTCGCGTCTCGTTGCGCCACTCGATAATCGTCTCATCTTCAACAAGCCGGAGCGTTAAGTTAATGTGAAGATTGATCAGAAAACCACTCAAGCAGGAGGGAAGGCTGCGTGGTTTCGTGTAACACGAAATAAGTCGTGGAGCAGACCATACATGAACAGCAGTGGACGAAGAGGAATAGCTGACCCTAGCTACAGGGAAGGATAGCTAGATATATGGGGAGCAGGCAGCTTCCAAAGGTAGTCGGCACTCTTCTTCCCCGAAAAGCACCAAAAACAAATCCATTTTATTCTTTCCAGCTCTTTCCAGCCACTTGTCAACACCGGATCCTACCCTACCATTCACTCACCCCTGGCTCCGATTTCCACTGGCCACATCGGCTCTCTGTACCTTGACATCAACCTCTGCATTCCCGGCCCCAGCACCGTCCTCACCATCCGCGACCTTGAAGACATCTCTCCCGGGTCTGAGCACGCCCAACCCACCAGTCCACCCCTCAATATCCACGAGGTGAGACTCGCCCAGCTCCTCTTTGACCACGAGAACCATGTCGTCAATCGCATTCAGCAGGCCCACCACCGCGGACAACATGACGCAGTATTTCCGAAACCCGTCCTCGTTTGCCTCAAGCATTTGCCAGGTGATGGGGCCGAGCAGGCTGTTGATGTGGTCCGTATGCTGCTGCTGCTGCTGTTGTTGTTGTTGTTCTCCTTTGCTCTCGGTCTCATAGTTGATATCAGCACCAGCTTTGTCGACCGTAGGGCCTGCGTTTCTCTTCCATCTGACGCCTTCGCCAGCCCCATACAGGACACCACCCACACGATCACGAAACGCCCTCACCGTCAGCGGTGCAGGCAGTACATGCGGGAGCGCACTCCCTGTCTCAAGACTGTGTGACAGCAGGCTCAGCACACCCATGAGATCTCCGACAAACTGTTCTTGAAACACGCCGCTGAGGAGAAAAAAGCGTCTCTTGAAGGCGGGCGGAAGTTGCAAGCTGTAGTAGAATAACTGAAATAGGTCAAAGTTGATGTTGGTCGCGAGAGATGTGATTTTCCAGAGGCCGGCAGCCGTGAAGTCGGTGGATGAGAGCTCGAATTTGAGCAGCTGGATCGGCCCGAGGATGGAGGACAGCAGGTCGGCAGTCTCGATCGTAGTTTTCTCCAATGCGGTCATGAGGTCTGATCTTGGCTTGGGGGGTTGGGCTTGAATTTGTTCCTCCTCGTACTGGCTGTGTTCGACGTTCATGGCACGCGTAACAAGCAGCGCGTACCGATCTTGGAAGCTTGAAAGCGTGCGTGAAAGAACCCGCCTGTAGTGTCGACCCGCAGATGGTGGGCGGGGGAAATAGGTCACAATCGCAGATGCCGTGAAGCCGACCAGGACTAGGACCACACGCCTCCAGAAGACGGAATATCCCACTCCTGGATTGCCGTACGAGGGAATGTGTGTGTCCACCCAGCTGTACGCAACAGTCAGGTAGACAGTTGCTGCTGTGAGCATGAAAGCTTGCAAGAGTGCCGGCGGGCCAAATAACCTGAGCCACATGAGGGCAAGGACCAAGGGCACCATAATAGCAGCAATGCCGTAGTGATTCCCAGGTCCGTTGCCAGCACCAATGTACCAAGCGGCCATTCCAAGAATGCCTCCAATGACAGTACCGCCAACGCGGAGTAAAAGACCCCACGTAAAGTCGGCAGCGTAAGGCACAAGACCTATCTGCGCCATGATCAACGCCCATAGACCCTTCTCACGGTAGTAAAAGCCGGCACTAGAGGGGATAGCGGCGGGAATCCCAACAGCGATGGTTGCGATAACGACTCGTATCCCAAACATGCCGGCCGTGCTCGTGATCCAACGCGTCGTTACCAGCACAAAGCGTCCGAACGGATGTCGCGCCTTGCCGCGATGCAGATGGATGGCGGCCAGCTGCTCAGATGCTTTGGGTATCTTGGGTTCGAGATCGTCGTCCTCCTCTTCACCAGCTGCTGCATCGCCACGCTTACGGCGGCGATGGCGACGACGACGTTTGGACTTCTTGTTCTCTTTCTCCTCCCGCTCCTGCTCCAGTTCAGGCATCACGGGCGTGACCTGGGGCGCCGGCTCGCGGCCTGAAACCCACGATCCGAAATGTCTTAGCCCAGCAGGAAGCCAGAGTCTCTGCTTCTTGCGCTCTCCCTCCAACGTCACGATCTGCGCCAGCAGCTGTGTGAGCGAGCGAGCGAAACTCACAATGCGTTCTTCGAAAATAAGGCCTAATATCACGCCTCGCAATGGGACTGCACCGAGACTTGGTGGTGGATCGAGGTTACCATTCGCGTCAAATAGATGTGTGTGATGGTCGAGGATACGTGGCGTGGTGGTGGCTATGAAATTCTCGCATTCCTTGCGTAAATCGGCGAGGATACGTTCGTGCTGCTGATGCATTGCATTGAGTGTCTCGGGCGATGGGCGGCCGGTCCATTTTTTCTCGTTGACGACATCCAAGGTCTCGACTATTGCGCGGATGGCGATGTTGCATGTGTTGAGCAGAGGGTTTGCCGACTCTTGCAGAGCCCCCATGGTTTTCGTGATGAGGTCTTCGGTTTCGACGTTGCGAAATAATTGGGCAAGGTGGAGTTGTTGGGCGATTTGATGTCGGCCGAATTTGGGCTGGTCTTCTACGGGCGCCTGGCCCTGCTTGCGTGCTTCATGTCTTTCAATCAGCTTGGCCATGCGCGCTCTGGATTCGGTTCGGCTGATCTGTGCCTCTATCAGGCCAACCCAGGTGATGAACGCGAATCGAAGGGGCTTCTTGAGAAGGCCGATGTCCTGTGTGTTCCAGCGACAGACCGAGACGTCGAGTGGAAGGAAGCTCAACCGGCCTTCCAGAGCCTTGAAGCTTGCGATGCCTTGAGCCTTGGCCTTTCTCAGTTTTTCCAAGCTCATTGGGCGTGCGTTATTGTCGAGACTCAGCCTGCAGGCGTCGACGAATTCAACCATTGGGGAGAGGATCTGCTTGATATTGTACAGCACAATGTGCGAGGTCGACTCTGGGAAGAACATGATATTGCAGAGGACACCAACCCCAACGGCCGTAGCCGCGGGCTTGATAAGTGTGATGGGAATGCTTCCCGTGAATGACGGTAGCAAGGGACCACTTGTGAGGAAAATGTCGCTGATAATCGTGCCGAATATCTGGACAGCGACCATTTTGGGGTTCGCCACCCGGAGACGTGCCTGAAGGCAGTGAGCATTGAAGACACTAGAACATAGAAAAGCGGTCTCACCAAAGTGTAAATGAAAAGACAGATCATGCAGTAATAGACAGCGGTGACCCTTGCATCGAGCATGAATCCCTCGAATATCAAAACCTGCGTATATGTAGTCTGACCGGACAATTGCCCTACGTTTGTCACATTCTGCGTCGATGCTTGTTGGAGCTCAATCAAGCGAGCATTGGTTTCTGCTTGTGGCCGCGCAGCAAGAGCGGCTTTCATGGTGATGACCCCCCAGCCCCAGGCAAGGCCCATACCAATCAAAATGGTGGCACCCACGAGTAGCTGGAAGAAGACAATGCCCGAGGGAGGAGCGATGAAAAGAACGATGCTAAATCACGGGTTGAGGTGAGTGGAATGGAACACTGGGAGCTGGTCTACACAATGCGAAGCACGTACCAGCCAAAGAACATTGCCTGCCCCTCTGCTCGGAGGACGGGATCGATCACGATGAACAAGGTGATGATCCATACCGCTATGGAGCATTTGAGCAGTTCTTTGAGATCGCGAGCGTTGAAGTGGTCTAGCAGCGGGGGTAATCGCCGCTTTCTGGAGGGGGCGCCGTCGCCTGAGTCAAAAAATGAATTGCTTTCAAGTCCATCGGGAACGTCAATGGTGTGTGGACCTTTCGAAGCAATAGGCGTCCGCTTCTCGCTCCTGTTGTTTTCTTCTCGACTCAACATCCTGTGTCAAGATCGATATATGATTTGGGCGGGTGATGAGAGAAACGCGTGGGCTACTGGGTATGCCGGTGAGAGCCTAGACGCGTTTCCAGCCCTTCGTATCATTTCTATTTAACGAGGACGCGGACTCTCAATGGCGACGGCCATCGACTGTCGAAAGAAGGGACTGTCGGATCTGAGAATCCCCCTGAAGATCTAGTTGTATTTGCACAGTTCGGCAACATGATTTCACTATTAGGGATGCCCGGCGCTGCCTTTCCGGCGCCGAACCCGTTTCCACGGAAAATAAATGCTTGTACTCGTACCAGGCGCATCATCAGAAGCTTTCGGACTCAAGCTTCCCCCGACGCAACAATGGACATAAAAATGAAACTCTAAAAGACGAATGATTTGTGCAGAAGTGACGTCATGCTCGTGGGTGGATCTGGGCCATCCATCAGCTAGGACTCCAGACGGCACAGCGCTGGTCCTTTGGAACCACAAAGGTCAGGTATAGATACTGTAGGCTGTACGGTAGTTAGCTGGTCGGTCCACGTTGTTTTTCGCTACATGAGCACGAGATATGCACTAGTATCATTAAGCATGGAACTTGGTAGATAAGCGAGAAATGCGGGAGACGTACCTCCTATAGAAAGCTTGTTTGGCAAGTTCGAGGCAAGAGCCCTGCCTATTATTAATTGGGTTCACTTCTATTTAACAAGGAAGCAATAAGCAGAGGAGAGAAACGAAGAACGCGGAGTTATGCTATGAATTCCATTATCATACGTGGCGTAAGGGGAAGGTAGAGTACGAATCGCAATCATAGTTACACAGCACCAGCTGTCCAGGAACGTGAACCCCAGGCTCAATACTTCGAACCATGGTTCCCTCCCAACGCCTTCTCCCGTTGCGGAGCATCATCCACTCTTATGTCAGTCTTATCCGAGAGCCTTTCTAGCTGCCGAAGGCTTCTTCATCTGCTCTTCCCACACGGCAACCTCCCGAAGCAATCCCAAGCGGTGCTCTCTGGGAAAGTGGTCCAAATATTCTCTCGACACCACAACACAACCCTTGCGATCGGGGTCTTTGTAGACTATCGGTGGCACCCAACCCCAAAACATAAACGCTCTCATCATTGACGAGGTAATGTTTACATCGATGTTGCAAAAGACTTGTCCCTGAGACACGCCGATGGTTCGGGCTCTGAAGGTGGGCTGTTGTTCCAATCGCCGGCTGTAGAACTCGGTGCAGATGGCAATTGCCAGGAAGATCCGCCTCTTTTGGCATCGGTAGGATCCATAATCCAAACCGATGCGGTTGCACAACACAATCTCGGAAGCATGGAGATCACCAGGATCTCCTAGCTTTGCGGGGACTGCTGCCTTTACAGGCTTGGTGGCGCCCTTGGAGGATCCCTTCTTCATCCCCTCCTCATCCTCTTCTGTAAACAGTGGGAGGTCCACTGACGATCCATTGTCTGGGCAAATCGCATCCCAGAAGGCGTCATAGTCCGCCTTCTCCTTTGAGCGAGCCGTCAGAGTTTCTCTAATGTTGTGTAGGATCTGATCTTCCTCCATTTTGATTGCAGCATCACCTTTCGAGCTGCGTGTGTTTGCTGTCTTCTTGCTCCCTGGATTGGACGACCCCTCAGTGTCTGCTGGTTTCTCCTCCTCCGCCTTCTCTTCCCAAGCGATCCCACCATCTCGTGTCACTAGCTCGTTCTCCGTTTCAGAAGTACGTTGGCGTTTATGAGGACGTGCGGCTCCCCCGTCAGCCTCGTCCCCATCAGCACGCTTCCGTTTAGGTGAAGGTGGAAGGAAAGGTGGGACCTCAATGAGGTTTACTGCCAGGCCTACTGGCATCGGACGTCGCATTTGGGTGAGAGTGGCCGCAGCTTGTATCATTTTCAGTTCATCGTTGCCCAGCATTCCTAGAGCGTGTTCCTCAGCTGCACGTGCTACCTCTATGTTGCACTGGCGATGGTATTCGATGGTCGAGAGGTCCATGGTTGATCGTTGAGAAGAACAGTAACGGTCGAAAACGTGCAACTTGCGTGATTCTGAGAGTAAAAGTGAGAGAAGGTAGAGGATGTCTTGACAGTATGGTTCTCCCCATCGCAGAGCAAAATAGGGCAGTTTTATACATTCTTTGATGGATTTCATGGGCTTGAGGTCCTCATGCAGATCTGGCCTCCAGAGAATTTTGGGCATTGGTACGCTTGAGGTCCTCAAGAAACTCAATTGACAATGGAAGTCTGTGGTTGAGCGGCTAGCCAGTGCAAACTCAACTCCTTCTGTCTGGTTCAGTGTGTTTTCCGAGCCTAGGAACGGAAACCAAAGCGGTCCAGGCAATCTCAACACTGTGTGTGGTGGACTACGGTTCGAGGGGCCACTCTAAACCGTTCTTTACTATTTCTTTCTCCCGCAAGCGGCCCTCGCGGTCGTGGTATTCGACGAAGGCCGGCGGAGGCAGTACTCTCAGACACTGAAAAGCGAACGCCCCGCCTTTACAATGTGGTACTTTTCAACCGCGAGAGGACAGGGAACTGTGAATAGTGAGCAGAGAAGGTCTCAGGAAACGAGTAGCGTAAATTGTCTCAAGTCGAACTGGATGGAGCAGAAAGAATATGGTATTGTGATTTAGGTGGGTATACTATTCTAGAAAAGTCAATCATGGTCACCGTATAATCGAACGATGGAAATAAAAGCAATGGATCCTTCACAATGGTTGGAAGAAGGCGAACAGGCAACACAATTGTGAGGCTCTGGCACGGCATTGAATGCAGCGCAGAAGACGGGTCATTCTCGAATTGCACTACGGGGGGCAAAACGGCTGAACAATCCATCTTGGTGAGCCAGACAACGGTAGTGGCGGAAAGTACAGGAAGGTCAGGCAGTGGTCGTGAGGAGGGCGCAGAGCCTGAGGAAAGCGACGCAAAGGCGATTGATGGTTGGGAGTGGAAAACAGTCAGGTGGAAGATCGAAGAAGAGAACTGAGTAGAAGTGTGGTGGCTAACGAATAGGATGTGGCTTGTTGAACCAGGGTGTGTGGGCGTGACTCAGAGAAAGCCCAGAGGAGGAATCACTAATGAGTGGATGACTCTGTCCGGAGCGCAGTCTGACTGTAGAGTCCGGAGGAGTGAGTGGGCCACAACGCGCTGATCTGATTTGCAGTGCAAAGGTGTACGGTGGATCACTAGCGCTTCAGATGACGGACCTCGGCCTCAGCCACGGGTTCCGCTGAAATATGATTCCGCGGGAGACCTGGCGGCTCTCCGTAGTCGTATATCGTACAGTGCGGAGTGACCGTCACGGACCTGATCAGGGAAGTCATACCAAACCGGTAATTTATACCAATTCGTCTACTACGAGTACTCCCGCGGGCCACCACTAGCGACAAACACCATGGCCTGCCCCTCATCTATCACTACTGGCAGTCTTTACCATAAATCAAGAAGTGTCTGCTCGTCACTTTCTTACAACAAAAGACCCATTTTGTTTCTTTCTCAACTTTGCTCAGGCTCCCCAGACAGGCACTAGAAAGACTGTTCACCATGCCCGCACCGGCCCATTATCTGCTCGCCATATTTCCGGGCTACCAGTTACTAGATCTTGCTGGGCCACTGGACATCCTGAACATACTTTCTCTGGTCAAGGCCGATCTTCCGTTGACCTTGACCATCATCGCGGAAAGCCTAGAACCCGTTCCTTCAAAGCCGATCCCTCCTTCCTCCGCCAATTGGACATTCGACCTGCAAGCTCAATTTCCAGAGACAAATGGCAAGGTAAACACGAATTTCAACCAGTATCTGCTTCCCGACGTTACCTTTGACCAATACATCAGCTCCTTGGACGATCCCAGCACCAACAAAAAGGACGGCCATTTCAGCCCTGTTGATGTCTTACTCATCCCGGGTGGACTGGGCACGCGACTTAATCGCGTAAGCTCGGATGGACAGACTGTCTCCAATATTCGAGCCTTATTGGACTTTATCCCAAAAGTTGCACCTCATATTGCCCACGCGATCATCACGGTGTGCACTGGTTCAGATGCACTGGCTCAAACAGGTCTACTTGACAACAGGCGAGCAACGACAAACATCTCCCGCTTTCAGGATGTTGAAGGCCGAAACCCAAATGTAAAATGGCAGTCTTGGGCACGCTGGGTTCGCAGCATACCTGAATCCACAGACCGTGCCAATATTGAGATGTGGACGTCCGCGGGTATCAGTGCTGGAATGGATGTTACTTTGGCCTTCATTGCTCACCATTATGGTGGACTGGAACTATCCAGAGATTTGGCGAAAAGGCTGGAGTATGATTGGAGAGAAATCCCAGAGGGCAAGAAGGACCCTCTCTACGAGAAACATTGGGCTGCTTGACGTTTCCACAACACATCCTGGGCGAAGACCGGTCGGATGCCCTGTGGCTGAGTACTTCTTAGTATTGTCGTCGAAAATATGGCTCCACTGAAGAGTGAAGGGATGACAACGTCTTTCAAGGACTCAAGTGCTGCACCAGCGCAAAAATGTGGTGTTTGGCATAGTTTCCTGTCACCCACAATCATCCATCTTCTCGTTTCTCGCGTGCGCTGTCGATTTTTCCACTGCGAGTTGTTAGTTTTGCTCAACGGTGCAGCCTGGCTTCACTGCGTATGTAATTCTCACGGACCGGGCTCGTGATTCACCACCATCGTCCGAACTCGCACTCTGTTCCATAAACTCAAGAACAAGCCCAGCGTTTCCTTTGAGGTATAGATACGGAGTTGGCAGACTGAACACCATCCTGATACACATTGCATTTAATAACCAGCTGCGTCCATCGGGAACATGATTTTCCGAATGACGCCATCAGATCATCTGATCGTCATCGTAATCTGCACATCTACGAGTACAGTAGCACTTCATTAGCGGTGCCGACACACCCAGTCCCAAGGTACACTGAACACCTCCACCATGCCGATTTCTTGGTTTACCTTCCCTCTAAGACCAAGATCCAGAGGTAAAATGTACGTCAAAGGAATGGGGGCTTCGTATCACCCCCCCCTCGTTCAACACAGGTCACTTGTTAAGGAAACTACACTTCGTCCGCCTTCACGACGACAAAGGCAAGTGACTAGAGCTTCTAACCAAAAACACTTGATATACCCTTCAATGTGATTGTCAGAGCTTGACACTTCAGGTTACAGGTGCAGGAGCTGTGTGGCGCATCTGCCATTGCCTTCCCCGCAATGTTGCCATTCTTTATTTTGCTCATCGCCTTGTGGTATCTGTCCAATTTGATGCTGAGGGTAAACGCCCAAGGCCAACCACCGATTATCACCAATAATACCGGGCCCTTATCCCAATACAAATCTGTGAGTGAGCTTTCATGCTGTCCCAGCTCTTTGGATTGACAGAAACATAAGAGACCGGACATCTATGCACCGTCCCTCAACATCACGCTGTATGAAGAGCATGCCGTGACCCCAGGGTACGTCTTTCTCAGTCCGTACCAAACATTTCAGGAAGGCATCTCGATATATGATACCAGAGGGGTTAGTCGATGTCCCCTCAATCCATGAAGGAAGAACTAAACCGGCTCCGGGGCAGAATCTAGTGTACTCCGGCTACGGTTCTACCGGCGGTGGCCCGTCACACAATTTCCATGTCTGCTCCATCAGTGGTGCGGATAGCTTATGCTTCATCACAGGAGGTCAGAATCATGGCTATAGCCGCGGCTGGGCCATGGTACTTGATGACACGTTCACTGCTAGGTCATCGATTCACTCTCAAGGCGGGCTCGCCAACCTGGATGAGCACGAGTTTAATGTCCTCCCAGATGGCACGGCGCTGTTCACCTTGTACTCGCCTCAGCCAGTTGATCTCACAGCATACGGTATTTCTAATCAAGGCTGGGTCCAGAATACTTACTTCCAGCATATCGAGTTGAGCACCAATCAATTGATTTTCGAGTGGTCTCCCGTAGACCATGTTTCCCTCGATGAATCGTGGGTCTCGCCGAACACAACGGATGTTTCTGGAGATGGTTTGACACCAACCACCCCCTGGGATTTTTTCCACATGAATTCGGTTGATCGAAATGCAGATGGCGACTACTTGGTATCTGCGCGCCATACGTCCACAATCTACAAGATCTCCGGACAAAGCGGTCATATCATTTGGAGGTTAGGAGGCGCACTTTCCGATTTTAGTTTCCCCCCAGGGTTGAATTTCAGCTTCCAGCATGATGCCAGATTTCGCGAAGAAAACGCTACTACGGCCATAATCTCGCTCTTCGATAATGCGTCTAATGGCTTTAACCAGTCTTCGCGTTACTCCACGGGAATGATTTTAAAACTTGACTACATCACCAACTCGACAACTCTTCTGCAGGAATTTGTTGCCCCTGACCAGTTCATCTCAGCTTCACAGGGAAATGTACAATTTCTGGGACCGAGTTCAGAATGGCAGACTTCGAACAAATTCATAGGTTGGGGCTCAAATGCTTATATCTCGGAATACACATCAGAGGGTCGCATGGTGCTGCAGGGCCATTTCGCAACGACGGGAGCTATGAATTATCGAGCATTCAAGCATAATTTCACCTCGAAGCCAACTGACACTCCTGCCTTGTACGCCTATGCACATAATGAAAGTGCTACAACATCATTCTGGGTCAGTTGGAATGGCGCGACAGAAGTCGTAAGATGGCGCATATATGGGAGCGCATCTTCCACGGGACCCTGGTCGGTTATTGATACATTCGACAAGAATGGATTTGAGACCCTTCTCACTGTGTCAGCTTACTATCCATGGAGCATCGTGGAGAGCCTTGATACTAGCGGCAACGCAATCAGGAACAGTAGCAGAGCCGTGAGGACCTTTGTCCCTGGCCCACGGCTGGCAAGTGTTTGTGATGCACTGGCCTGCCCGTCGACCAACAGTTCGGCCAGTTCTCAATCACCCCCGGCAAGCACTAGTAGTACCCAGCAACTAACCAACACGATTTCCATCCCTACAACGGTAACTGAGACGCAGACTATTTACCTGAGCCCGACTGCTGCAAGTGCAGCCGTTCATGGGAAGCAGAGAGATCTAATCACAACTGCCTTCAGCTTTGTTATGTGGTTCTATCTGGGGGCCATGATGTAGATGGTAAATAGCATACATACGCGAGAATCGAGCACTATTAGTCAAGAGGAAAGAATCCTGCTGCAATAAGAGATCATGACAAATCACTATTAGATACGTGGGATGTTGGTAATGCATTAGCTAGCTAGGGGCCCAAAGGGATAACCACAATAATAATTACTTCCCCTAACAAGGGCTCGTACAGGGCGCGAGGCGAGTGGCGCTGGGCAATAAGGGGTCCGCATAACCAGTTCGCCAATCGCCTGGGGCCGTCTCGGCCCCTGCACAAGACTGTTTATTACCCGAAAGTCTGAAAGCCGTTGAACTGAGACAGCATACGCAATGGATGTGTAGCGTCTGAAGCAACTCGTCGCTTGAACACTGAGAACACGGTGTCTTCCAACGACTTGACGTCCCATTTTGATTTGAGCAATGGTCTGTGGCGTGGTGATCTAACTCAAGCAACGGTGGGTTAATTTTGCAATCTTTTCAGTGTTCCCTTAACGGCAAGCCCTTCGCACTCTCTATCATCAGACTAGGAGACGCCAACCAGGCTCTGCAGCGGCGCCGAGATGAAAGGTGGCTCTGGGGAGGATTTCCGTTGACCCTAAGTATATCGGTTTCATGATCTGAATCGAGAGTTGGAAGGATCAAGCCGCGAACATTTCTCTTCCTGGCACGACTAGAATTATTGAAGTGCACGAACTAGGACGAAATGCCTATCAGCATTGCTATATGCGGCGCCGGGCCTGCGGGTCTCACACTTGCACGTCTTCTCCAAGTGTCTAGGATCGACGTCTCGGTCTCGGTCTTCGAAAGGGACCCATCGCCCAAGTCACGACAGCAGCAAGGAGGCACGTTAGACTTGCACCCGGACACCGGCCTCGCCGCACTACGCCAGGCAGGACTGTTCGAAACTGCCTCCCAATATCTTCGATACGACGGCGAAGAGATGACTATCGCCGACAAAAACGCAACCGTGTTCGTCCACATGAAGGAGCAGCCCAAATGGGCCGACAATAAATTCGCCCGGCCAGAGATCGACCGTGAAGTCCTGAAAGATGTTTTGCTGGAGAGTGTCGAAGCCTCTTGGATCAAATGGGGAAAGGTCCTGGAGTCAGTTGAGGAGAGCACGAGAGTGTTGACGTTCCGCGACGGGTCCATGGCCGGGCCATTCGATTTAGTCGTTGGGGCAGACGGTGCGTGGTCGAAGGTTCGACATGTTCTCAGCAACGCCCGTCCTCAGTACGCTGGGATATGTGGCTTTGCAGGGTCTATCCCAGCCCCGAACAGAGACTTCCCAGATATCTCCAAGCAAGTTGGTAGGGGAATGTACATGGCGTTTTCTGACAAGCAGAGTCTCATGGCACAGAGGCTGGGAAACGAGAGCTTGAACATCAGCACATGGTATAGCAAAGAAGAGAATCACGCTGCGGACATTGTTGCCACTTACGGTTCAGACGAACAAAGGCTCAAGCAGAAGATCATGGACCATTACCAAAGCTGGGCGATGGAGTTGAAGCAGTGGATTGAAGCAGGCTCGGATTATCAAGCTCGGAATCTGTATGAGCTGCCTGTCGGCCATTCCTGGGCGCATAAGAGGGGATACACCCTGGTAGGCGATGCCGCCAGCCTCATGACCCCGTTTGCAGGCGAGGGAGTGAACAAGGCAATGAAGGACAGCCTGGTACTGTGTGACGCCATAAAAGACGCACTGCTACAAGACAGCGGGGCTACTAGCGATGTCGACATTGATGTCAATCTCGACAAGCTCGGTTGGGCAGTACAACAGTACGAGACTGAAATGTTCCCTCGCGCAAAGTTCTGGCAGGAAGAAACGATGAAGAACAAGATGCTGATGTTCAGTGAAGGCAGCCCACCGGAATTCCTTGCTGAAATGGCGCTGGTGGTCTTCAGAGAGGTGGGCATCGACTTGAGTAAAGGCTTGTGGTTTCTTCTTCCTATCCGCTTCTGTGCGATATGGATTGCCCGAGTGGTTCAGGGGGTTGGGGCATGCCGGAGGGCGATCCGTGAGTGGTATCGAAAATGAGGTTCGGCCTGCATCGATACTGAATTAAACTTCGTTACAATATGTTTGATACCCTGTTGCGCTATAGTAAAGGACTCTCTTTCGTTCAATAGATCTCATAGATTCGAGCTGCCATACAAGCAGTAAGAGATTGAGGAACAGTGTTGCTAGCTACCTAGGCCACCCATTCACGCCGTTATCGCGTTTAGCTGTCGCTTACGTTCCGAGTCCAGGGTCACCTGCCTTCAGCTGGTGTTGTTGGGTGGCAGTTGATTTCCGCATAAATGGCTGTATGCGGACACACTCTCTTCGTATAATTAGCCATCAGTGCTCATAGTACGGAGGATATGTCATCAATAAGTTTTCAGGCCAAGCCCAGAGACAAGTCACGACAAGCAACTTGTTAATAGGTATGTGATTCAACATAGGCTTATTCCTGACGTTGCGAGTGGAAATGTTCCCAGGCTCAATTTCAAGTCTTAAACAGGCTGACGCTACAAAATTCGTTCTTGAAAGATGTTCAGTATGTTTTGCGCCACGCGCCTTGGACGCTTCGAAGGGAAATTAGCCAAAGGTTCGGATGAAGAGGATTAACTATGTATGATAGAGGCCTATTTCGCAAGGAGTGCCGAGATCAGGTAGATAGTTTACATACTCGTAGGCGAATAAAGCCTTACCTTCTTCGAACTAGATTATTGAGCCTCCGCAGTATCACATGACCACGAGGCTTAGGCTCTCGCGACCGTCTTAGCTAATTATAATGTACGACGAATTGCTGCGTCTCATTCAGTGGTGGGCCCTCAGGGGGCCGATACGCTCAGAACAGACCTTTGCGGACCCATGCGTGCGGCAAGTCTGGATCCCGCATTGAACGCGGATGCATCGCCGATAACCACGATAGAGGATCAGAAACACTCTCAAGGCGCCCAGTGTTTCGTCAGCAAGGCCAAAACTTGTGAACACCACCCATCATTGGCCCCACTTGAAGAAGAAGCTTGGTTATGAGGACGACAAGGTTATCAAATAAGAAGCATGGGCCACAGTACGGAGTGCACTCTGGGAGAGTTCCATGCGGCGGGTTTCTCCCAGTCCTTACATCTCAAGCAAACTCCGCCTTGCTCCCAAGCGTGAGGCTATCTGACTAGGCGTTCCACAACACGCCATCGAACGCTGAGCCATGCTTTGATTGGTCTTGGATGGCAGAACAGAAACCCCTGATCCCAGGCCTTCGCCCAAGCCACCCGCCTGGTCGGAAATAGGCACGCCTTACGAGTGCCAGGTAGGCCCTCGATGATCATCATCATGCTCAATGCCAGGTGCGAGGTATCGTTTCGCAGAGCCGAGACGATCTTACGCCTAATGATTCGTGCTCCCGCCTGGTATCGTCCCCGTAGGTGGGAATCGCAGGCTATGGCGGCAACGCAAAAGTGGTCAGTTGCCTAATGGTAGTTCTACACAGGACTTCTCTGCTCTTTCTGTTCTGCTCTCTCCCTTCCACCCGACCCTCATTTTTGAACCAAATCATGCCCGAGGTTTGGCTATCGCGAAAGCTGGCGCAAGTCGCGTTGGCTCTACTACTTATCTCGTGCAGCTCTCTTGTATCTGCCCAAGATCCAAATGCAGATCCTTGGGGTGTTGCATACAGTACGAACAACTCAATAGGACCTGATGGTGAGTCGCCCGTAATCTGTGAGGCGAAGAGACATCGGCAGTAACCTTGAGATCATAGGACCGTGGTGGTATCTCTCCCAGGCCGTAGATTTTCCCGATCAGTTCCTCAGTGTTTATCCTTCTCTTACTCGAACCAACCTGGTCGTATCCAAGGATGTCTGCACCTCCCAAACCGCCGACTGCCCCCTGCCTGTGCAGCCAGGGTGGACGCCGTCTGGTGCCTATACGAATGTCAACAATGGCACGGATACCCAGAGCAATCCCTTCAGCCCAGACGATTGGGACAGTAGCGCAGCACCTTTACTAGGCATGGAGGGTTATGCATTCTACTCGCAAAATCGCTTCACCATCCACAGAAATGGCGACCTTGACCAACCAGGCTTTTTGGATGGTCTTGCTGTGCTTGTTTCGAACAACCTGACAGTAAACTTCCCCGGCGGAGCAGCTTATACTGTCGATGTTGGACTGGTAGGTCACATTATATCCCCAAAGGACTTCGCAACGTTAACAGCTGCGTCTAGTTTTCCTTGATTGGATCCCAGGACGAAGTGCGTTGGACAGGCACGAATGGTTCAAACTCTTTCGGTAACGCCAGCCTCTCCACGGCTTATAACAAGGACTACATTCCGTCAATATCCTTTGGCCTTCACATTGGTTCTGTAGAGCCAGAAATTGAAGGCAGCCTCATCCTGGGCGGCTACGATAGCTCTCGCTGTATCACCGAACCAATTGTCTCAGACACTACATCTTTCAACCTACTTGATATTTCTTTAAATGTTTCCAGAGGTGCATCCGCTTTCCTGAAAACGACAGCAAAAGAGGTCAACGGGCTATTGAAGGTCAACGGGGCCTCATCGAGCGGGGTGAAAATACTTCCCGAACCAGGTTTACCCTATATGTATCTGCCGAGGGACACTTGCGATGCAATCGCTGCGCATCTCCCAGTATCCTATAACGCCGACTTCAACATATACCTCTGGGATACCGATTCACCAGCTTATAGTGATATCGTGTCTTCTCCTCACGCATTGGCATTCTCATTCGAGAACGATGGCACAACCGAAACCATAAATGTCCCCTTTGCTCTCCTCAACCTGACGCTGGATAGCCCCCTTACCGCTGGACCAACACCCTACTTTCCTTGCAGCCCATGGACGGCTACAAGCGACGTCCCGTACACGCTAGGCCGGGCGTTCCTCCAAGCAGCTTTCCTAAGCCATAACGCCAACACGAACAAGCATTTCCTCGCCCAAGCGCCCGGCCCTGATCTCCTAGCCAAGAATGTAAAACGCATCGGGTCAACAGACACGACCCTTGCAGGTGCGGTCAATGCCCCCGACTGGGACTCTACCTGGGAGAGGACTCTAAAAGCCTTGAGCTCGAACTCTACATCAGCTCCAGATCCCAATAGCGGTAGCGGCCAAGATAGCTCGAGTGGCATCTCTGGCGGCGCAATCGCGGGCATCGTCATCGGTGTTGTCATCGTCATCGCCGTTGCGGCAGGTGCCTACTGGTTCCTTGCACGGCGAAGACGACAAGCCAACCCCCCAGCCTACGACAATACGCCCTCGTGGGCACAGAAACCTCCGGTAAATACAATGGAGATGCCGACAGCTGCACAAGTCCAGGGACCATATGACCCTAGCCCCGCCAAGGGCTATTATGGCCACAACCAGGCACAGCCGGCTCATGAAGCCAGAGAAATGCCTGCGACGCAGCCGATTCCGGAGCTGGAGTCCGACTCGAGGAGTAGAGCTGTCGAACTGAGTACCGAGCGATAACCAAAAGTTCTACGTGTGCATGTAAATTTAATGCCTTTTGAGGTCTCGACTAATTGTGTTGGACCTTCCGGCCTGAACCCTGCAAATCAGGGTTGATGGCGTATGGGTATTTCAGCGCCATACAGCCGATACCTCGCGGATGGATTGGCAAGTCTTCTAAGGGACCGTGATATATCTGTTTTGGGGAGCAATCTATCAACCAGAGCTACTTCAACTTTGTATTTATGCTAGGTGTTCAAGGCGTCGCCATTGAAGGCACGATACCAAAAGTAGGTGTGCTGAGGGACCATGGGCCCATGTCCATAGGGAGGACATTTTATGGAGCGTATAGCGGTGATAGAATCAGGATGACCAAAAATCACTCCACACCCTGAGAACTGTCCTGTGCTTCCGACATCTCTGTAAAACGCCTGGTAAAGATCACTAGACCGAAAGATCGAGGTGCAATTCTAGAACACTTTCTCCAGGTGAGATTTATGCGAGGAGTTGCATCTCCATTTTCAAGCGGTGTGGGCATCATGGAGCTTATGTCTGCTACTTCCGCTTGAGTATACTAAATTACCACTATGTGGAAAGTCTCTCCTCCAGTTAACGATGTGCACGAAAAAGCATCCTGGGTATGTGTTGTAGATGTTTCTCACAGTACACGTGAGCCCAGGGCGCCCGAGATTTCTTCGGCACGCCAAGACCCCCACACAAGCCAATCAGAGGGTAAGCATAGTTTATGACTTCAGCAAGCTGCGACCTCGTCGACATTGCTTTTCGAGCTCGTCGTCAACGCTCCTCTACTTCATCACCTCTCATACTCTGTAGCTGAGGCCTGCCTATCCTGCCAAGATGCGGTCTCAGCTTCTTCGCGCTGCTGCGCGATCAAGGGCCTCGCTTCCTGCTGCAACGAACAGATCATTCGGCTCCTCCGCAAGACGACCGGCTGAGGTCGAGCTCACTATCGATGGTAAAAAGGTGTCAATAGAGGCCGGGTCGGCGTTGATTCAGGCTTGTGAGAAGGCCGGCGTCACAATTCCCAGATACTGTTACCACGAGTACGCGGTCTTTGAGCTGGCGATCCAAATGTTGTGAGGCTAACCTGGCGACCCATAGGAAACTGCTCATTGCCGGTAATTGTCGTATGTGCCTTGTCGAAGTCGAGCGAGTACCGAAACCCGTTGCCTCCTGTGCATGGCCCGTACAGCCAGGTATGGTCGTCAAGACCAACTCCCCCCTCACCCATAAAGCAAGAGAAGGAATCATGGAATTTTTACTAGCGAACCACCCTCTCGATTGTCCTATTTGCGACCAGGGTGGCCAGTGTGACTTACAAGATCAATCTATGAGATATGGTGCCGACCGAGGCCGCTTCCACGAAATCACCGGCAAGCGTGCCGTCGAAGACAAGAATATTGGGCCCCTGATCAAGACTTCAATGAACAGATGTATTCACTGCACAAGATGTATTCGATTTGCCAACGACATTGCCGGTGCACCGGAGCTTGGTTCTTCGGGACGAGGCAACAATATGGAGATTGGTACATATCTTGAGCGAAACCTTGATACCGAACTATCCGGGAACGTCGCGGACTTGTGCCCCGTGGGTGCTCTCCTCCTGAAACCTGGCGCTTTCAGTTATCGACCCTGGGAGCTAACCAAATTCGAATCAATTGATGTTTTGAATGCACTGGGTTCCAATATCAGGGTGGATGCGCGAGGTCTTGAGGTCAAGAGAATATTGCCCAGATTAAACGACGATGTCAATGAGGAATGGATTGATGATAAGACACGTTTCGCAATGGACGGCTTGAAAACCCAACGCTTAACTACTCCGTTAATCCGACGAGACGGCCAATTCCAGCCAGCGACATGGGAGCAAGCCCTCACAGAGATTGCAACGGTATTCCGACAACTTGCACCTGGAGAGAACGAATTCAAGGCCATTGCTGGACATCTCATCGAAACCGAATCACTTGTAGCTATGAAAGATCTTGCCAACAGGCTGAACTCAGAGAACCTCGCCCTTGATCAGCCAGGTGGTAGTGCACCAATTGCCCACGGCGTCGATGTTCGAGCAAATTATTCCTTCAACTCCAAGATCTTCGGAGTGGAGGAAGCAGACGCGATGTTCATCATTGGCAGCAACACGCGTTGGGAAGCGGCTGTCCTCAACGCGAGAATCAGGAAGCAGTGGCTGCGCTCCCCTCTCGAGATTGCGTACGTCGGTGAACCATTTGAAACAACATTTAAATACGAACACCTGGGCACCGACGCTGCTGCAGTGAAGAAAGCGCTCGCTGGGGAGTTTGGCAAGAAGCTGGCTGGTGCAAAACGCCCCATGATCATTGTTGGCTCTGCTATCGCTGAACACCCTGATGCTGCCGCAATTTTCGAATCCGTTGGCTCTTTCGTTGACAAGAACCAAGCTGTCTTCAACACTCCAGAATGGCAAGGCTATAACGTCTTGCAGCGTGTTGCTTCTCGAACCGGAGCTTATGAAGTTGGCTTTACAACACCTTCACAGAAGGTCGCTGACACGAAACCTAAGATTGTTTGGTTACTTGGAGCGGACGAGATCTCCGACAAAGATATTCCCAAGGATGCATTTGTGATTTATCAAGGTCACCACGGCGAGACGGGAGCGCAATTAGCAGATGTGATCCTTCCCGGTGCCGCATACACCGAAAAATCGGGCACATATGTCAACACGGAAGGCCGAGTGCAACTCACCCGTTCCGCCGTCAGCTTGCCTGGCGCGGCGAGAACAGATTGGAAGATCATCCGCGCAACTTCGGAATTTTTGGGTGTTCCCCTTCCATACGATGACTTGGAAGTCCTGAGAGATCGGCTAGAGGAGATTTCGCCAGCGCTCCGGCGGTACGACACTGTCGAACCAAGTGCATTGACGAGCCTGTCGAAGGTACAGCTTGTTGACACTAACAAGGGAGCCAAAGCAACGAATGCCCCCATTGAGCTACCGATCAAGAATTTTTACATGACAGATGTCATCTCTAGAAGGTACGTAGCATATTGGATGACACTAGAGTCCGAAGACGAAATACTGACAAGATACATAGCTCTCCGACAATGGCTCGCTGTTCAGCCGCAAAGGAAACGGGCAACCCCGAAACAAATTTCCAAGCGCCTGGAGAACCGGATTCGCAAATTGAGTATGGCGGGACTATGGTCTAAAAAGGCCTTCAGTATCGGTCTTGCGTTTATTCAAGTAGAGTCTCGCAAGAGATGTATTTTTGCAGAAGAGTAACATCGTACCCGACGGGAATGCCAAGGAAGACCTTCGGCATCAAACACCATGTATAGGGGATTGAAGCAAACTGGCGTTCAGAGCGAAAAGGGAGACCACACATGAGTGTTGAAGGCTCCTTGATCGGTAGGCGATTGTACATATTTCATCAAATGAAAGAAAAGAGATAAAGCTTCGGTAACAAAACCTCCTTCCATCGGTAGCAGCTTATTTTTTGTGCTTCGGCGCGTTCTGCAATGCGAAGTATTGCAGTCCTTTTAGACCAGGGCACGAAGCTCTCCGACTCGAAATCCAAAAACGTTTCAGTGCTTGTAACTTGTGGTATTCCCATAGCCAGGCTGGTTGAGAGGTCATGCTGAGCTAATTGTGGAGGGGGTTGCGGCTGTGATGTGCCGAATCTACCACGAACATCATTCCGCTCATATTGCGCCATCAGCCTAGCATTTGATTCTTCGAGATCTTTTCTTTTCTTTTTTTGAGTCAAGGTACGGAGTACCCAGAGGTTTCGCTTGACCATCAGCCTGTGATATGAAGATTCGCCAAAGGTGCACTTTCAGACTCACGCTCACACAAGCGTCAATGAACCACGATGTCTATCCCCACGATTGACCTGAGCCAAGCGGAAGATGTATCAACCAGACCTCTGCTGCTAGATCAACTCCGCAATGCACTGCTCGAGGTCGGGTTTCTCTACCTGACCAATCATGGCATCGAAGCTTCTGTCATCCAGGAGCTGGTTGACTTGCTTCCAAGACTATTCGCACTTCCTGAGGCTGTCAAAGAATCTGCTGCGTTGGTGCATTCTCCCCATTTTCTAGGCTTCAGTAAGTTCGGCTCGGAGACGACCGCCAAAGCCCAGGACGAAAGGGAACAGTTTGAATTTGCGAATGAACTACGAGTAGAAGACAGCAATGGTGGGCCGCATGGGCTGCCACTGCACATGAGGCTGCAGGGGCCCAACCAGTGGTTGGACTCGGAAGAGCTTCCACAGCTCCGCAAGGTAGTGGAAGCTTATCTCAGCGCGCTTCAAGGTGTAGCTACGAGGTTTCTGGACGTGGTGACTGAGGCCCTCGGTCTGCCTGCGGGCACGCTGTCGGCCTTCACAAGGTCACAGGACCGCCTCAAACTTGTCCATTATAGACCGGCAGCGGATGCCACACTCAACGCACACTCCCAAGGAGTAGGCCCGCATAAGGACAGCAGCGGGTGGATAACATTACTGCTGCAGGCTTCCGACCCGTCGATCAAGGGGCTACAGGTCCTTTCCAAGGATGGACTGTGGCTTGATGCGCCCCCGGTGCCCGGAGCACTGGTGGTGAACGTGGGCCAAGCTTTGGAGGTCGTCACAAACGGGGTGTGCAAGGCTACGACTCATCGAGTTCTCCTGCCGCCTGGGAACTACGATCGCTACAGCGTGCCGTTCTTCCAGGGCGTGCGACCTGATTTGACAAAGGATGATCTGAAAGTTCTCTGGGAGCACTTCGATGCTGAGAAGTGGAAGACGAGGGAGTCAGAGGAGGGGCAGAGGATTGATAGTCCCTTTTTACGGGGCAAGTATGATACTTGGGGAGAGGCACAGTTGAGAACTAAGGTCCGCAGTCATAGGGATGTGGGGAAGAGGCATCATCCTGATGTGTTTGATAAGTACATCAACGATGAGTGACACGGATAGAGAAAGACCTCAAAACTGTTCAGTTCTATACGTATGAGCTTGAACTTGCGAAGAAGTGTGGCCCCTGATCCCGTTAAGCTGCGTGGACAGTTCAATGCGAAGTTATTTGTTTACTCGACCACGACATCCTTGCTGGTATCGAGTTCCTCGTATCTCCTCAAGTCCATCTTTCCACCTTCCAACAACGGAATGACATAAGGGTCGAATGTTTTCCAGTATGGGTTTTCGAGGTGGTACTTCTGGCTGCTTTCCTTTTCATAGCGCTCGACGATGGTAAAGTCGCGTGGGTCATGCACCGATTGCATGACGAACCATGAGACCGTCTCTTTGTCCTTGCTGTATGTTCGGGAAGCTTCGATCAGTTTGTTCTTGAGTTTTTGGAGCACGGCTGAATCGCCCGAGGCGGCTCTCATGTGGACGACCAGGGTGTAAACCATTTTATATGATGATTAGGAAATGTGATGCCTTTTTGAAGGACTGGGGCGATTTTGGTGGAAAGACGGCGGACGAGTATGCTACAGCGATAGCTGGATGCTAGATATTAGTTGTTATAATATACTTTTGAGGCTCGTCGTCTGTATTGACCTTTGACCAATTCCCCCGCTTGCCAGCTGGTGACTGGGTGGGGATGCCTCAAAGGAGCTGCCACTGGTGGTGGTTTGTCTCCAGCTGGGCCAATCCTTGCCTGAGAATCGACATCAATAATAACAATGTTCTTACCTACTCACCCAGTCGCTGAGTCACGGTGTTGATGATTTGAGATCACGGTCAGACATTGTCCCAGGTAGACATGAGAGGCACAGAGACTTCCAGCTGGAGAAACCACAGCAGTCACGTGACTGAATCTGCCAAGCCCTACAGCAGCAGTCCGTCTTAACCTGCCTCTGCGTCTGATCTGGTGAAAATCGGTCCTGGATCGGTGGCTAGTCTTCCTGGTAGATCCAGATTCGCATCTACCGTAGATAATCGCATCTTGGTGATGATCAGGCAGGGTAGCGAATCCAACTACCCGAGCCAGCGCCAGCGACCACCACCACCACCACCACCACCATCACGCCATCAGTAACTAACCCCAGAAAAGGATGAATCCGGCTGATCAAGCCGATGCTAGCCCGCCTAGGATCAACAAGCCCATCACGGGCTGAGTGAGCGTTGGATAAACGATGTTCCGGCAACTGGGGAGCCTCGAGCCAAGCACGTGCAGCCCAGGCACATGTTGGGTTCCTGGGATCCAATTCCATGGTTTCTCCTCCAATAAATTTCCCCGCCGTCATGATTGAGTGACGCGAGCCCGCAGTCAACGACCAGGATCCTAATCGTCCTTCTTTTCTGACTTGTCCTGACTGCTCGCTGCTCATTGTGACGGTTCTCTTATTCTTAATTGTTTTATACACCATGGTCGAGCATGGCTGAGCCCTCCATCATCCACAGCCGGCTCTGGACCCCATCATTCTAGGAGATGAAATTTGCCAAGTACCTTCTCCTCTTCCATGCTGCGCCGTTGATCGACTTAGCTAACGGTGTAATTCAGGGAGCTGGAGGACGATGCTGTCCCAGAATGGAGAGTAAAATACCTTAATTACAAGGCGGGCAAGAAGCGGATCAAAGCCATCTCTCGCGCCCTGAAGACCGTCAATCGCACCCCAGCAACGCCTGCCCGACCACCACTCCTGCCCGAAAACTCCTCCGAGCGCGTGCCCTTCACTCACTATGACTTCACCCGATCAACTCGCCCAAACACCGCTGGAACCATCCTATCTGTCCCAGAGGAAGAAGAAATTGCCCCCGAAGACTACCCTAAGTCTGGCCCCAATCGACGAGAAAGTCAGACACTGTTCGCCAGTTCCCCACCAATCATGATACCTGGTGCTCCCTTCAGCAATGAAACAAGTAGCAGAAATTCCCCAGATAGACAACCACTACAACATGCCAATAGCGACCCTGCGGCAAGTAGGCGACAGATGAACTATGGGAGCATTGTCGGAACCCCGCCCTCGGACGAAACACCTGGCAATTTTGATACGCTTGAACTCCCAGATCCTGCCTTGAGTCCGGCTGAGACTCGAAAGCAGAAAGAATCGGACCCGTCCCCTGCTATTGAGCCCCGGTTACCTGAAAGCGCCCAACCTATTCCTGGCCCTGTTCCCTCGTCTGACGCATATCATGTTGGCGAATCCAACCGTCCTCCAAAGTTAGGAAATAGTCTCTCACGCCGCATGTTTAACAAAAAGCTCGTCGGTAAAAGCTCCTCTGCTGCATATCCACCACATACATTTCCTCGCTCCCGATTGAGGAGACTTTTCTCCGCTCATGTTCTGGATTCACCCAAGGTGAATGACGTCCAACTCAGTGCTTATCGAGAATTGGACACCCGACAGGCCGAATTCTTCTCGTTCTTGGACGATGAACTAGACAAGATCGAGACCTTTTATAAACTCAAAGAGGAAGAGGCATCCGAACGTCTCCGTGTCCTTCGCAATCAATTGCACGAGATGAGGGATCGCAGGATCGCAGATATACAGCAAGCTAAGGGGCAGAGACATCCACCCGAGGAGGGCATTCTTGATGGGATTCTACCAGCCATAGCCCTGCCCAACGCCCCCCTCAAGGAGCATGCCCAACCAAATGGCAATGGCCACTTCATGAGACCCTTAAGTGATGCTTTAACCCGTGGTACTACAATCGGTAAAACCTCCAAGGCTATGATAGGTCAAAGTTCTCCACTAGGTCCTAATGCTCAGCAACGTATCAAAGACGCAAGGCAAGATTATGTCCGGCACAAGCACAGCAACGAAGTCCCGTACATATACGCCAAAAAGAGACTGAAGCTAGCTTTGCAAGAGTTCTACCGTGCTCTCGAGCTGCTGAAATCCTACGCTCTTCTGAACCGCACGGGATTCCGTAAAATCAATAAAAAATACGACAAGGCGGTACAAGCTCGACCTCCACTGGGTTACATGACAGAAAAGGTCAACACCGCTTACTTTGTGCAGAGCGACGTGGTAGACCATCATCTCACTGCTGTTGAAGATCTCTACTCAAGATATTTCGAGCGCGGCAATCACAAGATCGCTGTCAGGAAATTGCGATCCAAGTTGGGCCCTGGCGATCTGTCTTCCACCACCTTTCGTAATGGCTTGTACGTTGCAGCCGGGGCATGCTTTGGCATAGCAGGCCTTGTCGATGCCGCAAATCTACTATACAGTTCCGACCCGACACTGTCGGTCCAAACCAGCTATCTTTTGCAGCTGTACGGTGGCTACTTTCTTGCCTTACTCTTGTTCTTAATATTTGTCCTTGACTGTAGGATTTGGTCAAGAGCACATATCAATTATGTCTTTATTTTCGAGTACGATACACGCCACGTTCTTGATTGGCGACAATTAGCGGAACTACCGTGCTTTTTCTTGTTCTTAAACGGAATCTTCTTGTACCTTAATTTTCGTCAGAGCGGCCAAGGTTGGTTCTATCTCTATTGGCCAGTCGTTTTGATTGCCTTGACTTTGGTCATCATGGCATTTCCTTTCCGATACATCTACTACCAAGCTAGACGATGGTGGGGGTATTCGAATTGGCGCCTTCTCCTGGCAGGCTTGTACCCAGTCGAGTTCCGGGACTTCTACCTTGGCGACATGTATTGTTCACAGACATACGCCATGGGTCAGATCGAGCTCTTCTTCTGCTTGTACATCAACGACTGGACCAATCCGGGTCAATGCAATTCCAATCACTCACGCTTGTTGGGCTTCTTCGCCGCATTGCCTGCTGTCTGGCGTGCCTTGCAGTGTCTCCGCCGATATTACGACTCTCGGAATTGGTTCCCCCATCTGGCCAACTTCGCAAAGTACTGCTGCAATATCCTCTATTACATGACACTGTCTATCTACCGTATCGACAAGACGAACCAGAACAAAGCAGTCTTTATCTCTTTTGCGGCCATTAACGGGGTCTACTGTTCTTTCTGGGACGTCGCCATGGATTTCTCCCTCGGGAACCCTTGGGCCAAGCACCCATTTCTCCGTGACCACCTTGCTTACAAAACTATCTGGATCTATTACTTTGCCATGGTGGCGGATGTGGTGTTGAGACAGCAGTGGATCTTGTATGTTATCTTTACTTCTGACCTTCAACACTCTGCTTTGATGTCTTTCTTCGTCAGTCTGGCAGAGGTTCTGAGGCGAGGAATGTGGAGCCTCTTCCGTGTAGAGAACGAGCACTGCAATAACGTGGATAAATTCCGGGCTTCGAGAGATATCACTCTGCCCTACGAAATTACAGCCTCGCCCGAACTTCTACAGAAGTCAGCGCGCCGACGACAAGAAGAAGGCCAATCTACAGAGACGTCAGAGACCCTCACTGAAGACCACCCCCAGACTAGACCCGAGCTTCACCTCACCACAGGCGCCGACATCGAACGCGCAGAGACGACAACGTCATCTCTCCGCCAACGCAAAACACGAGACGCCCAAACCCCCGCCCCGCGAACGCCCGGGCTCCGTGCCCTTGCACGCGTCGGCACATTCATCGCCTCCGCGCACTCCCAGGACTTCGAGAAGCGTAGACGCCCAGAAGTCGACGGGGCCGACGGCCCCAGCTCGGAGTTGGGCATCGCGGCGATAGGTGGCAGTAGTGACGACGACGACGACGACGACGATGACGACGACGATATCCTCGGCCGCGAAGATGAGGAGAGGGAGTTGCAGAACCAGCGTAATGAAGAGGAGCTGGAGGAAGCTAATCGCTTGGTCCATCATGCTAGAGGCGGCGAGCGCTCTGGGGGATAGATAGTGGAATTGAGACAGTCACTGCAAGAAATATGCTCTCTACCTATTCACCCAAAAATAAAAAATAAATCAGAGACAAGTCATCTACTTAACGACTGGCATAGATGATTCGAAAAGGGCCAATTGCTGCTTACTTTGAAATCTCAGACCTTTCCCCAAACTTCTCTGCAGGTTCCTCAAACAATGAACTACCGTATGTCAGAATGAACTTGTGATATCTTCCTCTCTGGAATTAGTTTGAGTTTGAATGCGTGTGCTAACTAGCGTGTATGCGTGTACCTCTCCGTTTAGATGTCGCAGTGTCCGCCGACCTCTTCGTCTCGCGCTCGTCAAGTGAGAGCGATGTATAAATCAATCCTCGGCGACGAGCGTCTCCTGACTGTTCTTTCTACGCTTTCTTTTCCTGTATAGATAGAATCCAGCCAGACCATGCCATGGCCAATTAGCTCATTGCCGAGCGCGCAGCGTTCTTTATCCTCTCTTGCGTGATCACGTACTCGATCGGCACCGCGAAGTGGTCACTCTGGCTGGCGGAATCGCCCCTTTCCGTCAGGTCGACCTCTGTTCTCTGAACGGCCGCCCAGTCACCACCTTGCAGGCTCTCGAGCGCCAGTCTCGCGACATGGCGTCCGCTGAGCGGTGCATTCGGCATGCCGTGGCCGCTGTACCCTGCCGCAAGGAACAGACCTGGGTACTCCGGCACACCGCCAACCCACGGAAATCCATCTCTAGAGGAGCCTATTATCCCTGTCCAGGAAGCAAGGAGCTCGAGCTGGTATGGCGCAGCGCTGGTGGTGGTTGTGGTGGTGGTGGTGGTGGTGGTGGCCGCGCCGTTGCCAGGAGAAGTGGGTATAAGATTCAATCGGTCAGGTAAGCGACGCAGGTATTGTTCCACATCTGGATCGACGAAGCTGTCGTCACTGACGTGATCGCCATTTCCTTTCGCTGCCTGTCTCCCTCCACCATACATGAATTCCCCCCCACCTCCGCCATACGTAAGCGCTCCCCCCCCTGTGTGCTTCTCTCTGATGGGCTGCTGAACTAAGTAGTCGGACATTTCTCGATCCATACCGAGGATTCCGACAAAGCCGTAACTTTTGGGGATCAACTTCTTGGAGAAAGGGGAAGCCATCGGTGGTCTCTGGGCGGACATCTGTGCCTGTCGTGGAATGATGAGACTGCTGAACTCTGGGACGAGGTGGGAGGTGTAGCCATTAGTAGCTAGAATAACGTGGCGAGCGGAGATGAGGCCTCGGTCGGTGGTTATGAGATAGCCAGGACCGTGCGCGTTGCGAGAGAGTGATGTGACGGGGGTTGTAGTCTGGAGGTTCAGTCTCTTCGTGGCTTCATGCTTGTCCAGGAGGTCACGCCAAAGCCATGTCACAAGCTTGTAAGGGCTCAGACTTGCAGCGGTAGTCTGAACGATGGCGCCAACAGCACCTACGAGGTTCAGCTTCTCAAGCTCCGAGGCGTCCTCAACAATGCGGGCCTCTTTGGTGGTCTGCTCGGGAGCCAGGGCTGTGGCTTCCTTCAGGGCAGCCTTTGCTTCTTCGAAGTACGTCCTGTTCCAAAATCCTATGCAGCTGTTGAGTTCTCTGAAATCACAGGGAATACCGGCTGCCTTGATCAACCCCTCGACATGATGCCAATTGCGCAGTTCCCAGGCAATGATCCCAGGGCGCTGTTCATGTATGATTGGAACTAGATGACCCCCATTTCTGCTAGTTGCCCCTGAGCAGAGGTTTCGTGCTTCTAAGACGAGTACGTCAATGTCGGGTCGTCGGGAGAGGATCTCATGCGCGGCAAATACACCAGTAATTCCGGTGCCGACGATCAACACCGTCGCCTTCGAAGGTAACGAGGATGATGAACGGTGCTCCGCGATGGGACTTGGATGGGATGTTTGCCAGTATGATTTGGTCGGGTTGAGAGATGGCAGATCAGATTGACCGGTTGAGATAATCTGATTGCCAATGTCTCCCATGATGAACCCCGATGAAGTCGTGCTCGAAGGATTGCAATTTCCGTGTTGAACTTTGTTCTTGACACCGGTGGTCCAAGGAAGAGAGAGGGAAATTGTGTGGGAAGTTAGTGGCTTACCGGAAGTACCTCTTGAGGTAGAAAATTATGTATATGTACCGGTTCTGTCAGCCTCGTCGAAATGTTCTATTGCGGTTGCAATTGATAACACTAGTCCATTCTCTGTTGGAAACAACCGTACTATTCGTCGAGTGACGAGCGATCAGCAGGCGTTCAACAGCGAACGAAAAGCTCTACTCCAAACTTCGAAAGGAGATGCGCGACGTGGTTTAAAGTATATACGCCAATACGCGCAGGCTTACGCCACAACTGAGCCACTTATCCCCTCTTCATACACCGAACTTCCAAACGTACCAGCGAGACATGTTATTGATATCTGACGGTAGCCTACCATTGCTGACATTGCAGCTCCGGAAAGAGGACAGATAATCTACCTAGCAAGGCAGGGAGCCTCTGAGGCCAGGAGCTTGTCAAGCAACTAACAAGCCTGCAAGAAGCAAAAACTCGGCGTGATTCAGGAGTTGCCAACCTGAGCCAGTAAGTCGCCTCGGAATTGAATGATATCTCGTTCAGGAGAAGGGCTGTTGGCCTTGATGAAGCAGATTGTGCAGTCGAAAGGCTTGACTGCTTGCCATTCATCGTTCGGTCAACCGTTACCTCATGCCTGGCATTCCAGCGCGCTCAGGGTCTGGCGGTAAATCAGAGGCCTCGCAGTGACGACTTCACTCTTGAGAATGCTTCCCAGATGATCCAAGGGCAACCTATCAAGGCTTCTTAGTCAAGGCCCCTGGCATAGCACTGTGGCATTGTTCGAATGCTACGACGACAACCAAAAAAGGCCTCCGTTCCACAGGTTCCCATAGCGTTCTCTCCCATGCGTCGCTGACTGCTACATTTTCATGTGGCATTACATATCCCAGGGTTCGAGAGTGATAGACCAAGAAAGTCTTCCACTCTCAGCATCACATATCATGGAGCACAGCAATTGACCCAGGAAACATGAGACAGGAAATATGAGTCTCCCCTTTCAAGACCCTCATATCGCCAACCGGCACTCAGTGCTGAAAGCCACTCATCCGGCCGCATCATTACAGTTATATATGAGACAACAGCGACTCACAGTCCCACAGGACCCTCAACTAAGATCATGACATGGAAAGAAACAACACGCAGAGCACCTGGACAACCGCTTCGCCAGGAGTATAAATACCTGGTCCATCTCTGTCCCAAGTCGATCTTTCCTTTCTTCATACCACTTCGACCCTCAATTCCTCAGCAACATTCCAATCTTCCATCCAGGTATCTCGCAAGACCGAAATCTCCAAGCTATCAAAGCTTTGAATTACCAATCCTCCCCCTCCCTCAAAAATGGCAAAACCAACCATGACCATTCCAATTCTCGCCAACAACTCCCACGGCAAGAAGGACCCATCACCATCTCCACCTCCTCCTCCACCACCACCAAAGCCCGAGCCATTGCCCGGCGTCAGCTAAAGAGCGGTTGACCTCGATGCTCCCCAACCCACCGTCGTTTTTCGGATCGCAGAGGGAGCCGCGGCACCTAACACGGGTAGCCAGCCGATGAGAAGCCTCCCAGTTCAGTTCAGTTCCAGTTCCAGTTCAGCTCGCTCGCTCGCTCTCCAACTGGCTACTACTATGCGAGACCTCAAGCGCATGGAGGATATTGGGCGAGTCCGGCCGAAAGCCATTGGCGCGAAGCCAATCGATGGCTTTGGTATATGTATCACTCTTGTATCAGCCCACGAACCAATCACAAGCACCCCCCCCCCCCCCCCCCCCCAACATCTCTCGGAGGAGACTCACCACAGCACGACACACACTTTTCTCAACCGCTGGGTACTTGAAGCCCAGGGAAAGGGAGAGGGAGAGGAAAGGAAGGGATGGGAAGGGACGGTGCTCTTCAACCCGACTATTGCACACCACAGGGATTGATTGAACGGGAGGGTCTGAGGCAGGCCTGTCACTCTGCATGCCTGGTTAGTTATCTACTACATCCACATGCTAATTCCCATCAAACAATTTGGATTTTTTTCCCCCGGACGTGTTATTATGTGACGTTGATCTTCGCTTCTATTCCCGATTTAACAATGCGGGAATTCAGAAGTGAAATAAGGATAAGAGCCCACCTATTTCGATCCGGTCCGTGGAAAATGACGAACCGCAGCGCCCCAGCTCGTCTACATAGAACATACATAGATGATACATGGTATCTTCTGGCACAAGAGTGTTTCATTAAATGACTGTGTTTAGGTATGTAGGAGGTTGGATTTTATATCTAACATGATGTAGCGCGTGTCACGCCAAGGTCGAGACTCCTATAACTCTGCCAGCCAGCTGCGACTGGGATTGCATCTGACTGTGCTCGCTCGACATGATTCCCCTACACATCGTCAAGTTGCATAGAATCGTTTTTCGTCAATGACTATGCACTGTTGAGGAGAAGAGTTGAAGGTCTAGGGTTCTGTGGCCTCTTCGGATACAACGCTGTATGTGTATGATTTCTTACGGGGAGGACTTCAGGCACGATCGTGAACCATGAGATCAAGAGTTACAGAATACCTCTCATATCTCTAAGGCTTCAAATCATATGAGAACCCATTTCTTCTCCGTCCCTTGGCGAACGGCAATGCTGGATAGAGTGTCCTTGATGGCGTCTTTCGAGCACTTAGGGAATTGATTCTTCAAAACCTCAATCAATCCCACTTTCGATAGCGTGCTGTCCACCACTGCAGATTTGAATGCTGGTAGTAGATCTGCTGGGATCATCTTGACAGGTTTGCCAGATGTGGTCTGGTTGCCTTTTGATATTGCCGTAACTTGTTTGTCGCCATTCTGATCTTGCAGGATGGGAAAGCCTAGGGTGTTCTTGCTAGGGCCTAGACCGCCCGCATTGCCATCCACTGCCATGAGTGGTAGGCGTGGAGGCTGCATTCCAGCCGGGCTCGCTTGTGACTTCAGAGCCTTCTTCTTTGGACTAGGTTTGCCAATGTCTGACCAGTGCTGGCTTGAGAAAGGATCTATAGGCAGTGTGGTGGCATCGTGGAGAACATCCATTCGATATGAAGACAACTCGCACCCAGCTCGTGAATCTGTATCTTCCCAACAAAGTCCAGTTGATTTGGGTTCCATATTACCCACAATCAATTGCCGCTTAATGGGTTCGCCATCGTCGTCAACAAAGTCGTCCATTTCCTCTTCTCCAGCATCGTCTTCGGACAATTCATCTTCATCCATCAAGTCGTCATCCCCTTCTTCCGGCTCTTGCCACTCCGCCTCACTGTCATAGTCGTAATTGGTGTCAGGCAGACCTCGGTGAGTTGGATTACAGGCAATCTTTCTGGTAGATCGTGGAGAGACAGCTCTAGTGTAAGTACCTTGATACGCTGGACGGACATCGGTGTGGAAGAATAGGCATTTGTAAGAGACCCTATCAAGGTCTTGCGGACATGCACGTGGGTTTGTTGACTCCTTGGTAGGGACTTCTAAGGTCTCAATAAGTTCCTTGACCGGCCTGCTTTTCCGGGCTCTCTGCAGCCGTCGAAATCGACCACTGACTTTCTCTGGGGAAATGTTTTGATTCAAGGGCAACTCCTGCTGATCGAAAACGCTCGATTTGGAATGGAATCGGTTGATTGGTGCTAGTTCGGTATGCTCATTAACGAAGAAGGGCAGAATCCACTGGTTGTATTCGTGGTTTCGAGCTTTCGCTGGACTTCTGGTTTCAACCAGAGACGGAGCCACGTCGGTGGAGGCAATTGAAGATCTTCTACTGGAAGCTCCGATTGACACATCGTCGGGGGTCGTTGGTGGTGTTGAAGCCAGGGCAGGGCGACCGAAGAATGCACCAATGCGTAGTTGTGCCTAAAAGATATCAATCAGCAAGACACCAAACCTTTGAGGATGCTGTAGCCTTACCCTCTCTTTCTTCAGAGTCTCAGCTTCCTTCCGCTTCTTCTCAGCGTCTTTCTCTTGCTGAGCAGTCTCTTTGGCCTTCTGCTTATCAGCCTTGACAGCATCCTTGGCTTTTCGGGCAGCTTCCTTCTCCTCTTCCTTCCGTTTCTTCTCCTCGTCTTTCTTCGCTTTCATCTCCGCCTTCTGCCTCTCTTTCTCTTCCTTTTCTGATTTCTTGACAGCTTTCTCCACCTCCCGCTCCGCGAACGTGAGCTTGCGCTTCTTTGATTCAGGAGCCATATCGTGACTTTTCTGCGGGCTCACCGAAGGTGTAGGACCAAGCTCGGTAAGTGGAGTACTGTCGGTGCTCAAAGTTGGTGAAACGGCACGAGAGAACGTCTCACTACTCTGGTCATGGTGGTCGAGAGGAGGAGTCAGTGAATTGGCGTGTGATATGAGTTCTCCGTCGTAGTTCCTCTTCTTGGAAGCAGGAGTGAGTTGCTCAGCCAATATGGAAGGAACCACCAATGTGGCGGGCAAAGGATCGTCCATGATTGATGATCATAAAGTCGTAGGAAAACAGGATCTGATCGAAATATAATGCTACAAACGTGTTGTTACAAAGTCACTGCCAACATCAGAAGCACGTCTGATGCGCTGCTGTCAACGAGGCAACGCCGTGTAGGCAGTCCCAGTCAAAAAGCTAACGAGTCAATGGCGGAGAGGAAGGTCAGCGCGTGACGCGTGGGCAGAACGCGCTGTCTTGGCGTTAATTTCGCGTCATGGCACCATGGTCCACCGTAAGCTAAACCTCGAGTCCTCCTTCACTTGTGGGAAGGGGGTGAGATTCAGAGGTAAACAAATAGAGAGCTAGCCCGCCTGAATATATCAGCGTTTATGTAGTACATCAATATTACATATATCTAATTTAACATCAAGCGTAGATTGTACCACGCTGCGGTGGCCGCAGATACTCCGGTGGTGCAATGGCGAGATACCTTGGCCCCTGATCTCCAGGTACCGAATTTTGAAAGCCATCTCTACCAGAGAGACTGTTTTCCGACTGATCAGCGACCTCACCCAGCCTAATTTCTACATCTTGCAGAATCTTGGCTCTGACAAGTCCGTCGAGGGTGCTTCCACCGGTTGCAGAACTAAAGAATCGCGAGTCCCGCGTCAGCGTTGAACAGTAGCTCAAGATGTCTGGTATGGTGGTGTTGAAAGCACAATAAATACTGAGCAAGGCGGCGGTGAACATGACCGCTATTCCGATGCAGTAAACTGCCAACCAAGCCCAAGAGCAAATATAGACTGGGCGTCCTTCTCTATAGAAAACCGTGGTGTTTTGGTAGTCTAAAGAGTATTGCATGGTGTCAGCTGATATCTGGCTCCCAAGCGCCCAACTGTTAAGAAGCTGTCCAAGGCGTTGCGAAAATTCTTCAGCAGTGACATTGGTATAATCGGCGTAGTATCTTCCATTGCCGCTCAGGATGAATGAAGCACTTGTATTCTGGAGATAGTATTCACTCAAGGAAGAGTAGCCGCTACTCGTGAGGGGATCGGTGGCCAAGATCCAAGCACTGGACATTGAACTAAAGGTTGACGCAAAACTGAAGATTGTGACTGTAGACGGAGCGTGTCTCTTGGGTGACACCCGCTGGGATGTTACAGCGCAGTTTGGAAGCTCTACATCCGCGATGGAATAGCAGCTGACATTTGACTCAACGTATTCTTGACTGATCTTGCACCGAGACTCCCAGGGTCCGTGTGGTGTTTGCCAAAGCATCGTGCCTTGTGGGATATCGGCATCCGAGCTGTTGGCCAGGAGTTCAGGATATCCCCAGAAGTAAGCATTGCTTACATACTGGTCCATGGCGACCTGCCAGGATGGATAGATGCCGCTATCAACGGCTCCCACTGTGGTATTTGGCCCCGAGAAGGTACCATTAATACCGGCCGTCACATTGAAGGAGATGTCGACTAAAGTCCCGTTCTTCGGTTTCTCGCAATCTAGGTTCACATAGCTCGTTTCAATGACAAAGCTGGAGTTGCGATTGGCTAGTGGAGCAACACGAACACCTACAAGCGAGGAGTAGGAGCCTTCGGTAAGGTTGACCTTCGACAGATCTTGCCATCCGTTTTCGTCCTTTTCAACATCAGTTCTGAGCCATGGAATTCGAGGATTTCCATAAAGATCCATTGAGCTAGCTTTCAAACTCGAAGGGCCAAGCACACAGCTGACATAGCTGGGCTTGAGCGAAGTGAGGAGAGAAGAAACGCCGGAAACGGAGTCGAAAAGATTGTTCGATATCGTGTCAACATGGCTAACCAAAGAAGAATCTTCTGTGAACAGCGTTCCTGTGCTGATCAGCCTCAAGGATGCCTGGGACCCGAGGGGAGAAAACGCCCAAGCGAAGAACAGGATGAAAGCTGTAAGATTCAGCGCCCTGAATGAGACCATGGTGGTAAGGGCAGCGAAAACCGTTCGGCTCTGCATGATTTGCTCTAGAAGGCCCAGGCGAATCCCATTCTGCAAGCGCCATGTCGCCAGTCGCTTCAAAGTCGAACCCAAGACCGCAGCAAATAGAATGGTGAACAACGTTGAAGCGGTTGCAGTAGATTGCTTGATGAAGTTCGACCTCGATTCCGTCACCCCCTCATGATGGTACTTTGACATGGCAACAGCAAGCCATAAAAAGGGCACCGTGACAAGCACAGCGAAGGCGCAAACCACAATCTCAAGCAGTAAGTCTGCGCCAAATTTCCCTATGCGCCCTGGGGCCAGTTCCTTTGACCTTGGCTGAAATCGATCTTCGGCGAATTCCTGGATCTGCTGTGGGATATGCTGCGAGTAGCGGACATGGTCGGGTGGTCCAGCGCCATGGATGGGATTGTAACCGCCAGCGGAAGATCGCTTACGGTGAAGAGAGTCTAATGGCGCGCGAGAAGGCAGGCTTTGGTGTGAGAGACCCTCATACTGGTAAGGATCGGAAATGGGTTGTGCGTAAGGACTGGTGAGCTCGATTGGGTCTTGCTTGTAAGACATGTGTAGACACCAACAATGGCGGACAGCATTGACGAGGCCCAAGGTATTTTGAGTCTCTCTTAACCAACAAACCCAAAAATAGCGTCTCCGGTTTTTTAAATGAACGGGATTAAAAGAGAGTCGTGCAGGGAACAAAAGGAAAATCTAGAGAAATGAGGAGGAACCCAGTGGTAGTAGGACAATCGCTCTATCTTAGGCCAGCGAACACAGCCCTTAGGCTTCGAATGAAAGGAAAGCTCCTGGTTCTGGTAGCAAGGTTTCCCTCGACGGAACCAGAAACGACTGATCGCCTGACGGGGGGCGTATGTCTGTGTGCAAGTCATTGTTAGTTACTTAATCGCTATTATTTAGTCGGTGGGACGTCGCGTTGGTTGAAACCGGGCCTGGTGGAGAACGAACCACCTTTGGGCCGCCACAGGACGAGGGATTTTAGTACGATGACATACCGGAGTACCGAGTAACGGGTGTCCAATACCCATCAACAAGCAGTGCCCTTGATGACGGGTGTTACGTTGCACAAGGAGTAACATTTTAAGCCCTGAACTCTGAAATTATCAGGCTATCCAGGGGTGTCAAATCGCCCAAGGCCCCTTAGACCCTGCTAACTTTAGGTACCCGAGGCATTGACTTTTAACCTTAAACATAGGGAGGAATCGCGGTACAGAGTAACCAGACAAGCATTGCGGCTAACAAAAATAGCTGCCCGCCCCTAACCAAGTACCAAACAAGTTGCCCGGTAAGCGCAAACGAATTTCCCACAGCCCATTGCCTACGAGGCAGAACTTCATAAGATGCACTACTGTAAGTCTGGGCTAGTATTAGCCCGCCTCATTTGGCTGTCATCCACCAAAGCCTTGCTGATTAACCTGCTGCATTCTATACGCCTCAATGGCACTACGGAGTACAAGTTATGTTTATGTTAACCCAGGTGAGACGGCCCGTGTAAGACCCAAGCGGCCAATGAATAAGCGCCCGTAAAAGCCAAAAGAAACGAGAAGCGAGTGGCACTTCCGCCTGATACAAGAATCGTGTTGCCAGTCCTTTTGTTGTATTGATCATATTGATGATACCTATACGTATCATTCTTCCTGGAAGCCCGCAAACATTGAAATATTCCAAACTGGCGCTGAATATAGAGATCTTTCCCCAAAGGACCGCTCCAGAGGACAATCGCATAACCGTTCCATTCCTAGGCATCAAAACTTCTTATATTGACAGTGCGAGAGTAACAGATGCTAGTCCCACGCCTGATCCCACCACAGCCATCCGAGAATGTATCCTCAACTCCGTGCGTTCATACCCAACCAGGACACAAACAGCCCTCCGTCCGACAGCTTCTTGTTAACTCATGCACTGCCTATTGCTCATCCTTACATCGTGCTCACATCGTCCCATAACCCTGGTGCCCACCAGCCTGGACACGATCAGAGTAGACGCCGGGTGCGACCTGTCCTGTCAACTGGCCAGTGCGAGCGCGCTCGCGGCGGTCAAAGTAGACGTATTCGACGTAGAAGGCGTGGATATGGCCGGGAATGTACCCGAGCACTGTCAATGCGATGTTGATGAACAGGTCTGCTCCGCAGCCGGCAACGAGGAACACACCGACGGGTGGGACTGCAGGCAGAGAAGTAGATCACTGGTCAGCGCAAACAGGATCTCGTATAGGTAGGTTAGAGGCTGGGGAGGTACGTGGTGGGAAGCTCATAGGTGCTTGTCCGCAGCTGGGTGGCGCTGGTACTGGTGCTTGCAGTCGCTGCGACTGCGACTGCGGTGAGGGTTTCATGGAGGCACTTACGCAAGATGGTGATTAGGACGATAAGAAGTGCGGGCGCTGCGTCCGACATATTATAGATGGGGTTGTGCTTATCGATAGATTGTTTCTGTCGAGTTTTTGTATATAGAAGATGAGCGGCTAGGTTAAAGTGGCTGTTTTGCGAAGGTACGAGCCTGATGAGCAGGCAGACAAGAGAACGAGGTGCGCCTACATTCAATTGATAGAGGTTTCAGGTTGCCGCTTGCCAAGCTTCAACGCTGGTGATGTCATATGATATGGCGCAGAGTGTGGCTGTGCAATATCAGCGCCACATGTCGAGAACGATTGTGTCTCAATTCATGCCTGGTCGTGCCCAACCATGTGATAAAATCAACACCATTCAAGGCACTAAGTTTTTGCACCGAACATGGGGATTGGGAGTATTGCGATAGTTATATCAAGTGTTCACTAGGACACTGATGGCCACTGAGGGGCCCAAATTCCACTCCCTAATGTGACAAAGTATTGGTCTCTTCCACTGACTGGGATGACCACATTTAAATAGATATACAACATAAAGAATCAACAATGGGATTCACAACAAACGGACCGAAAACCGAAGAAATAAACCCCACATCAAATGATCATGCCTTAGGCCAGAAGCTCACTCACACCTCTTCTGGGTATCTGGTCCAGGAGGCTCATCAGGTCATTATCCCCCTCCCTTGTGGTATAGTCCCGTACCGAGAGCCCAGTCAAGTTATCCTGAATGGTCGGGTCAGCTCCGGCCTCTAGAAGGAGTTGCACCGTCTTCAATCGCCCGACAATGCGCCTCTCTCGTTCAAGCTTATCGCTGATATCGGTTTTCACGATTGCATGCATCAGTGCGGTTTTTCCAAACCGATCCCGGGAATCGAGATCCGTCGTGATTTCAAGGAGTATTTCAACCAATTGAAAGTCGCATCTCCGTGCGGCATCGTGCATGAGGCAGCTGCCATACCATGTCTGCGGAAACGTGGTCGGGAGAGGGTATGCCAGTAATTGTTTCACAATATTGTAGTGCCCTTTTCGACACGCGACCATCAACGGAGTCATTCCGTCACTATCTCTGACGTCTGTCCGTATGCCAGGTGTTGCGAGCAGTAACCTGGTTATAGTTGGGTAACCCCGTTCCACTGCCTGCTGCAAGGGGGTAAAGGCACCTCGTGGACTGCTAGCGGTATACCCTGGGAGAAATGCCACCGCGTTGACATCAACTCCCTGCTTGATCAATAGATTCACCTCCTCCGCATGCTCCTCTTTCAGATCGCAGAAGAAATGGATGGGGCCGTACCCTCGCCCAGTGCTTGCTAGACCGCCTCCCACGCCTTTACGGAGGTTTCTTTCGATCTCGGGCCTCCGAACGATCATAACATGTGATTGATAAGTGTCCAGAAATGCCATGGCTACTTTCACGGCCTTGTCGTATTTTCTCTCGAGGCAAAGCTGGGAGACTGCAAGGAAGGTCGGTTCAATGGATCTACTCGAACTCAACCTTTCCAATCTTGCGATAGAAGAGGGTGTTACTGAGTCATCATCATTGATCGACAGACTTATATCATGGGTGGATGATTCTGAAGGGGAGCTGAGACCTCGAATGACATCAGTGCGGCCACCAAATGGATCGACCTCCAAGGGGTCATTCAAAGTCGTTGACCGGGATATGGACAGTCGATGGAGATCTGTGAGGGGTGGCGATTGTGCTAAACTCGACTGCGATGACCTGCCAAAGTTTCGAAGCTTGTGTGCAAAACTTGATCTGCTGTTACGGTGGTTACGGTGGGATGGAATGGCTTCTGATGAAGCGGCCACTGGTATTGAGCGTGGGGTTTCGTCTGGAATCACGATTTGGACCGGGCTGGTAACAGAATGTGTCTTTTCGGGAGGGGACAGAAAGACTTCATAACCTTCAGCTTCCTCCTCATCACCTTGAGCCCTGTAAACATCTATTACCAACTGGACTGATTCGATCGTTTTCTGATCGGTTGGACCAAGCTCTCTTCTGCGGTCGGTAAATGCCTTCAATGCGTGCTCCTCAGCAGAGTCATAATCCGTTTTTAGCAAAAAGACCTGCGCAAGCATATGACTTGCAGCTAGTGCTTGCAGCCTATCTGGAGCTCTGGAGGATAAGTTTCGAGAATCATTGGATGGATGACTCTTGGACAGAGTCGTGAAAACATTATCACTCATATCTGCCACTGGTTCGAGCAGACTGACAGCGTCGTCAAGTTTGTCCTGCTTAAGACATGTTTCTGCCAGCATTAACACCACTTCAGCTGCCTGAAAGGATATTCTTCCTTCAAAGTCATGGTTCTCCATGAGTGCAAGAGCTTTGCGAAAGTGGGTCTCAGCTCCGGAATGGTTGTTCTGCTCGACTCTTTCCTGGCCCAGTTTGAGGTGCCTCTTCGTTCGCAGAAACTCGACTTCCAAATCATTTTCACCAACCACCGTGTTGGGCAGGTCAATTAAGGGTGGAACAGCATGGCGCTTTCTCCTGTTCGCGAACTCTTTGGTGGTGGACGGTGGAGGGATCCAGTCCGCGACTCTCGCCCTGTGGTCACCAGGTAAGGGATTGTCCGGTACCGATGGCCGCCGACCTTGGAGCAGCGCATCTGGTTCAACGGGCTGGGACACTGTGCTAAGGGATGATCTAGTGCTGGCAGCAGCAGACGCAGTTGACAGAAACCTTTTGGCGAACGCAATATATGTGTCCATACCCTCCTTCTCACTCAAGGTCCCTGATTCGTCAGCGACGATAGTGGAACCACCTAGAGTCTGAGAGCGAGCAGACAGAGCTAGAGATTGAACAAGTTGCCGCATTGTCCTTTCGAGTGACACAAGCTTACTGTCTAGGGCAACTTGGCTTTCGACGGTCATACCTCTCTGTTCAAGTTGGAGCATGACGCAGACCATTTGAATGGGGAGGGATAGGGCTGTGTTGAAGAATTGGATGCGTTGACGAAGGCGCGAGAGCTCACCGGATGCCAGCGATTCCTGGAGCTGGGTTTTGATGCGACGACCAAACCCTGAAGTGCGAGCTATATTGGTCAGAACCTCATTGACCCTTTTCATTGTCCGGCTGGAGTCATTAAGAGCTTCCTTGATCTGTGCCCAGAGATGGGCACCGTCGGAAGTCTGATTCGCTACGCGAGCAGCCTCGGCCATCAATGGTGAGCGCAAACTCCGTTCAAGCCCTTCGTAGGTAGCTTGAAGCGCCGCGACCTCATCGCAGAAAGAGGATATGCGAGCATCCACAGATCGGACGTCTCCGACCCATTTGATGATGGTGACGGTACATTGTGCGCAAGCGCCAGCTATTTGGAGGGCGCCAGCGGTTAAAGAAAAAGGATCCATCAAGGGAAGCTTTTGAGGGTTGCCATGGAACGGGGAATAGCGCTCTGTGCAGGGCTATTGAAACCACGTTGAATGGCGTTGGAATGTATGGATTATTTTTTCATGTGAAGGTCCAAAACGAGGTTCAAAGAAACGGTGAACGCAGGCGCCCACCTATGTAGAAATGGGGAGGGCAACTGACAACTGTGTGTGACTCAGTTGCTGGCATTGATGCAAGTTCTCCGCAGCCTTTTGAGCCTCACTTTACGTTTTGGCCGTGGCAGTGCAACGCACATGAACGGGTTCTTGATAGGAGACCCGAACTGGCCTACCTGTAATAGGTAGGGATGCGTTCAGAGGCAAGCCGCGTGATTGGGGCCATCTGCACTTTCGCTCTGGGGGCCAAATGATAGCCAGACCACGTGCTCGTCGGAAGATACCTGGAGTCACGCGGTAAGTCTCCCCGGCTTGCGAGGATGCCTAGAAGCCTCGGATTTGCTTCGTACTGTAGACCAGCTCCGAGCCTACAACAATTAAATGAGGCTTTGATCTGCAGGGGCTGCCCACAGTGAGTGTTGTTGGTTTTGCAAGGTCTGGCGGGTGTGAAGGTAGAGTATGATGATGCCTATGTAGACACCTATATGCATGGACCGAGAACTGACATAATAAAGATAGTACTCCGTGATCAGAAGGGCATTACCTGCACTGAGTAGCTGGGTATGTAAGTCTGCACATCGGTGCGAGGTCCTGCCTTGGTACGGTTCTCTGATTTAGGGATCCCTGCTACGAGGTACGGAGTAAGGAGCTGTACGCGGGATGCTTGAACCAGGGAAGAGAAGAAAGTCTGAAGAGCACCAAGAAGCAAGCAGGGACGATAATGGTGTCCGAACTAATGGGTCGTCTTGCATTTGTCAGTGTGCACCATGGGCTTCCCCCCCCGTAAGCGAGGCAGACAGCCCTGGTGGGCTGCTGCAAAGCAAAAGCCTCCCGGCGCTGCGATCACTCTTGGGGGGCCGGGTAGAGGGGCCCTCGGGGGTGGCTGTTGCGCGTGGAAGGGTTGATGGAATGTTCCACAACCCCACCATCTGGTCACCTACCTAACTGGGTAGGTGCCCCGTAGTCGACAACTGCCCTTGTACATACCCGTACCCGTACCCGTACCCGTACGAGTAGACCACTTACTTACCATACACTCCCTGAAACTGCGTGATGAACAGCTCGAGGTATCTACCCGTAGGGACGGAGTACTCGAGGTCACCTTCGGGATAGTACGGAGACCACAATATGAGTACCAGATTATCCACATTGATCTTTTGCTCCACTATGCGCGTTGTTCGCTTGGCTTGCGCACAGAACTCTTTGCGTCCCTGCCGCTTAGAGAAGCACCCCACATCACCAATCACATGTTGCACCCAAATTGTCAACCTCTATTATGTAGAAACCGAAATATTACGGCTCTGGGTTGGCTTCCTTCCCCTACATCCTGGTTACTTCTGATCTTCGATCCATTCAAACTGACAGCGCCTCCCTACCCAGATGGTAGGTACCATCGCATGGGCCATTAGTTTCATATCGTGACCATCTTTGGTATCTCGTCATTCATCATCATTTCGTCCAGCTAAACACTGTCGTAGTTTCGTACTCAATATCCAGCGCCCTGCCTAGGTAATCAACCAAAAAATCAATGATCCATATCATTGCCCGTCAGTAAGCCGCCGTAGCACATTACGCCTTCAGATATATGGCTTCGCCGGAGGATATTACCCACCAAAGCGCCGGTGTCGTTCTGCGTCCGCTCGTCTAGCGTTGAGACTGCGATCCATCATCTCTCCTGGTCAGCACGCTCATTCCGATCTAGGGTCCAGCTGGAAAGGCCAGGCATGGCTGTCGCTTTGAGAACGCTCCATTTCAGTCTCTCCATAATGCTGCCTGGGAGATTGTGCTGGTGGCGACTGAAAGGGGAACGTGGGCGCATTAAAAAACGGATTTGGAGCTGAATTCAAGAATGGTGTCAACTGGTCCCACACTGGGAGCTGCGTGCTGTAAGGAATGCCGTGGGTTTGATAAACTGGTAAAATGGTAGCATCACCAATAGTTGGCTCCCCTGGGGGAGGGTGTGTCCGAAAGCGCGAGGCAAACGGTCGGTTGTTGTTGACACGCATCGGTAGAGTATGACCCTGGTCATTCTGTCCGCCTTCCGTCCATAGCAACTGAGAATCATGCTGTTGCCGATTCTGCTTCTGCTGTGAGTTGACATGGTTGTGGTGGTCATTGAGGCGAAAGCTTCTAGCCTGACAGATGCAAGCAACGCCATCAGCTAGCCTGTCGATGTCAAGATCGATCAAATGCGATTGTCTTGCGATCAGTACCTACGTTTCATAAGCACCCTATTTTCGAATTTGGATGAAGGAAACTTACTCTCAGCGCATCTAGATATCTTGGCGACCCTGTATCTAGGCAAGAAGTGGCATGGAGAAGTCGAATGCCGCGCTCTGCTTCCTTTCGGATTGCCATGTACTCTCTGTTACCGTGTTGAGTAACAAGAAAGTAGATTAGCGTAACGATTGACAGAAAGACTATGTATATGGACTGCCATGAAGCTGGAGCGAGAAGCCCCTGTGAGAGAAATTCCTCCGATCGGATCACCGTGAATCGCGAAATCTTGACGCATGACGTTGCACACTGCAGGAGACGAGCATCCAGGGGACTCTCATTCTTGGTTTTCGTCAAATAGTGCAGGAATGGGCGATAAAGAAAGGTATGCCCGTAGTTGTGAACCATCTCCAGTTCGTAGATTATGCTTTTTGACTCTTAGAACGATCCTTAAGCTCGCTTCAACGGAACTTACCTGCTGTGTGTATCTGATCCCTCAGATGGCCCTAAAGCATCTGCAAGTCCTTCTCGCCAGGTTTTGAATTCTTCCTTGATTTCGTCGATTGTGGCATGACTGACGGCTAAATTCTTGGACAGGTTACTTTTGTCCGCCTCCTCGTCGGTTTTGGGAAAGAACATTTTCACCACTTTCCGCAAAATCATGAGGAGCTCAAGATACTGAGCAGAAGCAGCAAATATACGTCGACTCGTGATCGAAACAAACCCTCCAATTTCTTCTTTTGAATAGTCGCGGCAGAGGCCGCTTGGTTTGATTTGATCAACGTACGTCAGATCAATCAACACGGGCAACCCTAGTTCGATACTGCTATAGATGTCAAGCTTGACAACGGTCCAGAATGCTCGTATCCTGACCTGTTTAGAAAGCGGTGTCAAGCCGCTACAAGATGTCTGTGAATGCAGGCCCATTCGCATGCAAGTTGACACCGCCAGGGCGATCAGCGTTTGTGCCGTCGCAAGCCTAGAGGTTGAGATTGAGAATAAGGCAAGGCATATTAGAGCCTGTAGTCCCAATATCCCCCGATCTCGGTCGAGTTCGAGCAACCGGCGTGCACATATGAAATGGCACATGCTAGGGAAGTGATTAGTCCAAGGAAATCTGAAGAGCTCGGGCTCACCTACGCCTGATGGAGAGCTCCCTTACAACCGTAATTTTGATGCATTTTCTGACTGAACAGATAGCCAAGAGCCATCACCGAATGGAATAGAGGCAGGAAGTCGTGCTCCAATTCTTCAAAGTTTATCAGATCAAGGTCGTAAATGCGGTCTACTTGTTGTCGAAAAGTAGGCTCGTGCATGAACTGAAGCAAGAGAAACACATCCCCAAAGTAAGTTTCCAGCAACTCTAAAGCGGTTCGCCGTGAAGGCAGATTTTCAGGGGACCATGGACCCATCTGCCTGATTTGCATGTCCCAAGGCGGAGACTCGAATAAACTTGACAAGGTACTCTGGGGTCGTTCAGGGCTGACGCTTCCATGACGAGGGGAGTTTTGAGAAAAGAGTTGTAAGGTTTTTTGAAGAAAGGAGAGGCCTGAAGTCGCACCATAATAAGTGCTGGATTTTTGATTTAGGAGTAGAAGGCCTTTGCCAATTAACATGTTCTCCAAATATTCTCCGTGACTCCCGTCGGTGACACCTGTGGCAGTATCGGACGCCGAGGATGGAGACGCTGGGGGAGAATCAAAAATACCCTTCACCTCAGCATTCAGATGGGAAGAGGGGTTCTGTGACTGAAATTTGGTGATCAGGTTGCGCGCTCGGCGCAAACGATCCTCCAATATCTTTGTGCGTGGTGCGCCTGCCACTCTTTGCCCTTTGGTAGATGTGAATGTGCAATCTGTTTGGTATGTGTTAATGATGCATTGTCACTGTTGACTCTTGACTCTTGAGCATGAACTCACGTCTTTCAAAATCCTCACACGGCTCACACGGCTGTCTTCCATTACAACGAACCTTGCGAACTCGACACTCATTGCATGCCCGACTCACTCGAGAGTATCGCCTCCTCTTCGACGAACCTGGTGAGCCAGTTTGACTGTCATACTCTTCTTGCATTGTGACATAAAAACTCTGTCAGGAGCCGCCACCAAACTCTACCCTTTGGGTTTGGGTTGGAAAACCGCTCATAGGGGCTTCCTGCCATAGGTCGTCTAATATAGATCTATATCTCAATTGTGACTCCCCGCCAGGCTGTGCTGCTTCAAGCTAGAGCGAGGCACTTTGAGTCGAAGCATAGACATACACACCGTCTGGTTCAAAGTGGTTCAAAGGTGGTCAAATTGCGAATGGGGAAAGTCCAGGGAAATATCCATCTAGAATCAAAGACATTTTCTTCGTTGACCGAGAAGTCAAGGATACTACGTCCTCAAGGATCCTGGGATAGACTACTTTTTACCCGCCGGGTGTTGTGGGAGCATGGAAATCTGGAGGGTTGTTTGGCCAAGCTGTAGTGATGGATAGACTGGATGGTCCGCGTGGAAGATCCCGAGCCGTCACTAGCAGCAATACGAACAGTCAAGTTGAATGGATCTTGCTTCGCATCCCTGGCTGCGTTGTTTATTTGTTTTTGTAGAGTCGTGGTCACGCTTTCCAGATGGGGAGTTAGCTTACTGAGACCGCAGAAGACTGGGCCCGTACCGAAAATCGGGCAGACGGTGAGGTGAGCCTAATACGATGCTTCCTCCGGCATGGTGGAAACGTACAGGATGCCAGCACTCTTTTCGAAGGGTCGGCGTGCATTGTTGCGTCGATTGGTGAGTCGGCAGATGCATCACGTCCGTAGATGGAGTGAGCATTCAGTTGCCGTATCGGAACGAGGCTCGAGCGAACCCGTAACGAGGATGGCAATTGGGACGTGGACTGAACCCCGAAATGCAAGCCACAGTTCGCTAACAGTAGGGCTAGGTAACCTACTCGTAGGTAAGGAGAGCAAGGCACAGAACCGGAGTTGGGAAGAGTCGGGTCCGAGCACTCCATAGGCTGCGGTCTACGCCGCCATGGGCTTCTGGAATCCTGGACACATCCGCAGCATTGGGCCCTAACTAACTAGCTACATGACAACCCTAACAGCACTGAGCCTAAGCCTGGGCTTGGGCCTGGGCGCTGGCTTCTAGAAGGACGATGGGCGGGCCAAGAGCCCGGGGGGAAGGGTAAGGGCCCAAGGGGCAGTGATAGCAGCGGGCTATCCGGCTGGGCTGAGGTCTGCACTCGCGAGTCGCCACTGTATTAACTATGTATCAATAGTCCGTCTTATTATCGTGAGCCATTTGATGGGAAGAACAAAGCTGAGATTTCCAATTATATGAGAACCGGAATGTTCCAAGTCTAAGCCTCTTTCCAGTGACTACCTACCAGCATCATTGTCTGTGCCACTACTGGATCCCTTTATACCTCCACAGTACCTCGTCTTCAAGGCAGATACGCCATAGCAGGGGAAGCGCCAACCCATTGACAATCTGGCTCTCTTTGCCGGGCAAGGAAGTCTTGGGGCCGTGTGGATCGGTGTCAGACAGAAACAGAGCGTATCCACTAAACCGATTAGTACGACGGCCTGCTCAAGTCAACACCTCGCGCATGTGAGTACTACTGATCGTTTGAAGTATCAGGGTGCTACTCGTAAAATGAGAAGAATGACGTACGAAGGTGGGCGATTTTTCTAGTAGTAATTAGCATGGGTGGGGAGGTCCACCACGTTGGGAATTTGAGCATCGATATTCAGATTTCCCACGTGGGAACTCCATCTCAATTTCTGCAGGGAGATCTGTCGTCGTTTTCCAAGACACTGCATTGCATGTCAAGTTCTCCAAACTATCAGCCATAGCCCCGCCCCAAGTCAGGAAGTCCCGCCACCTCGTAGTCCTGACTGGTAACTTGTAAGATGTAATGTGCACCATCGTATATGCACGTCTAAATTGGCTACAAGTCCGCTGGCAGGGTTGCTGGAGCCGTTATCTGGACATGCACCAACAAACCCGGCTACAGAACTTTGTGGCCCCCTCCCCCAAGCCATACCAGATTCAAACGAACTCCACCGCCACTTGCTCACGAATAGGGCCGAATAGACCTGGAACTTTTCAGGCGGTCAAGGGACGTTCTCCCGGCTAAATGCATGTTGACATCATGCCTATTCTTCAGAGCAATCCTTTTCTAGCCAGTTCGATTTTGCGTTCAGCCTCGCCAACCTTGAACCCCCCCTTGCTAGCACATACAGCAATTCCAGGAGCCAATTCAACCTTGTCCTCAACGTCAGGGTGCGGACACGGGCAGTGGTGTGGAAAATGAACACAAGCCAAAGTGTCTGGACACAGATAATTCGTGCACGTAGCTGCAAGATTACAGTCAGCTAGATCTTCTATCCGCGGCAGGCATCTGCAATCTGTGTTTGGGGGTAAATTCGATGAAACCATGGGGATATAACTTGGAACCGACGGATTTGTAGTATATTGTATGTTAGCGTTGTGGAGGGAGGGAACTCACCGGCCTCCCAGTTCTGGCGATACCAGTTAGAATCGCTCGGTACGTTTTGCTTCACTTGTGCTCCCTGCTGTTGCTGCCCTCCTTGGAAAAATTGTTCAAAGAATTGAAATTGAGCAGAGACCAATCCTAGCAGAAGGAAAAATGTGCTGAGAATCAACCTCATCGTTGAGTCTGGTCGTGTGGTGATCTTGTAAAATTCGAGCGATTCGGAAGTAGGGATGCTGGTTGTCTCTGAGCGGTATCAAAAGATATTGAAAGTTGTCCAGTTCACTGACGGCGAACTAGAAAGGGGACCCTTAACAGAATTGCGTTATACTTCACCGTAATTTTTGGCTTCCGCACGTGACATTGATCTGTACACGTGATAGTCAACCCTAATGCACGTGATCATCTCCAGCATTCTTTTTGTGCAACTTCCATCACGGCATCGCATCGAGTTGATGTAGGTCTTCCTCTAAGCTCACGCCAACAATGCTGCAACCTCGATTAGTCGGGGCGAATGCAGCCCTGGAAACTTCCTTGACAGCTTTGGCCTCATCCTTGAATGCACTGAGCTTTTGCTCCAGACACACTCCCCTGCAGCCACGGCTCGCCGCAACCAGCTTCATCCGACATGCTTCCCACGCAGCTCAAGGCCGAGCAAACGGGCCTGGAGACTCAGCAGGTCGCCGCCTCGGTGCCAAAAAGACAGCCTCCGAGTATGTGGTTCCAGGGAACATCATTTTCAAGCAAAGAGGTAGGAATCAGCCATTTCCTTTGCCCGCACCTTGAGGGGGGTTCCCCCTTTTCATCCGGTACTCACAAACTATCATTGCAGGCACCTTATGGCATCCCGGCGACAACGTGAGCATAGGCAAAGATCACACCATCTACGCCACCGAACACGGCTACGTGTGCTACTACCGAGACCCGCGTCGACACCCCAAGCGACGGTACATAGGGGTGGCATTGGAAAGGGAAGGGCCTGGCTCCCAATTGCCCGCACCCATCAACGCACCAACAAGGCGACGGCTGAACATGTACGCCTCACCGATCCCCAAACCCGTCGAGAGCGACTCCTCATTCCTGGAATCCCACATGAGCACCAATAGCAAGAGCACCGCAATTACGCCTGTGCCTGCGCCGTTCATGCGGCAGGGCACCAACCGCGAAGCCAACGCTTCCATCGGGCAAGCCGCAGAGAGAAAAGGCATCAAGGTGGTGCCGTTCGACCGCAAAGACCGCTGGTCCGCCTGGAGAAAACGAAACACCAGGATCGAACTCGCAGAGATCTCGAAGGTGGCCAAAAACACCAAGAAGTCAAAGGGCAAGAAATCAAACAAGGGTGTCAAGATGGGTGGCAAGAAGCGCTGATCATTGCGCCCGCTACTCTACGCTCACCTCCGATGTGTACTTCTTATTGTATTAAAAGCCTTTAGCTGTTGCCACCTTGCATTACAGCTTGAAACTCCCCGTTCTTGTCCGTCATCCTTGTGTATAACCCGCAAGTAAATGCCAACGACACCTTTCTCCACCGCTGAAGTACCAGATAGTATGGACATTTCTTTCTGCTTTCTACTACCTCCCGCTTACTCATTCTACCCTCATCAAATCATTCACTAGGAAGGTAGGTGAAGGACTGCTGCAACTAGCTGCATCCCGTTTGGAATTCCGTTCATTGTAAGCAGCGCCATCCCGTCCTCACGACAAGTCGTCTTATAAGGCTACTGGAGAGTCTAAGGTCCTCGGTGTTCGGCATGCTACTTCCTCTAATTGTCCTTGATCGTGGTAGACAGCCACCCTTGCGCACTTCCACGGCTTAGAATCCCAGTGGTGCTTGATTCTATCTCCTCGAATTTGGGACGGCAAGCGCAGACAGAGCTCGCATCTGACACGTCCCTGTCTGGGACTATAGTATCTACATAACAGAGTCTCTCTGCATCCACTATAGTCCATTCTCAGCCTTGAATTTGTCCCAGGCCTCGTTGAGGGCGCTGAAGACCGCGCCAGCGATCATGCGCTGCTCCGTCGTTGCGTCCGTGGGAATCTGTAGCATTTCACGTACACATGTTAGTCCTAAGGGGTCACATATCACATCGCCTTGTGACAGAGACCACGAAGCCCAGCACTAGAGGCACGGAAGAAGGACAGGAGAGTGGGTGCAACAACATACCTTGTCTGGGTGCACTTTGGCAATGCCCTTCATGTACTGGATCTTGACTTTTCCCGGCAGGACCAAGTCGGCCATCGAGATCTTCTTCCAGCCGCTACCCTCCCAGAGCGCATTTTCGAGACTACCCAACAGCGCGCGGAGGTTGCCCTCCTTGCCGCCCTTCCACGCCTGAATTCGCGCATCTACGCGGTCGCCGAGCTGGAAACGCTCGTCGTCTGCTTTGTCAGCCGCGGCGTTCGCAGCTCGCAGGCGAGATATGGCGGCCGCTTGTGCTTGCGCAGAGACCTTCTTAGAAGCCGCCGCCGCACGATTCATGCTTGCTGCAGCTGCAGCCGGTGCCGGTTTCCGTGTCGCGTTGGGCTTCGAGTTCGGCGCAGGTCGGGGTGTTGCAGCCTTCTCGGCCCTGGCCCGGCCTTGAATCGCGGTCGCTCCACCATGCCCTGCTTCGACGGCCTCGCGCCAGACCACCGCTGCTTCCATCCACTTTTCCATCTGCTCCAGCGCTTCAGCCTTGCGCATCAGCGCTTTGCCATAATAGTCCCGCATAGGCTTCGGTAAATCGCCTGTACCGAAATCAATGGTCTCGGACTCTCCCTTGGAAACCCCAATGACGGCAATTGCTTTGTCGGCGTCGGCAATGGCGTTTTTGGGCTCGCCTACCTTCAACGCTGTCAAAGAGCGATTGGTTAAAAGGACAATGATGAGGGGATGAGTTTCGGGTAGGTGGGTAATAGACGTCGCATAGGACTGGTGTGCCGCTGAATAATCTCCACGTTTGAAATGCTCATTTCCTTTCTCACGGTGAGAGTGCACTGCCTTTAGGCTGATGGGAGATACAGAGGGGATATTGCGTTGCGGAGCTGGGGCTCGAACGGGTGTCTCAGTACGTCTGATGGGTTGTGATGGCGGCCGTGACGAGCTCAACGCTGGTGTAGATCTTGCTGGCGGCGGTGGTGTACACGTATCTTTGAAACCACCTTCGAGCAAGTCATCTCCCAACGGTACTGGCGGCTGTGTGGGAGCTGGTGGTTGTGGTTTCCGTCTCCGTGCAGAGCTGACATATGCTTGCGCCGCTTGTTCTTCGGCTGCATGTCTGTTCAGCGTCGTTCTCGGGTTTACTGGCGGCGAGGGATTCTGTTGTCCGAGGAACGCAGGTTTTGGTGGCTGAGTCGAGTCCCGTAGTCGTGATAAGATCGCTGGAGAGTGGTCACGAGAACGATCTAGCTCAGAGTCTCCCACTGGTCGCTCTTGAGGTGTTTCTCTGGCGGATCGTGGGGGAGGTGTGGGTCGAGATGATTCTAGCATCAATGCCTCGTCGGTGGCTTGCGGTGTTCGTTGTTCCTCGGCCACCCGCCGTTGAGGTCTAATATGTTCATGCTCTTCTTCAAGGCGACGTGTCCTTGGGAGTTGTGGATGGGCCGCTTGCCTCTCAGTTTCTCTCATCCACTTAGGAGCGCCGTTGGCTTCACCATCCGAGTTGAATTCCTGAACAGCCTGTTGGACTCGCTTCGTGCTTTGCTTCCAAAACGAATTCGCGGTTTTGAGGAAGGTGCTTCCAAATTCTGTGGCCATCTGCTCGAAATCTTTTTCTTGACCACGTGCTTGATCTCGCTCTCTGGTGCGAGGTTTCTCATGTTCATCCGGCCGGCGCCGAGATGGGTTTGGTTGAGAATCTGGGCGGTTGCTACCTCTTGCACCGCCCTCGACAGATTCTCCATGCCGGATTGAAATTTTAGATCGAGCCTTCGCCTGTGCTTCGGAGTGCGCTTGGTTTAGTAGAAAGCCGACAGCAGCTTGGACGTCTAGGCCGGACTCCGTGGTTTCTAATGCTTGCCTTGCTTTATCAGCAGGAAACCCCATGTCAACAAGCTCGGCTACCGCTTTGTCCTGAGGATGGTCACTATTGCGCTCTTCCTTGGTCACCATTGACGGAGAGCGTCGGCGTAGTCGAGCAGATGTTGGCTTTCCAAGCAGACCGAGGACATCATCGTCATCATCGACAGTAGTGGTCGTTTCCACCGTGTTTGTCCTCCGATTAGCAAACGCCGATAATTCAAACGGATCGTCCTCCTCTTCATTATTTGTGGTGGCCTTAGTGCTAGGAGCCGAGGCTGGAGCCTTGGGTATTGGGGCGGGTCTATTAAACGCAGCAAATAAGTCGTCTTCGTCGTCGTTGACACCGTTTCCTGCGGCAGTGTTCGTAGCACTTTGTTCCTTACGCTCGGTTGCTGGAGTGCCTCTGCCGCTTCCAAGGTTGTTCCAGAACTGATCATCCCCTGCTGCATATTGAGTCTGTGTCTTCTGGCTCTGTGCCTGCTGTTGCTTCAGCTTGGACTCTAGCAACCTCTTCTGCTGTTCTTGTAGAGACAGATTCTTGTTCGAAGCGGCGGAAGTATTGAACCCCACAAGATTCGCAAAGCTGTCGTTTGCAGGTGTGCCCGGTTTCGACGCGGGCTGGCTTGGCGGCTGGAATAATGGAGAGGCACGTCCTGATGTAGGAGGTGTCGGCTTCAGAGAGGCAAAGGCAGAGTAATTCGAGGTGGAGGGCGCTGGTTTCTGCGCATTACTTACAGGGGTTGAAGTCCACTTCAACCCCGCTATATCATCCATGACTGTGACTGGGGGGGAGGTATCAACTGAAGATCATTTCGTTAGGATTTCAAGTGCAATAACAACGGTGTTTACGGGTATCAGAGCGTACCCAGAAGATAATCGTGTGATCGTAGATTCGTTTGTTGTCTGATGGATGGAATCATGAACATTATTTGCACCGCCACAGTCAGCCATATTGTGGCGCGCACCGACTCCCGGTTGGGCTCAGCCTTGTATTTATCCATCCACAAGGCTTTATTTCGTCCCTCCAAAGACATGTCTAAATGTCCTATGTTCTACCGAAGTATATTTGACGGAACAAACGTGTGCCGACAGCTTACGATCCATTGTTCCAATATATACACAGGTTTACTTCCTTGATACAGTGCTCCAAGTCATATCACTAATGGGAACTTTTCCTGGGTATCATATTCATAAAATGGTGCACTGTCACCTCGCTGGGGTTATTTCCTTCAAAAGGGTCGAGTAGAAATCTGTCTTTGAAGACCTATACGGTCAACATAGCCGTGTACGTTGTTACATAACTCCACAAACCTCATTGCTATGTCCAAATCTTAAAACTTGTCGGTCAACACTTTCTTTAGCAGACCTGCTTGTGCTTCGTATTTTTCAACCTTTGCATGACTAGCCATAGCTTTTTCCAAACACCACTTGACTCGGGGTTTCAGCTCACTAGGCGTCCCGGGCATTTCGGCCAATATCCTGAGCTCTGTCTCATACTTATCCACATTCTTATTCTCGATACCAATCAATTGAGTCAGTATCGCCAAATCAAGCCGTGCTTTGAGTACCTGGTCTTCAATTAAATGTTCGAAAGCCGCTTGGTAGACTGGTTTGCCAGGCTTCACACCATACGGACGGCCATTTTGAGAGGTGATGGTGACCAATTCGGCCTGCTCCAGGGTTTGCAGGACTATCTCTCCATCTTTGAAAAGGTCATGGAGGAGCAGCTCGTTGTAGCGGAGAGTCTCATTAGCAGCCAACTCCTTGACAAGGTACCAGGCTTGTTGGGGGGACCATTTGCGACTAGCCACATCAACATCGAGGAGGTACATCTTGAGAATTTCTGATGCTGATTGCTCAATGATCTGGCGGACAGCTTCTAATGCATTTGTCAGTCTCCGCTCTGGAAAGGAGCATCAGTTCAATGAGAAACTTACTTCCTGGAGACTCGCCCGCCTTAATCCTCCGAGCAAGAAACTCTAAATCTGTGAGTCGACCGCCCAAGACTTGGATGACTCCATCAAGCTCGTCCAGATCACTCCTCAACTGCGATGGTGTCTGCTTGACCTCATCTCCTTGCTCTCGCTCTTCGGAATCTCGGTCGATTTGATGTATCACCATCTTCTTGGCCACTTCAGGCGTACAGTCGCTCAAGGTGATCTGGCGGAAGACTCTGTCGGGCAGTGCTTTGCTGAGTGATTTCGAGAAAGAAACATCTGTAGTCAAGAATATGACATGCGCAATATTTTGAGTGGTCAAGGTAGCCGCCCATTCTCCCAATTTATCGTAGACCATGTTGGCGGAGCCTTCATTGCTCTTGTGCAAGAAGTTGTCTATTACCACCACGGGTCGAGCTTCTGGATGTGCTTCGAGCCATTCATCATCAGACATGTTGGTGTCTTTTTCGTCCTTCTTTCGTGGAGCCAAGGCAATCTTCTTGAGAGCGGCAGTGGTGTTGCTCCAGATCTTGGCCAATTGTGTCTCGAGGGTTTCCGAAAAGCCAGTCTTGGTGCCTATGGTGCCTATAGCTGCCAAATCCAGCATACTGCTAATACTGTTCATCCACGAAAAGACAGGCTTGTAGCCTACTTGATCTGCTGCTGCTGCAATGGTGCTGCTGTCTCCACGGGCTTCCTGTATTTTTTTACAGTCAATGACAAGCTTATTGGGACGGTCCTTCAATGCCTGGTCCATCACCAATTCTTTCTTCCCCGCACCACGAGGACCTTGCACGACAATGAAGGTATCGGCAGTCTCAATCATCCAAGTTTGTAGTTGTTGTATGGCTCCGTGACGGTCTTCCCAGATTATCCTCAGATTATCCTCGTTGCCTCTCTGCTTTCGGAAGCGAATGATATCGTATCCTCGAGAGAGCTGACTTTTGATCCATCTGTAGAGAGGCTGGTCGTCTAAATGCAAGCCATGAGTGATGTGCATGCGAATGAAAAAGGTTCGGATAGGGTCAAAGACAGCGACAGAAGTGGCAGTGAGGAGTGCCACGAGAATAGGAAGAACAATTCTGGGATGGCTACTGATCCAATCCCAGAACCAATTCTTCTTCCTCTTCGACTCGTAACTGAGCTTCAGGAGAGTGCCGGCTTTACCACCTCCATCCTCGGCAGTGACGACATAGCCATGCATGCAATTCTTGGACATAGTGGCAAATCGAATCCTCGTATAATCTATATAGGCGAATTTGGGGACTACCTTCGAATCGGAAGGCTGAGGAATGATCTCGGCGATCTTCCCGTACCTGCGGAACAAGGAATAGAGGGTTTCTTGAGTCAATTCGGCAGCAGAAGCCTCGGGAGTTGTGGGCATGAATTCGACCTTGATTCTGGAACATGGTACGCGATATAGATCTTCAATCCAGGGTTTGCCTCGAACCAAGAATACGCGGACAGAGCGAAGGGGATTGAACCAGGGTGTAATAGGTTTCTCCCTGAGGTATTCCTTCAGTGTGTTTTCCAGTTCTGCAGGTGTGATTGCGCTGTCGTGGGAGAACTTGACAAATGCGCCGCCCTCACGTAATCTCGGGAGGACCTCGAGGACCTGAAGGGGCATCTGATCTGGAAGGGCACGCTTGATGATACTAGAGGGGTCTGCGAGAGCCAGACCTGGGTGATTGACTTTCTGGAGGGACTCTGCAAGGAACTTGTCGGGGTTCAAATATGGAATTCGGTTCAGCCATTGCAGCTTGAGAGGGAAGACATCTGAAGAGGTAAGCGGAGGAGAAGGTGCAGGGTAGTGCAGGCATACTGTCAAAGAAGAAGATACCCTGATTTTGCTTGGTCTGAATGTGACCGGTGTTGTCCTCGCCAGCTTCGTTCGTGGCACTCCTCCTGCAGATTGGTAGCGCGGGCGTGATAGGCCGAGGACGGAAACCGTTTGCAGTGTAGAAATATTGCTTTCTCAAATGAACGTCTCGAGCCAGGGGAGGTCGCTCCCAGGCGGACCGAAAGATCCTAGAGCCAATCATTCTGTTGTCTTGAAAAAGAGACGAGGGAGCGATTTGATCGGTGCTAGAACATGTTCATCGTGTGGGAGTATGAAGCAACCTGCTTCCAACCTAGCCACGAGAGACGGCCTTCGTGCCGGAACAAAGTGAAGATGGTTGAAGCTGGATCGCGGGTTGAGCCTTGAAATCATCCCACGATCACACAGTCCATTGGTTATGACGTCGAAGCTTCTTGTAAGCGAGAGGAACGGTGGAGCTGTGGCTGGAGCTGTGGGGAGCTCAGATGCGGCTTGCCACGGAAATATTATGGCGTAAATTTCCACGTGAAATATTTCTACATTGAAACAGCCAACGACAAGACAGACAGCCCCATTTGAACCGCCTCACATTCTCTTCCCTAGACTTGATTTCAACTTGCGCTCGCTATGGGCTGGTTCTGGGGTTCCAAATCAGCACCCACCGCTATAGATAATGGTGCCAACGCACCTCCGCCTGAGTTATCGGCGGTAGAGGCCACTCCTGCGCCTTTATCTGTTCCAGAGCCTGCCCAACAAAGCCTATCCCGAGATGAGCAGAGTGATACAGCGTTTCAAGAACTCCTTCGCGAGTTCTATGCTGAAGAGTCACGAGCGCAGGAGAAGCGAATTCAAACCAAGGACGGCCGGCGAAAGTCCTCCGCAGATTCTACACCTGTCGATATCACTCCCGACTCACTTTATCCTACCCAGATGTCCTGCCGATCAGCTTTTGATTATGCCATGTTCTGCCAGAGCTTTGGGGGTCAATTTGTGAATGTATATCGATACGGCGATTTCAGGAGTTGCTCAAATCATTGGAATGATTTCTGGCTGTGTATGAGGGCAAGGAACTATGGGGAGAAGGAGAAGGCCAGAGCCATACGAGACCATTATCAGAAGAAGGCCATCAGATACAAGACTGGGCCAAGTAGCGAAGATATATGGGAAGTGAGAGATGTGCCTGTGCAGGACGCCATGCAGGGCAATCTCGAAGAACTAGAGGCCAGGATCGAAGAGTGGAAAAAGGCGAATCCATCGGCTCCAGATCCCTGGAAGCAATCAAAGACCTTCCGTGATCATAAGAAGGATGCTGCTGCGCAATAATGAGAACAATTACTTCGACCAGCTATCCCTGCATGTCAAAAGGCGAAGGGGTCTATTGCTGCAGGAGGAGGGCACAAGAGAATCACGGGACCAGCAAGACGCCGTTGATGGAGGTGATGACGATGGGAAGGGCGTCACGTTGAACGTGTTGGGTGGCAGACGCAGAGGCGGAGGCAATGGTCGTGACTTCCTCTTTCATTGACAGTCACTGTTCTTGCCTCTTACCTCTTGCCATCTGTTCCCTCTCCGACCACACCGCGGCCACAGATTGTTTCCTCGCCGTCATCCTCATCCTCATCCTCGCCCTCGCCGTCCTAATCTCATCTCTCTCACCCTAGCTCAAGTCTCACTTCATTCATACTGCTTCGCCAGCCATGGCTTCTTCTATTCCCGACTTCCTGACCAATATGACCCTCTCAACCTCCCCTCAAATCTCGTTTGAACAAGCCGACAATCTCCTGTTACAAGCTCTGGAGCTCAGACAGGAAGCCGTTGAACTACAAGCTCGAATTGACGCTCTCAACGAACGAGCTGATGTCCTTAAGACTACTGCAACCGGTCTTCAAGCTATTGCAGCCCAGGATCGTGCCATTATTCAAGCAAGATTCGACCTTGCAGTCGAACTTCACACCAACTTCGTTCTCATCTATGGGCCTGCTACAAACAAAAGCCTTCGTTTTCAACAATTGGAACATCGTGTTGAGGATGGTCTGGCCACCATGGAAGAGTTGGAGAACTTCTTCGACGACTTGCAGTCCTCAAGTGTCCCGGGACGCTCCGAGCGCTCCAGAGCTCCAGAACCAGAGACTCCCGACACTGCCTCTATCGTAGTTCCGTCCGTCGAAGGTGCCCGGACCGCACAGGACACTCCCTCTCATGCTGCACCACTCCATAAGCGAAAACACTCTTCATCTGCCGGAGGTGCCAATTCAGCAAAGCGCCTCAAACAGAAAGGTGATGCTGAAGGTGGCCCCTCGAATGTCGTCTCAATGCCAGGAAGCTCGCAGGGCGCTGTTCCGGCCACATGGACAATCACTGATGCTGAAGGTGGCCCCTCAGACGCCGTGCCACGCTTGCCTCAAGAGTCTACTGAGCAACATGGACGCCGACCTTCAGTTGAACTTGGATCTAATTACCACGCCGATGGTGCAAAAGAAATAGGCTACGATGAAACTAAGGAGCGAAGATATAAAAGCAAGAGCAGGCAACGCAGAAAGCTTCTTGCAATTGCAAAGGCACAGGTTGGAACTGAAAGCACACAAAGCCCCACGCTATGAAAGCGTATTGCGGCGTTGAGCTGTTTGATCTTCCGAGGTTCGGCCAGTGGACACAAGCACATGACGAAATACCGCGGATGTAGGCGTCGAGGTGTCAGACAACAGCAATGATGGAGTATTAATTTTGTCTCAGAAAAGCCCATAGCTTCACAAACCTGCTACTCCGTGTTTTGCTTGAGGATTTTCTAAGTACGCGCACAAGCTAAGGGTCCTAGGCGAGGTGAAAGAAGTGATGTACATTAAGTGGTAGACAGGCATTTTCTTCACTCTTTAATCTCCACTCCATCTCTTGCCTGTTATTCTCTCGATCTTCTGAACTACCATGCAGGCACTCCTCTTCTGACATTGTGGCCTCAAGATCCGCTGTGTGTCCTTGCAATGGTGGCAGCGATGTCGACCAATCCAGATCTGCTGGAGATTGAAGCAGTGCATGCACGGCATCAGGCAGATCTACTTCGTGGCATTTCAATGGATCTCCAGGAAGCAATATCCATCCTCACTACTCGCGCCATTCATTTCGAAGCATATTCTCAGAGCCTTCGCACTCCTCTCCAGACCAGCACAGCTACCACTTCCAGCAATGATGTTTCTTTCAAGCCTGGCCAAGAAGATGCATTGAGAACTGCCAATGCCATGTGTTCCACTGAGGCCATGATGGAGATCTTGGAACAAGTCAAGCGTGACATAGAAGCTTTGACCGAGATCCTGTGCAAGCCTGGAGAAAGCGAACATATGGATGCGAGGGTCTACATGGACTGGAAGAATTCAAGCAGGGCTCGTTCGGTGGACATTGACGACTCGATCTTGGACAAAATGGCAACAATATCTGCTTTGACAGGCATCAAATTCTCCACTTCGGTCAAGAAGTCGCGACCCGTTGAAGGTTAGATCGACCAGTAACCTTGCACATCGCTTCCAGTCATGCTTAGACTCTGGACTCGACCACCACCGCCCCCTTTCCAGCACTTGTGTGTCTTGCGTTAGCAAGTCGTGCCCATTCTTTCTTCCTACCAGCCTAAATGATCCGTCAATGAAGAGGTTCAACCAGGAACAGAACAGTAAGTTAAGCAGCTCGGCGATGTCCCAGCGCTCTGACATATACTTCTAGGCTTTCACGAGATCAAGAAACCATCTGGCGCACCGCGAAAGGTTAAAGTCCTGGGCCGTTGCGGCGCTACAGCTGCAGAGGTGCTTGGTGGAACGACCATGGAAAATTGATAATGAAGAATGGGATGGCAAATCGAGGAGTTCAGGGTGGTTTTGGATAACTTACCAATTGAAAGTTACGAGGGCATCATGGCCGTCGCCATGGTCGGATTGCTTTTCAAGAGACCTCTGATAGATCGCAAGTAACTGCGGCATTTGGGATGTTTCGCTACCACCATGCATTATTCCCAACACCGGTAGGCGGCCTTCGAGTCTGTTTTCTGCCCGGTCATCGTACTCAGCCGCTTTTCGGCGAAAGCAAAATGATATTCTCTTTTCACAAAGAAATGGCATTTCGGGCAACAGAAGCACCGCTTCCTTGTAATGTTTGTGTAAATTCCATTTTGAAAACAAGATCATACGATCTAAGCACAGCTCATCTGCTGTCACAGGCACCTGAGCATTCGAAGTCCAGCTCCTAGCCATCGACATACTCCGTCCTCGGTACGGAGCGGCACTATCGGCTTCTGAAGTGGAAACCTAGCCGCCCGTCTCTTTGCTCTCAACATAATTATGTATGTCTGGGTCTGAACAGCCCCACATAGGGACTTTGAGATCTTCAATCTTTGATATCGTTGCTCCGATCAATGCATTCATAATCTACGAGTCCTTGTCCGCATTTGTCACAGACGTAACGATAAGAGTCTGATCTCTGGAGCTCGTAGCGTTGAGCCAGACAACTATGGAGGACAATGAAAAGAAAGAAAGGGCGCATGCTCTAAATGATGCACAGAAGTGCAGATGCCGACCCGGCAGTGGGCCATTATCTATCTGTGGCTTTCCCGGTGGATCTACCTTTACATTTTACCACGAGAGTGGAGTCTACAGCATGCCATGGCCCATCACGCAGAAGGAGCGTGCGCGTCAGCATGTCTTACTATTCTAAGGCTCCATATCTATCGCATTGGACTCGCCCCGCCACCCCAAGTATCCATTACTTGAATCAGGAACATCCACTTGGTTACGAACTTTCGCCATCCAAACTCAGCAAAAAGCTCATAGGTCACCACTGACTAGCGTCATGAGACGCGCCGAGATGGACCCGTGCCGACGTGCTCCATGATCCGAAGTACAAGTACTTGTTGAAGACGTAAATAGGTTCCTCGAGCTGTGCGAAAATTTCTCCAGCAAACTGCCAACCTATCTCAAGCCACCCAACATGGTCAACAGTACTATCAATTCAACTAGCAAGCTCGTGACCTTGTGCTCGGTTGTCGCATCTGCGGTGAGCCCAGTCTTTGCGGCTCCATTCATCAAAGACACTGTCGCACAGAAGAGGCAATCACAAGGAGCGCCTTGCGCCGATGTACATATCTTCCTGGCTAAGGGCTGGAACGAACCCTATCCGGGGCGACAGGGCAAACTTGCAGGAGCGATTTGCTATGGCCTCGACAGTTGTGACTACGAGGATATCATCTACTACAACACTCCTGACGCAGATTACTGTGCGTCAGTCACCCAAGGCAATACCAATGGTGTCGCTCAAATGACCGCATATGCTGCGCGTTGCCCGGACTCACGCCTAGTGCTCAGCGGATACTCTCAGGGCGCAAATGTCGCTGGTGACGTTCTCGGTGGCGGCGGTGGCAACTTCGGAAACGAAACGGTATATTGCACTGTTGGTGAGACTCCCGGGCTGGACAGAGCAACAAGTCCTGGCGACAAAGGTAGGTTCTTCTCCATCTAGTCCTCTTTCCATCACCGTGAAGAGCCCATCGACAAGGTTTTCCCATTCTCCCAGTACGATTTAAAACAGAAATACTCAAGGGAAGAAACTGACATGTTTCAATGCACAGTCGCCGCCGCGCTCATCTTCGGGGACAACCGGCACGTCGCAGGTCAAACGTACAACATTCTCTCCGGCGCAGATATCTCAGCCAACAATCCACGATTCCCCGACTCTCTCGCACGCATGAACGAATTCTCAGATATCCTTCGATCGTACTGTGTCGACACTGACCCCGTCTGCGCCGCTGCCGGACCCGGACCTTTTGTGACCGAAACCCACCTGAACTATTTCGATCTGTATTCCGACGACGCGGCAGCTTGGGTCAAGTCGAAGCTTGCATGAAGATGATCGTTTTTGGTGTTCTTTTTTGTTGAGACGAAGAACACGAGGTTGGGGTTTTTTTTTTTTGGTACTGACCTGGAGATTATGGCATCATGTCTCTTAATATATAATGTTATGGGGGAGGGACTGAGATTGCTGGTATATATAGATATCATCGGTTGGGATATGAGGAAAACCGGGCGCTCTCTCAAGGCACGCTCGTAGTATGGGGTGAGGCAGACGCCCACGCGAACAAGGCGTCCCACGACACCATATACTCTGCTCTAATTCTCTACCGTCAGAGGATATATGATATACATGTTAATAGTTCACTAATGCTAATAAACCATCATGTATCACTTGACCCCAAGTCTCTTTGTGCAGGACCCAGTCTCCGCGGGCGCCTTTTCGTCCAACCCACCGGGCCCCTAAGGCAATCACAAGAAGAGCGTTGCAAAGACATACATGCCTTCCGACAGAGCTAGAAGCTGAACCATCATTCCATCCACTAGATGTGTGATGAAACCAACCAACTAGAACCGCCCACGACGTGAGTGCACGGATATGCGCACCCCAGGACGTCCTCTATCAATTACGGAGGGCTTATCCGAGGTCTCTTCCTGCGCCCCCACAGGCACCCCAGAGGCCTTTGGGAAGCCGTTAGGTAAGCAAAGCCGCACATCTGACGATGGGTGGATGGTGTTGTAAGTAGTGGGTCACCAGGTCATCTGCTACGCATCCACGACCTCTGAAGCTCCTCTTTCCACAACTCTTATACCTGTGAGGCCCGCCGTAGCACTCGGTACACTTCTGTGGCCTTTAACCATGATGGGCCTTACTTCCTTGATAGAAAGCTGAAGATTACCAACATGAATTTAAATCTAACTGATGAATTCACGACGAGATGCTGCTCCCTGCCAGACTTACCTCTTCTTGCAGGCCTTATGCGCCGGGGATCTATTGCATGCTTTTGCCGTTGCACTCTCTCAAAATGAGCTTGCGTCGCTCCTTTTGCTAGTCGATGTCACCTAAATGAGTATCCTCTCATTGATCTTACATTGGTCCCCTGGTGAGGAAGGAAACGTGGCTCAAAAACGTTGAACCTGCAGGTGAGAAACTGTCCTTAACTTGGGAGGGGAGAACAATAAGAAGTGACCTTCTTCGACGATCACAAGGAGTGTGATCGCGGGAAACCCTCGGTGGCAAGAGGTCGAGGGAGCCCCTCGTATGGTCCAGCCCCAAGCCCATTGAAGTCGCGCCTCAGAATCGGTCAAGAGGTCAATGATAGTACCCTCAGTTAGCATCTAGCCTGAACAATGACACCGATAATGGAAAAACACGGGATGGTCGTTGGAGGATCAGCGTGCCCCCTCGCAGAACTTGTCGATCAACCCGGCCGAGGTCAGGATTTGGCGGCGAGTGATTGGGATATACGTACGGCGATGACAGGAAGCCACAGAGCCTATCAACTGAGCCCTTGAGTTCACCGTGGACAGCAACCATCGAGATCTTGCTGGACAGAGGAATAATGGAGCTCGTTGGACATGCCCACGCGAGTCGTTGGCAGGATCGGTGCTGGGCGAGAAAGGGATGTTCGCAGGTAAGGGGACTAAGAGAGATCTCGATCCTTCATCGCAACTCGTACGAAGAATGACCACTTTTTCGGGGAGGTTTTCTGGAATGAAGCATGGTTTCAGTGTTGCACTCACATACAGTGTATTGGCCTGAACCATGTGGGTTGCTGCTGCAGCAATGCTCCTCTGTCAGATACCTCGGGCGCGACTTGGTGACCACAACGTCATGAAAACCACTTCTGTGTCCACCGTTATGTACCTAGGGAAGGATTGGGCTTGAGGAACGAGTCTAGTTAGGGGCACGACCCATTACTGTTGCTTCAGCATTGGACAGGGACATGGAGGTGGGTATCGTCAAGAGTCTCCTGCCGCCGTTGAATGCAAGCCACGTCCTAGGGTTACAGAGGCAAGAATCTCGACGCTGCCACCACCTTATGGTCATTAGACACCCACTGTGCCGGCGTTAGGTGTACGATGAATAGTGGGGGTGTTTATTCAACGGGTGGACAATATTGCTGACGGGTGCAGGCTATGACGTTGATCGTGGTGGTCTCAGACAGACTGGTGCGTGGCAGTGCAAAATGCATCCCTCGAACAGGAATGATGCAACCGATCGACGACAACATTTCTGCTTGTGCAAATTGTCCCCTCCCTACAGAGAGCACTCTCCCCAATCAATGCCAATTCGTCCACCCCTCGGACGCCTGTTTCGCGAGTTTATTTACCAAAAATGCTCCTACCGTAACCCGTCGGGATTGTTCTCAACAGAGGTTGACGCCAGTGAATGTCCTTACAATACAATCAAGGGCCACAATAAATCTGGAGAGCAGAAAATAGACACCTCGTATCAATTGATTTATTGGCACTATGACTAACTTCCACTTGGGAAAGAATCCATCAAGTATCGAGTGAGAAAAAAACACCCGGATCAATTGAGAACCATTCAAAGCCATCGATCAATTTCCAAAGAAAGATTGGCCGTTGACGAGGAAAAATAATTCAGCGGGCGAAGGTTTCATCCCTCACCAGACACCTGATTGATTGATCTGCAAAGATAACCCCTCCCAAACTCCGTGCTTATTGGTACACATCCAAATGTGGGACAGCTATGTCATGGTCATACTCCATCTAAGAAGTCTTGCGCCGCTCGATGTGGTGGTGAAAGTCATATCAAGCCGTCGTCTCCAAGGTTTTTCGGCGTAGTCAAGAGGACAAGCCTTGAGCAGTCACTTTGTAAGAAAATTGCTCCCATACGCTTTGAACGCTGGTCGACTAAATTGATTGCAAGATATGGCATGGTTGGATTTTCTTTTTAAAATGATGACCGTGAAGAAATACTGCTATGGCTGCTTTGCAATGATAGTGACGCTTGGGCATCGGTGGCCTGCGCACTTCGTCGCCGGGCAGAGCGAGTTGCGGCGTCCATCTGTTCTTTGGTGTGGGAGTGCATCATTCGGGCGTATGTCGACATTGCTGCAACTGGATCTGACTCATAGTCGAGAGTCTCAGTTGGCCTGGAGAGGTATTCAACAGTAGAAGGCATTTTGTTATTTTGAAGAGTTGTTCAACTTTTGAATATCAAAGTTGGACTTGAGAGTCAATGTTTGTTATAATGGAGTATGAGCAGTGGAAGAGATGATTGGGAATTTGATGTCGGGGACGAGCATAATATAATTTTGGAGGAAACTCCTCGCCAGGCTGAAGATGAAAGCATTTGGCACCCAATACTAATGCAAGCTGGGCGGGGAGTTGAGCAAGTACGCATTCGCCATCGATGGCATCAGATGCGGGTGGCGTTCGAAGACCCAGTCATGATGCCTGGACAGAGCCGAGACCCTTCCCCTAGCATTGATATGTCGAATCTGGGTGGTCGTCCCCCAGGACTAGTCCAGTATGGACTGCCGATCAGCGGCAGAGAGCTGACTTCTGATCCTCACCAAATGTCTGATGGCAACACCCTAGTTGTCGAGATCGAGCAAATGACCTGAGAGAGAGCGCCCGAGCGAGTGGAGCACGAACCTGCCGATCGAATGGGAGGATTCAGGGTCTGGTTGCCAACATGCAAGATGAGAACATTTCGCATGCTTAGAGGAATTTGCCCATGGTGGAATTGGAAAGCCCATTGGACTTAACGGCTGGTAAAGGTGTGAGGATTCTCATCCATCCTATGGACCTTCAAACGATCTGGGTCTGGAAAGTACCAGCTCAATTGGAGGTCTTGGAAGTCGAGGAAAATCGACTGAAATCTAGATGAGCAATAGAGAATGGCGCCTTGCTGAGATGCAATCTTGACTTTCATTGCTATGGGCGAGCTAAAACAGCGTGTGTGGTGAAACCAAAGAAGGCGTAGCTAGCATTACCGTTTGGTGGACATTCAAAACTAGGGAACAACATTCGAGCCAGCAACGGGGCAGAATTGCTCATGCTGTTGTCGCAAACATCTGTGTGCGAGCATGATGCGTGTCTGTGGAACCCATGGAGCCTGATCACCTGTTGGGTGCCTGTGGTTAGAAGTGGGGGTATGACGTCGCGCGAAATCAGGGTCTGATGTGTGTCCAGCCCAGCCTTGCGCTGCCAAGACCGCCACCCTAAACCTTACTCCAACTATGACCAAATTCTGTGGTGCCTCTCCGCAGTTTGAGCGAGTCGAAAGAGCACAAGAGCCCTTTCCAAAACAACCATCCTCGGTACACATTCATGCCCCTGATGTTAGATACTTTTAGAGAATATCTTCTTCATGACGATGGATCTTCGGCCCCACTTGGCTGTAGCTTAATGCTCGCCACTAACTCTGCCGCATCTTTTATCTACAATATCTGGAGAACATAGCAACGTCTTTGCAATTTGGCGAGCTCTGACGCACCATGATGGAGATATTGAAACCATCTTAGTTTCTCTTTACATATGTGGGTACATTATCAGATCTGTCTACCTGTAAGGTCTGTATGTAGATCTTCAAGCTTGAAACTGAACGAAAATCCAAACCAACGACACTTAATGGGCCGATGATTTTGATTCGAATCTCGATTCCAACTTCGACTCGAATCTCAATTGGCGGAGGCGAACAGACTCCTCACCATTGATCTCTATCAAAGATGTGAGACACGGGTACGCGGACAAGCTGACGAGGCAAGCACATCTCATCCCGTGTGTACCAGTCACTTCGAACGAGCAGTATGCGAATATACGTCAGAGGCACTATTGGTTGAAACGGAAGGTCTGACACGTGAGAACACAGTCAAAGTATGACTTAACCCTGTCACCATGCGGGCAAAACTGGGGCCATGACCTATGCTAGCAGTATCATCGGGCGAACTCGCTCGTAGTACAGAAATGACGTCCGGCTTCGACCACTGCACTGTCCAGGCTTAAGATGTGTGAGTGGCCTATGACTTTTGCAATCACTCCAAAGTCTAGATCGGCCTGCGGTTCTGCTCTCAAGGTTGCTGAGGTGCATATCATAGTCGTCTTGAGGAGCATGACAATCCTCTGTCATAACAATTGTTTGCCCACAAGTATTTCGGGTTAGACTTTACCGTAGGGTTACGATAGTGTGTGCTTGCTGCCGACATGCCCACACAATGCTTGGTATGGGCCAGAAGCTCGAAATTTGAAAGATCAGACGGGAGAACCTGACTGCTCCCGCACAAGAAAGGCATGTCTTTCTGTTGATCTTTAAGATCGCCTGCCGTATCCATTGATCTGATCGTCATTTGGCCTTCCTGGAGGTAAAAAAGGCATTCCAGGTGGGAATGGAATGTTGGCTACATTTGGTGGGCCTGGTGGAAATGATAGACCTAGATTGTTCTGCCCCCCTAAAAGGTTGGGAGGTGGTGGAGGAGGCGGCGGCCACATACCTGTCCAATTGGGTGGTGGGGGAGGAAAAGCCGTAGAACTAGTCAAAGGATGAGGGAATGATGAACCCACAAAGGGAGGCATAGGCACATCAGCGTCAAAATGTTTAAACGTTGGAGTTTGGAGGCGAGCATTTTGGTGAGTGTATGCTTGGGTTTTCAGTTTGTCTTGATGGGTACTGTCATTGCCTCGCGTGCTCTGGGATTCTCTTCCTCGAGATACTGACCGGCTATAGGACCGTGAAGACGCCGAGGTATTACTTGGCGATTCGCTGTATCGTCTCCTCTTACGTTGGGTACGACTGCGACTGCGGCTGTGCGATCGACTCCTGGTTCGGCTGTGATTGCGACTATTGCTGTGAGAGTGGCTCCTGCGTGAGGATCCATCTAAGGCATTCATGGTGCCTCTGGACCTCATCTTCTCACAGAATGTGCGTGACCACCCGTAGTATGTATCTGCCGTGAGGTCTTCTGCTTCATTCCGGTACTGGACCTGGCCTAGCTCGTCGACTTCAACGGGGATGCTATCGTTTTCAAGTTTTGCAAAAGTATTGTCCATTCTGTCCACGTCTCTTAAAAAATCTTTTAGCGCGTTCACCAGACTCTCGTCAGCAGGGCCGGCAGAGAATTGTAAAGCTCTAACTTCAGCTGGGCGGATAGGTTGTGAACTATTAGGGACGATAAGATGCATGAGGTTGGCGGCGGGTAATTCATAGAAGGGTAGAGATGGGTCTCCGTGTGTGGAAGGTATGTTGTATGGTAGATCTAACGACACATTTTCCGACTTTGAAGGTGGTTGTAAGGGCGAACCGCTTGTCTCTGGCGATGCAGACAAGGAGTTCTGAAAAGCAAGAAGCTGCTCCTTGGTAAAGTATTTCTCCTTGTCCCAGATATCAATCAAGCCGATCAGTCTTCTCTTGACCTTCGATTTCCGCTGGGAAGCAGCCAATTGAAACAGATCGCATAAAATTGGACGCAAGGATTGAATGACAGTCTCCTCTGTCGATACATTCTGATTATGGTATTTGGAGTGATGGAGGAGATCATGAACTAGGTAGAGAATGTGCAATCGTTGACGCGACAGGAAGGACTTGGAATTGTTTTTGGCTTCAGAGGCCTTATGTTTGGAAACTGAGAGTAGGAATTTTCCCAGTGCAATAGTCCTTGGAGCTGAAACGACGACATTGTCGAGTAGCCACTGTTTGCACGCCTGTAAGTCTTCAGTAAATTTACTTTGTAATGCTACTTGGAGGACTAGAATCCTTCAAACCTGAATGTTCTGTATCGTGCAATTGCGGAGAGTTTTGTCAAACATGGATTGAAAATGTTCGAGATCATCACGAGAGACTTTGGTTACATCAGGGCGTAAAAGTGATGCAGCGAATGTCGCCTTCGCAAGGGACATATGATGCGCAGCCATGAGGGTGGTTTGCAGCCAAATGAGGTGCCAGTCGTTGCAGTCAGAACGGCAAGAGATCCTATCCATGTCATTACCAACCCAAGATACGGCTAACACGTGATTATGGCATTCTTGATCTTATCTTATCATGGTGGTGCGCACTACATACAGTACATATCTCATGCACGGGTATAGTACTCCTTACCACTTGGTAGAAGGTATGTACACTATATACATATGCAGGTGCCACTACTAGGAGTAAATACCCCGATGAAATTCCATCATCCAAGTGCAGAGACCGAGCATATATGTACGTAGAGTATCTCCTCTAGCTCCCTAGGTTGGTACCTATGTGGCATTTGACTAGGGGCCAACGAAAAGGGCCACAGCGACTCATAATTACAAGTACCATACACGGTGCCCTTTGTAGTCTGATATCGAAGTTATGCGGTCAGGGACTTTGGAAATCGAGGCAATAAAATTGAGCGTCCAGGATGGGTCTCGGTGGTCAAGTGGTCATCAAGTTACTCGTACCAAGCCCACAAGTATACATGTCTCGTTTGGAGAGAACCTTCATACCGGGTACGTTTGACAGCTTATCTACCTGGGCCTCCTTCTTTGCAGCTCGCCTGTGCAGAACCGTTTCATGCAGCGAGCGCCTCCATTCACCCGAAATTAGCCTATGCCCGGAAAGTCCCATGAAATGACATGGCACGACATGAACGGAGTCACGTGCAAAGCGCAAGGGCAAGGGCAAACCTCGAGACGAGAACGCAAGCACACGCCTCTGACAAAAACCGCCGCCGCGAGAGAAAAGAAAGGCAGCTCCAGTCATGCGGCGTGCTTATTGTTATTTTGTTTTGTGCTGCGGTGTACGGCACGGAGTACTGGACATGGGGAGCTCTCTACTGTGGTTCTTCCTCCCACGAGAAGTGGGAGGAAGCTTGACACGCTAGCCTGTTGCGGCAAGGCTCCCGAACTCCCGGTAACACGGATGCAAGTCGATCTGAGGGAGGAAAGTACGCGTGGGTGAATTCTGTGTGTATTTTGGTGTAGACCAGCCAGGGTCGCTCCTGCAAGTTTTCCAAGCGGTGGCCGACGCGACGCGGCTTACCCCGAACGGTGTGCCGGGCGGTCGGCTAATGGGATTCGTTGCAGTAATGTAACTCGTACATAAGTTCGTAACTGACTAAGTCGGAGCTTGCAGAAGATGAGAGCTCGCTGACATTATTATTGACATTATTATTGACATTATTTTTTTTGCTTCCGTCGCCGCCTCTGAATTTTACCCCAAACAAAAATAAAACCCAAGGGAGCCACTATTTTCAAATCAACTAGTACTTATTAGGAGCTGTTATACCTGGCAGTCCCCTTGATCCCTTGACCGCCTACTCCGACTGGGTTCCTGGATACTCCGTACCTGGGGATTGCTTATCCGAAACCGCCTCCTCCTGCTGGAGCTGCCGGTCTGGCAATCTCGAAATTTCTCAAAAATTCATGCCACCATCCACTTCGTCCCATTATTCCCATCTTCCGTTTCCCCAGACTGCAGACTGCGCCGCTTAGCTTTCTTGTCTGCTGTCCCTTTGACAGCTCGCCTTCTCCCATCATCATTAGCATCCTTTCCCTTCTTCCCTGTCCTTTGTCCCTCCCCTAAACAGCAGACACCCTTTCTCTTCTTTAGATTCGTGGATCGATAGACCTTCTATTCTTGTTTGTAGGGGGTGTTGGGTGGCTCTTTTCACCGGTTCAATTTACCTCTTGTCCTACCGATCTCCATCTCGGTCCATCGCATCTCTCCCTTCTCACACCAGCCATGGCGACCGTTACAGAGGCTGTCAAAGAATCCCTCCTGGGTTCCACAGCCTCTCCAAACCTTTCCTCCGAGTCGAAAGCCACCTTCCTAAAGTACGCTCACCAGGATGCTGATGGCGAGCTGTACATGAGCGAGGAAGACTTCATCAATGCCGTCGCTCCTCCAGAAGAAGACTATGTAGGTCATTATCTTCTTCCCTTCAGCCGATCTGTGTTGTGTCCTTGGGGCCTTGCTAACGCGTCATTTCCACCATAGCACAAGATCAAGAGAGAACAGTATGGGATTCTCTATGGTGTCGCCGACCGACATAAGCGTGGGAAGATCTCCATGTCCGAGTGGGCTTCCTTCGACAACCTCCTTGCGAAGTCCGACGCCGAATACGAGATCGCATTCAGGCTCTTCGACACAGATGGAACTGGTTCCATCAAATCAGATACCTTTCAAAAGATATACGAGCAGAACCGCGGTCAAGACAGTATCCCGTTCGACTTCAACTCCGAGTGGGCCTCTCTGTACATTGGTGGCAAGCAAAGAAGACATGAGATGACATACCCACAATTCGCCCAGATGATGCGTGGCCTTCAGGGTGAACGAATACGACAGGCATTCCATCTGTATGATAAGGACAAAGACGGTTATATTGACCCTGAAGATTTTGAGCGCATCATCCGAGCCACTTCAGGGCATAAGTTGTCGGACCATCTCCTCGAGAACCTACCTACACTTTGCAACATCTCAACCGGAACAAAAATCTCATATGCTAATGTCCGGGCCTTTCAGAACGTAATCCGTGAGATGGATCTGCTTGACCTGATAATCAGAAATGCCACTGCAAAATCAGCAGATGGTAGGATCGACAGAACAGATTTTCTGAACGAGGCTGCCAGACTCACCCGATTTTCCCTGTATACTCCCATGGAAGCTGATATTCTGTTTCACTTCGCCGGTTTGGACACTCCCTCAGGCCGTTTGGCTCTCGATGACTTCGCCAAAGTGTTGGACGCAAGTTGGCAAACTGCCGGCGCCAAGCTTGGTGCAATGACTGATGTGGCAGATCGAGCTGTGTCCAAGTCTCGGCAATTCTTCTTGGGTCTGCTCGAATCAGCCCATCATTTCGGCCTGGGAAGTATTGCTGGCGCATTTGGTGCATTTATGGTGTACCCCATTGATCTTGTGAAGACGCGATTGCAGAATCAGAGAAGTGTCAGACCAGGTGAAAGACTCTATGAAAACTCACTCGACTGTGCGCGCAAAGTCATCAGAAATGAAGGCTTCCGTGGCTTGTATTCCGGCGTGCTTCCACAATTGGTTGGTGTGGCACCAGAGAAGGCTATCAAACTCACTGTGAATGACCTTGTGCGCGGACGATTTACCGACAAACAAACGGGTTTGATTCCTTTGAAGTTTGAAGTCCTTGCAGGCGCGACTGCTGGTGGTTGTCAAGTGGTAAGTCTGCCCCTCGCTATCAGCCGCGCGCCCCTTTAGCATGTGTATACTAACCACATCCCGAAACCGAACAGGTTTTCACCAATCCCCTAGAAATCGTCAAGATTCGCCTGCAAGTACAAGGAGAACTGGCGAAGAAAGCCGACGTCCCCAAACGTAGTGCGATGTGGATTGTTCGAAATCTGGGTATCCTAGGTCTCTACAAAGGTCTCAGCGCTTGTCTGTTGCGTGACGTGCCCTTTTCTGCCATTTACTTCCCCACCTACAGCCATTTGAAGAAAGACTTCTTCGGCGAATCGCAGACCAAGAAGCTCGGTGTCCTCCAACTTCTCACTGCTGGCGCCATCGCTGGTATGCCTGCGGCTTACCTTACAACTCCATGCGATGTGATCAAGACCAGACTACAAGTCGAAGCCCGCAAAGGCGACGCCACATACAATGGTTTAGTGGATTGCGCACGAAAGGTCTACCGTGACGAAGGATTCAAAGCCTTCTTTAAGGGCGGCCCCGCACGTATACTACGAAGCTCTCCACAGTTCGGCTTCACACTCGCGGCCTATGAGGTCCTCAGCACATTACTTCCCTTCCCTGGTTCCGAAGAGGCTGAGTCGCAGAAATCCACCGCTGGAAAGATGGAGCCTGGTGTCGGTCTTAGAGAGGCTAAAGCACCTTTACCCTATCTTCGGAGCAGAAACGCGCTCAAGATTCTCCTGGACTTGGACAATAACTTCGGCCGTGTCAGGATCCCTGATGCTGCGAGTTCGTGGAAGAGTCTGCCTGGGTTTGGAAACACCAAGGCCTAGGTTTGCTTCAGTGCATAGAGCATAGAGGTCTAGATCGTTTAATTGCACTTACGACAGCGGGGACATGGATTTAGCCGAACAAATGGCTTGGTCATTTTAACTAAGTGCTAGTCAAATGGATGGAGCTGATATCCAATGGCCATAGTGTTGCAAGGCAAGGTGAACACACACATGTATCAAAAACCAGGGTCAATGTGGACAGTGGGGATGATAGAGCCTTGCATATAATGAGGGACTACAACTAACTTCTGGTTAGTTCCTCTTTCCATTTTCCAACCTAACCTGCTGTTATTTCCCTTTGTGGTGCGAGCTCATTTCTTTTTTTGCTTTAACATTCCCAGTTCGCACGCTTTTGTCGCAAGCCTTATTCCACATCAATGATCCAATCGCACATGACAGCGAGAAGATGCTCCTAGTACTGGTCCAACGGCTAAATGAGTTCAAAATACCCAAACTGTGTGCCACCAGGTGCTTGTGATAACACATAATGCTTCCGACGAGGCTATATGTGCAGCTGTGCCACCAGAACCCCTTAGACTGTGGTTAGATGGTCCCGGAAACGAGGTAACAAGCTTATTGCTTGTATTAACATCAGGAGGAATTGTCATTTAGTGGGCTGCATTAGAGCAAGGTGACGTTCACAGCACTTCTCGATCTAGCCCAGCAGATATCACCAAAACAGCGTTTATACTCTAACTTGATTGGCAGAGGTGGAACTGCCTGGGAAAAGCAAGTTGTTGAGCGAGCCACGGCCATGCTGAAAGCGGCACGAGATAGTGAGTCTTAGCACAACGGATCAGGCTGACTTTCCATTCACATTATTTTTTCGGCCTCCTGCATCCCTTTGAAGTCCCTTGAGGAACCACGATGTATCACAGAAGTTGGGGACCCTTCGATGTGAGACTCAAGAATGTCAGAATTGAGAATGAAGCTGGACAAGAGCGTCTTCTTGACGAAGGTAGGCAGGCCGCAGCCGGAACTGTGAAGGTCCAGACGCGAGACTTGGAAGCCATTACAAACCACCAAGACTACATATCTGTCACTCGTCGCCACGTTTAGTGGGATACAAAGTGGCTGGATCTGATCTGATCTGATCTAGTCGGATGATTTGGACTTCTGTATTGATGGCTTTTGCTTAACATTGCGGTTTCGTCTATTTTGACTCCATCTGGCAAAATGTCTGCTGTAAAAGTGTCTGGTGGGTATTTCCATTAGCCTATCTAGCTCAGCGCTCGAGTTAGGATCGTTCCCTTTCCTTCGGGAAGGCTGTCTTCCTGAAACAAACGCCTCAATTGTCTTGGGACCATCCCCCACCAATCCTAAGCCGGGCTGCCGACCCGTGTTCCACGGGAACTCTCTGGGGAAAACACGTGGAGACAGAAGTCGTATGCTAATAATAATGGGACCTCCATTGCCCATTGCCGGTTCAAGAAACAAGCCTAATAGGCCCGACGGCAGCTGTGATAAGCTTTAAGATCTGCTAGCCGGGCTACAGGAAGCAGCTGACACCTAGACTTCCAGGATGGGATTTTGAGACCGACTCGGGGCCTTGGTGAACTCAATTCGGAGTCAAGAGCTTCTTCCGTCTCGATTCACTATAGGTCATGACTAGAAAAGGATGTGTTGATCCACCTCCAGATCCACAGAAAGGAAACCATAAGGCCCAGAACACGCTTCGGGCCCTGCCAAGTGTATCCGCCGAAGTATATCTGTATTCTGTCAAGCATGCCAAAGCCTTATTCCACTTCATTTACTGCTTGGGGGAGGCATCTATGCAGAGCACTAGCTTGCCACTTGGCAGGCCGGATTCCTGGAACGTCTGTTATGTATGTCAAAAGCTAGGATCTAGACCTGCATTCTCGTTCAGCTGAAGCAGTAGTCGAAGCATGGGATGCAGAAGAGATCCCGATTTCAGTACTGTTGAGGAAAACATGTCTCAAGCAGTCTGCAGAGGGACGTCGGCGATGGGTATATAAGTCTCTCCCTTTTCCGTATGCTGTCTGTTATCCTTCTCCAGCATCAGCAACTCTGCGCGATATCTCCCATCATTTGTGCTGCAGTATCTCTTTTCTCATCAGCTTTTCCTCGCACACACCCCAGCATAACCAAACAAGATGGCTTCAGCTCTTTTAGCCGCCGCTGGATCGCTCTTGTCGGCCGGAATGTCACTCAATGACAAGCTCATGAACCGCAAGGGCGCCGACTCGCACACCAGCTGTGGCATTGTCTTTCAGAACTTCAGCAACCGAAAACTCTGGATTACTAACAACGGCCTATCCCATGGCACATGGACCACAGCTGCCCAACCTCCTCAGATTATTCCGCCAGGGAAGGCGGTTGCATTCATGAGCGAGTCGAAAGGTTTTGCCACCGGTACGCAAGGCTGGTGCAACGTTTCCTTTAAGCCCCACAATGACTGGGATATCAAATTCAACTGGAACATCCCATTCGCAGGAGGAAATTCGTACTAGGGCAAGATGAACGGTCATGACAATGACTATATTCTTACTGCACGGGGGCCGAGCCAGGGCAATAACGTTCTGCTCAAGGTCTACTTCAGCGCTAAAGATGAGTCTGGCAATGCGGACCAGGACGAGGTGGAAGAGGAGGGGGGCAACACAAATGGCAGTTCCAGGAACGATAAATCCAGGAACAATGATGATGAGGATGAAGAGGAAGAGGATAACTCTAGAAACGACAGATCCAGAAACAACGACGACGATGAAGAGGAAGAAGGAGGCAATGACGAAGAGGAAGACGAGTAATTCAGTCATGTCGTTTCTTGCTGATGGGACAGCTGTGACTGGATCACGAGTGACCAGTCAGTAGCAAAAGGGCTAGATCACATTCATAGTCTATCTTATGATCACGGAACTCCGTAGCGTGCGAACAGTGGTTCTTACGATGTCGAAAGCAAATCAGAATCTCCACAGAAAAATGAATCAACTCTCACGCGCAGATACCATGTGTGATGTTTTAAACCTCCCAACCAATGACACCGTGGCTTTGTGCTAACATGCAACATGAGTTCAGCGCGATTGCCGCTCGGAGGACTATGCTGCGACAAATCAGGTGGAGCTTCTTGACTATATATCGAACCGAATATGGCTAACGCAGAACTCAGAGTTGACGGCTTCATCCTCTCTTTCCTGCCTTCTCGATGCGGCCTGCGCCAGAATAGATTCAAAAACTATGCTGGTCTTTGGTTTGGCGGATAGAGTTGAAGCTCAGAGGGTTTCTGTATCGTGCTGTCGTCTTAGGCATGCCAGTTCCGTTGCGCCATTGAGCGACCCCTGAAGTGGATGCAACCATGACTATTGACTTGAACTTTCAGTAAGTGAGAGCAGAAGGAAAATGATGGGCCATCTTCAGTTATAAATCGAGCGCCCTATACTAAGACGTGGGATTCTGTGACATGATGACGAAGAGTGCGTCCGTTCGCGCGCACGTTGCATGTCATGAAGGACGTTCCAAGGTGGCTTCGTCACAGTGGAGTCGATGATAACGTTGAACACGTTACATAACTGGCTCGATATTGACTAAAAATGATACGTAGGTTACCCATTCATCTTAGCTAGCAACGTTAAAATATTTCTCGGCATCCCTCAGGCCGACGAATCGTTGCTCACTTCTGACTTTGCTTGCTTCGTTTCCACCATTTGCGTCTCCTCCACATGCTGACCAGTGATAGCGAGGACGCTGGAGTCAGCAAAGGCAGCAGATCCCTCGAATTTAAGTGCGATTTCCTCCAGCGGAATCCCCTTGGTCTCCACCCAGGTGAAGTAGATAATGGCCAGGAAGATGATGTTGTAAGAAGCATTGATCAAATAGAACTTCCATCCCAGGTCTGCCATGGCATAAGAGAGCGCAAAGGACGCCATGAGCCTGTTTGAAAGAGTGTCAGGACAAGGGCATCACGTGGATGGAGAACATTAGAAAGGAGGAGGATGCTTACCCGAATCCGCTGTCCAGCATGCGGAAAATGGCGATCCCAGTGGTACGGAGTTTATACTGTGAGACTTCGGTCGGGTACAGACTCGTCAGAGGGGTGATGGAGAATGCGTAGAGGCCTTGGAACAGGAAGATGAAGGCGATGGTGCCGTAGATTCCGGATTTGTTGGAGCTTTCTCCAAATGCTAGTTACGGGTGAGTTTCTGGATGCCCTGGAGAACGCGAAGAAGGCCAAATGCTTACTCTTGATCATTCCGGCAATGGCATATAAGCACACGATCATCCCGGCCACGCTGCCGAGTGCCTGCTTGCGTCGGCCGATGAAGTCGAGCAAGTAGCTGCCACAGCAAGCCACAACAAAAGACCAACAGCTCAGGATGACATTGATCTGGGTCTTCGTATTGACTTCGGTGATGCCGGCCTGGGTGAGTATCTTGTCCAAGTAGAACCTGTCATCGTGATACGTCAGTGACATGTGCAAGTAGACTCGATGGGAGCATCACGCACGAGATGACAAAGTTGCCAAAAGAGTTGATCATGACACCGAAGGTGCACAGAATCAGGAGGCGCTTCCTGTTCGCTGGAGTGGCCGCAATCTCGACCCAGGGATTGGAGTTGGACATGGCCGTTTCGGCGGCCAGAGCGCTTTCGATTTCTGCGAATGTTGTCTGCACGCTTTCGGATTCGGGGTTACCGCCTCCCTGAACAACAATCAATACCTCTCGTGCATGCTCGTGCCTGCCTTTGGAGAGCAACCAGCGGGGAGACTCAGGAACGAAAGGCAGCAAGACCAAGGCGAGCAAGCTGGGAATCACTTGAAGCATCGAGGGGAGTCTCCAGGACCAGGTCGACTGGATGTTCTGGCTGCCATAATTGATAATGGCAGATAACAGGCTGCCTACATAGAAGCAAGAAAAGAAGAATCCTAAAATCCGCCCTCGAGTAACAGCCGGAAGGAGTTCACCCAGCAGCGCAGGTGCCGCGCCACTGGACAGCTGAGAACCAAGGCCGATAATGATTCGCGCCACGATGAACATGCCGATGTTCTGTGCCGCGCTCTGTAAGATGATTCCGATAAAACAGATGATGGCAGAGAACAGGATAGCATTCTTGCGACCATACGTATCCGGGACGATCTGCATCAAAGGACCGGACAAGATGGCACCCATCCATGCAGCAGCGTTGTTGAGGCCATTGGTGGTAGTGTTGAGGTTAAAGTACTCTGTGTAGGATGGCAGAATTTGCAGTCCATTCATCACCGACGAATCATAGCCCAGTGTCTACATTTCAACCGTCAGAGACACCGTATACTTTGCTGCGTGCAGTTGACGGCATATACTCACCGCAGAATTGATGACAGCGACCGCTATGACCACCACAGTGAATATCTTGGGGTTCCTGGGCACCCATCCTGACACATAGTTACGCTCGAACTTGGCCATGTTGGTGTTGAACTTTGCCACAAAGAAGGACGACGATCGATGATGCTGGAGACCTGCAGAACACCCATGTCTCCTGATCTGTTGATTTATATGTATTGTCCATGCCGGCAGGCGCCGCATCTGATTGTGAATGAACGTATGTATCTCTCCGCAAGTCTCATCGATTCCCTCAGCTCACCTTTTCAAAGCGTTGGGTGTGTTTTGATTGAATAACGGGCGGGTTGATTGGGTGAAGCCTAAACTCACCCGTGCTCACCCGTGAATCTTGGGATAGAGCTGGGTGGTCAAAACGTCGCTAATCTGATATTGCCGTATTTAGCGGCTAGGATATGTGGACCAGTTGGAGGAGGGCCAGGGATTCACTGAAGCGATTGCTAACTCTTTTCGTTGATCTTTAAACTCACCCGAAACTCGGCCGTGATCAACTGGACTGACGTTCCCTATGGAAGCAATATTGTTGACAATGCTTAGCCTACTTCTTATCGAGCCCGCACTATTTACGCAGCAGCTTCTCTCGTTGCAACAATAAATGGTATTGCTGCTAGATATTCAATTTTTGACCGCCGCCAGGCCTGCCGTTATCTCCTGCCGGATTCGATGCTGTTATCTCAGAATTAGACGTACGTACCTCACCCACGAAGTTCCGCCACTCATCTGGCCCAAAGCGATGCCAGGCAAGATCAAGTCGTGGCCCGCATGGCGGGAATACGGCCCAGATGCCAATGGGTACCATCCCAAAGATCCAGAGTATGCTGCCAGCAAGAGATCGATTCTCGAGCAATATGGCCAGGAGGCTCTTGAGACCAGTTGGCTCCAAGTATGCCAGGATCTGGAAGCCGTCACATCAGATCTTGCGAATAAGAGAAGCAACTGTGTGCCTATCTTCAACAGTAAAGATGTTCTGGGAGGTGGCTTTTCTGAGGACCAGTTGGCACAGATCAAGCAGTATGGCTGCTTTGTTGTTCGCCAGGTCATCCCAGAAGCCACGGCCACTGGATTGTACCAGAACCTCAAGTCCTACATTGCCGATAACAAGGCACATATTAAAGGCTGGCCAGCGGAATCTCCCAGTATGCTGCTCATTTACGACTCGCCCACGCAGATCGCCGTGCGAACCCATCCAGATCACCTGAAGCTGCAGCGGCTGCTGAATCAGCTGTGGCATGATGACTCTGGCCACGCGTCTTCCGATCCGCTGTTGTACAGCGACGGCGTCCGGGACCGTCCACCCCAGCAGGAGTTTTTGGGCCTCGGGCCTCATATCGATGCTGGAAGCCTTTGCCGATGGGCTGATCCAACCTACCGAAAGGTATACCATCACATCTTCTCCGGGAGTCCACGACAGCACGACGCCTTCGATCTCACTATCCGCAAAGACGCTGATCAATTTTTATTTCCTGGAGCTGCGCACTCCACGGTTTTCCGGTCGTTCCAGGGCTGGACGGCTCTTACCAAAGCCGCCGCAGAAGAAGGAACGATACTGCTGTACCCAAACATAACCACAGCGATTGCATACATTTTGCTCCGACCGTTTTTCAAGCCTCCTGCTAGCCAAGCAGACATGTTGGATGCCAGCAAGTGGACATTCGATGCAGAAGGTGCTTGGTTTCCTGGCACGTTCAAGGAACATAGTCAATATCTTAGCAGATTATCACATCCGCACCTCCGGCTGGAAGATTGTCTCGTACATGTACCGCTTATCAAGCCAGGTGACACTGTCTGGTGGCATGCAGATGTAAGTCGAGTCTCTTCGTAACGAGATCAAGAGTACTAACAGCGTGCAGCTTTGTCATGCAGTGGATCCTGAGCATAATGGCGACGAAAACGCCAGCGTCGCATATGTTGCCGCCTGCCCAAGAACAGCTGTTAATGAGGCTTATATCAAACACCAGCTTCAATCAACACTGGCTGGTAAGCCGCCTCCAGATTATGCCGATGGCTTGAACACGGACGAGACCAAATTCAGGGGATACACTGGCCATCAAGGTCTTTCTAATGAGGCCCAAGCGGCGCTCGGTTACAGCCTATGAAAGTCAGCGATAAATGACAATGCTCCTTGCCCAGCGATATCGATTCTCACTGTTTTTTCAAACTTCGCCATCGGCAGATAGCAATAGATCTAGCTAGCTCAAGTAGTCAATCGTTGGCTTGGACCTAAAGTTCCCGCTCCTTGGTCATTGTCCAGTTGTGTTAAGATTTGGACAGCTGTCTTTGCTACAGCACTGGTATCCTCAAGCTGTGAGAGGTACGAAATTGAGTGGTCAATAAGATCCCGGCAATCGGTGACACCGGAAAGGCCGTGGACTTCAATATCATTTAACAGACAAGCGACGGCTGCATAAATATGGACAGTAGCAGCCCTGCGAAGGGTCGAATTAGCACGTATAAGCACTGGTGACCACGACTTGCTCCTACCATTGTCGGCGTTTGGTCAACGGGATTGTCCATTCACGTTGAATCAATAGAATGCCCCTGGCCGAGCTGAGACAGATCGCCCTCGGTCCACCGTACTGGTCCTGATCGACAAGCCAGGAACTTTGCAGTGTGCGGTTGATGACCATCCTGTAATATAATAGAACTAGCGTGAGGTAGACTCTTTGCCAAGCAATCCAAGGATAAGTTGTGTCGCGCCGAGTTGTGTAGTCGTCTTGAGGCTGATCGGGCTGTAGATGGCTGGGGAGGCTCGAGATTATCTCAGCCAGCTTATTATCTGTGTCTTGTACAATTTGCACAACGGGGCTTTCCATGGACCGTAGATCTCGACGAAATCTCTGGTAGACGGAAGAAACACTGATCATGAAGATGTGATAGTCGACGGGAGAACACGGTGCTATTCCATCACAGCCTTTGGCAGTCATGGCCGGCTCAAACTCCAGCTCCGGTAACGGGACATTGAAATCATGTTCTGTGATGCATGGTGCATACCATGGTACCGATAGCCTGGTTGTAGATCAGCTCCTGATTTCAACTTCGCGACGGAGCAAACCCGGACCATTCACAGATAATCAAAGTCCACCATAGCCTGCGGCACAACTGTGGTCTGATTCTTAAGCTGGTGACCATGGATCTGTCCATGCCTAAGCCCTGCGCGATGCGAATGGCGCAAGACCACAAGTTCTTGTACAACTTGTACTCCCCGAGAGTGTTAAAGCATATTCCTAAGACAGCGATCGTCTGCACGGTGAGAACATCATCCCTTCTCATAAAATTTGAGAAATGAAGGTAATAAAGTGACGTATCGAACCACAAGCGTAGACTAGAATCGACGTCACCTCGTTGCTTTGTCAGTGTTAAATGCACCAACATCGATTGATCGCGTCATTACCTGTCGGAAGGTTTAGATTGATGCTCTCCCTTTCATCCATAGTAAGCAAGGCAGCCTGCGTGAGTCTCTGAGCATTCGATCCTAAAGAGCAATTGACGGATTCTTACAGCAAGGACGGCAAAGTATAGAGCCAGCCACGCGGGATCGATCTGATCGGCAGGCGTGCCAGCGGATAACTTCTCCCAGAGGAGTTCATGCTCGTGGTCAAACTCTGGGTATTGCACGGCGTAGTGCACCCACGAGTTCCAAATTTTGTCATGCTCGATCAGCTTGATGCTGCAATCCCGTGTCGGGAAGACAATGCAGTCGTGGTCGAAATGGTGGCGGACAGGTGCCTGCTGGACGTTGTCAAAGAGATACCGTTCATATAGGTCGTAGTCCTGTACCGCGCCCGCATCGAGTGTGGCGACAGACTGGGGCTTAGGTATTGACAGATACATTGCATGCCGCAATCTCCGGTTCTCTTCGAGAAGCTCATTGTATGTCGGCAAACGGTCTTTGGCAGGCGCTCTACCCCAATAAGCTTCTAGAATAGGCCTTATTCATTCAGAGTGCACCTACGTGGTGACTGCACCGCGGACGAGAACCGTCTCCTTACAGCAAGCATCCGGTATGCCCTTCCTGATGCATTGATTACAAGGGGCGTTCTTGTCACATTTGATCTTGAGTCGAGAGCACCGCGTGCAACTCTGAGGCGCACGCTGTGTTGATCGTAGAGCACCAACGGGTGACTCGAAATTGGCTGGTGAGTACATACCTGGGGTTCTACTCGCCAGAAGTCGGCAGATTGCAGGAGCAATATGCAGCTGGCCAAGGCTCTTGCAGAACGTGGAAAGGAGATATATCGCTGACTCAACGAGATTGCTCAAATCACGCTCGTCACTCGGAACGATTGGCTGATTCAGGAAACTCGCCCGAACTCACCCGCGGGGGAGAGCCTGACACGTGACCTGCAGATAACCACCTCTTATGCTTCCACTACTTCGTTATTCGTACTTCTCATCTCTTTAATCGGCTCTCCTCTGCCTCCAGGTATCCTCAGTGACCCAGGCGTTTTGATACCGCTAGCAAGTACGACATTGATCCCTCCAGCCCGGTCATGGATCAGCCACTCGCTTTCCACGGCACAATCGCACACTGTCTGGACGATGGCACGACCAAGATTCTCCCCGACAGCCTCCTGGTTGTCGGCCAAGATGGCCGAATATCTCACATCAAGCACGGCATACCCACCTCCTCCGCTCAGGACCTTCTCTCGCAACTGAATCTCCCAGGATCCCCGCCCACACTCCGTTTCCTCTCAGCAACCTCATTCCTGATCCCAGGCTTTGTCGACACGCACAACCACGCCCCACAATGGGCGCAACGCGGGCTGGGCGGCGGGCTCCACATCCTCGACTGGCTGGAGCGCGTGACGTTCCCGAACGAGGCGAAATTCGCGGACCCGGAGTACGCACGAGCCATCTACTCCTCTTGCGTCGACGGATTCATCAAGCAAGGCGTGACGACCTGCTCGTACTACGGCTCGCTCCACGGGCCGGCCACGAAGATCCTGGCCGAGATATGCCTTGAGAAAGGGCAGCGAGCGCTCATCGGGAAATGCAACATGAACCGCAGTGCGCCGGATTACTACCGCGACAAGGACGCGGCGGAGTCGTTGAGAGTCACTCGGGAAGTCATTGATCACGTACGCGGGCTTGATCCGGCGGGGGAGCTGATCAGACCGATTCTGACGCCGCGCTTTGCGATCTGCTGCGATGAAGAGCTGCTGACGGGTCTCGGGGCCCTCGCGGCGCAGAACCCGGAGCTGCCGATCCAGACGCATTTCAACGAGGCACAGCAGGAAATCGACGCTACCCTGAGCCTGTTTCCGAGCTTTCAGAATGAGGCCGATCTCTACGAGCATTATGGGCTGCTGACGGACCGCAGTATACTCGCTCATTGCACCATCATGACTGACTATGAGATTGAGAAGCTTCGAGAGGCGGGCAGTGGCGTGGCTCACTGTCCTGTGTCAAACACGACGGTGGGAGGTGGGTTCATGGCCGCGCCGATCGCAAAGTTCCTCGAAAAGGGAATCAATGTCGGTCTGGGTACGGACAGCGGCGGAGGATTCTCGTCCAGCATCCTTGACGCAATCCGCCAGGCGATCATTGTCTCGAACGCCAGGCAGGTCATGACGGGCGAGTCCGCGCTCTCCGTCTGGCAGTGCTTTTTCCTCGCTACCTTGGGTGGTGCTAAAGTCTGCAGCCTGGATGACAAGGTTGGAAACTTCCAAGTCGGCAAAGAGTTTGATGGTCTTGTGCTCCAAACGGAAATCGATGGAGTCATGACCATGCTCGAAAAGTCAGACACTCTTGAAATCATCTTTGAAAAGTTTTTGATCACGGCGGATGATCGCAATATCGCTGAGGTCTATGTCAAAGGCCGTCAGGTCAAAGGCTCGGTGTGACGACCCGCAAAATGATCACGCCTTTCGTTCGGGCAGTTGTCACCGGTAACCATTGAGCCGAGCGTTGGATAGTCAAAATAATATCTCCCTATCCAGTATAGCAACTTCTAAATGAAATGTAGCTGTAGAACAGGGGCGCAGCAGCGAATGAAAAAGAGAACAGGCGATGATTAGTAGCTCTGGATTTTCATTATGCTCCGCCTTCATCTTGTCATCTAATATCCACCGTACCGCAAGTATGTTAGCAACTTCGGGAGATAGTAGCTGCAGCTGCTGCATAGTTAGGACGGGATACATATGGTCTTTGAATGGAGTGAGTTGGATCGTGAAATGTGCTTCAGGTGGTGATTGCATCGATTGTCCCCTCCAGCCGCTGCGTCCGCAATCCAAATCCGCCCTGATATCCAGCAGCATCTTCCTCACCAGAGAAACATGATTGGATAAATCGTAACAATAATTCAACCCTCGAGCCTTCGATTGGATTGGATTATCAGACTTATAAGCACCATCAGTATTGTGAGCTATTCTCCTCGTCGTCCGAGGTTGACTCTATCCACTCCGTGGTTTTCCATTTATTCCATACCCATAGCCAAACGATATTCCCTCCGGGCTCCTTCATAGGGGATTTGAAAAGTTTCGCGTCTCGGATCTCCATCCTTAGGATTATACGGTACCGGCCCGGGCCAGACCCCGCTTCCATCTCTCGGTCCTTCTCGATAATACCGCTGGCACTCTAGGTAGTCCGTCCAATTGCACCCAAACAGCCTCATTTGGATCTCAGAAGGCACGAGTCCATTTGGATCCATGCACTCATTGACAGCACCATGATTGACAAACGCTCGGATCGTGTCGCGCACTCCTTTGACTTGATTTTGGCGGTCTAGCGTGTGACTGTTCGCGAACTGCCACAGAAGTTCCAAAGGCTTGCCCCGGGGTCCATGATTATTGACATCCGCAGAATTTTCAAAGAGTAATTCTAGAAGTGTAGGGTTACTGAAAATATATGGATTGGTGCCTACCCCAGCGACAGCGTAATGGAGCACTCCTCCCAATGGACCGCATTGATCGTTAATGTGTGCACCCCATTCTTCAAGGATTCGGAGAACTTCCCTATCGTTTTCTGGATTGCCGAGTCTAATGCGAAGTCCGAGACCAGCCATAAGTGTGAGTGTCTTTCCTTGAAAGAATTCTTCAACTTGGGGATATTCCCATCCTAAGAACCAACTCAAAAGTTTCAGATCCACGTTCGCAATATTCAAACTCTGGCGTCCTGCCATTAACAATCTCAGTATTCTTGGTGTGCTGAAGCCGACTGCGAACAAAAGCTCATGGTTTTCAATGGTCGCCCCATATTTTAGAAGAAGTGTGAGCATTTGAGCCCAATCGTCTTCGTAGTAGTGCAGATTATATATCCGCTTGCAAGCAGAGAAAACCACCTGAGCCTTGAGAAACCTCAAAAGCCGACTAAAGTTAGCGGACTTTCCTCTTCCTACTGCACTTAAGATGTTGTCGACAATGTGCTGCATGTGATTAGATCTGGCCCGCTGAAGGTTTTCTTGAAGAAATTCATCCACATAATAGGCTAACATGTGAAACACTGAGAAATTCATTAGTTCGAATCGAATGCCATGACTTTCCAACATGCTAGCCAAAAATCGGCAATTGCATTTGAAAGACAGCTTCTGATGGACCTCAATAAACGCAGGAGTAAAAGACTTTCCAATGATTCTGCGGCATGAAACTTTGGAGAGCTTCTCGTAGGCAGTAGCATGTTCAAACACGGCTTTCGCGGCATAAGCAAGAAGAAGTGTCTCAGAAGCGGGTACGTGAGTTAGAACCATCTCAGTGGAGCTTAGTTCTGCACTAGTGTTGCCACCTGCACCTATGTTGTTCTCACGATCAGAAAAGGCCTGCGCGCGAAGAAACCTCAACTGAAACCGTATGGATATCGCGTCCGCGCTGGCAAATCTTAGAGCAAGCTTCGATCCATCCTGCCTGATGGCCTCAGCACAGATCTGCATCCATATCTTGTGGCCTAAGTCAGGGGTGGACATATCTCCAACCAGCTCCTTCCAGCCACCGAGTTCCAGGTAGGTGTTTGCCGTTCTGTGAATCAAACGAGGCAATTCGCAGTCGAATATTATGTCATCAAACTCGGCTTGAGCTTTGAAGACTTCTACAATGCCCCCTGTAACAGCAAGTAGCCTCATCGAGAACGAGGAGTCGTCAATCCCAAGCAGATGAGTTGTTGCATCCGGAGAGGACAGATTCCATGATGAGGGAACATAATAAAGTGCCTTTGCAAGCATGGCTGTGGTCAGATCAGATTGCTTGTAGCAAATCAACAGCAACAAGAGCGCTGCTATTTTTCTCTGGGCAGGTGCATAACGTCGAAAAATCCGAGAATAGATCTGGTGCAGCTCCTCTGGTAATTCTGCAAGTCTTTGTTCTAGTTCAGCAGATCCCAGTCGTTCACCACGGCTCAGGCCTTCTATCAGCTCATTGACGGCAAAACGAGCCCATAGGAAAACACCCTGGGATTTTTGTGCGACTTCCTCAGCCAAAGCGTGTAGAGCAACAGGCTCATACTGCCGAGCTGAGTAGAATTTTTCCAAAACGTCTAACCCGAAGGACTTGATAGCGTCAAAATTTAGCTCTTGCATCAAAATGACTGGCATACCAGCGAATGCGTCTGGGAATGGAGGATCAGGTCTGCTCGCGGTACATATTTTGATATTCTTTTGGTGAAGGCCCTTGATGAAGTTTGTCAATTCCACTTGTCGTCCATCATACTCGTCAAGGCCATCCAGGAGTATAAGGATATTTTCTGAACAGCTGGCAAGCGCCTGGAGGAGAGCATTCTTCAATGATTCGAGGGGCAGGTGCCCGGGGAATCCCGTTGGTCCAGCCAATGCTGGAATTTGCAAGGATCTCTTTTCAAAGAATTCATTTCGGGCGAATTGTTTTATAAAGTTTTGTAGTTCGGGGACGTGCTGGGAGAGGTCAGGTATATCCTGACAAAGCTGAAAAAGGAGGCATCTCAAGAATCCTTCAAAGCTATTGCTTATGCCGTCACGTGCCCGGAAATCGAAAAAGAAGTAAATCACTTTCCACAGCTTCTGATGAGCGTGTTGTAGAACCTCAGTAGTTTTTTCGGAATGTGCAATGTAGTTCATCAGCGTCGACTTCCCGCTTGCCGCCTTGCCCGAGATCCAGAAGAACGGACAGTCCTCCTCGAGCCAGGTTTTAAAGGATGAGGTCCAAATCCAATCAAATGTTTTTTGGGTCGTTTCTATGCCGCTGATTTGTTGTTGTCGAACACACCGTTCTTTGAAATCCAGGATTTCTTTCAGGACTGGCAACAGCGTCAGTTCTCCCTGAGCAGAAGACAAACTAGCTGGGATGAATCACATGTCACACACCTTGACATTCGGCCGCAAGACGCGCGTGCTCAGCTTTCTGTGCTGCAGTTTGCAATTGCCTTTCCCGTGCCTGAATTCTTGCGAGAAAGCCTTTCAATGCCGACCTGAAATCTGCATAGGCTGATGAGTTTGCTGAGCGGAAGCGTGCCATATCCATGTGGTTTTCGTTGACATGCGAACGTTGCTCGACGTCTTTTCGATTGAAGAAGGACGACGAATCTGGGACAATCTTGCCATCCAAATGCTTTATCGACGACAGCCCTTTACCTTCCTGGAAGCTATAAAGCTGGATCTTCTCATGGGCAGGGATATTTTGATTGAGAAGTTGATTGAAATCGCCTTCGACTAGGCTCAGCTTTTCTCCGTCGGGCTTCAGCCCTCTGAGGATCTCCTTGTAGAGACTAAAGCCACCCGGCAGAGCGCCCACGATATTGCTCAAGATTTCACCATATCTAGCGGCACTTGAGCCACGATGAGGCGTCCCGAAGAAGAAGATCGCAGAACAGGATTGATTGAGACATTTCAGATGGTTCTCATACTGGGCGGATTGGACGATTGCGTCCTTCACCAGTATTCCACCAAGACTGTGCGCAACAAAGATGATCGGCCTTGTCAAAAAGTCGATTCGATTGTTCGTGAGCTGCTGGAGGAGATTATTGGCATGTTGAGTAATAGTCATTTGATTCGTCTGTGCCGCGTAGAAATGGGACGGATGTGAGTCGTAGCCATACGTAATGACCCTTACATTGGCACAATCATTTGGAAGAAAATCAAGCGGCCAATAGCAGCCTCGTTTCTTTTGTAATTCGGGATGCGTAGTGTCTCCATCGGGCTGGATAGTCTGCTTCTCTTTTGCACGGCTAGAGCCGAACGTTGAGAACCTGAACCTCTTGCTCTTGGGGGCCGTTGGGTTTTCGTTCTCGGCCGGACCTCTCTTGTCGTACCAGGTTTTGAAGGGATGGCCCTTGAGGCCATGTACAAAGCAGATGTCGGCGAGAACATCTGTGGAAACAGGAGGACACCACAACTCAGTGACGCCGTTATCGAGGATATGAGGTAGAGGTCTTAGGATGGGCTGGTCGCGATCCTCAAGAACAGGCTGCCACTGATGATGGGTGATTCCATTTGGCGTTGGCCCATTCTGGGCTTCGGAAGCCATTGCGTCAAGTGCATATGGGCAAGAGCGTGAGTGGAGGAGCAACGTTTATTGGGGATTGTGACATCCCACATCATCGTCTTCCTGAGAAGCCCTCGTTCAACATCGGTTTAGCAATCTCCTCGTTGCAGCCGCTCCTGGAGGAAAAGAAGCTGAATGCCATGACCAGGCGGCAAGATGTCTGCGGTTAGGCTGGTAAGTTCAGCGAGGAAGACCAAGAAGGGCAGCCCCTAAGCATTGGCTGGACGCTGCAAGCATCAACTCCAATCAGCCACTTTTGGCGCCTGATATGTAAGTCGGTCTTCGCTTGCAGGCTTCGTTAATTATTTGCCCAAGTCGCCCGCAGCCTCAATGCTTGTCAGACTTTTCCTATCTGCAGCATGTGGGTGACACCTGCGTTCTCTTTAATTAATAATGGATGAAATGACCATGCAGGTAATCGACAACCGCGCCCTAGATTTTACCAGCACGGTACGGATGAGGGGAGTGGTGCAAGGTCCTTTAGGTAAGGACAGGACCTCAAGGACCACAAATGAGATAGAACTACACAGCCCGACTTTACGTAGACAATGGTTCACCTCTCAGAGGAATCCAAGGAACCCATGCAAAGGAGAAAAGAACAATCCACCAAACCAACCAAATCATTAGCACGCTAAACCGAGCATAGGCATATCTCGTTCAATCATTTCAAGGTATAAAGTATGTGGATGTATACACGTCCATCAATTTGAACACCCAGCTCAAGCTCAAAAACCAGCTGTTTGTCTCATCCAGCTGCAGCTCGTCAAACAGGTGCACCCAGCGCCTGACGTGCCCTTGTCCAGTAAGCCTGACGCTCAGGGGAATTCGCCGTCTGCACACAGCCAGTGATAAACCCATTCTGCCAGCCCTGCAGTCCACCATCAACCACCATCGCCCTCTGCTCCGTCGAGCACTTAGTCGCATAATACCACGACGCGGCCGCCCAAGCGTACTGATCCGGCTGCACCAGCTCGAGCACCTTCGCCGGATCCCCCGCGGCCGCGGCAACCTGTGGCGCCAGCTCGGGGATGCTAGCAGCATACTCGGCGACGAAGTTCGGCATCAGCATGGCACGGGTGCCTTGGCCAGGCCGACCGGGCGCCGGGAAGTGATTGCGGTTGAATTTGAAGTCGCCGGATTCGAACGCCATCCAGGAGAGGAGTGCGGCTTGCTCGGCCGCCGTGGTGATACTGTATGTTGTGAAGCCGGCGAGCAGGGCGTTGACGACTGTTGCGGATGAGACCGAGCACTCGTCCGGGAAGGACGCGCCGATGCAAGTGTTGGAGGTGGGCGCGATGGCGATAAGCTGTTGGACTGCATCGGCGGCGCGGGCGGGCAGTTCGTTGTCGTTGTTTTGCGTCGGCAATGGCGTTGCGAGAGTGGTGCCAGCCACCAGCGCCATGACCGCGAGAGGACCTGTACGTAGGCTACGCATCGTTTCGACTTGTGTTTCTCCAAGCCGGTATTTCTTTTTCAGACTCGTGGTTTTCTTGAGAGATAAAGCTTTTGTAACCTCCAAACCCCGGAAAAGGAATGTTACGGGGTTTTAAACTAAAGGAATGTGCGGATATAAAACGAAAAGGATCAAACCACCAAAGTAACGCGCAGCGAGCGTGGGAGGGAGGGAGCAGGATGAATTCAAAGACCACCCACAAGTACACATACACAACGAAAGCAACAAAGGCAGCCGGGCCATTCATTATAAGCAAGCTTTGAACAAGCACGAGGACACGCACAAGCCTCCGTGCTTGTTCTGAACAAGGCTAGACAAAGGGGACGTCGATGTCAATGTCGATGTCGATGTCAGTTCGCAGGGAGGTCAGGCCTCCGTTGGACACCAGAAAAGAATGGCATGTTCGGCGGCATGAACGGTCGCTCCAATGGGAGGCCTCAGATACTCGGTCCCTGGTATGGCGCAAACGTTAGTGGCCAGCCGTTGAAGCGATGTATGTAAGCTCTTCCATCGTTGGGTGTCAGATGCTGGTGGACGTGGACGACAGGACTGGAGGGGATGAGACGGCTGTTTCGAAGACGCTGGGGGCTGGGAAGAATAGGAGGATCAGATCAGTGGGCGAGGAGTCAGGATGGACATGGAGAGGGAGGGCAAGGCGGCATTCGAGCTACTCGTAAAGGGGGCCAAGCTTTCTTTGGGCACGGGGATTGCCCCACTAGCTGATTGGTTGGCTGTCGAAGTGATGTGTTATCGCCTAACCTGCCATAACCATCTCAAGGAGCTCAGCGCCAATAACGGCGGTTGGTTAGTCTTATAGGCGGCGTGGGACCCGCTTCTTGTACTCGGTGCCCAGTACCATGGAGTGCTTCGTACACAGTACAGCTCTTCGAGAGAAACCAAGGTCGTCTTTTTCAAATAGCTGCTATATAGGGTATCATTATATTCCATCATTCCCAACCAGTTATAACCTGGCTAACGCCCCGTAACCACGTGCGTGCACGCCTGTGCCCATGCCTATACTCGCAACAGAGCAAGGCCGAATTCCGCGCGACTTTTCTCCAGCATATGTGCCCCATTCCATCACTGTCACTTCCAGACTCCGATAAAGAGATGATATCTCGACGGAATGGACCGCGATGATGGTGTTTGATGAGGAGGAGGATAATGATCATGGCTCATTCCTCCTCACCCTCGGCATCCTCGTCGTCTTCTTCGTCTACACCATTTTGAACAGCTGTGTCCTCTTGCTCGACCTCAATCTCGCCTTCAGCGTCAGCGTCAGCGTCAATGTCAGAGTCAGAGTCGGAGTCGGAGTCGGAGTCGGAGCTACTGCCATCATCATTGTCGCTTGGGTCACTGCTGCTTTGCTCCTCGACTTGTTGCAAGTCCTCTTCTTGCTTGACGGTCAACCTCCCGCTCCGTCGGGCATTCGTTTGCGTGCGTGCTGTGGGAGCAGCAGGTTCATGGTCAAGAAGCCACCACTCGCCCTGCTTCCTGCCAGGCTGGATCAGGCCTTCTTTGATAGCCCACTCTCTAAGGCCGGTGTCAATTGCTTCCTGATTGAGGCTGTATGCATCGCGCTCAAAGTGGCGGCCGACGTGCTCCATGCGAGCATCCCAGGCCTTGCCGTCTTCGGTGTCGACGAAGGACTCGCCGCAGAAGCCGCAGCTGCTCCTTTTGGGGGCCTTTCTCCGATCGATCCAGCAGCGGGTTCGGATGCTTTCAAGCTGCTTCTCGAAATTGTCTTTCTCCTTCTTCGACACGCCTTCCTCGCCTTTCTTGGTTCCGACCCAAGGAGCGTGCATCCGTCGACAGTGCTGGGTGAATAGGTCCTTCCGGTTGAAGTCATTGAAACCTCGTTGTTGACTACGGCTATCATCTGGGGAGCAGGATCCTAGATCACATCGGAAATAACCCAGTCGCAGGTGTTGAGATGCGACATGACGTTTCCATTCGTTCTTACTCGCAAACGTAGCCTTGCACCCATAGTGATGGAAGGTACAAGGGAAAGACTTGGCTCCCTGCTGTGGCTTTTTGACCGAATGCTTCGCACCTCTACCGGTGACGTTCTTGCTTTTAGCACGGGAATGCTCAGGTGCCATTTTTCGGCCCTTCGAGGTTTTGCTGACTCGTGCTTGTCCAAGGACTCCTTTTATGGTGGAGTTTCGCCCGGTCCCAGACAATCTTCGATTCAGAGAGTCAACACGATTCAGTCGACTAGTGCTTCCTCGAGCAGGCCTTCTTGCTCCGGGGACGAAGTCGGAATCGTTGCCACTCTCAATGCCTCCGTAATCGTCCTCCGGATCCTTGACGGTGATGGTGTCATCGTCATGCAGGGACATGCCAAGCCCAGAATCTGCTGGACTGGCAAGTTGCTCTGACAGTTCGAGTTCCTCGGGATTGAGCTTAGGTTGAAGCACTTCTCTATCATCCATGATGCTATCCTCTAGTTCTGGCTCTGGATCTGGTGTCACCTGGAGGTCCCTCATTCTCAACGGCGTCTGCGTGGAAGGTATGGAGTTAGGAAGGGGAGTCATCGGGGACGGTTGTGGATTCCAATTGTTGACAACATTGAAGGGAGTGCCCAGTGTTGGTCCGTACAGGTCACAATCACGGGGAGAGATGGGAATCTCAAAGGGGCTCCGAATAATGTCAGGACTAAGTGCATAGTCGCTTGTAGTGGAGTCGGTGCTGGACGCTGCAAACCCAGCAGCGTCGGGAGGTGACATATGACGCACACATCGAAATTGGGTCGCATCACCAGGGGAAGGGGAGCATATCCCAAGTTGATACAGCTCATTGTCTTGAGTGTTCCTCTGGTATGGAAGAGAAAACCCATGGGCAGCAGGGTCATAAGCAGAGAAACTACCCCTTAGGAAGTTGTTTGGGTGATGGTGTGACAGGGAGCCCCCATGGGGTGGAAGGCCATGGGGTGGAAGGGCATCAAGATAAGGGTCGATACTGCTTGATTCACCTGGGTAGGACCAGACCGGGTGATGGCTTTCGTAACGATATGGATTGTTTGCATACTCTGGCCCCTCGCTTCCAAGCAAATCTTGGTAGTTCAAAGTATAGTCCATGACACTGGATCATCCAGATAACGCAGTGAGGATGACAGTGCGATGAAGGGTGGGAAGAGAAAGATGAGTCTGACTTGTTGAAAGGGACAGAGTGATTTGGGGTAGCACGGGCATATGAAGGGATAGTGTGGACGAGGTGGAAAGGCAACTCTTAAGAGAAGAAAAAAGCATATGGCAGCGGGAACAGTTGGGTGGATCTGGGTTTCCAGCGGAGTGAAAAGCAGAGGACTTCCTAGGAGTACTAGCATCTCCTGCTTCTGCTTTGATGGTGTCATGGATGGAGAGGAAGAAGGGGGCCAGAAAACAGAGGCCTCGAACAAAAAAGCCACAGCATCGGATGCTCATGGGTTGGGTTGGCTGGCATGGGGGGTGGAAGCAAGCGCATCAACCTCATGGGCCATGGGATCGGCCTTGTTGAGTGTCGAGGAGCGGATTAGCCGTCGCAGAGCCTCATCGCCCTCGTGGGACCTCACAAGAGGGCCGGCTAGGTGTATCGAAGGCTTTGACTAAGGGACAGTAGTGTTGGAATACCCTGGTCGCCTTGTTGATTGAGAATGGTCGAGTCTCAAAAGTGTCACACGGGCGAATGTCGAGACTCGAGTGGCGCGACTGGCATGCACCAGGCACCCCGGCAGATTCGATTGCGGTGATAGGCTGTCTCCCCAAACCGGTGTATTTCCTGGACAGCGGGTTGGGTCAGGCGAAGCTGGGGACGCCTTCTGGTTGCCTTTCTGGTCTCGTCAGCCATACGCTTAAGCTATTCGGGCTTTCATGGTTGTGGACAAGGCGGCACGCTCTGCCACTGCCACCAACTAAACTCGATGGGTTTTGGTAGTCGGTTGACGTGAATGCACACTCGCGTGGCCGCCCGGGCGGCCCCTGCTTCGCCCCGGCGCTGAGAATCGCGGTCAGGTCCAAAAGAGCCTATCATCCCAAATCCGGTTGGGCTGATTGGACTGTCTTGCAGACTCCTCGCATTGTCGCCCAAGCCCAACGACTGGCATGGACTCTTGTCTCGCTTCGTGGCTTTCATGGTGGCTTGATATTGAGGGAAATGCATGGCCGATTGCAGTAGTGGGTTTTATGTTTTATCAGCTATTGTGCAAGCAGGGGGGGCACGAACAGGTCGTTTGGGGAGGTCATGGTAGTAGGTAACGACGAGATAGAATGTGGAGGCTAATATTGCGCTGGCGTTGGGGGACTGGCGTTTCCTCCAGGGAACTGGGGAGGGATCATGCCTGGGATGGGGGACTTCAGTAACGAGCAGAAGTCCCATCTGGGAGAGAGATTGACCAAACGCCTCTAGTAGTAGGTAGCAGCCAGGGTTCAAGGTTGGGGTGGACCCGAAAGAGAGGGTCGGGACGGATGGGCATGGGTTAGGTTTGGGCGTGGACGAGGGACGGGAAAGCCAAACCGGTGCAGAGCTTGGAGCCCAGTACGGAGTACGGAGTACAGCGAGGGATAAATTGATAATGTGTCTGTGGGCGCGTGAGAAGTCTGGGGGGCTGTCAAAGCGGCCAGTACTAAGAATATCTGCATCCGTCACCATCGCGCGCTAGCGATACGAGAAAGGCGCTCATGGCGCCTAGGGAGATCTAAGAGGGGTCGAGGGGTCTATCTGGGGAAGCTGAGGCATGATTTGATGGAGTAAGGAGTAAGGACGTGCACGATTGGGGGATATTGTGAAGACAGATCTTATTCGTTCTGATGCCCACGGCTGAAGGCTAGCAGCTGAGAGAGGATGGAAGAGGTGCAGAAGTGGAAATTTTGTGCCTCTGGGAAGCGAGGGTTTGGGAGTTGGGAGCCCAAGATGGTAATGATCTCTGGTTCTGGTCTCCAGCACAAGTCTTGGGATGTTGGAGGTTACATTGCAATGACAAGCAAGGCGACCGAATGCCCCCAAAAGTGAAGGGTGGGTGATTTGGACACGGCGTTAGCCAGACACATGAACAGGATGCAGAGATGTACATGTTAGTAAGGGCGGAGAACGGAGTACGCAAGTTACTAGTCTAGAAATCACCATGTCTAGAAATCACCATGAACACGCGTTTGATGAGATGCACTCCGGTCTCCAGCACCAGGGCAAGAGGCGCTGCGCTGGTACTTCTAGCAGAACGAACGGGTAGAGTGGAGTAAATGACCGTCAACTGAACCACTACTCGTAGAGTCCTGAACCGGTCCATCGTGCTCGAATCTCTCGCATCTCTGGCGTCTTCACACTCTTGAGTTTCGGGAGGTGCTAAGGGCCGCCAGACGCCGCCGTGACCAAGCAAATGGGGGCTGATCGTCCCTGTGGAACGTCCGCGAGGACAAGTTAGGGAGGTGTTCTCAGTATATAGTCTGGATACTCGGTAGCTCAATAGTTATGCAGCGACTAGTAGCTAGCAGCTAGTACGTGGTTGGGTGCTTCATCCCTGCCTGGCCTGGCGGCTGTTTGAGATTCGAAGAATAATTACTCAGGACATACGGAGGACATACCGTGGCCCAACGAAGGGGCAGCAGCTCTTCACCACATACAAGGATGCATATGGTGCAGAAGGATTGGGGTTGCAGAAAGGCCAGCGTTCGGAACTGTTGCTTTCCTTTGTGTTTGATGTCCTCAGGCCGCGACCACAGCGAGCAAGAAGTCGCGTGGACTGATGAAAACACGAAGGCAAGAGTGTCCGCAGAGCAGAACGAAACAGCAGCGGGAAACAATAGTTCCATTGACTCCCATGTTGGTAGGAGGGATGAGTCAGGAGCTGCCTGTCACGATCGTTCGATGCGGAACTTGCCATTGGCGTTGGCGTTGGCGTTGGCGTTGGCGTTGGCGTTGGCGTTGGCGTTTGCAGTTGGCATTGAAGAACCGCGAGAAGCACAACCAAATTCGAAAGTGCACCAGCCAACCAAGCCAGAGCCCAAAAACCCACCCCAGCCTCTCTGAAATCTGCCCTGCCCGGCCAGGCCAGGCCAGGACCCGGTCGTACTGTACGAGTAGTCATCCGTGGGCGCGAGCATCCGATCTTTTTGGACAGGAGGAACCTGAAGCCAGGGATATACCATGAACACCCACCGCACCCCCGGATCTGTGCCGCCAGTCACAAGCGACCCGGGTCCCCAGAAGCCTCTCTTTCGGCCCCTAGCGAGCGGCAATGCCTGAGGCCCAGCAGAAAACAACCTTGGTTAAAGCCAATCTGAACTGGAATGCTGTTGACTGGCCACCCCTCTCAGCCTCTGGGTCCCCAATGCATGCCAATGCCAACGCAATGCCACATGATGCCAGGCGTCCAAACCCCAAACCCGTCAGCAGTCACCCAGGGTCTCTGTACGGAGTACTCGAACGGTGGGCTGCCCAGGGCTACCAAGCAGTAGCTCACCCACTATCGTCAATCACAAAGGCGCAAGGGAAGGGTTAGGCACGGATGTGGATGATGCCCTCGCTCCCCTGGGCGCGCGTCCTGTGCCCTGCATTCCATATTTCGGGTGTGAGCCTTGGGCGCCGGGGACTGGCGGCGTCCCATGCGTGACTACCTGCGTCGTGAGGCGCATACTGCCCGTAGTACTCGGTACTCCGTATACTACTGTGTACAGGCTAAAAGTTGGGAAACAGATGGAAATGACATCGACATCGGTTGATCATCGATCCAACACGAGGTAACTCGGTACGTGCATATTTAGAAAAAGGGGGAAGTCCGCGGGCTAAGGGGCCTCCTGCTTGAGGGGTTTTTTGAGACGTTGGGAAACCCGAATGGTTGAAATGCGAGTGAGTGGCACACACACAACACCTCAGCACTCTCGAGCCTGGCAGTGTGGTGCTCCCTTTTGGATTGGTGGACTCGAATCTTATTGAGGGTTGTGCGTCTCTATCTATGTATACCCGCGACCGCGACCAGAGTATTCGCTAGACATAGAAGACTCTTTCGTAACATTGTGCCTCTGCTTCTGTCTACAGTACTTGCTCCAGGTCACTTGCAGCCTCCGTCCGCCCAGGCCCAGGCCTCTAATGGCTGAACGACCCCGGTGCGTGTTTCGTCGGTGAGCGCAGGATGGATCCCTGTTTTGCTACCCTTATGTGCCCAACTTGCGCGCTCCCCTACATGATATAATATCCTGGTCTGGCCAATGTTTCGTCTTCTGCCACATCGTTAGTTCCTCATGTACAGCCCGTACAGGGGTTCTAGAGTCGTCGAGCTGGGCTGCTGGACCCCTGGGCCCCTGGGGGTTTTTCCTCTATACATCACCCAGTCCCTGGTTCCTTGTACGGATACCGATTTTACCCTGCTGGAAGAACACGGATGTGCTGATCTGATCAGCGCTGAAGGCTCCGTATGCCCCCATTGTTTCTCAATCGAGTCTGTCGCTCACTACCAATCCGGCAAGCGTGCACTGCGCCTAAGCTTGGTCGTTCTTGTCTGGGGCTTTGCTTGCATTCATAAACCCTGCCACTTGTCTATTTGGAGACAATCTTGAATCCTTTCATATCAGCTTATGTTCTGGTCATGCCTTCCCTTGGAGATGGTGTCTTTGTCTTCTCGCTTAAGATCTGGTCATGGAGCCCCTCCCCAGCTGATACCCCTGTCCATCACAGATTCACTACTCCGTACCCATCCCGTAGGTAGGGAGTCGATTCCCAAGAAACCTGAACGGCCCAAAGACACAACCCTAGTCTTAATTCCACCCTCCGCAATACCGCAACCGAATCCATCTCTCGCTTGCGACTACCCCAATTCAAGAGCCCGAGCGTCCCAGATCGATGCCCACGTGTCGCCCCGGGATCCAATTCTGGTTTGAGTCAATAGACTCTCAGCGTCACAGCTTGAGCAACTCTCCTCCGCTTCCCTCCGCTCTCTTACTTACCCCTCCCCAAACATTGCTAGCCCCAGCGCCACCAACGGTCGAGCTTCTTTACGTCAACCTTTGCACCCTCATTGTGGACTAGATGGAGTTGCAATAGCACCTGCTAACCATTCTGAGCACAGCTCGACCTCCATTCTGGTCCAGACACAGCTCAATCTCTCCACTTTGAGCCTCAACTTGCTCTCCTCGTTCCTCACCTTGCCCATCCGGGCATCGCGCTCTTCGCCCGAAGCCATTCCCCACCATAGCCGACTTTCCATCCACGACGGCATCTTTTCAACAACTCCTGATGCAGTTTGGAGCCCATGCAACTGCTGATAGCTGGACATCCCACTTCAGCTAAAGCTTTGTTTCAACCACCGCTCATACCGAGTACGAGTATAATCCTAAGCACACCCTCCCTGTACCCTGTCCGCTCTTGCCAGGCTAGCCGAACATTGGCCTCAAATCTCGCGAACCCTCACTCGCATTCCCTCCTCATCGTACCAATCATAGTCTTCATTCTCTTGAGGGTGCTGTCTTTCAACCACGGTCACCATATCGCCCGGTCGGAGGTCTAGCTCCTCCTCTGACAAGGATCGGGATTCGGAACGTGATCGCCGACGATGGTTTGTTTTGCGCACATGGGTCTGGCGATGGTGTTCTTCAGCCACCCTCCCTTGAGCTTCTGGTGTTTGATTCGTGGAGAACGAAGGAATCGGCGGTGGGCTTGGAGCATGCTCAAATTCTTGTGATACAGACTGATCCCTGCCTACTTCCGTCTGGTCAGCCAAGAGAAAAGGTGAGTGCGTGGCCCATTGCATCTACCTGCTTCGCGACTCCGTCGTCCTTTGCTCCTCCTTCGGCCACGACCAGTCGACCTCGATCTCGATCGCTCTCGGCTGCGGTCTCTATCCCGGTCCTGGAAATTCTCACCGCTCTCATAGTGTTCATTCCGATACCACGGAGCTCGGCCTTGTTGGGATGGCGCTCGCACGTTCCGACCCAATGGTCTCGACGATGATCGGTGTTGGTGTTTAAGAGGTTGAAGGCTCGGCCGATACGTGGCAGGTGCTGTCTCTTCAAAACGAGTGTGTCCTGCGGCGGGATGCATGGCCAGTGGATACGGATTCGCATGAACTCGAGGCATAAATCCTGGCTCAGCAACTGGCGGCACTGATGTCGGACGCATTCTACCATTGTTTAACAACAGACTGTGTAGATCCAGCCACGAGCAGAACGCCTACCTTGCAAATGGACCATGCCCGTTATCTTGCCCAATAGGCTCATTGTAGCAATGGGGACTCGTCTGGTGTCTGTCATGAGACTCAAGATACCTAACGTGCTCTTGAGGTACCAGCTTGAGCTTTTGAAAGTGCTTTGATATTTCAAGATCTGGTGAAGCTGGACGGCGGTAGCTTCTTGCTTGTCTACCGCCAACGCGTTCATCATCCGAATCAATGAAGCCTCTCCCCGGAGAGCAGCTGGGATCATCGTAATAATCGTTGCCGCTGTCGATCGATTTCTTTGCCTTGGAAGACCGAGTCCGACTCAGTCGTGAACGGCTCCTGTTTCTAGGATGTCGACCAGAGAATGGATTCCAGCTCTGAGCTCTCGAGTGCCGACGCCTATAATGGCGCGGCCGATCGCTCTCTGAACTACTTTCTTCTTCACTTTCCGTATCTTCTTCTCTGCACCTTCGGCAGATAGTCTTTCCCGGCAATTGTCCAGGAGGGATGGGGTGTTTTCGATGATACCGGGCAGATCTGAACCTGCTGCAAATCTCACATTTGTATCGCAGGCCTGAAGAGTGTCCTAGACCCGGCGATGCGTGGTTTTGATGTTGGTGCATTGGAAGCATATGGGGCTGCACCGGAAATGGTCCGGGAGGAGCGGCCGCAAATGGTGGGTGATGACCCATGAACGGCTGTGGTGTGACGAAAGGAAGTCCTTGATCGGGCACAGGATAACACGCTGGCATGGGAAATATCGTAGGATGAAAGTAGGGAAGGAACTGTGGCTGAGGTTTCATATGGCTTGGTATGGGCGTCTCAATTACCGCAGGTCTAGGAGCATCTTGTAAAGGAGGGACCAGGTACATGGCGATCGGTTGTGGCAGTTGTTGGCTTTGAGTTGAGGAAGGATTGGTGGAAGGCTGGCCAGGGCCTTGTGTAGGCATGGGACCGGTTGAAGATGGCCGTGGCATAATGAGCGGTATATCTGGATTCTCACATTGAACGTGATTGTTTTGGCGAGAGTCCCTGGAAAAGAATGAGCGAGCGCCCCCTGGCAGTAGTGCTTGGGTCAGCAGTTTTCGCAGCGATGGCTGACTGGACTTCTTCCGCACATAAAAATGGCGGCCATCATGCCCGCGCTCAATCCAAACTGAAGTTGGTTTCATTGCTGCTGCCATGTTGTCACTGTGCTGATGCAAAGGATGTGGGAAAGAAGGAGCGCAGCAGATGTTCTCACTGACCTTGAAGGCTCCTTCTGCGCATCAGAGAAGCCAAAGTACGCGTCGTAAGAAGGATAGTAGGTGCGACCACTTGCAGGGTGGTAGAAGTAACCGTACTGCGACTGCCACATCTTCAAGTCTGTGTGAATAACAGGTGAGGCAAGAGGCAGTAACGCTCAAAGTGGAAAGAGGTGGTTCAAAAGGAGGGAGAAGTTCTTCACTTCCCAATATTTAAATCTCACGGGCCCACGAACTGTACGGTTATCATCGTCGAGGCACTGCTCAGCCTTTCTGCAGAGGGACCCGGAGGTTGGTTAGAACAGGAACCCAGATACCCAGCGAAATAAGCTATCGCCTCGAAGAAAATTGTATGGAATGTCCTCCAGGAATTGAAAGTCGCATTGGTACGGAGGGAGAAGGTTAGTTTGTCTCTACAGAGATGATGTTCCACTCTCCACGTGCGACTTCAATCCAGAGAGCAATGCGTCCTCTAAAGATTGACCCAAAATGCAAAACCCTAAGCATTGTAAAAAGTAAAGCCTGCCGACAGTCCACTCCCAAGAGACTGCCACACCTCTTGCTTTTTGTGTCTTCAAGCGACCAGTTCAGGGTGTCAATGGGACGAACATGCTAGATCATCACCAGAATATATGCCTTTATGCCTTGAATCATCCCAATAAACCTCTTGATCAATTTCTCCACCTTTGAAGCTGCGAGACAAAATGCTGGATATGCGGGTCTTTGTCTAAGCCAGTTGAATAATTTATCTCCAGACTCCAGAGCTATTGAACATCTCTCACCGAGTTGAGTATCCTGCAACATAGGGTCATAGATAACTTCTGCAACTCCCAGGACACGTTTGTGGACAGCGTTCTGGAAGCAACAGAGCGCCTGGGTGGGGTTCGTTGCTCTTACTACGCCAGTCTATGGCCCTACTTCCCATCGAACTCAGCCTTGGTACACATCATGAGGATAACAGTGCAAACGAGATCGATGGCTCCTTAAACCGAGCTGTGGAACAACTCTACGGCCTGAGTGGCATCTTATTGCCTGCATAAATACTAGTGCACCTTTAGCGAGTCCTGCCTCTCAATTGAATACTTCGACTTCATCAACATGGACAACACTCCGAGAAGGGTTTCGTGCTGCAATCCTATTCCCACGCATACGATGATCGCTCGCAGGTGCATATGCAGCGTTAAGCTGTGAATTGTGCCTTGGAAGACTGGACGAGCCAGAAATGAGGGTTGCCACCACAAATATGTGATCGGCCACCTTAGGAACTCCTTACATACGTTCATGATGAGAGATCTCTGCCTTTTCATGTGTGACTTGGTGCTGAAGTGGAACCTCGAAAGTGTCGACATCGGCCGCTTTGAATTTTTCTCGTCGGTGTGCTGCGCTCAAAAAGGATATCCATCTCGGCAAATGTTCGTCCCGAAGGCTCCGGTAGACGGAAATAATGGTAGACAAGAACAAGAAAGCAAGTACCAGCCCAGAAGAAGCCGAGTTCCCCCAGTTCCAAGCGGTGGGATTGATCATGTAGGGGCTAAGGGCGTTCACGATGGTAGCGGCAACGTTGTAGGCCACACGAGCAAGACCAAGCCGAAGTCGTAATTGCAGCGTCGACGATCGAAGGGAGAGCAGGACCGCCCATGTGGACGATAGCCAAGACAAAGGGAGACGAGCAAGCGCCCTTCTGGGGAGTACCAAGATCCGGATCGTCGTAAGGAACCTAGACGTGAATCAGCATCGGGCAGTCATCCCAGGGTTCAGGGGGCTACGCGCTAGAATGCCAACAGGGAGGAAACCATCGTATAGAAGACGAGTAGACGCCAGACGACTGGACGGAAAACGGAAAACTGTGGGGTAACTACGGCGACGATACTTGGCCGCGCCCGAGGTGAGTGAAAGATGATTCGCTCCACCATAAGCGTATGCAGGCCCCGACAAACGTAGGACTCTACTAGGTACTTCCTTGCATCCTTGCTTTGCAGTGAGACAATGGATGCGGAAGTCATCGTTCCTGCACCCGTCATCATGCCTCAGCCGCGAGGTGTAGCTCATCACAATCACAGGCTTCAGAGTGAGATGTCACTTCATTGGAGTCAAGAGTATCTTTTAGAACTGTGGCTCTCAAAGCAGCAGCGCCGACATCTTCAAGGATCGTCAACACATCGTTAAGCATATTAACCAGCCAGACGTCAACAGTATTGGCCATAGTATTGGCCCAGCTACCTGCGCGCCAGGGAACCCAATTGTAGTGATGACTTGCGTGAAGGAGTTCGTTCTTGCGCCTTGCGATTGGCTGGCTTCCAAATCGATATGATTCAAGGGTTACCTCATTGTCCACTTCTTTGTGAAGGGCTTGGTAGATGGTAAGGAGACCGCTCGGCCGTTGTTCAGCGGCGGTGTTCGTGTCTAGCCGCCCACTCTCAATGAATGTCTTTAGTCTTCGCCGACATGCCACGAGTCGCCTACCCTGAAACCCATGGGAAATGGATCAGAAGCATCCAATACCACCTGTTTGAAGCTTGTGATCCACGCTCGTCTTTTGACTGTGGGCAGTATAGCATCGTACTCTCCGACCTTTGTAGTTCCTCGAATATAACCCTCAAACTCCGATCCACTTACACTGACATGCCTGAAGCTTTCACTTACGGTTATATGACCTCGAGCATGCATGACAGCCAATCGGGCACAAGTTCCTGTGCCTCAAAGGCTTCGATCTAGCCTGCCAGGGGATACCACCGCAGTACCATCAGCTGTTTTGCCTGTCCCAGATTTCGAAGCCATATCCTGATTGACCGAGCCAATCCACTGGAAATTCGTTACACCACTGATTCCAGGATTCTCCGGATGCACAGGATGGATAGATCGTTGAATAGCTCTCTTTATGTCCTCCCCAATCTTGACTATACATATTCATCGCTCTCAAGGATCAAAACCCCGACATCAGCGTCGGGATTTATTGGCGACAGCACGACGTTGACAGACATCGACGCTCGACCGCGTGGTTCTTGCAAGACTAGTTGCCGGATTTGGTCACAATGCTTCTCAAATGCCCGCATCTTCTAGTACATGTTTTGAAACGGTCCGCCAGGAGGATCAAGAATACCGCCCGTGATGACGTCGCCCACTTCCCCCTCGGCATGAACCCCAAAAGCGTTGAATGAACGACTGAATGGCATGCTGCTTCTTTAGTGTGTAGTCAGAGGCTTACATTTCAAGGTTAGAGGGCGCAGTGTGACTCTACGACTGTTTTCAAGTACATAAATATTGTCCCTCGAGGAATTCCCGTTAGGGACGTGGGAAGTGACCAAGCGGGACGGCCTTCCAGATTGATACCGCGACTAAAGCATTGTTAAATGGTTACGCCGAAGCGAACATTGGGGTGGCATCTTCATCTTGAGATAACGCAGTGAGTTACGCCATCAGGTTAGGCTGACCGAGATCACAGCTAATTCCCAAACAGCTCGTGGACGAACTCTCCGAGAACGTAGATTTTGACAATCAATTCTAGACCATTTTCGGGTCTATCGATATACCAGACGAATTCGCAGATCCTTTTCGTGGCTTCGAGCGGGATCCGTGCGGTGAAAATAATAGTATCCCTTAATTTCTCCATGATTTCTCCATAAACAGGACGACATCAGCCCAACTATCAGTGTGCCCGTCCAAACAAGAATCCTCAGCAGAAAGGGCGTCTTCACTCGGAGAGTCTCCTTCATCGAGAAGCTATCTTCACCAAAAGAAGATGCTTCACTCAGACATTCTCCGACATCTGGGCAGCCATCCTCATCGGAGGAGCCGTCTTCACTCAGACAAGGTTCCCCGTCCAGATTTTCATCCTCAGCAGGGCCGCGCGACCCCTGCAACTGATCGCCAGCCCCTGAGAAAACATTCGTAGCGAGTTCGGATGCGAATTTCCAACCTGGTTCAAACCTCGTAGTTAGGATGTCACGTTTCTCAGAGCCTTGGGCAAGCTTCGGTGGATGGTGAAAGCAAAAGCGATTTGTTAGGCCAACTCTACTCAAGAGTATCAAGATTATAACACGGAAGCTCGACTTCAACTTTTCAGATATCGTGAACGCCGTACGTTCACATTTCTGTGCTCTTGCCCTGCAGTACAAGATATTTGCCAGCTCCTGGGGTGGTGGTTCTCTGCGGAAAAAGCCACTTCAAATATGTCTTACATTCATCCAGGCGAGAACCAGACATGTTGCGGAAGCACAAGTATTTTAATTTAGAGAGATGATCTGTAGTTTGTCGCCCCTGGAGGTGCAAATACTTCTCTTGAAAGTCATTATAGGTATCATCTAATATTGGTTAGTCCAACAATGTTAGTATCATCTTGGGTGAACGCACCAATGGTGAAGGGGTTGAATTTGGCAGGGTGGTCCCTCAAGCAGGCGTTGAAGCCAAGATCGATTGAACTTTTCAGAACGTTGAATTTCAACGATTTCAAGCATTGATCACACATGTTCCCCCCGTTGCTCTAAGGTCTTATCAGTGACCTGGCATAGTCGAAATGAAGAGACACGCGTACCCTTCTTCTCAAGATCCTGCAGAGGAGACACTGTCCACCTGCCATGCGGACATTGCGTCTGTTCTCGCTCTCCTTTTCTGTTCGTGGTCTTTTCGAGATTCGAACCTTATTCCCGAACGTGATGATGGGGGTTCCGTTTTTGTCCTTGGAAACTTTGTGGTTTTCAAACCTACCTAAAGGGACCTTCCCGTGCTTTGTAGGCTGAGATGGAGACTCTGGGGCCATCCGCTGGTTTTTTGATCGCCCAAAATTTGCAGGGAGGAGGGGGCGGTGGGGTGTGGTATCGGTCTAGACCAGTAGTCTCTGAGCTTGTGGTGTGCGAGGTTTTGCACAAGGCACTGCGTCGGTCCAAATATTTGCGGTAGGATGAGTATAGTCTACCACACCAGGAAAGCTGTTTGGCGTTGGACAGTTGGGAAAGCTCTCAATGGGGGACATGACACGCTTTGTGTCGGTGGATTCGGGAGACGTATCAGTTCGCTGGCTGGAGGAAGTGCTGTTTGTTCTGGAGCAAAATTCGAAAGAGTTTCTTCGATCTCTTCTAGGCCTTCAGTTGCGTGATCAGGCAACAAGGGTTCACAATCCATTGGACAGAGGGCCCCACTATCGAAGTCATTTGGGGTCAGTGTGGAAAGACATTGTGCAGACGTGTCCCCATCAAACAGATGGGTAGGCGCCTCTCCAATTGGCAAGTGAGAGATCGGCAATGCTTGCTGCTGAGGATGACACCCCAGCTCTTCAAGAGGGCCATTACGTGGCGATGGGAAATGAGAATCCTCATGGACGGGAAGGTCATCGAACATGGACAGAGTAGAGGCATCGAACATGCTGGAGTCGAAATCAGGTAAGGGCCCAAGGTGAAAGATAGCCTCATCTGGAGGGATCATGGGGCTCATGGCTGAGATCGTGGGGCCGAAACAGGGGCAAGGCTGACTGAAGGCCTTTGAAATAGAGAGCCCCCGCGCAATGAGTGCTCGGCTCGTAAAGTATTCAGATGTTTCTCTTGAACAGATGAAAGTAGTAGAGACAATGAAGAGTTCGGAACCTGGGAATACTGCATATCATCTTATATTTGGCACAGGGCGCTCTCATTTCAGTTGACCTCTGTGGTTGCAACTCGTGGAGACCAGTCAAATTTTGCCGCATTGCCTGTTATGGGATAGCGTGCCACGCGAAGCCCCAAATGGCATGTCGCAAGGCAAGGCAGCAATCGCATTGGTGAATCCCGGAATCAATGCAATGGATGAGCAGTGCTGGAACTAGTAATGCGGCAGAAGGAGCTGAATACTATATCAGTTTAAGATCATAATGGCATAGAAATGTAAACTATTCCACAACAACTGCTCCACTCAGCACCACTTGACATCGGAGTCGACACACCAGGATATCTTACGCCCTCCATTGGACTTGGCGAAATATGTCACCGGCTGGACTAACTACAAGTACTACTGAATGGGAGAGGAACGAGGTTCTGGCCTTGTTGCAACTGCTTACAACTATTGTTCTTTGGGACATCGAACGCCTATTTGTATATCTTCACGACTTCAATCGACTCCGTCAAGGACAGCCGCCAGCAGGAAATAGCGGTGTAGCCGATGGCCATGCGACAGGAATGTCTGCAGCAAAATGTCATAATCACATGCTTTCCCAACCAGTAAAGATCCCTGCTGAGTTGGAGAATATGTTTGACAAACCCATCCCGAATCGCGAAACCGCTCGACGGAGAACTTCTGTGTAACGTGAACCATGGCGGGAGATAAACACTTACTGCGAATCATAGCAAGGTCGAGGTTGTGCCTGCCAGTTTGTTCCTTGTTTCTTCCTTACGCGTACCTGCTCCACGTCACGCATTCGGCTTGGCGGCTCCCCAATGCTGACTTTACTAAAACTGGCATAGTCTCCTTAGGTAAGGCAGGCACTCTCCAACAAAATCACCCCAGTCTATTCGGTCATGGGCAAGAAAACAACGTATACTGTGGCTTTGACCAGTGGCTGCCAGTGGGCAACAACAATTACTGCTTATACTTACATCATGCGGATCCGGCTTGTCGATTTCGAGCATGCCTCCACAACTTAAACACAATCGCATTTTAGGATTGTGATCTCTCTCAAGTCTTCTTTGCTACGGCTGCTTCACTGCGGCCTGCTCTTCTCACCTCAATTGAAGTTGGCCAGCTTCGCCGCACTGCCCGGACTACCTCACATTCACTTTCCTCACCACACCAGTCCTCCCTTCACAATGGCCCCCGTCGCCGAAAAGGACATCCTGGCATACCGTAAGGATGTCGCAGAGAAAGGCCGCACCCTTTCCGCCGCACAGCGAGAGAGACTTGTACAGCCATACCTCCCCGAACCCATGCAGAAACCACACACCACAAGCGAGCAAAATGCTTCATCTTTCTCTAGCAACAGCAACCAAAGATCCCGCAGTAACGGCCACAAGCGCCGACTGCGTCCATTTTTAAAAGCGAAGCTCCATTTTCTCATATTCTTCCTCATTCAACTTTTCTTTGGCATCTACATTCGTCTGCGACAGATCTACCACGCGACCATAGATCGGCTCCTAGCCATACGGCACTACCACCACCGTACGCCGGAGTATATACAGCGGGATGTCAAGAACCTCGACCGAATACCGGAACACCTGAGTGTTATTCTTAAGTTCAAATCCGAGCAGGATGGCGGCCTAGAGGCTCTGATGGATGAAGTCGCCGAGCTTTGCGCCTGGTCCGCTTCGGCAGGCATTCCATTGCTCAGCGTCTACGAGAAATCCGGGATTCTGAAGACATACATGCCTGCATTGCAGGAGTTGGTTACATTGAAGTTGAGATCTTACTTCGGTCCTGCCCCTGCGGCACCGAGTCTGAGGGTCTTCGCGCCAAATCATCCATCGATCATGACTCCTTCTCCTTCTCCTATAGCATCGCCTCGCATCCCCCCAACAGAGCCCAGCTCTAATGGTTCCGGATCAACACCATCTGGCACAACAAGACAACACTTCGACCTCCTCATCCTCTCCGCTAGTGACGGACGTGACACAATTGTCGACCTTACCCGAATACTAGCGGAGATGGCACAAGGACGAAAAATCTCCCCGAAGGACATCACGCCAAACCTCATCAACACAGAAATCAGCGCAACGACTTCTCTCGCGGAGTCGCAGCTTCAGAACGGCCATGTGCCAACAACTGCCACCCTTTCGCCCAACGCCGCTCCAAACAAACAAGTAGAGGCCGGCGAACCTGACCTGGTCATAATCTTTGGCCCGTACGTAAAACTGGACGGCTATCCGCCCTGGCAGGTGCGACTGAGTGAGATCTTCTGCGTCGGAGACTCAGGGGGTGACGTGAGTGGAAGTGCCAGCACCAGAGTCGAGTACCAGGGTTTCTTACGAGGCCTCTGGCGTTACGCTGGTGCAGAGATGAGATTCGGTAGATGAGGAACTACAACCCTCCCTACATTTGTATCCGGTAAGGGAAGCAAGGAATGACGAGGATGTAGTCAATTCCCTCTCTCCTAGCTTAGTGGCGGTTTTACATTGGAGGTATTGGTGCTATTGCTACGTTGCAGTGTAGATGTATAGATAGACATTATAAGTCAATTGAGACAATATATCTCTGCCTTTGCAGACGAACGGCATCGGTGATACACAGGGTCTCGGGACCTTCGGCTCAGCGGCTTGTTTGATTAATGATTATTGCTAGATCTGCATGCTAGACCTGCGTAACACATACCAAGATATTATACATGTCTCCCAAAATGCGTGATCTGGATGAGCGAGCGAGCTTGATGCAGTGCTGGCACCTGATCATTTGCTGCTTAATTGCCTCTGTGGATGCGAATCGCGCGTTCCTCTCACCCCGTACGCCTATCTCACTTTTGCACATTATGTACGACATGCTTCATTGATCTGGGCGATGGCTTAGCTCGATCTGTCTGCTGCCTCACAGCTCCAAAGGGATGGGTTCGAGCACATCGTAAGCATATAAAATGGGATTTCTGCGTAACCTTGATGTAATTTGTTCTGTCCGAGCTCAATCAGTTAGCGGGTGTATGATTAAGTAAGAAGGAAGAATTCTATGTTGGCTTCGGCGGGGTCGAACTTACCTCTTCCTCCCTCTTGTCGTGGTTGCAATTGAGTAAATGATTGACGGGCACTATACGCCTAGCGGTCCGACGGTATGGGAGGCCTGCGGCTCGCATGTATCATTCACGGTATTTGATACTTGAACACTCGAGGAACAGCCGGCGTTGTCTGCTGTGAAAGCCCAGGTGAGGTGACGATGACAGTATTGTCCCCGTGCGAACAAACGTGGCCGTAGTCGATTGGTTTAGGAGAGATCGATCGCCCTCATCCTCAAGAGCGTTCGAAAATACTGCGCTGGATGAATTCAAAGATGCATTATGGTGCATCGCCACTTAGCGTCTGTTACGTCTCAGTCATCATCATCATCATCATCATCATCATAGCCGGTATAAATCTCCCACATCTCATCATTTGTGCCTGAAGTGATCAGTGAGCCGAGCACTCTCTCGTACGTCCACATGGTGATGGCTGAAGCAGGTGCCGCCTGTATTAAGTCAGCTCACGCATGACACGGGAAGGAGGCAGGACAACGTGGGGTCTTACCTTGATTAAGCTAACGGTCAGGCCCCTATACCAACCGCGAATACCCTCTCTTCTCCAGATCATAGCGAGACCACGGAAAACACCTCTGTACTCTGGAATGTTGGTATGGATATACCTAGTCCGTGTCGGTCCTTGCACCTGTAATCTCTTTCGGACAAGATCGAGCGGGAAAACTGCTGTTTTCGCGAGGACGCTCGCGAAGACTCCAGCGGTGGCGTCTCCTGAGCCAAATGGTAATGTCTTGCCGCCGATATACTGATGTAGGATTTCGTAACTGGTGAAAAAGAGGCCCATGTACGGCACAATCTGGCCGATTGCTGCACTCAGGCCTCTGAAGAATCCCTTCGGTCCTTCATGCCTAGTAATGTCTTTGACTGAGTGAAGTAGACCCAAATACACGCGCTCAGGGCCTTGTGCGGCAAATCTCGTGCGCAAAAGATCAAGTGGGTATGTCACTGAGGTCGCGGCAGCCCCCGCGCAAGCACCACTAATGAAAGACTCAACAGAGGGAGGTGTCCGATAAGGGAGCAAGGCTTGAGCTTGGGTGACAGTACGGTAAGCTGTAAACTGGATACCTCCGTAGCAGACATACATCAACTCGGCAGGGATGTTGCCCTTCCATAGTGCTCGGATGCCCTCTTGCCGCGCGATGGTGGTCAGAGTCCGAAATGCTCCTTTGTAAATGGGACCTTTGATGCCATCACAGGACAGGGGATCCGAGAGTGAATGGGGTTGAAGTTGTAGTCTGATCTTTACCACATCCAGTGGAGCGATGCAAAACCTGGACACGAGTCCGGCAACAGCTCCAGCCACTACTACTTGTTGTCTTGTGCCCTGGAACCAGCTGATAAGAATAGGGTCGGCATTGAGAGCTCCATACTTACCTCGTCCTTGAGTCGCCCAACCTGGGCCGCCGACATGCGCTCTGCAATTCTCAGAAGCCGCCGTTAACCACGGAAGTGGTAATATGGATTAATTCGGGCCGTTTGATAGACTGTGTTCAGTGAGGAGGAGAGATCAATCTTCTCGTCAAGAAGTCTTGGTTTCAAAACATTGGGGAAATTGTTGGCGATGATGTCGTCCCTCCCAGGATAAGGGGATAGTCACGTGATAAGGCGCAAGTTTGGTGTTATTGTAACCTGAATCAGCAAGACACTTTACACTATGCACAAGAAAAGATGTGAAAGTTGATTTCTCGTTCCGCAGGATTGTCATAGTGTTATGGCTTAGTTACGAGTAGATCTAGAGCTTCTGAGCGTGGGTTGGAAACCACTTTACGCGATGGGTGATCAAGCGCGTCATTGCTGGGCGTTTTAGGCGTCGCTGCGGGGACCTTCTGGACTCATTAATTGATTGACCTGGGCTGCCCTTTCGTCTCCAGACCACATTTCTTGTGCCGCCACAACTCTCTCAGCCATTGAATCGCTCTACCACTCTTCCTTGTGTTCCTGTGCGAGGACAATGTCTTCAAGATGTTCAGGAATCCTCGTGAAAATACCAGCTTAAACTCTACCCGTTCTCTCCTCCCATCCACCGGGCGACCGCCTACTCCACCTTCCACCAACGAGCCAAAAGTCACTTCTTCTCCCTTTTTCGCTGCTCCAAAACCCACTTCCGAAAAGAAAACACCCATGTCTAAAACACCAGTACTCGGTCGTCAAGTTGGTTCCAAAATACCTAGTTCAAAGAAGCCAGGATTCCGGCAGAACCAGAGCATTCTAAGCTTTTTCGCCAAATCCGACAAACCCGAAGTAAACGACATTGACACCAAGTCCCAGGCCCCACTGTTCTTCAAGGATGCCCAAGAGAGTATTGAAGAGCAGCAAATCATCGAGCGCGCCATTCAGGCAAGCAAGGAGCAGGAGCAGTCAAGGTTCAATGAAGACGAGACCCCAATAAAGCGGAGGCGAACAGAGTCTCAGGATGTAGATTGGGAGGTTCGAACGCCGTCCCCCGAGCCCCACTTAGAGTTGGAAAGAAGTGCAAAAGAAGAAAGCGGGAGCATGCCGTTGAACAGTCGAGAACGGACACCAAAAAAGTGGATTGGTGGCTTTGTGGACGACTCGAGCGATGACGAGGACGTGGAGATCATGAACGCCAACGGATCTAATGGCCAGCTCGTCTTGGAGACAGTAGGAGGTCCTCATTTGGCTGCTTCGGACGACATTGACGTCGACGTAGGAATCTCGATCGCCAATCCCTTAAAGCCTTCTATTCAAAATGACAACAGGAAAAGTCCACCCACTGACATCGAAGGACCAGAGGAAACCACGGACATCATCGTTCCAGCCTTGAACCGTGAAGGTACCAGCATGTTCGTTGCTGAGGATTTTGGCGATGAGGAGGATTTCGATGACGACGAATTCTTTGAAGGTGGTGAAGAGTATATGGAACGAAGATGGATGGAGGAACAACGAGAAATGGATATGGGACTCGACGAAGATTCCAAATCAGAGAGTGGCGCGGAGAGTGTGACGACCCCAAGAAGTATTATTGAACATGACGGTCGCATTCAGTCCACAACAGGAGGTAACATCCCTCTCTGCCCCATCTGCAATGGCAACATGAAAGGATTATCAGAGGATCAGGCCTCTTCGCATGTCAACGCATGTCTCGATGGGGCCGCACAGCCTTTCCCTCAAACAACGAGTCTAGGGCGTGAAGGCTCTCTGCCCTTGCCTAAAGAGCCGGAAGGCCCAGTACCAAAACGCTTTCAACGTGCGGCAATCGCCCGTCCAGCGCAATCGAACCCCTTCACGTTGAACCAAGGTAGTAAAGGAGGCTCGGCTTTTACGAGGCTGATGTCTGGGCATGCAGAGGATGCAGCTTGGGCAGCTGCAGCTACTAATGAAGCTCACTCACGAGGAAAGCCTGCATATCAGCGAACATGCCCCTTCTATAAGATCATGCCGGGGTTCTTCATTTGTGTGGATGCTTTCAGGTACGGAAAGGTTGAGGGACAGAATGCGTACTTCCTCAGCCACTTTCACAGTGACCACTACATCGGCCTTACCTCTTCCTGGTGCCATGGTCCAATCTATGCCAGTAAGGTTACTTGTAACCTCATGATCCAACAACTCAAGGTAGACCCAAAATGGGTTGTACCACTGGAGTTTGAAAAGAATACTGAAGTCCCTAACACTAAAGGCGTATTTGTGACCATGCTTCCAGCCAACCATTGCCCTGGTTCTTCGCTTTATCTTTTCGAGAAAGTTACAGGCAAGAACAGAGATGGATCGCCGAAGGCTACACGAATTCTCCACTGTGGGGATTTTCGTGCTTGTCCTGCGCACATCAGTCATCCGTTGCTGAGGCCAGATGTCGTCGATAGCATCACTGGACAAATGAGACAACAGGTAATCGACACCTGCTACCTGGACACAACATATTTGACGCCAAAGTATTCATTTCCAGGCCAATATGATGTTATCGATGCTTGTGCTCAAATGTGCGTCAGCCTCTCTGGGGAAATGGTTGACTCCACCGACAGTTGGGAGCAGACGAAGACAGAAAAAGCAGGAAGCGCAATGAAGAAATTCCTGGAGCAGGGCGAGTCTGAAAGCGTCAAGGAACAGGAACCGGTCGAGAAGAAACAAAAGGCTCGAGGCCGCCTGCTCGTCGTGATTGGCACATACTCGATTGGCAAAGAACGAATCTGCTTGGGCATCGCGAAAGCCTTAAATTCAAAGATCTATGCACCCCCAGGAAAGATGCGCATATGTGCTTGCCTTGAGGATCCTGAACTCAATGCACGATTGACCAACAATCCGTTAGAGGCACAAGTTCATATGCAGACTCTGATGGAGATCAGGGCGGAAACATTACATGACTACATGATGACCTACAAGGGCCACTTCGCTCGAGTAGTTGGGTTTCGACCTACCGGTTGGTCGTATCGACCTCCAACCTCTCGCTTCACCGAGAATCCAGCTGTGAGTACAGTTCTGAATTCGGACGGATGGAAGTCTCGCTTCACAATGCGTGATCTTGCACCACAACGAGGAAGCACAAAAGAGTCCAATTGTTTTGGCGTGCCATACTCCGAACACAGCTCTTTCCGGGAACTGACGATGTTTTGCTGCGCATTGCGAATCAATCGCATCATACCGACCGTCAACGTTGGGAGCGCAAAGAACAGAGAGAAGATGAAAGGGTGGATAGAAAAATGGGATGCGGAGAAACGAAAAAATGGTCTCTTCAAGGTGGAGGATGGAGGAGACGGCTGGGGTTCAGGAGATGGAAAACTCAGCTATGGCGTATGATGAAGGGATCTTATCCTTGAGAGATTGGTTGAAGATTGGACAAAGATTTCTATTGAGCACTAGTCTCTCCTAGGTCAAGTATAGCTTTGTTGGAACATAAAGTGCGCTCTCGCAGACAGCCAACAAACCATGTTGGGTAGAGGTTTAGGGGCCTTGGACGCTTGCCGGGGCAAACTTGATCATCTCCGAATTCGATTCCACAATCTACTTCGCACTTTTCACGTCAAGAGCGCTTAGAGTCGGCTTCGAAACTAAGCTTAACTTGGGCATGTCTCCCTGCAGATTGACCTCATCATGTTTTGAAGTAGGGCCATGTCCAGCAGCTGGGCACCAAGGCCGCAGCGTGGCAGGCTCTTCAGTCCTCACTTGGATCAGACGGACAATTCCTTCAAGCACGGAAGTATATCCCCGGCCTTGTGGTCGCCCGCCCCAGAGGCGACTCACATCGCGCACGAAATGGCGGTTGTTTCCCCCGGCTCAAGAAGCAACATTAAATCACAGATCCATTTCCCTGGTCCCCAGGGTCTCAGCTGCCCTTCGCCTTTTGCGCAGCCGCCTCCCTCCGACATGCGTCCTCGAGCAGCGAGCGATCGACCTTGTCCGGGGGCAGGTGTACGTAGCGGACGACGGAGCCGCGGATGAAGATGTTCTTGACCGAGCTCAAGTGTGGGTATTTGAGCTCGTCCAGTACAACCACGTCGTCGAGTTTGATGTTCAGGTACTGGTCCACCGACTTCAGGGTGCCGCGGATGCTGATGTCGTTTTTCAGCTCGACGGTTACCGTTTGCTGTGTTAGGGTCTTGAAGAAACTGCAGGAACGGAGGTCGGTGGTTAGTACGTTGGGTTGAGCTGGAGTGGATTGATTCGGATGGGAGGCAAGGGAATGTGTGAGGGTCGGAATTATTTACCTGAAAAATAACATGGCAGCAGGCTAGGCGGTATGCGCCAGGGATTCGTCGAATATAGGAGATGGAGAGAGTTTGTGGGTTTCCTGATGAGGTTGTCTGAAATGGCCTTCGACATCTTAAAGTCGAAATGAATGCGAGGCTCCCTCCCTCTTCCGGCTCGCAGGCAGAGTGCACGCACGTGATCATGAGGTACTGCCAAGAATTATGCGGGGAATTGGTGTAGTATTGACAAATTGCCCTTTCTGGAATTAAATCCTTCCGAATTAGCTCTTTTGTGATCCAGCAATCTCTAGGCGCGCCAAGACTTGTGCGGGGAGGACCAAAGCCATGGCTCCTCTAAACGTGTCTAACGAGTAATGTGGATAAGCACCCTTCCTAAATAGACATTTCGTGATCAGGCAGTATTTCTCTCGTGGGTTGAGCACGCAACCTACATACACTAACTTACAGCGTGCTATAGAAGTGAGAATATCACTGAATATTGCCCTGATATAGGAGAGAGCATTCTCAACCAGGCGTTTCGTGATCCAATAGTATTGGTTTTGGAGCTGGGGTACCCAACCTACGATCGCCTCCACCACTGGCACGGCTATGTTGTAGCAATAACAACGTGACCGGAAAATGCCTAATAATGGGGAGAACATTCCCAATTAAGCCTTTCACGATCCTGCAATGCTTTTTGGTATAGGTTGCTGTTGGTGGGACACCTAATCTCGACGCGCGAGAATGCGACTGAATGATTCCCTGATACAGGACTGGCGTATTCCCAATTAGGTCTTTCATGATCCAGCACTATTCCTCCCAAAGATATTTTGATCTTCTTCAGATAACCGACTAAATTGGTTCTTCCTTTTCAGCATATGCACATGTCATTCAACAAGATAGCTAATCCCAACCACGCTGCCACTCAATGAATGTTAGTGGCTCGGCTGAACGAGCACAGTTCTTCCGCTCGTTTTGATTGTGGCGAACTGGAGCAAGCTAAACGGTTGCTGATCGTCCGAAAACCCAGATCTATGATGTCGACGGTTGGGCGAGAGCACAACAATGTACCCGACTATGCTGCTGTTGATCTATCAATAGTGCCACCGGGGCCTTGCCCCATGAATGATTTTTATTCAATCGATCTTCGCTGAGGCAATCAAATTATCTGCTCTGTCCTCGGAATCCAGATTGCTGTGGTCCCACTCTGATGGGTTTCAAAATGGCGCCCTCTCAGCCACTCTCGTGGCCAGCACAAGATTGCCTGCTGGATCAGGCACGCCAGAATCCAGGTCGTGGGTTCCGAAAATATTCGTTCCTTCTCAGTTTCAACATTTCTCGGTTCTACTTGTTTTGCTACCTCACTCTCTCTATTCCTTGGGACAAAGTTCAAATCTATCCAATCGTTTTGTCTCATTGGGGGCCACTTCGCTGTATAGACTGTCTTGCAGCTCTAATTCGAGTGGCTGCTCTCGCCTAATCCGATGACGTTATCTGTCAACAAATCCACAGAACCACAATTTCAATCAGCTCTCCATATATTCGAATGTCGCAAACTCAATTACGGTCTCGCGCATATGCAGCCCTAGATTATGTCGACCAAGTCGAGAAGTTATCCCTTGAACCCGCCGGCCGGGAGGATGATCAAGGACACCGTGGTGTCGCTGTCGAAGCGAAGTTTATTACACCTCTTGATCCCGTAATTGAAACTGCAGACAGCAATAGGCTCCCAGCAGTTCCTGTTCCAGAGGCACATAAAATCAATGTCTTGAAGGACCAGGCTGAGGGGCGTTCTACCCGACGTCCTCCTACCCCTCCACCTAGTCTCAGCAGGTTTGAGAAGTCCGATGCTTCTGGTGACGGTTGCGACCCGCAAACACTTATCCAAGAAGACCATGAAAACGCAACGAGCAGTCTCGGAAATGCTATCCCTCCAACGGTTACTCATCCACTATTCCCTCCTCTGCCATTATATGGGCCACCTTCACTTTTACGAAATCTTCAATGCAGGATATTCCAAATTACCGCATTCTACTTGTCTACTGCTTTTCTTGCTGTCATTGTCCTAGGCTCGGTCTTTACGTCTATTCCAAAGCTGATAACGTATATCTGGAATGGACTGGTCTTTCGAGATCGTTACAGCCAACGACCGTTTCGTGTAGAAGAGAAGCGACGGGCGGACATCCGCAAGGAAGAGGAGACACGGTGGCTGAGAACAGGACGTCGGCGGCGTCCAGCAGACGAAAATTCTTTAGAACCTCCGTCGTCTCAGCCGGGAGAGGACTATGTGCCTCTTGATGGCGGCCCTGATAAGCTGGTATGCGATGTTAGCTACTATGCCCGTAGGGTCGGTTTGGACATCGAGGAATTCAAAGTTCAGACCGAAGATGGCTTTATCCTGACGCTCTGGCATGTTTACAACCCAAGAGAGTATACGCCAGCATCGAAACGAGAACGGCGATCCACGTCTCCAGATTTATTCACCGACAATGCGGATGGCCTTCATCGACATGTACAGTCGCAATACCGTGATGGCCAAAGAAGATACCCTGTCTTACTGATTCATGGCCTTTTGCAAAGCGCTGGTGCCTACTGCACCAATGATGATGACAGTCTCGCATTCCTTCTCTGTAAGTCCGGGTACGATGTTTGGCTGGGCAATAATCGATGCGGGTTCAACCCTGAGCATACCCTGCTTCGATATTCGGATCCACGAATGTGGGCATGGAACATCCGGCAGATGGGAGTTATGGATTTACCTGCTTTCATATCTCGGGTCCTTCAAGAGACCGGATTCGAGAAGCTCGGACTCGTTTGTCACAGCCAAGGCACGACCGAAACATTCGTAGCATTGGCGAAGGAGCAGCGTCCTGAGCTTGGGGACAAAATCAGTGTTTTCTGTGCCCTTGCACCAGCGGTCTATGCAGGCCCTCTGATCGGCAAGATGTATTTCAAGTTCATGCGGGTTATCTCTCCAGCAATGTTTCGAGTCTTCTTTGGTATCCACAGCTTCATTCCTTTGATGATGACCATGCACCGGGTGCTTCCGGGAAAAGTTTACGGGTCAATGGGATATATGGTATTCTCGTTCCTTTTCAATTGGACCGATGCAAGATGGGATCGAGGTCTCCGCGATCGCCTGTTTCAGTTTTCCCCGGTTTACGTAAGTGCGGAGAGCATGCGGTGGTGGCTGGGGAGAGAGTGTTTTGCAAAACACAAGTGTATCCTATCCACACAGGAGGAGGAGGAGGGCTCCGAGGGAAATGAGAAGAAGGCTGCCGAGTCCTCCGACGCTGGTCCGTCAGGGACAGTCTGGTACGATGGACATGTCCCTCCTATGGCACTTTGGATCGGCGGTAGAGATGAGCTAGTGGATGGCAGGCGCCTGTTAAGGAGGTTTGAACAGGGGCGAGAACCATATGTCAACCTTGTCCATACCAAAGTGATTGAAGACTACGAACATCTCGATGTCCTGTGGGCCATTGACGCAGTTGAGCAAGTCGGCAAGGAAGTCAGGCAAGTTCTTTGGCAAACGATGCCGGGAGATGCGAGAAGCATTTGTCGAAAGGTTACCGGTGTTGATGATCATATTTTGAAGGGCTGAAGCACGACCCGGAACGGGTGCAGCATCAACAATGAGTCTGCGCTGTCATTCCCGTAGGGTCTCTTCAGCGATGGCGGACGGAGTTCCACGGATATTGTACATGATAGCCGGGGTAATATGCACGGTTTGGATATCCAGATTGTACACTCACGACGTTTCATGTTGACTTGATCTCATGGAAGACAAAATATTAATATGGCAGTAGTCTGCGAGCTTGTTGTTCTTCTGCCGTTCTCGGAATGCCGATGCGAGTTTATGTCAACCCCTGGCGTCTTCTGTGCCTCTATCTCCAGGAAATGGGGGATGCATCCGTCCTCCTCCCGGGCACACTTCATCGATCCACCTTCGAACACGAGCAACCACGAGTCGTGTGACATCAGACCGAAAGTGCCTGTGGTGATTTGACTAGCAGGGGCCAGACAAGACACCAGGATGGTGCCTATCATTTTAGCGGACATCAACGCCTACAACTGCCTACGGAGAACTAGGCTCTAATTACCAATCTTGACTGCTCAGGCTCAAGTGTGTCCTTGGACTTGTAGGAACACGTCAGCCAACAGGACCTTTTATCGCCAGGCAGATGTTCTTGAAACCCAAATTCCTCTACCTAGGCATGTCCCAGTTTGGGCGGTCAGAAACATCACACTACCTAATCTATCAATGTGCTTGTGCAGTATCATTTATCGTCACAAAGGTTATGCCCCTCTGCCTTACAGACACCGTAATCCCCTTAGAAAGAACGCAGAAGGTGATGAGCAATAGTTTCTCACGATAATCATAATGTGGGTTCCTGTTGTTCTTTGACAATGCTGCTCCGCTGGCTCTCACGGTCCACACGAGGTCGCAGATAAAGCTGAGTAACGAAAACTGATAGGCTTCCTCACAGTATGCTCCTCGTACTGGGCTCAATGTGCATGCAAAGAGCTCTGAATACTCGGTTCAGGTGGTGCTTTGATATGTTGTACTCGATTATACTGGTGGCAAGGTGATCGCTAGAAGGACTTTAATTGTTCTGAAGAGTCCCACAACCCAGCATGCCCGTCGTCAGCCAAAAGAGGAAACTTATAAGGCCATTTTCTTTCGACTGTCGCCCAGACGAGCACCCATGTTCATCTATCTGTGAAAGCAAGGATCTCGATCTCGGGTCCCACGAGGCAAAGAGGGGAGCCGAGGAGGTGCGCGCGGGAGCTGCTGATATGAGAGGCTGTCTTACACAACAGATTTAGTTTGCTGCAGGGTCGCATTGGCCTGGTTGCTTTAGGCTGTCGCCTCCATGTTCCTTAGTTTTATCTTGGCCTGGCGGGAGTCAAAGCAAGCCCGTTGGCATCCACTTACAAGACTGCAACACCCCAATCCTAAAGGAGCTTTGACACTCTTAGAGGATTTCTTATCTTTTGCTTCGCGAGCCTCCAGCCACTCACCTGCCACTTGATTTGCTGATCGATTGCTTGAGGAGCGGTTTCTCTCACCCTCCCCCTGCGATAACCATGCCTAACAACCCGTCGCCCTCTCCACACCTCGAGGAATCTAACTCGGCTGCGATTTGGCCTTTAGGGAAGGCGAAATGGCCATCTCACTCTCCGGTCTCGTGCAACACGAAGCCGGCAAACCCTGGGCCGATGTGAGACGAACGGGCTTTCCCTCGCAAAGCCATGCTGGCATGGCCGTGCCCCCATGCTCACAATCAGTTTAAGCTAGCGACGCGATGCTTTTGATAGTCTTCCAGTTACACCCATAAACAAGAGCAGGGTCCTTTCTTCGTTTTGTTATTGTATTTTCTCGCTGTATATATGCGTCGTTCCCCTCAATCTTGAAACTGGTTTATGATCGCCGCCCTGTGTCCATAACAACGTGATTCCCGCCATAAAGTGCCACTGACCACGAGGCTTTTTCCGGGCCACCTTTATGAACACCGGCGTGCATTAAATTCATGAGCCTCCGAAAGATTCGCCTGGGAAACAAATTCACCAATTCAAAAGTCCGGTGTTGCGACAATGAGCGCTGAAAGGAACCCAAGTACTTCCTCTGGCCATCACCGCAAGTCGGTGGCCGAGGAGCCTGTGACCTCAGTCCTTGCGCCCGGAGAGGTTCCTGTCCACGATCGAGAATACGATGCAGACGAGGAAGTGCTGGCCGCCCTTGGTTATGTGTACGTTTAATTGATTGCGCCACTTAGCATTCCGTGACGCTAATGTTGAAGGCAGCCCAGAGTTTAAGCGCGAATTTTCTCTATGGACGACATTCTGCGTGTCTTTTGCCGTCCTAGGCTTGCTACCCTCTTTCGCATCCACTCTTTGGTACGGCATGGGTTATGCAGGAACCCCTGGTATGGTATGGGGATGGCTGATCGCCATGGCTTTTATCCAATGTGTTGCCATGGGCATGGGTGAGTGCGCAAACAGATACACCTTTTATAGCGCAGCATTATTGATGTTTTGCAAGCTGAATTATGCTCGTCGATGCCGACGTCCGGTGGTCTTTACTATGCTGCAGCCGTGCTAGCACCTCCAGGCTACGGACCGCTGGCAGCTTGGATTACCGGCTGGTCAAATTGGTTCGTTCAAGTGACAGGAGCTCCCTCTGTGGATTATGCTCTGGCATCCATGATTCTTGCGGCTGGTTCGATTCAGAACCCCGATTATGTTCCCGAGAATTACCAGGTTTGGCTTCTTACCACTCTCATCATGATTATCCACGGATGCATCTCCTCTGCGCCCACACGTTGGATTGCAACCATCAACTCCTATGGGAGCACATTCAACATCATTGCTTTGGTCATCACTGTCATCACCATTCCAGCTGCAACTACGCGACCTGACCAGGGACTGCCCAGATTCACGAAGAGCAGTACAGTCTGGGGCAACTTCTACGAAGGCACTGACTTTCCAAACGGCGTGGCGCTTCTCATGTCCTTTATCGCAGTAATTTGGACGATGTCGGGATACGATGCGCCTTTCCATCTTGCCGAAGAATGCAGCAACGCCAGCATTGCCGCGCCGCGTGCAATCGTTTTGACATCAGGTGTTGGTGGGCTTATGGGCTGGTTCTTGCAATTGGTGGTCGCATACACAGTCATCGATATTGATGCAGTGTTGGAGTCTGAGATTGGTCAACCCTGGGCATCCTACCTTGTGGAAGTGCTACCCAAGAACACTGCCCTTGCGCTGCTTTCGTTGACAATCATGTGTGGATTCTCCATGGGCCAAGGATGCATGGTTGCTGCATCTCGAGTCACTTTCGCCTACGCCCGTGACGATTGCTTCCCATTCTCCAATATCTGGAAGCAAGTCAACCCAATTACCAGAACTCCTGTCAATGCTGTTTGGCTTAACTGTGCAGTCGGAATTTTATTGACCCTACTCCTCTTCGGTGGAACTGCGATCGATGCAATCTTCAGCATAGGCGCCATTGCTGCATTCGTCGCCTTCACGATCCCCATCACGATTCGAACATTTTTCGTTGGGAATCGTTTCCGCCGTGGACCGTGGCACCTCGGAAAGTATTCTTATCCAATCGGCATTGCCTCGACCTGCTTTACCACCCTGATGATCCCAATCCTGTGCTTACCCAGCGTAACGGGAAGCGATCTGGACGCCTCGCTCATGAACTGGACCTGTTTGGTGTGGGGTGGGCCGATGTTGCTGGTGTTGATTTGGTGGGTGGTTGATGCGCATAAATGGTTCAAGGGACCTAAAGTCAATATTCAACACCAAATGATAGGAAGAGAAGGCAACGTTATTGACGCAAAGGATGCAGGCTCTGACTCTGGAAATGATGCACTGCCTCCTCTGAAGGGAAGTGATAAGGTCGCCGAAGTATAAGTGCTTGAAGTCTTTTCGCTTGCAATACCCAGCTTATTTTGTCGATACCCCCAGCAAGGAACTTGGGGTTTTGCTTAAGGAAACGTTGAAGTCACTAATTACCTTGAGCCTTTGGCTTTATCTAGCATTATCTATTTTCGCCATGCTCGGGGCTCATATCCTAGTTTGATGCAATCGTCTTTATTACTACCTTCCTTCGCTTTCGTCACAAGATACACTAGCCTGGTAGTTGTGCTTACATAAAATAAGGACTAGGATATGATCTCAATAATGTAACATGTTGCACCGAAGCACATCACGGATACCTCAGCGAAAGTCACGTGCGACGCAAGCACTTCGCTGGAAGTCGCGTGACTACGTGTTGCGAGTGACGCGCCTGCTTGAAAGCCAAGAAGCTCCCCCTCCCGTGTTTCTTTCCGCCATCGATTTGCTAACGTTTCCCTTCGGATCATGATACCGTCAGGTGCTGTGCACAAATGATGGAGAATCAGCCCCATGGCTCTAGAACCTAAGGTGCCATCGATGCACAGCCGCTTGATGGGTACCCGAATTCCTCATCCTCCTAGTACCAATTTCAATGACGATCGTGATTTCCCTTCTCCTCCCTCTAAGCGGGCCAGAGTCGATGGGGTTTCCAATACTGGTGGCACTGCCAAACATGGCTCGGCGAAGAAAGGTGGGGTGAGAACGAGTATCAAAAATGAAGTTCTTGATTCCGACGATGAGCACCAAGAACTCAATGGTCCATCAAATGAGTTGCAAGGGGCCCCCAGAGCCACCCAATTAGAAACAGCACTGCCACCTATTCAGACTGACGAAGAAGCTATCGAGGCTTATGAAGCGTACAAAGCGGGAGAGAGGGTACTGCAAGACCAAGACAAAGAGCAAGGGGACACCAGTACTACGCAGTCTCGATTCGAGTCGAGATCATGGGTAAGAGGCCGAAGCTCTCTATATGTCGACGCGTTCAACCTTGCTCTAGACACTGTTCTCGGGGATGAAAGTCACTTGTTCAATGAGGCTGAAATGAAGGTCTTTCACGACTGGCGCGAGTTGGATTACGAGGCACAATATCTCTATGTCAGGCTGTTCCTGAGGAAGACCAGTAAATGGTTTCGCGTCAAAGAACTTCCTTACTTCACTGATATATCTGATATTGATGCGTCGGTGGCCGAACTTCAGAAGGAGAGAGGTCTGCCAGATGTGTCTTCTGAGGTCGTACTCCACCCTGGTGAGCTTGATCCTCCAGAAGGTATAGTCTTGGGTGAAACATACGCCTTCGCAGAATGCTCTTCTGAACATATCACAACTCTGGACAAGGCAAGTGAACTCTTACTTTTAGATGAGCTGAAGTCTCTCGCGAAGGATGCTAAGGTCCAGGGCAAGAATAAACGTGAGCTACTGCAAAACTTTCGTCGGACCAGTGGAAAACAATCTGGTCTGGGCTTTAAAGAACTCCACCGGACAGAGACTGAGGCATCCGCTGGCAGCGCTGTCTCAGACGATGGGAAATCGGGCTTAGATGATGACGACGGAGATAGCGGTGGTTCGAGAACACCCATCGCAAATCGTGACGCGCATTTCACCAAAAAGATTCTGGATCGGACGGGACGGTGCATTCGACTTGCTCTGACACCATTGAAGTTGTTTGAGCGTGTGCACCTTGTCTTCTATCGCAGCACCGAATGGACAGAGAAGAGTTTGACAACGTTGATACTTGCAAAGATCTCTCGGCGGAACTTTCCACAGTATATTGTCAGTAGATCTACGACTATTTTCGAATCGAGAGCTCTTCTGCTTGAGTTTGAAGCGAGTCTTCGTACACAATTTCAGATGGATAACTTTCTCGAGTTCAACGGCACTCCTAGCACCTTGACTCTTCAGGAGGTCAAAGATATTTTTGAGGCAGTATATCCTCGATGGAAGATCTTACTCAAGGAGGAGCAACGGAAGGAAGACCGTGTATACGAAAGTGGAGAAGGAGCATACCTTCGACGTTTTAGTCCTGCTTGGGTTTATACCCGGATCGTGCATAAAGGGTTGCATCCCCTGGCAAGATTCAAGGAACACCTGCGGGAGCACCAAGTGCTGACAGAGTTATTGGACCAACGCTTATTCCATGCTGCTAGACGAGGTGCATGGTATCAACGCAAAGCACTGTTGGAAGAACATTATCTGCATGCTCTCACTCCTGGCGAAGGGCGGAGCGTTGAATCAAACAAAAAACATTGGAAACGAATAGCGCTCAGGACTTGTGAGGAAGGGTTGCAAGACAAAGAATGTCATATCATCTACCATTACGATCTACAGAAGAGGATCAAGAAGCTGGAAAAACAACTTCGGCTTCCCATGCGAGAACAACATGATTTTGGACACGTCAGACTTAGTAAGGCAGTTGAGAGAGATGTTATTGGTATAAAATTTGAGAGCCTACGGGAGGACACACCTTCGAGGAATCTGAGCCGCAAGAACAGTATCAGCAACACATCTACGAAGGCGAAGGAGCTCACGACGACTGAGAAGTTGGACGATAAACCTGCCATGGTTCCCAGGTTACAATCTCACTCAAGCACGGGGGGAGTCCCTGGTGCCAAAACAGTCTGGCTTGATGAGCTCGACACGCAAGAGCGTGTATCAGTGGAAGCAATGTGCCTCTCCCATTACCGCAAAGTCCTAGGCTACAAAGGCTACCACTCCGAAGGAGGTATCCTCCGCACGCTATTCGGGCTACTTTTCAACGACATCCTCTTCTTCAATCCCTATATCCCCAATGTGTTTCAAACTGCATACCAAACCTGCCCACTCGATCTCCATACCGACTCGTTCTATTCCTCACGCGTTCACGAAATCACACAACGCGTCAACGAGATCTCCAACGGTGGAGCATTGGAAATCGCCGCACGCGTCTGGGACGAGAATTTCGACAACAAGACTTTCATAATCGGTGTCAAGTGGGACGGTTTCGAGCGCAACGATCTTCTCGAGCTCATCCAGTGTTGGGACGGCAATGCCCTCGGTACTGTCATGCTGGTCATGGCGCAGGAATATCAGGCCCGCGGGGGCGGCGTGCCGGATCTGATGCTCTGGAAGAAGTACGATGAAGACTCTAAGGAAAGTGATTGCGGCGACGCCCTTGATTCGAAAAAAGGGGAGATCATGTTCGTCGAAGTTAAGTCCGCCAATGATCGACTCAGCGATACTCAGCGCTTGTGGATCTCCGTCCTACTGGGGGCCGGCGTGAAGGTCGAGCTGTGTCATGCCGTTGCTGGTGAGGTACGCGCTGAATAGAAACAAATGTAATAAATAGATTGACACTTTGACGTATAGATGACTAAGGTGTATGAATGAGAATTGAGCCCAGTCGAGGCAACACCATGGTCTCACCTGTTCTTTGAAATCCTGGCTTTTGATCGATCGAGCGGGATGACGGAGTCATTATTCCGTCCCATTTCAAGTAGTCTCCCCAGATCCAACCCGTTGGTCGGGAAATATCAGAACCCTCGCTCTCATCACCCCCTTTTGATATCTCCAGAAATTATTCATTGCACAACTTGCCTTTCGCATTCACACCCACACCCACATTCACATTCACGTTTCGTTGTTCCTCGCCTTACTTCCTTTCTATCTTATAAAGAATACTTAAATAGCGGCGAGCGATCACCCATCTTTTCGAGTTCCGCGTCGGTATACCTAGCTCGCCATTCATCCTCAGTGAGTCTGGCGTTGCGCTTGTTGATGGTCCAGAACAGGGATTCTAGGGTTAGGGCGCACACAATGCCAGAGGCCGCAAAGGCAAGCGAGCTGCCGAACCCAGTCGGGTATTTCGGCTTCTCCTTGTCGATGAAGATGAAAGATCCGGCGATGCCACCGCAGTTGCCCTGTTGCATCGGTTAGTTACGGGGACTGCACGTGTATGTGCATGAAACTGACGGGAAGGTGATTTCTGGTGCTGGGCCTAAGGATAGACGTACCATTGCGATCATCCACGCGATGCCCTGAGCTCGCTTCGCTGGGCCGGCGAGGTTGTTGATAGTCCAGGCGTTGCAGCCTGGCAGGATCGGGTAGACGCCTGCACAAGCGACGAAGACCGCGAAATAGCACAGAGGCACATTATCGGCGATGTGCTCGGCCTTTACGAACAGAATCGTGTACGCGATGATCAGTAGCGTCTGTGCACCGACGATGAACGGCATGCGCCACACGAAACGGTCAGCCAGCAGCGCGGAGCACAGCGCTGAGATTGCTCCCATCGTGTAGGGCGGCGCGGTCAGAAGCTGGGCTTTTGACGAGGTGAAGCCCATGTTCTTGATGATCTGCGGCATGGTGAACTTCAGGCCGTAGTTGGGCACCGCATTCGACATAAAAACCAACGCTTGCAGGTACAGCTGCCAGTCCGTGAGGACCTGTTTCAGCGCGTGCCAGTTGAACGGCCTCTTCTTGTTGGTGCCCTCGATGTATTCTTGTTTCTCCTTGCGTCCACGGTGCAGCAAGTGGATGATGTTGAGGAATCGCGCCTCATCTGGGGTAAGCCATTTCGATCGCGATGGACTGTCCGGCAGCATGAAGAAGCACATTACACCCACCGCGATGGTTGCGAGGCCCTCAAGGATGAATATCCATCTCCACCCTTCGTATCCACCGATGCCGTCCATCTTGGCAATCGCAAACGCCAAGAGTCCGGAAAATGCTCCCGATGCTGCGGATGCGCAGTAGAACATAGCCATTCGACTCTGTGTCTTGTTCGGAGGGTACCTTTGAAAGAAGGAAATTAGTGAATTCGGCAGTCGAAACCACTACGTTACACAACATACCATTGACTGACCAGGAATATTGCGCCTGGGAAGAAGCCGGCTCTAATTGTTTCAAGACAAAATATCAGCAGCTGAAAGCAAGGGACGGTAGGCCCTAATCCCAACGTACTCAAAGAATCCAAGGAAGAATCTTGTCGCCACCAAGCCAGCGAAATTCTGGACCACGCCCATTAGGGTCATAACAGTGGCCCAGCATAGGACGAGGGTTCCGATGTAGTAAGATGGTAGACATCTGATAAGGATCTGATTCGATGGTACCTCACATAGCACGTATGGTACGAAGAAGATGGCCACTGTTTTTTCGAAAGCAATCAGTCAGAAACGGCTCTTTCATCTCAAAGGAAATGGTAGATTGCCAAAAATGAGCTGAGGTTGCATATCAAACATGTCTCATCTGGGTGATAGGACTCACAAGCAACATTGTAATCCGTGCCAGTCATGCCCAGGCTTTTTTCGAGGCCTTCGATTTTGGCGTTTCCGATGTTGGCTCGGTCTATGTGACTGATGAGGTACAACAAGGCCAGCATTGGGACGAGACGAACATCGACCTTGTGGTAGATGCGGTTTTGTTCCTTCAACGGTATGTCATGAAGGAACTGAGCATCTTCCTCGGTCAAGCCACCCCGCATGAGCTCTTCCACGTGCAAAGTCGACTCCTGGGGAGCCTTTTCAAGCGATTGACGCTCATATTCGTCTTTCGACTGTAGATTTGACATGGTTTCAATATCTGAAGAGAAAATCCCAGAAGGATTTTGGTCGGCTGGGTGGGAGCGAACCAGAACTCAAAGGGGCAGTGAAGAGTTGTCGCGAGACACCGCTGGCTTGCAAGCACAGGCATCCTACTATATAACATTTTCGGTAAGATGTATATGCCGTTGGAGATTGGAAGGGAATCAGGGATATGATCATACCCTGCTTCTTGGTATGGATCAAGCTCCCCGCAGAGCCAAGGCTGAGGCAATCCAGGAGCCATCGGACTGACTCTCCGACAAGCAAAATCCTGCGGATTTGAGACCGATGCCAAGCTGTTTGGGATGAGCAGTGTAATGCAGTTTGAAGCGAATTACCGATAGACGCTGCTTTGCGTGTTGGGGGGGAATACCCCCACAAAGCCCTTTCCCGGATTATCCCAGAAATGTTGGTCGACGACTAGTATCAATCTGGGGAACGACCACTCATCATGCTCATAACGCAGTCAGCCGAGAAACATTTTCTGTGAACTTAGTCCACACAGCATGCTGTGCCAGATCTGGAAATCTGCGAACCAGTTCGAATGTCTGGATACAAGTTCCTTGCAGGCCACGGTGGATGTTGTCACAGTTCCCTTCACGAAGCAGACCTCTCATTTGCAAGAGCCATCGTATCATTGGAAAGGCTGTCGCCAATCAGATGCAACTGGACCCGGCAAGCTTGCGCATGATCGCCATTGTTGTGGTTCGTTCAGGTAAGGACAACGACTTCGGCCCCATCTCCCTGCGTTATGAGCTATATGTTTTTCAGTCGTTACGGCAGTGCTTCACTAATTCTGTATGCTAATGCTCCGGCCGTTCTTGCCGAAGAACATGGTATAAAATGAGCTCTTGGGTGCGTCACGCTTTGTCATAAATGGTCGAATCTGCTGACTAGCCAGGTCTTTTTCAAGTTGAAGTTGACCATGGCTCCTAGGATGTGTCAGGTTTTTATGGCCGTGGCCCTGAATATTTGTAGTTTTTCAGCCGCTCGAGGACCCGCATGTCAAGACTTGGCCCTTCACATTGGTGGCTTCTCAAGTTTCAGTATCACGAACTCCAGCCAGGTTGGAGGCCAGTCCATATCTTTCCCGACTGCGAAGACTCTCACCAATAACATTCCTCTGTGCCGTGTCCAAGGGCATGTTGGGTACGCCCTGAACAAATCCATCGGGGTTGAGGTCTGGTTGCCGTTTGCAGATCAGTGGAATGGTCGATATCTCGTCGTTGGTAGGTCAGCTGTTTTTGGAGGGCCAGATATCTCAGCTGATTTGAACTAGGCAATGGGGGTTTGGCAGGTAACATCGACTACGTCAGTATGTTGCAACAGCTGAACGCTGGATATGCGGTGGCGGCGGGAGATTCTGGTCATCTATTGTCCAACAATGGTAATGGGACCACAGCGCCGGGTCAGAAAATCCCATTCTTGCAAGACCGTGAGGAAACAATTGAATGGATACATCAATCGATCGCTTCATTGACCACTCCAACTCGTGGCTTGGTGGAGAGCTTTTACGGACAGCCCCCTTCGCATTCGTATTATCAGGGATGTTCGACAGGCGGCGCGCAAGGGTTTGCTCTTGCTCAATATCATCCCGAGCTCTTTGATGGCATCATTGCTGGCTGTCCGGGAAACTGGTACAGCCATCTGATTCTTAGTTTCCTTTGGAATCACATCCATGCCAGAGATGCATTCCTTGAACAAGAAACTCTTGACTTCATTGCAAATGCAACCGTGAAAAGTTGTGACGACTTGGACGGTGTCAAGGACGGGGTTATCGAGAATCCTCTCGAGTGCCAGTTCAACATCTCACAACTCCAGTGCGCTTCTGGCCAAGAACGGAACTCCACAGATGGTGGGATCCAGTGCCTCACGGCTGGGGAAGTCGCAACCTACAAGGCAATTCGAGCAGGTCCAATAGAGGTCGACACAGGACGCATGGTGTATCCAGGATTTGATCTTGGGTCCGAGAGTTCGTGGCTTCTGCAACAGGAGGTGTTGGCAATCAACTATACCGTGCCCATCGTCCAGAACTTGGTGTTCCGAGATTTGAAGTATGACTATACGGCATTTAACTTCTCGTCTCAGGATCTTAAGCTAGTTGATTCCCGAGCCTCGCCATACATCGACTCGATATCTCCAGACCTGCTCGCCTACAAACAGAAGGGCGGCAAGATGATTGTGTACCAAGGCTGGGCCGATGCATTCAACGCGGGGACTTGGCCGATTAAACAGCTGGAGCAGACAGACGCGTTTCTCACCTCACTAGGCGGTTTCGCAGGCAATGCTTCCGAGTTCTATCGCTTGTTCATGGTCCCCGGCGGTGGCCACTGTGGTCCATCCGCTCCGTATCCGCAGGTCCCAGGGAAATACCATGTGCTGGATGCGCTCACTGCATGGGTCGAGAACGGCACGGCGCCGCTGCAGGTGAAGAGCTCCGCTCCGCCAGATGCGAGTAACCGGACAAGAAAGCTGTGTCCTTGGCCACAGACGGCGGAATTGGTGGGAGGTAATCCTGACGATTGGGAGTCTTTCCACTGTGTAGATTGAGCCATGTCGAGTATAATAAGAATCATATGAAAATAAGTTAGATATTCCCGATTCTACAATGCTATTCAGTAGGCTCGTCCCCTGCTCTGTCCTCTAGTAGGCGGAGATTGGTCATAGCCACGATGGACGTGACAGTTGTTGAGTTCAGCAATTAGGCACAATTACGAACCGAGCCTCTTCGACTCCAACTACACCCAGGCGATGGTCCTGAAGACACGATGGCCTATGGGCTCAGGCAATATTGGTTGTGCCAATATTCAGATACACCAACTCAACAAACTCGCCACTGAGTGCAGCGAGGTGCAATGAAGCCATAGGCCACTCTAGTATCTCCAACGAGGATCGAAATCCCAGGCTCTAGCTAGATGATCAGCCTTCGTTCCCCGAGACGAAAGCACCCGCGCAACCCCTCACTTTGTCGTTTCAAGAGTTGCACCAATTGCCGGCAGTGCAATACCTTCAGCCGAGGTCGCGGGGATCAAAGCTTACCTTCCAGAAATTCATGCACCAACGGAGTTCCTGTTACACAAGTTACTAGGCGAGTCTTACAAACGCAACGATGGGCCCTCCTCCATTTCGCGCAGACCAGATTGGCTCGCTTCTTCGGCCAGATGCACTGGTTCAGGCGCGGAAGAACCTACATTTAGGGCAAGGTCGACTGCGAGCTGGGCCACAGGGCGGAAACGAACAGCATGCCGAGTCTGACGCTGCCAATGAAGGAGATGTGTCGTCGGGCGCCACTCTCGTCCAGTCGGTGAAGACGGAGCAGGACCGTGCGATCAAGGAGGTTGTCCAGGAGCAACTGAACCGAAAGATTCTGCCAGTTGTGACCGGCGAGTACGAGCGCACGATTTTCTATGACAAGTTCTTCGAAGCCCTTACCGGGTTTGAGCTGAGATATACGCCGCTGGAGGAGTTCAAGTTGGATTTCCCTACGAATCGGCCGCTGTTGAAATGGGGCGTCCCGGGAAGGGATGCTGGGTACCCGACCGGGTCAAAGGTCTCCCTGGACAAGAGTGCGTACCTTGACGACTGGCTTTTTCTGAGGAGCCTGCTGCCGGAGAGTCAGTGGAAGAATGCGAAGATGACGATTCCTCCGCCAGGCTGGTGGCATATACAATTGAAAACCCCATACAGCAAGGAACTGTACGCGACAGATGAAGCATTACTGGCAGACTTGAGTGCTGCTGTCAGAAAGGAAATCTTGACGCTTTACAAGCATGGTTTGCGTGTCATCCAGGTCGATGATCCGAATCTGTCATTTTTCTGCGACGAGGCCTGGATAAAAACTTGCAAGTCTGAGGGTGTTGATCTCGAAAGACTTCTGGAACTCTATGTCAAATCACACAACGACGCTCTCATAGACTTACCGCCGGACCTCCACGTTGGTCTTCATATCTGTCGAGGTAATTTTCCGAACGGGGTTGGTCTGGCTAGTGGAAGCTACGAACGCATTGCGAGGAAGCTGTTTCTTGAAACAAGCTATAAACTGTTTTATCTTGAGTTCGACAGTCCTCGTGCGGGAGACTTTACGCCTCTGAAGCATTTCCCGGCTGACAAAGCCGTTGTGCTCGGCGTGGTAACCAGCAAATTCTCAGATATGGAAAAGCTGGACGACCTCAAAGCGAAAGTGTATCAGGCGGCTGACGTTATTGCTGAAGGGCAGGGTCGGACACGTGCAGATACACTTCGTGACAACATTGCAGTTTCTACTCAGTGTGGTTTCGCCAGTGATCATTCTGAAGGTGGCGTCGGAATGACCAGGGACCGAATGTGGGAGAAGCTGGAATTGGTTAAGGCGTTGTCTGAGGCTATTTGGCCTCGGTGGAATGAGTAACTATTACTCGTAGACGCCGGATCCTGGAAGATGGAATTAGCTTTGCTCCAAGCCCGTGCTCAAGAGTCTAGGATGAAGCCACATAAACGGTTCTAAATGTAAGCATCATAAGCGTCCTTGGATCAGATCAAGCTGTGCCGAGACTTGATTCTCCAAGCGATGAGCCAGAACAAGAAATGCCGGTCGTCGGTCATCGGGGCCGCTGCCCGACGGGTGATTGATATGCATGTTGACTACCTCGATGACTCGAGAGCGAAAAACATAATTGCCATATACGGTTTGATCCTGGATAGTGAGCGAAGGCCGCTTTAACCTGAGCTAAGGCTGAGCATCACTGAGTGCTCCCTCAGCTTTCCTTGAGCATTCCCTGAGCAAACATACCTGGGAGCGTAATCAGGCCCCTAGCAGTCGGCTATACCTGCCTCTTGGCTAGGTATCTGCTTCAGACGGGCGTCAGAGACCTTGCAGATTTCCTGCCCTTATGCTGCTACCTAACTACGTAACCGAAATAGGTGTTATACCAGCGGAATCTCGATCCTTGGTGACCTTGACTGTCACGTGATCCATTGCCACTCATGCTCAGGTTGGGCTCCGGAGGGGTTGCTCGTCCTGCTCAGACTAGCGGGTTTAGACGGGGTCCGTAAAGCAGGACTGTAGCTGCCCGAAACTGGAATCCTGAAGTATTTGCTAACAGTCTCTACTATGCTGGCCTGCCTACGGAGTACCTGCAAGGCCTTCCTTTAATCTCTATGATCGGACCGCTGCTTGTAGGACCGGTACCACCGGCCAGTGGCTTAAGACATGTGCCTGTCAGCCTTGTGCGGGAGGGTAGTTATCGAACCCACCGCGGAAGTTGATGTCACTCTCACCAGCCAGTAATTGCATAACTACAGGCTTGCACGTCTGGAGCAGTGCTTTTCCACTGCCCTCCCACGACCCGATCCGACCGTCCTGGCCGCTTTTACGTTTTCGGTACCTGCCCCCCTACTGGCCGCTGAATCTGCATTCCCCTCCTCCAGCTTCTTCAGCCGCCTGCTTCTTTGTCTCTCTCATCTCCAAATGATTGGGGTTGACATACGGCGTTGACAGGAGAATGTATTCTGATGTGGTTCCTGGTCGAAGGCTTCTGATCAACAACGCCTGTCTGAAAGCCAGGTCAGTCGCTGATTATGAAGCTATGGCATATGTCTCTTACAGATGACGTCCTCACGTTGCAGATACCGCGCCTCATGTATCGATGTGATACAGATATGGTCAAAGAGTCCGTCAGTTTTGGTCTGCGGCAGTAGCGGCGTTGAGCGATCGGGGGACGGGCGAGGCCATCTTCGCTGGACATATTTGACGAGAATGAAGATGATGGGCGCAGCTGTGACAAGCAACGAAACAATGGCAATAATTGCTTCTGTGGAGAGAAGCATTCTCTACGACCACTGCAGAGGCCTGCGGGAAAATCGAGACTCCGGCTTCCGGATTCGCATCATTGCGGCGAACAGTGCAGATTTGTCGCTCTAGATATATTGGATGTTCGAGATTTTGGCCACCCCTATCTTAGCCATTGCTCTCGTCGACTGGACTCACCAGGCTACTCGTAGATGGGCCATACAAGAATTTGGTCCTCGGGACCCAGTGTGGCTTACTCCGTCGTCACACACAAGCACGGTTAAGAGTGCCATTGCCCAATCAGCGTGATCCTTGCGTGGATGGAACGGTCAACAGCTCCACATTCCGGTTACGGGGCCGGAGCGCAGCGAAGCGTGGCTGCAAGAAATTAGCCACAACCAATCGATGGCTGGATGGGTTTGCGCCCTGGAGATCCACTCCTGCAAGATTTTGGACAAGGCACACCGCCGTACCCTCATGGGGTGACCTCGTAGCCTCATGCTTACAGACTCCAGAGTATAACAAGGCGATGGCCCGTGGATCCACTACATTCACCCTCCTGAGCTTCACTTCGATTTCTTCCATCATCGTCGCTAGTCTCGCAGACTTGGGCGGGCCTCACGATGACTTCTATCCCGCCTGCTTGGGACGCTCACAAAGACTTGCTCAGTCACCTGTACCGTGACCAGAACTGGTCCAAGGCATCTGTTTCAAAGCACATGTGTTGGAGGATTTGGACTGTACAACTGTACGGGCCAATCGATACAGGCAAGTCAGCGTTGTTGAGATTTCTGTCTTCTTCTATTCTATGGTCACCGTTCTGGTTTATATAGACAATTACTAGGCAAGATGACCTCCTGGAGCCTGTTTTCCATGATTCCAAAGCATTCCAGAGGCTGTGGCACTGACTCATTGATCGTTATTACGAGGTTGTCTGCCTGTTCCGTCGATAGTTACTTTGGCGCCAACAGCTCTCCCCGACGTTAGCTTTAGACAATATGATTCATTTGGCATGCTGAGGGATCCTCATCCGGCGCCCTTTCTAGTGAGCTCGAACTTGTTAATTGGACGACTGCTGCGATATTCTCTTACGCGGTAATGATGGTAGATCTGCGCTTACTTCCTTTGAAGGCTTAGCAGAAGGTCGGCTTTATATTACTCCTCTTGGGCATACCTACGTGTTGCTTTCCTATAGTCCATTGATTAAGTTGAAACCCAAACGATGGGATTCTTTCTTACGGCTTAAGCAATCGGGCGCGATCTGTTGACGGCCAGATTGTCGCAACCCTTTCGCATTCCTCCTATGTCTCGCATTGAATTACTTATTCTTTTTAACCTGTGGCATCTTCAACACCATGTTCCCGATTAGGGTCTATATAAAGTCTGTCTTGTACAGCCTCGTTAGCACTTTCCTTAAGTCATTTTTGGAGTCATTCTCGTTCCAGGGCCCTAGGGCCCCCATCTTAGGCGCCATTGCGCCACCACCACATACTCACTTTCTAAGTCATATATACTCGCTTTATGAGTCGTTTGCTACTCTCTCAGTAGCCTATATATGTCCTGGCAAATGCCCCATGCACTTGCAGAGGACCAGAGCCCTCAATACACTTGTTGGCGCCAAAGTGACTATCGACGGAACAGGCAGACAACCTCGTAATAACGATCAATGAGTCAGTGCCACAGCCTCTGGAATGCTTTGGAATCATGGAAAACAGGCTCCAGGAGGTCATCTTGCCTAGTAATTGTCTATATAAACCAGAACGGTGACCATAGAATAGAAGAAGACAGAAATCTCAACAACGCTGACTTGCCTGTATCGATTGGCCCGTACAGTTGTACAGTCCAAATCCTCCAACAAGAGCTCAGGGATCGCTCAGGGAGCAGCAGGTGAGCCGTTGAAAAAGCAAAGCGGGGAGCGGTTCAGTCATGAGGCGGGCGATGGCGGTCGGGATTTTCGAATCGTACTACCTACATAGACTACTCGAGAACGACAAACCTAAATATTTGCCAGATACGGTTTGATCCTAGAGGGTGAGCAAAGGCCGCTTTAACCTGAGCTTTGAGGAGCCTTTCCGGGAGCGTTCCCTGAGCACTGAGCAGACACACGAGGGGTCTAAACTGGCCATTGCCGTTCGGCTATGCTTGCCTGTCGGTTAGGACCGCCATGTCGAACGCGATGAACAATTAAGAGCATCCCTGCTTGGCTCGTCTTGTAGTGGAGGGGACAGATATATACCGTACAATAGGTTAGATGTTGCTTTATTAAGAAACGTTACGAACCGGACAGCTCCGCACAACTATAAAGTACGCAGGTAGTAGTGAGAAAGCTGGCGCACAATCAAAACCTGAATGGTCGTGGCATAAGCCATGGAGTACAGCCTCCTCCTCACCTTTGCTGCCATGAGATATTTCGGTTGATGAGTTGCTATGAGATATGTTGGTTGATGAGTTGCTATGAGATATGTTGGTTGATGAGTTACACCCATGGGCCGCGATGAAGAAAGTTGAGGAAAAGGTTGATTAGAGGTATTGATTGGCTTCCAAGTTCCAGCACAGCAGGGTCCTCTTGTGATCCACATTTACCAGAGTACTTATTTGAAGACTGTCTTCTAACATCTTCGTCTTCTTCTTCCTCAAATTATCTTGACCAACGAATAGGACGACATTGCTCCTCCAGCTGCTGACTTGACGGGAAATTTCCACCATCAATCTTCCCACACTACTCCCCCAGCAAGCCCTCCAAAGCCTTAATCGGACTACACACTTGTATCCACTCGCATCGCTTTAGCAAACCCCTTCCTGTCAGAGACTGTAGAAATTTAGGCAAATCTTTAAGTCTATTCATGATGTACGCGATGTTGAAATTTCTTTTTCAATATTATGGCTACTATGGAGAACACCGGGGTCGCTCACTGGAGCGCTCATGAAGCAGCACGTGGGCCAAGAGTGGGAAAAGCGGCGGGCGACTAATCAGATTAGTTTTAGTGCAGCTCATCCGCAGAGCTCAGCCTTATTCATCATCCATCGGCAACTGGGTGTGGGCGCCCCCGACCGCCGGGTCTGCAAAGAAGGCACCCAGAAGGTGGATCACTCTCTAAACTTCCCCAGACAAGGAGGAGCCTGTTCCCGCTCAGCACGGCTATTGCGCTCGTCTTGGCAGCACCTTGCACAACGCCTGATGCATGAATCTGATATTGGCCTCAGACTGCTGGCCTGAATTCCGTGGGAGAACTATCCAACCGCAAGGACACCATTCAGTATTTGAGCAAAAGATGTCTGTGGCTGGCAATGCCAAGTCTGGTGCTTGTGAGAGATGCTATCGACGGAAGGCGCGATGTTCGAGGGACTTGCCTACCTGTTCTTCCTGTGCCAAGGCGAATACGCCTTGCATTTACACTGTCAAGGAAGGGCCAATCCGACGACAAGATATGGAGAGGTTGGAGCGACGCCTGCGGTATCTTGAGTCCAGGAACAAAGAACTGAATGACCAACTGCAAGAGGCTCGACAGGTTCAGTCCCCCACTGCTCAAGCATCCTTTACTTCTCCAGCTTCAAACATGAATTCGACGCGAGAGGACATCGGTCGCCCCCCTGAGAACAGCGAGGTGGTACATCAGGTATCATACCTGTCCTTGTGTGCAGGTGGCGAGCGACAGTTTCTAGGCACCACCAGTGGCCTGCTTCTCGCAAACCTGCTTCAGACAACCCTTCTCCAGACAAACCTACCGTCTGCTTCCCAGCCTTCCAATGATCAACGTGGATCCGAACAATTCCAGAGGCCTGGATCTGATACCATTGTACAAAATGCAAGTCTCCCACTACGAGACTCCGCGGTCTTGCCACCCTTGCATGTTGCAAAAGGTCTTCTGGCGGCCTATTGCAATCATGATATTATCTGCTATCCATTTCTCGATGCAAACACCCTCGGTCATGCATTTGATGTGGTATATAACCAGAGCCCTCAAGATGCTATTGATCCATTGGACGACTTTATCGTCGATATGATATTAGCGATTGGTACGGCCCATGTTCACAAGTTTGATTGGCATGCATTTCCGGATGCAGAAACGCATTACAATCGGGCAATCACGCGATTCAGCGCAGTTTTTACGAGAGGCGGCATTCCGGCCTTGCAGGCTGTTCTTCTTATATGCCAGTACAGAATGGGAAGCTCATCGTTCGACACGTCTACCAGTCTTTGGCATCTGATTGGTGTAGCCGCCAGAATGTGCTTCGAGTTAGGCCTCCACAAGAAGGCGACCTTTGGGCCTCTCCAGAACGATGATCATGACCTCGCAGCGTGGCCGCGCTCAGATCAAGAAATCGTTGAGATCAAGCGAAGATGTTTTTGGTGCGTACTGGCAATGGATCGTGTTGCCAGTTTTGTGCTGGGAAGACCGCTAGCCATCCAGCTTGACGATGTTGATACTGAACTACCGTTCATCGACACTAACAAGTTGAGCGATCCACAAGGATTCTCTTCGCCAAATGAAGCCTTCGATAGCCCTAAGTGGCATCTCAAGACCTTGATCTTTGTTCACATTGTGCGGTATCGTATCATATGCGGCAAGATTCTCACATCTCTCCATCGTGATACGAAGAGTACAAGAGAATCGATTGGCTCATACGAAGCGATGCGGAACGAATTGGCTATGGAGCTAGAATCCTGGCACGAGGACAGTGGCAGACTCCCCCTGACCACCGCTGCGGGCAGTACAACGGAGCTACAAAGTGCATCGAGCTTTACATCCAAAGAATGGCATGAGCTGCTCTACCACAACGGCATACTAATGCTCTTTCGTCCTTCAAGATGCCTGTCCGATGCGGGACACAACAGCGCCACCCTCCAGCACATTTTTAATTCCTCACAACAATCAATCAGCCTGTATGCTTTTTTGCACCGATCCAGGAGGATAAACTATTCATGGGTTACGTTACACTCAGTCTTCATTTCTGGCCTATCCTACATATACGCACTCAGATACCATTTTCAAAACCTTCAGAGACCTGACAATCCGGGTAATCCTCCTAGAGCAAAACTACCCCTCTCACCAACTATCAATCAAGTTGTTAATGATACAAGGGCATGTTCCAACGTTCTAGTGGCTGTGTCTGAGCGATGGAGTACTGCGAGAAGCTGCTCACAAGTGTTTGACAAGCTGAGCGATGCAGTTTTAACCGATGTGGTCGAGGCCCAAACGAGGGGCCCAGGGCTTTCTGCTACCGTGAGCAGCCACCCTCACGATCAAGGCGCCGCGCCCAATCCGCTCTCATCACCGGGTATGTCAGGGATCCTGCCTGCAGGCATGTCTCAAGAGCTGGGGTACATGGCTGTAGATAGCACTCTCCAAGACTGCTTTGGTGATTTGCAAAGCCTTTGCATCGACCAGTACGGGAGCGATGCGATTGCCGCGCTTTCACAGGACTGGCTGTTCGGTATCCAGGATCCTGGAAATGGCTATTGGTGAAAGGTAAGTGGTCTATCACCTGCATACAGTCCTTTGAATTGTCCTTCAGATAATGAATCGACCCAGACTGCTGATTTGCAGCTCCAGTGCTTCGCTGAAGATACCCGCGTGTTCATAAGGCTTACATCTCTCCTAGACTCATACGATGCCTTTGCCAAGGAAAGTGATTGGAATCTCCACATGACGGCTTCGACAATATTCAGTAATCCCCTTTCCAAGGCCACCGATTCTGTTCGAAGATGAGATGCTTCGATTCAGGTTACCAAGAATTCGGCTAAAATCAACCCGGCGCTGAGGATCAGATTTGTACTAATCATCACCAAGAAGGTCTTTGGGCCTCGCCACAGTGAAGAAGGTTTGCTGCCAAGGATATTCCTCTTGACTCCGTACGAAGAATCCAACATTCGAGTTATGAGCCTTGTCGCCGGATCCTGATGGACAATACTTCCAAGAGGTGCAGGTTGAGTTTCGCCAACAGAGGCCATACTGGCTGTGCAGTTTCATAAGACGGTCTGTTCGTCGGATGGGTATCCGTGAAATTCGGCGGTGCGACGCGAACAACCTCTCCACTACTCAATTGGACTCTGATCGACGGCCGCGATCGAAATGGTAGAAGGAAAGATTTCCATGAAAGCTTTTGGTTCCATGGTCCGGAAATCAAGACCCATGTGGTAGCCCGGATAGCTCTGCATTCGCAAGGCGTATATTGGTGTTTTGAAAATTGACGAGTCTATGTCTTTCTTCTGCCTTGTTTGAACGAACACTCTCAATTGGACTGTTCCGGCTTGCTGCGTTGAAGGATTCTCAACCTGAGAGCCGTACTGCTCGATACTCACTCCATTTGCTGAAATTATTGTCCTTGAAAGCATAGTCTAGCTGTTTTCTCATCATGGCAACTTTGGCGGCGATATCGAGACCATTTATGTAGAAAGTTGCTTCCGCCTGATAAACACCAGGTGCCGTGAACGTCACTTTCATCGTCGATGGAGGTGGGATACCACGCGCACCGTAGACACGGACGTGGTTGGATTGATTGTGTTCAGCCTCCACTCGGATCTCTGAAAGCTCTGCCATAACGTCGGGATTTAAGTACAGGTGTCCTTGCAGTTCATAAAGCATTTGTGCTTTGACAGGTGTTGGTCGTTACACTGCCACCTCCTTCGAGAGTTCTGGTGATGACACATCGACCTGCAGAAACGATTTCTGCATTGGGAAAAGCCAGGTGGACTAAATCAGAAGGAATTCCTTGAAGCCTGAGAAATTTGCTCCTACCACGTACGGAACGCACTCATTGAGGTGGGCGGCCAATAAAGAGCCGGCAAATTCATTATACTATTCTTCATGCCAACCGAAGTACCAAGCACAAGCTCCCATGACAGGTGAAGCATCCGTGACTCGGCCACAGATGACAATACTGGCACCGCCCTTTGAAGCTTTGGAGATCCCCTGGCATCCGATATAAGCTGTTGCACAGAATGGTTCGAGGTCCAGTCGTCCAACGGTCGTTCTTGGTGGTGAATTGCAATTGATTTCGTCTTTTAGAATCTTTGATAACATCAGCTACATCATCACCCAGGACGGCAGCGACGACTACGTCCCCGTATCCCCGAGCTTTGCAGAGGTCTTGGGCTTTGCTGTACAAGCTGAGAGTGTTGAGAGCTCCAGCATTTGTGACGACCTTTATGCCCTTCACGATTATCTCGTTGAGGCACTCTTCCAATTGCTGGTAGAAGCCGTTCTCGTACCCGAGGTCAGGATCCGTGTCACCTTTTACGATGGCGTTCCAGGCGATGTTCATCTCTGACAGCCAGTCACCAGTGATTACGTCGACATTTCCAGACTTGACCATCCGCGCCATTGCGTGAGGGTGGTCACCCGTCGCGCCTGAAACATTGCCAACACGTAGCGGGAGCTTTCCTATCATGTTGTTGAGATCTGGTCTGTTCAGGATTGCCTAGGCACAATCAAAATAGGCAAGCTAGAGTTGGATGAGAGGAATAGAATATTTTCTCCAGGATGAGATTGTTGAGAGGGTGTCTCGATGTGCCTCTCGCGAAGAAACCCACATGGTGATGTCGCATGTCGTTGCAGCGGACTGTATCCCGAGCAAGGAGAGGTCTTGTTTGCTTGAACTCGTTGAGTTCCATCTCCACAGCTACCGGCTTCCTCAGACGGCAGGCGAGTCTGAATGGAATGGAGCAGGATCAAGGAGACTTTGTCGGACCGGGCGTCCGATGAACGGGCCTCGCCTCCGGAGGATTGACAGCAGATATGATTCTGGGGTGTGGATGGGCCAAGCACGTCGATCCTGACTCGCAATGCATGGTAGTTGGAGAATAGCATTTCTACACCTGTCCATGCCGACCGGCCTCTACTACTTGGACCTAGATTGCTCTGGTCGGGATGAAAGTGCGGGCAGATCTCCTCAATTGCCGACAGGACCCCCACGAATTCAGGTGGTGTATTGAGCACGACCAGAGGACGCTTGTGTTCCACGTATCGCCGGCTCGTTAGTTTTTTTTACATGCCTACCAGCCCAATTATGACTGCCCATGCTATTTAACACTGATTAATTGTTTCTTGGGATGGTTCCTGTCTTTGATATTGGGTGGTAGTACAGTCTAGAGGTTGTAAGATTGCTGCTGTTATGCTGACTCCCATGGTCGCTCACGAAGTGCCCCAATTGGAAGTCTGGACGACTTGCTGGTCTCTCTCACCGGAAGAAACAATATATAAAAAAAGGCTAGTGCTAAGCATCGAAACTCGCCTCTCCGTCTTTCGTCTGAATATCCCTAACCTCGAGCTTCACGACATGCGCGGCACGAGGCCCTTGGTTCAAATCGCCCTTGAGTTTCTTCAATGCGTCTTCGGCCCCTTGTGCCTCTCCCACGACCTTTCCGTCGTTGGTGTTCTTGACATATCCTGTGAGGCCGTAGCTTGTGGCTTTCTTTTGCGTGAAGTCGCTGGTTTGAGGGTGTCGGTTAGAGTGGGGGTCTGTGGATGGTGGGAATCGCGCCGCCATGGCGACTGCTGGATGCTGAGATGGCAGTGTGTTCGTGGATTGACTCACCGGAAGCATACCCCTTGGACGCGGCCGTGGACCGTGAATGCTATGCGTTTGGACATTGCGTAGATATTGGGGATTAAGAGACTGTAAAGGATTGTGTTTGTTGTTGTTGTTGTTGTTGTTGTTGGTGGTGGTGGTGATCTACCTATCTGGACTTGCTGTGCACCCAGCATTTTGATAGTGCGGGGCATGAATATCCGGGAGGAAATAGAGGCGTATGTATGACGCCACAAATGGAGCACCTATAAGGTTGCTGGTGGCTGCCTAACTCGCAGCCGGCCTCATCGTAGGGGAGGGCGATGCCAGTGGATGGCACGTGCCTCGTGGTTCCCAAGTCAGTAGCCGGCACCTGGCCGGCCTGCTTGGGCACCTCGGCCGTCCAGTTAATAATATTTGTAGGTGGCATCCCGGGGGCAGCCACCCTCCCAGACCACCTGCACCTGCACCTACACCTGAAACCACCAACCAGCAGCCGAGCGTTGTGACTTTTGACGCCCTCCTCCGTCCAACGCGTTCTCTTTACAGCATGTCAACAAACCAACATCCAACATCAACATCCGGAAAGGGCAGCACCAACGTGATCAGTCATCACTAACTGAAGATTATCTTGGAGTGCACGAGAACGACCAGGACATAGCCTTATCCTGGTAAGATTGGCCCTGTTTCTTCTTCACAGATGTCAAACCCGAGATTCAGGTTGTCAAGGATGATGCTGGCTATGGTGTTTGGTTACTGCCGAGGAGACTCGATGTGTGTTATTGTTAACTCTTTGATTCATTATCGTTTATCCGTTCCGGGAGCTGGTGCCACCGTGCCACCGTGCCAGGGCTCGCCATCATCATGGATCGCGATCGGCCCCTTTCTCGTCCGCGTTCGCTTCCACGCCCTCTGGTAAAGAAGCACCTGCGTGATCTCTCCAGCTTACCAAAGGCCAACTAGTGCCTCCATCCAATTTCACCTCCACCTACCCGTGATCTTTTCCCACCCCAACTCCCACGGGCCACCTTTTGGTATCACCTCGTCGACGTGTCCCTGTGCTACCAGCCTACCACTGTTCATGCTCATGTCGTGACCGGCAACTTACGTTCATTCATTTACTCCTTCATTCCTGTTCAACTTCAACGTCTTCGTGAAACCTGCTGGGTCAGTTTCCTGCACTTTTACAACCCGTACTGCCACAGCCAGTCCTATTGCACCACCTCCACCCTGTTCACTGGAGTCGCAGTCGTGTCACCACTCCCTCTCTTGCTCTCACCAACCACCAACCTCCATATCACATTCTTTTACCATCTGTCGGTCTCCCATCATGACAGATCTGGAATCTTCGATACCCGAAACGGCATCTCCCTCAACTTCTCCAAGTCTCTTAGCAACCCCCGATACCGCAAGCCTCATCTCACATCGATCCGTTTCTGCCGTCTCTTCCATATCCAATTTCTCCGCCTATTCCAATGGCTCCTCTGCTTCTCGAGCAAGCACATACCCCCGTCGACGAGGTTATGTCCGTCCTCAGGGGGGTTCCTTCGCCGAGTCTGCCAAGAATCGCGAAAGTGTCATGAGTCTAGGCAGTATCGCCCATCTGCAGTATTACTTCGCTCGCACGGGCTTACTGGAGGGAAAGGGTGGCCAGATGGCGAGGAGAAAACAGAATGGAGAGTACGATATCCCCAAGTTTACGCTCGCCGCGAACCAGGACGTGGTAGAGTCTCCCATTGATGACGAAGCTCAAGCCATGTGGGAGGCTGCTCTGGAAGACGGCCAGGAGGTGATGCTCCCTCCAAATGTCTCGACTTACAGGCATCGCTCCACCGATGTTGCCCCGCCCCCTGACCAAAAGACCATGAAGCGTGAATTGGTCGAGGCCCTCGAAAATGCTTTGCAAGCCGTGGAATCCTGTGAAAGCAACTTGACCCATGACGGGGATCAGGCTTCACAAGGGTTTCATGAGATCCAGGGCCTCCACATTCTGGACACCACCACCCTCGCCATACGGGCGGCTAGACTCTACTATACTTTACATCCCAACCCGCAAAGATTAAACTCCATAAAGTCCGATCACAACTTACGCAAAGATCTTCATGAAGTGATGGACGTCTTGAAGAAGTGCACGTCACGCAACTTCGAAGGTGGCTTCCGTGAAGACGAGAGACTCTCCATCCTTGTATGGGTGAGTGATGTGGGGATGATGATCGACCAAGAGGCCAAACTTGAAGAGGCAGACAGACATGAAAGGAGAGATTGGCACTGGATGGATGACAAAAAGTGGACCAGCCGAGAGAGTGAACGAGACATCAATTTCCTCCTTTTCCTACTCAATGGAGAGTGTGAAAGTTCTTTGAGATCTCTCCGTGATGAGTATCCCAATTTCTTTCGCAATCTAGCCGATGGTAAAGGTTTGATATCCATGCACAACGCCGCGGTCAAGCGATCAAAACGCCAGTTTGACTACATCAATACCTCCCACAATGATACTGCCAAGCCATATCGACGAGCAGACAACTTGAGATACTGGTTGAAAGCCGCAGAATTAAGATTCGAGCTCAAACTCAAGCTTGATGTTATGGCTGTCGCAAACCAGCTAGATGATCCTGCAGTTTGGTCATCCTTCGAAGATGTCGTTCGAGAATGGAGCCGTGGTGTTCGGGCTGAACTTACCAAAGATTGGAATGGCGATGAAGAACGCAAACTCCATGCCCGAGCTAGGAGTTTGGCTTTGGCAAGCCCACTCTCAAGTCCAGCAAGGAGAGCATCTCCCGCACCTCCCATGCCCAGCCCAGCTCGAAGATTGGTCGCTCCTAGTCCTTTGGGAAGTCCTGTCAAAAGATCGACCGCGACAGACGCCACCGAGTCCGACAGTCCAAACCGAAAGACAGCTCTTTCGGCTTGTGGCGAAGAAAACACCGTTTCCACAAATTAAAATACCCATACCTTCCCATCCAGCAATTCAAACGACCAGAAGGACCATATCAAATTCGAAGTTTTTTCCCTGAGAGGATTATGATACCCATGCATTCGTTGTCAGCAAGCGTTCTTCTTGCAATCGGCATTTGGGGGAATTGAGGACGAACATGCCAGGCGTTTGTTCGTATCCAGCATTGGCAGATGGTCCCGGAGTAATTCCTCCCTGCTTTGACGATGCTTTGTTTCTGGGTTTTGGGTTTATAGCCTTGTCTAGCACTGCTTCACTTATAATTATTCTCTATAGCCGTTTGAATGGATATAAAATCTTTGGTGATGTAGGAAGACGGATCGGTCCTGTTGTGTCCACTGTTTAGTCATCAAAGAAACGACCTGTCCTCCTTCTCCCTATCTGGGTAGGGAACAGTTTGGCGTGATCGATTTACTCGGTGCTGTAGATAAATAAAGTCTTTCTCGCAATCTCGTCATGGAAAATCATAAGCATGGAGAATATTTCTTTGCAATTTCTCGACTCAAAATATTTTCGACATTCTGTTGCCGTATGTATGTAGGTAGGTAATCTCTGTCAACAACACCCTCGACTCTTTCTCGTCCAGATAACTTTCCATCTTCCCACAGCACGCCTAGGTATCAAAGGTAGGTAGTTTCCTATCATTCCTTTCCTCCTTTCATCATTTGTTTTCTTCCCTTCTTACATGTCCAACTACGAGGGCGGCATCGCTTCAATCTGCCCGGCGTCATCGAGGGCAGCCACCCACTTCACGCGCTCGGGCGCAAACAGCTCGGCGCCGGGCTTGATGCTGTTGATGACGTCCACGTCATCGAGGATGCCCGCCTTGATGATGCGCATGCCGTCAATGCCGCCGAACGCGTCGCCGTGCCGCCACAGTGTTGTCCCGCAGTCGCCGCAGAAACTGTTGGTGATGGGCTTGCCGGACGCGGCGGTGACCGTGATGGTCTTGGGGGTGCCGGATACGATCTTGAAGTTGGTGGACGGCACGACGATGTTGTTGCTGTAGTTGCCCCCCGAGATCTTGCGGCAGTCACTGCAGTGGCAGAGGGCCTGTGAGGAGGAGAGGAGTGGGAGTTAGTGCATATTTCGCAGAGCATGGGAAGTGGTGACGGTGTGCTGGAGCTGGACGGCTGCTACTGACCGACATGGCGGGCTCGCCACTGTACTCGACCTTGATATTCCCGCAGAAACAGCTGCCGGTAGGCATGTTGGGTGGTTTGCCGGGTAGATACGTAGGATGTCTTGGGAGTGGGTGTGGGTTTCGATTTGGTTTCAAAAGTGAACCGACAAGGACAAGGACAAGGACAAGGACAGGTACAGGTCTGCTGGGTTTGGGTTGATCCGAAAGGGCTTCTGGAGAATGAGAAGATGCTTTGCCGAGAGGGTGGTCTTGCGAGGACTTCTTATATTCCTCTCTCCCGACATGATCTACCCGACTCATCGGAGGGAGCGTGTCTTAAAACAGCCATGGAAAAGAAACACGCCACGACTGACTACTGCACCTACCACCAGCTACGGCTGCTAGTCAGAAAGAGTTTCGGTATTCGCAATTGGCTCCTTGAACCTGTCCTTAGTACCTGCTTAGTTCTGCGCTCCTACACGACCCATCATCCCATCAATCAATCATCGCGACTGGTCCTGGTGTGCGGTGGTGTTTCAGTGGCCGCTCACCCGTTCGCCGAACCCTCGGCCTTTTGGTTGACGCAGGGTCTTCCAGTCATCTAAATCCTCGTGCTCTTGAGCTGCCAGGTATGGATATCCGGGGACCACGTCAAGATCAAAGTATTTGAAATTTGGGGAGCAAGTCGGCTCCGTAGTTGGAAGGGGAAGGAGGGGCTGATGTGGTCATGCGAGGTGAGGGGCCCAAAAGTGGCATTGGCTTTTCTTCAGGGGTTAAAAAGCGGCATGACGTCGATATCGAACTGGTTTGTAGTTCCATCTCGTGTCACTCGTCCCTGTCACTGGATGGCATTGCCCTAATCACACGTCACTAATTTCTTAGTACTGCAAAGTTCAAGCCCAATCTGCCTCTGCTGGCTCTGCCTCGTACTCTGACTGCCAAACTTGGAAGTCAGAGAAGGGAATTCAACCATTCAGCGAGGCACCATGCCGTGGCTGCCCTAATCCATCCCAAACCCAACCCCATAACTCGGGAGCCCGTGCAAGGGTGTTCCAAAACACTCTGCAAACTGCCAACCCCGAACCCAAGAGCTAGTGCAGATCTTCCTCCCACTTTCCAGGCTCCCCGCCAAGCGGATGCGCTGCGGGGGGGTTATTTGAATTTCGAGATCGGATTGGATCAGACCAGACCAGACCAGACGAGAGATTACGGATATTGAATTCCCGCCTTGGGCGTAAAATCAGGGCCGGGCAGTACGAGGTATTTCGTACTGTAGATCAACCTCTCAAACTGAATACCCTGTACGGAGTTCCTTCTTACTCGGTGCCCATGAGTCGGTAACGAAGTACGAGGTACGGAGGACGTTGTATCCTCATCCAAAAAGGTCAGACATTTCCTGTCCGGAACATGTGGCTCTGTTTTTTAAACCAACGACAAATGTCGTCAAAGGAGAAAACCGGCAGGACGCGATCCTAGACGCCGATGCAAGTAAGCGATAGCGTAGCCCCCGAGAAATCAGAAACCAAGAACGTCCTCGTATATACGGAGTGCTCACGGACTACCAAGTGCCTACTACATACTCTCGTCAAGCCCCACAGCTCGACTGCCAGAATAGGTAAAGTGCGATGGGGTTAAGAAAGGCAAAAGCAGCGGGACACGCCGCTTTTATTGTGCATCCAAAGGCGGCGCCTAAGCCTCACCATTTCGACTTCCGCTGACACTGGCGCTGGGATCCGTTGCTAATCTAATGCACATCATCCTCGAACAGGATGCACATTGGCATGGGCCGACATTCTGTCTTCTCTACCAAACTCGGAAGGTAACGTGTGTCTTGTGCAGCTACACGGGTTTTCATTGCCCCGGCTTGCCATCTTACGGACGATAAACCCTCAATGTCGAGAGACGAAGTCGACAAACTCGACACTTCACTCGTCCTTGGCTGATGGCGTCCACTGTCTTTGGATAAACGCCAACGTACGATCTTACTTATGAACCGCGTGCTTATTGTTCCTCCTGCATGAAATCGTGGCGTGTTTGCCTGCTCAGTCATGGTGAGAACGAGAAATACAGGAAGGAAAGGGCGAATGGCCCTCCGTGCTGATGACGGCGTCATTCATGATGGAGCTGGACACGCGCTGTCTTGGTAAGTTATGGTTGCTTGGAAGGTCTTCAGAACTACGAAGAGACCCATCGCCCTGCGATGCGGTCCAAGTTTCCGTGGGCAACCACCAAACGATGGTAAATGGATCACAGGAGCAAACCAAGCAGTATGCCATTTTTGACGACCACAGAGTAATAGTTTCTCTCCATTGTTTCCAGCCACTGACACACATTCAACGTGCTTCGACGAGACCAACTTTCCCACCATAGCAGCTGCACGCTACAACTGCTCAGCCAATTTGCCCTCTTTCCTCCCTCTTCTTTCTCTGATGTCCTTTCACTTCAAAAAACTCCCATTTGTCTTCGCAAGCTGCTCATCATAGTACCCCTGAAACGCCAGCCAGCCCTTCTCATCAGTGCCGACCGACGCATACGAGAACTCCGCCTCGTCATCACTGATCATAATCTTCTTATACCCGGAACCCGCACTGGCCGCATCCGCCAGTAACTGCGCATGACAAGTCTTGTCCAGACTAATGAACCAAAACGCCGCAGCATCGACCGTCTTGGCGACAGTCAGCAAGCCATGATTCTGCAGAATAACAGCCTTTCCGTTCCCCAGAGCTTTGGCGATTCGCTTCCCTTCCTCGCGGTCCAGCACCACACCGCCGAAATTGTCGTACACGGCGTGCGACTTCCAGAACCGCAGCGCGTCTTGCGTCATCATGTCAAGCTCGCGCCCGAACACGCTGAACGCTTTCCCGTACACGGAGTGCGCGTGGCATGCAGCGTCGACGTCGGGGCGTGCTTTGTGGATTTCTGAGTGGATCGCAAAGGCCGCGGCGTTGATGGGCTCGTCGCCGATCACGACTTCGCCGTCTTCGTTCACGAGGATCAGGTCCGATACGCTGATTTGGCTGAAGTGCTGGGAGAGCGGGTTGAGCCCTGGAGTAGGTAGGGTGCGGTGCTTGTCAGCGAGGACACAACAGAACCGGGCTTAACATGGCAAGAATTGTGGTCTATGTGAAAGGGGGAATTAACGACGACGGCAACATTCCGAGACTGCGTGCACACAGCCATACAGACATGAACACAGATATACCCTTCACCCAAAGCGTAGGTTATGTTGTTTTTCCATCCTTATCCTTCCACGCCTACACCCATCACTTTGCCCTTCGTAAAAGCAAACCCTCTCCGATCCTCTCGGCTGTAGCCCGTCGCCCAAAACAGACAAACAGCAAAACGGCCAAGCAGAAAAGAAAAGCAACTCACAAAAATGATCCCTCAGAATGGGATCCCGCACGGAGATATGTCCCGCAACGCCCTCGTCAAAGCCACGGTCCGCAAAGATGCGAAACGCCGCGGCGAGGTGCTGCTTGCGGTACAAGCGCTCCTCTTCCAGCGAGTCGAAGCGCGGGTACGCGCGGATCTTGAGCTGTTTGCCGCTCTTCGTCTTCCCCAGCGCCTGCACGCTGCGGTTCTCCTTCGAGGAGGCGTCGTACACGTCTAGTGCGGGCGCCATTTTTGCTTACTTTTGACTTTTCGTCTTTTACGGCTTGGGGCTATTATGGATGGATCAAGCACCGGGGCGAGGTGTAGAGGCTTGATGATGATTATGGTGATTATGATGATGAAGATATACTTCGACGTCGTGGAAACCAATTATAGTCGAAACGGGCAAGAATTCGGGGAAGGGGGGGAGAAGGGAGGTCCAAATCCAAAATCCGAATGAATGCAGGAGGAATTCATAAGTTGGCCATGACGATGCTACAGGAACTATTAACCAGTCGTTGTCATCTATTAGCTGAGGGACTGCAATATTTCGGCCTAGGCAAATTTCCGAGATAGGGATGCTCTTGTTGGAGAGGGCTTCGGGAAACTCGGCATCGGGGAGACACAGAGAGAGAGTGTGTGTGTGTGTGTGTGTGAGTGAGTGAGAGGATTTGCAGAATGAAATGGGCCGTTTGCTGGAGAGCAACAAAGTCGTGGTGCCGATGCGATGCGCGGTGGCGGCACTGGTTGGGTGGATGGATGGACTGAGGGCCAGGTCGATGATGGATATTCCTCGCCTCGATTCCTGAGGCCGCCGTGGTTGTTGATACGGGTGCGGGGTATCATTATGTGGTGCTTTGCCTAGGTGGTAGTAGTCCGAGTTCCAGTAAAGGGACTCAGGAGGAGCCGACGGAACTACTATTCGAGATGCCGTCGGCCCACGCGATGGATGTCGAGCATGAGTGTGTAATACATATACTACTATACTACTCTGTACGACGTATCTCCTTTGACCGGACCAAATACGTAAGACGCCATAGCGTTTTAAATTGTTTATTCGTAAGAGAGTAGAATACCTCCGCAATTACTTAACTACCTGATGTAGTCAGGTCAATTGACCAGCCCGTGAGATATACCTACACCGGAGAGCTGAGTCCAGATTCTATACATCGTCGACATCGTGACGAAAGATCCATAATCAACGCCGCGTCTCATGCAGATTCCTTTCCACAACGCCTCGCATATAATATTAATGGAGAACAATTCGACTTTGTGTTGTTACAACGACCCGGCCAGTCTTGACTGGACACCGATGTCTGATGAGACGCATCACTCCTGTTCCTTGTCGGCCTTCTTTTCGTTTTGGCTCTTGGCCCATTTCTTGCCAACTTCGTAGCTGCTGATCATGATAGCACACGCAGGTGCTACCTTCAAACATCGGGCGGCCCATCCTTTGAACAATCCACCCAACCCTTCTTCTCGGAGTATGTGCATCAGGAATCGTGGCATGGACAATTCCTCGGGAATGACCTTCCCGTTCTTGACGGCTTCTCGGGCTGCAGCTATTGAGCCTGCATCATCACCGGCATGATGGTAGACTTGTTGACGGGTCTTACCAACATCAAAGGGAGTTGTGATGAATGCTGCCACAGCCCCTGACACCGCGCCGGCGAAAAAACTATCCACAAAGGTGGCTGTGTGCGATTCATCCTTCTGAAGTTGTCTTCCGCTTGTCAGAGACCGATCGGGATCAAGTTCTTGCCCCCTAGAAGCTGCCCTCGCATCGGTCAAAGAGTTGCGTAGTGCCTCATAGCCCCACCAGTAAAATCCTGAAAAGGGAACATCTCGCCACATGGTCAAGGTTAGCCCACGCCAGAGTGATGTATATCCTTGTGTTTGTGTCATTCGTCGCAGTCCATAGAATGTCTCTCTGTAAATGCCGGTCGAAACTCCCTGAGTGGCCTGCATTCGTGTCCGGAACATTTCAATTGGTGATATAGCAAATGCTGCCGCCACTCGGGCAATCGCACCTGCTACCAGAGGCGCATAGGTATCGTTGGACACACGTCTTACCGGACTGACATGGCTATAACGAAGCCAGTCATACCCCGTGAAGTAGATGACGTTGGCAGGAATGGCCATCACGAGAGTTGGGCTAAGCCCACGCCATAATGTTAATGTACCTTCATTCCTCGCGATCTTTCTTATTCCATCCAGTGTCGAGTTAAATGTTCTCTTCTGTGTCTCCTCCACAGCACAATCGGCTGCAATGGCCTGGGACGAGTGTCCATTTCCATGACCGGCTATACAGAATTCTCCATTACTCCCCATAAAGAACACTTCTCGACAGCAGGAGTTGATGCCTAGATCTGGTGGCAGGTGTTTAAAGTTGGTAGAGTATGCCGCGAAGCGAGAAAGGTTATGTGGTGTGGGAGGCGATTGAGACTGTAATCTGACACGGACAACATCCAAGGGTGTGACTACAAGCTGTTAGTGAGAATCCGGCCAACCCTCCTGCGCATTCGTAATACATACCCAGCAGCGAGGTAAGGACACTTCCGACAGTGGCAGAGATCATACGCTGGCCGGCGGTAATGTTGAGATGATCTGAGGCCGACATCTCCTTTGTATTCTGTTCCTTGAAGAGAACTCTCTCATGCCGTTGTCCGTCTGGTAGGAAATGCGCATCATGCCCGAGCGCGTCTTCGGAGGCGACAGAATGATCAAGTGAATGCGCAGAGCTTGGGGGGAAGGAAAGTGACATTCAAGCGCTTATGGGCGTGATGTATGGCAGAAGGACTTCAGCGTCAAGACATGAGATTCGACCAAGGTGTATCAGGGTGTCGTGGTCGTTGTGGGAGGCGGTAGTGAAGAGAACTTTAACACGGAGATACCAGCGAACATGACATCGAGACTGGAAAAAGTTGGGAATGATAGACGATTTGCCCGAAATCTGCCGCCGAGCTCGGATGTAAAAGTTGCAGGAGCCACTCACCAATTGGCCGTTAATGCCGAGCCACGCCCTTGCTGTTCTAGGAAAGCCAACCCGCTATTTTCCAGAAGTTTGAATGATCAAGCTTTGCTTGAACGTTGGTTATCAGGCTGAGGAGAATCAATCATTACATAAAGGCTGCTGTGACTACGAGTACTGGCATGAATATTTCACTGCTGTAAGCTCTACACACTGCGAGCGATGCTGATATTGTTGAGGACTTGCTTTAGTCCTCAATGTACAGTGACGTCAGCGCGATATAAGCTCCCACGTGATCATACCTCAAGGCATCCAAGTACTCCATAATGTGATCAACAATAAGTCGCTGAGAGAACTGAACTCGCACACTAAGGATTCACGACACATCTACACCGCTTCCAACTATTAAAGCGTTATCAGATTACTTTGAACCAAGTTGCAGTGATTTAATTTCATATACCTAGTAGTGAAGGGATCCGTCGGTGAGACATTCTTCATCTACGGCTTGCCGAATGGTAGCTAGTGTGACCACGCAAGTCGCGTTCGGCTCCTGACAACGATCACCCGATTCAATGCCCTACGATCAAAGCACGGTTGGGGTCTTGCAAAAGACGTTGCTTCGAAATTCAATCATCGACCTTTTGGTTAACGCACGACTTCGGTTCTTATTGTTGTCGGGGGACTACCTCATCGAGTGTACCCCGGATTTCTGGAGCAATTGACACATTCTTTGAGTATGTTGGAGGCTCGAGTACCCTCCAAATAAGGCATCATAAGACCTCATTTCGTCGAGGTTGCTACTTGATGTCAACAAATGGGGTTTAACGGCGTAATTTGACAGACAACGACAGGTCGAGAAATGGACCGTGCACGGGATCCCGGTTTGGTTGACTAGACCTTTCTGACATGCAGCATAGCAAGTGGCACACTGTGGCACAAGATCGATCTTTGAATACAGCAAAATCCCATGAACGGGAAAGTAAGCATTGACTCAGTTTGAGACTTTCGGCTCAATCATTTGGAGTGACGATAACTCAGACTATATGTAGAGAAATCCTTGTGATACATCTCACACACTGGTCGTTATCCTGAAGCACTGAGGGCGCAGACTTATTTGCGGTGTCTCCCTAGCAACCCTACCGAATCTCCCGCAAATCTTTCTAGAAACTGGTAAGTTGAACCCCTGACAACAACAAGAGATGACGAGCAGCAATGTGGCTTAGGGGGAGGGACCACCAACGAACAGAGGGGTCAAAGAAGTAGGCAATCTGGCTCTCTTGATTCAGGTTGAGATGGATCGAGGTTGAGGACCCATTCCGATGGAGAAACTCGGATTCGACAAGTAATCTTAGGCAGGTACCGAGTACTTCGTACCCGTTGTCCCGTACATACACGCCCTTTCGAGCTATCCACAGATGATAATAATAATGGAAATGAGCAGAACCAAGGACAAGGTAGCGTTCTTCCTTTGGCCCCTGCATTAGTGCCGCCGTTAGCGGGAGCCATTAGCACCTCGGCTTTCCGCGTCAGGGTTTTCCCGCTTCCGGTTTGCGCCACTAAACCGTTCTGGGACTGGGTTGCTATGGTAAACAAAACCACCACCAGGCGAACTCCAGCACCGCCATCGCAGCCTAAAGAGGGTACTTCTCGAGCTGAAATGGGACGTATCGTGTCGAACTTTACCTGGTCATGAGGCTTGCTTCAGGACGCCACGAGTATCTCATCTCGTTCTCATCCTCGGCCGCACCCTAGTCATATCAGTCACTCCGGTCATCCACTACTCTTATTACATTAGCAACCCTGGACCTACTCTCCTCCCGCTTCTTCTATTCCTGCCTCCAACCGTCAATGCTGTACTACGGCACCTCCCATCACCGATTGTATTCTTTTTGACATCATTGTTTCGGCGCATATACACGTTTTGCATTCACATTCGTACGGATAAACAGCATTTGCATATGTCCGTCGCCTACATTCGACTGGATCACTGGTGTTTTTACGGGCGACTCGAAGAGGGCACAAGAATTTGACGTGCGACGTACGCAGACCATCACTCGGACGCCCTCCTTGACCGCCTTTTGGTTAGAGGCAACTGAACCAGCACTAGTGACCCATCAAGAAGGCAGCACCACCTCACCACGATGATGACATACACGGAAGGTGCGCCTCGAGAGGCAAGAAGCACTACTTCCCAAGCACCTTTCCAGATCCAACATGACGAGGCAGATGGCGACACATTAGCAGATCGATATCAAGTGCTAGAAGAACTGGGTAGTGGCTCGTTCGGTGTCGTCTATAAAGCCATTGAAAAGGCCACCGGTGAAATCGTCGCCATCAAGCATGTAAGTTGCAACATATTTCCGATGACATCCCTAGACTCGGACATTGACAATTCATCCACAGGTCGATCTGGAATCATCTGAAGAAGACCTCTCCGACATCCTCTCCGAGCTCTCGGTCCTCTCCTCCTGCGCCAGTCCCCACGTCACCAAATACCGTCTCGCCTTTCTGCGGCGGCAGACTTTATGGATAGTGATGGAATACTTGGGAGGCGGATCATGCGCAGACTTACTCAAACCTCCTCCTCATTGCCTATCCGAAAGCCACATTGCCATTATCTGCCGAGAGCTTTTACTTGGCCTTTCATACTTGCACGGAGAAGGCAAATTGCATCGAGACATCAAAGCTGCAAACGTCTTACTGGGTATGGACGGTAGGGTCAAACTCGCTGACTTTGGTGTGGCCGCACAATTAGTCGGTTTGAAGAGTGTGAGAAACACCTTCGTCGGGACACCTTTCTGGATGGCGCCGGAGGTTATTCAACAAGAAGGTCACGATGCTAAAGCCGACGTATGGAGCCTGGGGATAACCGCTATGGAACTAGCAAATGGCGAGCCTCCACATGCCAATGTTCATCCTATGAAGGTCCTTTTCTTGATTCCCAAACAATCCGCTCCGAGACTGGAAGGGTCTCAATGGTCGAGAGAGTTCCGCGACTTCGTTGCGACTTGCTTGACGAAAGATGCGGACAAAAGGAGCAGCGCCAAAGAGCTCCTGAAGCACCGCTTTATTCGGTCTGCTGGTAAGATCGAAGGACTTCAAGAATTGATTGCTAGAAAGCAAGACTGGGAAGCTGGCAAAGGTGGCGAACGGAATTTGAAATATTATGCCGAAACCCTCAGAAACTTGCCAAGCATAAGACACGATGATGACTGGGTATTCGAGACTGTAAAAGCAGTACCAGCAGTTGATTACAGAAGTGTACAAACACAGAAGAGAAAGAGACCCAGCATTGATGTGCAGGGTAATCACTCCGAAGGTAATCCTGCACAAATGATGCAAAACCTAGCACTTGATCATGATCGACACCCTGAACACAGTCCAACCACGTCAACGATGCGAAAAATTTCCGAATCTAAACGTGAACAGTTGGCATCAGGCGAGCAATCTTCCGTCAAACAAACAGCAAAGAAGAGAGTATCCAGTGCTCAAAATCGGAATCCATTGGGTGTCAATATGTCTTTTGGTAACAGCCCCAGCACTGTACGTCAATTTAGAAGAGTATCACCAAGTGCTTTGGTTGATACCAACGAAGAAAATGAGGACCCTTGTTCTAGTGTTATTAGGACACCCTCAAAAGCAAAACCCGGTTTGCCCCAATTTGTGGATATAGACAAGTCCCTACTCGGAGATGCAAAGAGAGAGAGTTCCTCTCGCTTCTCTTCCACGGCAACCACTATTGCCCCTGAGTCGAAAGAAGCAAATCTTGGCCGAAAGTTGTATGCCAACGCAATCGGAATATCTTGTCAAGATGTTTTGAATGATACCGCAGATGAAGTAAAGCGTGAGGCCGTTGCTCGATTAGCAGAGGCATTCTCAGATCTCGAAAATGTTGACCCTGATGGAGTGTACCACATCATGAGCTCTATCATCAAGAATATGAGAGGGGATGGTGACCTGAAGAAAATGTTGCCTTCAAAGCAGTCTCACCGATCATCTGTTATGTCTCAGCGTCCATCATCCGTGCCACAACCAGAGCAGCAGCAAATTTCCTCGCCAATCAAAGTTGGCAATCTTGCGTTACAACCTCCTCCTATCTCCGCAAATGCAAGTCGACAAGTAACGCCTAGTACGCCAACTAAAGGCAATGTTGGTGCAAAACTACTCCTTGCACAGAACAATCCACATTTGAAGTCTCACCGACGGCGACAATCAGCTCAAGCAGCAATGGACAGATCGAGGGATTCGAGTCAGGTCTTCGACGTCAGTGGCACAAAAAGCCCAGACAAGAAAAAAAGATCTGCAGCAAATGAAGACGCTGAGCTGGAGAAAGAAATCACCAACGGATTCAAAAGCGGCTTGGATCATAATCGACAACTTGCGGATGTCTTATTTGAGAGATGGTGCGAGGGTCTCAGAATGAGATGGCCTGCTGTGTGAAGTCCAGTCGATGTCTTGCACCAGTACTTGATCATTACAGATCCAACGATCACCTCAGGTTGCCACAAACATAAATGCCTTCACGAAAGTATACTATGTTGTAAGACGGGGCGTTTCAAAGATCTGTGTCTCGGGTGCATTTACATCTCGGATCATGAATCAACTTTCATCCTTGGAGCAGGGGTGAGGTTGAGTCGAAGGGCGAGGTTGGAAGGACTTCCTTTTCTATTTTTAACGATCAGCTTCAAATTGCATAGCGAAAGCGGATAACGATATGGTAGGAGTGGAGATTTTCTTTGCTTTTCCATGATCATTTGCCTCATTGACCTCCCTGCACTACATCGTGGGGTGGTTTCCCCCTTGTTTGAACAGCACGAACACCGAAAAGCGTACCTTTCGAAAAGGCGTTCTCGACATGTAGAATATATCACGGCCTCCTTCCTGTTTCTATATAGCGGCCAAGATAGATAGATGTAGGTACCGATCTGGTGCCTCTGTATCATCACCATGATAAAGCAAATCAACATCTCTCTGTTTCAGCTGAAGTATTCTTATCTTTTCCTGGTATCTTTTCCGGGTCTGTGTACGGTTAGTAATGTATGAACAGAGCGGATGACTATGTACGATATAAACATGCATCTATATATATGCATATATGAACGGGTATATATGTAGGGGAATATACGGGGAAATGCTTTTGTACGTGTAGTAGACCTCACTAGCCAACCAGCCATTGTGACCAAAACACTCAAGTCGGCGACGCGCGTTCCTCTTCCTCGTTCTCATCCGCTCCACGACAGTCTCTGTACCCTCTTCATCCCTTTATCTCATTCCTCTAGCGAACTGGAAGTATTCATCTACAGCTTGACACCCTGCACGCCGCGCTCCGCATCAATGGCGGCTTTGTCGCGTCTCCAGATCGCCCACGGGCTGGATTCACTAGCGCCGCTACCGCCGTCATCGAGATCGCCCACAACGTCGTTCAGGTATAAGAGCACGGCACCGCGCATGTCGACCAGCCTCGCGGTCCGCGCCTCGACACTCGCGCCCGAGATGTCGTGCAGTGCGTTCTTGATGATCAGCGAGTGCGGCGAGAGCACTGCTGCTTGCGGATCGGACTGAGTCGATTGGGAACCACCACTGCTAATGGCGTCTTTCCACCGCGCCATCAGCGCCTCCTTGTCGATGCGCTTGCTCACGTGCTCGTCGCTGCCAGAGACGAGGACGAGCATTGATTTCGGTGTCCTGGTCGTCTCCTTACTCGACGGAACGACGTGCGCACAAGCGGCTAACTTGCCAAACGTCGACCGGAACGTCGCGTCGCTGAGGTCCGATGAGAAATAGTCGTCCGCACCGGGCGATGCCGGGCTGTCAGGCGACGCGAGGCTGAGGAACCGCGCGACCGTCGTCGGGATCGAGCCCATCAGTGGGTAGGACAGGTTCCACGGCAGCAGGGCCTTGGACTGCACGGCCTTGGGCGTCGAGGCGCAAAATTCCAGGGCCTCTTTGTAGGCTGCCGCAACGGCGGGTTTGCTGTTGATGGAGTCGAGCATTGCTTCGCGGTCGGAGACCGGGGCTTGCAGGATTAGGCCCGAGATCTGGGGGCGGGAAGGGGTGGTTGGTAATGATGAAGGGGAGGAGGAGGAGGAGGAGGAGGAGGAGGAGGAGGGTGGCTTCGGGGTTGAAAATTCAGAGCACATGTAATGCATTGAATCCTGGCAGCCTGTGCTGTGACCCATGATGACGACCGGGGTGGTGGGCGATTTGGTGATGGTCGTTCGGATGTGGCTGATTGCTTCACCGACTTCTTCGACCTATTGCAAGGGGGCCCGCAATGTGAGTATAATCTCGACCCTGAACCCTTGAAGGAATAGAGCAGCGCCAAAAAGAAAGTCCAAGACCCTCACAAGGCTCCAAAGTGAAAATCTTGACCTACATCACGATTTAAATCCACCAGGCCAAAACACTTACCCGCCGAGCTCAGCTGTACATGGAAAACACTCCATTTCTGGTTGGGCTCGTCCCGCGGGAACAAGGCTGCCAGGTCATCTGGATACTTCGGAGATCGGAAGTTATCGTACATGCCGCCGATGAACAGCAGGACATTGGGTGGTTGGTGCTGTTCTTGTCGGGACTGTGTCAGGTTGAGCCGTGGGATGTACTCTGACAGGTTAAGGGTCCGTCGCGGGTAGTATGTATGGAGTCGGACGTCCATTGCGGTTATTGCTTCCAGGCTCCTCTTGGACGGGGTGGGAGTTGATTTTGGTTGTTGATTCTGTGGGCTGCCTCGAGGTGGGAGGTATGAGGGTAGCCTTACCCTGGGTGGAGGCTTGCGCTTTGAACTTGAAGTCGTGCGTAAGGGTTTATAGTAGCAGGAAACCAGTCGCAGGAGGTTAGGGTTGCTCTTCCACTGGCATTTTATCATCAGCTAGGAAGGTCTGCTGGTACGTCGAGTTCAACATGTTTCAGTGTAGCAGTGCAAATATTGTTCTTGAATCTTGAATGACACCAACGGTAGTCACAACACCGATACCGGACTCGAAATAGAGTTTCGGGGATGAGTCAGCTACTATACGTATCTCACTTCCATTGTGCATGGGGCAGTCTCCTCAAGGACACTTATTTGAGAGCGACTGATTGACTCTGCGTGACGTACTACGATCTTAAAAAGCGTCATGATCGAAAAGGGGCAATCTGGATGCTAGTATCAATTAAGGTGCGCACAGAGATGAACCAAGTATTCACGCAATCAGATTGCCCAGTTTGCCAAAAGTCGAGATGACAGACACATCCTCCCCTATGTCAATGACCACTGGACCACTCAATGAACAAACCTAAAATCCAATCTCTTGGTACCCTCGTCCTTGGTGTTATGGATGTAGTCGTGCTTCTCGTCTGCAGTGAGCCTACTCCACGCCTCCTCTCGCCTCTTGTTGCGTATGACATAGTAATACTTGACGAAGAAGAACATGACGATATTAAAGGTGCAGATCCCAAGTAGAATCCTGTTTCCACGTAGATCTATCAGTGCACCGTCAGCAAAGCGTGCATATGTGACTCGCGGAGGAGACAGCTTACAGAGTGGTCGGTCAGAGTCCCGGTAGATGTTGGATCCCACGATATTCCCCGCTTGGACAAACATGTTGTAGAGAGCAGCGGATACCGCGCGCGTTCGGACAGCGTTGGAGTTGCGCGAGTTCCATGCCACCAGAATTGCATGACAGTACGGGTAGGAGAGGAGGCCTGTGAGTAGAGCATACCGGACCCAGTTGCTTGCCTTTGCGCCTAGGGCCACTAGCGCAACAAGCCAAGGAAAGATCCAGATATTGGATGTCGATGACACTATGGATCGCTCGTTGACCCATTCACTGATTCGTGAGATGATCAGCAGATTCACCCCGAACATGAATTGTGAGGGAATGGTGAGTAGATTTGCGTTGAAACTGCTGAATCCCATTTGTCGAAGAATGAATGCAAGGTAGTTCGAAGGTGGACTCGGTGGGATATAGTTGGTCAGTCCGATCAAGTACAGCGGCCACAGGTCGTAGTCTTTCAAGCATTTCCATAGCCGCTTAGGTCCAACTGCTTGTCTGTTGTGCATATCTCCTTTTGACGGGTCGTCCCTGAGCAAACGATTCACGAGGATTTTCTCTTCGTGCGCAGTGAACCATCCCTTTTTGCCCCGGAATCGACTGGCAGTTTGGCACGGGCTAGCTGGCATGAGTATCCAACTAGCGATTCCCACGACTGCTGTCACGACGCCTTCTAGCAGGAAGAGCCACTGCCATGGGTTAGTATTAATGCTGTAAGGATACGGGCTTCGAAGAATCATACCTGCCATCCACTCCAGCCACTAATACCTCTCATCTGAAGAATGCCAGCGGCTAGCAGCGATCCAAGAATATTGCAAGTGCTAAGGACAGTCCAGAACCAACTCAGGCGGATAGGAAGTTCTTTCGACTTGTACCAATAGGTAATATACAGAACAGTGTCAGGCTGCGCAGGTATTCAGCACGGATTTGAATATTGGCAAAGGGCTCATACGATAAATCCTCCCATGAGAAGTCCAAGCAATGCACGGCAGACATAGTAACCAGTTTTATTGGCAAGACCCGCCTGGGCTGCTGATATGATTGACCACGCCAGAATTATGAATGGAATCCAACTGAGACAGATCTGGTCAACTCCTAACTAGCTCTGGAAAAAGCCACACTTACATGTCGGGGCCCAGCTTCTTGGAGATCAGGCCAGATGGAAGCTCGGCGGACAAGAAGCAGGTCAGGAAAATGGTTTGACCATAATTGAAATCGTTGGTATTCATCCCCAGCTCCGGGAGCATGTTATCACTGATTGCTGTTATGTAAATTAGCCGTAGGTGCCAAAAGTTGCATTACGAAGTGACGGCGAAGAATGTAGCAAGAAAAGATGTTGGGCTTCGCAGAGGTGGCTCGTGGCGACGTCTCATCCGATATGAATCTATTAACTCGTTCACTGCGTGCTGGAAACGTACCTCTGTTGATATTCCTTCGATTGAGATCCAGGGCAAGAAACATCAACCAGCACCATGACATAATGCGGAAGTCGACCTATTCATGACTGTAAGCTCACCACTCTGAATTCATCAATTCAATATTGTCGAACATGCCTTTCTTTTCAACCGTTTCTCCTCAGAAGCCGACCAAGTAAAAGTGGGATCGAATCGATGTCGGCCTTCATAGGTCGCGGTCTCGTAGACACTTCTCCAGTGTTCAGCGACTTTAGGATCGGAAAAAATATGGTTCCCGTAAGAGCCGTAGTCACCATCGATATCCTCGATTGAGCTGTCGTCGTCGCTGATGACTTCATTGGTGAGCGCATCTTTCGGGGGACTCTGATTGTCATGACCCAGCTCTTCGCGGGCTTTACCCAAGGGATCTTTTGGGACAGACATTGTGGTTAACCCGACATTAAAGGTGCAGGCTCTTCCAATCACGGTTGATGAAGTGAGAAGAAGTGCCCTTAGGTTGAGAAGCTCCACGGACGCTAGCCCAGACCCTCCCTCGCGGCCTTTTCTAGCTGGACAAACTTTCTGAATGCCAATCACGCAAAGCGAAATCTTCGTGATGACACCATACCTGTGGCTGGTCTCGCAAGTCTTGGAAGCACGAAATGCCATGGCCTTCTAAGAGCATTGTGGAGTAATAGCAAGGAGGCCTACCGGTTCTGTGCTGCAAAATATCTCCGCTTTCAATGTGTTTATGGCAGTTGTTGGATCTGGTTTTGCAGGCCAAGAGAAGACTCAATATACACTTTCGATGATAACACAATTGCACGCATCTCATAGGTAGTGCCTTATCGATCCAAGTATATCGTTATTTATGCCAAGGCTTGCGTGCTGCCAGATCACAATCGAGACTACCACATCTTGAGTTGTGACTGCCAGCCGAAATTTATATACAGCATTTGATTGATGAAAAAATGCGCAGAGGATCACACCCCGTCGGGATTCAGGCTCCATGCATGGGACACTGTTGCGATGTCACCATGCAACGGGTTCGGACTTTACGCTTAGCTTGCGTTGGACAGCCGTACCCACATTGGGTGAGACGCTCCAGGCTCGAGACCTACTTGAGAAGGTCATAGTCATGCTTGAATGCTATTAAGGGAATGATTATGCCTGCTTGAGAGCAAGAGTTGTGGAAAGCTCAATAGATTCCTGTTGAGGTTCTGGTATGACTTGCTTCACACCAAGTACACATTCCATTTGTGACCACGTACCTGGACATAATATGGCAGCTTCATCATAAAACACCACAGCTGCTACTTCCACTGAGCCCGAGCCTAGAATCCGACCTGCTAGCAATAGTTTGATGAGCAAGGAGGGTGAGAGACAAGTACTCTGTCAGCAGAGTGTTGCATCTCACGGTCACCTGATGGGGGCATTCACAGCTCCCGCGCCACTGCATGTATAGGTCTGATCATATTCCTGCGAAGCGCAGCCACGTGACAATTCGACCTGTTCAAAATCGAAGAATTGAGAAGTTGGACGTATCATTGCATTGACGCTTCCAGCAGGATCAGATCCCTAGAAATCCATTGCAAGTTAGACACCGATACTGTGAACTAGAATCTCCGTCCGATCGTAATACCCATGCATAGCCTCGTTAATACATGTTCAAGTTTTTGCCCACCAACAACCGGGGGGGGGGGGAAGCAGAAGGAATTGGCAATGCTGAAAGAATCACCCCAGGATTTAGAAAACGGTTCCATCAGAAATAATACCGATCGGAGGCCCCTTGGTTATAGGCCTTGATACCTGGGCGAGCTCACGTCCACCCTAAAAGTTTGTTAGGTTAAGCTCAAGACAAGTGAGACCATCTCTTACCTTCCAAGTTCCAGCTTCAAGCATTTGGGCCAAACTTAGCTGGTCATGCCCTTCTAGTCCAAGGCCTTTGTTGACAGCAGCCAGAAGTTCGTCGAGGAAACCAACTGTAACAGCCCTCCACTCAACAATTACGTCATCAGATGGCTCAAAGGTAGGCACGACCTCCACGGCTTTGCCCTCTGCGACCGTCTCATGATAAATTTTCAATCCTCGTTTTCTATCAGCCTCTTTCAAAGTGAGGAGCCCGGTGTCAACCAGGAGGCCACCGTTGCGATATTCTGGTAGACCTGTCATCAACTCAGCTCCAGCAAAATGGACATTGAGCAGTTTGGTCATCGGAACCATCAGAGAGTAGCAGAGCCATTGAGTGAGCTTATGGAATGGGACAATGGTCTCCCACGGGTGTGCTGGTGGTGATTTAGGCATTGCTTGGCATCGCCACGCATCACCCAAAGGCGTTCCTTGAATATTGGTCCTGGTCGCCGGCCATATACCTGACAGCCCATCCATCAGAACGCTCCATAGAGTTGGTAGGAGAATGACAGGGACTGATGAGGCCTGTGTTGTTGGATGTGATATCAGATAATCTATGCCTGTCAGTCTAAGTGTTGAAGTTACAGCCAGCCGTGGGTGCCTACCAATCATGTTTCCAGGTCTCCCCTCGACACCAAAAATCTCGGCGTTTTGAAGAGCCTTACCAAGCCGTATCAAAAGACCTGCACGACCATCTAGTCCAGACATGGGATTGGAATCGGAAACTTGCATTCCTCTGGCTAAAGTATCGACAGTCAACTTGTGGAGGCCGGCCGCATCAACTTGGTGGGGGCGACTAGCATCGCTGCTGAACGCTCCAGCTTTGAACATTTCTAGACTTGCGACAGCCAAACCTTCACTTCGGGAGTAGACCTTTGCAGATTCTTTGGATTTGTAGGACCATTTAGTGCCAGCACCTGCATCGAGCAAGACTGAAACGAGGAAAAGATCGATCAGTCGGCGGGTTCTTTCCTGGTTATCTATCGTGCTGGGCCACGATTGCAGTAGCTGGGTCACACGAGGCCGGCCTCCAACTTCGAAATGTTGCCATCGACCATGTGGGGGGATGGCAGAGTATTCTCCCGCAAAATCGCGCTGGCTTCAATCAGGAGGTGCAGCACAAAGATATCATTTTTATTCGCGGTACTCACCTTGATGATGGAAACAACATAATCAGCAGTGTCCTGAAATTTGGTCAAGTCGACATCAAAATGGTTGAGAGCGTTGACTTTGGCCTCTTCGAGGACTATTCTGGTCCTTTGTCTAACGGCATGGATACTCCGAAGGTAAGCCGCCGGTTTTGTGTTTGGATCAGGAGGGTCAGGAATTGAGATGTCAGCAACGGAGGCGGACATGGCTGGGGCGGCAAACTTGTCAGATACGAGCTTCGGTGATTTGTGTGAATAAGTGTTTATGCGTTCGACGGTGACGGCAGCCTTCAACAGCGACTTAGATGTTGCAGCATCATTATTTGAAGAAGACTTGGAGTCTTTTTTCTTGAAAATGCCCATCATGGCGGAGAAGCCCTATCGGTGGGCGGTGGGCGGTGGGCGGTGAAACTTGCACAGAACGCGAGTTCCTCGCGTCAAGCCACGTGAGCCAATGCGCGCAGGAGGCGAACTTCGGATCGGCTGTTCGCGGCTAAACTGCAAGGGGTTGTGTGACAGCAGATCGCGTGGCCATGAGTGATGCGATGCAACGTGCCTGGGCCTGAAGATTGCAGCAGTCCTGCAAGATGACCGATCTGTGGAACAGGAATGACAAAAATGTACGAGATATTGTGTTGAGGCCGAGGGTAGACGCCTGGGGGAGAAAGTAGGGGGCTGTTAAGCTGTGAAAAGGCCAAGGGAAAACTCAAGCGGGCGAATACAGCAAGTGAGGCAGAAATCTGAGATTGGACCCAAAAGGCAAAGACAAGGGGAAGGCGAGACGGAGCGATGGAGCGATGGAGCGATGGAAGAGGGATGCAGACTGTGTCGGTTCCAACACTTTGGCGTTATCTAAAATAGCGAAATCTCAACTTGCGCAGCGACTATCCGTACAACGTAGGACTAACTCAGTAGCAAGCGACAATGGGGCTTCATCTTGAAGCTCGGGTCTTGAGGTCCTCGTTCCGTCTCCGCTCAACAAAGACACTTTTTCAATTCCGATTTCAATGTTTTGATCAAGGGGTGAGAGCGAGAGAAGGAGAACGAGCGCGCTGCAAAGAAATCGACCCTTGGAGGGAGGGCATTACCCGTAGCAAGACCCAACAACGTGGCTGTATGCCCCCGGGAACAAACATGGGTTATTAGAGGCCTTGTCTCTCCGGGCATCGCCTGGCGCTCACTAGTTAGTTAAACAAGCCGCTAGCCGGCGTATGAGAATGGCGGTGGGCTGACTTTATGGGCTTGGCTTTAACTATCACAGCAACTGCTCGGTGCCCGCATTGGCGCTGGCTCTCAAGTATTACAGAGGTACTCGGTACTCCGTACTTAAGCTTGAACGCCCCCGCACGTCTAACTCTCTGGGATCCTCTCTACTCCGTACTCCGTACTCCGTCCTGCCCTCGCTCTCTTCGCCTCGTGGCCGCCACGAGACGAAACACAGAGGAACGCGAGCGAGACGGAGTACTCGTACTGCCTGCAAGGTTCCTTGGATGCCCCTCCAGCGTCAGGGGCACCACCGGTCCACCACTCCCCAATGTGTCCGCTTGGGGATAAAGTTATCATCCACAGACCTGCAACTAAGATCCGGTTGTGGGGTTGGCCAGCCATGGACTCATGGTACGCATACTGAAAGTACCAGCTTGTAGGACCAACGTGCACGAGCATGAGCCAGGGCCTATCTCAAGGCGGATAGTACTCCGTACTCTGTATGACACCTGGAGAACCGCACTTGTAATGCTGGCCTGCTGGTTCACCTACAGCACTTCAAATCTCAATAAGCTTCTCCCTCGATACGACAACTCTTCGAGGTAACAACGCTCCGTTCTTAGTCCCTGGTCCCTAGACTTTCCTTCGGCACCAAAGTCAACGTGAAACATTAGGGCCTTTAGCATGGTTGCAACCTTGGTCCGGGTTCAACCCCGAGGTCCACAAGGCTTCTTGCGCCATAGATTGAGATCAGTCTAACTAATGCAAATTGAGATTGCGGTTGGCAGCACACGACTTCCATCCTGCAGCCTACGGATGGTGATCCTAATGTGGATGGATATACACACCATCGACAGCGAGGAGACAGGCCCCCTATTTTCAGCCTTCCCAAGCGAAATCAGGAATTCCATCTTCAGCCTAGCTCTGATTGCTGACTACGACAAAACACGGCGATATCAATAGCGTATCAAATATCGTCGTCCAGGCTACGAATTCCGCGTCAAAATTGACTGGTCATTACTCTTGACGTGTAAACAGAGCCCAACCGAGAAGCACGCTTGTTACCCTTGGGTGCTCATGGACATGTCTCCTGACTCTTCGATGGACCTCCTCAAAACGTCGATGGACATCATGCATATTAGTCCTCAGCCGATTGGGACCGTGGTATTTGTGCCTCAACCAGGAACAGAAGAATTCAATTGGCCAAGTTCACATCTTCGCTGAACAATACTATCTGGAGCTTATCAGTATCAAAGACCCCGGTATTGAGACCCCTTCCCACAGTGCGAAGTATGACCCCAATTGACAAGCCTGCTATGCTCCGTTCAAGATATCGCTACAGACCAGCTGGGTACTGTTTCGCGGCGGACGCGGGGTGGTACTAAACGCCGGCTCACTATTATGTCCATGGCGCAGGGGATGTGCATCGTATCAGCAAATGCTTGCAAAATCGAAACAACCAAGTCTTGCCTATATCAAAGAATACATGCCTGGCTCGCGGGCAGAACAGGTGGGCTTGATCATCAGCCTAGAGGTTCGCGAAATAGATGTCTCGGGAAGGACAACCTCGAGATCGTCCTCGCGAGAGTAAAACAGTGGAAATATCCCCTGAAAGATGGATCCGTACTGAAATGGACAGTCCGTTGAACGCAGTAAACTTGGGCGGCATTGAGAGATCTCTATGGATTTGTATGGCTGCGACATTGCTTGACCATGCGATTTGTGGTCTTTCTGTCAGATCCAGTTCTTCGGTGCATTGTCAATATCGGTCGCACGCCTCGTATCCTCGCCTAGGACTGTCAAACGTCCCCATCGAGCAAAACTTGGGTAACATTACTATTTCTAGGACCCCAGGTTCTTGATCTCCACCTTTGCACATCCATACACATTCTCTAACTGGAGCACTTGAAGGCGCTCCGCAAACACCGCTTTTGAGCAATCAGTTAATCCAACAGCTTCTCCAGCCCCGCCAAAGTCTGTCCCTCAATCGACGTCTTGAACGCCGTTGCTTTCAACGCCTCATGATCTTTGACAGCCTTGCCCAAACTCCCCTCAAGAATTGTCCACGAATCTGCTCCAAGCGGAAGCCTCAACGGAATGCCCAGCCCCTCGATGCCGTCCCTCACCGTGTCAACTACAACCTGCACCAGCTTTTCCGGTCCAGCGAACTTGTTGATGATTTCCTTGTTGCTCATCATGCCCAACATATAATTCGTCGCTCCCGCAGAGTCGTTTGCATACGCAGGGTGCCTTTCAGTGACGATGACGGATTTCTCCAGGTAGTCGGTCTTGACGCCACCAGGCTCTGCGGTCATGAAGTGGATGTTCCATGCTGGACTCAGTTCGTTCTGGAAACTCTCCATGAAGCCTTCCATGGCGAACCGTCTACGTTTTACGAATTGGTCAGCTCATTGATCTTTTATCGCCGTCGTCCAGGGATAGGTGAATACTCACGTCGCATAATAATACGCACCCCCTGGGAACGCAACCCTCGCACCCGCAGAACTCATGAATACGACAATCCCACCAATCTGCCCTCCACTCTTAGGATTCTCCTCGCGCATCACCCTGACGACTGCTCTGATAAGATTTGCCGCACCCCAGAAATTCGTCTCGAACAGCTTCCGCGCCTGCCCGTCTGTCGTGCTCTCCGTGTCGCCCAGCAGCGAGTATGCGACATTGTTGATCAGGGCATCAATACGGCCGAATTTCTCGATCGTTTGGGCAACGGCGGCTTGGATGGCCGAGGGAGAGGTCACGTCCATGATCACTTTGAGGATGTTGGGTGCGTCGGGGAGATAATCTAGTGCAGAGAGCTGGCGTGCGACTGCGACAAGGCGGTAAGTTGTTTTGCTGCTGCTGAGGAGAGTGAGGAAGGCTTTGCCGATGCCTGATGATCCGCCGGTCACTATTGCGTGGGAACACCTCTGTTGTCAGCCTTTTAGGGTCTCGGACTATTCCAAGGGTGCTTCGGAGAGGGAGTGGATGGAGAAATGGGCGCATACCGAACCACACAGCATCTTCTCGAAGAAAGTATTGTTTCGACATGGCTGTTTCGCGGATGGTTTCCCCACTTGGTTTGGTCGGTCCAAACCGCGCAACTGCCTTCAATCACGACTGATGATTTTTTTCAAGTTTTGAGATGTTTTATCTCAGCCTCACAGAAGAAAGAGAAAGGGTGTGTTTCTTCAATTTCGCTCGACTTATATACTCCTAACCAAACCCACACCTCATGCTCGACACTAATCAATCCGGGCATAGGGCTCGTCCGTCCCAGCTGCCCGCCCCCGAGCAAGGCTGAATGCACCCACCTTGGTCCTCACGTGACCAACACGGACGAAATATACTGTGTCTTTTCAGCCAATCATTTCACGAGCTGAATAATGAACCACGCTTCCGGCCTCTTGTTCTGCTGTGTTGTCAATGCGAAGATAAGGTTGATTTGGCTGCATAACTTTTCGCTCCAAGGCTCCACACGGCCTTGAGTATTACGTGACGCTGAGAAATATGGCTTTCATCCGAAAATGGGCGGACGAAGATATATGTGATAGTTTATGCAACCTGTCATGCTCCCTGATCACCTGGTCACACAACTCAAGGACCACATTTGACAGATAACTGTAGTGTCGCTACAGGAAATATATCCAGGCCCAAGGCAAGCCAGTCCTGCGCGCGGGACTCATGGCTGGGACTCTCTCGCCCGACAAACTACTACCCGAGGCAAGTATAATTCAACAATGAATGCCAAGGGAGGGCGAGACTGTCACAATACATCTACTCGGTCGAGAATATTTTGGGAGGGGGCAAGGAGGGCATTCTTGCCTTTACCCAAGTCTGGATCTAAAAGAGTGGACCGTGTCTGGACATGATGCCGATAACTCAACTTATGGCTTCGTTGGTGAGATGATGGTACTTGTGACGGGACGGTCAGGCGAGACGAAGTCCATCAGGTAAGACAGACGAAGGGTGACGTATCAAGGATAGTGGCTTCTTTCTGGTTACAGGATGAAGGAGGACGGCTGAACTCTTCATCCAAGGCAATTGTCAGGTGAAGCTGTCAGAGAGACCTTCTCTACGGTCGCATAGGAGCCGCCGTGCGGCTGAGTCTATTCTGACAAGCTTTTTTTTCAGAAGTCGGGACGACGAATGAAACATATAGAGAGCACGCTTTCAAATATTTCGAAAGCTGGCACTGCACGATGGACAAACGCATCTTGCGTAATAACCACAGCTCAGTCCTGCAAGTTCACCTGTGTCACTTCGCCACTGTCGTACATGACCATGACTGTCTGGCCAGTGTTCTCTCGGGCAGAGTAAACGATACCCTCGAACAACGCTGGTAAGCGAGTCACTTGCATGCTTTTCACCTGGGCGTCACTTGCTGCACCTGCCTTTAGTTCCTGCAACGCCTATTGAGCATCCTTGATTGCCACCTGCTTGTTTGTGAAGGTCTTCCGACCTTCCATATCTTTTGTTGGGGGCTGGTCCTAGGGAGTTTGTTGACCTCGATTGGCGCGATCCAGAAAGTTGGCGAGATCGGGTTGCCCACTACGGCCTTCCATACTTCCCGGGGGCATGCTCTTGCCACCCCGGCATTCCTCTCGGGCAGCAATTTCAACATGATGATGTTGCCGTCTCGCATTGGTGTATTCAGATGCGCGAGCTCGCCCAACTAGCCAGCATCAACGATCTCGTCGAAGCTCTGCCAGCCCTCCACACATCCTTCCACGGTGAGTCTGTGTCGGACCTGCTCGGCCACTGCTTCAACCGGAAAGTATGGACCAGACATAGAAATATCCTTGATATGTGGCTTCGAGGTTCTCAGATGGTATATGATCTCGAGATCGGGCGAGGCTCTTGCTCCAGCACCAGGGATCCCCCTGAAACGTACCGTTGTTCTCTTGCATGGGGCTGCCTGCCCGCCAGCTTTCTTTGTACCGCACTCCATTTTGTGCCTGGGCCAGTCGTTACGCTGGCAGTCACTTGAGCAGTAATGACGGGAGAGGCATCTCCCGCACCGTTTCAGGGGGCCATCATCGAGTCCAGGCTGGTGCTAGCAGCGGAAGCAGTAGGGTGTGGTCTCCAGCTGAGTGGGCTGAGAGGACATCGTGGCTTGTTAACTCGACAGCAAGAATATCCACGGGGGTGATGGTCAGGAAACAGGTGCAGAGTGACAATGGTGCAGAGTGACAATGGTGCAGAGTGACAATGGTGCAGAGTGACAATGGTGCAGAGGGTTTGAGTTTCACTTGTCGGTTTTGCAGTAGAAAGTAACTACCCAAGTGGCTGTGAAGTAGAACCATGGTAGCCGTTCATGATTTAGCTTCGTGATGAAAACCGAAGAAGAGTCTCAGGTACGCGAGGGTGAGAAAGAAGCAGCAAGGAGTAAATAGGGAGAGCTGGCTTTTTAGAAGAAATTGCGATGGTAAATATGGCACAACACTTCACTAGGCCTCAAAGATGGCAGTGTCTTGGATTGAACGAGGAGGCTGGAACGAAAGGGAATAGGAAAGAGAGAGAAACATGTTTAGTCGGGATATGCGAGGAGACAGACAATTTATTTGAGCCTGAGAAGGAGGATCTTGGAAACAGGGGCAACACCCGAGACTGGAATATTTTCAAAGGCTAGACCCGAAACGGTGCAAGCAACTTGTGTATCGAACTTGCTGATATGGAAATATTTCAGCTTATATTTGGATAGGTTCCAAGTTGCAATCTTTTTTATACCCCTTTAAAGCGTGTGAGCTTGAGCGTAACCATCGGATATTTGCCAAACGAGGAGCCCGTTGGCAGCCTTAGTGGTTAAGTCCCCGGGCCAGGAAATGACCCGGCCTAGTAATGACCCACGCGTCTCAACGCGACTTTTTCTACCACTCCATCTCTTCTACACTAAATTGCTCGTACAAACCACCTTTTTATATAGCTAAAATGGCATTAAATCACGAGGCTCGAATCCAACAAGCCATCCTAGACTATGAAACTCGACGGCATCCAACTATTCGCTCCGCTGCGGCAGTAAATGACGTTGACCGAAAGACCCTCGGCCGTCGACTACAAGGAGGCCTTTCACGAGCAATTGCTCATGAACCACAACAGCTATTAACCAACGAACAAGAGCAACTCCTTATACGATAGATACTCGACCTTAAGGGCCAAGGACACCCTCCCAGCTTTACTTAAATACGAGAACTCGTCGTCATCATACGAGGCGAGTCAATATCCACTATAAAGATTGGCCAAAAGTAGATATCACGATTTGTACAGCGTCATCCAGAGATTCATTTAAAGGTAGGTAAAAAGATCCATGGATTACGCCTATAGAGTACTACTCCTGAGTCCTTAACTCGCTAGTTTAAGCATTTTAAGGCTGTATAAGAGCGATATCAGGTTCCGTAGCACAATGTCTTTAATATGGACGAGACAGGCATCGCCCTAGGGTATCTGCGCCAATCAACGAGTGATTGGCAGGGCCGATACTACCCAGTCATATAAGGCAACACTAGAAAACCGTGAATGGATATTAATTATCGAGATAATATCCGTAACTAGCCGTCGACTTCAATACCTTATTATATTTAAAGGAAATACGCTTTAATCGACTTGGTTTACCGAACTAGACCTTCCTGACTACTTATATACGGTTTCACTAAATGGCTGGACCTTAAATGATATCGGATTAGCCTAGCTACGATAGATATTTATACCTCAAACAGCATCGAATGATTATCGACTCCTCCTAGTTAACGGTCATAAAAGTCATACTACATACGAGTTTATATGGGAATACCATATAAATCGAATTACCTTAGTCTATTTAATACCTCATTTAAGTCATATTCTATAGCCACTTAATCTTGCCTACTTTTCACTCCTAAAATGCCGATATCGGGATGAAATCGCTAACCTAGCTAGGTACGACGACGCCTCGGCCGTAAAGAGGAGCAAGTTCCTTAAATCATACGAAAAAGCAAGTAATGAAGGTCTCTCAGCATTCCGTATTACTGCTGGGTGGAATGTAGCTAGTATTTATCCATGGAACCCTCGCAAAGTTGTACGATCTCATCAAGTCCTACAAGACAGTCAAACCAGTCAAATATTACCGGTAACGCCGCCATCACGCAGGCTAATTCAATATATACAAAGTACTATTCATACACCTCTAAATCAGCGTGGAATACGGTAGGAAACGCAGTCGATTTCACGGCGTGAGACCGTCTCTCGATCAGTCCGTTTATTGCTTAGTAAGACTAGCAAAGTTCTCGATCGATTACAGTGGGATATTACACTTAAATCACAACAGTTGACTATTCAGCGTAAGTAACTAGACGAACTTTACGCTACACGACGGCAGCGAGTAGCAATCGACTGTAATGAGGTCTTTGCGAGCATCGAGACGATAAGGCAGGCGAGGCAAGGTATGGAGGCCTTACAGGCGACGGCGAGGTCGACATCTCGCTTGCCTACAAGGAACACTACACAGGATGGACAGAGAAACAATCCACTCACTCCGTACATACATCAATTCAGTATTAATGACGTTGTAGAGTAGACAAAATACGATTATATTGACTGGTGGCAGAGTGCATTACGTGGGTCATTACTAGGCCGGGTTATTTCCTGGCCCGGGGACTTAAGGTTAGAGCTAGAGTTAAGGTTAGAGTTAAGGCCGAGATGAGATTAGATTAGGATGTGAGTATCATTCATTGCTCACGCATGGCTAATGCTCTAACTCCAGCTCCACACAGTGGTTTGAGCTTAGATCAATGACTTGATCAAGATTGATGGATTTATACAGGCACTGGAAGTGTGGAAGTCTTGGTATGGTATCTTTTGTGAGTTATTCAACGCCTTAAGGCTCGTATGCCTCTTTCTAGGGACGATATGGTATCTGTCTTTTGTTGTTCGGCTTTCGTAATTTCATGCAGCGGCTGCGACGCAGCTTGTGGGGGCCTGTGGGGACATTCAACGTTGGGTGGTTTCAGCGTTGTCTTGCCATAGGATCTCGTAGAAAATAGGACAATCATGATATCAGCGAGGCGTCTTCTGCATTCAGATCTCGAAACGCATTTAAGCGCGATGGCCTTGCCGCGTGAATGAACTATCTCCAAAAAATAATATTCCTACATTCTGAAGTGTCAAGCTTTTCTATAGATATTCTAATCATCACGAGGTTGTTCTTAGCTTTTTAGAACATCGGGCGATAAATGTGGTCCACAGGTGATTGTTCAAGTTGAAGTACGCACAATAGTATCTAGGTATGGAAGAATGCAGTGTATTTGTTCCTGGCGATTCCCGATGGCTCGTTGTCTCTTCACGGGCCAGAGATTGGCTGCGGCCAGGGGTATTGGTAATGTTTGAGGTCCGAATCACGTTAGCAGCTCAGCAGCAGATACTGGGAACATCGAGAGGGAAATTCTTCCTGCGGTCGATGTGCGAGACATAAAGAAAACACAGCAGTTTGGTTGTCTTGCTTTGATTCTTCTTCGTTCCTGTGGCTTGGCCAACGCGTTGACTCTTGCAGTGCCAGAAGATCTTTCGTCCGTAAAGCGGTGCATAATGTTTTCGGATGACCAATGCATCTGCGATAGAGAATAGGATGATAAGTTGCTGATGGCGTGGGAAAATGGAACAATGCATGCGAGGATGCAGGGTGATCAGTGCAACTGCAAATGCAGCAGTGAGGCTTCCTGCTTGCGCGAGCTCTGAAGCTGGGCAGATGAGTGAGGCCTTTGACGTTCTCACTCGGCCGTAAGTCATGGACTGTTGAAAGCAGGTGGCACTCCCAGATTTTGCTGATGCTTTGAGGCCCAACGATCTCCACTTTGGAACTGAAAGGACAAGGTGAAACAATACGTGGGTATCCTCAAGGGGTGTGAAGCCACACAGCCGCTCATGATGGTCAACAACGTCAGGGGAATCAGGCCACGAGAATGGAACGGAGGTTTTCCTATTGCATGGATGGCTGCATAGGCAGACCGCAAGTAAGTCTTGACTCGGACGCCTCGTCAGAGTCGGCACCCCGAGAGATGCGCAATGCTCAGCTAACCTAGAGGTAGATCTCACTATGCAGAATCTTTTGGCCCGCTTTATCATGTTGAAGTGTGCAAAACCAGTATCGCAGAATTGAAGAGCAAGATAGCTAATGGCTTAAATGATGTAAGGTCAGCTGGAATTAAAATGGGAGAGTATTTCAGGATCGTAGTTCCTGGGGACGACTCCCTCAGAAAGACGATTCCCCCACATGATTCCATGTCGAACCCAATTTTCACCGGATGGTTGCCGCTGGGAGTTCGAGTCAATGACAGCACGCAAGACGATTCACTTGGTAGTCTTTCGGTGATTCCCGGAGTGACGCTGCCTCTTGGACAGATACTACCGCTGAAAAGCATGAACCGAATGCTTATGTTTCCTGGCAGTCAGGGGGGCAACATGGAGTGCACAGGAGTCTTGGGGGAGAAGCGGAATGATCCTACGTGCGCACCAACCCTGAGGCCTCGAATTGACATGGTTGGGCATATTTGGCAGGGTGAGATCTCCAAAGCGCTTGACTCGTTTACTCCAGGTCTTCGGCTCCGCGCCCACGAGATGCAGGGGACAAGGACCAGGGTATGCAAGCCGACAGACTCATTTTTTGGGTTGAAATGCGAATTCGTGAACGACCCATGCGTCGAGAAATAGTGCATGTGATAACGCATTGGAAAGCTCGCGTCTTGGTCTACGTTGTATCTAGACGGTCTGATCGTGATCGTGAAAAGTACACTTTCCTTATTCATCGATGACAGGATGGACCCCACGGGGAACCCGCCGTGATCATGCGGGTGATAATCAAATGATATTGACTACAGTCGTCGGATTCTCTGAAGATACCGAGGTACTCCGTATGTTGAATGCAGGCCAAGAGATTTGGATAATTTCAACATCTCTTGGCCCTTGAAGGTTCGTAGTCCAGTTTAGGAATGAGGTAAAGCAGGCAGCAAATCATGCTGAGCTGGGGGATCTGTTTCAGCATATCCACGAGACAGATGCCGTCCTGGAGATGGTCTTCAGGAGCTAACTTGTGCGTGGACCCAGATGTCGGGAAGAAAGATCATACCGGCGAGGGTCGGTTTACAGTCCGGACCCGTCGCCTGCGGGGGCATGCGACGTTTGCACCTTGTGTACTAATGAAGTATATGCAGTTATGAAGTGGCGTGGTACCTAAGTAGCTTCGATGGGTCTATGGAGATGGAGACTATGTATGTACGGAGTACTCCGTACTCGTATGTATAGTCCTCCACCTGGAGCAGTTGAACTCGGCCTTTGCCATTTACAGGGCTCCCTCCGCTGATCGCTACCCGTCTATTGAACCAGCCATTGTTCCCACCGGCCGGCCGCCGGCTGGCTGAATCGGAGAAGTTGACTCCTAACGAGGGAAGCGAAGGAGATTGCCCCATGGGCTGGAGTCTGGGGTGGACCAGTCCACTTTCGAGGATTGCTCCAAGACTTCAAGTCGAACCTGTGTGAGAGCGGCAATTGACTACGGCACCGGGTATGGCTATTGTCGGCCCAATACAAAGTACGTACCTTGCTCGCAGGGCTTATCGTTGGATTGGTGGGGAAGCCTACTCGGCAGAGAGTGCCTTCCAATCGGCTTACTTGTACCCGTATGGGCTCGTCTGCACCGGACGAACATATGTACTGTACGACTACATGGTCATGCACCAGCGAGTGAACAGTGAGTGCAGGCGGGACGTTTAGACTTCCGATTCCGAGGCCGTTTAGCGATTCATCGTACGAAGTTATCATCTCGGGATGGGCATCGATGACAGCAGATACTGTTAAGAGACTCTCAAAGTCTTTTGCACATCATAGCAGTTATGTACCGTGGACACCCATGAGTTCCGGTGGGCTGATGGTATGCTACATATATATGATACTGCCGATGACGGGCAGCCACAAATAAAACGCATAGAGTGTTCATTTCAGGCAACGTGATGAATGTTCAACGCTAGCAAAGTTGGGCTCACTGGTCGTTTGCAGGAAGAGCAATATTTGATGGACCGTGTTTTCTTTAGCCTAGTCAAGCATTTGGACTACATGCCGCGGAGTAAGGTATGCCACAAGCTGCCCCAATATTTGATTGCAACTTTTTCAACATACGGTTTGTTTCATAGCCCGCGGCCCAAGCCAACACTTCCCAATTAGTATGTGTATCGGAATCCGTGAAGCCCTTCGATGACTTTTCCACCGGCCTCGGCGCGCTTGTTGGCGCGGTAGAACTTGAGGTCCATAACTAAAGTAATAACGATGATTAAAGCACTCGAGATCATGCAGGTGATAATTCCAGGGTGATAGTCTGGTTTGTCTTGGTCACGGAAGACAGTGCTGCCAATAATTCCACCGATACCACCAGCTCCGACCAAGGTAGCAGAGCAAAGTGCACGTTTCCATTGGCCACGGATGTTATTTGCTTGCCAGGTCAAAACGCAGGGCACGTTCGCGTTGCAAGCTGCAGTGGCGAGGAACACTCCGAAATATCGAACACCAACATTCTGCACATATCCGAGAAGTGGAAGGCCTGGAAAGCATGGGTTAGAACGATGTAGGCGGCAATTTCCAGAGAGATGACTTACCAATCAAGAGGAGGCAGCCGTTAAAGAGAACGAAGGGACTGCGGATATGATACTTATCTCCAGCCCATGCAAATGCGTACATGACGATCGAGGCAAGGACGTAAGGAGGAGCCACCAAACACTGGGACGCGGCTACATTGAACCCCATGCCGACATTCAGGATTATAGGGAGGAAGTAAGCGATAGCGTAGGTGTTTGTGGTGGTGAGGCCGAATAGAGCAGCAAAGCCCCAGACCTTCAAGTCCAAGGAGTTTGCGAGGTATTTTTTGAGATTGAAAGATTCAACAGCAACATCATGACGGTCCTTTTCAATACGAGCCACAATGAAATCGGCCTCTTTCTGATTCAGAAACTTCAGGCCAAAGTTGTTGACCGATAGTTCGGGGAAGTCCACAATCAAGAAATAGGAGCCGAGAGCCAATACACAAGTAAGAACGCCTTGAAGGATAAAGATCCATCGCCAACCTGCAATGCCTGGCAGAATTCCACTGGGCGCGGTTGGATTTGCTGCGGTCGGACCATAGTGCTGGCCCCACCAAACTGGGCCACTGCCATGGTTCTTCAGCTGAGAAAATCCGTAGGCGAGAATACCTGAGAAGGCTGAGGCCATAGATCCGATCAGGTAGAAAACAGCATTTCGTTTCTGTAGTTCGTAGCGAGGATACCAGCAGCTGAGAAGATATGCACAACCTGATATGATCAGCCAAGTAAACAACAGAAATTGTGCGTTGCCAACCTACCAGGGAAGAAGCCAGCCTCGAAGATACCTAAGATCAATCGGAGGTAGACGAGATCGGTCCAGTTTTTGATGAATCCGAAGACAATCATAGTGATACCCCAGAGGAGGGTGATGGTGGGCAAGAAAAGCCTGGGCCCAATTTTGCGGAGAACGACAGTCGCAGGTGGTTGGAGCAGAACATATGTAATGAAGAAGATGAGCACGATAATAGAGTATCGTGAGCCAACAAAGTTAAGATCGACGGCCATACCCGCGACGGCAGCAATACCCAAGTTGGTGCGATCCATCAGAGAGACGCAATAAAGGAAGCCGAGGGTGAGGACAAGTCGTCGGTCGACATGTCTAATGATCCTCTTCTGCTCTTTTGGAGAGAAGGCATTGATGCGTTCATCTAGGTCTGTATTGTTCTTCTCAGAGAGGTCGATGGAGACTTTGCGGTCAGGGTCTGCTCGCTCAAGCTCATCCACACCGAGTTCTTTCTCCACAGGTCCGTGGGTGGCCATGCTGGCAGCTCTAGTATTTAAAAGACAACTTTCTGTCGAAATGGAGGCTATCGACGGAGGGAGAATGAAAGAAGAGCGAGTGGTGGGGGAACGTGAGAAACCAAGCAGATTATATGCCAAAGCCAGTGCAAACTATGGCTCAAAAGAGAGGGAGCCCGCAACTATGGTGTGTGGATAAAGAAGGGTGTGGTCTGAGCTTCGAATTGGAAGCATCTTCAACTCGTGTGAAAGCAGTAGCAAGGATAAGGAGCCTACCTTGCTTGTTGTGCTTTCAAACCCTGGCCATAGTGCAGGTGACAAGACACTAGCGAAATGGATCATCGCCTTTAGAAATGTCCTCTGGATTTGGCTGGAAAGTGACCCCAGGATAGGATTTGCCTCCGGTGGAGTCCGGGGTATGAGCATGTGGGCTGGCAGAGCATCAGCACCGTAGTTCTGAATTGTTCCGAATCCATAGAACAATCCGGCCAGATTCGTGCATTTCCATTGGCTCGACGGCAATCCAAGGCAATGTCTAATCTTGCCCAACACTGAAAGCGTTTGCACGACGGACGCAACATCGAGGCTCATAGAATGACAACTTGATAAGTGGTGCAAGCCAAGAAAGACAGACTTTGAAGAAGCTGTGTCAAGGTGCACAAGCTGCACAAGCACTTGAGAACAAGCCCCCAGAGGAAGTCCGGACTCCGCAAGGGGGGCTGGTCAGACCAGGATAGGACTCCGGCCAGCTCACGCAAATACCACAAGTCTTGGAAGCATGCCAATCAACCCAGCTCTTGAGGTTAAAGCGTCTTGGGTATTTGGAGTAGCATCGCAATCTGCACTCATTTCGGCACCTAGGCAGATTCAAGCATCTTACCCTTGTGGGCCACCAACTGCAATCTGCAACGTCGGAAGCGAAAATCCATCTTCATAGGCTCACCTACCTGGTTCACTCTTGGCAAGGGCGATGTGTATACTTGGGGTATGTTGAAGAGATCCCGACGCGGTGGCGATTTGCAAGCCGATCCATTAAGCCTTGATTTCTAAGGGTGCATAAGTCGACATGACTGCACGCCATAGGTGAATACCACCGAGTCGTAGTGGATCGCAGAGGGCAGCTTTGTTGGTTGGGGTTGGTGAAGCCGGTGGCGCGATCGGCGAGGCCGGAAGACGCCTGTGGAAATGGCACCTGTCGCTCCCCAACGACGCCCGGGGAAGCATCGCCGAAGCATCTGGAAAGAAGCTCAGGGCTGGGCTGGGCTGGCTTGGCTTGGCTTGGCTTGGCTTGAGTCGACTCGGTTTGGCTTGGGTGGCATGGGTTAGGTTGGAGGGACCTTAACTCACGGTGATCGCTCCTGATAGCCGTCCCAAGAGGACTGGAATCTCTCTCCCCCCCCAGGCCACAGAAAGATTACTCCATATTGGGGAAACCTCTTTTGGTAAAAAGTCGGAGGGACATTCTTGGATGAAGTCATGGTGGTGCCAAAAGCCTTACGCTGCACCTTTTGTCGAACACGATGAGCGCCAACTTTACAGAAAGCTTAACGCTCGTGTTGCCGATGCTTTTCCAGACTGTTCTCGTCCGAGGTCCAGGAATGAAAATGAATACTCCGTACCAGGACCTAAATCAGCCTGCTGAACGTGCAATCGTATAGTAATTTATCTCCAGATGGTGAGCGAGAATAATTCGGGCTTCGAAGCATGGAATGGCTGTGCTGCACAACAAAGAAGGCAATGGACAAGGTTTTGAGAAGCACCGCCGAGGTTGAAGTAAAGACAAGTCAATAATAACAGCAAGGCTCCTTTTAATATCTATTTGCAAGTTAATACTGGTGAAATATTGATTAATCAACAATAGCATATCGTTATGTGGAAATCTAATCCTCACCGAGCGTACGCCGCGGCGAATGAGCGTACGTGATCGCTCAGTTTTATGTTGCTGCTTTTATATTCTGTGCCCCAGCTCCTTTGGCTAGTACTCTCCTTAAAGCGGCATCACGAAACGCACTAAGCCTGATATGGCTCTTTATTTACACCTTGGTCTTGGCGACGAACTGCGGCCTCAACCGCAGCCAGCCTCGAGTTTAGTACACCACGTAATGCTTGTTGTCCCACAACACTGCCTTTGTTACTATCCCTATATTGATCCTATACTGCTCATTCGCACACCAATGTGTTTGTGATCTCACATTCTTTAAACCTAGAGAGTTCTGCACTCGCTCAATTCGCCCCCGCCTATCCTTCATCGCAAACGAAGCTTCTCCCAAAAACAACTCCAAATGCCGCAGACTGCCCTCCGTATTCAACGTGCTCCTTGATCAGGCCTACCCAAAGTCCCTCGATAGGCGCCATGGCGGCCTTGCTTCCGCCTAGATTCCCCTGTTGGTGTCGCGCAGTGTACTCCTGGGGCGGTGAAACCGACAAAGACCTGGGCTTTATCGAGGGTGATTTGATTGAATGTCTGAACGCTGGAGACGGTTCTTGGTGGATGGGGAGATTGCGCAGAGACAAGAGAATGATGGGTGTTTTCCCTTCGAATTTTGTGGTCGTGCTCGAGGAAGGCTTTAATCCGGTCAGTCGGTCAGCGAGCCCTATGCCAGAGTTGCACAAAAGTGATAGCCATACCAAAAATCCTCTTGCGCAAATTCAGGAGAAGAGAGAGCGAGAAAAAAGGAGGCGACCCTTTCAAGGATACAAAAGTGCAAAACCCCCAACAGGCAAGGGTGTAGTACAGCCTCAGGCAGTTCCAACGCAAGCGCAAGTACAGCCTCTCCTCGATCGAGGGGATCCCCCTTCTACAGTCTTGTGGCAACAACGACCGGTATCTCGAGGCACATCACGTTCGCCATCTCCCTTGCCCCATCACGAGATTGGGTCTTCCCCTCCTCCTCCGCCACCCCACAGAGTGCTGGGAGGACAAAATGGCTCCATCTCCAGAGCCCCATCACCTCAACAAGTTGAGATGAATGACAGATATCAAAGAATAACTCGCACGCCATCTCCAGCTCCTCCCTCTGTGAATGGTCACACACCGCCCATGATACGCAGTGCGATGGACGATGTGATGTCTTCGCTCGACGACATGACGCTAGTGAGGCAAGATTCACAACATCAACCAGAGCGAGAGTTCAATCCCTGGTCCCCCGAAGCTTTTGATAACTTCCGTCGACCCAACGCAAATCAAAACACCCGTCCAATCACATCCTTAGAATTCGGCACCAGTGGCGGACAGTTTTCCGAAGGACGAATAAGTTATAGCAGCCGTCACAACAGTCCCGACCGCTTTCAAGATGGCTCAACTCAGCTCGAGACATATGTTCAGAGAATGGAAAGTCGACTTCGGCGAATGCAACAAGCTCGCGAAGGGAGTGATCCACAAGCAATGGAAAGCGATCCTCCAGAACCGCCACCCAAAAACTCCCCTTGGGCGTCGAGGCCGGGGTCAGCAGCACCTTCTCGGCGACTCTCGATGCGAAAGAGGAAGTCAGCTTTTGAACTGGGAGGAGACAGCCTCAATCGGACATATACAACCAAGACCAACTCTACCAACTCGAGCAGTGGTGTGCAAAGCGTGGCAACCAACTCTTCGCACCAGTCAAGCATGACCAGCCAAAGTTTGATGAGTGGATTTTCTGCAGGCGGTCTCAGCGCCACCAGTGCCGGCAGCCTTGCAAGAAAGAGAATGGGCAGCATTCGAGATCGCATGACCAGACCGATGACCAGCGCAGGAACAAGAAATGAGCAATGGGAACGATCTGACGGTCGACCAAAAACACCAAACACTGCCATCTCCTTCCATTCAAGCCAGTTTGACTCAAGAGCAGGCGCTCGATCTGCCGTAGGCTGGGACGATGCGAGCAGAGACTCGATTGGTGGGCTAGGTGGCTTCACAACACCTAGAGCGAAGAAGCCCGGCTTCTTCAAAAAGTTGATGGATAGTGCAAAAACAGGCGCAGCTAGTGCTCGAAGCACGATCTCGGCAAACCAGACACCAAGCAACGCGGGGTCTCCTACCAAGATAACGGGGATCGCTGGAGGCACAGCATTCAATGCACGTTTCCAAGCCACCGCCCAGTCCGATACTTTTGGAAGAGATGCCGCAAGAGAAATGGGGCTTTCAAGCGGTGCAACGAGTGGCTATATCCTCACTCGCCGAGACATCAATCGATCAAACACCCCAGGCCCATCCGAACGGCAAGAGAGAGCCAATCGATGCATGATGCTTGATCAACCAGTGATATGTCCGGTCGAAGAGCTCTACAAAGGTCTCCAGGGAAATGAGGATGCTGACGGCCATCCAGTGCATCAGCCATTCCAACTCAGCAACCCAAGCTTTAGTCAAGTGGACAAGGCAACTCGTTTCATTACCAGCCTCCCAAGCAGTATAACAGCAGCAACGTTGGCAAACGGCTACGTTTGTCGTCCACACCGAAGTCCTGTGCAAAGACTTCGCGCAATATTCATCTGGTGTGCGGAGAGAATCAACTGGGAAGAAGATTACGAGGTCGACAGATATAATTACAACCGACCAATCGACACCAGGAAGGTTATTCAAACTAAGAGAGGCACTAGTGAAGAGATATCAGCCCTGGTTGTCGAAATGTGCACTGCTATTGGAGTGCACGCTGAGATGATCCAAGGTTATCTCAAGGTGCCAGGCGAAGATCTTGACCTGGATGCTTTATCGCGACCGAACCATTTCTGGAATGCGATCCTAGTTGATGGTGAATGGAGAATGTTGGACGCGAGCCTTGCGAGCCCAACTAATCCTAGACGCTCGCTGTATTCCAGTGTAAGCACTGGCATCGCCGAGGCTTGGTATTTCCTCGCATTGCCTAATGAGATCTGTTGGACTCACATTCCCTTGGATGATGCGCAACAGCATATGGTTCCGAACATCAGCCCCGATGTTCTACTCAGTCTTCCAGGGACGTGCCCGCCCTTCTTCAGACAAGGGCTTTCCCTGCATGCGTACGACACAAGCGTCATCAGAATGGACGGTCTCGAGATGTGTACGGTGGTCGTCAATGTGCCCGTAGACTTGGAGATCGTTGCAGAAGTGGAGGCCAGAAAGTATCTGCGTGACCAAGATGGCGATGTTTACGAGGACGCCGATGGCGTGACGAAGAAAAGATGTTTAGCACAACCAAGTTGGTATAGGACAATACCAAACACCGAGATCATGCAAAAGCGCTATGTCATCAAAGCCATCCTCCCCGGGGACGAAGGTATCGGAGCTCTCAAAGTCTATGCTGGCAAGAAAGGACTCATGTTGAGTTCCAGGGATATCGTCCATCCTCTGGCCTTTTCAATACCGTTATACAATTCTGGGGAGAATCCTGCCTATGACTTTGTCATGAGGCACCCTACTCCTCATGCTACAAGGCAAGATCTATACGTTGTGCAGCCCCAATGTTTGAGACTCGGTGTTGGAGAAACATATGTCTTCTGTGTAAGACAGCACACTGCCTCGGTGGTTTCTACACCTGCAAATGAACAGACTGGATTTGATTTGCGACCGGTTAGTCCGAATCCCATGGCCAGACCGGCGAGCGCCATGAGTATGACTAGCAGCGCCGCTGGTAGTAATCCTAGCGAACAAGCTAGCAATGGTATCAAAATCAAAGATAAACCTGCAAAATTGGCCATTCAAAGTCCAAGTGGGAAAATAATTCGATTAAACCGCAAAGCGGAAGGGCTGCCCCAGGCGATTGCTACAAAAGACGTCGATGGTGAGGTTTTGGGCAGTGCCTGGGAAACAAACCTGAAGGTACAAGAAAGAGGCGTTTGGAGAGGACTGGTGCTTGCAGATCGCAGTGCTAGATGGTGCGTGTGGACGGAATGGGAATGCGTATGATTGAAAGAGTCAGAAACAAAGGTTGGATTTCTTGGTCCGAGGTTTAATTGTGGCGTCTTAAAAAAGCTTCAGCAATTGGATTATGATTGTTTTTGTATGCTGAAATTGGGAGGAAGTTGTGTACGGCTCGGGGTTTAATGGAAGGTCTGCTAAAGTCTTGAACGGTTCAAGATATGTGGAATGCTCTGGATTGAACGCAGACGGTCAAGAGATTTAGGATTGAATTGGTCTTGCTGGGGACTACAGGCACATACGAAGATTTGCCGACGGGGCTGTATGATTACCTTCTCAGTTCTGATGATTGAAATGATGAATTGAATGCACGCTATCCTGGTACTTTCATCCTCTGCGAGATTTTGTGGAGACTGCCAGTGTGGGTTTTCATTTCTGTATTGATATATTCCAACACAGTGACGTCACATCCTCTGGGCGACGATAGTCTGTGACAAAAGAAAAACTGCATTGCGAAGCATCCAACACCATTGCGAGAGGCTTCCATTAGTGCTTACGAGGGAGTACTACTCTGATCCTTGTTTGCCAAACAAGCACTGAGGACAGTTCAAGAAAAACAAAACAAATGAGCTGCAGCCTATCTCTACCGTACGCTGTATTCAAGCCGAAGCGTACGCAGCAGCCTGCCCCGATAAAAAAAACAATCGAGCCACTTTGAGATCTGAGATCTGCAGCACCCGAGAGCCTGCAGCTTAGATCACAGCTTCTTCACGCGCGTGCATGACGAGCAGCAAATAGCAAAGCTCGGTCTAGCACGAAGTGTTCTGAGGATAGAGCGCATCGACCTCTATCTGATTTTGCGTCCCCCGGCATCATATTTGGTTCACTGCGCAAATGGCGGATGACAATAACATGCCACCGCTATCAACGTACTTGTCGCGGCTTTGCGGCCTTGCGTTCCCTCGCACACATCGGTCGCCGTCAATTTACAACAAGAACATCACGCTGGTAATGGGCAATCCCTCCGCGGACCTCGATAGTTTCGTGTCTGCGGTCGTACTCTCGTACTTCTACAACCATAGTCGCCGCGCAGGCAAGCAGTTTTCGGAGTCTACGACCTATGTGCCGATATTGAATTTGCCGGCGGTCAAGTCTTCGGATCTGTGGCGCCAGAGGCCAGAATTTGCGGTTGCGTTGAAAGCCGCGTTGGGGGAGCCGATATACGAAGATCCTTCGAATGGAAAGCCTGGTGACGTGCAAGGAGGAGATAGTGGCAAGGTCGAAACGCTCGAGCGGGTGATCACCATCGCGGACGTCTTGGATGATGATACTAGTGTACTGCATGATCCTTTCGTTTCTTCTTCTTCCTCTTCTTCGACTTCTACGTCGACTTCTCCGCCTCATCCTTCGCACGCAAAACAGGATCTGCTCCTCGTTGATCACAACTCGCCGTCCATTGCGGGCCTCAACGCCGACGCCATCAACTCCCGGTTCAACGTCGTTGGATGCATCGACCACCACGTGGACGAGTACTACATACCCGCCAGCGCGGACCCAAGGATCGTCACCACAGGGATCGGCAGCTGTACCAGCCTTGTGGTCAGCCATCTCAGGGAGCAGGGATTGTGGGCGGAACACAGCGCAGATCCTAGAATAAGTGATGGATTAAATCAAATCACTAGACTCGCTCTGGCGCCTATTCTAATCGACACGTCGAATCTACGGGCCACGGGCGACAAGTGCTCGGACACGGACCGCGAGGCCGTCCGGTTTCTCGAGTCGGTTCTTGTTTCCACTGTGGAGGAGGGAAATAATGGCGATGGACCGCTGGACCTAAACTCGGCGCAGCAGCAGCGAACGCAATGGGACCGCACGGCCTCATACAATGCAATCTCATCCGCGAAGAGCAACTCTCTGTCCTTGCTCACGACGCAGGAAGCCTTTGATCGCGACTATAAAGCGTGGGTCGAACCCATGACGATGAATTCATGGGCAGGAACAACGGATGAGAATCAGAGACGCGCAAAGATCTACATCAACATCGGGATAACCTCACTGGTGAAGCCGCTCTCCTGGCTCGTACGACATGCCGGCGATGTAACCGCGTTCGTGAACGAGATCGAGACGTTCACGCAAAGCCCACACCGGGATCTAGTCGTGTTCGGGATGTTGACGCGAACGGGTGACGGGAGGAAGGAGGTCGTGCTGCTTGCTACTGATGGCCGTGCTAAAGGGGTGGCGGATGAGTTCGGAAAGACCGCGAGTGAGGAGCTACAATTGGGGGCGTGGGAGGGAGAAGGTGATGGGGAGAGGGAGGAATTGCTGAGCGAGTTGGCCAAGAGGTTTGTCGCCGTTAAGGTGTGGTATATCGGTGATACGAGTAAGAGTCGAAAGCAGGTTGCGCCGCTGCTTAGGGGTGTTGTTCGGGGTCTAAGAAGCGATGTGCACGGGGAAGAAATGGCCTTGCGGTCTGCATGACTCAGTATCATTTATTGGGCTAGAAGGTCAAGGGGGCCGCGCACTTGCCTACCAAGATATCTATTCTTCTACCCTCTTAGCCAACCCGTGCTCTTCAATATCCATAGCATCTCCCTCGGGAGCCGCGATTCCCGACGCCGCCTCAGCCAGTTTCTGCACCTGATCATCGAGTTTCCCGTATGCTCTCGGATTGCGCTTGGGCTCGCCCCCGCCGACGCTTTTCGCCTGGTATCCCCTGATTCGCGGTCCTTGGCCTGTCGACTGCGGCATTTCGGAGTCGTACGCGCGTCCAAAAGTCTTGATGTCGTCTTCGAAAGTCCCCCGTGCGATGCTTTGGCGGATGCTGCTGAAGAAAGATTCGATTATGGCGAAGTTGTGGATCTGGAGGAGGGTCCAGGCGACCATCTCACTGGCTTGGAGGAGATGGGCCAGGTATGCGCGGTGGTGGCGTGAGCAGGCATAGCATGAGCATCCGGGGCTTAAGGCTGAGAGGTCGGTGTTGTGGTCTGGAGACCAGAAATCTATGCCCAACGGTTGGTTTGGGGTTTCGGGGGAGCCAGGGAATGAGAAGCATAGTGCGATGCCGTGTTCAGAGGCGCGCGTCACGAATGGCACGGTGATCATGTCGACGCCCGTATGTATGGCGGAGAGTACTGCTTGTGGTGTTGCTGGATCGCTCAAGCAGACCACTGGTAGTCGTCGGAGTGAGTCTGTCAGGCCCATTATAATGGCCGGGTTATACACCGCCAGACCTGACAAATGCGGTCGAAAGTCCTCTTCTATATCTGAGAGGTAGAAGGATAACTGTTCTGGCTCTAGAGGTGGGATTGAAGCGAAGAGCGGTGCTTTTGGGTTCTGATTACTTGCTTCTATCGTATCACGGAGCCATGCATGTGTCCGATCTGCACTCTTCTCCATCCGCTTCGCGCTTACAACATCGTGTGTTATTACATCGGCGAGACTCATCGAGATATCCGCCTGGAGTGATTGCACGGCCTCATCATAGTGCTTGACGTCCAGAAAGCGAAATCCGACAGAGGTCGAGATCGCGATTGACGAATTGGTATTGTGGGCTGGAGTCAAGATGCTGGGAAGCCTGCGGGGTCCTAGTAGGGACAAAGCCTGGTCCGGGAGGCCCGTATATTGCCGTAGACGCGAGTCGCCATCTTTTATTGGAGTGCTGAATATGGGCGCTGTCGTCGCAGACTTCTCAATAACTATCCACCAACTGTAAGCTACATGTCAGCAGGGAGCGCTGCGCTGTTGTTGGCCGGGGTATTCCTTACAGTCTTCAAGGGGGACATAGACAGCGGATATGCGCGTATTTCTGATCAAATTGTCTGGGGATAGGTGAGGAATCGCTCCTCGTGAGGATGGGACTATGTAATGGGGTGTATTGATGCGCTGCTTTTGGCGAAGAGCCAATTCTCCAAGTCGAGCGCCGCTTTCAGATGGGGCGACATGTTGAAGGACGAATCTGAACATCTCATCCGGTAGTAGGGGTCCGGGATCACTGTTCATAGGTGGATTTGCCATCTTGCCATACTTGAAACGGAGTGAGACCGACGAGGCTGCACCTTTTCTGAGACATGATTTTGCGTCGAGGCCTTTTTGGGATACGTCAAAACTACATCACGTGTCAAAAGTCACGTGCCAGCATCGAGGTGATCTCGCGTGGGGCGGTATGTTTCTTCTTTTCGTTTCACACCGTAACCCTCGTTCCTCCACAACCTCATTCATCGTCTTCTGGGGCCCCAGTCCATGGGGACCTGGATTACGAGTTTATGCACAAGACCCTGACTGATACTATTGTCGGCTGACATGAATATTGTTAAGCAGACTGGACCACCTCTTGAAGATTCCGGTTCCATAAAGCACCGAGGGCCCCCGTCCGCTGTCGTCCGCGACGTTGTACGTCTTCACGTGACATTTCTGTACCTTAAGCAGCACAGTGTCATGATTCAGCCGGATATCCCCTCTTGCGAATGTAGCATCGACCGAGATCGTCCTTGAAGCAGACGCGCGCTACTCTCATCTCCAATAGTCTGGAGATGAGTTTGGCTATGCTCAAACCCGCACTGTAGCGGTTTTCAAGCTGGTAAGGGGGTCTTGTGGGGGAAAGAACCAGCTGCCCTGTCGCTCCTGGATAAGTATAAAACTCTTCTTCTTGACCTTTTTCACACCTGGCTTGAAAAAGAATCATCTACTTCGAAACATTCTTGACAGACCCTCCGGCTTCACATATTGACTTCCCTAAACCGTTTCCGTTGAATTACAGCCTAGAAAGATGTCTAAGATACTTGCAGTCCTTGGCGCTACCGGCCGGCAAGGTGCTGCACTCATCGACTATGTACTCAACGACCCAGAGCTCTCTTCGAAATACAAAATCCGTGCCATTACCCGTCATGTTGATTCAGAGAAGTCCAAGCAGCTTAAGGTGAAGGTTGACGTTGTCCTTGGCGATGTGACTGACCGAGTATCCCTGGGGAAAGCTTTGGCCGGCGCACATTTCGTATTCTCCATGACTACGCCTTCTTTGGCTCCCAACGCTTTGGAGGTTGAGTACAACATTGGCAAGACGGTTGCTGATGTTGCCGTTGAGCAAGGGGCTGAATACATTATCTTCAGTACTCTGCCACCCACTAAAGACATCTCTAGGGGAAGGTATGCCTTGGTCACCCCTTTCGATGCGAAAGCAAAAGTTGAGGAGTACATCCGGGGATTGCCTATCAAGAGCGCCTTCTATTCGCCGGGGTTCTTCATGGACAATTTCACCTCTCAGCCCTTCCTGGCTCCAAAGCAGGAACCGGATGGCACATGGGCGTTGGCCCGTCACATCTCCCCCAAGACGAAATGCCCTTTCATAGACGCTATCAAAAACACTGGAAACTTCGTGGGTGCTATCCTTGCGGAGCCTGATCAGTACAATGGCAAGACGTTTTGCGCTGCTCAAGCACAATATACCTTGGAAGAACAAGCTGCAATAATTAGTAAGACCACTGGCAAGACTGTCGCCTACAAGCGCATCTCGGCCGAAGAGTTCAAGAACAGCCTGCCGGTTATGGCAGAGCTGTTTACCGAAGCCTTTAGCGCTCTGGAGGAGTTCGGCTACTGGGGCCCGCATTCGGAAGAAATGGTTACTTGGGCCATTGAAAACTCGCGAGGCACACTTTCCACGTTGGAAGAGTACTTCCAGGAGAACCCACTCCAACTTGTGTGAAATGCTGTCTTAAACTGGCAAGAGACAAAAAATCACTTAATGATAGCCAGACAGATACTGGGGAGACGATCAACAGAGACTGGAGCAAGCCATGGCATAGGATAACTCTGTGTTGCTATCGATAGACAATAAACTTGACAGCAAAGACATATTAGTGGAAGGCAGTCTTTCAGCCATATGTATATCTCTACTACGGTCTTTGCTAGGTAGGCAATTGAATCAATGAGTTGTCATGACGCACTTGCTTCATTGTGTAGACGCTTCATGTCTGCTCTATAATGTCAGTAGAGACTATTTTATTCAAGCTCGTAGAACCTGAAGTTGAATGGTAAGTGCAAGGTAAGTAGGTGCATGGCAGCTAAAGAAGGGCACGCAAAGAAGCACCAATCACCTGGGCTTAGTCATCATTTTTTTTAGTGGTCTTAGGGCACCCATGAGGCACCTATAAGGAGATAAACGCTGGGGTAACAAGCTCGTGCTTTGACATCGTCCAGCTCCCAATTTTCGTACTGGCCAGCCCATTGTTGCATAATCTTTCTGATAAGATGGTTCCCACACAGGGGCCGCGGCTACGAGGTAAGTTGATAGTGATTGAAGGACTTGATCGCTCTGGCAAAACAAGCCAATGTCAACGACTCCACGATCACCTTGTCCGTCAAAAGGGACAAGCCCGATATGTCAAGTTTCCCGGTATGTTCGGCTGCTCCATCCTGAAGAAAGCACGGTATGCACAAGAATGCCTCTTACTGGTTCGGCAGATCGCACGACTCCCACCGGCCAAATGATCAATAGCTACCTGACCGGGACGGCGGAACAAGACGACCACTCAATACATCTGCTGTTCTCGGCCAACCGGTGGGAAGCCATCAAGGGTATTCAGCGAGACATCACCAACGGCGTCGATGTCATTATTGACCGATACTCCTTCTCGGGCGCGGTCTACTCTGCCGCCAAGGACAACCCCGACTTAACTCTAGACTGGGCGTGGTATCCTGAGATTGGACTGTTGAAGCCCGATTTGTTGCTCTTCTTGGATATCTCACCTGAAGATGCGGCAAAGCGGGGGAATTACGGCGAAGAGAGGTACGAGACGGAGAAAATGCAGGCTCGTGTCAGAGCCTTGTTCAAGGAGTTGTTTTCTCGACTCGGTGAGGCTGCTGTTTCTGTGGTTGACGCAGGACAGCCCATCGATGCCGTCAGCCGGGACATTACTACGGCTGTTGCCCAGATATCCGCCGACGGTCCTTTGATCGGAAGGTTGCAGGTACTTGGGCCCCTACTAAATGCACCCACGATTTGAATACTGGATCGTGTCATTCTTCATCCTCACTATCTTCTATCACTATCTCGAGCTTCGACGGCTTGTTGTTTTGCGAACACTCCAAGTCCATTTTGGAATCTCGGCTGAAGGTTGAATCTGCCGACGCAACAGATGCGTTGTCCTGATCATCATCGCTCAGATCGCCTTGCTCATTAACAACATCTTGTGCAGTCAGAGAATCATAGTCCATTGCCTCGTTTTCGTCGTCTTCTTCGCTCTCAGCCTCCAAGATTGCTGCCACGGTTGCAGCTCGGTTCCTAGCCTTTTTGGAGAGGAGCTTACGAGCCTCCCTTTCGCCTCGCGTTCTCACAGTCACCTGCTGCATGAGCTCGGACCAAGGGTGGCTTTGCTTGCAGGATGGACACACTCCATATTCTGGGACGATCTCGTTTGAACCATTGCCTCCCAGTGACTGGTCTGCAATGCATGTGATGTGAGACAAATCGTAACATTGATTTGACGGGCAGATGGCGAACAAGCTATCATGATAGTCCAAGGGCTCAGCACAAACAGAGCACTTGTGACTCTCGCCTTCGTCAAGCAGAAATTGACTTTTTTGCAAAACATCATAAAGACGGGCATAAGTGGGATCGACACCTTCGACCCCACCTTTCCCAATCGAGTCTGCCTTGCTTCTTCGTGAAGATGGCTGTGCCGAAGTAAACTCTTCAGTCAGAGGTTTTCCTTGGGGTGGATCGAAGTGAACTTGAATCTCACGTCGAAGGACGGTATCAACCCTCCCACACCAAGTGATCCACGATCGATAAACCTCCTCGTTGAAAAAGCGGAGTTCGAGGGGCCATTTGGAAAAGTATGGGCTGCGAAGTAAAAGATGGAGATTAGAAAGTTTATCCATCAAGGAAGTCCGTGGTCTACCCGGCCGACGCGTTGTTTTGCCAGACTTTGAGGTCGTTGTGCGGTTGGTTGCGAACGTGATGCGTTCTGTGGGTGTGATATGTCGGGTCAAGTGAGCATTATGCCATGCCCATTCAAATTGGAGGGCAGCGATATTGGATGGGAAGCCTGCCACGATACAGGCCATTTCCCACGGGCGCAGAGAGGCTCGCGATGTCCGCACAGCACCACCTTGAACACGGCCATTGTGTTGTGCAAGGCGACGAGCAGGATCCGGACTTGACCCGACATAAAGACTTGAGTGGCGGATCGTGGAGCGAAGAAGGTAACAGCAATAAAATGCCGGGATAGGTTTGACATCCATAACAACGCGCCAATTTAATGATGATAAACCGTGGATCTCTTAGTCTGGTTGTGTTGAGTCAGTCGAGGTATATGGATACCTATGTGTTGGGCGCATTCAGGTTGATCGCCTAACAGCGCTTTGGGCTGAAGTCCGGCTGCCTAGTGAAGGATGTGAAGGATGATTGGGGGAGGCGAAAACACCCAGAAATACGGTCAATGTTCGGAGTCTTTGGAGGGATCATCGAGGTGCTGCAGTTCCCTTCTTGTTTAACTCTGGATGGGCCATGGCATTATTGGCTCGATATGCAAGTTGCGATGCTTAAGGTGTTTCTTCTGTATTGCTGGTCATGCACGCGTAAGATACGCGCATGTTTTGGGCGGTCGTTCACGCCACTTGCGGCGTGCAATTGCCTGCGGATCGTCTAGACACGTGATCTCGACGGGCTCTTTCCAGTCTTTCCTAGTCTTCCCAGGTCTATTTGGAAACCTAGCCATTTCGGGGATAGGCTTGGCTCGGCAGTATCTGGCCGTCCTGCGCCCTCTGCTTCTCTGCTCGCCAGAGTCTTTACTACTCCGTCCGCCAATCCTCGCTCTATCTGCCCGGTTAAGCCCAAAGTCACCCTCTTCTCTATTCCTTCCCTTGCTTGCCCTTGTTTTCTTATTATTTCCCTCATGGTTCCTCATGACCGCTCCATTCAACAAACCACGCAGTGAGACTTCCGCATGTAAGACGCTGCTATTGGAAGTGCTTGCATAGCACTTCGCCTACGCTACGCCCGCATTCTTAAAGCTCAGCGTGCGACATACGAGGCTACCCGCATCTCTACCGTTCTGCCTCGACACTCTGCCTTCTGGACTCAGACAACACATACATCTATCAACCACGAACTTACTGTTACGGGGAACTCTCTCACGCCTCTCAAATAGCCAAAATCGCAACCGGTAGCATATATAGAAATCCTCCGACACGATATAATCACATCCCTAGCCGCTTCCTGCAGCCATGGTCGCTCCACCCGCCACCGGGGGTGCCGCACCTGCGACTACAGCCCTCAAGACCAACCCCGCCCCTCGAGTCAATGGTGTTGGTTCTAATATGGCCACTCCATCGTTTCCATACAGTGCTCGTCATGCAACTCCCCTCGATTTGCGAACGGTGGAGCGCAAGGGCCACCCCTCCAGTCGTGATCCTCCCACGAGAAGTCGGCCTCACGGTCTGACGGAAGCGCCCACCTACAGACCAACTGAAGCGGAATTTCGCGATCCCATGGAGTATATCCGAAGCATATACGACCAAGCGAGTAAATACGGGATTTGCAGGATTATTCCACCAGATAACTGGAACCCAGACTTTGCCATTGACACGGAGGTGAGTGAATCTAGATCATTTCTATGGCACACCCGTCCCGAAACAGTCGAATATCAAAACTAACAAGGCCCAGCGGTTCCATTTTCGGACGAGGAGGCAGGAAATCAATCTGGTCGAGGGAGGTAAGCTGATCACTCATATGCTCATCTGGCGTGACTCAAATCTTATTCATATGTCAGGAAATCGAACCAATCTCAACTACCTGGACCAGCTCGCCAAATTTCACAAGCAGTATGGCGCGCATCTCAATCGATTCCCAAGTGTTGACAAGCGCCCACTCGACCTATACAAACTCAAAAAGGCGGTCGAAGTACGAGGTGGTTTCGAGCGTGTCTGCAAAGATAAAAAGTGGGCTGAGATCGGAAGGGACTTGGGATATAGTGGAAAGATCATGTCCTCATTGTCGACTTCCCTAAAGAATTCCTACCAACGGTGGTTGCATCCATATGAAGAGTGGCTGAAATATGCCAAACCAGGAGTTCACCAACAACTCGAGAACGAACACGGAGGCTCTTATTCGCCACATGTGCCACCTCATCAATCTCCTATGAGCCATTCAGTACCTCCCCAATCTGCTCAATCTACGCAATCTGCGCCTCCTCCCATGAGCACGGGCTCACCTGCCATACAGCCAGCTTTGGCTCCGAGCCCTTCGACCCAGAATTCGATTCCTCCGGCACAAGCGCAACAACATCAACAAACCCCTGCAATTCTCCATCCACCACCAGCTCCCACCCCACAACCACGGCCTGTATCTTCCTCCGGCTTCACTGCCGTCAACAGTGGCTTTGCAGCGGTAAACAACGCCGGTGGTTTCACAGCGGTGAATCATGTACCGCCCCCAGTCGTCAAGACCGAAGCAAATGGCATCCCATCAATGCCCCAGAATTCAGCAAATCCTTTCGTCACTATCAACCCCCCAACTATAACGACCATTCGCCCCAGCAACCCTATAGCAAACGGGGCGTCAAACCCTCTGAAGAGGACAATGAGCCATGATAGCTTCAATGGTGATTCCGGATCAGAGGGGTTAGACACTGAGGTTGACGGCGCAAACGGCAGAAGGAGTAAACGTCCTAAGAAGGGTAAGTTGTGACGTACGGCGCCTGTGACATTTGACTCTGACTGACTTGTGCAGATGCCCCCCCTGTAATCCCTGGTAACCATATTCCTGCCATGCGATCATCGACTCCTCAAGTTCGAGCCAAGTCTCTGCAGAGAAGACACGGTGATAAGTGTGAGAAATGTGGCAAATCTGACAACAGAGAGAGTATCCTCGTTTGTGATAGCTGCGATCTGGGGTACCACATGCATTGCGTTGAGCCACGACTGAGTCAATTACCAGACTTTGACTGGCATTGCTCTAAATGCCTGGTTGGTACCAACGACTACGGATTCGAGGAAGGTAGCGTCTACTCGTTGAAGCAGTTCCAGGAGAAAGCAAATATTTTCAAAGACAACTATTTCGCTGCCCGCACGTATTTCGACCCGGTCACGAATGCTCAACGGAGACCCACCGAAGACGATGTAGAAAGGGAGTTTTGGCGTCTTGTCGAAGATATTACTGAATCAGTTGAGGTGGAATACGGTGCCGACATCCATTCCACAACCCATGGCAGCGGCTTCCCCAGTGTCGAGAAGGAACCCTTGAACCCATACTCAAAAGATCCCTGGAACCTCAACGTCATGCCATTTTTGGAAGAGTCCTTGTTCAGACACATCAAAGGCGACATTTCGGGAATGACCGTGCCTTGGCTTTATGTTGGGATGTGTTTTTCAACGTTTTGCTGGCACAACGAGGATCATTACGCATATTCGGCGAACTATCAGCACTTTGGCGCCACGAAGACATGGTATGGAATACCTGGTAAGGACGCGTATGCCTTTGAAGCTGCTATGCGAAAGGCAGTTCCAGAGCTCTTTGAAACGCAACCTGATCTACTCTTCCAGCTGGTCACGATTCTCCCACCAAACCAGCTGAGAAAAGCAGGTGTTGAAGTTTATGCTCTTGATCAACGAGCTGGCCAATTTGTGATCACCTTCCCTCAAGCGTATCATGCGGGATTCAATCATGGGTTCAATTTCAATGAAGCGGTCAATTTTGCTCCCGCCGATTGGGAGCCATTTGGAGATGCCGGCATCCAAAGGCTCCAAGAATTCCGCCGTCAGCCATGCTTTTCTCATGATGAACTCCTCTTTACGGCAGCTGCATCAGATACTACTATAAAGACTGCAAAATGGTTAGGACCAGCTCTGGAAAGAACACGAGATCGAGAACTGGTTGAGCGAGAAAAATTCATCGCCTTGCACAAGTCTTTACGCCCTCATGAGGATTGCACTTTCGACACACTTGCTACCGATCCACCATACGCTTGTGGATTGGTGATAAAGGTCGAAAATGTAGAGCTGGAAGAAGAAGAGTATCAATGCTGTTATTGCAAGGCATTCTCTTATCTTTCTCAGTTCCGTTGCCATAATAGCGGAAGAATTACCTGCCTTCTGCACCCTGATGTCGCTGATTGCTGTGCTGAGACTCCCCAGGAGCGATTGTTAGGCCCAAATCACAGCCTACTACTGCGTTACACGAACCATGAGCTAAACAGTGTGGTGCAGAAAGTTGTGGACAAAGCCAATGTGCCCGAAGCATGGGAGGCTAAACTTGAAGCGCTCCTTACGGAAGACGCCGCACCCGCACTGAAGTCGATGCATACGCTGTTGACCGAAGGAGAGAAGATTCCATACCATCTTAATGGACTTGACGACCTAGCCGAATTCGTGAAAAGATGCGATCAGTGGGTAGAGGAAGCGAACCTCTATTTGACGCGCAAACAGCAGAACAGACGCAAGACCGACAAGACACTCCGGCGATCATCCATTCGCAACGGCAAAAGCGACGAGAAGGATGAACCACAATTGACGTTGGAACGAATGAAAGAGTTGATCCAGGATGGAGAGCAACTCAGTTTCAGTGCCCCACAATTTGAAAGCCTCCAGGAGAAGGTCCAAGTAATCGACGAATGGAGAGCCAATGTCAAGCGAATTCTGTCAGGAATGATGCAAGCAACCACAGAAGAACTGGATACTCTCCTCGAGGAAGGTCGGGGATTCATGGCAGCCGTGCCTGAACTCACAAGCCTCGAAAAGGTCCACGCCAGAACTCTGTGGCTGGAGGAAGCTCGGCTTGTTCAAAAGGATGTGCACAATAAAACCTTGAACGAATGCCGAGAGCTCCTGAAGCGGATTCACGACCTGGAGATCATTGCCCAAGTGCCGGAGGTCGTGTTCTTAACCGAAGTGGTACGTCAAGGTGACTTCTGGGAGATCAAAGCTGAGGAAGTCATGGCTGCCGAAGATGTTCATTATCCACAGCTGGAGTCGTTACATTCACAGGTACAGAACCAACAATTCCCGGTCAACAAGGATACATTGGCGCGGATGGACGCGATCTTGGCTAGGAATCGAGAGGCAAAGCGCCAGATCATCACTCTTGTTGAACGAGCCCACGATCCAGATTTCCGGAAACGCCCTGAATATGTCTATGTCCGAGACGTGGTCAAAGGGTTTGAAGACCTCAATGGGAAGCCCCATGGAGCTGCTGATCTAGAAAAAGAACTTCGAAGACATGAAGACTGGATGCGAAGAGGCAAGAAGCTATTTGGTAAAGCGAATGCGCCACTCCATATTCTCGAGCAGCACATGAAGTTTGTGGATGAAAAGAACAGCTTTTGTTTTGATCTGAACGACACTTTTCGTCCTCCAGTGGAGCCGGCGTCAAGGGAAGCAACACCGACTGATGGTCAGGAACGGAACGCGATCGGTGACGATGAGAAGCCTGTTTTCTGCATCTGTCGAGCCCCTGAAGCAGGTCTTATGATTGAGTGTGAGATCTGTCATGACTGGTAAGTCAATGCCGATTAGAGTCGGGAGGATTGATCTAATATTACTATTCAGGTACCATGCAAAGTGCTTGAAACTGGCGAGAGGCAAAGTCAAGGAAACAGAAATGTTTACATGCCCTATATGTGACTGGCGCGTCAAAATACCTCGTGATGCCGCCCGTCCCAAATTGGAAGATCTTCAGGATTGGCAGAACGAAATCGCTGACCTACCTTTTCAACCTGAGGAAGAAGAACTTCTCAAGAGAATCATTGACAAGGCGCAGAATTTCCGGGAGTTCTTGCAACAATATACGAGCGGAAACCAGCTCTGCAGGACAATTGAAGAGATGCCGGAAATGTTATTTTATCTGCGAAAGATTGAGGGTGCAGAGGTCCTTCTAGCATATGAGACAAACATCTTCCGACAAGCACTACATGCCTGGCAACCTATTGCGCCCGAGCCACCACCAATCTTGGACCAGAGCTTGTCCACTCGAAAACCTCGCCCAACCAAGCAGCAGAAGCTGATGAAAGAACTTGGAGTGGAGAAACCCGAAGACCTTCCACCTCACCTTAGGACGAAGACATATGTACGCAGGAAGACTCAAGAATCGTTTGTTACGGGGCCGCTTCTTCCCAAGCCTTCTACACAATCTCCATCGGCACCAGGGTCAGCGGCAAGCCCGAGCCAAAGCCATATCGCCGGCAACGTTGAGACAGCGGGTGCGATGCAACGGCAAGGGTCGGCTGGTAATCCGGCCTCTGCTGGGGGGTATGAACCTGGATATATCTCAGGTTCGACACCTTACGGCGGTGCATTTGGGGCCAACCGACCAGGCTCTTTCCCACCGCGTTCCCCGTCACCAATGTTTAGTCCCGCGAGAGACGGGCCAGCCGAAGGATTGAGAGATCCAATGATGCCAGCATTTAGGGGAGAGACCAGTACAGAGCCACAAAACCTCGATACATCTTTCCCTATGTTCCGGCCTGACGAAGGTCTGGGCTTAGATGGAGATGACGATCTTCACAACGGACTGGCTACTGTGAGTGCAAGCGAGGCCAATTCAGCACATGGCGGATCACCACCTGGTGGAGGCGAATATGACAATATGTTCATGGAGATGACCAGTCACGATGCAGATGGCAATAATGACACTGTACCTAGCCTTGAGCAGGAAACAAGTCATGCAAGCGAAGCTCTCGACATGATCAGGACTGCCAGCCATGAAGCTAGCAACGATCCTGCAGAGCTGGGAGATGGGGATGTTTCGAAGCACTTTGATGACTTTATCAATGGGGACGAACAGAGTTAGGGTCGATGATGCAGGTGGGCGTTCAACCAGACGGAATATCGATACCCTTTAGCGATATGTGTTCGGGAGAACGACTCGAGGTCCATGGCTATCGCCCAGGATGGAGTACTTAAGGGGCTGTGATTTGTACTGTATGATTTACACAATGACTGTGCCCTTGAGATTTCAATGGACTGTATCATCATGACTGCAACAACATGGGATGGACTTGCCGATTTGTGTGTGGTATTGGGCGGCGAGTTAGTCCGAAAGACCTCAGCTTCAAATAACACTAAGCTGCGTATCTAAAAGGCAGCTTTTAGTTTGGTGAGAGCAAACCAATGTATGATTCAAGATCTCATCATAGCTGGTTCAACCGACTTCTGAATCAAAGTCGGGAGAAGTCCCTCGGAGGTCAGAAGGTGAGGTACGTTGGGATAGCACCGGGAATTGCTTCCTATCTTCGTCTGCAGCACAAGTCCCAAGTTTCTTGCGAAGGCCTTCATCGGGCTGTGTTCGGGATCTTACAAGTAAAGAGGGTATTACTTTAGCCGCAAAGCCATGCTCATTTTTTCCTTAATAGGCTTGTTTGTTTCAAGGCGGCGACGGGCGAGGGTCACATTTTGTGGGGCCCGAGGGTGCACGGGAGCTCGAGGGCCCCCCCATTAGACATCCCTCGACGCCCCTGGAAGCCCCTTCGACCCTAACATCAGTCCCCTGCAGAATTGGCGTCATCCACCAATTCTCGGTAGTTGATTCAGCATCTCCAAACGTATTATCCCACACGCAGCCACGCGGGGCACTTTTTCGTGTTGGGTCGCCCTCCAGACCAATCTAATATGGCGATGGTATCCAGTCATCCATAACGTGTGACAGGACGCAAGACAAAGAAACTTGTCATCGACTGCGAGGTACTTACCAGCAGAGGACTTCCCATCTGCCACATCGAATTACATTCTCTTGCCGTGGCTGTCCTGATCGGTTCGACTCGTGCCTCCAGCTTCAATGCTACCAACACGACTCTTTGTTCAAGAAACTCCACAGAAAGTAACCCACAACCTTCCAGCAGCGTTAGAACAAGGCGAATGCAGCCATGGATGATGACCGACTCCCTGCGCTTCTATCCGCTCTCCCTCCCTCCTCCAACTACTTCTCCCTCGAATTCTTCCCGCCGAAAACATCCTCAGGCTTCTCCAATCTACAGGCTCGCCTGGTGCGCATGACTGCTGCTCTTCGGCCGCTGTTTGTGACTGTGACATGGGGCGCGGGAGGGTCAACCGCGACGAAGTCTCTGGAGCTCGCCGAGGTATGCCAGAGGCAGCTGGGAGTTCCGACGGTCTTACATTTGACATGCACGAACATGAGCAGGACAGCTGTGGACGATGCTTTGGAGGGCGCGAAAGAAGTTGGCATCCGTAATATTCTCGCTTTACGAGGCGATCCGCCCCGAGAGGAGTATAGAGATACCGATGAGAATGGCAGTGGGGGATCAGGCACTGACAGCAATGTGGACTTTACCTGGGCTGTTGATCTGGTGCGGCACATTCGTCGGAAATATGGTGACTATTTCTCCATAGGTGTCGCCGGCTATCCCGAAGGGCATGCTGATGAGAGTAATCCCGAGGCTGGCAAGCAGAATGTCGAACACGATTTGCCCTATCTTGAGGAGAAGGTTGCGGCGGGTGCCAATTTTATAATGACACAACTCACCTACGATGTCAATGCTTATCGATCGTACGAGAAGAGGCTTCGTGGATACATCGCCAAGGACGGAAGAAAATTGTTTGAAAACATACCTATCATACCGGGCCTGATGCCGATTCAAAGTTACCAGATTATAAAGCGAATCACGAAACTCAGTCACGCGACGATACCAGAAGACATCTCCAAGCGCATCGAGGCTGTGAAATCCGACGACGAAGCCGTCAAGAAGGTCGGAGTGGACGTTCTCAGTGAAATCGTCGAACAGATCAAAGACTCTCCGCAGCCTAAAGCGGTCCCGCGTGGTTTCCATTTCTACACGCTGAATCTTGAGAAGTCAGTCGCATTTATACTGGAGCGTACCGAATTGATTCCCACAATGTCAGAGCCAAGCCCTGGCGAGTCTTCTGACTCGGATGCGATCGCGGATGATGAGAAGCTGAACGCTTATGCGAGCTCTCGGCTGGCAGGCCAACCTGCGGGAGAGGCACGCTTCTCTAGGCGGAGAGCTAGCTCTATGAACGCACAACCGCATAATCGAGTCATTACCGACCACCAGACGGTAGTCCCTGTACAACGTACCACACTCGCCCCTAACTCTCAAGATTCAAGGCCGTTACTTGCACAGCACGAAGCAGCTGGTCGAGGAGCAGGCATTCCTGCCGGAGATCCGACCAGGAAACACAGCCTATTAATATCGGAAGGACAGGGTTCGCTAGGGCGTGAAGCTACATGGGATGATTTCCCGAATGGCAGATGGGGTCCTTCTCACTCTCCCGCATTTGGTGAGATAGATGGGTACGGACCCTCGCTGAAAGTCGGACCTGTCACTGCACGAAAGCTTTGGGGTCGCCCGAAATCATCGAAGGACGTGACTGATCTATTCCGCCGAGTGGTCCTCGGTCAGCTTGAAGCCGTTCCTTGGAGCGACGATATCGATCCAGATTCAGCTGGGACCGGCGGCGGAGCACTACGAGCAGAAACCAAAATCATCCAAAGCAATCTTCTCGATCTGATAGAGAAGAAGGGATATTGGACCCTTGCCAGTCAGCCCGCAGTGGATGGAGCAAAGAGTGAAGATGCGACATTCGGATGGGGCCCTCCCGGCGAAGGTTTTGTGTTTCAAAAAGCATTCGTCGAATTCTTCTGCCCGAAGAGCGAATGGGAAACGCACCTCCGTCCATCCCTGATCAGCCACGGCGAGGAGAAGGTCGGCTGGATGAAGACCGACGCACAGGGCGTCTTCGAATCGAGCGAACAGGTGGCACGAAAGCAGCAAGAGGTGGACAGGCCGGCTCCAGCGTCTAAACGCACCCCCGGTGTTCATGGGGTCAGTGCCGTGACCTGGGGCGTGTTCCGCGGCAAGGAAATCATCTCGCCGACTATCATCGAGAGCGAGAGTTTCAAGGCTTGGGGTGAAGAGGCGTACAGTATCTGGAGCGAGTGGCGGCGCTGTTTTCCTAGGGGAAGTGATGAAGAGAAGTTGCTTGAAGGTCTGAGGCGCGGTTTCGTGCTGGTCAATGTCGTGGGTCAGAACTATATTGGTGGGCATACAGGCCTGGGTGCTGAGTTGTGGAATATTCTGCTGGGGGAGTCGGGTTCTGGGTGATTTCAATAGGGAGCAGGAGCGGGTGTGCTGTTTTCCCTGAGCTCGGAATTGCTATGTGGGGTCATGTTGAGAGAGGCTGTTCCAGTCAGAGGGAAGATGGTATCTATTCGCCAAACGCGCCAGGTATTCGCGTTTTGCCCAGGCGAGTCCTGTACGCCGCATATTCTGTCATCGACTAGGGCTATCCGTAAATCACCTTGACGAGATGAGGATATAGTACGGCACCCTACAGGCAGATTAGCACTGACGTAAGTAAGTATTCTAAATCTAACTACGTAAAGGCTTTTTAGGACAGCAGCGAGGTATTATAACGACCTCTTATCGATACGTGAGGTTTCTCGTCGATATAGATATAATTAATCCTACTATAGATGAAGTTATAGTCTTCTCGCCTTTTTTAAGGCTGTAAAAATATCCATCTCCTCCCACTTCTTATATTCCTTGTATCTTCGTGCTCCTACTCTTCCTACGCTTCCTAAAATTAGTATTATTTCAACTTCAGGGGCCATTCCCTGGTACGGATTAATAGATACTCCGGCCTACCGCGCCACCGTTAAGTAAGCACAATTAGCGCTGGTAAGTGGACCACCAGTGACCAAGGGGTGCCTGTGATACCCTGTGATCTCGTGCGATTCACCGCCGAGGGCCTGCCTGGTCCTGTATTTCTCATATCGCTGAGCCCGTACGCGAATCGACGGCTCCGTACACGAATAGGCGGTAAGTTATAAGTATCTCGCGCCATTCGTGACTCGTCCGGAACATGATGATCCCCATAAGCTTGATACATGGGTGTTACAACCAACCATGCACTCCACTGCCTCAGCCACCGAGCTGCGCCTTCTCTACCCAACTGCTGGCCGTGGTCCATTGTAGGTCTCGGACACTCAGCCTTGGAGCTCAGGGTTTGATGAGCTTGTCCAAATTCCCGTCCGGAGCGTACTATTAAGCGACGCAACCAGGCGCCTACATAAGTTTATACTCCTATTAACCTCAGTACCCTCCCACCTGTCTCAACAGACATCCACAGACATCTACCATACGGCCAATTTGCCTAGGCACAATGGCCGAAGCCATCGGCCTTAGCTCTGGCGTCATCACACTGGCAGCATTGGCGTTGACAGTCTCGCAATTGTCATACGACTATGTGCAAAAGGTTCGCAACGCCCCAAAGTCAGTATCACGGTACCTCCAGGAGATCGTCGCGCTGAGATCATCGCTGCTAAATGTACAAGAGACATTGGCCTCGCCGGACATCACTTCTATCCTCCCAGCTCATGGCGAAATCCTTCCGAAATCTTTAATCGCAGAATGCCACACAGAGCTCGAGACCATCAAGACCAAGCTGCAGACGCGATCTGATACTAGGTCCAAATCTCGATGGGGCTTTAGGTCCAAGATAGGGCATCTCACCTGGCCGTTTGAAGAGAAAGAAACCCTAGAGGCGGTTGAGAAGCTCAATCGATGGAACAACCTTTGCAATTCATTCGTCGCTACTTGCAATTTGTGAGTTGTCTCTTGATCCTTTCCGCTATATTTAACGACTTAGGCAAATATCAAACGCCGCTTTGAACGCGGTGCAAACTCATAGAACAGGTTAGATTGATTCTTCCTCCTCAGCTCAGTTAAAGACGCAGATCATCTGACAATATAAAGAGTTCAAAATCACAACAATCCTAGACTGGATCTACTCGGATTTGTCGACCATAAGCAACGAAGCCGTTTTGAACAATCACTGTAAGAGTACCTGCTCGTGGATCCTGGATACTATCGAGTTCCGTGCCTGGGTACGGGGAGACGGAGGCGGAAAGATCTTGTTTTGTACTGGTGACCGTGAGTAAGCAATCCAAACGCTGAGATGCTGGCTAACTCACATTCCGTTGTGCAGCTGGGGTCGGCAAGACGACAATGACGTGAGAGTATCGCACCGCAGAATCAACTTCTTAGCTGAAACCTGTATAGGTCGTACTTAGTCAACCACCTGGTCTCTAAATTACCCGCCGAAACTCGTGTTCTCTATCATTATTTCGACTTTGGAGCAGAGGCTCACTCTCACCATGGCGTAATGGTGGTCAGACACCTGCTTCGCCAGCTACTTGAGCATGAAGCCAATCTTCCGCAAGAAATATTGACGCTATACGATAGGTCGATAAAATCCAGACTCGATGTCACTGAGAAGATTTGGGCAGATATCTTCTTCAAGTGCATGCTTTCATCTGTCAAAACTTATGTTATGCTGGACGGCCTTGATGAATGTCCCGACCAACGAGGCTTAGGCAGATTTCTCCGTCGTCTGAGGGAGACCAAGAGCAAGATCTATATGACAGGTCGAACGTCAAGTCACCTGTCTCTCGACCTTGTTATCGACCACGAGGTTGCGATCAAAGCTCCAGAGTCGGACCTGATCACGTACATTAAGTCGTACATTGGAGAAGATCAGGATCTCCGTGCGCTACTCTCAGACTCACTCTCAAATGATGTCGTGCTTCAACTTACCGACTACGCCGATGGATCGTTCCTCCTCGTGAAAATCGCGCTTGAGAATCTTAGCGACGTCACCACTGTTCGCCAGCTCACGAAGACTCTGTCGAACCTTCCTCAAAATCTGGGTTCAGCCCATCGTACCACGTTTGAAAGAATCCAGTCTGCTTCGACCGCAAAGCGAGATTTGGCATTAAAAGCTTTGATGTGGACACTCCTTGCGAAGCGACCACTGACCATGATAGAGCTGCTTCACGCACTTGCCTTTGACCCCGATGACTCTGAATTAGATACTGAGAACATTCCAACGCCAACGACAGTTATCCGCGCATGCTTAGGTTTCCTCCAACACCGCGAGGATAATGACTTGGTTCAATTCAGTCACGCCACTGTGGTGCATTATCTGAAAACTGAGTGCGATGAGATTTTCAAAGACTCTGGTCTTATCGTTTCTCGTAGCTGCGTCAAATACCTTGCTCAGCAGACTTTCGCTTTCAAGCCTTGTCAGAGCTCAACAGAATTGCTCACTCGGTTCTCCTACAATCCGCTTCTCCGATATACAGCCTTATACTGGGGGGAACATGTTGTTGACTTTCAGGCCGAGCTGACTACTGACATACAGAGGCTGTTGAACGCTCCAAATGCTGTCCTGAATGCCGCCCAGGCATTCCACTATCTGCGCCGAAAATCGAGTGCGCCGTCGGATGCAACCTTTCTTGAGCTGCCACAGGGCTTCGAGAAGACACATCTACTAGCCTTGTGGGGTCTCAGCGACGTTGCGACCCTGGAATCACTATCATACGGCGAAATAATAGCACCAGATTCGCTTGGATGGACCCCTCTTCACTGGGCTGCGGCGCGAGGTCACCCCGATATGATAGAATTCTTGCTCACTCGTGGAGCAAACATTGAAGCCAAGGATTTTAGGGGCTGGACGCCGCTGTTCTGGGCTGCGTTTTGGGGCCGCTTGAGTGCACTTCGCTATCTGCTCGACAAGGGAGCGAGTTTGAATGGAAAGGACACAGACAGCAATACTCCTCTCCACATTGCCGTGGGTCGGGCCGACCCCGATGTATGCCGAGAACTGCTAGACAGGCATGCCGATTGGGGTGTCAAATCGGTCCATGGTATTTCAGCCTTTGAAGACGGCTCGAACTCGGGGGTCCCGGAAATTGCCAGTATGTTTCTGGACCTCAAACACGTGCTAGAACAGCCTGTCGATGAAGATGAAACCGTGGGAGAAACAGCGCTGGAGCGAGCGGTCGCTTGGTCTCCGTCCGCATTGAATAGTGCTTTCAGGACTATTCTCATAAGAGAGGCGGGCGCTTCAAAGGTGTGTGGCTGGCAATCACCTCTGCTTCCTAGGCTGGAACAACATCTCAGCAAGCTGCGCGAAAAGGATCCCGACAGGTTGACCGATATCGGGTCCGACATACATTTTCCCGGATTTGTTGAAGATCTCATCAATCAAACAGATTACCATGCCGGGGTACTTGGCTATGCGATCTTGACGGAACGTGTCGAAATGGTGAAGGCTCTCATTGACGCTGGAGCAGATCTCAAAAAGAACTGGTCTAGCGAATTCAGGCGCATTCAGTACATGCAATTCCCAGTCCTACTTGCGGTTTATGTGGGAAACACAGACCTCCTCAACCTACTCATACGCCACGGAGCTAGAGTGGACGTGGCAGACTTCGAAGGGCACTCCCCACTCCACTATGCTGCAATTCTTGGTCACACTGAAGCAACACGTACCTTGTCCTCGTACGAAGATTTGCGTAAATCTACAGATAGAGGAGGAAAATCACCACTCCACTCTGTTTGGTCAGCTTTTCTTCGCTCCAATCCGAAAACAGTCTCCCCCACTAAGCTTGAGACTTCAATCGCCATTGCAGAGCTACTAGTTAAGGCTGGAATTGCCATCGATCTTGCAGACCGTTTCGGAAGCACGCCTTTGCACGATGCTGTAAAGACTGGATATCTTGCGGCGGTACAAAAGCTGATCGAGCTTGGCGCCAATGTAAACAGCAGGGCCAATAAACAGCAGGACTATTGGAATAGGAGAGGTCGTATCTACGGAGAGCCGGAGCCATTGGCACCGAGTAAGTGTTCCGCTGCGAAAATAACGAGAACTGTACTTATACGAACCAGGTTTACACGGCGATACTCCATTCACACTAGCCTGTAAACAGCACAAATGGGATATGGCCTCTGCTCTACACAATGCAGGGGCAGTGCTGCCCAAGGGTATGGATCTTCGATTACCCTTGATCGACGTCCTTGCAGACGGAAATTTATCTGCGCTGCAAACACTTTTCAGCTTTGCATTGCCCTCTCAAGTTGCTGGCCGCGACAAAGATCAAGATATTCCACTGATCATTCTTGCCATCCGGTCTCTACAGTGGGTTATGGATAAGCCAAGCGAACGGGAGTCGGACTTCCGAAGACTTTTTGTAAAACCACAAAATAGCAATGCTACAGATGCGCCTAAACGGTACCGAGCTGCTATTAAGTTTCTCCTTGTAAAGGAGCAAGATCCGAACGCTAAAGATGAGAACGGTAGTACAGCTCTTCTGGAAGCACTGGAATATGAGTATAATAAGGATATAATTGAATTACTCCTGGAGTATGGTGCGGATATCTGTGCCACCACCAAGGCAGGCATGAATGCAATGCATGTTGCAGCTTACTCAGGATCCACCCCTTTCGTTAAGCTGATGCTTGGACATGATGTGGATCTCAACCACGTTTCTAGCAACGGAAACACACCATTATCTTTGGCGGCTGCAAACGGCCACGAAGAAATTGTGTCGGTGCTCCTAGAACAGCCAAACATCCACGCTTCAGAGGAAGACCGACAGAAGTGGCTTCTGCTCAGTCGATGTTACACTTCCATCAAATCGCACGATCTCTCAAGGTTCCAGGACTTGTCTTCTTCAGCGCTCCTGACTGGATTCTCTGACCGCAATGGCCAAACTTTGCTACACCTTGCCGCAGACTCCGGAGTCACAGAAATGGTTTCCAGTCTCCTTAAACTCGATATTGCCGTCAACCACCAAGACGTACGTGGAAACACGGCGTTGCATATTGCTGCCAAATCACAAAATTCGAACGTGAATATCATCAGGCTCCTGATAGATGGTGGTGCGGATATTCGGACTCGAAATTTTGCAGGCGAAGGTTTCGGCATTCATCGAGTTCCGCATGACGCCACCGCGCTGCATCTGGCAGCATATGTGGGAAAGGTAGAGATTGTTCGAGCAATCTTGGAGCATGCTTCTGAAGTACCTATCGAGAGGAGATTGAGCACAACCTTGCGCAAAGGCTGTGGATCCTCGGAAGACCACGAAATGTTGAAAGGGGCAGCGACCATGGGCCAATTCATCGACTGGACTTCTGACCACTGCGGACGCACGCCCCTGATGTGTGCGGTAGAGTCTGGTAATGTGCCCACGGTGAGATATCTGCTAGAGATGGGCGCCGCTGTGAACGCAAGTGGCGGTAGGGGAAGCTGGGGCTTCTGCGCATTAGACCTTTGTCCTGGAGCTCACAGGACTTATGGTTCTGAGAATGACGGCGGAGATGAGGAGGCGGCGAAGGTGGAGAAGAGCGAGATGGTCAAGTTGCTGGAAAGTTATGGAGCTGAAGTTTTTGACTGGTAACCAACCATTTCGATCGGAGTGTGGTCGACTGACAGGGCATATATCCACATGCTTCCGCCTTGCGGCCTGGGACTTAGATGCACCACATTTGTATGAACGTGGACGTGATAGTAGTAACTACCCATACATATCCACAGAGATTACTTGTATCTCATTATATACCCAGGACCCACGCAGGCAGGTAGCAATCAGGTACAAAGGGAATTTCTCACGAGGATCTTTCCATCCTAGAGGGAGATGTCGCTTAAGCTGGTTAAGCATTTACTTAGCGCCGGGTATTCTCCGGCCGGTGCTAGGGACGGCGGATGACGGGGAAGGAAGGGGGCTAAAGGGCCCTTCCAGCTACCCGGGAGTAACTTGTAATCAATTGACACTCGGGTCAAGAGGCGTACGGAGTGCGAGATTCCTCCCTCCAAGTACGTTATAACCCTATCTACGGGTTAGATGAATACATACTTAGGAGCGGCATCTTCGGGCGCCGATTAGGTGTATCGTAGATGCTTCACCCAATTATGTCTATCCTGCTGAGTAAACGCCTCGATCGTGCCTTCGACCTCGCAGAGGCCGGGATGTTCGTCCATGCTGGGGCTATCGCGTTTCCCTCCCTGGCCTTGGTGATGAGTTTCTTCCTTGGGGCTCCCTCCCCAACCGCCACTACCATGAATAGACCTTTTTCTGGCATATGGTGGAGTGCTCGTCATGGGCGCTGTTTACTTTATCTTCTGGGCACGGCATCATTATATTGGACCTGTCGAATATGTTCGGAAAAGCGAGTGTAGTGAACGAGAGAACGAGAGCGGGAGACTATCGATTGGATTCCTCCATTACTCTATATCGGCAATGGCTTCTTCAATTAGACGCCTGAGGACGAACAACTGACCATCTGTGTAGTGAGCGTCCCTGTTACGTCAATGTTCAGCCCCGATCCTTGAGGGTATACAACCCGCACAATATCCGATGCTTCTCTGTGGGCCACTTCCCTTGGCTCCCGCATGGCAAACTTTGCGGGGAAGATGCACGGCGGCCCCGGGCGCTCTCACATAGCACTCTCCCACAGTCCACTTCATAGTTTCTTCCTTTCAGCATTCATCTCCGGGTTGTGCGTTGGCGGGTTTGCCTTGTGCAGGCCATTACGTGGGACCAGATTGAGCACGAGGTACCGGGTGCCTTGGGGTCGAGCTTGTTGGCACCTTATTAGCACCTTGTAAGCAGACCTGGTACTTATTGGATGGCCATCTACCTGGGCATTCAGTACCGAGCTACTTCCTTTACCCGGGCACGTCGAAGTCAAACGTACCTAAAGCTAGTTGCAGGAGGAACTGACCATTTTTGGACCCTGACCTCCGTTCCACATGCAGGAGACCCAGCAGGATTGCGTTGCGTACGAGCCCAACCGGGCATAATCATCAAATGATACAAAGGGCGTCAGCTCGCTTAAAGGCCAAGTGGACGGCCTACCAGGCTACCACACCGGGACTTGATATTCACATACCACGCTCCGGTACGAGGCACATCCCCCCGCTCGAGTTTTCGTCATTCGTTTCGTCCCGTCCCTTGCCGGCACTTCGTCGTCTTGAGCATCGCATGTTCTGATTTCGATTTTGTATCTTTCTCCACACCATTGAGCGGGTTGCAGGGCCGCCGAACCTCGTGCAATCAGTATGGCCGGTACCAATCGTCCTGAGCAGAATATCGAAACAGAGGTAATGCCACGTTTCATGATCCGCTCGCAGACCATTCCGTGTTTCGCATATTGAATATCAGTGCCCTATAGGATTATGGTGACAATGAAGAAGATTCGGCATACGGAGACGAAGTGTATTGCTCCTACCTCTCGTTGAATGACGCGCGAGCTACTTACAGCTATTCATGGCAGTGCAAGCGTGACAGCTTCCTTGACGTCCAGCGTTCGCAACTATAATTGGGAGCACGGCCGGCGATATCATAGTTTCAAAGAAGGCAGTATGTCTTGACTCACAACCAGTACCGACCTCGATGGGGAAAACGTGTACTGAGCCATGATTTCCTTCCAGCTTATAACTTCCCAAACGACGAGCGAGAACAAGACCGCTATGACTTGATGCACGAAGTCTTCGTTGCAGGTATGGGTGATAAACTTTACTTCGCCCCAATAGTCAATGAACCGTCCAGAGTATTGGACATAGGCACCGGCACCGGCGTATGGGCCATCCAATTCGGTTGGTAATCGATTCAGACCCCGAACTTACAAACCGGCTGATATCTGTTGCGAAGGTGATAAATTCCCAACAGCTCAGGTGGTGAGAAAGACGCTCCCTGGAAGGATTTGAATGGGCCTGGACTCACTGTCGATCCCACAGGTTGGCAACGACTTGAGTCCAATCCAACCACAATGGTAAAAAACTTATTATCGCGAGTTTGCGCCCTATGATTACGCCCCCTACCTAACAATACCATAGGCTACCACCCAACGTGAGCTTTGAGGTCGATGATGTTGAAAGTGATTGGCAATTTGCAAGGCCTTTCGACTTTATTCATGCGCGATATATGGCCGGAGCAATTGCGGATTGGCCTAAATTGATGCATCAATGTTATGAGTTGAGTTTCCTCCGTCTTCTTCCATACAGGGATCGACAAGGCTCACCGAGAGCGTTAACCTTGAAGCAGAGGAAGTAGGCAGTTCTGACATCTCCTGTACAGAAACACAGCGCCAGGCGGCTGGATAGAATTCCAAGATTTCGACCTACGCACCTACACGCAAGATAACTCTGCCGCCCCTGACAATAAGGTTGTTGAATTTTTCAAGCTGATCACGGAAGCCTGTGAGAAGTTTGGCAGGACCGCCTCTCCAGGGGAAAGTTTGAAGACCTGGGTCGAAGAAGCGGGATTCGTAAATGTTCAGGACAAGGTGGTGAAATTGCCTATTGCGCCGTGGCCGAAAGATGAACAACTGGTATGTGAGAGGATCTCATTCTTATTCCTCCCATCCGCTCGCAGTTCCGGAGTGCATCGGATCAACTGACATCGCAACGTCATAATGGAAGAAACGTGTCGGTGCCCTCAACATGGTTCAGCTGCTCGAGGGCCTCGAGGCTGTCACAATAGTGCCCTTCACCAAAGTGCTGGGGTGGAGCGTTGAAGATGTTCACGCCTTCCTGGTTGACGTGCGTCGTGACCTGAAGAAGAAAAGCGTGCACTTACTCCATGACTTGTGAGTGTTCCCGCGCATCACCTTGCCCCAACATTGGGCCAGATCATTCAAAGGCTCTTGCGTGGGAATTGTTTGGTGAGTTCAGCTGACAAGGGAATTTTCCCTGATCAACAGCCATGTGGTTTACGGTCAAAGGCCTAAGAAATAAACACTCCGAAGGGACGAATCGGGGATGGCAGTTCGAAGAGTTTGGATTTATTAGATGATGGGAGTTCTCGTTTTAGATGCCCGCCTGTCGACAAACACCCTTCTTGCAACCTTCGCAGAACTCTGTCTCATGCGGCAGGCCCCTCTTCGGGGTGTACTGTTGTCGCTCCAATTCCACGCCAGCCCACTTCTGGATTCGATATGCGACTCGATCGATATATGATTGCTTATCCAAAGTGAAAGTACCGAGTTGATCACATTCTCTGCAACGCTGGTTGAACACGGCCGCATTGTATCCATTCGTCGCATAGCCTCTTATTAAGATGGCAACCTTCTTGCTGCTCCAGCCCTTGCTATCACAGGCTTCGTTCGTGCACCGGAACCTGCCCATGACGTTGGTTTGCCATTCGTTGATGACATCGCTGTCGCTGTCGTTTCTATTGAACCATGTGGATTTCAAGTTATTGGAGACTTCTTTGGCAACGTCCTTATGGAGCCGTGGAAACATGAAAGACGTTCTTGTTTCTGCCTTGGGCTCGGGTCTGGGGGGCTTGTCCTTCTTTCCCGCCATGTTCAATATTGCAGGGACTCTGTCGGAAATGAATTGAATGAGTCTGTAAGAACTGAGTCCAAGAAGATGCGACGGGATGGCGTGGGATTACGCGTCTCGATCAGAGATTAAAAACCACAACATGTAATGATGCGTTGGCGGTTCTGGTCTTGGAGCCGCAGCGGCCATAAAGTGAAGCTGCACGCTGCCTATAGAGGCCAATGGTAGTAAATCTGTCAAAGGGTGTGGTGCCGCGCTTCACTGGTGGCTGCACATATATGCACCAAGGGGCAGATGAGACACTGCCTGCAAACCTTATACGCCACCTATTCACGCACGTAGCCAAGTTGGCTTACATGCGGCCTCCCAGATGAATTTCCCCATGTTTAATTGGCATGCAAGTTCTTCGCACCTTGCATTGAGTAGTGTGCCGAGTCACCCACAGCTATTCGTCGCATCGAGCGAACCACGTAACAGCCCTCGAAACCGTCATCAAGATCTCGTGATATCTTTTCCGGGTCGACTCTCCTGGCTCAGATGGCGCGGACGATATGACTGCATTCAGAAGTCGGGCATATCGTAGTGAAAACTATACATCCAAACCTTGAACGATTTGAAGGAGAACGAGGCACGATGGGCGCTCCAAGACCATACTTTTTTTTGCCGTAGTGGCGTAGCCGGGGACGGCAGCAAGTTGACATCTTGACCCCTTTCTCATCATCCTTTCTCTTTGCGGTCCAGCACGCTATCAGGGTGATTTCGACATGTACAAGTACAACAAGATGCAACTGTTTCATCACTATCGTCGATACTGAAGAGTGTCAAAATGACAGATTTCAGTGGACTGTGGATTCACTTCGCAAGTACAACTTGGATCACAAACAAGACAAATATTTAAAGCATTCGAGTTACCTTACGGATCTATGTAGGTCGCAAATTACAGGGCAGCAACGCTAAGCCGCCGAGAGAGGAAATATGCCAAACTTTGAGCAAAAGCGGCAAGACTACAAAGTTCCCTGACATCAAGTCGCGGAACACAATCATTACGAATCGTTAATCCAGAACGGAGTATTCCTACCACAGTGTTGTGCTGTAAAATGCCCTGATACTCTTCATGTAAACGCCCAAACAACGGTAGGGCTGCTATTCTTTAACATTGAGACACACATGCATCTGATATGTAGCCCTTGACGCCCCGGAAGCATAATGAGCCGCGCCCGACTCCCAACCACGGTCGTGAACACGCTCACCTCGCATGTTGGGCCCATCAACGCCATAACATTCTCCTCCCTTGGCGGCACATATATCCTCACCGGCTCCTCAGACCGCCAAGTGCACCTCTCCCGCAGCGAGCCCACGAATCCAGATCAACCTTCCGTTCCAATTCAAAAGTACGGAGCACACGGATACCCAGTCTTGGACATTGCAGTGGCACACGACAATCACACATTCGCGAGTGTAGGAGGCGATAGAAGTGTGTTTCTATGGGATGTGCAGAATTCCGAGGGCACGGTGAGGAGATTTGGGAGTAATACCAACCAGGGACACAGTAGCAGGATTACATGTGTTGCGTTTGCTGGGGATGGAGATGGTGTTCTCGTCAGCGGCAGCGACGACAGGTCTCTACGGCTGTGGGACGTCAAGAGCCGAGATGCGAAGCCACTGATGATCCTGGAGGAGGCAAAGGACGGGGTCTCGAGTTTGCTCGCCCCCGATAACGGCTACGAAATCATCTCTGGCAGCATTGACGGCCGGCTGAGGAGCTATGATGTCCGCATGGGCAGAGCCACGGTGGATGTGCAACCCGGGCCGATCACGAGTCTCGATCTTTCAAGAGATGGCAAGACGATCCTGGTCGGCTGTCTCGATGGACGAATCCGCATGATGGACCGGGCAGACGGCACCTGCTTGCGAGCATTCCCCCCTGAAGGAAATGTCGAGGGCTATCAAAATGAGAGTCTACGCTTGAAGAGCTGCTTCGCCATCAACGAGAGTCTTGTCGTGAGCGGGAGTGAAAGCGATGGGAATGTTCGCGGGTGGGATGTCCTTTCGGGCAAGCACATTGGCAGTCTTGTCCTCAGCAAGAACAGCCGCAAGGTCGTGAGTGTGGTCAGATGGCGAGAGGGGAGTCAGAGTCAGGGTAGACAGGGGCTGCTGGCAGCTGGCGGCGCCGAAGGAATTGTGAAAATTTACTCTGAAGGCTGAGACCCATCCTGGCCTTCCGTGGATTTTCCCATGGCACTTTTTCGGTATCCAATTTTTCCTCCATCGATCCCTAAGCCAAAAACAAGAATTGCAGAGACAGATTCTGATCCTTATACAAGATCAGCCACCCTCCTCATCCCATATTCGAGCGCTTCCACCGCGAGTTCCAGTTGACTTGCCTTTACAACCACCGTTCCAGCCCTCGCTGTGCTCAGGAAGGAGATATCGACAATCCCTCCACCAGCATTCCCATCTGTTTTGGCAGACTGTGGTGATGGACTCCAGTCGATTTCATCAACCTCAGTCCCAGCTTGCGCAAGTCGCCCAGCAACGCCACAGACAATACCCGTCGCCTCCATCGGCAAATCCCGCAGATCAAGCGTTATTGGAACCAATGCGTCCTCCTCGGATTTTGCACCCAACAACGATCCGCCCAGCCTCGACAGAAGTCTATGTTCCAGAAAGACCGAAATTGGCTCTGTCGTCGTCAGGGTGAGAGACAGAAATTTGGCCGCGAAGTCCGGTGGCTTTCCATCCGCGATTTTTAAGGACTCGAATCCTAGGCTTGAGTCATGTCTAGATGCTTGTTTCGTGCTCGAACTTCTCGGTAATGACAACGTCGACAAGAGAACCTGCAACAGATCCGATCGTAAACTCTCTTCTCTCTCTCGATCGAATTCGCGGCTTCCAGCACAGCTGATCAGCAACAAGCGCTCGTCGACAATCGGCTTCACGTTATTGCGCATCAATTTCGTAAAAGTCCGTATTTGAAGTTCAGGTATATCTTTCGCAGGAGGTGTGGAAGGTGCCGAGGCTTCATAGAACGGTGAGGTGATTCTGCCGGCCTGAGTCGTCGTCGTCGGCGTCGGCGAAGAAGGCGACAGCTGCGAAACAAACGCGTCGGCGCTCTGCGAGAAGACGAAGCCACGTTGCTGGAGGGCCTTGGTGACGGTGCGCCGCGATCGAAACGGCACTAGGATATAGTCGGAGAAATAGGTCGTGATGAAGAATATGCTTCTGTGAAGAAATAAAGGTGTCAGTCATAGTCTTTGTTTACTTCGCCTTTCCTTTTTCTTTTCGCTTTCTCTATCTCATCTCATGGGCTCGCTGGGGACAGACAGACAGCAGGAGGAGGCTGGGAGATATACTAACATTCCAGCCATGGCCAATGGCGACGTCAACTCCAATACTCTCTGGCCTGCATCAAGGCCCTGCCCATCCACTTGAATGACAATATAATCGTCTTCGCTGATTTCAATACCTGCGGGTGATTTAGCTTTCCTCCACCCACCACTTCCATTAGCATTAGCATTAGCATTAGCATTAGCATAAACCGCATTCAACGCCTCCGCGACCGGCCGTATGATCTTCTCGGCTCGCGACCTGGAGCAGATAATCGAGCACTCGATGGGCGTAATCGACAAGTTGAGAAAGTCATGGCGGTTCGTCCAGGGGATTTTTGAGGCGTCCACGTCCACATCCACGTCGTCGTTATCGTCGAGGTCGCGGTCTTCTTCGCCAAACAGCAGCCGTAGGATTGGTTGCAGGCAGAACGAATACAACTCGATGGGAATGTGCACAAGCACTAAGTGCGTTTCCTGTTGGTTTTCAGAGAAACATCGTGTTAGTGAGATTTCTCGGTCGCGGGTGTCAGCGGCCGTTGCATTGCTCCAGTCTACCACTTGGTAGGAGTTGAAGGGTGGAAATTGGAACATGTTCCCTTCCTTTCTCTTTCTTTCTGATGGAACGTCGTCGTGGATCACATCATTTTGGACGCAGTTTTTCGTTGCGATAAAGAAAGTTCAAGATGAAAGAAAGCGGATGAGATGAAGAGGACTCACTAAGAAAGATATCTGCGCTGAAATCAGATTCATCGAAGGGTCCATCCCGCACACAGACGCTTCACTCGCCCCGTTTGGAAGGGCTCGTCTTTGTGGTTGTGTGTCGTCGGGCGTTCACACAGGCGGGCGGCGGCGAGGAGGTGAACGAACACACAGAATGGAGGAGGACACTGAAGAGAACAGCCTCTGGTTTCCTGTAGATCTGTGTGCGAGATGTCTTTTGTTAGTGACAAACCAGATGCAAAAGCCTAAAGCTCAAAAAAGACAAGATCGCCGCAAGTCGTGGTTCACCGGAGTGCTGTCGGTGAAGTGGACTCTGCCTACTGGTATCTGCCTTCACGAACTAGCAGCCCGCGGAAAATGGAAAATCTTAAAACACTCGCCAGCCAGAGTCCCTTTGGGAGTAGCTAGATGTCGGCGATGACGCCGAACGAACTGCGGAGGTGAGGTGGCACGATGTGTCTGGTTTCACGAGTGCCTCAGCAGCATTATTCTCGATCTATATCTTTCAGGTGGAGGGAGGCCATAATGTCTGTTTTGCGGGAGAAAAATCAAGTCGTTTGATTGATTCAGTGTTGTGACGGGGTCAGCTCAGGTCCGGCTAAGTAAGTGAGGGAGTAGGAGAGAGCGATGACGTTGATCCTGTCCGTCTCGGTTGCTGCAGCGCGTGACCACTTATAAGGCCGATGCACATGTCAGTGGATCGGACCGGACCATGAGATAGGGACGAAAGGGTCCAGAAAGTTTCCGGGCCCAGAATGAGAATGACGGATGCTTCGTTCGCCAGGCTTTTTGCTTTTGGTCCAGAGATTATGACTTTGGGGATGTAGATGAAGGTGGCCACAAAAGCAAGGGAAAGCAATATAGACAGGAAGAGATCAGAAAGAACAAAAGTGGCTATCGAATCGCAAAAACCATTCAATATCGTGCCTCAAAGCAGCATAGTCACAGAGGACAGATGGATTGCTGGACTGGGATAGAACTTTGTCTGATTCACACAATGCAAGAATATGGGTCTAGGAACCGGGGCGAGGGAAGTTGCCCGTGTCTGAAAGGGCTTGAGCACCGATGGAAATGGATCGACAAGTCACACAAAGACCAATGCGATTGTGAGGACAGATGGATGAACAGACGAAATAGATGTATGATGGGATGCAGTGGTGCCTTGGGCTTGAATGATTGACCAAGTGATGTGAGGTAACATGATGGCGCGAATTGCCAGAGTCGAGATAGAAGTGAGTAGCGTGGGGGGCAGTCGGAACTTAACTGCGGTTCGGCAGACGGTGGGCCAGGATTAGGAACTGAGACAGTGAGTTCAGGAACAGAACGAGATAAAATCGAGCCAAAAAGCACGAGAACCACATGTGCGGCACTGGGAAAAACAGCCTGTGGAACAAGGGACTGGGGGATTGGGTTGAACGGCTCCGAGTGGAACATTGAAGGAGTGTTGCAAGAGAATATTGTTCGCTGGAAGACCCGTGGAGACCAAATGACATGCATTCATCTGATGCTTGGTACGGAGTAATGCGTTCTGCCGCGACTCTATTAATCGAACTCGGATAGGCCGTTATGCCCCGTCTTGCTGTAGTAGTGCTATGGGGAGGTTCTTGCAACCGATTTACCATGTTGCCATGACGTGATGCGACACTCGAAGTCGAAGGGAGAGTTACATGACTTCGATGTCCATATGAATGATGAAGACACGCCAAACAGAGGAAGAGGGACTCGGCCTTGCAGAAAATTCAATCGCGGGACTTTCAGGAGGGTCCCAAGTAGCTTGTTCTGTTGTAACCAATGGCGTCAACGGCCGCCCTTTATCAATTGCCTGCAACTGTGGAGCGATAACGCCCGCCTTTTGGCATGACAATCCAGCCTGACTCACCAGTATCACCGCGCCGATATCTCAACAGCAACCGCAGTTGCCATTACCATTGCCAGGTAAGGCCTTCTCCTCAACAGAATATTGGGTATTTGCCAGGGCACGATTAAATCGCGAAAATATCTATCCACAACAATGTAACGTCACCTCAAGCTGCCGGTGCTCCTCCTCTGGATGTTGTGCCTCGTCCGCCCCTGGATGGGCCGCCTCGACCTCTTCCACGCCCACGGGGAGTACTCGGGTTGTTGAGACTCGCAGGTGGTGGAACATTATTATGAGAGCGTGCTCGGAAATTCGGGTTGTTCTGAATGACATCTGTTGTAGGATCGCCTCGATCAACAGATTGATAGCCACCGCGAGTGGAATGAGTAGCCATACCACGGGTTCCACCACGGCTTGGTGCACCTGGGCCATTCGCACCGTTGCTGTGATGCGAATTCGTAAATGGATTATTTCCGTTTCGGATAGGCAAAGTCTGCCCACGACCTGCGCCGTTCTGGTTACCCCGACCATATGGCTGTCCTGCAACAGCTCCGCGCCAGGACCCGCGTAGGGCTGGCGGCGCCTGCGCAGGTCGGTACTGACCTCTCCCATCAATCCCGGGTTGCCCATAACCAGAAATGGTGAGCGGAGTCGATGTTGTACCATTTGTGTTTCTGTTCACACTGGCCTTGGACGATGCGAGCACTTGTCGGTTGCTTAGGTTGAGCACCGACCACGTGGGCACTGTTGAGCCACGGAAAGGCGAGCAGCGGTCTCCGAGTGATGTCCCACTCATGAACGAAACGTCAAATACAACGTCGAGCAGGCTTTCTCGGCTCGTCTGTGTAAGTCCAACAACAGTTCCTTTTGAAGCTATAGGAACTTTGCCCGAGTCAGCAACGTAGATGATCCGATCACCGAGGCTGAATTTCTGGCTACCCAGTCGCCATTGCGCATCTGATGGTTTCAGAAGTCCGTTTCGAGGAACACCACCAATAGTTTTGTTGACTGAAGGCGGCTCTGTTCGAAGCGCTTCATCCGCAGCGTGTTCGATTCGCTTGACAATTTCTGAGTCCAATTGCTCCGCTTCCAGTGGCACTCTCTCGAAGCTTTTTGATTCGATCTCCTTCAACCAAGCCTGAATTTCCTTAATTCTTGCTTTGGCACTTGTTTCGTCTCCGGGGATATACGAAGTTGCTGGGAGCATGTCCCCTTGGGGATTGCTATGGATTCCCGCGATGAACTCTGGAAATTTGATCATGTATTGTTGAATAAGCTCAATGGCCGCGCGACTGAATTCCCATCCGTTTTCACTTTTTCTGGAGTAACCAAGCACCTTCAATTTCTTCGCTTCGAATTTGAGATTCAACCCTAGGTTGACTCTGGTCTCATCAACTTTCACAGAGAAAGAGGATGTGATTTTGGCCAAGGCGAGTGAATTGAGATTCAGACTTCGTGCAATTTGGTAGGATGGTGTGTACGGAGAAAGTCTCTCTGCTTGGAGGGCAATCTCACGACCGAACTCTTTCTGGGGCGCTTTTGACATTGCAATAAGGCATTTTGCCTTCCCACCTTCATGACCTGTAACGCTGAGTGGCCGACCATAAGCATAATCTCCGAGGAAGAAAGCATTGGTACCATCGGGGAATTCCTCTTCGATGGGGAGGGCTGCTTGTTCAATGAATCGAACGTCCTTGCTGACAATGTCTTCGACTACAAGCTGTGCTGCATGTGTTGTTTCCGAGCCTGGGAGCTCGGCAAATTCCTTGACGGTAGATCCATTGTCGAGTTTCTTTAGACCCTTGAGCATCTCGACCTGCACAAGGGATTCAACATCACCAATTAGCATCCCAAGTCTCTTGCTGTACCATTTGTCGATCCGATCTGCCTTCTTATGGAATTGATCAATCTCATTCCCAGAATGTTCGATTGCTCTCACTTGACGAGCGCCGTCTTCGCTCATTGTATAGTCGAACAACTCATCTGAAACTTTCACAATCTTCGCCTCTTGCAAGAAGGGGTATCCAACATAAACACATTGATTGAGCAGCAGCTTTGCATGCTCAATTCTTGTACGGGCTTCCGTGCTCGAGAGAGTGACAACCATGCTCTCATTGCGGCTATCTTGTTGAAATACGTTGACACCGTGGAATCCAAGAGAGCCAGTGAATGGAAGGAATTTCAAGCTAGGGAATCCAGCCAGGGCTGCTGCCCCGAGCTTGACACCCTCAACCAACCCTACATATGGTTCGAGACCGTCCATAGTAGGAAGCTCAAACTCGTTCTGGATGCAATGGCAGTGTGAAAGGTCTGGGAAGACGCCGACAAGGGAGGAGGGATAGGTGTAGTCAGTGTCAGCTGAATAGGTGAACTTCAAGCTGACTCCAAAGTCATTCCGAAGCTTCTCATCAGCGGTGAGAAGTTTGTCCTTGGGTGCCATGGCACTGAGAAGTCTCTTCTCATCAATGAATGGAATCTTGACTACCGCTTCCCAGTCCATTTTCTTTCCATTCATGTCCAACTCGAAGTCGCGAGGATAGAAGTCAATTATGGGTGAGTCTTTGGATGTCATCAGCTCATGGTAGACTTCCGGTACAATCTTCTTGCTTCGATCTGGCAACACGCCCATGAGTTGCTGAAAGGGCCTGAAAGGTTGACCTAATTGGAAGTCTAAATTTGCACCCAGACCTCTTTTGACATCGGAAATCATTGGCGAATAGTGAGAGGCGTAGTACCAGGGCCAGGAGGCGACTCCTCGATAATAATAGTAGAGCACCCACTGCAGCCCTTGAACATAGTTCTCTGTCAAAGTCTTGAGTTCTGCCTCATTGTCAATACCCCATGCGTATTTCTCTTTGTAATAAGTGTCTTTCCACTCCAGGAACTTCTGATCATATTTCTTCTTGAGATCTTGCTGAGCTACTTCGTCTGTACCTGCCTCGACCTTTGCATTCTCGTATCGCTTTAGAATCCTGGTAATGGCTAGCTGAGACTCCTCATCCTCTGATTCGTCGTCGTCATCTTTGTTGGAACCAGCGATTCTGTCGGGAAACTGAAGTTGGATGAATCGATCACCATTGGAATCCTCCTGAGTTGACCATTGTAAGTTGAGATCCGTGGCAAGTTGCTGCACAAACTTGCGATCTCTCGCAGGGAGGGCGGAGGGCAAGTCGAATGGGATTTTGGTAGCCTGATCTTTGTTCGCTGGTGAAATGAAATACTTCTTCACCTCCTTGAAGAGTTTCTTTTGTTCGGATGATATCCTGACTGGCCCGCGGTTCGCCTTAGTAGGCTCGACGTCGGTAGCTTGATCCCGTTTTGCGTTGATCCACTTGGCATCGGCAAAGTCTGCTTCGAAGAAGCGATGTTCCACTTCGGAGAATTCATCCAAAAGTACCTCTAACCGCTTCAGGTTGATCACGCCGTGTTCGTTGATATAACCACCTAGCGTAGGAAGGATTTGTTTGTACTTTTGAAACATGAGCGCCAGCGCCCCTTCATTGATGTGTAGGTTGGGGAGATTAGGTAGGAAATCGTTACCAACGAAGAACGCCATCAATATGAAGTCGTCAATAATTCGTTCCAAGTCGTAAGGGAAAGTAAGAGCGCCTCCTTGTCGCAACTCTTGGAATTCTAATTCAAGATATTCTCTGACGATGCACAAATGCATGAGGTAAAAGTTTTGGTGTTCCAATTCTTTAGACTTCTTGCTGGATTGCCGGCCAAAAGTGACCTCCTCTCGGAGCAGGCAAAAATGAGGGTCATGGCTGAGAAGTCCCAGCATGATTAAATCGGCATCAAGTCCGTACAAACAATGCCGAACGTTGGGATCATATGCTGGTTGTGCCTTGGCTTGCCGGATGTACTCCATGATCTTATGCTCCCCTTCACCTGGAACTTCGTGACCCGAGAGTACAACCTCGACGCCTTGCCAGTCGACATCTTCAGATACTTTCTTGCTGATGAAGTATTTCAATTGTCTGGTGAGTTTGGCCATGAATTCCGTGCCCGGAGTGATGCAATTACTGTCAAATGGTTCTTCCTTGGGCATTTCCAGGCCTTCTTTGATCGCTTTGTCACGGGCCTTTTCAGCTTCGAGGGCAGTGCGAAATCGACGAGATCGTTGTTGGTTCATCTTGGCTCGGGGTGCGACGCCATCAATAGCCATGAAGAATAATTGCTTTGGTTTGATTTTGCCAAAGAGATGTTCTATGTAGTTGAAAATGGCGATGAACATCTGATCCTCAGTCATACGAAAGTTGACAGAATCGGAATCTTTGTGGGTGCAGTTGTGGATGATACCATTCATGTCTAAATACAGACAATCAAACTCCGGGATCCGGTTCTCAGCTATTAGCTGGGAAATGGCTGGATATCGCTCACTGAGCCATCTGAAGAACTTTGGGACACCCATTATGGCGGTGGATGTAACCCAGAAATAATATATCTCGGTGTCAGTAGAGAGGAATATGAATGACACAGCCTCTACAAATTACATGCGGTCATATGACACCAACTCCAGGAGAGAGGAATAATCGAGAAAAGGATGGGTGAGGCTTTGGCGAAGATATGAGTTGGGGATATATCGATCGGTCGCCTGGGTGTTTGGTGACGATTTCAGTTAATTTGGATCTGGGGTGAAAACGCCAAGAAGCACTTAAGCTTGCACTAGCCCTCTTTGGGACTGCTTCGCGCCCGCGTTTCTGCTTCGCGTGTTTCGCTCAACTGCGCAGTTTGATCGATCACTACTGAGCCCTGACTTGTGCCCGACTCTCACGCTGCAAAGAGTAGTATTGAAATTCTACAGATTGAGAGCGCTTCGAGTCTCAAAATCTGTCTCCAAAGGCCACTCTATCCAGCTCAACATGGCAGAGGAGGATGAGAACAGTATATCCTCTCCATTGATTCCTATGGCCTGACCTAACTTTTCTCTAGTGAGTGAAGAGCTCAACCATGATGACGCGGAGAACGAGCAAAAGGTGATCAATGAAGAATACAAGACATGGAAGAAAAATGCGCCATTTCTCTATGACATGATCCTCAGCACAGCCTTAGATTGGCCAACCCTAACGACACAATGGTTTCCGGATATATCAGAGTCAGTCTACTTGCCGCACTGAAAGCTTCACTGCTGACGATTCTGTAGAGTACCAGGAACTAATTATTCGAAGCACCGACTCCTCATCGGAACCCATACTGCGGAAGGCCAACCAAACTACCTCGAAATCGCCAATGTCCAATTACCCAACCCCAAGAAACCTGATGTCAAAGACTATAACGAAGAGACGGGTGAGATTGGCGGCTACGGTGGTGGCCCATCAAAGAACTCATTTGAGGTCAAGTTCAATATTGTACAAAAGATCGATCACCCGGGTGAGGTCAACAAGGCTCGATACCAACCTCAAAATCCCAACATTATTGCAACAATGTGTACCGATGGTCGGGTGTTAATATGGGACAAAACGAAGCTAAGAAGCGTACCGACAGGCACTCCTGATCCAACCATAATTTTAAGCGGCCACGAAAAGGAAGGGTATGGTCTTAGCTGGAGTCCGAGGGAAGCTGGCCAGCTCGTCACCGCAAGCGAGGACACCACAGTCAGACTGTGGGACATCACTCAGGCTTCTAAAACTAACAAATCTCTGAAAGAGAGCCGGAAATACACACACCACTCTAGTATCGTCAACGACGTCCAATACCATCCAACACTTCCTAGCCTGTTTGGGACTGTTTCGGATGATCTTACCATGCAATTGATAGACCTGCGACAACCAGACACCACGAGAGCTGCCGCCGTGTCAGGAGAGAATCAGCACAAAGATGCGATAAATGCCATAGCATTCAACTTAGCGGTCGAGACCGTAGTTGCTACTGGTAGTGCTGACAAAACCATCGCGATCTGGGATCTACGGAATTTAAATCACAAGATACATGCTCTGGAAGGCCATAACGACAGTGTGACAACACTAGAGTGGCATCCGTTTGAAGAGGGTGTGCTCGCCTCAAGCAGCTATGATCGAAGAATTATGTTCTGGGATTTGAACCGAGTGGGTGAAGAGCAGACACCAGAAGACAGCGAAGACGGACCACCGGAGTTGCTCTTCATGCATGGAGGGCACACAAATCGCATCAGTGATTTCTCCTGGAATAAAAACAATCCATGGGTACTGTGCAGTGCGGCAGATGACAACTTGATCCAGGTCTGGAAGGTCGCTGATGCTATTGTGGGCTGTGATGATGAGGATGTGCCAATGAACGAGCTCGAAGGCTAATTCGAGGAAGAATTTGCGCGCGGGATTGGTGATTATGCTACGAGATGCAATAAGACACGCTGGACAACAATCATGCCCTCGACCGACTGAACATCAAACATCACGGGGTTGATTCGTGCTAAGTGGGAAACCAAATACTCGGGCTCGTGGGTGGGCAAGCCAGCACAGTTGGCGACTGAAATCAAACATATCGGGAAATGCTATCTCGATATTGGAACAAGGACATGGTTTCGGCATATGAACGCCGTCTCAGTTCTGGTCCTGGGAAGGTAATCTACGACATCGGGAGGGGCTCCATACCTGCAATAACTTCCAGGGTGACCAATCAGAAAGACCAGTGGAATGAAATCACACAAATATGTAGTAAGAAATGAATCAAGTCCATATTATCCTGACGAGGAGCTGTGGTATTTGCCCACTCATTTTGACTGATGGCTGATGGACTTTTGTAGTGGCTGACGAATGTGCTTACGCACTCCAGAGGGGCAGAGGCACCCTACAGGCTGCGGTACAGGTAATTACTTACCTAACCAAGGGCGCTCGGCCCATCGCCGCCTCTTCTCCAATGTTTCGTATCCGTATTCTGTAAGATACCTGCCAGTCTTTTGTGTTTCATAGGGCTAACCACCAACCGCTTCGGACCAGGGTTTATAGCAAAGATGCTTGGACCATGGCCAAGATGGGGGCCTTCGGGGCGTCATGCATCCCCACGGCCTATTCACCCACTTGTGAACCGTCCTCAATTTGCCGCTTACTTAGCGAGTACGGCCTTGCCGTTCAAGCTGAACCAAAAGGCTGCCATCTTTCATTCACTTCTCGATAAGAGCCGTGATAGGGAACCAGGCATCAACATTTGCAAAGCCTGTACTAACGAGTATCCCGTCCCTCACCCACTCCCCATGACTAGAAATCAAGCATCCTGATCGTCGTTACCCTAAATAAATCTGGCCCAGGCGTTCAATTGCCCTCTCGCCGCGCTCTTGTTTCGACACGACCCCTCACTCATAAAGAGTTCCATGCGGTGATCAAAATACACAGGCATGGTAGGCATACCACGAAGCAAAGGCTGTAGAATATGCGTTCAGCGGCGCGTCAAGGTAATACTATCGGCTGCCTACTATTCTTGAAAAAATTGCTAACTATCTTAGTGCGACTTGACTAGGCCTAAATGTAAGTACAACAACCATCATTCTCGTCTTAAGGTATGCGATATTCATCGTTCGGTGCAGGCAACAACTGTTTGAAGGGCAGCCGGCCATGCCCTGGATACGATTCAAATCTAAGAATCCATGATGAAGGCTCCAAGCTGCGAAAAAAGTTCGGTAGAAATGAATTATTGGTCCCGATCAATGAAGTAGATGCAACATCGCCCGCTACTAGCAACACCACACCAAGTTCTCATACACTATCTACGGACTCATCTCCAGAGGAAATCCTTGATTTAGTTGTTCAATCTGACAACCCTGATTATGAAGCAGTTCAAGCGGTAGCAGCTCACCGCGCCGAGCAGTTACTCCCTGCGTATAATGCCTTCTTTCATTTTGTCGAGTTCGAGGTCAGTCCAAATGCCACCTTCAACCGATTTTCACGGACGAGCTCTTCCGGCAGTCCCCTCAATGGTGGTGAAATAACCATGGATATGCCCCTTGACTTGAGTTGGATCACCCCAATATACTCGCCATATCTCGCCCAGGAACAACTTCTCAACACTTTTACTTCTGCAATTGGCGCAGCTGGTACACAAGTGCTTCCAAACCACTTGCAGAATCATCGCCGATGGCTCACTCAGTTGCCTTCATATTTTGGAAGAACGCTACTAGATGCTGCCATTCGAGCTGTCTCGATGGTACACTTCGGTCGAATTTCAAATTCCAATGCGCTCGTGCAAGAATCAAGACAATTTTATGGCAATGCACTCCGCCTGCTCAATAAGGCTTTGACTGACCAAGGTGATGGGATGGCTAGTGAAACTCTCTCAGCTACCGTTCTTCTCTCCTTCTACGAAATGTTCGCCTCGTCATCAAATAGCTCATGGCTCCACCATGCTGGTGGTGCAGGACTGCTCATGCGCCTCCGTGGACCAGACAAACATCGTCATGGTCTCGACAGGGATTGCTTTCTTGCGTACCGTCATACCATTGTCATTGAAGCGTTTCAAAAGGATGAGGAATGCTTTCTTGCTCAGCCTGAGTGGTTGGAATTGTCAAGACAAGTTCATGAGGAGATGCGAATTTCTGGGATTTCTCCAGCACGGAGAGAACTATTCGACCTGGCAGAAGAGTTCTATCTGGAAAATGTCCATATCCCAGCCACCTTTCGAGATGCAAGACATACGGATTTCGTGAAGGAGACGCTATCACCTGAAGGCTTCCACAACTTCCTAGAAGGCCTTCTCGAGAGAGCGCGACAACATCGATACAAGCTAAAGTCAATTAATGTTCGCTTTCGTGCAGCACTTCAGAAGACCGGGCTCGAAACCACATCCCGGATGACAAGCGACAAGGTATTCCCTCTGCAGTATGTATACGTCAATGTCTTTATTGCTTCAACAAATGTCGGATACTGGACTATAATGCTATTGTTGAACTTGGTCTTGAAAGAAGCCGAGAAAGAGACCCATCCAGAGAAGACAGGTCTCTACCTCATGGAAAACCAGGAGCTTGCAATGGAGATTTGCCGTACAACTCCTTTTATGCTCACATCCTCGTTTCTCGGTCCGTTTTTCATCACATTTGCCCTCAGGTTATGCCTGGTCGTCTTTGAGCCCGGTGAACAAAGAGATTGGGTAGTCAAAAAACTCAAAGAGGTTGGCGCCACGCGAATAAGCATGGCCTCAGACATCCCGGACTTCGAATCCGGCTCAAGTATAGCGAGAACATAGCCCAGTGCCCGGTGGAGATATACGCAAGAGAGGCAAGGGAAATCTGGTCGGAAAAGATGCCACAAGCAGGCATTACATTGGGCAACCCTTTCAGCTAGACGAGTTGTCCCAAGTACCAACAGGATTTCCGGTGCGACTGACACCATCTCATGGAGAGTCCAGCCCAGCTGACACAATACGATCATATCACGGAAATATCGCTACAGCATGCTCGAAATCAACGTGTTTCGATGACTTCGACTTTAATAAGGTGAGGTTCACTCGACCGAAACCTTCTGCATCTGGCTATGACGATTGGTTGCCGCAATGCCGCGGAGTTTCGGGTATACTATTTTCCGACCGGACCGTTTGCCGCCTTACTAATAACTAGATGGCCGTCAGTTACTCCTTCTGAAGTAGAGGGTTTGGAGTGTACGAAGTGTATTGTACGAAGACCATCTGTATAAATCCTTGACACATCAAAACAGCATTGACAATGTTTTCGAACTACCGACCTAATTGATCAGGCATTCGGTTTGTCAGCATAAGAATACATAAAAAGCGGACCAGGCTGAACCTAGTCAGCAAGAATAGTCATATCTCCATATTGTGGCAGAACGTCGACAGATCCCAGTATATATTGAAGCCTGAAATCTACACCTACCCACGATGAGCACTCATGCTGCCATAGTTACCGTCGGTCCTGGTCTCCCTTTGGAAGTTCATCAGGTTGAAACACCCAAACCAGTTGGAAATCAAGTACGGCTAAGAAATGAATGGACGGCTTCGACTCCATTAGACCTCCATCAGGCTGATGGTGGATTTTTTGTGACTAGCCCGCAGGTCCTCGGCGATGGTCATGTAGGAAAGGTGGTGGAGGTTGGACCAGAAGTATCCCGTTTGAAGATTGGGGATATTGTGTTCGGGTTTGGATGGCGGAATCAAGCAGAGAAGGCCCATCAAGAATTCGTCGTGACGAACGAAAACCTCCTGGCAAAGATGCCAGTTGGTTTCAGCCCGCAAGAGGCGGTCACTTTGCCCAACAACTTTGTGACAGCCTGGCACACCTTGACTAGAGAACTAGACCTTGAGCTGCCGTGGCCTAAACCTCCGAACTTCCAAGCCAAAGCGAATGGCAACTGGATTTTGATTTGGGGTGGTAGCTCTAGCGTCGGCCAATATCTCTTGCAGATCCTCAAGTATTACGGTTACCAAGATGTTGTTGCTACTGCTAGCAAGGCACACCATGAGCGATTGAGCAAATATGGCGCAAGACATTGCTTCGACTACCGAAATGAGCATGTTATTGATGAAATTGAACGTTTCATCCATTCACAAGCGGGCGGTGCGGGACAGATCTCCTTGGTTGTTGATTGCATTGGCAGCCAAAAAGCGAGTGTAATGCCTGTATCGAAACTTGCAAAAGCTGGATCCAAAGTGGCCATCATGTTACCCGTCATCATCAAAGATGCAGCTCCTGGTGTCAAACCGGAATATACCATGGATGTCAATGAGGGAGTGTCGTGGGCAGATGGTGTTCAACGGTCGGGTGTAAGGACCCACTTTTATCTGGAGAACCAGCATCTTGCCGATAAGTTACAGTCAGAGATCATGCCGACGCTCTTAGAGCAACGCGTGATTGAACCGAACGATCAAGTGATTGTGGAAGGAGACACATTTCTCGAGAGGGCGGAAAATGCGTTATCCAAGTTACGCAATAAGGAAGTCAGTGGAGCCAGATTGGTATGGCGTGTAGCAGATGCGTAGAATTTGAGATGTTAGCCACATGTAGAAATAAACGAGATGTCGTTTGATACTGCCATGTGAAACATTCGTATCCCCTGCTGCTGAGTGCCACCTAAGGTAGTGGCTCAACAGCATGTCATGTCCATGTGTACTCGTCGAGCCAATTGTCACTAGGGCAAAGATGCACGAGTCATTCACTTCTTGGCATTACAGGCCCACGAGTCACCGCAACATCCCATCTGCGCCTCCATCGAGCGCTGTCACCTACCAACCCTGCGCATTTCCAACCCGCAAATTGCAGTCATGACTCTTTGGGGCCAGGATACCGTGAGAGATGTTGCCGAATCAGTCGGCATCCTCAATCTCAACAAGGATGTCAACCAAGCACTGTGTCGAGACGTGGAATACCGAATATCCCAGGTGCTGCAAGAAGCCTTGAAATTGATGAAACACGCGAGAAGGACGATTTTATGGTCGCAAGACATTTCGAATGCGCTGCGCATGCTCGACATCGAGCCACTCTACGGCTATGAGTCTACGAGACCGTTGAAATATGGAGAAGCGTCTCTTGGGCCCGGCCAACCGCTGTTTTACGTTGAGGATGAGGAGATGGACTTCGAGAAGCTGATCAATGCGCCTCTACCGAAGGTGCCGAGGGAGATCTCGTTCACGGGTGAGCCCAAAGCGATGAGACGTTTGTGAGATATAGCATACTGACGAACCTGTTTCAGCACACTGGCTTGCCGTGGAAGGTGTTCAACCGTCGATACCTCAGAATCCGACCTCGACCGAATCGAGAAGCCTTGAACTTTTGCCTAAAGGACCAAATGCCAACCCAGCCCTTGCAGCGATGAGCGGCGCAGATACAACCACAACCAAACCACAAGTGAAGCACATTCTATCCAAAGAATTACAACTCTACTTCGAAAAATTGTGCAGTTCAGTGCTGGACGAGACACAGCCAGAATACCAGACCGCGGGTCTAGCAAGCTTGAAGGAAGACCCTGGTCTACACCAGCTGGTGCCTTATTTCGTCCAATTCGTGGCTGAAAAGGTCACACATAACCTGAAAGATCTCTTCGTGCTCACGCAGATGATGCTTCTCACCGAGGCTTTGACCCGAAACTCCAAACTCAACCTTACCCCATATGTGAGAGAGACCCTTGATTTCGCCTTCTGAGACCAGTGCTGATTTGATGACCAGGTTGCCTCGATGATTCCTCCCGTACTTACTTGTTTGACCGGCCGCTCCCTCGGCGTAGGAACGGATTCTTTGGAGCACTTCGAGCTACGAGATTTAGCTGCATCTTTACTAGGGCATTTGTGCAACAAGTACTCCAAGTATTCACATAACCTCAAGCCAAGAGTGGCGCGATCGTGTCTCAAAACATTTCTGGACCCCAAAAAGCCACTTGGAAGCCACTACGGGGCAATCCTGGGCTTGAAGGCGGTTGGAGGGGCTGAAGCTGTGCGCCAACTCATCCTACCCAACCTCAAGGCATACGGAGAACTATTGCAAGAAGGTCAACAAGATGGCAGCAAGAGGCAAGAGGAGATTGAGAAGGTCTTGAACGCCATAATCAACTCCTTGGGCACTTTGGTCGATGATGATCTCCCGATGCTAAATGGCCATTCAGAAGAATCGGCCAGAGAGCAACGCACAGAACTAATCGATAAAGTGGGAGAGGTGATTGGCGCACGAATAGCAGACTCCTCACACCGACACCTGGCCAAAGTTGTGTTGAAAGGGGATCTTGCAAGTTTCTGAGCCCGTCAAAACCTACCGAATGCATGCAGGAGATGGATTTCTGAATCATGAGGAAGGCGTTGGTGGTAATTGGGATTGGTAGAAGCGAGCGATACCCGTGCATTTCCACATGTGATTGGAGGGTTTCAAGGCGTTTGGGCGCAGGAAAAAGGCGAAACACGACTCTTTGAGGAGGGAGTTCGTCTTGGTTGGACCTTCGTCCCATACGCATGTGCCTACATTATGTCTCGACTCCCAATTGGTGACACTACTGCAGGGCTGGACAGTGAGTCGCGCCCCGGTGGCCTGGAAGGATTCTTCCATCAAAAATCCTTTCAGCCACGGCGTTCAGGAGAAGTGTGGCGGTGCACTTGGAACATCGATGCGTCCCAGTGAAAGCAAGTGCCTGGCAGCGAGTACGGAGTACCTCGTATGCACAGTTTATCAGACACTACCGGGATATTTGCCGTCAGCAGGTGGGACTTGGATGATGCCAGTGACCAGCTGTCATCCATCCCATTTACCTTTTTGATCCTTCCACTCCACAATCGACTGTCTGTACATACTGTATGTACTCCGTAGCACGGAGTTAGTAGTTCTCCATCTTAGATGACGAGTCCCTCCAACGGACTCCGCCCCCGTTGAGCCACTCTCCTCCTATCCTCCTCGGACCCAGACTAGTCTTTGCTCGCCACAACTCTACTCCGAGTTCGTTCTTATTCGCATCTTCTATCATTGCGCCTCGTTCTGGTTCTATCTGTAAGCACTGTACCCAAAACGAGACAGGGCTCAACGATAACTACTGGCCAAATGTGTCATCTTACGTCCCTGCAGTAGTTCGTCCACGGGACCAAGGCTATTGCTGTGGCTGCTAGACGCCGGATCGTCGGCGCCATGGATCGAACTAACTGGGTCAACCCCTGAAGGCTATTCAACGAGATTACTCGTACGGCTTGGTGCAGATTCCTTCACTCGCCAAAGAAATCGGCTGCACTGTTTGAGTCGTTTCACACATTCGACTTTGATTCCTGCCACAGTTTAGGCTCTGCGGCATTATCGTCTTGGACGCTTGATCCTCAAACACCCTCTCCCCAAGTCAAGCGCTCCTCTTTTGGGTTACTCCTTTGAGCTTGTCAGTTCCCTCATGTACCGAGTGAATGCAGCCCGGCATCCCTTGACCGGGATCATGTGTGTCGAGAATCGAGGTGGTCGTGAGTCGTGACCGATCTCTGACGCCCAGGCTGCGATGTCCTCCATACCTGGTATGGTGTATACTAGTCATTAGCCTCTTCGGATGGGGCGAAGGCTGCCCTGCTTATTGCCTCCCAATCCACACTGGACAGACACGAGGTCAATCAAATCCTCGTCGCCAATCAAACCGAGCTACAGTCCAGACTACCCAGGCCCGCATCCTCCCTGGTCACCTCAGACACTCTACCAGGGCAATTGCCAACAAAGGAATAACCCACACTGGGTCTGCATGGGGGGACAGACTACGGGCTACACGATAACAACTGATCATCCTCCTACAATCCCATTTTGAACTACTCCAAAATCCTCGCCTAAATGCCATGCCTCTCAATGATGACACGATGCACCCAGCAGTGGTAGTCAGGTACTCGTAGGAAGCACAATTTCCCTTGCTTTGCTTATGTAGGACTAGCCCTTCATCAAGAGTCGCTAAGAGTGCCTTCTCACCGGCCTTTCATTCAGCTTCGACTCGCTATTCAGCCTTGGCCACTTCCTCTTCTTCCTTCCGCGGGACGGCGCTGACTGTTTCAATTTCACCCGTCTTTCCTTTTTGCCTGCCATCTTGTTCCCGGAACCAACAAAAGGTTTTCCGCCTCCGTGCGCTCCTGTTGCTTCTGGTTTACTTCGTTCATTTGTGTTTCTTGTTTCTTTCTCAGCACGTTGATCTGGCTGTCAACCGTCCTTTTTCTGTCTCTAGAAGGGCCTTTTCTTGCCAACTCACATTGTCTCCCCTGAGCTGTGAGAGCTCAACGTTCAGAGAACGACAGCAACTATGCGGTTTCAGAACCTGGCGTTCGTCGCCGCATTGCTTTACTCACAACAATCCTGTGCCTTGTCCAACATCACGTACTATTCCGACGATCTGTGTACCGACGTGGTAACTGAGAAGAATGCACCCGACGATGGCACTTGCACGCAATTCCCTACGATGTCCAGAAGTTATGCCAGCTTTAGAGTATCCAGTTTAGACCAAACTTGCAGTGGTAAGTCTTCCCAATCCCCTACGCATTGCGAATAAGGCCCTCCCACACATATATATACTAATTATACTCTTCTTAGTCACCATCTATGGGAACGACACAGCGTTTTGCAGCTCGACGATAAACCTGAAGGTTGCTCCATTCGGCGACTGTATAACAGACATGAGCGTCAACCAATTCTCGGTGGACTGTCAAGATTACTCCGTCGCCATTTCCAGTCCACCTAATATCTTTGCCGGTGCCGACTCCACACCCGTTGAGGACTCAAATGGTGGCGGTCTCTCCGGCGGCGCAAAGGCTGGAATTGGAGTTGCAGCAGCTGCATTTGTGATTATTCTCGTCGGTCTGATCGTCTTCTTGGTCATTCGCAACAATCGTCGCAAGAGACAAAATGTGGATCATGACGGTATCGCCGAAGCCGACTCCACCCAAGCAGCAGCGCCTCCATATTCGGAGCTCCCGCCAGACAGCGAGAAGAAGAGGCCCGTCGAGCTACCGCCTCAACAGATGATCCCAGTCGAGGCGCCAGGCGATCATGCATGGCCGACCCAGGAACTCGAGGCCGCGGTCGTAGAGTCCAAGATCATGGCATTAACTCACCAGGCTTCACATCTCAAGTCCTTGAACAGACGCCAGTCCGACTCGGATATCACTCCTGTGAATGCGAGTGTCAACGGGGACTCTACGACGTCGATGTCTAATTCTTTCTCCCCAGTCAGCCCAGAGGACACGGCCACAAACACGAGCAGCAAACTGTGAAATCCGAAGAGTCCGGACCCATGGCAGGATGGTAGGCGGCGCTGCCCGTTACTCGCCATACTTAGACTTCAACCATAGGATTTTTGCCATTCCATCAAGCTTGAACATTGTGAGCGGCCCAAGCTTGCCACCTTGACACAATAATTTTCGCCGTTGACCAATATGCCAATAGGCTGATTGCGACGATCTGAAAAACCGAAACGATCGCTAGCCATGAGATGCCAATGGTCTCCCATCAAGACCCTGCTTCGAGAAGTATCTCTTCCTCGATAGCCTTGCCGGCATGCTTCCGCCGGTGGCGGTCTAGAAGCCAAGCACCGCTAGTGCCTTTTGGGTAGCTTTCACCTGTTGGAGCCAACAAGGAGTTGCACACCAAACAAACAAGAGCCGTTTTCGGCTGGACTAAGTATGGGTACCGGGGGATCCCTCCCTTGTCCAGCCGATCGGGATCTTGAGGATTTCATGCCAGGCGACCTATCAACCAACAGATATCGACCTCCCGATCATTTGCACGTTTTCTCGCAAAAGGAGCGCAAGCTGAAGGTCGAAAAGTTGGTGCGAAACACCCCCTGTCTCATGTCTGATGCGCTGTGTGCCTCCGGAAATGCAGACCCGTTGGAAAACCAGTCTGGTGGGTGGATGGGGCCGAGGGCCTTGGCGCGGCCGGTTTATCAGCCGAGGTTACTCCTTTCAGAGACGCATTCAAGATGTCACAGGTTCAACTTGGGGTTAAACATTAATGCATCGGCATTCAGTAGGGGAGGGCAGGGGAGGGTGCCTGTCAGCCTCTTCCGGCGTCAAGATGGTGCCGTCGTCGTCTTCATTCTCGGTTGACTGCTTTGCTCGATTTGAGTCTTTTGGGCCGGTGCTAGCTCCATACATGCCTGGGCATATCCTATTGGCACCCACCACTCTCGTGTCCTTCGCGCGACATTGATACTCCCGGATCTTCACTCCTCGGCAGGATTTGCTTAGTTTAATTCTTAATTCTTTTCATGGGCCAGACGGGAGGAGGAGGGAATATGTGGGCAACCCGGGACCGAGATCTAGAGAGTCAAACAGCATCATGGTTATTCTGCCACGGCATGGCAAACTGACTGACTGACTATAGACGAATGCTGGGCTGGAGAGCAAGAAGTGGACCGAGAAAAGGCCTAGGTACTCTCTGAGACAATGCAGAATAGCAAGTTTACACTAAGGTGGAAAAATCGAAACCTCGACAGAAAAAAATAAAGGAAGACAAGAAGACTGACTGCCTATCGTCTCGGTCGAATCCCGCTTAATTGCAAGAAATTGAACTGAAGTCCTGGTTTCATCCCATCTCCCCTTGGAGTCGGAGTCTGCATGCAGAGGAAATCCATTCGAGGCAATAACTTGATCGCTTGACTCTGCTAATTTTGGTTGCTTTCCTTTTTTCGGTTCGGACTTGTGCTATTATGTACTGTTGTACCTCTCCGCTCCCTGCCTAGCTGTGTGTTTACCTCGTACTGTATGTCCGTTCCCAGACGAGCCAGATGTCACTTGAGTACTATTTAGTTAACCGAAGTCACAATTTGATCTTCACCATCTATTTGCTGGATACGTGACACCTGACTGACTATGCCGCCCCCGCTTTTGCTGTTTGTTGGTACTCATTACATGAAATCCATCGTGCCCTTCTCTCCGATTTCTTGCTCGCAGAACGAGGAATTTTCCAATACAGGGGGAAATGGTAAAGTGGGGAGAAGAAGAGACGGTTCTATCGACTGTCTGTTCCCCAATGGGGAGTCCGCACCTGCTTCGCTCACGTCCCGTGTCGGCGCTGGCATGGAGTAAGCCGATTCTCAATATTCCAACACAACTTTCTTGAAGGAACGCGGACGTGTTGATGTTCTGTCGTGACATGTCGATTCGTTGGCCGTGATTGTTCTTCAAGCAAGTCCTCTAACGGAATGTCCTGCGTTGAAATGGTCAATCCTAAGCTCCCCTTTCGGCCTCGACTTCGTAATCACCGTGATCGTCGTCATCATCGTCGTCGCCATCGTCGTCGTCGTCGTCTTCATCATCACCATCTCCATCTCCATCTCCAGCCTCATCAGAGCCAGCCATCATGTCATCTTCAACGAACCTCCCGGTTTCCTTCATCTCGTGGAGCCACCACTCACGGCACATCTTCGCCATCTTCCGCGACGCCTCTCTCTTCCGCAACTCACCCTGACTAGTAGCCTCTTTGACAATCGTAAAAACACTTCCACGATTCGGTTGTCCGAGATCAAGGAGGGGGTCATGTCCCTCATCACCGAGACCCAGGGCCCTCACACCCCCGACGATATCATCGACCTCGTACTCATCCTCCCTCAACTCGGCGATCCGTCGTCCATACTGTCTCGGCGCGTAGTCCTGCAGCGTATCAGGGCGGACGTAGCCGTACATCATGAAGCGGACATAATGCTTATCGAATCGGAACCCACGGCGAAACGCCTCGCGCACGACCAGCTGATCAGGCCGCAGAAGTGGCTCAGGCGACCGATGCAGATCCTCTTCGCCCTTCATGCCCCAGTACTCGAGACGTCCTCTTCCGACCCTTGCTGCTGGGACACCGAAGATCGGTAGCCCGCCCTCGTCCGGCGCCGGCTGGTATGTGTACTTGATCCACTCGCGCATTAGCTCAAAGCGTGTCGTCCACATCTCGCGCTTCAGCACGCGCAAAATCGTCGTGAAACCGTGCTGCGCGAGCAGCAGCTTTCTCATGCCGTCGCGCTTCTCGCCTGAGGTCGGGTCGTTGAGCCGCATGTCGAGTTTCGTGAAGAAGCAGGCGGCGAAATACAGGTCCAGGTCTGTCAGGAAATGCTTGTTGTGCACAAACCCGATGCGCCGCGCATTGTCTGGGACATCCATCAGGAACCAGATGCGCTTCAAGGCAAGGCGGCAGCGGTGTGGGAGTGGGATGCCGTCTTCGGCGAACACCGCCATCAGCTCGTGGATCACTTTCTCGCGATGTAGGATCATCTTCAGCCAGCGGAAGGACGGAATCTTTCGCGGGATGTTTTGCTCTGCGAGGCGTATGTTCGGGTGAGCAACGCGTGCCGCTGGGTCGCTGCGGCAGAGGTGTTCGTAGCAGCGGAATTGGAAGATTCGGGCACTCTCCCTCGCTTTGGAGAGCGCTTGGCTGAGGATGACGGTCGTGAAGCGTGTGTCAATGATGGTGTGGAAGTCTCTGCTGATTGCGTACAGATTGACGAGGTCTTTGACTGGCAGGACGGAGGCGAACGCGAAGACTAGTTCCGGGTACAGGAGGAGTGCGTCTAGGATGTTGAAGTTTGGGTTGTCAGTGCGCTTGTACACATACGCTGGTGGAGGCAGGATGGCGTCTGGTCTCTTGCGTTTTCGCGAGATCCGTGCATAGTTTTTGGCGCGCTCGATCCGGCCCGGTGACGAGTACATGTTATCTGGGACCAGGGCATCGGGGTTTATGGCGTGCTGCTGGTGGATATTTCTTGAACCACCAGTTTTGAAGGGAAGGCTGGTGATGCCTGTATTTGGGAGATTGATTGGTCGAGCTCCATTTGCGAAGAGATCGTATCGTTGATTGTCTGGAAGCAGCCGTCCGAAGCCATCTCGATCTGTGTCAATGTACCCTTGCGCTCTCGCTGTGGGAGGGACAGCCCGCGATGGCTGGATTGATGGCCCCAATGGACCGGTATCGTGATGCTGAGAGGCATGTTGGGACATCTGTGCTAGTCGTTGACCGATGGGCCGTGCGGGATTCTGGTTTGCAGGAAAATCAGACATTGTTTGGTCGGCCCGAAATGTAAACGGCGCCCGCTGTGTTTCGAGACCTTGTTGGAGCAATGGCACGTCTTCACGCACTGCTCGAGAGTTGGAGCTTGAAGGTTGGACAGCACCGAATGTAGAGATGTATGCATTTGAGCCTGGCGGTAAGAGTTGCTCAACGCCGTAGACGGCTCTTGGTCTATTCGGTCTAACTGTCAATCTGTCAAGGCCTGGTGTGTCTCCATCCTCGTGAGATGGTGAGCTGTTTTCTTGGTCACTTGGATCCGCTACTTCGTGACGGCCATCGACATGCTCACTCTCAATGTCGGTATCTTCTTCACTATCTGGAACCACAACTTCTCTTCTGTGGTGAAATCGAGAAGCACCATTATCATTCTGAGGCGGCTCGCTCTCTCGGGAAGGATTCGAAGCTGTATGTCCTTGTCTTGGGCGACGAGAAGTGGTATTAATGGGTGGAGGTGGCTCGGCGACAGCACGTGATGGAGGATAGGGGGAGGCAGTGCCACTGTTGTCCAGAAGATTGGGCTCATCGGTAGATTGATCGGAATTGCCTCGGTCTCCATGAGAGGGGCCTTTCTTGAAAGGATGAAGAAGATTGCCAACTCTGCTCTTCCCATTCGCGAAGAAGCGGGACTTCTTTCGCGGCGGTGGCTGATCGTCCATCGCAAACAGTCAGTCGAACGTCAGAATTATAACAGGGTATTGAGACACAGTAGTAGGGACATAGCGGATGAGACAGCGTAAACGATCAATAGACAGGTGGTAGTATGTGCGTTGCGGGATGCTTGGGATGCTAAGGGCAGTGAGAGCGCGGGGATGTGAAGGATGAAGAAAGCAAAGATCTGTCACATGTCTGATAACAAACAATGATCTGGCAAAAAGTGAAGTAACCAACTGATGAGAATAGAGGGCTCCTCGTGCTTATCGCTTGCTTTTTGATATCCCGCAGCCTTGCCAGCATTGAGCGGTCTTGCTGGGGTGCTGGGTGAAGTTCTTCAGCCAGCTGCCATCACTCACCATGGCAAGGTTTGATGACACTGTGCAATACCGCATACCGACCCAAGTGACGAATCTAATTCACCGCAACAGCCACCGCCCCTCCATGCTGGCTCGAACTCTCGCATAGTCAGTAGCCCAGTCGGCTTAAATGCTTAGGATTTCATGAATGAAATCGCGTGCCTCGATTCATTTTGCCGTGTCCATACACTGAGTGACGGATTTGATCTTGTCACATGACTCAGTCACAGCCAGAAAGAACACGAACTCGAGAGAATACTCCTTTCCATTCGACGAGGTGCAGGGGGTTCTGCCAGAAGGCATGCTGAATTTGCGTTTCATCAACTGCCGTCCGTAGGATCGAGACCTGGTTAGAGCCGAATCCTGGGAATTCGATTCTTACTATAGTCTCGTATGCCGCGTTCAAGATTGGCTTTGCTTCTATGCCCAAGGATGCGAACAATGAGGATGGTGCGATACGGCGCGTGCAGTCAGTGGAGATTTGATAAATGAGCCCAGGGCGTCCTTTCTCGAAATGCGACTTTCTATGGGTCGTCGAATTGTCTGGCCGTTGCCTGAAGCTTGCAATATGCATGAAATAAGCTGTTGAATGTTATGACGGCGAAACTGTAAAGCTTGAGTTCCTGATTTAGATGAAGATTTCCACACGCTGGGTTGGAGCTGCAAATTAACAATTGTCAATAAAGCTCATTCAGCCAAACCTGTGGAATACCAGATTTCATACATCATCGAGAGAGATCAAATGTCGATGCAGACAGTGACCTTGAGGAGGCTTGCAATGCTAAAGATAGCTTGTCGTGTTGGGGGGATACAGTAGTGCTACCTCGTGTCCCTCAACCTCATACGAGGCCGGTGGCAAAAATACAACGCGTGCCTAAATTTCGGCGGACTCACGCGTTACGACATGGACAATGGTCTGAATACATTTATCTGGGGCTTACTATCTTCGGTAAGATCAACGACAGTGTCGAAGTCGTGTCTAGTGTTCCAGTGGTTAAGGCTGAAGCTTCGAAGGCCAACGAGACTGGCAGTTGGATGAATGATATTGCCAAGGGCTTGGCACACAGAGTACAACGGCCGATGTTGGCGAAATTGACTACGCCCTTTTTAGCAACCACTCGAGCATGTAATATGAGATCTCTCTGTCTCTTTCAATCCTATGGACTCTGTTCTTGTTTATTTACAAATTTATGAGGCATTTGATCTCCGTGAGCCCCTTTTCGTGATCTCAAATCACTCATTGATTTCCAAGCATTCCAAATGCTGATGCAATGGCAATTTGATGACAGGGCTCACAGGAGTGCCTCACAGCGTTTAGTATCTATATCTTTAGCGCGTCACGTTTTAGGTGAATTAGTACGCGCTAGAATCATTAGCGCCAACAGCCGAGATGGTAATTATCGATTTTTTGATGCCTGCTCCTCTATCTAGGACATCAGCTGGCAGCAATAAGAAGACATCGATGCTAACCAACGCTTAACTAGCTCTTGTCTAGCATCCATCAAATGGCTACCTTCGTGAGCTTTGATATGCCTTGTGGTTCGCTGGAGTCAGCCTCCACCGCCACGCATTCCTTGTCGTCAGTGGCGCATGTGGAGCGGCTCATTCCAGATCTACAACATCTCGCCTCTTCCCGCCAGATCTCGCCAGGTATTTCTACCGATTGTAACGTGTTGACGATTGCCCACTCAATAGCCTGCCAATCAACCCGCTTCAGTCTTGCCTTGGTGCGGAACTAGTCTGTTCGACAGCTGGATTTAATGTCCCGCTAAGAATGACCAATGCTGTCAAGCAGTCTAGGATGATGTCTACAATGATGAGCCCTTGTGACTACTAGTAGCAGGTTGGAGATACCTTGGGTACTACCACAACGCACATTTCCTTACCAGAGTGAATTCATACAATGCACGCCCTTGTCCTTCACATTCCTACCGAGAAGCGCAAGGCAGAAACATGAAGACAGAGTACCTTCCGCTTAACCGTTCACTCCTGTGTATGCAGCTGCGCACCCAATGTCAGCAACCAATCCAGAAGCTGAAGCCGAGGCAGAATTACACGCCAACAGTTTATTTGAGACCATTGCCAGCCTCAAAGCCAGAGCCAAAGCGAAGACTCAAGAGATTCTGCATATCCGCAAATCATCCTCACAGCGCGAGTTTGCAGATGAAGATATCTTTTCGGACCCTGCCTTTGATCCAGCACAAGCCTTAGATAAGAAATCCCCATCTAAGAACGGAAAGACTACCAGCGAGAGCGTGACCGATGGCCTTAAGGACGCTAAATATCTACTCTCTCATCCAAGAAGAGTCATGCGAAGTAAAGCCACCCATGTGGCGGCAGAGAAAATTGGTTCTGCTCGACACCCCATCCAGATACTCAATCGAGACGAAGAACTCATCGATGCCCATGATCACCTCGCCCAGGCTGCCGCTGATGGCGACTCGGATTCCACTCTTGATGGGGAAGAAGTGAACGATGCCTGCGATCGAATACTCCAAGTGGAAAACCAACGAGAAAGTCTTCAGACTGCATGGATCCTTGGCCGCCATGTTAATCGTGTCAAAGCCGTTCGTTCTGTTTCTCGACCAGAACAATCGGATTTCACAATCATCAATGATGGCGAACCACGTGTCCAGTGGGAGAGGTATCTCGGAAAACTGGCTCTTTATCATACGCAAGGCTTTACCCTCCAATATGTCGATGACTTTAAATCTCCGCCTTTTGATCTGGAAGATCTAGCAAGAATCATCGAAAGATTGACTATCACTAGTGCTCCCTGGCAAACATTCCTGATGAAAGTGAGAGATATCTACACTTGGAAAGATCCCAGATCTACTGCAAAATGCGCCATTCTATTCTGGACTCTCTGGTACACCGAACACATCGTCGGCTCTCTTTGGTTCTGGATCATTTACTCTTCTATCCGGAGTAAACTCCAGCCGTCCTCGGTCGAGAGAATTCGAGAAAGTGTAGCTCGATCATTTGATCGTGAGAAAAGAGTTCAAGCTTGGGGTGAGCTGCTTCAACAACACGGAAAACAAAACTGGATTGAACCGTTGCTGGATGATCTGGGTCCCCATATCCAACGTCAACTAGGCGATCTAGCCGATTTCCTTGAAATCTTGACCAACTTTCATCGACACGAGCGTCCTAAGAAGACCACGGCTTCTTTGTTTTTCTTTGCGAGCTGCCTGACAGTGACTTTGTTTGCGGACATGGCATTCTGCGTCAAGTTTGTCTGGTTCATTGCCGGAGTGGGCTTCTTCTTCACATACCCAATCGCCACGAGATACCCGAAATACCGATTGCTGGTATCACCTTGGAGATGGATGTTTTGGGCCATTCCTACGCATGCCGAACTTGCAATTTTACGGTTGCAAGAGAAGGCAGCCATTAGGGATGCTGATCCCAAGGAATTTGAGTTACCGCACCCGGACGGGCTTGACAAAGCAGAACAACCTCAAAGTGGAGAGACTCACTCTTTCGATATTCACCACGAAACGGGAGGAAGAGGAAAATTGATAATAAGCAGATCTGGTATTGCATACACCAGTGTTACAGAGCAACAATCCTGGCCGTTTTCGTCTTTGGCTGAAATGTGCAAATCCGATGATCCAGATACCGAGTCCGTCTTCCGCAATTTTCGCAGACTTGGTTCTCGATCCGGTGTTGTATTGCACTTTACTTTCTTTTCAGCAGAACTGAGGGTTCTTGTACATACGGCCGATCGAAATCGTGTCTTCAATCTTGTTCTTGCTTGGAGCGGTTTGAAGTGGCAAAGTTTGCAGATAGAACGGCGGAGAGGTGGGAGGGGTAATCTTGATACGGCCATCAAGCGAGCACTCCGTTAGGAGATTTCTCCCAAAACATAAAACACGGTGTTTTAGTTTAGCAAGTTCTCTCAGCGTTCGAGCGAGCATTTCCTGCATGGCTGGCTTTTAAATCAGAGAGCAACAAAGGCAATGGCGTCATTACATAAGCGAATTTCGTACAAGGTCAATCATGGAAAATGATCCAGACAATCCAGACAACCCAGAACCCAGACGAGTGACCTCCCAGAGTCGTATCTACGTAAACATTCTCCATGTGACAACTTCGTGAACAAGAAACGCCAGGCATCTGAAATGATGCCACCACCCGTCCATACATCCAAACGAACTAATGACGATAGGCACCAAGCTTCTTCCTCCACCACGCGACAAAGTCGACAGTCTCAACACTGACCCCCAACTTCCGAAGCTCATCTGTATCCATATGGCAATCCTTGGGCCTGAGCGTCCCATCTGGACCCGGCTTGCCACCATCTTTCACTGGTACGATGCCATCGAAGGGCAAGTCCATGATCTCCGCAAAGATCCGACACATCTCGTACTTGGTCATACGATCATCGCTAGAAAACTGCAGGATCTGCGGGACTGGACCGTCGTGTCCTGCAATATCAACACACACCCTCGCGACATCGGCCGTATTGGTCGGCGTGCGGACCGCCCAGTCGTCCATTTTCACGGTCTCCGCTGGCTGCTTGTCCTTCTGCGACCTCCACAGCGCATCTAACAGAATGTTCACCGCGGACTCGGCGTTGTTGTCTTCTGGGACCGTGGTGCCGTACAGAACCGGCACGCGTAAGGAAGTTGTCCGGGGGTATTTCTGCACGACGCGCTCGCCGTCGAGTTTCGTCTGGCCGTAGATGTTCGTCGGTTTGGGCGTCGAGGAGACGGTGTACGGTGATTCGCCCTCGACGCCGGGAAATACGTAGTCCGTGGAGATGTAGATTAGGAGGGCCCCGTGGGAGGCGCATGCTTGTGCGAGGTGTTCGGTCGCGGTCACGTTCAGCAAGCGGGCTGCGTCTGGGTGCTGTGTGCAGGAGTCGGGCTGGCGGTCGGCGGCGCCTAGGGGACGAGGGTAGTGTTAGCTTCCTTCTCCTTCTTACCTGGCGAGGTGTTCGGGGGGTGGTCTTGATTTACAGTGTACGACGACTTCCGGTCTGCAGAGAGAGGGGAGGGAGGACAAAGGCCCCCCTCCCTGTGGATTAGCTGTTGCTCGTGTTCAAGTTTCTCGCAGGAATCGGCGACAGGACATGATGCCGTGGGGAAGAGAAAGGGTTCTCCCTCACTTGACCTCATCAAACACCTTGTCCACCGCCTGCTTGTCCCGAATGTCCAGCTTGAGGATCTTGTCCGACGCGCGTGAGAACCCCGTCCCCGTCGCCTCGTAGCCTGCGTCTTGGAACGCAGAGAGCACGGCACGGCCGAGCAGGCCGGTCGCTCCTGTGATTAGGGCTCGTGGCATTTTCTGTGCGAGGAGGCGCCAGGACGTTGGTCTAGTCCCTCTCCTGGAAGTTGTGAGAAGAGCAAAGTGCGTTCGTAGGGTGTGTTGTGGACTTGTGGCATTGAGAGTCTGGCACGTTTTCTCCGAGTTTCGGGCCCGGGTGAGGGGCGGGGAAGGATTGCTCTGCAGGAACTATCGAGTGTTTGCGAGCTGCAGTGGAACTGGGAACTGGAAACCAGACCGTGGTGATTGATGATGATGGGATGATGAAGCTGCGAGCTCCTGTGAGGATCTGGCTACAAATCGAGAGGTCGATGCTTGGGTCAAGTCTCATGCCATCAGGTCCGCCTGAATCAGTTTCGGCTGCAGGCCATAATCACCTCGAAAACTACACACTGACGATGATCACAGTGCATGCCGGACGCGTCTACCTGGGCTCGCTACTACACGGCGGTCTACTTAGGACGAGCTGAAAAAAGTGCCCAAGCCCGCTGAGCGTGTCTGTCGATATATGTATGTGCTCCCTTCCCTCTCTTCTCCGAATCCAAACACAGAGGTCTGTGACGCGATGAAAAGATATGTGTGTTGGAGAACACCATAGAGTAATATTCCAAAGATTCCCAGCCGATCCGAAGACCAACTGAAGTGGTCATAGTTTCAGTTTTCAAACAGCAAAAAACGTGACTCGGATTGCTCCTCACTGTCAACGTTAAAGCCCGTGCACTAAGATGGAGAGTCAGAAGAAGATCTCAGAGGCGAGGTGTGGTGGTGGTGAGTGGGATTTATGGGAGAGGCATCAGGCAGCAGAGCAGGCCAAGAAGGACTGGGCCACAAGACTGTGCTTCTGCTTTTCAGACAGGCAGACGAGGGATGATGGTGCTGGAACACGACGTGCGCAGAGGGAGTTGCTTACCTAGAATAGAGAAAGGAGAAAAAAAGAAGATCAAGAGGTTGCAGGCACCGGTTTAAGTATCGCGAATTGGAAAATTGGATGGCTTGGCGGCTCTCGGCACACCTTCCAGCATGGGTGGTTGCCTGGCCAGCGATTCACTCTCCCCGCCTGGACCACTCACAGGGAAGGCAGCTGCCGGCATAAACAATACAGATGTGAATGTGAATTATATTGTGGTTCACCTGGCAGCAACAAAGATATCCAACTAACCCCGAGCGGCTCACTGGGCTGGCCATGCCACTGTGATACTGTATGCCCACTCGCCCTTCGCCCACTCACACTTACCTTTAAATGGTGAAAAGAGCGTGTGAGGGCCTTTGGGTTGTGATTAGCAGCCTAGTGAAGCTTGCCTACTCCAGCCTGCACACTTCCAGGGATGTTAATCGGTTGGTTGACAGTTGCTTTCAGAGTATGAGGCCATTCAGTCAGGCTGCCACACTAATATCATTGGTGCGGTCTCTTGTGCTCGTGTGATGAGCTGAAGACCCAATCACTGACTTCGGCTCGATTTACTCCGTTGGCCTTCGAGAGTTTTTTATACGTTTTGGTTCAGCACACACTATGCTCTACTTCCTGAAGCCAAATATCCGAAGAGCATGACCAAAGTACAGCGGCCAAGGAAATGAAACTCGACAGAAGCTGTTTAGCATGATCACATGCGAGGAGGCTCTGCTCATGACACGCATAGCGAATACATCGATTGAACAAGTCTGCTGTGTTATCTCGGTAGTGTCTCATCCTAATTGAATTTCATCTATCCAGGTCATCAGATAACCTCCTCTCCACGGCGGGCTTTGCGACACCATTCTCGAAAGACGAGAGCGCTGATAATGGTACTTCAGCATTAACGAGGCTGACCAGTAGCGGAAGATGAAAGGGATCCGCTTGAACCCTCAAGGTCGCTTCCATCGCAGCACTCACAAGGCCAAGCGGTCAACAGAGCGACCGTCAGGTCCATCACTGTTTGATTCCTCACCAGCTTTTCTTCCCCTTCCCGTGAATGCATATTTATTGGTGAGGGCATTAATCTAGATTTTAATGCTTTCGCCTCTAAGCAATTCTAAACGCTTGAGCAAGATCAAATCTTCTTTTAATCCTTGGAATGAGCTTTCTCGACTCTTATATGCTCCTTTAGGTTATTTATCTTTCAAGAAGACGCGGCTTCTCGCATCCTTCTACCTTGATCAAGCATGACATTTTCCGACATTTCTGTGCAGCGAGATTGCTGTGGTCTTTTTTTTCCTGCAGCTTCTCGGCCGACCTCTTAGGGATAACTATCCTTCTCTCAAGATCGGACAGGCTACAAATTTGTTCTTCACTGTGGTCAACGCGTTCACTTTAAAGATATAACAGCAATGCATATCTCACAATATGCAGCCTATAGCGCTGTCAAGGCTAATGGAAATCCTATTTATCTCCAAGTTTGTCGCCCAAAATCGTCTACCTTCCCTTTTAGGAATGGGTTCTCGATGAATCTGTCCTTTACTTTCTTTTTCTCGTCGAGTCTTGCCAGCCGCATGATGATCTGAACATCTATACTCTTGTTGTCTTTCAAAGTCCCCTTTAGGGATTGGATCATTAGTCCAGTAACTGCCCGACCCGTCTTTGCAACTCAGGAATCAAAGGTTCTACTATTGCGTGCAAACTTCCGACGGAGGAAAGGGATACGTTCAGCAGCGATGACCAGAGGCACCAACCATAAGCGTAGATAGCAAGAGTGCTGTCAATGTGACCTGAGCCAGTCGAATCATGCTGGGTTGTCTCAACTCCTATCTGCCCTGACTGGCATGCAACTTGACAATCAATCTCGACCAACGAACTTAGTCTTTTGCTGGCATTGGATTCCCCCCATCTTTGTGGAACATGATATGTCACTCTTTTAAAGTTGAGCTCGTCAGTCCCTGGAGATCAATTGGCAACCAAGAGCCGTTTACCTGGCTCGGCGACTGAAAGACCAACGAGCATGGGGTTCATTATTTCCGATTCCGCCCCGAGCGCGGGCTCCGATTGGGTAAAACAATTTTAGGCGGGTCCTACCGGTCCAGTCTAGCTTGCCTGTCCCTCTTCAGGCGATAATATTTGAGCACTGGAGTTCATAACTATACGAGATTTAGCCCTCATCCGCACTGGACAATACTTCGCGGGCAAAGATGGAGTCTTTAGCAAGTACCTTTGTCATCTAAGACTTCCCAATTGTTATCTCACAGATCAGTGCACGAGCAGGAGCCCCGATCTCTGACAATTTTGCGCCACAGCCGAAAGGTCATACGCTGACCACCGTAGGAAGTGTACCCCACTCATGTAAAAGTCTCCCACTGCAAATTCATTCATTAGCCACCATCCAAATGCCGCAAAGGCCTGGCGATCGGATCAAAAAGATGGGGGGCGTTAACCTGCATTGTAATCTCTTCTTGACATCTTGCTGCTGGTACTAAATCAACTTTGCGTCAGGATTTGATGTCTCTTTGGTGCAATGATTGTGTCGGCCATCCCTCCCTGAATTGTTGACACAACAGAGCACTTCCCATTATCATATCACCACAATGATTGTAGCTCATTCCGAACGCACGAACGGTGAATCAAGTCGGAGAGACCCCCGGCCGGTTGAGCTGCTTGATCAACCACTGCACACGAAACGCAAGTTGCGATTGATTTGCATTGGCGCCGGTATTTCTGGCATAGCGGCAGCATACAAGTACGAACGAGACCTCGAAAATGTGGATATTGCCATTTATGAGAAGAACGACAATGTGGGGGGTACTTGGTACGAGAACAGGTACCCTGGTTGCGCATGTGATATCCCCGCCCACGCCTATACCTACTCCTGGGAAGGAAACCCTAATTGGTCACGGTTGTAAGCATCTCTAGTCCTATACAGCTGAGACTAGCTGTTCCTGACATGCCTTCAGCTACGTTGAGCGCCCTGAGATATTCGCCTATATCGAGAGCTGTGCCGTCAAATGGGGCTGCATGAAATATATCAAGTTCCAACACCGTGTGGTTGAAGCTCGATGGTCCGAGTCTGAGAAAGGCTGGCATGTCAAAGTCGAGAATCAGTCCGAAGGCACCGTGGTCGAAGACTTCTGCCACGTGCTCCTCAACTGTAATGGAGTCCTCAAGTATTAAGATCCCTCGGACCTCTACTTTGGGTGTCTGGCTAAGGGTTCATTACAGTAACTGGAAGTGGCCTGAGATCAAAGGTTTGCATGACTTCAAAGGTAAACTCCTACATTCTGCCAAATGGGACGTTGATTGGGACTACACTGGCAAAGACGTCGCCGTGATTGGTGCTGGATCATCTGGTATTCAGATCGTTCCCAAGATGCAGAAAGGTAAGCCTCAGTATCATTGAGTCGGATCAACTCTTTAATCAAGAATAGTGTGCAAATCAGTCGTGAGCTTCAACAGATCACCGAACTGGATCACTCCGGAGTTTAGCCAAGGGTTGGCTTCAGAGGGACGAGCTACAGTCTACACACCCGAAGAAATCGAGAGATTCAATACTGACAAAAAGCTGTTCTTGGAGTATCGGAGGAGTATCCAGAATTTTGGCAGTGCAACATATTCCCTTTACTACAAGCATTCAGAGATGCAAAAGCAAGTATTTGCCAAGTATTCGGAGTTGATGAAGCAACGACTGAAAGGAAATGAAGAGTTGTGTGCCAAGCTGATTCCGAAGTTCCATGTTGGCTGTAGAAGGTAAGTTTTGAGTCCGGAATTGTCGAAACAACTCTGAATTAGTGATCCTTGATTAGATTTACGCCGGGTGAGGGTTACCTCGAGTCGCTGCTTGAACCCAACGTCACCGTTGTCACCTGTGAAATCGACAAGGTGACCGAGACCGGTATCGAACTGATTGATGGTCGACACTTTGACTTAGACGCCATCATCTGTGCCACCGGTTTCGATTGCTCGCACCGCCCTCCTTTTCCCATCGTAGGTCGGAATGGTCGGAATCTATCTGAATACTGGAAAGAAGAGCCATTGCACTACCTTTCAGTGACAGCTCCCGGCTTCCCGAACTATTTTAGTGAGTCTCCCGTTTTATTGCATAGTCCCGTAGTGTCGACCTTCACTAACCGAGGTATACTGTGGCAGTGACTGGCGGTCCGAATAGCCCAATTGCAAATGGATCACTCATATCTGGAGTGGAGACTGAAATTAACTATGCCTTCAAATGTATCTCGAAAATGCAGACCGAAAACATATCCAGCATGGAGCCTACCGAAGAGGCCATGTGGGACTTCATTGAGTACAGAAACGTACTCATGAAGGAAATGGTGTGGAGCAGCACTTGTCGTAGTTGGTCAGTCTGACCTTTCTCTTCGGTTCCAAATGGAGAATGTCTGCTAATGCGAAGGTCTCTAGGTTCAAGAATGGCAAAGTGGACGGCCCCGTCATTGGCCCCTCGGTCGGGTCAACCTGGCACTTCAATGAGGTCCTTAAGGATCCTCGTTATGAGGATTATCATCTCACTTATTGCACACCAAATCGCTTTACCTATTTTGGAATGGGAAGAACCATTGGGGAAATTCAAGGCGCTGATATGGCAATCCATATCACCGAACCGGGCGCGTAGACCATCTTGGAGCACTGTCGTAGTCAAGATAGACTCAAATACGCACGAGATTGCTTTCATAAGTCCATGTGGGAGAATGAGTGAGCTGAGGCAACGGTAACCAGACACACGGTGTCTCTAGATGACATTGTGGTAAGCTTAGTCTCGGAGCGATATTAGATGAAATGTCCCGTCTATTGTGTCAAACATCAATACTTAGGAGGCAGGATAGTGTCTCATAGCCTAGTTATGCTACCGACGCTTTATCATCTAGACTTTGGACAACTTCATAGACGATTTGCAGGCGTCGACACCATTTTGGCTCTCTCTACGTCAAACAACGGATGGCGCCTTGAAGTGGAACCTTCAATATCTCCAAATGCAAAAAATACTACGTCGATAGTCATCGTGCCATCGCCCTCTCTGCTGAAAGGTTGTAGCAGCTTTATGCGATATAGCTATATTCGGTGGGCATGCAGTCCATGGCCTTGCGTGTTATGTAGCCTATCGTCTTTCCACAATGTGAACACGAAAGATTTTCTAGGAATAAAGTAGCCAGTCAACCAGTGCACTTTTTAAGTTGGCTCAATATCTGTCCGTTTGGGCGGAGCCCAAGCAGACTGTAGTTGAAGTAGGCGAGCCAAGATACGCCTGCCACAATCCCGGGTCATCTTGTCCTGCATGGAAAGCTTGCCTTGTTGACATAATTGAACCGGCATGACGAACTCAAGGATCCGATAGTAATTGAGCAACGAGCTTGTCGTAGACCGTCGAATCCTCCATCTCTGCAGGGCGATTAATCTCTGCTTCCTCACGAATCAGGCGAATTGCAGTTTCACTACGCGGCTTGAGAGTTGCTTCAAATCGAGCAGGTCCGAATACGGGGAAGGCTCCCGCTAGTGATGAGTTTAGTTCATGATCTTGAGCAGGGTGGCAGTCATGTGGCTTACAGTAACCTCGCGGGGGGGGCTTCTTGGGATTCCCAACAATGTCATACGCCCACAGGATGCGGCTAATCACGATATACAGGCTGGCATCTGCAACATGCCTGCCAGGACATTCTCGACGTCCTGCCCCAAATGCGTAGTGTGTACCTGCGTGATTAGCTTCTGGTGCTGCTCTCTTGTCCGATTTGGGGAGAAATCTTTCTGGAATCCACTCTTCCGGCCTTGCAAAGATATGAGGGTCGTTATGCACGGCGTAGACATTGCTATAGACAATTGCTCCACGGGGAATGTCCTTGCCTCTGTATACATCCGCCTCGCTTGTGGCGTGGATGAAAGCAAGAGGTGTGGCCGTGGCCCATCGGTGTGTCTCATCTAAAAGAGCTGCTAGATAAGGGAGATTTGGACGGTCTTCCCAATTGGGGAGACGATCTGGTCCTACAACCCGATAGATCTCCTCTTGTGCCTTTCTGACTGCGTCAGGAAACAGTATAGCCGCTTTAAAGAACCACTGGAGAGTTGTTGCAGTGGTGTCGGTCCCAGCCGCCATAGTTGTTGCAATGATATGAGGAGGTTCCGATTCATCGAATACCGAGCCTTCCTGCTTCAGTAGGCGCGCCAGGAAGCAGTCCGGCGCTGTGTTTCTTCGTATTCTCTCTTTCATGGCATTATAAAATATGAGAAAGAAAGGCATAATTTGGTTTCGAAGGTCCACGGCCGAGGCGCGCCATGGCGCCAACGCATCAGGAAGATAGTCCAGGAAGGGAACCCAGTCAACAAGCCAGGCGCCTGGTCGGATCCCTTTAAACATCATCAACATTCTTTTGTTGATCTCTTGCGGGATTGCGGTGTCGGCAGAATCGAACCGGCATCCTAAGCTATACACGCTGTCACTTAGATCATTCTCTTACTGAGACGCGTTGAAGACACATACAGTAGGCTAAATGTCACACTTGCTGAATACCTGGTCACTTCTCGCCAAAACCCAGCCGGTTCATCGAGCAAGTTCTTCAGCGTGCGTCTACTCTCGTATTCCTGGTATGGGAGAAAGATCTTGGCGTTTTGCATGTTGAGAAGCTCGTGGTACACTTTCCTGTGCTTCTAATCATTTTGTCAGGACAGTGTCTTCAAGATGTGCGAGGGAAATACTCACTCGCCACTGTTCTCCGTAGGGAATCGCCACAATCCTCGCGTTTTGCGTGATGATGCTCGCCTGATTCGACGCCTTTGGTCTGGAACTGTATTTGCTGCCGCGTTTCACGAACAGGTCGTTGATGGCTTGAGGGCTGTTGAGCACAATAACGGGGGAGCGGCCCATCATAAAAGAGTAGAAGTCTCCGTACTTGTGAGCCCATTCGGTGAGCTTCAGGTGGAGCAGGGTGCCATCTTTCATAGAAAACATGTTGCCGAACAAGGGAAGACCTCGGGGACCGTTTGGAAGATTCGAGGTCCGTTTCCGGAGTATCAACCAGGCTGTCAACACTATGAAGGCGCCGACAGCATAAATCGCCGTTTTCGTGTCGACTGTCTCCATGGAGGAAGATACGGCGGTCATACTAGTAAGCATGGTGGTCGATATCGCTGAGGGATGCGTCAAAATGGAACTATAGACACCGTGGGCAAGATATAATATCCCTCGGCCTTACCGGCTTTCGTAAAGCACAAACTTATGTAGTTGTTGGCGCTGAAGGTCTGTCTCCTGCTGGAGATCCGTAGGCGCCTCAAAGGGTGGGGGAGTATTTTGGAGTCTATCTGCGGCCGGCGTCGCTCATCGTACGAAACTCAGAAATTAGTGTTAAAGGTCCGGAAAAATCAGTCCAATGAAATTCGGGTCCGCTCCTGTGATCATTATGCACGACTCCACTGACTATGGGATGCGCCTTAACCCCCGGCCTGTTCGGCTCGGCTACTGTTAACCCTGGGCCGTTGCCGTTGCTGGCGTCTGGCAAGCATACAGGACCCCAATCGTGCACAAGGGTGGGGTTATGGGAATAATTGCTTTAGCGGAAGGCGAGGGTCTGCCGTATACGGTGATTTCCATTAAGAGTGTTCCACCGACCCAGCCTCGATAACAGCCAACACAGCTTACAACTGCTGGCCATAATTTTAAGAACTGAAAATATCTGTTGCTGAGAAAGTCATAATAGTCACCGGCGCCGGTAGTGGGATCGGGAAAGCCACGGCCGTACTTCTGGGTGCAGAAATGGCTAAAGTAGCTCTGTTTGATATCAACTCGAGCATTTTCGACATTGAGGCGCAAATAAGATCTTTCGGGGGCACGGCTCTCGCAATCAAAGTCGATGTCAGCTCTTCTGCAGAAGTTGACGTAGCCACTAAGGCCGTTGTGGAAGCCTTCGGGCCCATCGATGGTAAGTCAACATGGTAGACTAATGGAGGTTGCACCATTCTTTCCGCAGCTAATTCTACTACTTGGAAAAGGTGGTGCCAACTTGGCAGGTATTTCTGGATCGGGAACAATTAATCTGGAGCAGGAAACGGACGATGCTTGGGATCGTGTGATTGGAATCAACTTGGGAGGAGTCAAGAACGCTATGCGTGCTCAACTTCAGTATAGGAATTCCAAGGGCGCCTCGATTGTGAACGCTTCAAGCATCGGGGCCCGGATTGGCTCACCTGGCAATGCAGCGTATTCTGCCAGTAAAGCAGCAGTCAGTGCTCTTTCCAAGTCTGTTGCCCGGGAGATGGGTTCACAGGGAGTCCGAGTCAATGCCATTGCACCGTAAGTGTCTGTTGCTTGACCCTTTCCTTGCAATCTCTGTGACAATTAACTCTAGAGTGTAGTGGTATCACGGATACTGCTATGGTTAGCGCTGTGCCAGAATCCATTCGTGAGGGATGGAGAAAAGCAAATGTCCTTGGACGATTGGCGGAGCCAGTTGAGATGGCTAATGTCATACATTTTCTTCTTAGCGATAAAAGCTCCTTTATTACCTCATCAGTACGCCTTGGACGCTCAAAGACTGATTGTCTGAAAACAAGAGCTGACAGTCTCCAGATTATTGATGTTGATGCAGGCCGCATCTAGGCATTTTATATGAATGAGTCGCTGGTGATGATGAACGTGGACTAAATATAAATGCGTGGAGTGAAAATGTGAAGCGTACAGGCCGTGGGATTAGTATTCCGTCCTGTGACTACGATAGTCACCAGTGGATTCTTCGTCCACATGTATTTCAAAAATTTTCACGAGAGTGTAGATGTATGTTATATTGAAGTTGATGACGACAACAACACTAGATATATGGTGCCTATGCTCGGGTAGTGGTGAACCCACTCGATTTGATAGCGGCTATTCGATCATGGCAATGGAAGCCTGCAAATTGAACTCAACTCTGGATGTCACCCTCAATTTCTTTTCCAGATACTGTTCGAACAACGCTCTATTTTAGAAAGCCTGAAATATCTCCGACACCATATGCGTCGCCATGTGGTTCTACATATTGACCTGCCGCAGCTTCCATGTGGAACCACGGTGGCTAGTAAACGTATCTAAACTGCGGATTCTGCATGTTGCTCCAAAGTCAGTGGGCTTACAAGTTGTCTGCAGATCCCGTGGAGGGTGAAAGCGCAGTTGATTCGCACTTACCTTCTTGTCAGTCACGTCATCTTCATATGCGTGGTCATAACCCTCCAGAATGCCAGACTGATCTCGACGTTTGTTTTGCCAGATACAGATGAAACGGTACAGGATGTTGAGACTCGCCGACGCTGCCGCAGTTACTAGGACTGCAATAAACCCAGGAAGATATTCAGGCGCATCTTCGGGCTTGAACAGAAGTGGTGCAGTAAATTGGCCTGAGGAAAACTGAGTCAGAACTAATTTACGGCTGGAAGTATTGACAGAACTTGCGGAGGCTGAGACTTACCAAGGCAATACCCAACGTGGATGGCAGATGAGCTGACGACTCGCTTGGTATATCCAGCGGAGTTGGCAATGGACAATCCCATGATGACACCCCAGCCTCCACTGTAGCCTGTCATCAGGTACACCGCAAAGAGGAGGCCGCCTTCCGCATCTCGAGGGAGTTTCCACAAGAGTAATGATGCCATGATAACAAGGAGTTCGCAACAAAGGATGGCAATTGTCCTCGTATTGCGGAACTTGTATGATGTGTATGTGGTAAACAGGATGATTGCACCACCAACGGCCCCAGCGGGGATGGTTAAAAGGAGGCTATTGAGAGTATTGAAGCCAAATCCAGAAATGATAATGGGCATAAACGTGTTGACCGGTCCTGAAGCAATCATGCTCAAAAAGGCTTGAGCAAAAATCAGCCAAAATTTCTCGTCTCGGCATAGTTCTAGGACATGTTGCTTCTTGAAATGTGTATTGCGCACTCCGCTGTTATTGATTCGAAGGCGAGCAACTGCAATATACTTCTCTCGCTCGTGGAAGCCTCTGGCACGTATCGGATCCGGGGGCATGCAAAAATAGACTACGGCCGACCACATTGTGGTAACCACGCCACCAACAATGTACATATATCTCCACGGCGATAGAGAACCTTCAATATGACCAAGGCCATAATTGAGAACAGGGGAAACGAGCGTTATCATCCCAGAGGCAGCGTACCAAATACTAGATCGAGAATTAGTAAGCTGGCCTTTTTCTGTAGGAAATACCAATCTTACCCCATTCTCAATGCTTGCTCATCTTTTTTATAGAACTGGCCGACCATAAGCATAAAGATAGGGCTCACTCCGGCTTCGAGGAAACCGAGGAAGAATCGCTGGACGTAGAGGCTCTGCCAGGAGAAACAAGCAGCAGTCAAGAGGAAGCAGATGCCCCAGAGCAATACCAGGCTACTAGCGACCCGCTCGATCGGATATCGCTGGGCTAATTGAGAAGCCGGGTACGCTCCACAGATGAATCCTAGGAAGAAGATGGCAGAGGCCATGGAGTATCGATTTCCAGTCAACTCGAGGTCTTTGCGGAGTCCGAAGAGTGCCTTTGGTGAAAACGGGTTGGTCATTGATTGCTGCTGAACCACGCAGAGGCACAGTCTAAGGGAGGACTTACTGCTTGAGAAATCATTGTTTTATCATAGTACTGCAGTGCATATGTGACGACGAGGATTGGCAGCAGGCGTCGATCAATCTTGGTCCTAACTTTCTTCTCTTCTTGCGCAGTCCAATGTTGATTCCCGGAATATGCAGCCAAGACCTTCATCGCCTCATCTGTGTGGACTGTGTCGACCTTGTACTTGTCGGACAGACTTCCTTCGCCGACGTCTGTAGTCGGAGGTGCATCATGTGCTTCTACGACGTCCTGCTCCTTCTCGACCTGGGAAAAGTTCATGATGATGTTCAGCGTGAAACCCCTGTGCGGATGGTTGTAGACTTGCTTTGGAAAGATCAGAAGACTAGTATATCAAAGTGAATTGAGTCTTCCGCAGAGAAAATCGCTTGCGAGCTTTTGTATTTATGTATTCGTGTGACTTCCAAGTCAATACTTACAGTCAATATTTACTGATAACGGATGGATGATGCCCTTGAGAGTGGGGAACCTTTTCGGCGTGATTGTTGCGTGATGGGTATAGACACGGCATATCTTGGTTTGTGAGGATATTAGGAGTTCATTTTGTGTGCTGAAATTGCGGGGAACCAGGAAATATCGGGTGCCAAAACTATTTCAACAATGGGGAAATGCATAACGAAGAGATAAGCGATGTGAGTGTAAGGAACAGAAACTTGCAACGTCCAGTAAGGAGTGCGATGATGTTAATCGTGACACTACTGAGCCAAGGAGTGAAAACTCTCTGAAGTTAGAATTGGTCCCCTAGGGAGGTTAGCCAAGAGTTCTATCTAGACGAATCGGAATCGCCGCTCGGAGCGGAACCGGGAATAATGAATCTTATTTACCTAGGCTAGGAACTCGATGGATAGGAAGTCTATCTAGCAGAATCGATCTAGAAGTTTAGTAAATTTACCGGGCCACTACTCCCCCACCCTTGCTATTTATCCAGTCTACGCGGAAAGGGTGGACATAAGCGAAGATCGTTTCGCCATCCTGAGTACGCGTTGATTGTGCAATCAAGCGCATTTAGGTAGCTTTGGCCACCATTGTACGATACAACTGGCAAGTCATTCGAGTCCGAGATACGTGAGCGGCAAAAGAGGGCAGTATCTACCGGCTATTGAAAGGCTTCTTACAAATGGTCTTAACTGGGTGTATACAGATTTGGCCCGAGTGTTCATCCAGTCACGGGCATCATCACAATAGTATTAGCTGTGATAGACTGCTTTGATGTTCTGAAAGTATTTCACCCCCAGACCTACAAACTGACTCGGGAAGAAAAGGAATCGAAACTTTCAGCAGCAATGCCTGGACTTGATGTGAGTGGTGTCGGAAGCTTTGAAGCATGCGCTCAGTCCTATCCATGAACCTTGAAAAGAATGCCGTCTCGACAGCACAACTACTGACGGATATTCTACAAAGGTCATCGTCGTTGGCGCCGGGCTGGGCGGGTTAGGAGCAGCTATTGCCCTTCGACTGGCCGGCCACAATGTGAACATTCTTGAAGCTGCTCCTAAGATTGGTGAAGTGGGAGCTGGAATACAACTGCTCCCGAATAGCAGCAAGATTCTCCGATCTTGGGGAGTTTTGGATATGATCGACCCGGCCAGGATTTGTGACACGGAGACATGCAATATCTTGGACTGGAGAGGGAAACTTATCTCTTCAATGAACATGAATCTTGCCGCCAAGGAGTACTCTAGCCCATTCTATGATGTGCATCGTGCCGACCTTCACAAAGCACTTCACGAACGTGCCGTCCAACTCGGAGCACAGCTATACGTCGGCGCCGAAGTTACTGATGTGCGCTTCGACAAAGAGCACGACTGTGTCTTTGTAACCACAACATCTGACTCAAAGCCTTCATGGCAAGCAGACCTTGTTGTGGGCGCCGATGGACTTCATTCGAGATGCCGACAAATTGTTTCGGGAAAGATTGATGCTCCGCGCCATACGGGTGATATGGCTTATCGACTTCTCCTCGATGCCAATGAAATCCCGAGCGATGCTGAAATGAAGCCGATAGTGGAAGAAAAGGCTGTGACTTACTGGTACGGGCCGGGTGCCCATGTAGGTATGGCGGTCCCGCAGCCCATCAGCCGGCATTCTATCACAGATGCCAATATCAACGGTTGTTCACTAATAAATCGTAGTCACTTATGCCATTCGTCAACGCAAGCTGCTAAATATGGTCTTGCTTGTCCCGGATGACATGCCAGCGGATGGTCCGTCGACATTAGCGGGTCAGGTCAGCGAGATGCAGAACTTGTTCAGAGACTGGGATCCCAGGTAAGTGGCTCTGTGAGAAGGGTAATTATGGCGGGCCTGCTGCGCAGCACGCAAGACGGTCTTTCCCATATCCTTTCTCATTCAAAAATGCTCTTTCGATACTATCTCTTTCCTTCCTTGCCCACACAGAGTCCGGCGACTTAGCCAAGATTAACCATTGTTTAAAAATAGGATTGTATCTCTCCTGGACAAGTGCAGATCAGTTCTCCGCTGGCGACTGTCTATTTGGGACCCAATAGACTCCTGGGTTCACCCAAGCGGCTCTATGGTGCTCCTCGGCGATGCAGTCCATGCTACACTACCATATTTAGCAAGCGGGGCAGGCATGTCTTTCGAGGACGGTGCTGTTTTGGGCGAGTGTCTCAAAGACCTCGACAGGAGTACATTCCTGAAGGATAAGCACAGGGCATTGGCAGTATACGAGTCATGCCGAATGAAGCGCACTAATGCCATTGTTGCCAGGGGTAACCTTCAACAAGATCTCAATCATCTCGACGATGGCCCTGAGCAGATTGCACGTGACGGGAAGATGAAGGCATTCGCCAAAATCGAAGAGAACTATTGTCCAGGGGACAACATTGATTGGGAATCTCTGTCATCATCATGTTCACAAACACTGATACCAGGTGAAGACCCTTTGGTTTGGAGGAGGTTTGGGGCGGGCGAGTGGCTATTATCATATGTCCCGGAGGAAGATGTCCTAAAGGAACGGCAAAGTGGTCTTAACGGAGATGAATAGATTTGGAGATCCCGCAAGGGAAATAAACTCCAGGGTTCGAGTAGTGAAGCCTGGAACAACGTAGAGCTCTCTTACTATACTGTACCTTCCAACTTTCCGGAGTACTTTGAAGCATTGTTCTAATTTTTCCAGGGGATAAAGTGCTGGTTGCAAGGATTCGGTCACTATGTAGTTGAGAGGGGTTGGCATTATGACATAAATTGGCAGCCGGGAGTTAGAAGCGGCTTTTCTCATCAGTCTGTTGGGAGCAAGTAATATCTATGCCTCCACAGAGAAAGGGTCCAAGTAAAATGATACAAGGTTATTGGATGAACTCTAGGGAGGACAGAGTTTTTAGTCTACGTGCGCACAAGGTAGGTCTATAATCTAGTAGTTGAGGCTGGAGAGTGCTCATACTTGACATGTAAACCATCAAGGACGGCTTCACCTTCAGGAGGGCTCCATACCAAGCATCTTGACGGAATTATTTCCGGAATATAGAGAGATCTACTACGCTTCGGATACACGTGTTTCTAAAGTCAGTATAAAAATAAGTTCTCTGATAAGGGCCTGCTGAAATAACCAAACAAGAACAGAGCTTTTACATTTGGAGCTGATGGTAAGACACAGGGTCCACAAGCATGACAGAGAGGGATAGAGACCTCGAGTCACTCCAGGGACCGTTTTGGTTAAATTGATCCTGCGAGCTACAACAACCTTGTCTATGATATGACGAACAATCCGATGGCCATCTGTGTTTATGCTCCGGACTGGGATAAGTAAAGCAGATGTAACTCGCTCTAGCTCCGCAGAGTAATCTCCGTAGAGTAATCTCGGATACCGAGTCTCAAGGACCGTACCTAACGGTCATTTTTCAGAGATGTGCTTGAAGGCGCTCAGAAAATCCATATGGTGCGGGTGCATCGCGTATGGGAGATCTTGTTCAAAATCCTCGGCCAAGTCACGTAAAATTTGGCGGCGAGCCTTATCCTTAACCTGTTCCGGGGACCCGGCTTCTTGATCTCTGACATTATCCATCTTTAGTTGGCTAGCGAGGTAAATGGTACATCCAAGAGAGATATGCATAAGGATCCACAGGCGACTAGCTTGATGATGTGCCCTCCGTAAAGACATGAAATGGCGGAGGATGGTCTCACAGCGATCCATACAGATCAAATCTTGGACTTCACTAGCTTCCTGGTTCTCCCATACCGTTACCAGCGAAGGAGATGTTTGTTGTAGCTTATTGGCAAATAACGGAATGGCTAAGTGATGCCGATGGAGCTGGAAGATGAAGAAGCTGACAAAGATTTGAAATACATCGTGAAGGAGACGCTGGTTGTCGTCTTTACAGCTGGCTCGCTTCCGCAAGTATTCTTCAGCAGAGGCTTCCCACAGAAGAATCTGCTCGGCCGCAACTTGAAACCGTACTGCTGGGAGAGCACGCGAGCCGGCGCGTCGAGCATGCGTCCATTCGTGGTATATGTCGTTCATTATCGTCGCAAGTCCATAGCAGCTTTCTAGGTAAGGGTATCCTTTCGGACCAGGGCACGGTATTCGCTTTACAGAGCCATCGACGAAAGCAGCTGGTGGTCGGTCGTAGCATAGCGAAAGTGTAGTATCCTGCCATACAAGGCCTTGCCTAAGATACGGGGTCAGTATGCTCATTGCCTGGAGGTGGAAATAAGGTCGACACGATCGGCAAGGTCTATCTCATACCATAACTCCCAAGACTGTCGCTCAATGGCGGTAGAATACTCAGTTAGAGGCTCTACACAATGTAGACCTATGGATTGTGCTGCGCGAATAGCCATTCCTAAGATTATAATTAGTCTTGATGTCGTAAAGTTGATCAGGCAGCTGTGCCAGTACCAAGCAATGACCATGATGCAGCAGGATTATCTTGTACGCGTAGATTTGCGGCCAGTGCGGCCAAGACTCGCACATTATCGATCGTCGGCTGTAGAAGATAGTTATCGAGCCGGAGGAGCTCGAAGGCGCAACAGACTACGAACAAGAGTCTTCAAGTTAGCATAACATAGAAGAGTCCGAGATATTGAGTTGGTTCATACCAAAGACTCTGGAGTTCAGGTCATTGTCGTTGCGATGGAAACTGCTATACGAGCATCCGCTCGCAAGAACACAGAAGAGAAGTGCTAGCCACGAAGCAGACCGAAGCTCGCTTTCTCCCCTTTTACCATTGGAGCGTTCACTCCAAAACGCCCTAGCGTCCACTGCAAACCCCTGCAAAGGAATTGTCGGGGAGATAAGATTGACTGAGATCTGAAAGGAAGTTAAGTACCTAAGAAACGGTCTTGTTAGCAAAAGGATATAGTATTACGACAGAAGCAACACACTGTTCAAAGGTTTCATTGTCGGGGAGGGCGAGGCAGATATCTTCCACCGTAGCTCCAGGCTTCCAAAGACTCGTAAAGGGGTGTGTAGAGCCCGTGTCGGTCATATATAGCAACTGCATGGTCTCGTATGCCGAGTGCCGGGACGATTTGGTTTCGTCCCTGGATTGTGGAGAAGCTGCAGTAGGATGGGCCGATTTCAGGGTGTCAACGAGGATCGAGGCCAATGACTCGGCACCAATATGTACGGATGCGCCGATACTATCGTCAGCAACAGCTGGTGGTGGCGCGTAGATTGGTGGGGTTTGCAGTGGTGGGCGAATGCCAATGGCACGGCCTTCGTCTGTCTGCGGCTGCTTTGCAGATTCTTGAAGAATTCCGCTACCAAGAGAGCCCAAACGTTTGACCACCTCCTCGGCGATTGTTTGCATTCTACGTTCGAGATCTGTAAGCGCTGCTACTCGATCTTTTGTCGATGTAACCGATGGTTTAGAAGGAGCAGTAGCTTGTTGTCTGCGCACCTGGCCGTTTTGGTCCAGATACACGCAGAGCTTGGGCTGCTCATGTTTGAGGCAATTTCCGCAAGGGGTCATACGATCACAGCGTATCTTTCGGCAACGACATGGGTAACACGCCTTGGGGTAAGACTTACGCCGGCGTTTTGCAAGCAGTTGATTGATGTTTTGAATGGTAGGAGTTTCGTCCTTTAGTCTCTCATACTGGGTATTTGGGGCAGCCTTCAAAAGTCCTGGTGTTGGTCGTCCTGAAGGGGCAGTCGAAGCTCCCTGATGATGTTGAATTTCACTTTCCAGGCACCTTTTGATTGGATTGGAAGTCATAGTCAGCTGGCGTGCAGTCAGATTTTCCAGGTTGATGTCAAGGTAAGCGTCCCGTGGAAACCAACGATAAACCACAAAGACCAGGCAATCCGTTGACGCCAAGCGCGCTAGATTCTGATGCCGGCGGGGCTGCTTGGACGGCGTTCCGGGATAGGCACCTCAATGTCATGAGAATATCAAGGACATCGATCGAATTGCTCATAAGTATCTATATAAGAAAGAATCAGAGGCCTCAATCATCATCCTCATCGACCTGCCAATGGGCCAAATCTATTGTTGGCGCACCTGCACAAGGAACCGTACTGGCGCAGCCGAGCAAAGAACTCAACCTACAAGCAGATGGAGCGCCCTCACAAGCAACTGAGTCAACTACTTTGCAACTGATGCAAATACGCGGTAAAGGAGCCAGAGAATTCAAGGAGGTGCGATTGGAGCCCGACTCGATCAAGTTTCTCCCAAGTACATATACCAAGAGAACTGACAACAACTAGCGGACAATCAGAGACATTTCTACATCTGTGGTGCGCCGTATGTGCCAGGCAACATCGCCAACCCACTGCACATAATTACTAGCAGCACGTGACACCGATCATTGATAACGCGTGGTTTTAATAGCTTACTCGTACGTCTGCCCTCGGCAGCTCGTCTACCATTCAGCAGTGGCCACGGCCCCTTCTAGATCAGCCAAACAAGTTTCGTCGCTTTGGCTACGACCTGTACCGCAAAGCTCAATTTCAAGTACGAGGTATTCCATACTTTATTGCCCGAGCGTGTGCGTGGGGAGGGGATACGCAGATCAGAACTCCCTCTTGTCCGGTGTGTGATTTACTTCAAAGTCATACCGGGTCCTAGTCCGGCGTTTGCCCACACGAATGTCAAGTTTCGCATTGACGACCACCCGTCCTGCTGCTTGTGTGTTCTGCTGTTGATCGTTCTCTAACGCGGTCATGCCCACGAGACGGTATGCCTGTACCCATCAAGGTTGTGACCGCGCCTTTCCCAAGGCCGAACATCTTGCCCGCCACGAACGAAGTCACCTCGGCTTGAAGCCATTTGCCTGCCCAGTATGCCATCGACGTTTCGGACGTCAAGATTCTATGCTCCGCCATAGCAAACTACATGAGAATTGCTCTACCAACAACTACGTGGCCGATAGTCTGACTACGCGCCGGACCCGCAATCATTTCAGCTCAGAAAGCACTCTTCAGTTTCACGCTACAGCCTCTCAAACACCTGTAGCCTCGTCAAACTCAAACTCGGCTTCATTGTCCAACAACTTGCAAGCTACCATCGGCCTCCATCAAAATGGTGCTGAGCTGGTTCAGGCTTCGCTCGCGCACAACTCTCCTAGCGTGTCAGGACCTAACGGCATGCCAACCTCAGATGACTTTGGGGGAGCTCTGGATGCAGGTTTCGCAGTGACAGATTTTGGATTCGACTGGACCATCGCATCCGAGGACATCTTCGGGCTCCTCAGATCGGAACCCTCGATGGTCAACCTAGCCTTGCCTTTCCCTCAGTACACACAACCCCTCTCAGACGCACAAACATACCTTACCGACAGTTCCATGGAGAGACATGCCCCACAAGGGTCAGTGGATGCTAGCAGAGATGCCGTGCAAGCAATGAGCAATATCATCAAGGAGCTACCAGCTAAGCTCGTGGCCGAACTGGAGAACAATGATGTTACATCCTCCTTCTTTGATGAATGTATGGACCTCTTCTTCACACGTTTTCTGACCACCTTCCCCCTTGTCCACAAACCCACATTCCATGCTCGAGAGTGCCGTCCAACCCTCTTGCTCAATATGCTGGCGCTCGGCTCGTCTTTTATAGGCTCCAGCGATGCCACAATCAAGGTAGGCGCTCAAACTCTTTCATCATAGTTCTCACTTACCGCTCCAAGAAAGTCAGCCTCTCACGCCGACTTTGCCTGACCGGTTAGTCTTTTCAAGTGTGCTAATGCCATGTTCAGGGCGAATCACTGTGGTCATTAGCCCACGCGGTGGTAGCAACTTCATGGCCTACATTGATGTCACACCGAGGTCCTCGCGATGCTTGCGACGGCGTCCAACTAGTCCAGTCCGCTGCTCTTGGGCAGATGTACTCCCTATTGTCCGGAAAATATAAAATACGAATGACGAGTCAAATCTTCCATAGCTTGGGCTTCTATTGGTCCCATGAATGCGGAATGTTTGGGTTGAGCATGTCTACGCAAACGACACTTCCGTCTCCTGTGGCAAGCCCTGCGGAGAAGCTCGAAGTATGGACAACCTGGGCGTCGTCTGAAGTGCAGTTGCGGGCACTTCTCACGCACTACATTCTTGATGGGGTCATTGCACAATTCTCTGGCAACCCCACATGTGCACATCACGCTGCTAACGCATTACCCATGCCGGCCTCTTCTGGCGCATTTGAAGCTACAACCCCAGATGAATGGATTGAAGAAATGACAGAGAGCACCCACATCGGCATGTCATTTCAGAAGTTCATCTTCGCTCTTTTCCACGACAATGAAGCCATCATCAACCAGCCTATACCGGAATTCGCCATGCGCGTTGTGCTAGAAAGTCTCCAATCAATGGTACTCGAAGAAGCTGAAGCAGGTGGTAGCACAATCGGGACGCCAACGCGGCACGAGATCTGTGGCGCCATGCTCCGTCTACATCACTACCAAGTTACTCAATCCTCGAATGCCGCGGAGCTCTTGTTACGGTGGCATTGCATTTTCATCAGCATGACTGTTGACACGAGAGCTCTCTGCGACCAAATTTGCTCGGTATGCGACGTGTCGGAGCAAATCTTTCGACCACGCTCCAATCATGTACGTCATCGGAATTTTGACGTCAAATCCTGGACAGAAACTTGCGATGCTCGTCGAGCCCTACTACATGCCTTCGCCATCCGCGAGCTTGTACAGAACCTGCCTCTTGGACGTTCGCAGGCGATTCACATTCCTTTCGCCGTATTTATGGCTGCGACAATCCAAGCGGCATTCATGGCGACCGGTGCTCAGGTGCTCGCTGTCCCCACGCGCATAGACTGGGAAGTCGCGTGGCTCAACGGAAATGTCACTGACCTTGAGTCTTCATCTCTTAGGGACAATAGTTGTATTGAAACCCAACAATTTCTAGAAAACACCTTCACCCCCGAAAACCTGCGACACCTGTCTAGGAAGATGTCATTGGAGTTACACAGTCTCCGCATGCAACTCAAGGGCATTTCGTCCAGCTGGGGTATATCCCATCAAATGGATCACATCATAGGTCAATGGCACCGGTCGCTCAAAGTACGGAACATACTTCGAGAACCTGAGCAAGGGCGGTCTCTCTACCCATGACATACTGCATGTGGAGACAGATTACAATATGATGCCTTCCGAATGTCAAATTTGGCCATGTCTGACCAGTGAACGGGCGTGAACTCTAGTTCATGACGTGTATGTGACTGCAACTTGCTACCACTGAGACGGCTGTTTGCTTTACTCATCTGTCCACGCTGTACTGAGCAAAAAGAATCGTCCTGGACAGAGCTTTATACCAAGCAGGCTAGGGACAGGCCACGAACTGTCATCCCCAGTGCAAGCCTGAGCCGGAAACTTGCCACTTTCTGAGACGGCTGACATCAAGCAGACTGGTAACCAGGTAGACTTTAGTATTTTTGGACTTCAAGCTATAGCCCAAAACCTTTGCTCTTTTCGGTCAAGGGCGCTTAGGCCTTCTGAGTCAAAAGTTTGTAAGTCGATTTCCACACTACGACCGAGACAGAGCCACTCTAATTTCTCATCCAGGGAGGAAGAATTGTGCTCGGCCCTTCATATTCCCGGGAAGCAAAAGTTCCTTACTCCAGATGACAGTATTTGCTGCAGAGCACTGGGGAGAGGAACTTAAGAAAAACCAATCATGACAAATCTGTGTGTAAAGAGATTTTCCAGACTTTTCAGCTTTCATAATTATAACTATCCACTATGTAAGACTAATGGACCTTAAAGATCTTGTGGAAATCATATTCATTCCATCGCACCGTTGGCCGCAAGCCAGCTAGCTTCCACTGCCCATCCACTTTCTTGTAGTAATGTCTCATCAGCGCATGTCCGTGGCCTTTGGCCTCAACCTCCTTCTTGTCCGACTTAGTATATCTCTGGTGCGCTGCTCGTAGCTGATGGTGGCCGAATACCTCGTCATCTGAAACGCGCTCAAATTTCGAGGCGCCGATAAAGTGTTGGGTGTCGACCAGAGGGTCGCCTACAAAGCCCTCACTAGAAACCATGCCAACAAACTCTTCTGAAGGCATTTCATCCCACTTTTGGCCTGTTACTTCAGTGTAGTCGACCTGATCAACATCAAGATGTTACTCGATAGTCTTCCAATCTACCAAGTATAAAAAAGAATAAAATCGAAGCACATACTACCAATGTTGGAGCCACAATGGCCCGCAACCGACCCCAATCCTAGGTATTCCATTATTGAGCTAATACCCCTATCATTGAAAGATGGAAAGGTATCGTTGGTGTCTCTTACGTACCTTCACATCATAGCTATCCCCCCATTCGAATGTAATCTCTTTCAGCTGGTGAGCAACTGTCGTTGTTGTCAGCGACGGCTATCTTGCACGTTTATGGCAACGAGACTCTCTTACGCTCGGCGTCAATTCTCGACATTGTTATAGATAGAGTTGGGTCTTATCCAGACGGCGCGCGGTAGGAAGTCAAGTGGAGGGCACAATAAAGTCATATATGCAACCTGCGCAGTCCAGCATAGTACTACAATCATCAAAAGCTACTAGTAACCACGCCTTGTGGGGTCGAGTCTAAGTCCAGAACAATCACTGTGGCACTTCTGCAAGCTGGCCATTGTTCGATATGTGGGCGGCGACTTAAATTGGATTGCATATTCGTGGTCCCTCTGAAATAATCCGAGTTCACAATTGCCTGGTTCTTAGCCTCGTCCCGAAGACGGAATTTGATCAATTCTCGCCAGCGTGGGGCCTTCTCCACGGCTAAGGATAATGACGCTGATTCGGTCCACACCAAAAAGGGCAAGGCTAGGCTTCTCCGCCAACTAGCGGTTAGGATTGTGGTGGGGAAAGTGGGCTTGGATCCCTGGGTTCGATCAGAGAAGTTCATGGGATTGCAGAGTGATTTGCACCGATACAGATGGCCAGGATATCTGCGCTATGTAGGTCGCGCAATGTTAAACAGGCAAGGAGTCTAGTTCACAAGCATCGACGCGCCCTTGAAGAATACAGCGTTTTCGGGTTATTCGAGTTCAAACGCTGTACTATGCGGCTTCTTGAGTCTCTCGCCTCATGAATCCAACTCATAGATAAGTGTTAGCATGATGAGTCAACCGACCTCGAATACTGCTGGACGGGCCAAAGCAGGGCCGCTCATACAAGAGCAGTTTCCAGACGTTGTCATCAGCAAAATTACCACAGCACCTGCACATCCACTCTTCAATTACCAGGGCTTTAAGCCAGGAAGGACAGTCCTCAGCAAAGGCTACACCAAGGCTGAAGGATTTCGGGCTTTTGCTGTCGACACAGTATTCGACCGGGACCTGGCTATCACAGTCCGGGATGGAGCTCGCTTGTATACCGATATTTTCAGACCAGCCAGCTCCGACACTGAATCTGTGCCAGCGATACTTCCCTGGAGCCCTTATGGCAAGACAGGCACCGGTCCTCAAAACTACGATTTCATGGCACCCTTCCGTGCTGCTATTCCCAAGGGCAGAACATCAGGCTACGAGAAATTTGAGGCACCGGATCCGGCCGAGTGGACTGAGCGAGGCTACGCCATGATCAATATCGACGCCCGTGGCGCGGGGCATAGCGACGGTATCATAGCCCACTGGGGTAACCAAGAAGCACAGGACATCTGGGATGTCATCGACTGGCTTTCTCAACAGCCGTGGTGCAATGGCTCAGTGGTTATGGCTGGTAACTCGTGGTTAGCTATCTCTCAAATCAACTTTACCTCGCGAATGTCTCATCCAGCGTTGAAAGCTATTGCACCCTGGGAGTCGTATACCGACCCATATCGCCACTTTACCGCTCGTGGTGGCCGACCTCATATCCCAGGATTCCATAAGATAATTGCGGGAGGTTTTGCCGGGCCGGAAGGTGTTGAAAATATAGTTGCCATGCTAACTCTACATCCTCTTTACGATGACTACTGGGAAGCTAAAAGAATTCCTGTGGAGAATATCAATAACATCCCTCTTTATGTCCTGGCGTCATACTCGAGCATGTTGCACACTAATGGCTCCTTCCAAACCTTCCGCGAGGCCAAAACGACCCGGAAATGGCTTAGAGTTCATCCATATCAAGAATGTACGGTTAATCATATTCAGCATAAAATCCCTTTCACTTACTCCCGATTGACTCGTGCATTGGCTTCGGACTAAAATTTTGATTTTCTAGGGTACGATCTATATCGGGACGATATAAATGATGAGCTACAGCGCTACTTTGACCACTATGCCAAAGGAGTTCAAAACGGATGGGAGGAGAACACGCCTCCAGTGCGACTATCTCTACTGGGTTTTGACCACGCCAGCCCAGCGAAGACGGTCCTTGAAAGGCCTGAGAAAAGGTACCCGCTCGAGCGCCAGCAGTTGACCACTTTTTATCTCGACGCCTCGACTAGCTCCTTACACAAAGTAAACCCGACAAATGAGGCATCCGTACAGTATGAAGCCCATCATTTGAGCGACAGCGCCGACTTCCGCCTCTTTTTCGACGCCGACGTAGAATTGGCCGGACCTTCCTTGGCAACTGTATTCATGTCGACACCCGACTCAACAGACATGGACATTGTGGTACAGATCCGAAAGATCAATTCCAACGGTGAGCCACTCAAGCATCTAAATTATCCATGCCATGTGCCGGAGCCTGAAGTTCCCGATTTGAATGTGGCCAAAACTCTGGGCCCACAGGGCTTTCTCCGTGCCTCACACGCGATTAGCATCGACCGGTCGCTATCGGCCTCGGAAGTCGAACCCTTTTACACCCATCGCGTGCGTCAGCCAATTGAGCCAAAAGGCACGATAGTGCGACTGGAGATCCCCATTTGGCCGATCGGTATGGTCTTCGCTGCGGGTGAAGGAATCATGCTCCGTATTAGCGGCCATGATATGTGTCTTCCAGAGACAGAGTTGTGCAGGCTGACCGAACCGGAGGATGAAAACGTCGGTGTACACGTTCTATACACCGGTGGACAGTATCCCAGCTCACTGACGATCCCGGTGATTCCAGCCTAAGCTGCGCAAGGGAGCCTGTCGAACAAAAACACGGTCCTACTATAGATCTAACCAATGAACCTCCATAATGAAGGAGCTACTGGTGGTTGACAACTTTTCTTGGGAGTAGGGATATGGAGGGTCGTATCGACCCGCATGGGGATTTAGCCCAGATAAATGCTTCTTACATGAGCCTTCGTGATGAGCCGGGTTTCTAATATGCAAGATTTGGTATCAACGACGATCTTCATGATGTACCCGCAAGCCGTATGCATTCAGGGCCACAAGAAGCCGCATACACTGGCTGTCAACGCTACATCTGCCAACTACATTCCTCAGGAGTTGTACAATGGTTGACCTATTGATTTTAGATAAATTACATGTTACCCGTTAATGTTGTTCTCAGATAACATTTCCTGTTTGCTCTTAGCCGCCGGTATTTACGTGCTACGATAGTTTCGACAGTCACAAATTTCCAGTTGGTTAGCCTCGATTAGACGCTGAATGACTATATTGGACGCAGTGATCTTTTATTCTCATATTCTCTACTCTAGAAACCGTGTGCATGTCGATTTCTTGAAGCCGTTGAAAAGTTGCAAACATCGGTCCCGAATAATCTTCACTATGGGATCTTTACAGGCGCGTATTGTTAATGTGGGATTGACCGAGGTAGGCGACTTCTCGGCTGATATGCGCCAGCTATATCTTTTGCTCTGACTCATGGAGCTCATCAACACCATCGTGGAGATTGATAGTGTCGGTCTCCACGGGAGCATCAATATGTGTGTTGAACTCGTTGGTTGGATTGTATATGAAAAAGGCAGCTGTGAGAAAATGTTGTAAGCAGATGCCCAATCCGATAATAGCACACGAATCCGTGGTGGGCAAAACCTTACCAATGATTGCAGGTAGAGCGAAAGCCCCGGCTGCGACCCATACATAGCGGAATGCCACAGAAAAAGCATCCAGAAGCGCCGCACCACCAGCATGAATGATTTCATTGTTGACACCAGGTATCTGTGCAATAGCAGTGGCGTTGTTGGCAGTCAGACTACTAATGAAAGGGCCGAGTGATGTCTCCGGTAGACCCAAGGGCAGGACCGCCGCGGCAATTTTTGGAGCAAGATTAGTGGAGAGTGCAGAGTTGAAGATGGCATTATAGATGGCCAACCCAACAGAGCCACCTAAGCTGCGCACCCCTATCATGAGCCCGGAACAGACAGCGATATGCTCAATTGGAGCTGAGAATTGCGCTGCCGTCATTAATGCTGTTAAGCAAAATCCTAGTCCCACGCCCAAAATTACCGGATAGCCCCAAAGGTTGGCCACGGATGTAGTGGGAGTCACAGTTGCCATGAGAACATTGAAAATGAGGAGGGCACTGAATGCAACGATAATCACTGCTCGGATTGTCTTAGTCTTTCAGCAATAAACCCCTGCAACGACGGCGAAAAAGGCGTATGAGTAGAAGGCAATACTATAGTGTAGGCCAACCTGAAGGGGGTCAGGTGTGTGGAACATGCTGATCCCAAAGGCGAAATATGTGTTGGCACAGAAGAAGCTGATGCCCTCGCAGAAAATGCAAAAGACGGCTAGAGGGAAATTGCGATCTCGGAAAAGGCCGTGGTGGAACATACCATCGTGCTTGAACCGCCATTGGTACACAACTAGACCTATTGTCAACGCCACGCCAATGAGGAAGGTCGCGAGGACGTGTACGTTAGACCAAGGATAAGGATTCTGCGACCATGAGAGACCAAGACAGAAAAGGAGTAAACCACTTGTAAGTAGAAAATACCCAACCCAATCTAGCCGTTGAATCTTCTCTCTAGAGGTCAGTTCCAACTGTAACTGGCGTGGTGGAGGGTTGTACAGAAGTGCCACGATAAGGGCGCTGCTCGCGTAGATAGCAGCCGCGATATACCAGTATATTCTGAAGTTCTCAGGGCGCGTGTTGCGAGTCAATGCCCCCCCAACATAAAGACCGAAGATAGCCCCCATTGGTGCAGAGACATTAACGCTGGCTTGGGCGTAGGAGCGATGTGTCCGAGGCAAAACCTCAGAAGTGACAGCATGGAGTAAAGGCTGCGCACCGAAGGAGAGACCGCTGACGGTGAACCCTGCAATGGCCATCGGCATAGAATTGGCACGCGAGACGACGATAGAGCCAACGCAGCCAGTGGCGGTCAGACACACAAGGAACCATTTCCTGCCCCAAAAATCCGCCGCTTGGCTGACTGGAGAACTGAGAACAACCGTCAGGATGGGTATCACTGAGGTGAGCCAGACAGTATCTTGAGCGCCACCAACGACGGCTACAATGTCTCGAGCGTACGCTCCAGATCCCACGACATTGACGAGCTGGGTGAAGTATACGAGGTTCACCGCCTGGGCAGCATCAGCTTTCAGCATCTCATGCGGGAGGGTGCCTATGTACCAGGACGAGAATAATTGTTTTAGAATGAATTTGTCCTTGAGGGTGCCGATGGGGCAATGCCTCCTCCACATGTGCATGAGGTCTTTCACCCATCCTGATTTAAAATCACGAATCGCAAAGAGTGTTGCAAGCTTGCAAACATCCACAGTGCAACAGCAGAAGTGATAATTGTCAGGTCGAGAGATCTATGGCAAGAACATGGGGACTTTATGGATATTACTACGGGTTCCTTGCCAAACCTCGAACAGGCAACGACAACTGTAGCCCGAGCAATTACGCTTGATGCATTGCTAACCAATTTTGTCGGTGCCCCACGGAGAGGATGTCCGCTATAGACGAGAACGTGGAGAAATTAACGCTCTAGTCCAGACTGCGTAAAGAGCAAAGCCACGGCTGAACCCAGAAAGTGAAAGGTTGGCCAGCCAGACTCAGGGAGTATTGTTGGAAACAAGAGACCAGACTCATGTTTCGACCTTCCCCACTTCAGGTTCCCCACAACTGCAGGGCATTGACTTTGCTTATGTGGTACGCAAGCTGATTGGGGTGGCAACTCGAGCTCAAACCTTTCGATCGCGGAGCTTGAGACTCTGAATATCTGACGACCTTAAGAGCGCCCATGTTGCCGAGCATGGTGATTTTCACTCGCCCTCGATGCAGACTATTTATTATTCAAAGGTGTCTCATTTCATTCCTCTTTTAAGAAACTTTGACTCAACTGGCCGACCGTGTGGCTCTTCGAGATGGGTACCAATACCCAATACAAGACCGTGCTTGTCACAGGTGCCAATGCCTTCTACTCAGCCGCTATTATGGACCTGCTGGCCAAGGACGGTGTCAAATTTCATGCCGCTGTAAGGAGTGAATCGGCCAGACCACCGCTAGAAAAACGCTATGGGGACAACATCACTGTCTTCATTGTCCCGGATATCACAGTACCCACTGCCTTTTGTGAGGCCATCAAAGGTTGCGACGCAGTTTTCCACGTAGCGTCACCCTTCAAATACCAGTTCGTGAATGCAAAGGCAGAGGTCCTTGACCCGGCAATACAGGGGGCTGTCTCGGCCCTGGATGCTGCGGCTAAAGAGCCTAGTGTGCGTCGCGTAGTCTTTACCAGTTCGGTCGCCGCCTGCCTGGATCCAGTACATCCCACAGGATTTCAGCGACCGGGCTATACGTACACAGAGGAAGACTGGAATCCTCTCACATACGAGAAGGCGTCGACGTACAAAATATTTCCCCCAGTGTACACGGCATCCAAGGCGCTTGCTGAAAAAGCCGCGTGGGACTTTATGAAAGCTGAACCGCGGAATTTTGAACTGGTCTGCATTAACCCATGTCACACGTGGGGTTTCTACAACCAACACGTGGAGTCACCCGCAGGCATGAACTCGACGAACTCAGACTTGTCCAAACTTATGGATGGCCAAGAGGAAGACTTGCCCAGGACCATCATGCCATGGATGACGGATATCTCTGAGGTCGCTCAGGCGCATGTGAACGCTCTTTATAAGCCCGAAGCCAATGGCCGTTATATAATTGCCAACCACCCTTATGACTTTCAGAAGGTAGTTGACCTCATGCACGAGCATTTTGCGGACTCGGACTGGATTAGCAATGTGCCCAAAGGAACACCGGGGAAGAAGGTTTTGAAAGATCATTTTGTGCTCGACAATACTCGCTCACGGGAAGAATTGGGTGTGACATATGGCCCGTGGGAACAGAGCGTCCTCAATTTCTGCAAACAATACGCCCAGGATAGGGAAAGATTTGCCAAAAATGCGAATAGAAGTTCTTAGGCTTCAAAAAAGCAGCTTTGACCAAACCCAATGGATAAAGCCCCTCCCTGCATTACTGCCGTTATATGCGAACTTAAAAGATATCAGACTTTATCTTCCCGAAAGCTTACCAGCAAATTTCCGGAACGAGCTCTGTCTAAGTCCACGTATCAGAAGGAAAATTACACTTCACAGTTGCACTAATAGCCTGCGGTTACGCCGCCAGCATGTAACAAATATTGTAGACGGTGTCTCAAAGCAAGTCGTCGTTGATATTGGATCATCAACCTCTGAATCTGTACTGTAGTATCCATGCAACTCGTGGTTTCAAGGTGTTCCTGGTTGTTGTCTGCGATGATCAATAAACTTCTCGTGGGCGAAGCGTCGTGCGTTCCGCTCCAAATGATGATCAGCACGCTTAAGTTGAACAAATAAAATCGCTTGAGCATGTGCAGTTTTCGGTTGTTACAACCTAGTCGCTTCGGTATTCTGAAGACAGTGCCTTGCAATCTTTTCTGCCAACAAAATGTTCCCAGCATTTGCTGGCTCAACACGAGAACGTTAATCTAACCAGCTATGTTCCCAAATTCAAACCCTCATTCGGCCTAACGCGTCTCTTGATTAATGGCAATGAGGGGCTGATAGTATCCATTGCCCATAAATAGCCCCAAATATCCCTAGCGTGGTCCTCAAGAACGTAATCCCACCAAAGAAACGTAACAAGAATGCCCTTAAATACTGTCCAAGACTCAGATTGAAGACTCATCTTCCGGACTAGATATAACAGCTTTCGCAGATACCAGTCTCTATGCCCAGTTCCTTCGGAGATGACAGTACCCATGAATGTAATCCAGAGAAGCAATCTTGAGTTGGGGTCGCTATTCCCCATAGCTCCCTCTTCACTAAGATGGTACGCTGTCAGGATCCGCCGTAGATCCGTAATAAGCCGCGGTTTGGCACTAAAACTTTGTGCTGTGGGGAAGAGAATTAGGTCACTGAAGATCTGTATCCCCAGGCGACAAGCGTCAAACATGTCGTTGTGGTGCTCTTTAGGCACACGAATCTCTTGGGGGTTTAACTCATTCAAATCATGTTGGAAAACAGTGGTTAGCGCGCAGATGACGGGAAGAGAAAGGTGGCCTTCTCCAGCACGGTGATTTTGGCCAAGAGCCACAGTTAGCTGAGCTGCGCGGATCGCCAGCTTAACAATATCAGGGTGACTGTTCTGGAGAACGCTTGTACACCACCCTGTCCTCATTTCTAACATCAGTTCCTCTCCCTTGGCATCGAATGTAAATTCATGAAGATCAGAGAACTGTCTTAATTCCTGCAAGACAGGAAAAACCGGCCTGATCCCTTGCTTAGTTGATACAATCACGTCCGATCTGTTGTGCATTTTAGTCGAAAACACTCGGATAAGGATGACAAAATTACTCACAGTCCTATTGGACGAGAAAAATTTGTACTTATATTTTCAAGGCCGCCTCGCTGCTTGATCAGCTCAACGATTGCGCGGAAATGAGGAAGACCCATCTCAAATCGAGCATAAAGCTTGAGATGGAGAGCTTCCGCCAGCGGTGTTTCAGGGTAACGTGACAGAGTAGCAGGACCATCGTACAGGTCTCCACCTTGTGACATAATTCTCATGATATTTTCGAGTAGATCGTCCGAAACCGGACCCTTGATCTCTTCAAGCTTCTTTCGAATAATCTTCATTGTGATGGCCTGGTGCTTCCAACGAATTTGTAAAAGATTGCTCATTGCAGATGGATCAGTGCTTAGCACATAGCATAGGCTGACTGCGTTGGATATTTGAGCATGGAAGGTAAGGGGTGACTGGACGGCAGTCTTCCTCCAATGTGTAATCACTGCCTCACGAGCTGCTTTGGTCATCGCGGGGTCAAACTTGGGCCACAGGTTCAAATAGGAGTGTTCTAAACTGCTGTATGCAATTGGCGGAAGGTTCCGAGAGCTGTCAGCATTGAAGGGATCTAGTTTGCTTTGCCCTAAGATGGTAATAGGGTGTGGAAGACTGGTACTGGCCGCGAATTCACGGCATCGGGCGCTCTGGCGGCCCAAGTGCCTGAGATTATCTCGTTTTCTTATATGGTCTTCTCCTGGCCAGAAGGGTTCGTGCGCCAGAGGCTTGCGAAAATTAATCTTTATAGCGCTGTCGTTGTCAGTATCCTCTTGGGAGGCTGGATATTTCGATTTTCGTCTGGCATGGGACACTGTTGCTGCATGGGATCTCGCGTCGGAGGCTTGAAGTTCTTCCTCCTTCGTTGTTAAGCCCTGGTGAGGTCCAACAACGATCAGAAGGGAGTTCATATTCGTCAGAAGAAGGCACGATGCAATCACCACAACAACGTCAGATTCTGAAAGAAGCAAACTTTTGGAAGCTTAATTGAAATTTCCAGAGCTATGAAGATTCTCCAACAAAGCTATCCTTCCACTTCACTATACTTATTGTTTAAGTCGGTCAAATTATATTAGCGTAGTAGAATCTTTGCAACTATTAGGAATGAGTGTTCGGGGAAGATGCATATTAAGGAGTGCGTGCTACCCTGAAGAAGTTAAATAGGAATTGTTAAAAGTCTACTAGTCAGCCACTCGATTCCACGGTGTTGAAATCCTGCAATCCTGCAATCCTTCAATCAACCTTAGCTCCATGCACCTTTAGTCATTGCCTAGGCCTTGGCCACCCATTGTCATCTTAAAAGGAAGTTGTGGTGTCTCGGAATGGAAGTAAGAAGAGGGTTTCTAATACATTACGCAAGAAGGATCCAACTCGTAACTAGGCGTTGGTTGGCAGCATGCCAAGTGTGTTCAAGCATGCAAGAAGGTCGACCTGCTGACAGTCCTCACAGCACAATCATCAACGTGGTGACTCAGAAGTACTCGGCTATGGGCTATGTGTGTTTCGTGCGCGGAAACCCCCTGGCAAGACCTCGGGGCCAGGCGATCCTAGTTTTGGAGGTGAATCAGGCTATCAGTTCTCGCGAGCTCTGTGCAGGCACACCACAAGACTTTGCAGACTACATGGGTTGTGTGAACGATTTGCATGATGAGGACAGCTAGACTCCGAAAGTTGTTCGCCAAGCGCTTCCGCCGACAAGGACTCGAATATGACGATGTGGTTGACTGGTCGATCCTGGAATTCCAGAGCCCGAAGCCCGAAGCCCAAGAATACCTAACACCGAAGAGTGACAATAAGTCGGCCATACAGGCGATCGCAGACCCACGTAGCAAATCTGGCTATGGTATCGTGCGCCGCATCTTCACCAGAGTGAAAGCTTTAGGAGAACGACAAGCCAAGGTACGATTACACTGGATCCTAGCCACAGTGGGAACGCAGGAAACGAACGGAAGGGTCAATTCTGTCGCCAAAAAAGCGGTTGCTACGGGATACGCTATATCTTGCCTCATCTTGTATATTCCTATATAAGAGCGGTCCACAAGAAGATTTGGCAAGAGAGGTAAAAAGAATCGACTTTTTTACCCAAGGACGAACATTTAAAGTAGACTAGTAGCGGACCCCTAATTAAGCGAAATCTACGCGTGTGCAGTTTTATACGCGACATTAAACCTATCTTCTAGCCTATCTATGAATAGGATACTGCTATCTAATGAGATAATATACTCGAAGATAGAAATTTAGGGACGGTGTTTAATATATATGTAGAGTTCAAAACGGTGGTGTAAATTTAGTGGTGAACTACCCGTGGCTACGTGAAGGGTAACGATAGCTAAGGGATCAGAAGTAGGTAACTGTAATCAAAGCTCCTACTATCTAAGTAACGCAACGAGTCGGGTCGGGGCCCCGAAAGGCCTATGTTAAGGCCGTGTTTCCATGGAGTTTTAGGTCTCAATAGGAAAGGTGGACTCTATCGAGTAGTTATATAGTATCCTTACATTTTAAGTAGGCTATTAGAGCGAATACCATAGCCCCTAGCAATCAGGCCAAAGAGGCGTGGAGTATCGACACGAAGCATCGATATCTCAGGCAATCCACTATAAATATGTATTCTTTGGCATCCCGCGACAGAATCCTACTAGAAGTACCATAAGTTTCCAGGACTATTGGTCATATACTTATCCGAACTAGGTCTCGAGCCCATTTAACACTACGCTCTACTATTACTAGAGTTGTATTGGTTTGTAAAACAATGAGTACCTTATCTCCACTATTCTCTACACCTATAATTTCAGCTTGGTAAAAGCATATAATAGTGGCGATATGTCGACCTGGCAATTTGATAAGTTGAAGTGCATTCGCAGGATTAGCAAGGATACTTACATAGGAAGAATTGAGCTGGTCAAGTGATGTAACTCCCAACAAAGCCATTGTAGTTTCAAGTTCATGCTTGAGGATTCGAACGGCTTTGCTGGCACCCGCTTCACGATAGATGAGGGAATACAAAAAAGGTCTTCCAAGCCCAACTCCCTTTGCTCCAAGGGCAATTGCCTTAACGATATCAGAGCCCCTTGTAATCCCACCGTCAACAAGGACGTCGCATCTCTGAAAGACTTCGGGGCAGTGTTTCCGAATATCAACCAAAGTTTCAACTGAAGATGGAGCTCCATCCAGTTGTCTACCACCGTGATTTGAAAGCCAAGGATGTACTCCATAATACATACATAGTTGAGCATCTCTCCAGCTTTGGACACCTTTGATGGCAATAGGGAGGTCCGTGAGACCTCTGAGCCATTCGATCGAGGAAGCCCAGTCAAAAGTCGAACAAACAGGACTGCTATCATGTCAGGTCCTCCAAAAGAACAAGGACAAACCTCACTCACGGTCGGATAACTGTAGGATCCTTGGTGAAGCTTTCATCTTCCTCGCCATCATCATCTTCCTCGCCATCATCATCTTCCTCGTCCTCCGTTTCGGTGATTGTGATGCGTAGATCACGCTCCCGCTTACCAGCTCTGATGGCATCCACCGTCAGAGCGAATCCTTTATAACCCAGCACGATTGCGCGCTTGATTTCCCTTTCAGTGACTGTCAAATCAGTCATGGGGTAGACTTGCCAGTATATGGTTTGATTAGGCCCTCTTGCAGAAGACATAGCTTCTTGGCGAGATCCAGCATTGTTGCATACCCAGTGCAGAATATCATGCTTCGCAGCTGCTTTCGTCAGGAACACGTCCCCACCTGGTGCAACCAAATTTGCTCCTCCAGCAGGGCAGATGAAAAAGGGGGCAGAGAACTTGGTTCCCAAGATCGAGCAAGACGTATCGATGCTTTCTATTGGTCGCAATATCCGAGGACGGAAACGAATGGCTTTCCAACTGTCTCGATTCCAATTAACGGCATATTCGTCTTCAGCGCCGGTCTTGAGAACTATTCAGGGTTAGGTGCATGTATATGCTTGAAAACTTGTACCTACATCCAAAAGATCTTTGAGGTAGGGAGCGAAACGCAGCTAGTTCGAAGTCTGAAACGCTGACAATGGATGACAGCTTCATTTTATTCGGCATCAGAGCTCTCGCTATGCTTTCTGCGATGGGTCGCTGGGGAATTTGGGGAGCCGCCGCTCGCACATCTGTGCTGATGGGCTTTGGGTGCACCTGAGAGGGCAGAGCGGGCGATTCGATGGCAACGCGTCCCATGTTTTGTCTAAGGTACATATGTGAGGCATAGGTGGGCGGCCAGAAAGATGAACACATACTCTGGCGTCAGGTACTTGGAAAGAGTATCCGCCGCATGAATGGGATCGAACTCTTCGGTGACGTCTCGACCGGCATGTTTCAGTATAATCCGCGATCCCCCTGGGTGAGAATCCAGAAACTGGGTGACATCATATGCTGTGTTGTTAATTATCACCCAACAACTCTTCCTTGTCGAATGCTGTCGAACTTCAGACCTGTCAAAAGTGAATAAACTCGCGAAGAGCAGGCACCGAAGGTAAATGAGCGCTTACCTGGTCAGCATTTTTTATAGAGGATGATATTGTGAGTGAAAGTAAAATCCAGCGTTGCGAAAACCATTACTTCGAATGTACATTATGTATCTAGCTGGACGCCGTGGTTTTCTAGCCAGCGCTGCCGAGACAAAGTATCCACCGTTCGATCAGAGACAGTAGATCGCCTTGAGGCAACGCCATTGGGGTTCACGCTGCCACCTGACTGCTCTTGTTGCGGAGACACCTAGACGACGGTTGAACAAGGGTCGGAACGAACACCGCCGGTAATGTACTCGGCTATGTCCCTACCCACTTCCACAGTTCATGTGAATTTATTTGCGTCCCTAAATCGCCCACATTTTCACCAGGCGTTTTACGAGGCTGTGCAAGTTTATTTCATTTTCGGGACTTCATCAGGTCGAAACCATGAATGATATTTTTGCCAAGATTGCTCAGGAGACAATCAGGTTCGGTCTCGGGGATGAGGAGGTACGTGAAATGCAACATATCCCTTTCTAACAAATTTCTACTGACGAGTTTACCGGGACCAGAAATGGAGGGAGCTGTACGAGCCATTTTATTCGGATCCCCCATCAAATGTGAAAGTTGTCAGAGATGAGCGATATGGCCCAGCTAAGAGAAATCGTTTGGACGTCTTTTTTCCTCAGAGCCACGTTGGCCAAAAGCCAGTCTTGTTGTACATCCATGGTGGAGGATTCTTCTCTGGCGACAAGCTCTGGACTGAGAAGGTGTACTCCAACATAGGTTGGTTCTTTGCCCAATATGGCATTGTCACCGTTGTGGCAAATCACCAGCTAGTCCCTCACGTGCAGTACCCTGGCGGTGCAGACGACGTACAATTGGTTCGAGAATGGATTTACAATAACATCTCTTCTCCAAAGTATGGGCAGGGCTCTCCTGAAAAGGTCATCTTGTTCGGTCACTCTTCTGGTGGTGCTCATATTGCAGCCAATCTCTATGCTGCAGGTAAGAGGTCTGTATCAACATTATTCGCAGCCAGAGATACTAACATTTGACCCCCCAAGGCGATCCCGATCGAGTTTCGAAATCAGCATTCTCGCCCCCGGTTGCCGGTGTAATCTACCTCGATGTGCCCTTTTGGTATGATCGAACGAAGCCAGTCCGCCAAAAAACAATCCGATCTTACTATGGCTCCGACGATGAATCTGTATGGGGTGTAAGTTTGCTAATGCCACTCAACACTTGAATTGTTGACAAGTTTCTAGCCCAAGTCTGCTGTTGGACTGTTCGAGCGTCTTCCAGATGACTCACCAGTGCTGTAAGTCTTATATATCTATGTAGATCGAACCTAACCGGCTCCTCAAGGGACTCACAAAGAGTTCCGGTGTATCTTGGATCGGTTGAGTGGGAGGTGTCAGTAACCGCTATTTCTCATTCTATAAGACAGTTCTCTTACTTCAAGGATAGACCTGAGACTGCTGATTCTATCATCATGTTCTTCAACGCATATCGCTCCCGAAGTAAGCCAGCTAGTACACTGCCGGCCTTCCATGTGGTCAAGAAGCATAATCATATAAGGTGAGTTTGAAGACGATAAGTTTCGGAGGACAAGCGTTATTGACCATCCACAGCAATGTTTTGTCAATTGGAACCGAGGATACCTCGCAGTCTAGACCATTGCTTGAATTTATTGCGTCCTGCGTCGGTCAGGCTGTACTCTCGTAGGCGTCAGCCTCGATCTGCCTCCACTCAAGAAAACTGACTAACACATCAAGGAGTCCACAACCAGCATCCCAGAACTTGGCTAACAAGGAACATAGACCAAACCTATGATGATTTGTAGGGTTGAAAACGGGGTTGCGGCGGGACATAGCACAACTGCGGGCAAAGAATCTAACTTTGTCTTTGGCTCAAGCCGACCTATCTTCTAAACCGGGCAAAAGTCGACGTTCAACTCTTGTAAACTCGATATTCTCGACGCCAAATTCCAAACCCTGGAATGAAAGTGACATGAATTCGCGATAGCCATGGAATCTTCGAAGAATCAATATACTTTATTTGGAACTACCATTGTAGTGTTCCAACTGTAGCTCTCGACCCTTTACTTGATTCATACTGCAGCAATACACGCTTTAGCATCGAAAGTGACTGTGTAGCAAGTTTGCTCAACCTCTAACTAATTTCACCTAGACTGGATATTGAAATGCCTTCATTTTAAAGTCTGTGATGTCTGCAAATTCTTCGTTCTCCATGTGTAGCCCGTCGTCTAAATTGGACTTAGTCAGACATCCCTTACGCTGTGTTTGGATAACTTACCGCTAGGCTCGGCATCAATTATCTGTCTCTTGGAGTTCCAGTACTTGTGGATGCAACCGTAGATTCCGATCACGATACCAGTGAAGATCAAGAATGCAAGCATAGTATACTTGGCAGTCTGTCCAGTTAGAACTTTGCTAGCACAGTTAATGACCATTCTGCTTACATAGTACTCGGGAGCATCATCTTGTCTGAATGTTTGAGGTCCAATAATATTCCCAACGGCATAGCCGAGCTGGTAGGCAACGCCAAAAGCAAACTTCTTAGTTGAACCCCCAACACCGCCGGTCATAAAAGTAATGATGAAGAGAACGCAGATGGGGACTGTCAGGATGTTAGCCGGGGATTTCAGTTCCAGGAAGGAGCACGAACATTGCATGGTCAGTACATATCCTCCATATCGGGCTGCAATGTGTTTCTCGTCAATAGCTAACATCATGGTGGCGCCAGTGCACGCGAGAAACAGGGTCCAGATACCAGCGATGGTTCTATTGGTATATTTTGCAACGCCCAAGGCCAAAAAGGTTCCAGCGACTTGAGCTGCTCCAGGACCCATGCTCAACAGAGTGGTTGTTTTGGTGTCGTAACCGAATCCAGATATAATAGTCGGTCCTGAGATATAGAGTTAGTTGCCTTCACTACCAACACACGGGCCGTATAATGTACCAAATGCAGTGACGCCACCATTTGGCAGGCCGGTGGAAACTAAGAGTAGGAACATCATGTAAAATCGAACGTCCATGAAAGCTTCCTTAAGCTGAGCTCGATTGAATTTCAAAACCTCAGTGCCTGTCTTATTGCCTCTTACTCTCTCGAGGGCAATTACCTTTTCCTCCTCGGTAAGCCAATTTGCCTCAGTGGGTGAAGCGGCTAGGAGGGAGAAAAGGATTAACCCGGTCACGAATGTGAGGGCTCCATATAACACAAACAGACCTTGCCATTTGAAGGTATTGGCGTGGTAGATCGCCCAACTGAAAAAGCCACCGAAGACGGCAGCCCAACCGGATGTAGTGTACCAAAGAGCGACGCGTGTGACCTGTTCTCTCTTGGTATACCAAGAACTTGTAATGTATATGACGCCAGGCGCCGTGCAGACCTCGATGGCACCGAGCAGAAATCTTACAGCTGCAAGACTGCCAAAGTTGTGGCAAACTGCATGCATCGCGACAACAATACCCCAGAGCATGCACATAGAGGCTAGGTATTTGGCTAGGGGGATTCTTTGCATGAAAAAGGTCGCCGGAATATCACCACCAAGGTAGCCGAAACTATAGTGTCCCAATCAGGAAGATCCAAACAATCACTTGCCACGGTACCACTCACTATACGATAGAGCCCAACCATGAATACTGGCTGGGGGTCAGGTTGGCATCCTGCCTGATTCCCATAATGGCCGCAAATGATAAACTGTTCTTGTCCATCAATTGGAGCAGATAGATCATAAAGATCATGGGCATTAATCGCATGTCGATCTTTCGCAACACCCGCTTTGCCTCGGCAGAGTCAGGGTCGAAGTCGACATGATGATGGGCGAGTAACTCCTGCGCCTTGCTGTGACCACCAGTGTTCACTTCCACCCCAGCTGCGGCGCTCGTGATCACTTGATGCTGAGGTTATTGTCAGCATCATCTTACAAGCATCACCTTTTAACATATCCTCGGCCGCAGAGTTTGCTAACCTTGTTGAGGTCAAAATCACCGCTTGTCGACGTCTTAGATTCCGCCATGTGTTCAGGGATAACAGGATCTTGGTCTTGATCGAAAGTCCAGTGTGAGCTCGTGTTGTCTTTCTATTATGATTTAGGTCTCCATTTGTATTATGTCCGGGGTATAAATGTCAACAGATGAAGACCATTCAGGTAGTCACACCGGCAGTGAGATGCAGGAACAGGGGTTAGGTACATATCCGCAAACGAGAGATAAGGCCAACCGCAACCAACCACTTGTGTTCGATAATTGGATTGAAATCGCACAGGGTCAAAAAGGGTGGAGAATCTCGTGGGGAAGGAGGTTACACCATATCTCTGAATGGGAGAAAAACGCTTAATAGCATTGTGGTACATTTCCGAGAGGCGAATTTCTTCGTTGTGCAGCACCGCATTGAAACATCAAGATGTCCAATAAGTGCGAGCAGCATGCCACTCCATCTTGCTGATCGGATATCAAGACAATGGAAACTCCGCTAGTAACTAAGTCACGCATGGGAGCATTATGACCTGTACGTAGCCGAGAGCTGTGATAAATAAACCAGAGGCTATTTCTACCTAGCAACAAAATCGAGACAGGAGTCTAGATTAGCAAGTGAGGCAAGAAAGTTTACTATTGGCTATCATGGCTGAAAGAATAGTGCCTGTCATCTCGCTCAAAGGTAGATGCAGTTCCCTTGCTTGCCATCCGCTCCCAACTCATGATGCGATACTGATTCACGACAGACTTTGATCGTCGTAAAGAGGAGATCACGAAGGAGCTTGTTGCAGCGGCCGAAAATGCAGGTTTCTTCACTTTAGTCGACCATGGAATTTCTGTGGAAGAGATTGAGGCTGAATTCGCAATCTCCAAAGGCTTTTTCAGTCTTCCTGCTGAAGTGAAGGGAAAGACCCCGCACGACACCGAAACCAACAACGGTTGGGAGTACAAGGTATGTGGCCTAGTCGTCTCCGGGGTAGCAAGTCTTGACTGCCAACTAACAAGGCTGGCTAATATAGGCCCAATGGAGACCGAGCACTGGCATATATGACCAAAAAGAGTCTTTATGGCTGCAGCGGAACTCGGAATGGCCCAGTAATGATGATGTTCCAAACTTCCGTGAAACCACTGAGAGCTTCATGTCCAAATGTGCTGGGATCTCTGATAAAGTCCGTATGTTGATCAGTCAATGCGGTGGTTGATGGGTGATCTAATGATACCTACTTTTAGTGACATGCTTCGCTACTGCTCTTGGATTTCCAGAGGACCATCTCCGAGTCGCAAACGATCCAACAAAATCAGACTGCTTGACCCAACTCAGGCTCATCCACTACCCTGCTTCAGAGAATGCAGCCGGCACGTGGAGAGCAGGAAGTCACACAGATATCGGTTGTCTCACCCTTCTGTTCCAACGAGACGGAGAGGACGGTCTTGAGATTTGTCCAGGCAGAGAAAGCCACACCAGTTTTGCCAAGGGCGATACCTTTACTCCATTGCCCGCAAAAACTGGGCCTATTGTGGTCAACATTGGTGACATGTTAAGTAAGATCTTGAACTCCAACAAACCTCGTTCGGGATTATAGCTGACGAGTTTTCCTAGTGGCTTGGTCAGATGACCGACTCAAGTCCAACTTCCACCGGGTGCGCGCTAAGGGCGTCGGTAAATCTCCATCTAGATACTCAATCGCCTACTTCAACCAAGCCAGACGAGAATTCGTTGTGCAAGGACCGCAAAAGAAGTAGTAAGTCTCCAAACTATACTCCGACCCGTGGAATTTCGACTAACAGGTCAAAACTAGTCCTGCAATGACAGTAGCCGACTATTTTGCCCAGGCAGTTGCAAAGAACTTTGGTAGACAACCTATTACCGTTGTCTGAGGACAATAACGGAAGATATGCCAGGTTGCAATTCTCTGAGCGAGTAGTCAGCTGCAAAGCAAATGTTTTGGCTCGATATAAGATCGAGTATCTGCTAGGGTTAAATTATGGATATTATTCGTTAATCCTTAAGTTCCTATGGCTTAGATTAGGCTACCCTTGAAGTTGCAGTTGGGTTAATCCTTTTTTGCAGGTAGCAATAATCAGTACGGCACGATTAGCCCACCCAGTCAAACTTGGCAAAGCCTTATCGCACTTCAGTGCTGTGGGCAGCACCAGCAACACCAACTCCATTATTGTAGGCGTCGAACAGATAGATTAAGCTGGTAACATTATAGCTAGCCCACATCTTGTTGCCAAACGAAATACTCTACGCCATTTTCAACGTTGGACAAGTCCCATATCTCCCTTCCTGGAACGGGTCGGGTTTGATTTTCATAGATGGTCAGCGGCCACTCATATCTAGATACATCATTATCCAAGCACCAGTCACATATCACTGGAGCTAAACGCCGACCGTCTTGGGTTCGTCTCGGGGGTCTGCCTCGTGACCACGGATATTGGACCGAACACCCGTCGCTGGGATCGGCTATGTACTAACGGGTGCTGGGTCCACCTGACACCCAGGACGTTCGCTGGTAAAGGCTAGTGACTATTGCCCAATGAAAACCTGTGTTTCTCTCACTGGAGAAGCATGATTGACATTTCAATTCAGGAAGTGAACCAGTGATGTCACTTTTCCCACATTTCAGTCGTATGAACTGCGCAGTCAGAGGAAGTTTTGGGACAAAAAGTTCAACCAAGTTTCGAGTTCCGACTCACCTGCCATGAAACGAAAATTTGGTTTGGCTTACAATTTGACACGAACGCAGAGCAGAATATGGCGAGATGATTGGTGCGAGGAGAGTGGATGGCAAATATTTTGGCACTCGAGGCTAATCGACTGGTTAGCTACATTATTTAGTGGACAAGAGGGAGTGGTATCAAAGTTGGTCGGCTTCGGAGCCAGCCCGGCAATCCACCTTTCACTATCGGCAGTACGTCTCAGCTAATGAGATGTCGCGTTTGCTGAGGAGAAGTGATCAATAGTCTTTCGCAAGCAGCTAGTCTGCCCCCAAACTAGACCTCGAGCAATCGATCGGCGATAGAGACCGTGCTGTAATTCGAAGATGGCACTTTCCAGGAGGACAGGGATATTATTTTAGGCGAACAATGCGGTGACATGCCTTGGCAGGCAGGGAATTCGCACTCGGTCGCATTTTACTAAGAGTTTTCGGAGGTCGACCAGTGTGAGAGGAGAACTCCACTGAGGCTCGAACGATCGACACATATTCCACCACACAATAGAACTTCCCATCATCAATCGCGGGACAGCTAGGATCTTCAAATGCCATGGACCATAGCTACCTGAATAAATAGAGCAAGGCTCAGCCTTCTCAGAATTAGGTCGATTGCTTCTCTTTAATGGCAATACATGACAATAGGAGATATGTAGAAGATGTCCGAGTTGTGCTTCGTCAGTCCTATTAGCAGCGTACTCAGATGGGTGGCCAGTGCCAACGGATGAGTCATCAAAATCCATCATTGGACGGTGGGCCCTTTATCTGGCCTTGTCGCCACCCTGCTCCAGGTTTTGGCTATCGCATGCTGAACAACCTTCACCAAAAGTACTTAGGCCCGTTTGTGGCTCATATTTTCAGCCTTTTTATACCTGGCATGAGCTTGGCCAGAAAAACTTTGACAATATGCCACGCCCGAAGGTGCGGCCTGAGGACCGGCAGCGGGCTAGCAGAGCGTGCCTGGCTTGTAAAGCTTCTAAGATAAGATGCGACTCTCAACAGCCTTGTGCAGCATGCATTCGACGCGGTCATGCTGGTTCATGTCTGTATTCGGGGACGGACAACCGAAGGCGACACCATAGTATTTCTCACCACAGCACCCATCGGCCTAGTGAGACATCACCTGAGTCGATTTCCTCGGGTGTGCAGGTCCGCACATCTCCAATCCGCGTTTCGGCTCAACACTCATTCACGAGCCCAGCAACTCCTGATCCTAGAAATAATGGTAACACTGTCTTAGACTTGCCAGAGGATCGGCAGGCCATCAGTTCATCGACTGATAGAGGTATTTTAGGTCAGTCAGCCTACTTCAATCCTCTTGGACGCAAACTGACTTGACTGGGTTGAAGTTGAAGTCGGAGAGAATTCATCGCAATCATTCTTACAATTCTTACGGAAAATCGTCCGGTCTTATGTAGGCTCTGTTCCATTTACTGATGGCGACCGTCATCACACGATGCTAGACGTAGATATCGGCGATGGAGGGAGTGATAGAGTCGAAGCTACTGCGGGGCACATGTACTTGTTGCTCGAAACCTACTTTGAAGCTGTTGGTAAGCCTCAGCTACTCCAATGCAGTTACTAATATCAAACCTAGACAAGTGGTCTCCTTGACCTGTTTACAGCCGATGAAATTGACACACTTGTGACGGACAGAGCACTCCCTGAAGCACCCATGTTGCCGTCATTGGTGAGGAGAATTGACAGCGCTGCTCTCGAAGTGGCCTTAGCTATTGGTGCACAGGCTGGAAATCCGAATGATTCATCGTTCCCGTTGGCAAGCAGTTATTTTTCTCACGCACGAAAGGTTGCTTTTGAAGATATGTTGACGAACCAGAGCTTCAGTACGGTCCGCTTGTTCCTACTTCTCGCATTCTACACGCTCGCAGCCTGTCATAGAAACACAGCATCTATGTATCTTGGTATAGCTGCGAAAGCGGCGATTGTCACCGGCCTGCATCATTCGGCTGACTACCTCAGCCTTGACAGTGTCGAGTGTAGTAGGAGGTACGAATGCAAAACCCCTCTGGTACCTCCACTAATCGATTTGTTAGATTACGGATATGGAACAGTCTACGAAACATCGACGTACTGACCAGTTTCATCTTGGGCAAACCCAAGAACTTACCCGCAGTGCGACACGGCACAAATCAGACTGACTTCGTCAGCAATAATGTCTTTGGACATATGCAACCCGCATTTAATGCAATTCGCGAAGGATGCTCGCTGTTGGAGGAAATCACTAGCAGACTCAGCCCAGGTAATATAGTTCACATTCCCACAGCCGAGAATTTGCTCGAGCAGCTACGCACTTGGACCCAGGATCTACCTCCAGACCTTGTTCAATTCAACCCAAAAGCGCGCAATGCTGCTTCCCTGAACTTTGCGAATCGACAACTACTCGTCGGCAACATGCATGTTTCCTGTGTTTACTATTTTGCTGTGATCCTCATCACGAGGCCGTTCCTCATTGCATATTTGGTATCGCGCCTTCGTGGAAAAGCACCCGATCAACTCATCAGTGATCCTGACGAAGCATCAGATGTAAATCTTAAGAACAACAAAGTCTCAAAGTTAGGTCAGGTCTGTGTGAACTCAGCCATTTACATGGCAGATATGTGTCAGCAAGCGACATTATCCAATTTCTCCTTTCGAAATTTGTGTCTACTAAAGTACGAACCCCCCTTCCTCTCTGCTTCTTTTCTCAACGCCATCATCTATCTAAGAAATTTCTCGCGTCCCCACTCACTGATATTATTTGAATAGAGCATGGATATTCAGTGCAGGGCTCGTTCTTGGATTTTCCATGTTTGCCGGCGAGCCTCGAAAAGATATCGAGGATTCCTTCAAAGCCACCTGTGGCGTTCTCGACAGCATTGCTGCCACAAGCTCACAGGCACAACTTTATCACGAAATACTCATTAGTCTATCTGATTCCGTCGTCAAATATCGCTATCGAGTGTCGGCTGAGGTGCGCCGCACGGTACAGCATTACATGGACCAGATACTGGTCATTCACCCTGTACGCGACATGGATGATATCCCTCAAGACTATCTGAACTCTGAAACTGTCAATGGAGGCCCAGAAGACCAGCACGCTAGTGCCTTCGTTGACCCTGTTTTACACGCGAATGCGCTCGATCCCGAGAACAGCATGGGCGGGCATCACCCGCTACCGAATACTGCTTGGCTCAAAGATTTACACTGCGAGTGGGACGATCTCTATTTGCAACTGAGCGACGACTTTGTACTGGACAATGAACCTTTTGAGAAATTGTTCTATAGCGTCGAATAAAGCCATATCTTCGTACTACCACAGTGGCTGTTGTGATGGTTCGAACTTCTCAATCCTCACCAGCATGTCGCTTAAACACACCTTCGTACACGTAGGATAATTTCCAAGACGCTGTTTGACAGGTTAATGACCACCTTGTATCCCTCAAACATCGCAATGGCCAATTCGTGGCCCTTCCATCATCTTTGCTACTTGACCTGACAGCCCACATCCTGGGATCCAATTTTTGGATGCTGGACCGCAACCGTTCTTTCTGAAGCTCATTAGTTAAGCACAGCCTAAGCTTTTAACCCTCGCCCTTTGCATGCCGAAATTTCATCCTTGTAAGCGCCTTGTAGGACCCTTCCACTGTCAAGGTAGTAGTCATCACAGCTACCAGTGGGCATAGGATGTAAAGGCTTTCCGGCTACTCTGCTAGTGGGCCTAGTCCTGAAACCTGGCATCCAATAGCCTTCGGCACCGTGGTTCTTTCACGAACCAGCTTCGACTACACTGCCGGGCCTTTTTCAGCTCCTTGTTAGATAATATTCATGTAAACGAAACCGAAGTATGCCACTGTATAACCTGAAGCTGGCGGGACACTGGGAAAGGTCTTCAAAGTCATCTAGCACGTGGCATAGATCTATAGAGTTAGACTCTAACGTGGCATTGGTTGCTGATCGACATTAACAAGATCGGTCTTGCCACTAGCGATCGTCGCTGATATAGAGCAGGCTGCAGCACGGCGCAGCTTGTGACAAGCTGAAGTATTGCTAAAACCACCTGTGGTTCATCGGAAGAGATAACGGACCTATGGGTATGGAGAGTCGCTTATGGTATTCTCTAGCGTAGTGTACGTTTATGTATAGGAAGCTCTTTCGGACCACGTCCCCGACATGATTGAAGTACTGGTTGTTAATCTTATTGATAATGGCAGAAACTATAGGAGAAGGCAGACGAACCCGTACGCCATAGAGCTGCGCCCGTTCATTGATTCTTAGGTAATGTATATTTCCAGGGAAGTGGGCTTTTTGCGGGTACGATCCTACCTTTATAACAGCTGAATAGAAGATTATGTACCAATACGCATGAAGCAGAGAACAGGCATGGGGGTTGGCCTCTCCTAGATCTGTAGTGGCTATCGGAGAGTACCTGGCTCTTCTGGATATTTGCAGGAGGATCAGTCTTGCAACCGTACCACTTCTACCTTCTTACATGCTCGCTGGCACAGACTGCAGCGTACTGCGTATTGGAATAGTGCAATGTATAATTGCATTTCTCGCACGCTAACAATAGTTTGCTTTGACTGCCCAACACCGTAATATATCAGGCACGCTAGACTGTGGCACGGTAACAAAAGCTAGCGGCATGGTCAACTCCCAAGGTGGGACGCACCGAGTATTTTACTTGTTCTCCCGAAAGATATTTTATCGTAGCGTCTCCCAGGACATCTTCTAGAGCGGTTCTTGTTTATTTTGTTCCACCAGAATCTTGGTGTCTGCCGCCCAGTGTCGACTTTATTTGTGAGGTCGATATCACCAGCTGAATAATTCATGACACGGACTAAGACTGTGAAAATACACAATAGATTAAGACTCTAAAATATAAAGCGGCGTAATATGCAACCGAAAAGAGATAATATTACTTATAGGGTGGTGCTTTACTATTTTCATTCGAGCCTTGTGTATCTCCTGGCAAAGGAATATAAGTGTCGCTTCGAGCTTATGAAGGTTCATTCAATGTTGGAGTCCAACAACCAGTCCCCATATCTTATACCTTCGAAGACTTGTCATAGCCAATCTACGTCCCCATCCCTCAAACTTCTTGCTCAGAGATTCTAAGTCTCTAGCGCTTCTCTATCCTGAAAATTTTCTTTGAATTCAGCATTAACCTGTGTGCATGATCGAGTCTCTCTTTATCACAATCAAGCCTCTTTTGCTTCCAACCTCAAGGGAGTGTGCAGCGGTGCGCAAATTGACTACGGCAGCAATAAGAATATTAGTCAACGATCTGGCGAGCTGAACTGAAAAAACTGGCCGCCATTTGAAGGGCCTGCTTCACGTGCTTTAGCCGCAGGAGAAAAATCAGATGTTCATGGTCCCCCAGTTTCCAGTACATTATCGAAAAACGTGAGAGGAGAGTAGAAGCCAGAAGGAAAATCTGATAAGTCTTTTTGTTAGTTGTAATCGGCATGACCGAGTGTGCTTCTCACATTGATTGCTGAACGTTGCGTCAAATCCATTCGAAGGCATGGCATCGAAATCCGTCTGGAAGTCGTAAGAAACGGGCATATTACCGTCCTTGGCAGACGCTTCTATATTTCCAAGGACGATGCTCAGAGCTTTCGCTACTTTCCAAGCTTCCGCAGATGCCGAACTCATTTGAAGCCAAATCTTGTGCGAGATCGTTAGTTGTTGTCGAATCTCTTCAGCGCTAGGCGACCACGTTGTCTGTCCTGCACTCTCAGGCAAATCAAATTTATCAACGTCTTGAAGGAAGACACAGAGCACGCTCGTTGCGAGGAGAACATCCTGGTTGAAAATATGGGTAACCTTCCACCTAAGCTGAGACAAACGACTAAATGGCTGAGACTCTGCGTGAAGCATCTGTTGAAACGATAGAATCTTAAGTGCGGAATCTAAACAAATTTGCATTGACTCCCTGTCTCGCCCTTGAGACTGTTGAACCGGAAAGCTAGTCAAAGCTCTGCGGTGCAGGAGTATGCGTGATTTGTAGTAAGTCGTCTCTACACTTACCCGCTGTACCACGAGGTTTGGACTATCCGTGATGGGGTGTGGCATAGTTTCCCAGCGCAGCACGGGCGGAATAGCATGGTTGTGCAAATCTTCAAGAAGTGCGTCAACCTTGATGACCTCGTCGTAGGAGGGAGGATTAATATCAGTGTTGACGTCGCAAATTAACCCTAGAGCTGATATCAGCCGCCCTTTTGCAATGAGAGGGAGCACCGGTGTCCATTCTGTTTCTGGCCTCGGCAGAGGCATCTCGGCCGTGTCCTCTTCAAAATCACAGTCGCGCAGATTACGGGGCAGTTTTGTGTCCATGTGGGTAGCTGTGGCACTTCGAGGAAGGCCCGTCTCCAAGGAGAGAACGAGATCTAATTGAAGTATTGTAGTCCAGATGCGTCTACGCATCTCACCGTCAAATGCAGATATTCCGGGAAAGTGGTCTGGGTCTCGGTGATAGCCCATGCGCATTGCAAGATGAAGGATCATACTAATCGAAAGCCAACTATCGGTAGCGCCATCTTTCGATAGTATAGACTCTCCAGTAAGAACTGTTATGAGGGTTTCCAGGATGTATGGTCCTCCCGTGGTATATCTGGCCAGAATAAGACACTGAACCGCCTTCTCCCGGAAGGCATCCTTCATGGTAAGATATTCTACCCTGAGCGATTCGGCTCCTCTGTCGGTGAATTCCATGGTGAAGACCTGCAACTGCGTAGCAATATGTAACATGGAGAACATGAGACCGATCCAAGTAATAGAAGTTGCGGACGGATCTTTCCAGAAGGTTTCGTACTGCTCAAATGTTAGACTGCTTGTAATCGACCAGATTAGAAAGTACCCACCTCTCGGAGAAACTTCTTTCCATGGATGAGATCTGCAACATACGGTCAATGCCTCTGAAAGCGGAGAGAAAGCTTGGGTGTACTGACATGGAGTGATAATATATGAATCGAAGTGAAGCGCCATGAGGCGGTCAACAACTGGACGAGGAGGAACAGCCGCCAGTATTTCATCTCGAGTTGCATGACGGCTCTGGCCATAGAACAAGTGTGAACCGGGCGGAGTCTTGCTATCAGTGACCAAGTCCTCCTTCAGACCTCTGATTTTGGTAAGAATGGCCTCCCAATGGGCACTCTGGATATAGCTGGTTCCAGACTCGCGCAATTCTAGGGTGCCAGGGTCTGATGGGGATGCAGCATCATCCAAGAATTTCTTTGGTCCCTGGGTATCCGGGAACACATCGACGAATGATAGTGAGCCTGGTCTCGGCGATTTCGGTGCGGGTGGACTCGGGAGTGATTGGCCTTCTATGAGCTTCATGACAAGGCTCTCCAGTTCAGAGATTCTGCCATGTATGCTGGTGGACTGTCGCGGAGCAAGGGACCGCTGAGCATCGGGCGCAGAAGAAGATGTCGTCGCATAATTGCAGGCGTTGGTGAGGCCACGCCTTGAGCAAGCTCCGCATGGGTGCTGTCGGTCGCACCTCAGCCTGGCAAAGTTAAGCGTACACGACTTTGTGATGGCTATCGAGCACGTACTTTCGGTGTTTGCAAGGATCGCAGGAAAGCTGGACTTTGTCTCTGCGTCGATTTGGGGGCGGACGCGGACGTTGAGCATTCTCGGCCATGGTGCAACTGGATGCCGTCGCTCGTTGAGGTCAACCTCGTACGCGGCAATCTGGGTACGCCCCAAAGCGGGATTGTCGCCTGGTACGCTCTCAAACTGTTCCACAGCCACTTCAAGAAGAGGAAGAAGCTGTTTTGCGGCGCAAAACGAGAGAAAATGGAGAAAGTAACGACCCTCCGACCCTCCGCGCCCGCTCGCTCTCGGAGCTCCCCTTCTATCAAGCAACACTCCAGTTTGGCTCCGCATTCACGGACCATTATTTGGTAGCTGGCTCAATTAACCCTGGCCCAAGGAACCATAGCTATGACTCCTCCACACGGCTTTCTCCATCTGCATGCCTGCCTTCACACGTCGGCATATGTCTCCTGTTCTTACATATTAAGGAGCTAAGGGAGTTAGGCTTCTTAACCCCGAATGGAACTACTCACATTGCTAGGGTCATCCGTAATGCAATACTCGTACAAATAAAACCAACAGCCTCTTTGATATTGTTGCTCTGTTCCACAAAACATCCACTCTTCAAGATCTCATTGCTGTCAGATATCGAGTCCTCAACACGACCTAGCTTCAACATGGCGATGAAATACACAGAAATTGGCCAAAGCGGCCCCACAAAGCCTGGCACCAGTGGAAAAACACATGCCAATATCCCAGAGTCACAACACCCTCCACGGCATATCAAGATGGCCGACTTGGAATCCGCCCATGAGAAGCCGGCCATGTCGGAAGACGGCCACCATGACCAACAATCTAGCGAGCCTGACCAAACAGCAATTGAACAAGAGACAAAGGACAATGTCGTCGACTGGGAGGGGCCAGAAGATCCCCACAATCCGCGGAACTGGCCAGCATGGAAACGCATGACCCAGGTCGTCCTCGCCACCAGTTTCTTGCTCACCGCGTAAGGTAGTTCCTACGCTTCATTGGCGAAGCAAATCTCGTACTGACTAATACACATACAGCAATCTCGCGGCGACAATGTTTGCACCTGGAGCTGCCGCGCTTGCTAAGGAGTTCCATATCACGAGTTCCACCATTACCAGTCTCACCGTGTCCATTTACCTTGCCGGCTTCGCCGTTGGGCCAATGGTCATTGCACCACTATCCGAACTGTACGGACGCCTTGTGATCTACCACACCTGCAATGTCATTTATATTGGCTTCATCATCGGATGTGCACTGGGCAAAAACACCGGCATGTTTCTCGTTTTTCGATTCCTTGCCGGATGTGCTGCTTCTGGCCCATTAACAGTTGGCGGAGGAACCGTCGCTGACGTCGTCCCGCCAGCTCAGCGTGGGAGGGTAATGTCTCTGTTCTTCTTGGGACCGCTTCTGGGACCAGTAGGTGGCACTACCCCATGTAAAACGTCATGACACTGACGATCCTTCAAGGTCTTGGGCCCAATTATTGGTGGCTTTGTGTCCGAATCAATTGGCTGGCGATGGACTTTTTGGATCATCACAATCCTAGTGAGTAGAGCTCAACTCCTACCATTCTCGAGTCGCTGATGGTCCGACCTAGGCAGGAATATCATTCACCATATCAATCTTCCTCCTCCGCGAGACCAATGCCGCTGTGCTGCTAGCATGGAAAGCTGCCCGCCTCCGGAAAGAAACTGGCAATCCTGCTCTGGTTTCGAAAATGGATCGAGGCCTGACACCCCGCCAGCTATTCCTCCGCGCTATTACCCGACCAACAAAGCTTCTCATCCTGTCGCCAATCGTACTCCTCCTTTCCCTACTGTGCGCATTCGTTTTCGGCCTCCTCTTTATGCTATTCACCACGTTTCCCACGGTCTTTGAGCAACAATACCACTTCTCTGCCAGTGTTTCTGGCTTGTCATATCTCGGCGTTGGAATTGGAATGGCCGTCTCTCTCGGGGTTTTTGCCACCTTGACTGACAAGCTGCAAAAGGCACTTGGAGACTCGCCTAAACCTGAAGGACGCCTGAAGCCCATGATGTGGGTCATGCCCGCCGTGCCCATCGGCATCTTCTGGTATGGCTGGGCAGCCGAGAAGCAGACTCATTGGATTGTGCCCATTCTTGGCACCTCGTTCTTTGGATTCGGCATTCTCTGGGTCATAATGCCAACTCAGCTCTACATGGTGGATGTTTTTGGCCCTGAGGCTGCCGCTTCTGCGTTGGCTGCGAACACGATTCTCCGACTCCTTTTTGCAGCTTTCATTCCATTGGCGGGGCCATCTTTGTATGCAGACCTCGGACTTGGGTGGGGAAATAGCGTACTAGGTTTTATAGGCGTGGCTTTTCTTCCAGTGCCACTCTTTTTCTATCGTTACGGAGGGTGGCTTAGGGAGCGTTTTGCTGTGAGACTATAACATTTCATGTTGAGGTAGAGGGATTATAGACTTTTATTTTATCATTTGCAGCGCGTTTCACGAGACTTGCTGCTATTTCATTCCATGCAGAGCCATATATTGATGATAGGTTTAATGTCTCCACTAGTAAGCATAACCTCAACCACCAGCAGTTCTGCTCTACCAGCTTTAATGTGAAGGTAGCTCTACCCAAGACATTTCTAGATTCGGCCAGCTTTCTTATAGCATATTCTCAAGTAATTGCCGTGAGTTCCTGGCCTGAATCCGCCCTCCGCTACTAGAAACATGTTGCCGTGGAATGAGATTGAGACTCGGGTCTTGGCATTAATTCCTAGGTCGGCGGTACGTTCGTACAAGGTGTGGATCACGAAAACTTCGTCTGTGTTGGCTTTCACCTTCGTGAACGTGATGTGCTTGATGGAGGGCGGGTCCACTTCTACTGCGAGGCCCACCCGACGCTACTTTTGGGATGAACATCAGCCTAGTGAGCACGCAAAGGGGCCGGACGATTCAGGGTCAAGGGAGGTAGCCAAACCCTTCCATGGTAGTATTGAATGCCGTCTACCACCCATCGTGATAGCAGACATGCCTCAATATAGTAGTGCGCAGTAGTCAATAAGGATGTCCCTCACAGCAACGGGTCTTGATTCAGAAGAATTGGCATGAAAAGTTGGCCTACTACAGGAATCGTCTTCACTATTTGCGAACATTAGCCCAACCAGACTATTTCAGCCTGAAGAGTATTCAAAATCGGAAAGAGGCTCTATTCCGACCAAGAACACTGCCCCAGCAACCTACACTTTCATTAACGTCCAGGCTTCAACGAGGAGGAATTGGGCGGCGGAGATACAAATAATGGCCATTTAATCAGTAAGATAACTTTACTCCGGTAGTGCTCACCTTTCTTTTTCTCTACTAAAATGATACCAATTCTGAATTTCTCGGGATCAAAAATTTTCTCAGTCTCTGCCTTTGCCTATTGAACTATAGGATGTCATCCCATATATTGCCATGAGAACCGAGAAATCAATACTTGCGTTTTCGAACTTGGCCATCACAATCCAGAGTTTTCTGTACGGTTTCAAACTCAGTTAGGATTTCCTCGAGCCTCTAAAGTACACCCTAATCATCTTCAGTCAACCGTGACTCATCTTTGATGATCTGCGAGATCTTAACACCCTTCCTAACATACTTGATGCGTTTGGCACTGCTCTCATCTTCCCACTCCTGCTTGAATCTGAGAATAGTGAGCTCAACGTGTCTTCAAAATTTGAGTGCTCGACGGATCCCGTAGAGCAGCGACAGCCAGCGCGTGTCGTTGCCTCATTTGCCTTGGAGCGGTTTCCTAGCTCGCAAGTTCGCACTTGATGACTTATCGATGACACTGGCTTGGATGTCTCGCAGTAGATCTGACGACCAGGACAAGATCACCCTTAAGACCAATCATTCTGTTCCCACCGCAGTTTCATCAGCGAGTGAGTCTCCTTATAGTCTGTTTGCTTTAGTCGATGATGACGGCTAAATAGCCATGGGATTTGACAAATTAAGATATAAACTTGTTTTCGAAGTTTTTAAGATAGGTTCTTAAGCGCGCTTACCCTAGAGATGAAGTGACTACTCTAGACTCATTCTAATAAATTACCTCTTAATGTCTATCTTACTGCTAATCGTTTGGATGGGCGGTTGGAAATGGAAATATAGTTGCGAGACCTGTCTCTTTGTCCTGAAACCTGTCTCCAGATCGATGTAGGGTTCTCTCAGAAACCCAAGCATGAGTTTGGAAACGATTCTCATCTTCGAATGCATCTTGATGACAACGAAGGGGAAAGCATTCTTGTTTACGACTATTGCAAAGGCAATTCTCTTTCCTTGGAGAAGAACAAGCAAGACCTTCTAATCAAGGCAAGGAAATTCTTTCTGCGAGAACTCGGACTGCGACACGAAGATCTTCACTCCAAACACTGGATACACTTAGGTACGATGCAAAAGAGCTTTGATGAAGGTGGATTCTATTCCAAAACATTGAAAGTAGGCAGCAGTCCCATCTTTGAGGGCATATGTGCTAGGCTCTGGATTGGAAACTCCATGTTTAATGGAAGATCGGAAAGAACTGGGGCTTCTACGTATTGTTGAAACCAGGAGGGCAATTCTGAAATTTACAAGAAGACATGGCTTGACCAATCTCTGGGGCTGAATGTAATGGATCAGTTGTTTCCATGAGACGTAAGATTTGCCGCGAAAGAATTCCAAGAATGTAAGGAACGGGGCAGAACACGATGGCAGAGAAGTATGTCGAGGCGGACCTCCTCTCGTTGGAAATAGCCTAATCTTAATCTCTGCTGTTCTTGTCCTAGGTGTTCTTGCACAAAGGCTGGCAATATGCGACTACGCCAGAGATATTCATGGGTAGTGAAGATAGTAGGAAGGTAGTAGTTATAAGGTTGCCGTCTGGTGTGTCTATCTTGACAAGCATTATATCAAAAATCCCCGCCAGCAGCATCTTGATGATTGCGAATTACATAAACGGCAGCGGCACGCCAAATGTCTTGTAGCAAAAGTACTTCATCGTCACCCTCCTACTCTGAGCTCTCTGAGCCTCTCCATGAGCCTCCACAAACGAAGCGAGAAAGTTGCCTCTACTGATGGGATGCTTGATCTGCCTAAGCCGGTCTACTGCCCACTGCGAATCATCCCTTTCGAAGCTTTCGAGGGCGTACACAAATAAGGGCCGAACGTATCCTGGATTGAGTCCTCCATCGGCAGAGACATTCCAGTCACCTTGGACGACAGCCCGGATTTGCTCCAGAGCTTGCATGGCCTCGGACGATGGAAGCGGAGGCTCCCCCAGGATCCGGCCGACTACGATGACCTCCGCGTGGAACGCCGCGATACACAGTCCAGCAAGAGCAATGAGTGGATCGGAAATCTGCACAGAGAAATGCTCTCGAACTTTGTCCGGTTGTAATTGCATTGGGGCAGGCCGATTCGCCCATAGGTAAGCCAGGTCTTTCTTCAGAGCGGCCATCAGCTCAGTCACCTCTTCCTGGTCTTGGGGTGTGGTCCGGGATCGACGGTAATGTGTAACATCTGCGACTCGGTTCGACATTGTTTGGAGCTTCAAGTAGAAAGTGAAGATAGGTGTGGCGACAGCGTCGTACAAGTAGCGTTCCGGGTGCGCGTCGTGATCAAGTGTCGAGAGGCTAGGGACCTCCTTGATGTGGTCGGAGAGAAGGTTGGGCACCGACGTGGATAGCAGGCCAGCAGAGCCTGGCCGCTTGGTGGTCGTGTTGAGGAGCTGCAGCCATGCACAGATTCGTAAGGGAATAGGTGACTGAGGCCTGTTCAGCAACCACGTTTCGAGTCTTGTCTCGAAAGCTCCTCCGAATACGGCGAGGTGAGGGCCATCCTCATTCGGTAAAGTGACGGCGCAGAGACAAATCAGGAAGGCATCGACCAAGACTATCTCAAAGTCCACTTCATCGTCGGTTGATATCGATTCAAACCCGATGACGGCGGCTTGGTACACTGAAATGGCGTGGGCCATTGGCAATCGGTCCACTTGAGCTCTATATAGAGCCTGAACAGCCAGCAATGACTCGGCGACTGAGGTCTGGTGGGAACCCAGGAGAGCAATATGGTGTTTGACCCTGGTCCAATTCAAGGTATCGAAGGGTGAGAGTAGAGGACAGTCCACGACTTCGATAAAGTAAGAGAATGAGGATGGATTGGGCATTTCGGAGGCTGCCATCCAATCCACGATGGTGCTTAGATAAATAAGATGAGAAGTTTGCCGAAATCGGTCTGTGGGGATTTCGGATGTATTGAGACCCAGCTCGTGTCGTAGGTGATGCGCATGAGGGTTGGGAGACGACTCGTTGGAATTACCAGATGCTGGAAGATGATGGTCTGATAGTTCGATGCGATGGGACATACTGGGGATCTCTTGAGAACCTGAGTAGGAACTCGCTCCTATGAAGGCATGTTGTGAAGGATTGGCGTAGTCTCCGGATTCTGTTTGCGGCGAGACGTTACCTGGGCCTAACTCAGTGCTGTGTGGATTTTGTGGATATTGTTCCGGTCCCAGGTTCGAATCTATTGGCGGTTCCCATCTGCTCGGAATCCTGTAGACGCATGCCCTTTTCAGGCGGAGGCATTTTCGACAAGTTGGCCGTTGCTCGTCGCATTTCACCTTCCGAGCTCTGCAGACGAGGCATCCTGTACGAACACGACCTTTGTAGGACAGGTTCATAGGGGATGGGGCTTTTGACTGTCGAGAGGTGGGTGCTCTCCTTGCTTCGACATCAGTTGTCAGGGCCTCGGCCTCCATTCAGGCTCGTAGAGCGAATGAGCTACTAGATTGTGGATAGGTGGCTGGTGATAGTGGAGTCGCAGTTATTCCGGGAGTCTCACAATCTCACAGAGATCAAAGCGACGAGTTTCTGTGTGAATGAATGTTGGCCTTTGTAAGAGAAGAAGCCCTCGGTGAGGGCAGTGGTGAGAGGAGTTGCTTGATCTCCACCGCCTTGTTCAAAGGGCCGAAGGACTTCCCCGATTGGTGCCCTAACCCACGTGACAGAGTCCGACATCTGGGGAATTCTGGAGGGAGTCCAGACCATCCATGGTTGCCACTGCACTGCACTCCAGGTGCTGTCAATCACTAGAGCTAGTATGCAGTGCAGCCGAAGGATTCGGCCGGCGAGAACGGGAGGATGCCTGCTGATTGGTGGGAGCATCTCAGTAACCAGTTTTGGTGGGCTAAATATTGTATAAATCATGATACATCACCGAACAAGGGGCAGACTCTCGAGTTCCCAGCCTTGTGTAGCCCTAGTCGCTAGACAGCTATTGTTCCACAGCGGCCAGCATGGAGTATTCAATTAACTAGGTCGGACGAGATCCGCTATTTTTAATAACAAGTGTTACGTCGGAGTTTTCTCGCTGACCTCATTCATAGCTTTACCAGCATAATTCTCCAGGAATCATTCCATTTTCATATCAACGCGAGCCTGATTCATGATTCTGACCACTTGCTCCACGTCGTCACTTATGAGCTGATCCAACCAGCCATCTCGGACCCATTGAACGGCTTGCGCCTCCACGTCGACACCATAAGATTTGAGCGCCGCAAGCCGCTTCGGGGCCGGCACGTGCAAGAAGACGCCGAAGCCTTCGGCATGAAGCTGATGAGCCTCACCGCTTGGGAAATGTTGGATCTCCAGATTGACTGCATCGACCTTTGCTTCTCGGGCCACCGCGGCAGGATCGATCAACCGCGAATGCGAGATCGCCACGGTAGGTACTTCTGGGATGACCTTCTTGAGAGCCCGAAGCTGGACGAAGTCGAAGGATGAAAACTGAAGCAGGTCGGCACACTGAAGCTCGTCGATTAGTGCTCTCAGCTTTTGGAAGATCTCGTCGTTCCGGTCGTAGACCTTGAGCTCGAGTTGGTAGATGATGCCAAGTTCTCGCGCAAGCTCCAGTGCGTCTCTCAGCAGCGGGATTCGTTCTCCTGCGAACGCCTCGCTGAACCACCGACCCGCATCGAGTTTGACGATCTCTGAATAGTCCGTATTACGAACAAGGCCTTGGCCGTCTGTTGTGCGATCCACAGTCTCATCATGGATCAGAATCAGCTCGCCGTCCCTGGTCAGCGCAAGGTCAGTCTCGCAGGTAACACCTTTGCCGCCGACCTCTCGAGCCTTGCGGAACGCGCTGAGAGTGTTCTCTGGAGCGCCAGAACTGTAACCTCGATGCCCAGCGATCCGGGTCGTCTGTGGCGTCATCCGCAGCGGGTTTGTCATTTTTGCGCTTTCCTTGAGTGTAGGGTTGATAACAGTCCGGGATGTCGAAAGCAGCTTGTAAGTGGGAAGTGACAAGTAGTTATCCTACCGGCGACTCTTCCGTGACTGTACTGTGTGAACCAACGTCAATTGAGGGACAACTGTACCGGACTTCCCGTCCAAAGGAATTGCGCAGTCTCTGCGGAACCGAGAGACTGAACCCCCGCTGGAGCAGACCAGACGATGTCGTTGAGCACCAGGCGATTAACCACTCAGCAACTCAACACTCGGCACGAGGCAAGTGGCAGAGTCATCAACCGAGTCAAAGAGATTGCTCCATATAAGGGGCAGAATTTTCGTCCCTTCATCGGCAAAATGGGCACCGGCTTTATCATGAACCGAGCTCTTCTATCTCCAAGCGACCTCATGTGGGGACCTACCCATCTTGGCCCCATCTACTGTCTCCACTTTTGCCGAGATGGTGTAGGATACCTAGGTCCATGTAGGTACTCCCATGTTTGTCAGGAAGCACCAAGAGGCCTGGGACATTGACTTGCAATACAAAGAGGTGAAGGCGAATATCTGGTTGCACTCGTCGTCACGCCCAAGAGCCGTTCCATCTCGAATAGACCTCTTCGTATGAGAAAGGGATAGAAGTAATCATCTTTTCACTCTGTAGTAACTTGTAAGTATTTCCACTGAGAAAGCTGAGATTGTATTGGCTAGAAGCACTTTTAATCACAAGACAATGAAGCATAGGATGTTTAGTTCAAGGCTGAGAACTTCATACAGCAGAGCCACAAACACTACAGCCCTGCTTCGACACTTTATACGGCCAACAACCCACCTGTCTTATTGATATCATGGCATCCCTACCCCTTTACGCACTCGAGCAGAGTGTTGCTGAACAAGCTGTTCTGCGAGCTTCGATCCTTACGAAACAAATCCAATCTATTGTCAACGAAATCTCCAAAGACGACAATTCCCCAGTTACCGTTGCCGACTTTGCAGCCCAGGCGCTTCTTATCGGCGCTCTTCACCATGCCTTCCCAAACGACTCCTTCTTGGGCGAGGAAAGTTCTGGTCCTTTGAGGGCCGACGAACAACTTTGCGACAAGGTTTATGAACTGGTACTATCCGCAACTGATGCGGCAGGCTTAGTCGCAGGAGCGATTCAATTTCCTAAACCAGAGTCCGTCGATGAGATGCTGAGTTGGATTGACCTCGGCGGAAGTGGCAAAGGTGGTGACAAGGGCAGGTTCTGGGTTATGGATCCCGTTGATGGGACTGCATCGTTCATAAAAGGACAGCAGTACGCTGTTTCACTGTCACTTGTGAAGGATGGAAGAGAAGTCGTCGGCGTACTTGGATGTCCGAATATCAGCGCTGAGATGACCCGGGTTTCAGAGAACGACGTCGATGGGAATGGCTTCGGTATTGTGCTCACAGCCGTCCGAGGCCGAGGTTCGATGATCCGGACCATGTCACTACGAGGGCTTGGTGAGGCATTCCCTCTCCACTTTCTGGAGCCATGCAGGCCGAACCTTTTGCACATCGTCGGGTGCACCGCCTGCGAGGTCACGCGCCATGACGTTGTTGCTGAGCTCGCCGAACACTTCAAGGCGAGGTTTCCCAACATCGAACTATGGTCTTCACACATCCGCTACGCAGCCTTGATTGTTGGCGGTGGCAACGCCCAGTTCTGGGTGCCTGCAGCTCCAGCATCCAAGATGCACATCTGGGACCATGCAGGCACGCAGCTCATTTTTACTGAACTTGGTGGGAAAGTCACGGACTTGGATGGGAGGGATGTGGATTTTGGCGCTGGGAGGGACCTGAACCGGAACAGGGGCCTGGTGGTGGCAAGGGTAGAAATTCACGAGTCCCTCCTCATAGCCATGAACGAGATAATAAACGCACACTGAGAAAGAGAAAGATGCAGAAACTCTTTTGGATCTCGGTACCGTATCTACCAGTTTTCTGGGAAGCTGTAGCCCGTCGTTAACGCCGATTTGCCTTAATCTACCACGTCACAAGAGGATGTCTGCACGAGTAGAGGAACAAGTCAATAGAATTACCTGGTAGGCTGTAGAATATTCCAGCTACCTCAATGGAAATAATCCTTGACAGGATGATGAAAGCTCCCCGAACTTCTACGAGCAAAAGGCTGTTAGGTCTGGTAGTCACAATGTAGAAATAATCTAGGGGCGGAGGATATAGAGAGACAACTCATGTTAAAAAACAGGCTAGAGCTAGTGATAGATTACGATCCGCTTGCGAGAAGCATAAGGGCACCTATGCTTGCACCCTCTCCTCTCCCCTTCTCTCAGCCCTTTTTGACCCCGCGCCAAATCGTCTATCTGGGCAAGTGGCCCTATTGCAACACTGATGACTGTGGTGGTGGTGATTGCAGTTGCGGTTGCGTTGGGTAAAATGGTCGGCTTGGTGGGAGAAAAAATGTCGACAGTACAGGAGCTTCCGCTCTGCGACTTTAGGCGACCTAGGGTAGCCCGCTCCCTTCAACGTCGGACAGGGTGACCTCCGTGACCTTGAACTTCCGGACATGGACTTTTTGCTCAAACAAAAGATCCATCTCCGCGGTTGTTCTACCTTTGGACTCTGGGACCATGAAGAACGTAAAAGTGAATCCAATAACGCAAGCGCCAGCCCAAAAGAATCCCGTTAGAGCTCCCCAATTCCAAGCCGTGGGATTAATCATGTATGGCGTGATCGTGCCGGCGACAATGTTGACGACAGCGTAGGTGTTGCGTGCAACCACAACCGACTTGCTTCGAAGGAGTGAAGATGGAATTTCAGAAACCAACACGAACGTGACAGGCAGGATCAGAAGATTGGCCACAAAGCCATCCAATGCTAGGAGAGCCCCAATACCCCAGCCCAATGCTGAGGAGGAGCCATTTTGGAGCTTGGCTCCCATTCCGCCGATGGCTGTGAAAAGGACTACGGAGATTAAGTTGCCAAACAGATACATTCTTCTTCGACCCGTATAGGTCAAAATGGCCCACTACGGTATCGGTGTTAATCGGGCATATTCAATGAAGATACTGCAAGAGACTTACTGCACCCAGAACTCCCAATACAGAGAGCGTCAATGCAACAATCGTCATGTTGAACGATTGATCAGTAGGTAGTCCGGCTTGTTGGAAGAAGTAGGTCATCCATGCCCTCAAGGGTGCGCCGGTCAACACCTGCATAATATAAACGCCAATGACGATGAGGGTTCTGCGGAGATTGACCCCCTTGAAACATGTGAGATAACTGGTACGCGATTCGACATTTCGCTCGTGATTTGTGGTAAAGACAATCAAGGAGACAAGTTTCTGAATCTCGATATCTAGTTCCTTCGAGGTCAACCTAGTAATGGCGGCTTCGGCTTCGGCTAGCCGGTTCTGGCGTACTAGCCACCAAGGTGACTCTGGTGCCATGTAGACCCCGATGATGATAACAACTGGCCAGAACCACCTTTCTATCCGTCAGATGACTACAATGAATATACATAGAAGAAAACTTACTGGAGAGCGAAAGGAACACGGTACGACCATGAGCCGGGCAATTTTAGGGTGCCCCGAAAGACAACTGCATTGAGAAGCTGACCTAACGCCTTCAATTGTCAGCTTCCACCTCGGTTTTCCGCCGATGGTTGGCTCACCCAAGCTAGCGAATAGCAACTAGTGAGATAAGGGCGAAGCGGGGTGGGCATGATCTCGGTGACGTATACCGTCGTTACTGTCTGAAAGACACCCAGAGGAAAAGCTGCATGATACTTGATGAGACTCGAGCTGAAGATTTTCACATGACGACTTACCGAACAGGAAATTTGCAACCGCCAAGACTTCGAGACGAGGCGCAAAGAAAAAGATGAAAACAATTGGTGGCATAGAAATCAAGGCGGCCAGCATGGTTCTCCGAAACCCGAACCTCTCGGAGGCATAGCCACCCAAGAACATTCCAAAAATGGACGTAGCCCCCGTGATACCACTCATTCCGCTTTGCCAGGCCGCGGAGATCTGATAGGATCCCCGAGCTGTCTGAAACCCGAAGTCTTTCTGGAAGGCAGGTACAGCGTAAAGTGATCCCATGATCTTGGTGTCAAATCCCTCCATGACCAGGGCGAGGGACACGAAAGCACCGAACCAAACAGCGTTGGCATATTTTTTCAAGGCGCGACGAGGATTCAATGAATGTTCCCAAGCTATGGCAGCTTCGGCATTTGCCACGAGGTTGTTCGGCACTGTCTCCACAGCCTTCGTTTTGAGAGCGGTTTTCTCCATGACAATGATTGTGATTCAAAAGGGCTCAGCAGCTGATGTTAGCGCGTTGAAAAGCGTTATGCTCTGACTTTGAGCTTCCAATCTTGGAGATGTGAATTCATACCGCAACACATCTTGAGTCGGCTCTTGTACTTATAAGCCTATTCAACGAAGCCATCTCAGAGGAGAGGTCGAATTCGAATGAAGTTAAGAAAGACAAATATCTAGCGTCAGCCAATTGGCGCCCACCCCGCACCACGGGCTCAGCGACCTGTGGATGAATCGGACTGTATGGTGTTCAGCTTCGCCGAGGTGCCCACTTTAAGCGAGCAAAGAATCGGTCCACTACCATCAGGATCCAGGAAGTGACAACGGCTCCGCTATAGGCGACCAATATGGAACAGTCACAGCAGTGTCCTGCACCGTGTGCTATCGATTCGCGAAAGGGCCCGCTAGAAGCGACAGACAGCCATGCTCGTACTATTCCAATACCTTTGTGAAGCAACAACTGCTTTTCGTCACTTCATCGACAGATACTAGACACTAAGCTTATTGGCGCTTCTTGGATCTGTCGGATGAGCTGGAGTTGGTAAGGCTATGGATTGTGAGCTGTGAGCTGCGAGAGTGAGTAGAGGGTTGAGTTGATGTGAGAAGGGAAGGTTGAGTTGTGGAAGTGTGGGGTTTGGATATATGGTTAAAGCGGCGTGATCGGGGGTAGGCTCTGGGTGCCACGTGAGCTACAGTCACGTTTCAACTATTGAGTGCCAACATAGTAGATAAGACCTACCCAAAGATATAGACTATTTTGTCGTCCCTTGTGTCATGGTCTACAGTATTTGGTGCTGTACTGTTTATCTACAGTAACATACAAATGAGGTACGGGTATACAGTTTGGATTTTCAATTCCGCGCCAGTCCTTATCAGGCGAAACTTTTCGAGCTCGACCATGATTGACCTTTCCCGCAATAGGTTTGCAGGGAGGGCGGAAGCAGCCTTTCCACTTCCGAGTATACTTTTCGAGAACTATATCTTCTAAGCGTGGCACCCGGATCCATCTGAGCCTTCTAGCTAAGCTGCGCTCTCAACAGCCGATTTATGGGATCAAGCGATATGTACGACAACCAAAGCCCACATTGAGACAGCAATGCCATTTTCAAGCAAGGCGTGCCAGACATGCAAGGTCCGACGGATCAAGGCAAGTCGTCTGTTCCTGCGGCGAGTCATATCAACCGAGCATGACCCAACTAATCAGGGAACGGGAAAAGTGTGATCAAACCAAACCCGCCTGTCTCAAATGCACACGAAGCGGACGCAAATGCTTGACAGCAAGCATCATCGAGCAGCCAGGCTTCTCCATCAACGATGAGAACTCGTACGCCAGTGGTAAATTGAAACGGCCTCGAGGACCCCGGTCCAATCTGACCCTACTGCGGCCGCAATTCGATTTGGAAGCACGTGCTTTAGATTACTTCCTTCTTCATCACGTCGTGCAACTTGATGATCTGCTTGGGGGCATGCCCGATGTCGCCCAGGGACTTTGTGGCACCACTGCTATATGGAAAGCTTCAGGACGGAATTCGGTAATGGTGGATAAGGCACTAACTTGCGTGTCCATGGCCGTGTTTGCGAGAACCAGGCAGGCGCCAATCGTTGCTGTTGATGCTTCTGTGAAGTATGGTCGATTGCTGAGGATGATGCAACAGAAAGTACAGAACTTCCCGCTGCTGGCCCTAACTTCTCCAGGCAATGAAAATGAGGAGGTATCCATAGATGCTTACTTACTTACCATGCTTCTCATGGGTCGATACGAGTCAACTATGCATGATTACAGCGGCATTCCAAATCTCTACCAGGTGGCGCCGTCGTTACACAGATGGATTCACCATGAGGGAGCTCTTACGATACTGAGACGATGGAGCGAAGCAGCCTCCAATGGCCGCGCCAGTGCTCCAACGAACATCATGAAGCTTTCAAGGAGGGGCATGCTCCAATCTTCACTCCGGCAGAATATCCCATTGCAGGATTGGATAATTGACGGTAGCCGTTTCGGCGAATGTGGCCTTGGTTTGGAGTATGATGGTATTCTTGTTGCAACGGTCGATCTCTACCAACGAGTGGGTAGCATGATTCGATCTCACTCCTTGATAGAATCGACACGGCTAGAACTTATTGAGGAGGCACACGTAATTGATACCAGGCTGCAAGAATGGGCGAGTAGGTTTCCCGATGCAGGCGCTCTTCAATGGCATACCCTAGCCCCTAACCCTGGACCCTGGTCACATGCGGACTATCATCCTTCAACAATTGACCATTTTGACGAGCCAAGGTATGCAACAGTCTGGATCCAGTACTTCGCAACAAGGATGCTTGTCAAGAGTACGTGCCTGAGCGTCTTTGACGTAGGAGTACAGGTGTGTGGGCCGAGTTTTGATTCAAGCTTCGTTGAGCAGCACAGGTCAGAGTGCTCGCAGCAGCTACATCGATTGGCCGATAGAATGGTATCCGCGGTAGTGGCATTTTCACATCTCGGCAAGACCGGTAGGAAAGAGACCATGAGGCGGCCAGTCGGTTCCCACGACCAGGAATCGACCATGGTCGAAGGCAAGCCATCTGTGGCAGGATTGATCATCTGGCCATTAGCGGTTGCCGCAAGTATCAACGGGCTCGAACCCCGACAGCAGCAATGGTTCAGGGCTGAGATTGCACGAATTGGCAAATCAATTGGAAACGGCTTCTTCGAACTCGCCGCAACATGTCCGGAGTGGACTATTCTCGGTCGCAGCGAGGATCACTCTCCTGTGGCCGGGCACTGATGTACGAATGCAGAACATAGATGCACAATTGTAGGAACGTGTATAAATCATATCATCAAAAGATAACAAGAGTCAAAAAATAAATCCAAAACGCAAAAGTGTGGGTGCAAGTCAAGGGAATAAAGTTGATTGAAGTTGATTGAAATGCCGTAATTATCTGCCACTCCGGAAAATCACAAGAGGATATTCTGGAAGAAGAAGAATTTCTCCAAAAGCGCGGGCACCACTGCCAGCCTGGACAAAAGTCTCGGAAACTGGAAGATTCGAAGACCCATGCACACGAGCAGGGATGTCCGGGCCTCGCAGCCTCGCTTTCAGCTTAGGTTTCGTCATGCTATTCGCTCGATTGTTGGCATGCATTTGACCGGGGGTCCACTTCTATAGAAATCTATAGCATGCATATATAAATCGATTAAATTCTTCATATCGACAGATAGATCTGGATCTATTAATTGAGAGAGAGAGGCAGAGAGGCATATATTCTATATATTCCTTATATTGACCGCTAAATACTCTGACATACAATACGCTCAGAGGAAGAATAACAACGACGCTAACAATAATAACAACAAGAGGAAGCAAGTTGATCGAAGCAAGTATGGACAGAGTGATCGAGAAGCTCAATGCTGCTGCTGCGCCCGGGCCTGACCGTGTGATGGCTGGAGCTGTGCTTGCTGCTGCGACGGCGAAAGGTGAATGCTCAATCATCAATGGCTTGATGATACCCAGCCATCCATCACGCATCCTCCGAAAACAGGCCACATAGCCTGCTTGTTATAGCCCATCTCAACTGATTGATGCTGACGGTTTCTCCACCTATCGATATAGGCGACACCTTCATCCGCGCATTCGGCACGACGACCGTGCACGACGACGCTCCGTTGCTCCGCACCGACTCCGTCATGTGGCTCGCATCTGTCACAAAGCTCTTGACCACCGTTGCGGCACTGCAATGTGTTGAGAAGGGATTTTTCGAGCTCGACGCGCCCATCTCGAGAATCCTGCCGGCGTGGGCGAACCCCGATATCCTGACTGGCTTCGATGACGCCACGGGGAAGCCGGTTCTTCAGAAGGCCACGAAGGCGATTACCTTGCGGCATCTTCTCACTCATACCTCAGGGATGGCGCTCGAGCAGGCGCATCCGGTGCTTGCGAAGTGGAGACGCTGGGCGCAGGGTAAGCCAGGTGATGGAGGTTTTCAGAGCGTGGCTGAGGGTGGTAGCATGATGGAGTTGATGGCGGCAGGTTTCTCGGTAAGTCCTCCATTCCGCTATGTACTTCAAGCCTTGCTTTGGCGGGAGAGTTGACACGTGATGTGCGTCTCAGGACCCTGTCGACGATTTAGATGTCCCTCTGGTATATGAGCCCGGCGATGGCTGGTCTTATGCGGGAGGACTGGACGTTGCGGCACGCATGATTGAGCAAGCAACCGGCTTCACCCGCTTCGAGGATTATATGGCCGAGCATATTTGCAAGCCCCTAGCCATGAAATCCACCACTTTTCATCCCGCCCAGAGAGCGGGCCTCGCGGTGGCCCCTCTGACGGTCAAACTGCCGAATAACCAGCTCACCAGCGACATTCCACTTTCTTTCCCGAACCACGACCCAAAGCACGATGGCGGTGGATCTGGTCTTTTCAGCACAGCTGAGGATTACCTCAGGCTCCTCACAAGCTTGCTGCTCAATGACGGCAGAATCCTGCACAGGGATACAGTGACCGCAATGTTTGAGCCTCAGCTATCTAACAATGAGTTCCTGAGCGCAAACTTGGCAGTCCCCGAGTTTGGAAGATTGATGGTGCCAGGCATGCCTGTCAATCGTGATTGGAATTGGGGACTGGGCGGAATACTCGCCATGGATGGCATACCTGATCGCGCTAGTGAGAGCTGCATGTGGTGGTGCGGGATTGCCAACGGACAGTGGGTGAGTCGTTCTCGTTGTAAGAAAATTGTCGATTATACGCTGATGCCGTTTGTAGTGGATCGACCAACACGCGGGAACGTGCGGAATCATACTCACTCATTTGATCCCGCCAGGCGATGAGCGGACCTCTGCTTTGTTTGGAGAATTCCAGAACGCAGTGCATGCAGGAATGTTGGTGGATATCGATTGAAACCAGGATTTGTACTATTTCGAGGAACAGAGAAGCACGCCAGGAAGCGTAGTTGAACTATGTCGACAGTCCTGCATTGAAAATAGTCCTCCTAAGATTATGTTCCTGACCCCTTAGTGAACTGCGATCCCAGACTGGACAAGCATCATCTTCTCTAGAGGTATCGATTCATCGTCACTGTCCAACACCTGGTCATGTCAACCGATATTATGACCAATACCCTTGGCCACGGCACATATTGTAATTCTTCGATATTTCAGACGATCATCAAACCTTGCGTTGATGCCAAAATCCTCACATGAGTCGATGTAACCGGTATCCATGACAAGTGCTTTCGATACACTGTAACGCATCTGTTGTTCGAATGGGCATGGACCATCGTCCACTGGCCATGGAATTTTGGCCTGCTTAATTGAGCTGCAGGTTGAAGATTTCTGGAATCCACATCCGATGACATCTAGCACTCCTGAGCGTACTTATATGTAAGTTGGACGTCGCTTGTCAACTTTTCACCGTGCTGGACCCAAAGTCCAAATCGTTCGTACATGCCTCGTCAACCACAATCCCATAACATATATCATCCCAGACCACACAGTATTTGCTTCTCGACAGAACTGAGTCGCCACCGTTTATTTGCGGAGGCCCTGTTGCTTCGCTGGAGAATAGTTCGACCCCCAACTAGTGCGTAGAGTATCGTAGTTAAGCCAAGGAACCACAAGCGTTTGGAACGCTTTCCGGCACTCTGGCGTGACTTCCAAGCCAATTTCAACATCATTCGCGCTGTGCAAACACCACTACTTGCATTTCTCAAGATGGCTTGCTGTTTGTTAAGATGAAGAGTTGACATTTCGGGTTCCTTTGGTGCACTCATTTGATAGAGGCCGCGTCGAACAATGGTCCAAAGCTGAGGGGGTCTTGGAGATTGTGGATGGCCTAGCTGCAATATCTAGTGCCATGTCCATGAAAATCATCAGTATTGAAATGCTGGGTCATTTGTCACGCAGTATGAAGCATCCTTGAAAAAGCTTGCTATGGTTCAGATTGCCGGCTGTTGAGCGATCACATGGCTGCACCCATCTGTCGCCGAGTAGTGCACCTTCTCGTGGCACAGGAAGCCTGGCGCTTCGAATTTTAGTAGAGTCACAACGGTAAGTCTGCAAGCCTCATCAGGTACGAGTATTTTACGTGGGCAAACAGGTTTCTGGACCACTCATGTTGGGCAGACTATGCGGTAGCTTGCCAGCACGCGAAATCGGCAACGTGAACTCGGAAATCTTTTGCAAGACAACTGACTACCTGTTGCACGTTTGGGAACAATCTACTTCGTGGAAATATACCAAGTTGTTTCGATATGTTGTTGACGATACTTTGGAAGCGTAGACGTGGAGTTTGAAATAGGAATGCGTTGGATGGATCGAAGAGGAGCTCAAAGGCGTGATGCGAGAGTCTGGGTCATGTGATTTATCTGTCATGTGACTCTCGATTTCTGAACGGAGGCAGCCTTGCATAGCGGGTTGGAGTGTACCCCGCGCAGCCTCGTCCTCACGAATCGCAAGTTTACTGAGAAGCCTTACGGAGTACTTCCGAACCAAATCCGAGAAGGAAGGCAACAGATGATATGTCTACGGGAATTTAACTCACAGAATCGACCTCTCCCTTGCCTTCCATCTTCCGAACATCTCGCACACTCCTCTCTCAAACCCGTCTTCCATCCCCCTTTCCCACCAACGTCATGCTGCGACGCAAACCGACGGCCCTAACGATAACCAGCGAGGACATCGCGGCATTTGAAGAATCGCACCTGCGCAAGCTAGCCTACGCGCGATACCTCAAAACAGGCGAGGACCCGGACGGATACTTTCGAAACGGCAATCCCCAACAAAATCAGAATCCAAACCACCAACACCAACAGCAGCAGCAGGCCACCACGGCTGCGGGGACGGTGGACCCGAATGATGAATTGAAGCCGTTGCCGGGCGATAAGGCGCGGATTGTGAGGAGTCGCGAGGAGAGGATTGGTGTTGGCGGCGGGACGGCAGGTGGGAGTGCGAGGTGACGTGAGTACCGGAGAGACAAGACTCCAGATGAACTGATATTATACGCTTTCGGGTCCCTATGAGATTTAGCGATAAGGGCTTATGGTGGTTCTTGCACAGAGCAATGATTTTGGATGGTACACCACAAAACAAGAACAATAGTGGTGCTTAGATATACCACGATGAGGCTGGGTTCACGCCGGCAAGCAAGCTGAAAAGATATGGTTTTGGATATCTTCGTTGTACGGAGCAACTGTAAATCTCTCGTGGAATATCTCGCAGAGCCAAGTGCTATTCGGTGCAAGGTATCTAGGCCGTTCCGATCGAATAGAGACTGCCATCTAATATTGGTACATACAAGAGTCCAAACCCAATCAATCCTTCTTATCATCCTCCACCCTCGGCTGCTTTGACTTATCAGCGTCCTGGGTCTCCCCATTTGTTGAGTGCTGTCCCTGACCCTCCTCGGTGATGGTCTCCATTCTGTCAGCATTTCGTCGTTCTTCCTCCTCGCGTGCTCTCCGCTCTCTTTCGAGTCTGTTCTGTTCCTCTTCCATACTCATGCGCAACGCCATGGCAAGTTCAGGATCGGCTGAAGGATCGATTCCAAACTCAAAGCCATTGCCACCTCCACCGCTGGTCTCAACACCTTCCATGCCACCGCTTCCCTGTCCCATGTCACCTCCCATGTTGACAATGGGTGTCGTGATAAGACTATCGCTCAGTAAACCGGGCCCAGGTGGAACGATTGCCAGATAGTTTCCTTCACCGCTTGATCCACCGACCGCCTCAATGAACTTCTCCAGGATGGGTCTCGTGCTGGACTCGATGGCATCGCCGAATGCGACGAAATCCACCGAGACATTGTTCTTCTTACACTTCTTGGCCAGCTTGACCAACTCTTTCTCAGTATCGTTCTTGTCTCCAAACTTAGGGTCCAGTGCACTGCAGATCAGGACGACGATTCGTTGCCGTTGTGCTTTGTTTGCTCTGTGCTTGAGGGCCAGCATTGCGACGCTGATTGCAGTTCCTAACCGGATATGACCTTTGATCTTGGTTTCATGCAGGCCTGCGAGGACGGCACCGAAGTTTGTAGTGGGTGTATTGAGAACTGTAGGACCTGTACCGGCCATGGACAACAGGCCGACAGCAGATTCGGGATTTGAAGATGTTTTGGCGTTGAAGATGAGTGAGACGGCTTCGGATTGTGATGAGAAGCGGTTGGGTCTGCAGAAGATTAGGAGAGTCACCGGGGGACGAATAAGGCAAGCTTACAGGTAGTCACCATTGCGACTGGTTTCGCTGTTGTCGACAACGATCATGGTAGCCTCGAGCACCATGGTGGCGGTATTGAGGAGGCAGATGAAGGAATGACTAGGAAGGGAGAAGATTTAGAGGTGGTTAGAGGTGGTCTGGAGGAAGGGTGACCGAGTATGTCTATTCTAGAAGGGTTCTGATTGTAGTCTGTTTTGGAAATGGCTGTTGAAGAGGATGAAGCTGGGGATAATAGCAACAAGAGATGGAGACGGAGACGACGACAGAAACGCAGGCACGGATTCCATCACGCGTCCGAAGAAATGGCTTGGCGGCATCATTCCGAATGCCATGCTATGCATACTGCACCACCTTCACCCTCACCCTCACACGTCTTCCACCATGACCACTTGTCGGACCACACTCACGATAGAGAATACCACTTTCTTTAAACTTGCTCTTCGTTCAGACATGCATCTTTCTTGAAAGTTACCTCTGCAGCCGCAAGTCGGCGGACCCAGACGCCCTCTGCAAAATGTAAGTCCATCCTCCGAATATGCATCCCTCGACTTCCTTGGCCCAGAACCGCGACAAGCTGACGCGCATGTCGCCCTACCACTAGGCCCGTCTTCGCACTCCTGATCATCTCCAAAGCCGGCTCACTTATCTACCACCGCACCTTCCCAACCTCGACACCAGGAACCGCAGGAAACAGCACACAAAGCCAACCCGTCGGAACACTAGGACTTCCAGGCACCAGCACCCTAACGACGAATGACTACCTCGTGCTAGCAGGGACATTCCACGGCGTGCATGCCATCACACGTTCCTTGACCCCCAGAGTACCCGTCACGCCCTCGTCCGCGAGTTCCTCATCCCGGGATTGGACATATCCAGATCCAAGCGTCGCGCCTTCGGGCATTGAGTCCATGGAGTCCTCTTTTTTCCGCTTGACGGTATTCCAAACCCTCAGTGGTACCAAGTTCTTACTGTTCACGGATCCGAGCATGCCCAACACCGATGTCCTGATGAAGGGCGTCTATGAGAGATATGCCGATTTCGTTTGCAAGAACCCTTTTTGGCAGATGGAGATGCCCATCAGGATCGATGCCTGGGAGCGAAGTCTTAACCAGTGGCTGACTCGGCGGTGAGAGGAGATGAAATGATGGAATTCCGACAAGGAAGCATCTTGGTAGCCCATCCATTGTCCGGGCAGCTGGTTTGTCATCAAGGCGGCTCATGGAGCCCACCCTCTCGTGGGCCAGAATTTGGGTGAAAGGCTGGCCGTGGGGCATGCAACCTCCTTGTTACATCACGCCATGGGCAAGCACCCAGAAAGGTTAGATCTGGGGGAGTACTGTTTTGCCCACGGCCCAGGAGCGAGAGACCATATCATGATGCACAACAGAGGCATGACATGCATCGCAGCTTACTTAAGCGACATAGGTGAAAGTGGCTCTGGAGGAGGATTACTCCCTACCAGATCAACAACTAGAGGCTGGCGGTTCGACCTCGATTGACCTCAAATAAGCACGCACATTTTAGACAGGAGAATCCATTCGCGCGGGCCAGCGTCCGTAATCATGATCACATGTGTAAGCTAATTAGCTCTTGCACATGCCTGATCGCTCGATGGAGCACAGGCACACAGGTGCAGTAACAGTACAGATACAAGACAGTGCCTGCCGCTGCTTGCGACTCGGCCATATACTCCCCGATTGAGGCAAGACATGGTGTATCCTTTGAGGAAGGCGCATCGCGTCGCGTCCTTCGTTGTCCTTGTTTTTCTGCTTCCTCAACCACTGCCTCATACGCCTTTCAGAGCGTCGTGGCATACATACGTACATTCATACATCATACATCGCCGTTTCACATTCTTTTTCCTTGGTCGATTCTGTTCGTCGTTCATCGTAGAGTGTGCGGCTGTACACAAGGAGGAGGAACACGTGCGTCCGGTTGCGCGTGTTCGGCCGAGGGGGTTTTCATTGAACGGGTTGTCTTCATCTCGTCCTATCCCTTTTCTCTTGTCTGTGACTACTTCTGGCAGTTGAAAACCCAAGGAGCAGCATGGAAGATACGCTCGTTAATGCTGATCGTAGTCCCAACGCCTCTTCAAGCCAGCCGGGTCAATAACGCTCTGGACACTCTGTTGCCACTGCCGGGGAGTCACAAACTGCATGGCTGCAGCACCGGCGCCGGTGGTAGCATAGCCGGTGTTCGCGGAGCTGGGGAGCTGGACTGGTTGGACGGAGAGGGGGCTACTGGTATCCGGGTGGAAAGCTTGAGCGTGCTGTGCGAAGTACTGCTGCTGCTGCTGCTGTTGGTGTTGGTTGTATCCTGTCGGGGAGGTCGTGAACGGGGGAGAATTGGTCGAGGCGAAGCTTGAATTATTCATGGACACGCCAGAGACTCCAGGAGGGGAGGCACCGCTGCCACCGTAGAGTGAAGGAGGGGGTGCAAGCTGTGAGGGTTGGATGGCAAATGCCGTGTCAAATTGTTGAATGATGGGAGTGGGGTTCCATTGAAGGTCAGAACCCGGTGCGGCAGTTGGATGCTGGTAGTAGCCCCCAGCGCTAGTCGGCATAGTGGGATATTGAGGGTGCTCGGGCAGTTCGTAGGGTGAGGAATAGATGGGGGTCTGTGGTTTGGAATCGGTCGCTGAGTAAGCTGATATGGGAGGTGTGGCTAAGTAAGGGGGTTGCCCACGCATGGTGTTGAGTTGCAGGTGTTGGGGCATGTAGGCATTTGCCGGCTGTTGTTGCAATTCAAGGATATTCGGTTGCGGTACTGCTGCTGACTGAGGGACAGGCGATGGACCTGACTGATCAGAGGGTGACCCTAATGGAAATGATTCTCTCAACTCGAAAGGCTTGGTGACATCTGCTGAAAAAGCTGCACGCAGTGCATTAATCTGTGCCTCCGTCTCGGTCATCGGCCAAGCAGATATGCATTTCTCGAGAATTCGCATGTGTCGGACAAAGTAATCGCGTGCATCGTTATTGATGTCCGGGTCAGGGGAGGAAATCGCGACAAGGTGAATCATGATGCAGGTAAGAATGGCGTAAATGGTGAAATTAATACCGCGTTGCATACACAAAAGGCCTGTGAGATCAAAACTCGCAAGAATGCCTTCTTGTAGTTTGCAAAGCACTTTTGCAGAGTTGTAGCACACAGTCATATGTTGCTTCCACGCCCCATCTGCAGAGTACGTTTGAGTCGCAGAGAGTTGAGGCCGCCGAAGCATGACGATTGCGAGGTGGTAGTGCGAATGCATGTTGCCCAAGAAGTGGGAGGATACCTTTGGAACAGTCCCATCCGGAGGTAGTACTACCTGAAGGTCTTTAGGTAGATCATCGGGCCATTTCCTGAAAGTGGTGTTGTATGCGACGAATTCCTGGTCCAAGCCCCAGTCCTTTTTCTTCTTGAGCTTGTGCGAGACGACGGTGATGAGTCGAATATTGCGGACGTTTCGGACAAAATAGGCGAATTGCCTTGATATGGACTTCTCGAATTCATCGATATCCGAGCATGGTGGAGTTGCGCTTGTTTCGACTGAATTCGGATCAACCGCAAGATCAGTGCGACCTTCAGATAGATCTTAGAATTTCCACAGCGACAGAATCAGGGTCATTCACTAACCTTGAGGGCCTCCCACCATTGTCTCGCAGACCAGTAAAGTCTGCCAGACACGCGTCTTTGTTAAGCAGTCTACCGGATCTGAGCCACATTGCTCTCCTGCTGCATGGGTGTCGAAATGCTCGTCAAGTTCAAGATCCTTTGCCATGGAGACAGCTGTTTTGCATGTCATCCAGGAGCGGTAGTAATACCCTCTTTTCGGCGCACTCTCTCGGGCTTTTAACAGCAAGATTAAAGCCTGCAGCGTGCTTAGTCGCGGGCTATCCAGGAAGGACGCCTCATGCTCTGGTCCATATCAGTATGCTTTCACATCCCATAGGTGTCCTAACTTACTGTTCGCCAGAGCCAACCACTGGGCTCCCTGAGCGGGGTCATCTGAAAGTCGACCGGCATTGGCGAGGACTGCTTCAAGGACCAGGGGGCTCATAGAAGATCGATCACTCTGCCACTGATTGTAGAAATGACTTCTGCAGAGAACAGGGGCATAAGGGTGGACATCTCTGAAAAAGGTCTTGAACGCCTGCATCGCGTCCTCCTGAGACGGCATCAATTCGGGTGGTATTCGAATTTGCGAACCTGCACCAGTACTTAAAGCAGCAGAAATGTTGGGCTCAGGCTCGGGTTCTTGGAGGGGGGCTTCGATCTCCTTTCCAGTCGTCTTGTCTGGCCGCAGATATGGGGCAACACCATTTTCGCCGATTTTCAACGTGCCTAGGTGTTCCATCAAGTCCTCAGCGGTAAAATGATCGGAGGGAGACGAGCCGGCTCTCTCTGACCGTACATGTTCAACTTCGGGCTGGTTTGGTTGATATATCTGAGAAGCTTGATGGTAGGGATCGTTCAAGGTTCCAGGATATTGTTGCGGACTTGGATAGTAGTTACCATAGGGCTTATCGAGTTGGTCAAAAGGTGATTTTTGATAATTGGTAGCGTAAGCGTCATAATGAAAAGCATCGGCCTGATTAAGCTGGAAGGCGGGGTTATGTTGGTAGGGTTGTGCTTGAGGGATTGTTGTGACGGACTGGTGGGTAAAAGACGTCGCATCAACGGAATCTAGCGATACATTTCCTGGGTCGATTCCATCATCGCCTTCCAACCCTCCAGCTGGTGGGACACAATGTAATTTGAGTCGAACACATGCGGCACATGGCCAGGTGTTTGTGGTGGCGGAATCACATTTGATCTTTCGACGGCGACAATTTTCGCAAGCTCTCATAACCTTGAGTCGCTTATGTCGATTATGCTCATCGACAAAGACGTAGTTTTTGGGGCCATTTGCCGGCGCGGTGGATAGCGAATAAGTCTGCATTGTGGCAGATCATCCGAATCACAGACGGGCTGACACCACATTTGGTAAGGGCAAAGGCGGGATGTTTCCTCAATCAGGGGCGCGTCCGTGTCGCAAGGAGGCTAAAATCGATGATAAAGAATGTATATCAAGTCCGGGGTTATGCGCCGATTGACAGGATTGAGCCTATTATGATGGCCACATGAATGCGCATTGAAAGAGTGAAGGCTGGAAGGACTCCGAGATGTGGTCGAGGTACGGATTAAAGTGAGGGACTCGGTCCTCCAAGATGGAGTGGCAGACGGGGAGATGGAGAAGATGCTTTTGCTTGTGGCGCACCGTCGAAACTTTGACCTCGGCACGTGCAGCGATCATATGCTCCTTCTCTACTGATGATGGGAATGAGGCGGCTTTGCAATTGACGGACAATCAACCATCAGGAGAGGTTGATTTCTGGGTCAGACACTGGTGCAAACGAAAGAGATTCGAAGAAAAGTTCGAGACAGCATGCGACAGCCACCTGAGATAATCCAGTAAGAATGCTAAGAGTGTAGTGCAGAGGAGTGCAGAAAGTGGAGGCCCTTGACACCACAGGGGCCCGCTTATGCGACCGAACTCTGACGGAACAAGCGTAGAACCTGATCCGGTGATGAGTGTGGTGATGGTGGTGTTGGTGGTGGCCTCCGGGGTGGGTGATTTCTGATGACCTGCACCACGCGGCGTGGACAGCTTGTTGAAGGCTGAGCAGCGAACGTGCGAGTTCAGAGGAGAGGGAAATAAACTCACAGACCAAGGGGTAACTTTTTATGGAAATCAGGAGTTAGCATCGTGGTGTATTTCGACGTGGTTTCAAAAGTGAAGAAATAGTAGCGGTTGACCCCGTCCTGAAGTGAGGGTAGGTGAGGATTGCAGGGTGTGGCGGTTACAGGGGCGAGGTCTGGGTTTCTGGGAGTCGGGGCCTGGGAGGGCAGAACTTATGAGATGATGGAAACTGGAACGGGGCACGGATTGGGCGGTTGGACATCCAGAGGCCAGAGGCCAACACACAAGCGATCAAAGCGAGCTGTCGGCATCGCCATCCCATCGCCATCCCACCGCAATACAGCATCGACAGGAATTTCCGCCGAAAGTCAAGGTACGAGGTCCTCGTGCATGGCAAGGGACTCGGTACTTGAGCTACACACGGATGTACAGAGCACGGAGTCCCTCGTCCTCTTCTCTGCAGCTTTGGCCATCTCCAGAAGTGAAAGGACCACCGTTCCTACTGCTGCTGGTCGTAGCAGGAACCCAAGCTACAAGGTGAGGTGCAAAGGCGGCCCCTGTGAGGAAGTGAAGTGGTATTGAAATTTCAGCCGCACACAAACATGCCCTGGCACGCCTGCTTCTCTGCTATTGGTATGAGTACGGAGTACTTGTAAGCGGTTTGCCTCCTGAGTCCTTGCACACATCCACCAACTGCCGGGCGTCCAACGATCCTAGGCAGTGATTGCAGGAACAAGATCTGATGCCTCCTCGTGGCGATCAATGTTGCTGAACTCTCTCGCCAAAGGCCGATTCGTATAGTTAGTCCATGGCCATGCACAGGCCACATGGCTAGGCACATCCAAGTCAGAGTTAGTTAGACAGCTTGGTCCTGGCCTTGCGACACAGGCCCCAGCCATGCCCCGACTCGGGGGCACGAATAACGATCATCGTCTCTCGTGCGGCGCACGGCTATGGAGGATGATTGTGCGTACTGAAGGCACCACACCCGGGCACTTCAGCTGACCATTTGTGCCTGATGTGCAGGGCACTTTGGGTGGCGGGTTAAGGTTCTCCAGGTACAGACGGGGGGGCCTTGACGCTCGACAGGCCCCTCGGGCTCTTGATTGACAGCCCAACTAGCCTCCGATTACGACAGCCTACGCCACCAATCGCCGGGCCTCTCGGGGACTCGTTCCCCCCAAAGCTCGCCTTTCGGTGCTTCTTAAGGCTGACTCCAGACCCAGGTCCATGGACACATTCCCGAAGTCATTCTTGATGGAGGGGGCACCCATCACTGGTTGTACGGTGCACGGTGTACGGTGTATGCCTCCCATGAATACGACAGGACATAGAAGATGCTTTTGCCCACCCAGTGCCCGAGCAGGGTCCTTCCTCATTACCTAATAAGTACTCCAGACCCAAGGGAGATGGTAGATTTCCCTCGAGTCCTGAGTCTTCACGCCTGGCCTCGTCCTCTGTCCCTTGTTCTGGAAAGACCCGGATTCCCACACAATCGGATCAAACCATGGCCAAAACTTGGTTCGCTTCTTCTCACCGAACCCTCGCACTTGGGGGGACTCGTACTCCGTACTCGGTAGATCGTACGGCTTGTCCCTCGCCAATTGGCATCCAACGTGCTTAATCCTGGCTTTCCTGGCTTAGCCCGATGTGACACAATGAGAACCAAGACATCGTCTTCACTCCTAAATCTACCATAGCGACCCTGATCATTCGGCTGCTTTGGCGAGCAACGTCTGATCTCTTCTGATCGTGGTCACGTCGCGGTGTGCGACTCCCGGCCTCAGTGTCGTAATATCACGCATGCATGAACCTGCCCTGCCATGCAACTACAGTATCTAACGAAACGAGTTTCAGACTTCGCCTCCCCGCAAATTGATCCCTGTCTCAGAGTCATAGATAAGACATGGCCCGAGACGTTTATCGCTGTGCATCGGCCTACCAAGGAGACTGGACTCCCTAGCGAGTAAAATCAGGGTCGAACCCATCGGCTTCTGTATAGTCCTCCAATTGGCGACTGACTTCACCGCCGCAAGCTGTTTCCGGTGCCTGATGAAATTCGAGGGGTGCTACGAGGCATGCACTACGAGTACCTCCGACTACTCTACGTACTGTGGACTGCTGAGTGTTGTTTGGGAAGCGATCTTTAATGGAGCCCGCTGATTTGCTTGCCACCAGCCACCTATTTCTGATACTCAGGGGATGCTCATGGCAAGTTGAGAAGCACGTTGAGCTGGACGTCGTTTGCTCTGTGATGGAGCACTCCGTGACCGAAGGTCTTCATTAGTTCTTGAAAAGCATGTGGGCCACTGAGAGTCAATTTCCTTAGCCACCCTCGCCCCCCACGAAAGCCTATCCATGGATGGGAAGGGCTGGTGGATGCTGGTCACACGCTGCTGGACGCCCGCTGGTGGGATGTGCTGTGCTGCTGAGTCAGTTTATCCGTTGCCAAGACACAACCGCCCTACAGCGAGGGGCCAAGAGACAATCTAATTAGCATTTGAATTCCCAGCTAGCGACGGCTCAATTATATCCGGCAACTTAGCCGAGATTGTCTTGGCCTCAGGCTTGATCTGAGCCTTGCTCCCTCCCTTCTACAGTACTCTGTACCTCACAGTCCGACCCCTCAACCTTGCCACCAGCCTGCACCGCCGCCACCACCACCACCACCACCACCACCACCACTCTGCATCCCCGAAAACACCATAGGTTAGGACTCGGTTTCCTCTGCATTGTCGCTTTGCGCCACGACCTTGTTTCTCCCCTTACCCAACATCCTTCTCCAAGGCACCTGTCGCAAATCCGCATCAAGCCTTCAACTGCATCACTTCCGCGATTTGGCCCTCCCCAATATCGTGCCCTGTATCCCGTAATGGAAGACGGAAAGAATGCAAACCCACTCATCCTCAACCCATCTGATCTCCCAACACGGAGACGCCGGCCATCAACAAAAGAAGACCATCTCCATGGCAGCGCAACTTTCACCTATCCCGCTCCTGCTTTCACCAATGATCCATTTATGCGATCCTCCAGCCCCTCTTCGCTGGAAGACAGTGACCGCGATGCGGAAGATGAACCGATCGATACCCAGGAGATCTATGACCTAGTTGCCACAATGTCAGATCCAGAGCATCCCATCACTCTAGGTTCTTTGGCTGTCGTCTCCCTGCCAGATATCTCGATTAAACCCACAATACCCAATCGACCCAACTCAATCCTCCAGACGGTAACGGTTTTGATTACCCCAACCATTCAGCATTGCAGTTTGGCCACGGTCATCGGTCTTGGGGTCAGGGTCAGATTGGAAGAATCGCTACCGCCACGGTACCGGGTGGACGTTCGAATAAAAGAAGGAACACACTCCACCGCCGATGAGGTGAACAAACAGCTGGCTGATAAGGAAAGAGTCGCTGCTGCGTTATGGAACCCAACCCTCCAGAGTTTCATCAAGAAGATGTTGGAAACCTGCGAGTGATCAAAAACTAGATTGTTAACAACCACCCGAAGGAACGCAAGCTGGTACGCTCAGTTGGCTCTGCCCTGGTAAGCTGCTCGATGCTTCAGGTATTCACCCGCAGAAGATCATCTCAAGATCATCCACCATGCCCCCATGTCATTCCTCGATACTCCGAAACCATCTTTATCTCCGAAACCATCAACCGTACCAGTAAAGAACAATCAGGCCTCGCGTCCCATTCCCAGAGACAAAAACAGGGATATCCTCTAAAAGCAATGAATGGGTCAAAAGGCCTAGGATGGCAAGGCCGCGCATGAATGGCAAAAATTGAAAACACCCAAAACGAAAGAAAAGCCCACGGTGGGGGTCGAACCCACAGCCTTCAGATCGGCCTTTGATAAGAGTCTGACGCTCTATCCAATTGAGCTACGCAGGCGCCTTCTAAAATCCATTATGTTTTTTGGACTGAATTGTGGGCGCATCTTACGGTACTTGAATTTTTATGGGTTCCGCTCTGCCAGGGAGGGAAAAAATTAGGGGCAAGGCTACCAGATGCAGCCTAGGTGACGCTATTTAGTATGCCAAGCCTCCCACGTTGGATCCCTGGCTGCCGGCTCGTTCCCACACCTGGCATCCACTGAATTCTCTTCTGCTTCAGAGTCGAGATTCAAGAGTCAAGAGTCCAGACAAGGACAAGCGCACCATACCGTTGATACATGGCTGTTCGATATTATCGTTGATGATGGCATCATGCCTCTCTGGAAGAACAGGTACTGGATTTCGCTCTGCCTTCAGAGCCGAGAGTCCACAGTCAAGACAGAGTCGAAGACACATTATGCCGTGCCATGCCGTCGTACAGGACCGCTCGGCATATTGTTATTGATATCGGTGGCTTCGTCTCTCCACATATTCCGTCGACGTAACGGGTCATAAATATCGAGCAACTATCTAGCTAACCTAACCTAAATATAAGAAATTGTCAAATCCAAATACAATCCTATATCTTGGCAAACACCTTCCACAGCCTTCCTGCATTTCTTCCTTCCTCCTTTCTTCGCTGCACATTATGTTTCAAACATTCACCCAAGAGAACCAGTACCAACTTCCCCCTCTTCTCGCCACCCAATCACCTCCATCAGTCTGCCCCTTGTTCGAGAAGAAGTTGCCGGATCGGTTCCTCTCGAACGCAGCAGACACAGTTCAATGTGCGGCAAAATTGAGCGAGGTAAATGTCCCCATTGTCTTGGTGATACTTAATGCTATATTTGACATGGTTACAGTTTGTAGACTTGGTCTTGTTCACTCACCATTGGACCTCATTACCGATTCCAGTGCTAATATCACTCCACAGTCCGCTGTAGAGAATCAATTTGCAACTGTTTCATCGGAGTTTGCCCTAGCTGCGGCCTAGAAGTCATAGGATATTGCTCCTGCACTCGTTCGTGGACACAGCGTTAGCGAATACTCTGCACTCTGTGGGGCCGGTTTCTTGTCCATCGCCAACATGTTATACCTCGTCGGACAGCGGGCACGTCTCGTTGAATAGAACTGTACTAGCGATGCTTATCAAATGCTATCCGCGACGCTTGGGATGGTGGAAATCCGCAACTAGTTACCAGAATAGTTGGAGATGTTCTGTATCAATACGCCAATAGCTTCTGTTGTCAGCGGGAAAGCTAATGCTGTCGTGGCCTTCCCAGGTGAAATGGAGTAAAACGGCTTCAGGACAGACGGACAGACCTACTCAAGAATGCTTCCGGCGTTTATTCCCGTCCCATGGATCCAAGTCTGCAGCAATTCAATGCTCTCGCTGAGGATGTTGTTTTTAGCAAAGCTTCAGTCCCAGTCGCCTCGACTTTGGATGATACGATTGTAAGGATCGTGGATTCTTCTCGCCAACTTATCGGGCTGATCAAATGCGCAAGCCTGTCAACTTTGTTGGCGCACTCAAGTCTGCTCAAGAGAGCGAATGTACCAACGATCAAACATTCTACTTGGAGCTTGGTCCGAGCCTAGCATGCCTCGGACTAGCCGCTGCCTCCATTGATGTCCCTGCGACACGTCAGACGATCTCATCGAGACAACGTGAGTACGACTCAAAAGCCACTGCTACTGCCATGCCCATAGTATATCTGGCAGGACTGTCTATCAACTAAGCGGCCATCTATGGTGAGCATATCGATACCCTCAACATCCTGCCCCTGCCAAATGTACTCGTTTGAAGTCATGAAATACTGGACGCCTTACAGAACATCGGAGCCTGCACACATATCTCATAGTGGTTATCACTCCAATGAAGGCCATTACGAGCCAAAATTGATGGGCTTCCCAACTACAACCGTCTAACGCATTGAGACAGAGGAACACTCGCGATCAAAAATTTGTGTTGTACTTGCATCGATATTAGCAGAACAACCTGATGGCTGTAATGCAATGCCCATGTTGAAGGCGGAAAAGCTATTCATCCTAGCAGTATCCTTGCGAACATGGCTTGCGCCGCAGTGAGATAGGTATACTAGCGTATCCATTCAAGGAAACCTCTGGGAGTGATGTCTTTGGAAGGCCTTGACATCTCTCATCCTGTCACTGTCTCAGGAAAACATTTTCACCAGGTTGTTCGGGTTCCAGCGGTAGCCTCAAGTTCTTTTGATTGGACTGTCCAAATTTCTGGCAATTCAAAGGACCATCTCAATCAGGCTCTGTCTGCTATCGCCAAGGAGACAGGGCACTCGATCGGGAACATGAAAGACAAGACGGTTTTGGAGGACATGGGTGTTGACTCTGTGATGAGCGTTGCAACACTTGATGCAACAATCGAGACTATTAAGAAGAAGAGCAGCAGCAGCATCACGCTGCCAGCGACCGTTTTCAGCGTTCATCCTACAGCAGGCGCGATGAGGACAGCGCTTGATGATATGGTCGAGTTTGAAGCCCCTAAGTCGTCGCAAATTGTAAGACTTGACGATAGGCATAGCCGCCATCAGCAAAGATCGTAACCATTAGCGAACCACCTGCGGAGGTTCCAGCATTCCCAAGCTAGAGAATAGAGCCAGTAACTGCCTCAGAATCCTCCCGTGGTACAGTCACAAAATTACCTGCACCGAGTATCACTCATGAGAGCGTGATTGCACAACTTCTAAAACAAGAATCAACACCTGTACAGCTGAAGAAATAATACTCAAGAAATGTCTTTTCGCTTCAAGGCCAAGCATTGTCTAGCAAGACACCATTGTTTTTTCTCCTAGATAGGGCTAGAAGCAACGCAGCGTACATACATCTACCATTCTTCTCCAGCAGCCTACCAGTATATGCTCTTGAGTCTCCATTTCTGCATTGCCCATTGGAGTACTCAATATCCGTCGATGAGATTGCATTGCTGTTCATCGAAGCTATCCGGAAGTCCAAGCCGAAAGGGCCATCCTTCACGGGAGGTTGGTCCGCAGGTTCGGTATATGCCTACGAGGCTTCACGCATCCGGCTCTGGAGGCAGGTGAGACTATTTCGTGTCTCATACTTCTGAACCTGCGCATCCCACAACCTATGCCAGATGGCATGGAGTTGACAATGGAGATTTTTGCACAAGTCGGACTCTTCACAGGCATTCAGTGAGTGGGTAGAGCTATTGCCCCAATTCGAGAAGCTCAGACAACATCTCTTCAGCACAGTCAAGCAACTGATGGCGTTCAGGGCACTGCCAATGCCACAAGGTAAGTGATCTCTGAAGGCGGTCATCATTTGGGCAAGAAAGAGAATGATTGATGTAATCAAGCATCAAGGTTTAGATACGGAATGGGCATCAAACATGGATCAGGAGCTGGAAGGAAACGTGATGGAGGATGAGAGCATGAGATTGGCAGCTTGGTTCTATGGCAGGAGAACGGAGTTCGGCCCAAACGGCTGGGACGAGTTGCTGGGTGAAGTTGATACCCACGTGGTCGAAGGCGCCGATCTTTTCCGTCTAGCCTCTCCACCATGTTGTCAAACCCACTGACTGGCAACTTCGTGCATGAGGCTGTAGCGGCGTTCACGGCAGTGCTTCGGGGACAGAAGCTGGCTGATGTCCAGCTAGGTTATGGGGGTGCCAGATGTGGCATGCTCACAGTATTTTGGTGGTGCGCATATTTATTCCGAGGGTTACCGTGGACTAATGGAGGAATTGATGTGTAGACTCAACATCCATTTGAACAGTCAGCATGACACAAGGCTTTGTATTTATGTTAATAGGATGGCAAGTGAATCAATACTCCTCAGAATAAAGCGTGTTGTGAGGTTCTACGAAAAAAGAATGTACGAGTAAGTCTGTCACGTGACTCTGGAACCTTGGCGCGCGTCATCTCGGCGCGTTAACATTTTAATAGGCGATCCAGCAGAGACGTTGAATTATAGCCAATAAACTGTGCACGTGGGTGGGTCTGAAGATTCTTTTTCAATGTTTAGATCCACCGCCACCCCTTATGCCCGTTTTCGGACTCTGCCTTCCTCCCAGGTTGCTCAACTTGCCACCAACCACAGTAATCCACCATCTCTTAGCGATGCAGCTTAACATAAATCAAGCAACGAAAAGCTCGATCGGCCGCTTGAGGCCGGCTACAACGCAGAGGACTTTTGAGTTGAGCGGAGCGGTGGAGTTGCGCATTCTCGCCTTCTCCTTCCTCATCCCACTCCCTCGTACCGCGAGGAAGCATCCCACATAAACAGAGTGCCAGTGGTAGGTGGTAAAGTCTACGTTACAGTGCTCGCCCTGGTTTTTTGCCGCTATCCGTGTGATTTTCAATTTTCTACCCCTCGGTCCATTACTTTCGTTACTCTTCCTACAAAATATCAAGGCCCAGGGTCAGTCCCAACTCTAGCTTTTCAAGACCTGCGAGCTGAACTCGGTTCCTGTATCTTTCAGAGCCTGGGGTGTGCAAGCCTCGTTTGAATCCATCACTATCTCGTCTTTCACGTTAGTACAGCTCAGGATCGCTCAAGCTGAATTCCTCTCAGCCTCTTGGCTCATTTATGGTCTAAGGTCGGCAAAGAAGATCTCACGAGGCCTCGTCATCTCATCATCTTGCAGTCAATCTGCAATACTTGTCAAGCATCCACCAGGATCAGATACCAATAGCCAAGGCACGCTGCCGCCTCGCCAGCCGTCTTCAAAGTCGCTCGGTAACCAATCATACGCCGCGCTTCGGTCTCGTGCCTCGACTCAAGCATTAAGCTGGCATTGCTTACTCTGCAGCCTCAGTTCGCTTGGACGTCTGAATCGGGAATTGTCACATCGGTGGCTTTTGCCCCATCCGTGGTTTCCGGCCAACAAGCCTTTTTATGCTCATTCAAGCTTGTCGCTCGATCGCTCGGCATTCATCTTCATTCTCGAGCATTAGGCTTGGCAGCCAACCCTCGTACATCCCAGGTGCTGGTTTTCCTTCTTAAACGGGTGTGTTCCTTCGACTCATCCTAGAAGCACCGACCTCTTTCCCGTCAAACCCAGAGCTTGCCTTTCCCACAATACTTCACTAGCTTCTACCAATGACTTCAGAAGGCCCAGTGATCGACTACGGTCCGAATGCTCCGCACGGACCTGATGTTACCGGACATCATGCCCCATTAGAAGATCCCATGTTCGACATGAACCAGGATGAAGAGCATATGTTCCGTACCATTCTGAAGCCTGACGACAGTTTCGACGAGAATGGAGTGTACTGGGCAGATTTACCCATTATCCAGCGGATCAAGTTCGTCAACAAAGTCAACAACGAGGAGGCCAGGAAAGAAGCCCGAGCAACCTGGGAAATGTTCAAAAAAGATCCATTATCCCCTGTTGGCTACTACTTCCGAAACATGGTCCTTCCAGGCGCTGGCCTCGGTCTTGAAGGTTACGTTCTGTTCTCAATTGGCAATTTGAAGCCTCTCTTCCAAAAAGGGTTTCCAGAATGCTGGAGCACTCATCAAATCTGTAACCCGACTTGGCTCAGCGCCGTTGAGTACCTGGAAATCTGTGGTATCATTGTCGGTCAAATTCTCGTCGGTATCATCGGTGACTGGGTTGGTCGTCGCTGGGGTTTAATCCAAGATGCCACGATCATGTTCATCGGCCTTATCATGCTTGTCGCTTCATGGGGAGTCACCCAGAATGGTTGGGTGATCTGTTATACCTGGTCACTGTTCTTCTATGGCATTGGAGTGGGCGGAGAGTAAGTGAAACCTAATGAAAGGTAGATGATTTATGCGACTGACCTTGTACAGATATCCAATGACAGCCACATCTGGTATGGAGAATGCTGTTGGATCTGGAAAGGTCTCCACCAGAGACGACCGGCTACATCGAGGTCGCAAGGTCACCGGCGGTGAGTGCTATCCCATGCAGTAGCTTTCAGCCTTCAAGGAACGTCCACCCTGACTATCCATGTAGCTTTCTTGATGCAAGGCTGGGGACAATTCTTCAATCAGGTTCTGCTCATCTTACTACTGTTGATCTTCCACCATGGCAGCGGAAACGCACCGTACTCCCAAGTTGCGGTTCAATACACATACCGTGTTTCCTTCGCCATTCCTGCTGTTGGAACGTTGTGGTTAGTCTACTACCGTACATTCAAGGTCAAGTCCGGAGCCAACAAGCAATTGCGCATCGCCAAAAAGAAATCTGCCGTCACCGGGTACGACACAGAATCTCTGAAGATTACAGTCCGACATTTCGGTGGCCGGCTTCTCGCAACTGCGGGTACGTGGTACATGAATGACGTCTTCTTCTACGGCAACAAATTGTTCCAAAGCGAATTCATCAAAGTCATCATGCCCCACAGCACGTCCATCATGCCTGGCTGGCTCTACAACTTGATCAACGTCGGAGTCTCGCTCTGCGGCTACTACTTGGCCAGCTTCCTCATCGACAACAAGCTCTATGGCCGCAAGCATATGCAAAGCATCGGATTCTTGATGGACTTCATCCTTTTCATTGTTCCAGCATTCAACTTTGAATACTACACCTCTGTCGATCACATCAAGGCCTTCCAAGCGATGTACTTCCTGTCATCTTTCTTTAATCAGTTCGGTCCCAACTCTGTCACATTCATTGCAGCGGCAGAGGTGTACCCGACCGCGGTGCGTGCCACTGCCCACGGCTTCTCCGCGGCCGTCGGCAAGCTGGGCGCCCTTACAGCCTCGGTACTATACAACTACATTGATACTCCTACCAAATTCCACGTCGTTCCCTGGTTCGGTCTTGCAGGCTTGGTCCTGAACGTCGTCTTCATGCCCGACACAACCGGCCTCGACCTGAAAGAGCAAGAACGTCGATGGGCGTTCATCCGCTCTGGCCGCGAGCAAGACTACCACGGGATCGCGATCCACCCCAAGCACTTGAGCTTGTGGGAGCGCATCCGGGGCGTCGGCAAACACTACGACGCAGACCTCGACTACAAGCAGCGCATCGACGAGATGAGAAAAGAATGGGAGCTCCGCATGCAAGAAAAGGTGGACGAAAAGGCAGGGCGCCTCAACGAGGAAGACTTCGACGATGAAGAGTTTCACGCTCATCTACAGTCTTACTTCCAACGATCGACCAGGAGAGGCACCTTCCAAGGGCCCTTCCGACACAACGGAGGCCCCCACCGAGACGAAAACCTGCTGACTGAGAAAATCCCCCCCGCTGAAGACAGCGACGGAACTCTAGAGAACGGGGTCAGCGGCGACCGCTAGAAGGCTAGATGGCACAGCGGTCAACGCACGATCCGGGACTACAATTTTCAGGATTAACAGAGAGAGCGAGCAAAAGAGCAGATATGAATGGACGGTGGGAGCTGCTTGCTTGCTTGCTTGCTTGCTTGCTTGCTTGCTTGCTCCATTGCTCCAGCGCAAATTGACATGAAATGAACTAACTACGAGCCAATGGAGAAGAAGAAAGAAAAAACTATTCATTACTCCCACCGGTGCGGAAAGTTGTGCCAGTATGTACGTACCTGCAGGACATTGTGCTCCGGAAGAAAGAATAGAAACTTCAGTCCGGTCGCTGCCTTCCTTTCCTTTCCCTCTTCCCCCCACCCCTCCCCATCGAGTTCTCAATGCAGGACTTGACACGGCAACGCCCCGTTGTCAATTGTTTTAGCATCGGGTAAGCCCTGGACAGTGATAATGATAGGCCGATCCTACGGTCCTAACTATTATTAAATCTGCAAGAAAGGCGAAAGCCAAAGCCAAAGCCAAAGCCCATGCCATGCACGCCATGGGTCTTTGGTCGTCGTGAGCACAAGACTTGGAGATCCCAGCCCATCATAATATACTATTTTATACTCACTTGCTGTGGACGCCTTAGTGCAACCGACCAGGATGGGTCATCAGCAGTCGTTGTGAAGCCCACCTGCCGCAATCAATCGGCATCGGCATCGGCATCGGCCTCCTACTCGAACTTTCACAGTGTAGCTTGCCTCAAACAGGAGGAAAGAACGCTCGATGCATCCATCCTTCGCTTCTGATAAAACGTATCAACTTACCGCGCATACGAACTCCGTGGCACGCAGGCAGCGCGGCAGGACGGGCAAAGGTCAGGATAAATCAAATTCTGGGACCATGGAGTGCACTGCGCGTAAGAGCAAGAGCTCGTTACTATACGGGCACCATTAAACCAGCACAGCAACAAGCAAAAGCAGGGAGAAGTGCATTTCATGTTTTAGCACCGGATTCTCATTGTCTACGAACTTTTTTAATTTTTGTCGCCGCGGCGACCGCCCACCGCCGACCACCACCACCCACCGCCCGAACAACCCCCTCTTACTCATGCTCCTCATCCTCCCACTCATCACTCTCCCTCTCTCTCCTCCAGCCTCTCTCCAACCCACCGACCACGCCCCTCGCCGCGTTGAGAGTCCCCTGCATCTCCTCCAGCATGCGGGTGAGTTCCGCCTCAATGACGTCGGTGCTCGCGCCGTCAGAGAGTACCGCCATGCTTGGAGGAGCTGCGCTGGGGACCTCAACGACAGGTCGGTGCACGGTGGTGCCCGTGGTTGGAAGGGCTTGTCCAGAGGAGGAGGGAGAGGCGAGGATGGTGGAGGATGTTCTTGCGTGACTGCTCGCACCGCCAGCACCTCTTCCAGGTCGGTTGACCATTGACGTATTGATTGATTGGCCTGGAAAGCCTTCTTCGCCGATTCTTGCTGGCCGACCCATTGGGTATGGACTCGGGCCAGACCCAGTGAGAGGGTTTGCTGTTGACAGGGAGCTGTACGCCATCCCCGTGGTCTCTCCGAGCATCGTTCGTCCTCTGCCGCTGTAGAAAGCGCTCATTCCTGCTCCAACGTCCTCTTCCAGTGTTGCTGGGCCTGGGTAGTCGTCATCCTCACGCTCGAGACCAAATGGATCAACGTCCGTGGATGACGTAGATATGTCTGAATAAGCCTCACTTAATGCTGTTGACGGGCGAGGGATGTCTTGTTCTTCGATATGTGCGAAATCATCCATGGTTACTGGCATAGTCATCTGCCGTGTAAGAGGCGAAGGTCTAGTTGGTGTCGGACGAGATGCTTGTAGCGGTCGCTGTCTGGTCATGGGCGGAGAAGAATCGATGACTGTAGTACTGCTTGGGGCAGAAGGCTTTTCATCCTGGTCATCATCTGTGACACTTACCTCAGCCATGGCGTTAGAAAATGACCACTCCATGGTTGCATGTTTTCTCGCTTTTTGTTCAAACTGGGTCGTTTCTGTTGCGCCAGACGGTTCTCCAGACGGTTCATCGAGTTGAACGGGAGATGGTTCAGGGGCATTGATTTGTGGTACAGTAGTCACGGATGCTTCTGACATGGCACTGGCAAATGACCAATCCATAGTTGCATGACCAGGGCGGGATGAAGTAATTTCCGCCGGCTCCTGTAGCTCTGGTGCTTTGGTTCTGTTCTTAACAGTCCAGTCTTCTTGAGACATAGCAAAGTCATGCGAAACCGTATTTCTGGGGACTGCTTCAGCTGATGAGGTGCGTCTCGCAGTGAGTGATTGATTTTGGGGATCTCTAGGTCCTTTGGAATTCGCTCTTTTGTCGCGCAGGGTTGAAGCATCAGCGAGCCTGATGGTTTCTCCTCTTCTTGGGGTCGCAGGGTATGAGGTTTGGATCTTTTCATCTGTTCTTGGTGCAGCAACTGCAGCATAATCTGCTTCGTCAAAGTCCCCAAGATCAATGACATTTGATGCGATGGAGCTTGGTCGATCTTCCGCCATGGCTCGGAAAGGCAAGTCTGAAATACGACGCTGTTCTGGAATTGGGATGAAGTCAGTCTTGGTTTTGTACTCGTACGCAGGTTTGGACTGATCAAAAAGATTTGAAAGATCCGCTCCACGCTTGACTCGAGCTTCGAAATTAGCAAGTTGTGCCTGCGTCATTTGAGGCGAGTGGCCTGAAGGATTGATGGTTCCCTTTGGTGTTGCTTCTCCCTCCATAGTGTCGCTTGGTGATATGACCGAGAAGTCAGGGATTTCGAGAATGGCAGAAACGCGTCTCTCAAAGTCTTGAGTGATGCCAAAATTCCATTCGTCAACATCGTCAATGTTGTTATCTGGATCTTCCGTTGCTGCCGCGGCGGCACCGCCAGGCATGAAAAGGGAAACACGTTGACCACCTCCAAAGAGCCAGGCGTAGTAAATCTGGACAAGCTCGCTGAGACTGTTTGTGGGATGAGTGTCGTCGGTTTCCCGGAGGAAGTTATGTTCCAAGATATCTTTCATAGATGGTCTTGTAGCGACATCTGGGCTGAGGGCGTATGAGACTAGAGCACGTAATCCGTCGCTGAAACTGTCTTTCTCTGGGAGTGTAAGCGGTTGTTTCAGACGTCTCATTCGCATCTTCAGCTGCTGTCTTTCACGAAGATCACTATTCGGAGGACGTCCAACGGCGCATTCATAGAGAGTGCAGCCGTATTCCCAAACATCAACCTATTAGTGTAGTCAGTATGGTTGTCAGACAAGTTTGCACCTTCAATGAGCAATGAATAGGGATTCAATCGCGTTCCCTGATCTGGATTCGCTTGATCTGTCATTCGCGCTGAATCAAAGAGACACGTACTTCGTCTGAGTATTCTGGATTTTCAGTCCACAATTCGGGTGGCATCCAGTGCAAAGTGCCAATGAACGTCTTCCGTTTGTCTGCTCGAGTATCAAGCACAGTAGCCACACCGAAATCGCAAAGCTGAAGACGGCCTTCTTGGTGGATGAGAACATTTGCAGCTGTATTGAACAAGGAGGTCAACCAATACACCTTCTATGAACATGAGTCTACCACATTGCGTAGAGTAAGACATACCTTTCACATCTCTGTGCATGATTCCGGCTTCATGCAAGCCCTTGAGAGCTTTCGCTAGTTCTCTGGCGACCACAACAATGTACTTTTCAGAGAGGCGATCGCTGGTAGCCCGCATCTATGCAGAGGAAAGTCAGCTTGACACTTTTAAAGAAAGTGAGCGTCAGTGTGAAAGTCACGTGAGGTGATCAGGGGGCAAGCCTTCTCGAAACGGAAATCATAGATCCGTTGCACAAGATCCGTTCATCCATGACTGTGATCACACCCTCACCCTCGGTCTGTTCTCAGGATTGAACCTACCAATGTCTTGACACTGCCACCTGGGCAATGTTCACAAATCAGCCATAACTGACTGTGTACGGCCATTGCTTCGATCATAGGGTTTAAATTTTCGGCACCACTATCTTGAGCTTGTCTCAAGATCCTGATTTCACGGTTGAAATCTTGGATTTGCTCATCTTTTTGTTCCCCATAGGCGTGGAAATCTGCATCATCAATGTCAAGAACCTTTATGGCAACTACCTTGTTGGTAGATACCTGGCGACTATGAATAAAGTCAGCACACACGTCGACAATTATCATGAACAAACGAGGCACCAAAAGGACTCACCCTTTGTACACTCGCCCAAAGCTGCCTTTGCCAATCAGTTCATCAAATCTATAGTCAGGCTCCGATTGCTTGGATCTTGTACACTTTTCGACGACAGCACGTTGCTGATCCTGAGCCAATCTGACAGCTTCACGACGATGCGCAGTCATCGCTGCAGCGGAGTCTGGATGCAACCCTTCCATCGGGAAACTGTACCCTGCCCGGCGCTGCTTGAATCTGTTGAAGGCTGCTTCGAGCGCAACCGGGTGTTTGGGTTCTGGTGGAGATTCGAGGATCTTAAGTGTCTTTTTGCGATGCGCGATAACCTCAAGACCAACTTCGTCTGGGTCGCCAAGAAGCCGAGAATAATCTGGGTCAGATTGCGGTGACTTTGGTAAACCCGGAGATTGTTCGAGAGGAGAATTTGCTTGAACACCAGTATCTTCTTTTGAAAGTAAAGTAAGTGCTCTAGTTTTGCGGATACAAAGTGGAGGTGGAGAAAGTTCTTCCCAAAGAGCCCGCTCTTCCTAAGACTCGAGGCTTTGTGGGAGTTTCGGAGAGTGAATGGGAGCCTTGGAGATTGGTGTCTTTTGTGCTCGGCGAAGAAGCCGAAGAGGTGACCGATCTGGAATTGGCGGAGCACTGTCTCTGAGTGCTTGAAATTTGTTCTTCTGCCACCAATTATCTGCACGTACCCATCGCTTGGGTGCTTCGCTAACAGGAGATTCCGGGCTTTCTTTGGTCAGCTTTGGGGGTGAGACGAGCGAAGACGAGCGTGGCGGGTGGATTAGAGCGCCTGTGCTTGCAGGTGGAACAGGTGACGTCGCAAGACTTGTTACTGGCGAAGAACAGCGCGGCGACAGTGGCGACGTGCGACTACCGTCTCCAGTATGTTGAGGGGAAAAGACTGAAGCAGCGCTCTCACCAGTTTGCGGTGAGGCTTCTGTCTCAGGAGAAGATGATTGAAAGAGATGTTTAAGGGATCGTCCAGAACTTTCTGTGTGGAATGAGGCAGGAGATCCTCGTGGTCCAAGCCGTGTCCTTGATCCAGCCCAGAATGGCGAGGAGCCAAAGCGCGGTCTACGTCGATCAACGAGAGGGCTTGGGGTTGATTTTTGAAGCTCACGAGGTGATGCTGGTGTGTGAGGGTCGGACTGAGGAGATGCTGGCTGATCAGCCTCTTTAACGCTTCCAGTGGGAGATCCTATATATAAAGTTAGTCGATCTCGAGTTCGCCGTTGGTGGAATTTGAAGATCGGTCCCGCATCGGGACATTCCAACACTCAGTCAACGACGACGAGGAGGTCTGCCTTGACGAGGGACAGGATCCTGAAATACTCACTGCGATGGGAAGAGGCAGTCTCCTCAAGGGAGGATTGTGCTTTGTTGGCTGATGACATCTTGAGTTAGTTATTGTTTGAAAGAGGAGAGAAAATGTAACAAGGAATAGAGAAGCTTTATAGGTGGAAGTACTGTGTTGCGAGGTGCGAGTGCATGATGCTGGTGTGAATGGGTGCCAGCCATAACCTACCCTTTTACAACCACTCCAAATTGTATGTCGGCTCGATATCCAGCCTGTTACACTTCACTCAATGGCTCCTTCTGGCCACTCTCTCAGACGGCCTATCGCGGTAGATGTCCCAGTGTTGTTCTGGATCGTCGCTATTACATTACCATTATGGCTGTGTCTAGAGACTGGCAGTATCAATTTGAGCTTGATATCGAGCTGCTCCCTGAAGCCGACGGTCTTTCATACACTCTTGTCTTCCTCGACCTTAACGAGACAGCAGATGGCATATTTCGATAGTGAGGATCTTGATGATATATGCTGCTGTTGACAAATACGAACGTCAAGTTTACAGTCAGAGGATATGACCTGAATGGGGAAAGCACGACGCGAGAAGTTCAAAAAAGGGATGAGGGCTTGGCACGCTAGTTGCAGCCTTGCATATGCACGCTAATCTTCACAGCCTTGCATTGACATCATTCGGAATCTTACTCGTAACTTGTAAGTTGAGCACATGCGTACCATGCTGCGAGGGTCTGGAGGAAAGTATGGTGACTCTATATGGCGTCTACATCATGAACACTGAGTTGAATATCGTGGACGCATCAGCATCATGCATTCTTGCAATATATCTGGCGATTTTGCGTCACTGTTGCCACCCAAAAGATATATCCATCATAGCCGAAATTCTCTAGTAAGCTTTTTCAACCTATGCCATCTCAATTTTGTACAATGACAGAGAAGGATAGACTCGCATTTTGACAATTCTTTCAAGTCGAAATCCTAGGCCTTGCAGAATGGTATTCTAGAATCCCATCCTTCGCCTTGGTATCACGGGCTTCTTGACTACCCCGTTACTTCCACTCTTCTTGATCATCACTCCACTGCTTTTAGGCCTTCCTGCCAAAAGCTTTTCTTTTTCTTCCTCTTCTTTCTGTCGTCTCTCATCCTTGGCACGCTCTTCGGCCATGTGCGTTTCAATTTCCATTTTTCGATTGAACTCACTCTCAATGATACGTTTGTCTTTGCTGCTGTACTCCTTTGATTTTAAGCTGTAGAAGACCCCACCCAGATCGGCTAGCCAATGAGGGTCAACCGCCGTCACACAGCTCATATATTCCTTACTCGTGAGAATGAGTTCGTGGTACACAACATAATCGGGTGGATCGCCCAGGCCATACAAAGCAGAGGTTGGATGAAGCTGGACAGTAACGCTGCTACGCAGGTTGATGTACTCTCCTATTCCTCTGCGTCGAGCGGCTTGGTGATAGTAGCCTGAGCATATGCACTTTCGAATTACATCCCAATCGGTACCGCAAGAGATAAGCTGCAGCTTTTGTTGTCCCATAATGTCATGGAGCTGCTCCCTGATTTCTTTTGCGCGGCGAAGTGCTTTAGGATGGAGAAAGTGTCGAATACACCATGCATCACTGTAGCCATTGACTTTCCATTGACTGTACACATGCAGCAGGGTCAAATGATCTGATTCGTGAACAAAGAACTTTTCTCTTGCTGCATCAGACTCCTCCTGCCGTTCCTTTGGTCTGTAAAAGACGGATGGGACAGATAGCATACTGACAATTGTCAAAATCTCTTCGCTACATTCATACTCTGTGGATGAAGTGATAAGCATCTTTGCCAGGGATGGGTCCATTGGAAAGGAAGTCATTGTGAGACCAATGGTTGTCAACTCCCCCACATGATCAAGGGCACCTAGTGCCCAAAGATCAAACAAGGATGTTGTAATTGTATCTTGAGGAGGAGGATCCATGAAGTCGAAATCTAGTAAGTTCTTGACTCCCAAAGATTTGAGCAGCAGCACGGTGTTGGCTAAATTGGTCCGCTGTATCTCAGGTATTGTTTGAACATAGAATTCATTCTTGAATGCCTGTTCCGTGTATAGGTGAAAAGCTTTACCAGGCCCTGTACGGCCAGCGCGGCCAGCCCTTTGTGAAGCATTTGCCTGCGATATCGGAGTGATTTGTAAGGTGTCCATACCCATTCGAGGATTATAAACTTTCAACTTTGAAAAGCCAGCGTCAACCACATACATGATGCCGTCGACAGTCAGTGAGGTTTCGGCAATGTTGGTGGCAACAATTACTTTCCGCACGGCTGGAGGTGCAGGATCAAAAATCTTGGCCTGCAGATCTGCTGGCATCTGTGAATAGATAGGAAGGACGAGAAGTTTCGGAGGGTTGACCAGTAGCCGAAGCCGCTCCTCAATTAGTTCACAGGTCACCTCGATATCCTCTTGGCCGGTCATGAAGACAAGAATGTCTCCGGCGGCTTGTGAAACGTGAATAGCCAAGACCTGCTTCACGGCACTGTCGACATAGTCCTCGCAAGGAGAACGAGAATACTGAATATCAACAGGGAATGTACGACCTGGAATGATGAATTCTGGTGCTCCTCCGTAAAAGCGGGAAAAGCGGTCTGAATTCATTGTGGCTGAAGTGACGATCAATTTAAGATCTCTGCGACGAGCAATGACCTTTTTGATGAGACCCATTAGAACATCAGTATTGAGGGCACGTTCGTGAGCTTCGTCCATAATGATGCAAGAGTATCTGTCTAAGTCCCGCTGCGTCAAGGATTCTCTAAGAAGCACGCCATCGGTCATGTCTAGGCAAAGGTTAGGAAGAGTTCAGAAGGCAAAAGGGATATTCAAGGGCTCGCTCACATTTGATGGATGTCTCCTCACTCGTACAATCTTCAAATCGGATAGCGTAACCAACAAGTCCACCCAGTTCCACATCCATTTCCTCGCTGACTCGCTTGGCGACGCTCATTGCTGCCACTCTGCGAGGCTGTGTGCAGCCGATCAATCCACGCTGAGCATATCCTTCTTCGTACAGGAACTGAGTGAGCTGGGTGGTCTTTCCCGAGCCAGTCTGGCCAACCACTATGATGACTTGGTTGTCTCGAATGACACGCATGAGCTCCTCTCTGACCGCAAAGGCAGGAAGATATTCTCTCTGCTCTTTCAATGTCTTGCTCTTGCTGAATGCTGAACTGCCAGCATTTTTCTTGAGATGTGTGGCAAACTTGCTTTTCCCGGTTTGCTCATCAGGCACAGCTGCAGCGCTATCCCCTTCGTCATCCTTGACCCCCATGATATTCCCAAGCGTCGTGCCGGCAGCATTGGTGGCTTCTTGGGCCTGCTTTTGCCTCTCTTTCTGCTGCCTTTTCTCACGAACCACCTTACTACCCTTCCGACTGAAGACTGCCATGTCGCTCTGGGAGTCGCGAACTGCGGGAACGGGGTCCAACTGCTTTGTAAAGATTGTCTTCCCGTCAAGGAATGGAGGTTTGAGGTCGTGCACCAGGAGATGGACTCGCACAGCGTCATCGTCGTCGAAAACGTGGGCCTGGTCTTTCCTCTGAGCAACACCAGACGTGAGCATGCGGTTTGCTTCCCAGGCATCGACCTCTTTCTGCTTCTGTGCTGCTTTGGCGGTCATGCGCTTTCCCAGTTTCTTATCGGCCAGGATCTTCTCCCGCTGCTGATCGATATAGGCGAGCTCTGCGCCGCCAAAGGGGTTGTGGCTATCATCTCCGAAAGTGTGGCCAAACTCATCACCTGCGTACCAGTCCCGGTCCAGGGCGTTTGTGTCTTCCTTGTTGTAGAACGGTTCGGGTCCATCAAACTCCTGTTGACGAGGCCGCGGGGCCGAGTCACTTTTGCGACTTCTGTCCGAAGACTTAGGCAGGCGAGGTTTGGAGGGGTGCTGTACTTTGAGGGAGGGAGCGAGATCGTCAGCGTAATCTGCATGATCAGAGGGACGGAAGCTGCCCTCAAGCCTGCGCCGCTTTGGACTGTGGGTGCGATCCATTTCGGAATCGAACGTAGCTCTCAGGGAGCGGGATGGGCATCTAGATGGCATACATTGGGAGCAATGGTGCACTGAAGACGAATAGGTTTGGATTTCCAGGTAGAAGCGAGAGCATGGACTGTCGCCTGCAGTTGGGCCGTTGGAGGCGGGATGAGTACATAGAGAAAATGTTGGCCCGAAGTTTAGGCGGAGGACCTCATTGGATTTGACAACTCCGCGTTATTATTGCACTCCTTCCCACAAGACTTCATCATCACCGACGCAGGTCTTGACAAAATGGCATCTGGACAGGAGACAGCCCTTCGTAAGCAGCAAGGTATCTATGCACCGGGAGTGAGTGTGAACGCTCCCGCTAACAGAGCCAGAACTCCAAAATCAGTACACGAATTTCAAGACCACACTCCAGTCATTGGCCCAGAAAGTGGGGGAGATCGAACAAGAGATCGAAGAACACAAGTATGGGACAATGGCCATATATAATGTTAAGGGAGATATACTGATCGGTTGCTAGACTTGTCACGGAGACACTACAGCCATTGCCAGAAGACCGGAAATGTTTTCGTCTGGTCAACGGCGTACTGGTTGAGAGGACTGTGAAAGATGTATTGCCTGCGTTGAAGACGAACTCGGATGGTTTGAAGCAGGTGCTTGAGGAGCTACTAAAACAATACAAAGGCAAGGAAGACGAGATGAACAAGTGGAAGGTAAGGATGGTCTCCAGACTCTATACCATGGCTACACCTGGTCTAACTGATTTGATAGAAAAAGCACAACATTCAAGTGGTGCAAAACTAGGACAATGATGTTCTACAGGATGATTGGGATGACGGGGTTCCTGGGTTCCAGACGACAAAGTGTGTTGCGGTTGTGTATCAGCCTTGATGCGTCGAAGAAGAGACAGCCAACACGTGCTCAGGGACATCAGACGAGGCTGAAGTCACTCATTGGCAGTCACGCACTCGCGGTCACAATTCACGTGCAACATGAATCTTGTAAAGCGGCACGAGGATACTGGCCTTTCTTTCTTTCCGCTTCGCATCGCCTCAGCAATCACCCTACGACAGTGGTCCTCGCTTCTGGCCGACACCAGCCTGGAGCAACTCTCGACACTGGAATCTTTTCCTCCGTAAGTCTCTCCTCTTCAACTGCCTGACTGAAAAATTGCCTAAGATATCAATATCCAGGCAAAGGACACGGTTCAGATGCAAAGACTGTGTCCAGATAACCCCCCGCTGATACCAGTGTTCATTTCGTTCGCCTCCTGTCACTTTTGGGAATTCCTCCCACCCTCCCCTCAGATTCGATATTGTTCTCCACACATCGTCACCCTTCCGGAAGATGATGTCTACCACTGCCACCAACAACGCTCTCGCTGGCCGAGAAGACCAGGACAACCCTCACAATGGCACTCACCGTCTTCTCTTTCCTGGGCCTCCATTTACATGCCGACCCAAGCTGTTCTGTTGCCCTGTCGCCGAGAGCAACTACTCACATTTGCCTCGAAGCTTTGTCAACCCTGGCCGTCACTTGATGAACCTTCAGCTTCGATCATTCCTCGAGTGTGCCGACGACCCCAAGCTCGAGATTCCAAAATGCGACGTATCCCACATCGTTGAAGTGACAACTAGAGTTCTGCATAATCCCTCCGCTGGTCAATCGGACAGTCAGCTGCCGCAAGAACAATGGAATGTTCGGGCAAGCATGGGCTACAAAGAACCCTTTGCCATCAACACTCCACCACTTGAGGAGGAAGAGGGGGTGTGCATTGCCATGCATGATCAAGACATGCAAGAGGACATACCATATTCTACATACCAGGCCATGTCAACTCGTCACTTCACCACTCAAAGTAGTAACAAAGCGTGGCAAATCCCTCCCCATTCACGACAATATCGAGACTCTCACCCGGAGCCATATCACACTAGGAGCCGGACTGAAAGATATATGGAGATCCCACCTTTCAAAAGTATGCCCTACACGTCAGATGGATCTTCGTCAATGACTTCAGGAGCAATGTCAGCCCGTCCATGGATACCTTCTTGCAGCATGCTGATGTGGTGCACCCGCCACAACATGTTCTACGAGGTCCACGTGCTATCATGAGGATAAATATTTACTTGATTCGCTTTCTTGGAGACGTGGCTGGTGCAGGCTGGTGCAGTGGTTGACAGTTCTGATGGCTATGCGCTAGTGCGGGACTTGTACTCCGTACCCAAAAATGGCACCAGTTGCTGAAAATCACCTCATCAGATATCAAGGGTGACGGAATAGGTAGTTGACTCAAGTGCAGGGGTGCGGCCATCACTCTTTATAAGAACGTTGGTGTGGCCCTTGCTTTAGCCATCAATGCACCCCATAAATAGCCTGGTGTTAGCAAGGCCAGGCGCCTCAAAATGTGAAACTAGTCGGCAACCATGTGTTTTGGACTTGAACTAAACCTTGCGCGAGCACGATGGACTACCGAGGCACTACTCGTACGAGTAAGTTCAACTAGCAAACTAGTACCATGATCGGGAAAATCCTCACGGATTAACGGGGTGCCCCATGGTGAGAGCATGCCAAGGACGTTCGCCCTCTGACACAATAATAATTATTGACGAAGTAGCTTCTTAGTACGGGATAGGTGTCACAGGTCATAATGACAGTTAGTACGCGTGCTCCCAAGGCCCACAAAAGACAATGCTTGGGCCCCTCGGCACGCAGGGAGCTACGCTATTCCGATCCACACTGAGGGAGCACTGTTCACATATGTACCCCTATGTACATAGCAGGCATGATTAGTTGGATATTATTGTCATCACAAACGTTTGAACTAACTACTTAGCCCAGCCTCGCCGCGTTCGGAAAGGTTGATGAGGATTTTAGAGGTATTCGGAGTGTCAATATTATCCACCCTAGATTCGAGCATATTAGGCTTCAACATTTTCCCATCTCCACAACGATGGCGATTTGCAGTTGCAGCCTCTCGCCTTCCGGTGATGCTAGCTTCGCGATGATGGCCCGTGTGCGATTCCGTCATTGAATACGGATTTGTCATTTTGTATAGTTGACCGCCTTCTTCAAATGGCCGCGCCACGATCATCGCTGTCCTGCGATTTAGATGGTGCGACAAGAGGGATTGAAATGGTGCTTTCCGAACGAAGGTCCTGGATGTGATTAGACCCGGCGCCGCTAGACAGCATATTTGATATGTCGAAGTATCTCAGCAAAAACCGAGGACGAAGCTGCCTGTCATCGGGCGCCTTAGAACGAGTGACTCGACTCACCGTCCTCTGCCCATAGAGCGTAAACAAACCGATGGCTTGTGAGAGGCCGTGAAGATTGGGGTTTGGTTGGGTGTTCATCCGTGTAGCGGTGCGCCTTGTACGACAGAAGTCCGCTATGGCACAAGTTGCCTTCTACCAGTGGCAAGGACAACCTCGAACCAGAGGAGCGGCGCCTCGTCTTCCACATCTGTTGTTGGAAAACGGCCAGTAACATTGAAGAAGGCTGGATGCATGCTCCCCGTACGGTAATGCTGGGAAAGCGGCACGAGCCGGGTTGGCTTCTTACCTGAGATTGCCTCAAGAAACAATCTTCACCACGACAGTCTCTTGGACGATGTCCCTAGTGGTCACCATAGTGGCTGGTGCTGTATTCTGTGAGTTTTTGCTTCCTGTGCATTCATTTTGTCGCCTTCGCCGGGGAAAAAGAACACACTCTATGACCTCAGTTAAGGAAAGGACTTTGTCAAAAGTTGTAGGTTAGCAGAAAGGTAGCCAGCAAGCAGTCGGTGTCACAACCACGTACGGCTACTCAACGAACACGAACAGCCTCCTGTTTAGGTCGGGTGCATGGCGCCACGTAGGAGGTGCGACGCGTGCATTGTTACTCGTTGTTCAACAAGGCTTCTTAGCGAAGTAGGAATCTTGAAGGGCAACCAACGCAAACAGGAGCGACCATGCCGACAGTTCTGAATAACTGAGCTGCACCAACGCACACAGGTAAAGTACTTAAGCCTTGCGGATAGATGATTTGCAATTTCGTTTATTCGCGTAGAGCATTTGGGGCACCTAATTAAGGTAGGTACTCGTAGCTATATCATCCGTCCGTGGGTGTTACTGTTGCTAGAAGCAGCGTACTCCGGACCCAACATCGTTCAGAATACTAGGCGACGGTTGGTCGACGTGCCAAGACGCCAAGAATGGGATGGGTCACGTGATTGATATGGTGCAGAAAATAGTATGTATTATTGCTCGTACCCTGTAAGTGCCTAGCATCCCGAATCTTCGGTTTATCGATAGAGTTCCCGATACGAGGGCAAATTAATCGATAACGACACAGGTGTGGTTATTCAATGCAGACCCCACTAGGCCAGCATTGAGCGAAAAGTATATTGAAAACTTTACATGATTTGGCCTGGTCGGCAGATGGAGGGAAGAGAAGAGAGGATGCTTAAGGCAGAGCCTGGCAACCCCTGGAGGGGGAAAAGGTACGTACCTGGATGAGACAAGCCCGGGGCCGGTCCCTGGGCTATGCTTGAACCAAGCAACAGCCCCCAAGCAACGGCGGGATCGGTTGTACTATCCTCTCAGGAAGAGAGCACCTATCAACGGAGTACCCGAACACCCCTTATTACCGTTGAGTCTCTCAGACCATTCTCGAGGCCTTCTCAATTTCCAAACAGTTCAAAGCAGAATCACGGCATACACCACAAAACCACTCGCCGAGGTACGTAATCAGCCACCCCTTCAAAAGCGTTTAAGGTCGTGGGTGGCTGTCTAGCCCTGCGTGTCTGCTTCTCCCTGCGAACCGGTTTCGGTGGCTCCTTGCTCGATTGGAGATGGATCCGCACGTCGCCACGTTCTGGACCATTTGCAACAGTGGCCCCAGGGGGCATCTCGCGTTCCATTGACAGGGGGCCATGGCCGCCCATCCTGGCGTGGCGGCACGTCCAAACAGGGATACGGGCACGTCAAATGCAAATCGGTTCCATCCGTCTGCGTCACCCACCCCCCTTCACTGGGGCATCCAGGCCATCAAGGCCCACCTATTGGTCTTTTTCGACCATCGGCCATGGACCACCATCTCAAGCGCCGCCCATGTACGCCCTGGTCGTACTGTACCTACTGTAGGTCATGGGCTCATGGCCCATCAGCAACAGGTCCACCTCAATCCAAGCTCACGCTCGAGGTCGACTTCAAGCTCAGCAGTCGACTTCGATATTCCACATCGTGGCTTCATGTCCCCTTCAGTTTGTGCCACATTCGTATTCTACTGGCTTATCTTTCCTTCTTCGTGACCTGCACGGCCGCCTTCCAACGGAAATCTGCAGCCACATATCTATTCTCCTAACCAACGACCGGCAGGCTTTTGAGCACAGTTGTATACTAGAGGTACTCGGCGGCTTCGAACTCGAGCTCTTCGGGCCAAGCAGCCGACTCACCATTTCCTTAGACTGTCCGCTTAAAACACCTCTTGAGGACAAGCGCCCTGTTGACGTCCTCCACCATCCTTCTGCTAGGTTCCGTTTGAGCTTCGATAGGTTCCGCTCGCCTCCCATCTCTAGACCATTTCCTAATATCTTCTCGACTCACCACCAAGCTTCAATCGCCTTCCCGCAACTCTCTTTTTCTTGTCTACAGCTCACACTCGTTATTGCAAGTTTGCGCTGGATTCAGAATCGCTCGAGTCGTTCCGAAACTCGTTGAGATTTCAATCAGCTGCTTTCAAAATTCGCCTCGCCTTTGTCATTCGCTCACACTTTCGAAAACCACCAAACGCCAGTTAGAAGGTTTGGTATGTCACACAAGAAGTAACCATTCGCGCCAGCCTCCTCTTGCTACCGCTATTTACCTCTCGACTGCACATGATTTCATCTCAAGCGCGAATTTCACTATTACTTCACCCGTGACTGGGGTGAGCAATCTTACTGTCCCAGCGTTGGTGACGGAATAAAGTGACTGTCGAGGAAGTGTCACAAGGCGGTCATCTTTGTATATATAAAGCGCGAAAGAAAGGCACTCAGTCTTCTTCTCTAACCATCCATCGATTCTCAGAACTCTTCGACAATCTCTACCAAGAGCTCTCAAAATGTACGACCTCGTCACAATAGCACTATTTGTGCTTTGCATGATTGGACTCACTTCAACCACTCCAGTTGCTCGCAAATCACTCAACCCCAACTATCTCAAACCTCGATCCCCGGTTTCCAACGCCGCTTTTGCATCCGACTGGCCCACCAATGTTGTTATGGTTGGAGGTTCTCAGAACTATGGTCTCTGGGTTCCAGTCGACGGGACATGGTATGATTTCGAAAACATCCAATGTTTGGGTCTCCCGGCGTATGCTCTCGGCGACTGCAATGACATCACGATAGATCAAATTGGTGTTGTCGCTGGAAACGGGCCTTGTTCCTTCGTCGGTAATGCCGGTTGGGCCAGAACACTACAAGGCACAGCTGGAGAGGGATTCTACACAGTTGGACCTCCTCAAACCATCATTCGCGGAAAATGTGGCAATCTCACATGAGATTCGTCTTTCGAGTTTCCTCTGAAGCGATCCGATACGATACAGTACCAATCAAAACGATTGTGATATGTGATGAATAGACTGCTCCTTTCAGCAAGCGAACAAACGATTTAGGATTTTGCTTACAGAGTCTATTTGGTTGTTCTTTTCCGCACCTCAGCAATTTCATCCTACAACGGGGGTCTTACATTTTTCCAGCAGGGCTACCACGACATTTGACAAACACGAACGTCTCCATTCATTCGGCGGTCTCAAGACGACCCAAACGAAAGCGAATTGGTACCCTCTTTTCCATCAAGCCTTTCAACGCATGCGACACGAAACGGCGATTATACGTTCAGTCGCCGATTTTGCAACAAAACGCATTTCGCCACATCCCACATGATTGGATAAATCGACTCGCCCAAAGACCAAAGCACCAGATCCTTGGCGCTTGTTATCATTTGTTCTGCATCTGCTGATCGACTGGGTACGGTTACTGCACTCCGAGCTCCGTACGTGGATCGGCGCCCCAGTCTGTTCAACCGCAGTACATAGTAACGCAGATCCTGTGGCTGAGAGACACATGGCAAACCCAGCATCGATCAATCAATCAACACCATCGTCGTCTGACTCGGAAATCGACAAAAATTGAAACCAGCTATATAGTTCTGTGGTACCCCACCCAAAATATGGAAATCTTCTTGCGCACGACCGTTGTATCGCAAGGCTCTCTCTCTCTCACACACACACCTTGCTGGGTAGTCTTTTACTTGCCCGTGATGTATCAACCCAGTCCTATACTCGTTTAGTAGTAGCACTTGGCAGCCCAGTCGCGATCAGCGGCGTCCCGTATAGTACGTTATTAATCGTATTCTCGTCGCCCCTCTTTTCCCTTGTCTTCCCCCCCCATTTGCTCTAAGCTTCTGGTCGCCTTCATGCGTAGCACACAGAACGTGTAGTCAGCCCTCCTTTCCGCGGCGTGGAGGGGTGGGAAGGACCCCGATCCGAATACGCGGAAAATTTCACGGTGAGTTGTGACGAACTCGAGGCCCTCGTATTGAATAATCACAGTCAGATTACGAGGGAGGCTGAAAATGTGTGCTGTATGTACGCCCAGCCTAACTCCCCACTCCTGAGCTCTAAACTTCAGCCAACTTACAGCAAGGTAAGGTACCGCGTCCGACCCGTCTCGTATAATCCCGACCTTGTATCTCGTACTCGACGTCCCTGGTCTGGTGGTGGTGGTGGTGGTGGTGGTGGTGGTGGTGGCGCCTCGCACCTAACTAGGGCTACTGTATACAAGGACTTCCTCGGTATCTAACTGCAGCAGCCCAGATGTGCGTTCCTCAGTCCTCCTTCCTATCTCCAAATTACGCTTTCCCATGCCCGAGCCCTACCGTATGCCTGTTCCCCAGTCCCCCCTCACAAGAGTGCGCAGCCATTCTAGATATGCGCAAACCACTCTTGGTAATTAATGTCCAGAGTCCAGACTTCCTCCTCCAGAAGAGAACAACAAGCAAAGAGCGAGAGGGCGGGGCAGAAGGGAGCATTGGAGAACCATCCGCCACACCAACCTCAGCCGTGAGTCAGCCTCGGCCTCCTCCTTTTTCATATCGATCATCCGTCATCACGGTTGCCCCCTGTCCCTCGCTCCTCGTCACCAGACATCATGATACCCCACTGTTACAGGACGCGCAACTACATAGCTTCCTCATGTACACGAGTATGTACATATCTAGAGTCAGGCGCGTTTACGTAGTTGCTTCACGCGTACTAGAATGGCCCCCACACGACAGACACATCGCGGCGCGAAGGATCGCGTAGGATTTTCGCAGTGGCGCTCCGTCCCTAACACCTAGGTGCTTGATGATACGTACGCCGGATCCTTGTTCTGGGAAGGTACTTGGCCTTGCCCTCGGTCCAAAGCTCTGTACTTACGGAGTCTCTCCTCGCCCTGGAAGAGAGGCTGCAGGGAGTGGGAAGGGAGGAAGGGGGAGGCCAAGTGATACCAGCGCGGACCAATAGCAATGGGTGAGCAATAGGATCGGACAAGAACCCGAGATGCCATTTATTTGCTGTGCTTATTGTACTTTACTGTACGTGAAAGGTCCACCAGAAAGAAGTGTACATGTACATGAAAAGAGAGAACCCCCTGCACACCATCCGCAGAACACCACGCTCTCCTAAAAGGAAACAACTCAAAACAGGAGATGGGTAGGGAGTTGAGGGCAATATAGTTAGTCGATTCCCGATCGGCCCAGTCTAGGTCAGAACAATCCTGAGAGAAAGATCATGCTGCCCTGGCTTTGTTCTCATTCGCTCCCGCTCCCGCTCCCGCTGCCGTCGTCTTTGTCTTTGTCTTCGCTGCCTTCGCTTTAGCTTTAGCTTTTGCCTCTTCTTCTCTGACGACCTCTCCAACAACAATCCTGCAAAGCCAGTGCGCGAGTTGTTCGACATTCCAGCCCCAAAGCACCTCTTTCTGTTTCCCATGCTCTGCCTCGGCTTCTCCTCGACGGGAGTCTGATGCAAACACAGGAAACACGCCATAATCCATCTCAACCTCCTGCATGAACCGCTCGATGACCTCACACTCTCCCTCGCCGAGCGTCCAGGTCATGACCCCACGGTCGACCCCCTGTTCCGACTCGTCAATCTCCATTTGCGTGCCTAGCAAGCGCCGCACGGAGGGACGGATATGTCTCGGGGCGTGGAATTTCGGGCGGAGAGACTTGCGGTAGATGATGTGTAAGGTGCGGAAGTGTGTGTTGGTGAAGGTCCCCGTGGTTGCGAGAGGGCTGGTGGTTGAGCGTGTCGGGTCAGATGGGTATGAGGGCGGGAGGAGGTATGAAGGTAGGTTGATGCCATTCGGGGTAGTAAGTGATGTGTTGGTGGGCTTAGAGCTGTTCAAGGAGGTTGAGGGAATTGAAGATACTGTCTGTGTCCAGGCTGGGTGGTTGGCCGGATCCTCTTCCGCAGTGACGGAGTGTGGGTTACTTGACTTAGTCTGAGTCGGCATGCTGGGACTGTCGGACTGCTGAACAAGTTGTGATTCTGTACTTGTCTTGTTCTTGCCCCAGGCCCAATTACTCCAGCCAAATTTCGAGTCTGAACGAACTGGCTCCGGACGAGCTTCCACAGGCGTTGCCTCTGGAATCTGTTGTGGGCTTGATTCTTGCTCGTTCTCAGCCACGCTTTCATCCTCATGTGCTTGTAGCTCCCTGCCCAGCTCCTCTCGTAATTGTTCTGCCACGGAATCATCACTGCCAGATTTCATGCTGAAGCTGCTCTCCAATCCGTGAATATCTACACCTCTCGACCGCTCACTGAAAATCACTTTTCGACCCTCTGTTGGGGTGTCTGCTCTCGCAAAACGCATGTCTTGACCAAAGGTCAACCGAGACCCTTTCATGGCTGAACGTGGTGTTGTGGGTCTGGGAGGTGAAGAATCAGACCTGGTGTTCGTGTCCTTGAATGGCGATTGCAACCGTACTGGTCCATGTCTGTCATCGCCTTGCATTTGTGGTAATGTCGATGCATCAATGGAGGAATCATCAAAATTGACTGGAATTCTCAAAGGAGGTCCTGGTGACGAAATAGCATCAGGTTCGCCAAAGGTGGTATTGTTGGTATCTCGAAGCTGCTCTTCTTGTCTGGTTGAGGTCATGCTGTGGTCGACTGTATCGGCTTCATCCATTTCGCGAGATGTTTTTCCATTTTCAATGGTCTTAAAAAACTTTGTCCCCGTCAAATCAAGCCTTGCGTCTTGATCCTGCTGCTTCTTGGGAGAGCCGAGCATCAATTCGATATCAAATTTACCACTTCCCCTCCTGGGTCTCAATTGATTTTGTTCTGAATTCCTAGCACCAATTTTGGCCAATCCATCCTGCTGATGGTCCCAGAACGATATGCCAGTGTTATCGTCTAAGTTGGGAGAGAGCAGGACTGATGGTTCTTCCGGAGGATGTACATCGTCCCCTCTTTTCCAAGGACTTGGAATCAAACTTCGTCGTGGTCGACTCACCACTTCACGAGCGACTTCTGGCTGCTGCTGTTGCCTTGGTTTAGGGATTAATCCAGCCTTACCAGGTTGGACAGATTGCTGTTGATGAGTGTGCGGACTAGAAGAGTTTCTTGCTTCCGCCAACCAAATATCTTCTTCATCATCATCATCATCATCATCATCATCATCATCATCATCATCATCATCCAATATTGAAGGGATGGGTTCGGCTTCAAGTGGTTCGTCAATGTCGTGGGCCATTTCGATGTCAGCCGGCATGCTCGTTGCCCCCTGACTCTCGTCATCATCACTGTTAATGACAATAACTTGGCTCTCGCTGGCATTCTGGATTTGTCGTGAGATGGCTTCCCTCTCTAGCTGCCACTCACGCTCACGGCGAGCCTGTGTGTCCATTAATTTCTGTTCATGTTTTCGTGAGACCGGATTCTGCGGCGTTTGAATGAAAGAGCTGTGACAACTTGTTTCCTTGGGGATTGCTGGGTTTGATATCTGAACTGGTGTACGCTGGACTGTTGTCTCACCACGCCAGATCTGTGTCTGTGGTTGACGCCTGATAGCTACCTGACCAACTTGCTTTTCGAATACAGGTGCACCAACCTTTGTAGACCATGGTTCAACAAAGGCGTTCTTGGCCTCATTTTGGGTCGGTGGACTAGAAGATTGTCGTTTGGCAAGCTCCTCGCCAAATCGAAGTCCTGCACGAAGTTCACGTTTTGTCCCAGCATCAAACCCTCCAAATATTCCATCGTCTTCCACACTTCGTGTTGTGGGTGCTTTTCCTCTCGCTGAACTCGGGTGGCTAGGATGATCAGGAGATATAACGTCTTGCAACGCGATACCTGCAAACACAGCTCCCGCAGATCCACGGTGTTGATGTTGTGGTGTCCTCCGAGTCACTTGTTTCGGTGGAGATGGAAGCTTGGGAGAGGAAATTGTAGTAGGAGTAACTTTGCGAAGGTTCGATGTTGGTATTCGAAGCAGACTTTTCTCCTTCTCTGAAACCGGAGGTGATGATGGTACAGTGCTAGACAGTTCAGTCTCGTCGATATTCAGGACCGGATAATCGATAGTCGGTGGAGGTTTCGCTGCCTGCTCAGCGCTGTCAGTGCTCTCCGATTTAGCATCGACTGCACTCGACGATGTTTGCGGGCTTAATATGGACTGCTCTGGGGCTCGATCATTGGGCTCCGCTGCATCTTCGATAGGGCTGAGATATTGCCTTGCTGAGGGGAGAGTGTCCAGGTCGATCATTGTGAAACCTTCACTCTCCAAAACTGTATCAAGGCCTGCGTGTGCTACTTCGGGGATGCCTTCTTCGTGGCCAACCACTCCAAAATCGTCAGAACCACCATGATAGGATGATGTAGGCGAAGGAGTTGGGTAACTGATCGCGCTGTTAACCGACACTTTGCGGACATCGACAGGCTTATTGGTTGGGCTTCTGAATGGCTTCCCCGGCAGTAAGCCAGAGTTATTGATTTCCTGGTGTTCCTCCATTGTGGATTTGGTTGACATAACACGCTGCCGCACCGAGACTCTGTTGAGGTCAAGTTGGCGTAGCTCTGGGGATCCTCTTTCTGACAAAGATACTTCTGGCTTATCACATTCATCATTCAACGCAGTATCGGAATCCTGCCTAACTTCGAACTCCGCAGCCGACTGTCTCCTTCGGGAGGGTTTTGCAGGAGATGAGTCTGTGCCAGGGTCGCCATCTATTCCTAAAGAATTCTTTCGAGTGCGATTGCTCCTTCTCTTGCGCGGGGAAGACTTCTTCTTCTGTTTCGTCCAATCGTCGCTATCGGCATCGTCGCCCAAAGGCCTCGCATCGAGATCTGTCACACTCACTCTTCTGGTTCGGCTATTGCCTCTCTGTCGGCGAACAGGGGTGGGGCTTCGTTTGCTCTTGCTAGGTGGCGATTGGGACTTTCTCCCTCTGGAAGACAAAGCTGCACCTAGAGGTGGAGAGTCTTGTCGCAACGGCACCTTCATAGTTCGCGTCATGGTTCTCGTGGCCGGCCCTTCAGAGTCCATGTGTTCGGCTTCGGCTTCGACAGTGACTGTGATTTTCCAGGGACTGAGATTTTGTTCAGACACCGTCCGAAAAGGGGATGACGGGATTGGGATGTGTTCAAGCGATGCTGCCCTTGAATTCGTCCCCTTATTTCGGGTCACGGTGGCAGATTGTTTTCTTGGGGAGCGAAGGTTTCCATGAGTGAGATTGGTTTTGTTGATTTCGTCATTAAAAGAGGATGCAAGAGGATCGGGAGAACTGAGCTCGTCGTCTCTGAAGGTGGTGCTCGTCGAAGCCGGCCACATCGTGGTGGATCGAACCGTGAGTCTGTGTGGAAATTGGTTGTGGTTGGACTGCGTGCGCCTATCGGCACATGATTTGAAAGAGGATAATTATCGTTGACATCAACGGAATAGTCGAGCTCTTCTCTCGTCTATGTACTTACGCATCTAATTCTCTAACGCATAAAATAAATGCTGGCAACTGATGCATACGCTGAAACAACAGCCTGGGCCTGAACCCATATTTTCTGGTTGAGTTCAATGTTTGTTTACGATGACGTCGCTTTGAGAGCTTGTGATTGGCTGTAAAGAACACGCGACTTTTGTTTGGCCCCTTCGCTCTGACCCCAGCGCTTTTTTTTCCATTATTAGACAATAACCCTCGAGTTAGCTTGCCCATTCATTATATCTCATTCTCATCATAAGTATCTTCTTATGCTCCGTTCCGACATCCCATCTTCTAAAAGGTAGAGAAGTCATAGGTTCCATAGTTCACTGCGGGTCCGCTCTCGGGTGAGAAGATCTCAAGATCGGTAACTCCCCACTCGGGGTTGTTGATTCCGTCAATCCACACTTGGGGCTCGATGGCTATGCATCCGTATTTGTTGACAAACTCCGAAGCGGTTGTGCTTCCATTGTTTCTATCCTGTTGGCTCTGCTTGACAGCGATGTTGCCCTTCTGGCCATTACAGGTGTAGATCTGCATGCCAATCTGGTTGGTCGAGATGTCCATCTGAATGCCAGTGGTGTCTGACCAAATGGACAAGACTGGATAGCCCGTCGAGGTGGCGCCTGCATCGACTGGTCTATCATTGATGAAGGCGTTGTCGACTCCTGTGCAATTGTTTCCACACAGACCTTGGGCACCCTTGATAGATTCACCAAGCAGCTTTGGAGAAGTAAAGTCTAGTGCAGGCACGGTATCGACAGTGCCAATAGCACCAGTGGGGATAAGGATAGGGTCGACCTCGATGTATCGATCCGCATAGGGCATCCACAATTTAGTATCGTTCAACATGGTCTCTTCCTTGAAAGCATTTAAATTCCAGTAGAAATGTGTTGCTAGCATAATAGGTGTTGGCTCGTCGAGGGCATGGGACACGAGTGAGGTGGTAAGTCGCGGTCGCATTTCTCCTTGTGGGCCACTTGGATAAGCCGCCACTGTATAGGTAGCAACTGTAAGGACGGTTCCCGGGAAGCCTTCAAATCCAGTGTCAAGCAGACTAAATGAGATGCTTGAGCTTGACGCCGACACGACCGTCCAGTTCCTTTGGTCATATCCTACAAGACCTCCATGGAGGGTGTCGGAGCCGTTGTTCTCGTTCTGTGGGATCTGGTAGGTATTTCCGTCAATGGTAAAGGTGCCATTCTTGATGCGATTGGCATATCGACCAACAATGGCACCGAAGAAGGTGTGGTTGTTTTCCGAGTCGATCACATACTCTGCGCCGGTATCATAGCCGGGGGTAACGTCCTGTTCAGCTCCATCTCGATCAGGCACGAGGAGAGAGATCAGACGGGCGCCATATGGAATGAACTTGGCCGTAATGTTCTCTGCTGCGATGGTGTAAATCGCTAAAGGATCATCTGTCGAGGACGGGCCGCCGGTGTGTGTGGGAGACTGTGCATTGACTGGAGCTATGGCGGCGCAAGCGACGATGGCTTGGATCAGGTGAGACCACATTTTGAGCTATTTTATTGATTCTTGGGCCTCTTGGATGGCAGTGTGCTTGCGACAAGAACATCAAGTGAGCTTGCGGTTGCGAAATTATAAAGAATTTCCCCAAACATCCCAACGGGGTGCGGTGTGGTGCGGACCCTGCTATACTTGGGGGAATTCTGTCACCTCATGTTGCGACATGTGGTCATCGGGTGGGCAACGCAGTGCTGCGGTGGATGTCACGGAGCCCGCCATGGATTGAAGCGAGAGGTTGAGCAGCGAGCAGCGAGCAACGAGCAAGCTCTGGGTGCAGCTCTAGGAGCTGGGAACGGAACCTGGAAAGAAGCTCTATAGCGTGCGGGGAGTTGGTGGGCAGCCATCTTGATGCAGTAAATGCCCTGTCGATCTGGGGAAAATCCTTTAGCATGAATGGCACGATGTCACGGTGGAGGATGTGGAGGAGCAGAATTGACCGTCCGTATTCGCTCATTTGAGGCCGTGGATCACCGTTCTCAATACAACCATGCTCGATGATGTACCAGGTACGGACTTGTAATCCTCCCACAAACTCCAATCGTCCGCCACCGGCTTCTTGCCAGCTTCGGCTACGAGTCTATGACTGATTACGGCTAAACTTCTGACTTCTTCTGGAATGCATGTGTATGTACGAGGGACCCCCGTTCCAATTGTCATTCTCTTATGGGGCCAATCATCGTGACATCGTAAAGTACATTGAGTCGGCCGCGGTGTTGGCGACTGGGCTCGGAAAATCTCCTTCTGATGCCGTACTCTGGGTGTGTAAGCCACCCCAGACTTTGCCCATGTAATCGCGGCCCGCCGGAGTGACCACCACGTCGTTTGGATGGCCGGTCCATCCATCACAAGCTACAGCATTTACCCCGGCTTCCCTCCCAGCCTTCTTCAGACCTTTGGAGCCGTTCGTGCGTCGACATCCACCATGTGAATGTCCAGGTACACCGGCCAGTCCGGCGCAAGATTGCTTCGGGATTCCGAGAGAGGTTTGAGCGCTTCTTCGATAACCTTCCTGTCGACTTGCCCAGGTGCTTGTGATTCGCCCTGTTGGATCTTCAGCATGTCCTCATCGATTTCCTGCTCCATCAGACGACTCGGTTGAGGGAGGAACGTCCCAGCTCGACCTTGGTGGGTGTGCAGGGTCGCGTACGGCAGTGCAGGGCGTGTAGCTGCCTTGTCTGCCAGGTCACTGAGCGAGTTGAGGCCACCCAGACCACCAGTGGTCCTTGTAGACCTCGTGATATGCACGTTGTGGCTTGCTGAACGTTCCATCTCGGGCGCTCCAAGCTCTTCATCCTCCTCCGAGCCCGACTCGTCATCTGAGCCTTCATGCTTGTCTGCATCGTCTCGTCCACGCCTTCGAGTATTGCCTGTTTCACCCTCCTTGCGTGATGTTGTAAAGAAATGCCGAGCTGCAATTTGCGCCTGGTGAGATTGAAAATTGAGTTCCTTGTCGGTGAAGAGGGTGTGGACAGAGTAGACAGGTGCAGTTTGGGGCGCAAGCCCTGCTCGAGAGCGTTCTGCGGGGGTTGAGATACCATTTCGTGAGGGTGATCCAACGTCTTCATCGACGAATTTTCGCTTGCGTTTGCTGGTAGCATCCCCGACTCCATTGAGGTCCTCTTGTTCTCGATGTCGGGTGAATCTTGTTTTCCGACTGACTGGTTGGCTTCCTGGACTAGCAGGATTCGTAATACTAAATTGGCTAGGATGGAGAAGTAGAGCGTTGGTGTCTGCGATATCCAGTTGTTCCTTCTCTTTCATAAGCCTTTGTCTCTTGTTCGACAGGGCTTGGAAGAGTCGCTCTCGTAGGGTGGAGGTCATGTGTTCACACTCCTCGGCGGCCAAGTGGAGTCTGTAGTCGCATTCATACTGGAGGCGTTCCAGACGAGCGTTGTGATTGTTCTAGTGTCGAATGTCAGCGACGGAATACACCTCGCAGGATGGGAGATAACGTACCATTAGCTGGATAAGGGCGAGTTCTTTGGCTTCCTTGGCATCGTTGACTTCATGGACGAATTCTGCATACCATTTACCCGCGAGAGAAGACATTTGCGACTGATAAGGGGTGCCGGATGCTGCTAGTTCTGCAATTCGAGCGACCTCTTCAGGTGAATCCTCAAGAGGCTCGGGGTCGTACGGGTCAGCCTGCGATATGAGGCTCATGTCGGTTTGGAGAGCAATGAGTTGTTCACGATAATGCTGTTCTCGATTAGAAGACAGCTCGTGATAGAGCTCTTGCTGGTGAGCGACATGTTGATTTCGACGTTTGTCTCGTTTAGACAAGGGTTGCGTAGGAGGCGTGGGCGAACGATGGGGAGGGTACAAGGAGTTATCAGGATTCGCGTTGAGTGTGGGTGAGGTAGGGGAGGGTGAATATGCCATGATGACAGAGGCAAGCGATGCGGAGCGCCTTGCGCTGTCAGACTTGTCTCGAATATGGACTGACAGAGGCGGGCATGTAGTAGAACGAGGTGTTGAAGAAATGCGTGTCCTGGAGAGTTTTGGCAGAGGGAGGATCAGATGTGAACAGGGCACAGCGGAATGACATCGGCTGCTTCTCCAAATCTGGCTCTTCCGCCACGGGATGCAACTTAGCCGAGAATGTCTACGCGCTATCTCGCACTAAGAGACACTAAGAGACACTAGCGCCCACTAACAAGTTGCAGCATATTGATATTCTTCTTACAACCGGAACAATATCAGCTTGGGAGGCAATCCCTACCATTTACTTCTCTTGATGGGTTTAGAAACACGAATAGACATAAGCAGTCCAGAGTCCCGGTTTCAATTTCGACCACATCGGACGAAATCACAATTGGACTTCGATCTCGGTGTACCGAGTACTCGTGCCCTTAGAATCGCGCAAATATACAATCCTACAGATCTTAGCCAAACCCACAACGCCAGTCACAATACGAAGCTTCTCACAGTGATTCTCGTAGATCTTCCCAGAGTGCATGTATCCCAGTATTTGTTGCACGACGTTGACCTACTCGTAAGCGGACCAGCGATGTCCTTCTGATCTCATGCGGCGGGCCTCACCCCTGGACGGGAAATCCAGTAGCACCACACTTAATTACCCCTCGAACCCCTCCTTGAAGTGGAAACCAAGTATTTACCCACATATTATACACCCAGGGCCAGCCAACATCTGAATCTTGACCTCTGAATACATTCTCTGCCAACTTCAATTGCATCCCCAGCGTTCTTTGAGCGCTCCCAATTTCGTGGGAAGGAATAGTAGAGATATATTCAGCGGACACATCATTAATCATAGAGATACCTTACATCCAGCCGAGCTCGAGCCTCTACAGCAATGGCACCAACAACCATCATTCACTCGGTCCTCCTTTTTGACGGCAATTCGATTCACCAGGATGCTACAGTCTCTTTTGACTCCTCAACTGGATTGATTACCTCAGTGTCCAAGGGGACGCCGTCCTTCCCAGAGGGTGCCAATGTGGTCGATGGCTCAGGCCATACTCTTCTCCCTGGACTAATCGAATCGCACATGCATGTCCACGGCCTACATCTGCCAACAGGGTCTGATGAGAACGACATACTCCGTAGCCCACTGAGATGCGGTGTCACCACAGTGTGTGATATGCATTCGGACCTCGATGTTGTCAACAAATGGCGGAATCGCATCGCAGATGAATTGAAACAAGCCAGGTCTGGATGTGGCACTGTATCCCTATCGGATCTGCGAACTGCGCTTCTAGGAGCAACAATTCAAGGCGGGTGGCCTGGCCCGATCGTATTAGGCCCCAACCCAACAGATGAAGTAAATTCCTATTCCCCCCATGTGCTAACGTCCTTTAACTCTGACTTGCTGTAGTTGAAAGCTTATGTGAGCACGTGGCCCACCTTGACGGAAGCAAACGCGGCAGAATTTGTGAAGGAACACAAGGCTAATGGGGCAAACTACATCAAACTCATGCAAGAGAATTGCTGCTCTCTGGCGTTACCGACGAACTCCATTCCTTCCGCAACCCTCGAGCTGCAGACGGCTGTTGTCAAAGCAGCTCATGCCGAAGGCTTACCAGTCGTTGGACACGCAACCAGCCTAGAATCAACAGAAATCGTCCTCAATGCTGGTGCTGATGGCCTCACGCACACATTCATTGACCAAGCGCCACCTCAGAGCATCATCGATCTTTACAAAAAGACCAATGCATTCGTAATCCCGACCCTCGTGGTCTTGAGCAGTTTGACCGGAGAGTTCCAAGAAGAAAGAGAACGATTTGCAGAAATCGCATCTAAGCGTCGCGCAATCGATCAAGGCACCAAAGAGAATATGCTTGAATTCCTCGGATTAAAGGCGCCCGAGGCCAAGATGGAGTACGCCTTCCAAACCATCACAAAGCTGAGACGAGAAGGCATCGACGTCGTCGCTGGGACGGACGCTGTTGCCGGTCTCAAAGGAACAGCCATTGGGCCCAGTCTCTGGCAGGAGCTTGAATGGTATGTCCAGAAATGTGGGTTCAGTGTACCCGACGCCTTGAAGTCCGCCACCGCCACTCCCGCTAAGCGTTTCGGTTTCCACGATCGCGGAGTTGTGGCTGAGGGTAAGAGAGCAGATCTTGTACTTGTCAAAGGAAATGTGACCGAGAAGTTGCAGAGACTTTGGGAAGGAGAGGGCATTGTAGCTGTATGGAAGGAAGGTTTCAAGGCTTGAATCCCTTCTTCGCGGTTCACTTTTGCCAAGACCCAAATATCAAACAGTCAACACGTCTAGCAGCTTTCATTCCTGCTTCATCACTTCTATCCTGTCATCAGGTTGGCGTCTGTATTCATTTTTCATCACATACATGCCTCGTCACTTCCGCCGTGAAACAACCCACACGTGACTACTACACCGAGCATTTCATTGCAAAGGGGTTAACGCATATATAGCTGCCCGTATGCAACTGCCACCTATACCAAATGCCTGGTGCTACTGTTGACCAAGCTATGTCGGAGCAGTGATGGTACCCTTGGTGGCATTGGCGTCAAATTTGAAAAGTGCCCTTCATCATGCTCACAAGATGTCCCGCTAGTAGAGGACTGGGGCCATCACAACAAACCCTGCCGGATGACAAGATAGGCTGATCAGACTCAATCCTGCCTCTATGGAGCATCTGGAAAACTGAGCTCAATGTGATTCAACACAATATTTATTTGACAGTGACAGAAAGGATGCTTTCGATCTTAATCAGTACTGCAGCGGTCAACCGATCTAGAATGGAAAGTGAACAGGCAATTCCCTTACTTCTATTGTCTTGCTACGACAGAACTACAACCATATTTCATCGTCCAACCATCGAGACCAACGAGTGTTCTTGACCGGTTGTTTTAAGGATGCTTGGAGTGTGGACACCGGGCTGGGGCCGCCGCCTACTAAGCTTGCTCTTTGATCGCAAGCCTGGCGATGAGACGCTGTCGCCAGATGACGAAGGCAACATCGCGAGCAATGCAAGCCAGCTTGGCTTGCTTTCTGCATCTAATCATCTGGCATTTCGCCTCCCAATTGTGATCCCTGAAGATGTCGCTGACGACGCTCCTGACGTTCCTGTTGACCGTACTCTTGTCGACATTCCTAAATCAGCACAATCTCGGGCAGCAGTGGGGGATGACAAAGAATTGTATCCGAAGGGTTGCGAAGCGCTGGCCAAGTACAGAGAGATTGGCGGTCGTTTTCTTTGGTTCCGAAGATCGTTGACAGAATTTCCAGCCGGGCTAGATTCCACAGGCGGCGGTCACCCTTTTCTAGTGGTTGATTGCCAGATTTGTTGTGGAACGGGTAAAGCTTTGCTGGGGGTCTGCATGGTATGTGATTATTCCATCCTGAACAACGAAAATTTAACAAAGCATAGGTTAGATCGTTTTCCAGCGCATCTCCGGAAAGGGCACGAAGAATCGCAGATGCAGACAAATACTTGATTCCGATCTGGCCAAATGCTAAGAGTGCCTCCGCAAATCCGCCGATAGTACATATCGAATGTAACAAGACTACTCCTCGACTCAGCTGGATCAACGCAAATAAAATCTTCTACATCAAAGAAGAATGCTTTTGGACTGAGAAAAGCGGAAAATGGGGAGAGCTGCGGCTTCAACGCGGTGGCGTTCGATTGATTCGCGACGTGTTGCGGGACAATGCAAATTCAGGAATCAAGCAGCCCCCATCAATGCCTCTTGTCAGAGAAGGTGTAAACCTGGACAACAATATGCAGAAGGCCACAAGTAAGGCGGAGGATGTACCATCAGCTGAAGTCACCGCACTTCCCACTCACCAGAAGAAGTCTCACTCACCTGAAAATGCAGCGCTTACGCCTACGGAACCAACATCTGGCCCAGATATACCAGAATCTATGCAGAGTTCAACTAGATCAGCCGCTGTCCTGATATCCCCTTCGAGGACCCTTGTCGATGCCACACTCAAGGTTCCCGCTGTCACAGCCAATGACGTCTCTACTCCCTCAGGAGACAAGTTGGAGTCCACAGCCAACGGCCTAGCAGGTGTGGAAAGGAGACTTATATCATTCAGCAACCGACTCGGGTTCATGCAAGCAACCAACGTGACGACGGATGTGGAATTGGGCCATGCAGAACCAGTGACATTCCGAGAGATGCTGGAATTCCATTGGCAAGATTCATCCCTGCAACGCATGTGGGAGCAACTGTGGACCTGGATCGATGCCGCAAGCTAATTCCAGAGAAAAGAAATGGTTCCTCAAGCTTGGATACTTTTAATCTGAGTTTGTGCGTTGCCACTTTGACTCTGTTGGTCAGCGGCGGTCCTTTTGGCGGGAAGATAGGCAGGGAGAATATCTGGTCTCAACAATGTTGATGGGAAGTGACCCGCATCGCAAAGCATGAGCAGATGAAGGGGCAGAGAAGCGTGGAACCAGCTTCAGATCAGACCGGGCCCTCGATGTGATACTTACCAGGTTAGTTTGTGGAAGCCAACAGCGTACAGGGATTCCAATTGCCGAGCTCCCAACCCAAGAAACTGGATACTTGCAGACAAATCGAATTCTCCATCCACATCCACCCACTCCTCCATCCCAGCTTCTCCAAGCCACGCATCATTGCATTATCCATCTCAGATGGAATGACTGCAGGACCCGGTTTCGCGCGTGCCGGATGTTTCCTTTCCCTTTCCGCGAGGGACGTTCCCATATGCACCTAAAAGCACCACATTTACGAGCAATGCCCATCTTTCTTCAACGGCCGTCTTTCTGATCCTAGTCATGGGTGGAGTGTTAATCTTTTCCTACCCCAAACTACTACTGGCTCCAATCACCTTGTTTTCAAGTTTTTCGTTTATCGCGTGGACCGCTCGGCCCATTATACTAGGGATGACTAGTATGCGTTTTGCTGAGCTGTCACTTCGTCTTAAACCACTAGCTAGGAAACTCAATCTGCACTTGCCACGACAACCTGCCGTGAGGATGGCGGGGTGTTCGAGGGGTTTATCATGCTGTGCTACGCACGTCTCATGTCCATGAGATTCACCCCTCAAGCAACCCATTCGACAGAACATCATCCTAAGCAATAATCTCGACAAGGGACAGTGACACCCAGCTCATCAATTAAGCTCGCATTGCCAACCCAATTCCCAAGCATGATGCTAGACAACAAAGAAGAAGATCTCGAGCGACTCGCAGAGCTCTGCCTCTCAACGGCGAAACAGATCAAGGAGCACCTGGCATCGACCGGGCATCCACAGATGACGTTTGATCAGAATGGACCGCAGTTCTTCCCTCAGGACAGCAGCCCCATGGAGATCCAGCTGGCGAGGTTGAATCTCCGTGCCGCAGCCAAAAGGCTGCACGATCTCGTTTCGGGACCCGACGAGGTTGTCGTTTGGAACACTTATGATATTGTGAGTGCCTCTCCCATCTTCTACCTAGCCTATCAACAACAGGGCAGAGGGTGATCAGGAGTCGGGGCCTTGTCGCCTGTGTCACAAACCGCGCAGGTTTACACCACGATGCCACCACGAAACATGGCCATTTCACTCTGTGGACTGCCCCAACCAGCTTTGCTGGATTTGAATGAATGAAAATGAAATCAGACGACTGACTTACCACCACCACAGACCCACGACTTGAACGCATTCCGCTACGCAGCAGAATACTCGATCGCTGCCGCCGTGCCGCTCAACTCGACGATCAGCTACAGCGACCTCGCCACCAAACTCTCACTGGACCGCAAACAGCTACGCCAAATGTTACGCCAGCTAATCCAGATCCACGTGTTCAGTGAGCCCACTCTCAACCAAGTCTCGCACACCGCCTCGTCCAAACTACTGATCACGCACGAGGGTGTGGCGGCGTTCAACGGGTACATCGCACGGGACGTGTTCCCGATGGCGGCGAAGCAGTTCGAGGCGCTGGAGCACTTCGGGCACGGCAACCCGCACCCGCACGAGGCCGGGCTCAACTTCGCGTGCAAGACCAATCTACCGATGTTCGCCTACTACGAGCAGCCCGAGCAGGCCGGCGTGCGCGAGCGTTTCTCGAAGCTTATGACTTACGCCTCGTCGTTCCCGGCACTGTCGAACTCGCATCTCACGGCGGGCTTCCGCTGGAGCACCCTCCCGCCGGGGAGCACCATCGTCGACATCGCGGGCAACGTGGGCCACTGCAGCATCGCGATCGCACGGGCGACGGACCCGACCGTGAAGCTCGTGGTGCAGGACCTGCCGCAGATCGTTGCGCGCGCCAAGGACCCCGCGACGAGCGTGGTCCCCGCGGACCTGCGCGACCGCTTCACGTTCATGGAACACGACTTCTACACCCCGCAGCCGATCCAAGGCGCGGCCGTGTATTTCCTGCGCATGATCATGCACGACTACTCGGACGCGTACTGCTGGAAGATCCTGCGCCAGATCGTGCCTGCCATGGGCCCCGACAGTCGGATTGTCATCATGGATCAGGTCTCGCCGCCTGTGGGAGTGCTGCCGACGGCCATAGAGCGCATGATGCGCACCCAGGATCTGCAGATGATGCTGCTCTTGAACGCGAGGGAGAGGGATATTGGCGAATGGAATGATTTGGTGGCGGGGATTTCACAGCAGGAGGAGGGCGCGGGGAAGATTGAAGCCGTCGAGACTGCTGCTAATAGTGTAGTCGAGCCTGAGGAGCCCAAGACTGAGGAGCCCAAGACTGAGGAGCCCAAGACTGAGGAGCCCAAGACTGAAGAGCCCAAGAACGAGGAAGCAAAAGCCGAAGACTCTACGAGTGAAACCAACAGCGCACCGGCGGCGCCCGGCGGCACGGCTACTGCAGAAGCTCCTCGCGGTCCCCCAGCCAAGAGACTGGAGATCAAGAACATCGTCAGCCCACCGGGGACGATGATGAGTTTGATAGAGATTGGATTCGTGGCTGAAAACGGGACGGGTGGAGGTTCTGTTTAGGTGGGACTGAGGAGACCGCTGGACCCTGTGACCGTGGAGCACGGACCTGCTGGGGTGTGGCGATCGGTGCCATGATAGAGCTAGGGAACAGAGATAGAAACAGGGATGACTTGGTCATGAATTCATTTTGTACAGAGACTTGCGATGGAGTGGGCGAGGACACCTATATAGAGCTCAAACCCATCCATTCTCCATTTCCATCAGTTCCACCAACAGCACCAAGAACAGCAGCAGCACTCCCACGGGGCAAGAGAAGTGGGCGAGGACACGCTATAGAGCTCGAACCCAACTTCATCCTCCGCGTCCTCCTTGTGATTATTAGCAACTAGAGAAGTGGGCGAGGACACACTAGTAGAGCTCAAACCCATCTTCCGTCATTCTGAAAAAATAAATTGTAAACTTAAACCTTCAACTGAGCCGGATCAGTGATCCAAAGGACTCGTTTTCCTTCCGCACGGGCCTCTCTGTCGGCCTCGATTCCTTCGTCAAACTCCTTGTTCCAGAAAGCAATGGAGTCGTTTGTATCTTTCTGTGTCCAGTTCTGTCGGACCAGTTCTGCAATGTATGAGCTTGCAACACCAGCTTCTTCGTAGGTCTGCACTGCGACGTTGTCGAAGATGTTCTTCGCCCAGTCGTCATACTGATGTTCGCGTTGGTAATCTGTCATGCCGTCTTCGCCGACAGTCGTGTTGTCTAACTCTTCCCGGCCAAGTGGCTTGAATGCGGGTTCTTCCATGATTGTAGACTCTTCCATGATTATGTTGGGCTCGTAATGAGGCCGAAAGTTTGTTGGCCCTGGCGTTGATGTCTGGATGTTCGATTCCGTGAAATCGCCAGTCGTTTCCCCAGCTGCCAACGGGGGAGAAGAAGACCGTGATCGTGCTGGCTCGCCGTGCGATAGGCGTGAGGATCTGACGGGCTTATACTTCTGTGCCTCGGACCTAGCCTTGTTGAGTCTGATCTCTTGTGAGTCATTGGCAAGAATGCTGTCAGGATGACCGGCATACGATGAGATCGCACTTGATGATGACGGTAGAGGCAGTTCTGCATGAGCCATTCTCGGTGTGCTTGGTTGTGGAGGAACATTGGTTTGCGCCTCACATTCTCTCTGCTCTTTCTCAAGTAGTGATAACTCGCTGTCATCAAAATCATCATACTCGTCAGCCTCAGGGAGCCGGAAGCGACCAGGCGAGGGGTTTGCAAGGGATGGACGCCAACTCTTGTCATTTGGATCGAAAACATTATTATCGAGTTCAAATCGAGGGGTCTCGTTCTTTTGGGTATTGTCGAGGGTTGTTGGAGAGAGGATGCTTCGTGGATTGTTCATCGAGACACTTGAGTCAGAAGCAGCCGAATTGTCAGAAAACACACTGCCGTGGTACTGTCCAGCTGGTCCATATGACCCGTAGACATGTTTGACGGCTGTATTGGGATTGAACATGACTGACTTGCCAGAGCGTCCAATGGTTGCGTTCTGTCGTAATGCTGATCGGAGAGGAGTTTGAGGTTGAAGGATATTCTTCGTGGGTGTCGTTGGCTCTACATTCGAGTCAACATCCTCGATATCATGGTCAACGTCGAGATAACTATCGTCAATCCCAAAGCCACCTGCTTTGGGTCCGGGTGTCTTGCCATCCAGAGATGCCAGCTTTCTCTTGTTGGAGCCCGGCATCGCTTCGAATTCCACTTCTACTTCTCTTGCCTTCGCAGCCAAGAATGCTTGTCCTGACTTGGTCTCACCGTAACGACGGCGTTTAAAGTACTGATCGTATGCTGCCTGGTGGACGTGAGGAGGGGGCGGACCTTCTGGCGATTTAGGCGGAGAGGTTTCGTCAAGGCCCGGGAATAGGGTTTGTTGTGAAGGCGGGGGTGGAGGGGGTTCATTCACTTCCTGCGCTGCCTCGGTGTTAGATTTAGTCGGAGAGGAGGCCTTGAAGAGCCCAAAGATCTTCTTGACACTTCCAAAGATACCAGGCTGGCTGGAATTACTCTGTTGTTTCGGGGTTTGTGGAGGGGCTTCGTCCGTGTCCTTTGCGTCGATCTTCTCGTCCGCCGTGGGCTTGAGGATTTGGGAGTAGAATGGCGACTCGCGTAGGGGTTCGGCAGAGGGGGGATTGTGAATGAAACCGGTTGGGGAATCCAGAATCGAAATCTTGGGGGGAACAGAGAGCGCAGATCGGGTCCTCCAAGTTGAAGAAAAGAAGGGTTTGGCTCTGGGCGGCGGGGTGATGGCATTGCGGGCGCGCTTGGACGAGGATTCAGGCTCCTCCCCGGCCTCTCGACGTCGCTTTCCTGTGGGAGTCTCTGGGAAACTTGTCAGATCTATGTCTGTCTGGGTACCAACATCCTTGTATCGGGGGGGCATCGGGTCCGTCCCCTTGTCCACAAATTCAATGGGAAGAGAGGGCAGATCAACACGCGGTGGGCGCTCATAGCGATGAGCAGGATTTCTAGAAGCAGGATTTCGCTCACGTTTGGGAGGAACATATTCAGAAAAGCCCTCGGGCCTTGCACCTTGTCCACGCGTGTGGACGGCCATGATTGCGGCGATGATGGGATAGGAGGGAACGGGGATGGCAAGAGGGATGAAAGAGTGTGAGAAATATGAAGTAAACAAAACGTGAAGCGGTGAATTAAGTCTGGCAGAAAGTGAAAGCAGTCTTCAGTGATGCCTCAGTGAAGCGCAATTGAATTCGAAGTGAAGTCTATATGCTTCTTTGGGACTAGTACAAACACAGTCTTGGCATTAATGGCATCTACCCCGGATTCAATAAGAGTGCTCAATAACAGGATACTACCATCTGTCACAGCGACGCACGTCTTAATTAACATCAACGCGCCCTAAGAAGGAAAGCGACATCGACTGATGTAGTATACTTTTAGTAACCGTGCGTGAAAACTATCCACGATGTCCTCCGTCGAAGCAATGGCTCTCCTAATTTTCCAACCAGCATGCCCCTATCCCTCGAGGAGACCGCGATACAAATGGTAAAGTGTCCCGGGCATCCTTTAGGATCAGATGCTCCACGACATCGACTTTCTCATTGCCACCCTGCCGACCATCCGCATCTAATGTCTTTGGCGCGCCTATGATCCAAAGCCCTGTTCCAGCCCATCGCTGCTGTCTTGCGATGGTGGTAATCCAGTCGTCTTTCCAACGTTCAGCAAGCTCCTCGTGCCAAAACATGCCCATCTGATCCTTCAAATTAGACTCTAATACATTCCAGCCGCTTGTGATGTAGCTGTTGTCTTCAAAGCGTGACTCGTCGCCACTTCCGACTCGAAGAGCTAAGTCTAGACTGACCAGGATGACATGCCCTTTCCTCCGAACATAGCCGTCGAGGTGCTGCAATAGGTAGCTGCCCATGACGAGAGCTGACCATGCCACGAGCACTCTGAGATCTGAACCGTCCGATAAGCCCCTCAGCTTCTTGTTCAGGAACGTTTGTGCTACGTCACTGAGTGGAGGAACATTAGGAGGGGTGGTAAAACCGAGGATCGATGATTTATCTAGCAGCCTGCTACTAATCTCGTTCGGAAGGCTTACCCCGGAATTAGTACTTTGACACCTGAGCTGCAGGCAGAATGCCACGAGACCGCAACAAAGCTGCGATTCAACTGCGGATAAGTCTTCACAGACCAGTATTTGACTGATTTGATCACTCAGACTAGCGAGTTCTGCTGCCAGCCTTGACCTGGGGAGGGACTTTTTCGACTTTTGCTGGACCAGCAATGTGTGCAGGATACCTGCTAAACAAAGGCTTCCTGGGGTCAGGTTTGCCTCGACAAAAGGAAATGCTGGAATCATTTTCTCCTTTGGTTTGGAAAACCCTCCTTGAGAAGGTGGTGATTGTCTCAAATATCCACCAGACGACGGTGGTCCCTGCATCGAAGGGTCCCTAAGGTGGTCCCGCTCGCTTCTATATGCATGGACGGCTTTCCAACTATTCTGCAGTCAGCGGGATTGTCTATCATAGTGGGCGGGACGGCCTACATACCATCTCAGATGGTTTGAATTGATGCGCGAGATATCTGTTCCAGGATTCGCGTCAATATATTGCTCCACCAGCCTTTGGTATGCTTCAATGTGGAGGTTAAAAGCCTCGCGCTCGTTTGTCATATACTAGGTAAAAGTTTGTCAGATATCGAAATGCAAATATGATAGATGAGAAACACTCACGGAAATGCTGAGCATTCTCCCAATGGTGAAAATCACTTCGACCTCAGCGAAAGACGTGGTGAAGTTGATGCGCTCGTATAACTTGGCCAAAGCGAGGCCACGGTGATACAGCATGAAAGGATCATCCGCAGCGTAATGTCCATGGCTGATCAACCATGCTGAGCGACTGACGGCGATGGTGGCATCAAAAAGCATTTCATCTTGCATGGCGATCGGCCAGCAGAGGTCCAATTGAGTGTTGTATCCTATGCAAGAATCAAAGAACCCGGACATATGTGGGCCCCATACATGGATATCTGTGATTTGTGGGGTCAGTAAAGGTGTTGGGACAACAAATGAGGACGTGGGCTCACGATAATCTACCATGTGCATGACAGTTCTAGCATTGGACGTGGGAAATGTATTGAATGGATCAATGCGCAGGCCGCCACTAAAGGCCACCGTTAGCCGTGCAACATCTCCCCCCTCAGGGGTCGCATCTTCCTCCCACTGAGACGGACTTTTGATCGCTAAAGTCGAGGACGAGGTCTGTGAAGCATGCACACGGTTGAGAAGAGATACCTGCCGATGATCTGCTGAGTTAAGGGCAGAGACAAAGGAGGGGCTCTCCTCGTTTGAGACAGGGGTGCTCGCGGCCGATCTCCATCCCACGAGACTCCTCGCATATTCAGCTCCTTGATGCGCCAACGCCTCCTGTCGTCGACGTTTCCCTGCGCTCTGAAACCTTCTTGCCTGGCTCGAGACTATCTTAGACCCTCCTCGAGGATAGGAAGAGGGTGTCTGCTGGATGAAGATGTGGCTCGGGCTGCTGCTTCGAGATTTTTCCTGTTTTCTAGCAGACTGCTGTAAGTGGTTTCTTCCTGCCATCGATTTTAGTATCGTCATGCGGCATCCTGGGTGATAGCTCAAGGTTCATATGTATGGCGTGGGAAAGTCGAGACTCTACTCTAGCACCACATGAATTGTGAATATTTCAAGGCTTTATTAAATCAGCGAACTGGGAATGAAATCCTTGAATCATGAGGCTCTGGGGGGGAGTATTTGTAATAGTACATGAACGAACGCATACTATGTAGGTGCGGAGGTCTTTACGGAAGGACTTATCGGGGGATCCATGAGTCAATGTTGTAGAACCCTTCATGACTCGAGTGGTGTGAAGAGATTTTCCTTTGTAGTGTGTAATGTAGCGTAGGGGGACTAGATATGCCCCCTAAGGCTCAGCCTTGAGGGCCATAATCTGACGCTATCTCGGTCCACACAGGGTGATGGCCGATTTAACGACGAATTTGGCAGTATATTGGCATGCGGGGTCCGATGTAAACCCGTATTCGATCGGGTGGGTGAAACAACCATTAGGATAGCCAGAATGTTCCACAGGACTACGAAGCACCTCCAATCGGGATGCTTGACGAGGCGCTGATCAACATAGCCTTCGGTGTCAGCACATCGGGATCCAGGGTTTGCATATGAGATCAATAACAGGATTGACTCAGTCCTTAGTGGTATGAATCGTAATATGGGTTGTTCAGCCCTTTGTACCTTACTGATAGCAGACCTAGCCGGCTTAAGCAAAGTAAAATCAACCCGAAACCATCACACTGGTTTCTTTCCGTGCCCAGGCAGTAGGTATCGGGAGTTTTAACGCACTTTCGATGAATGCTTGGTGCTTGCGACCTCTGTGACAATAAACGCAATATCTCACGTCCCACCCGCGCTGAAGTAATGCTAAGGAAAAAAGCAGTGTATCTGGATTCACCGGTTTTCAACGATGACAACGCGTTGAAGGCAGTGCAAGAATTAGACCTCGAGGCATTTGCGAAGAACTCAAGGGGTCCTGCCAACCGAGTCTCGACTCTAATTTTTGCGATCTGCGTCAAACCGGTGGATATGTATACCCGGTGGAATCACGATCCCAGTATGCAGGGTGACGACCCGAAAAGCTTAGTGCTACCAACTTTTTGGCGCCCGTGCTTAAGGCGAACGTCGAGTAAAGCTTTCAGCAGAAAAACAAGGGAAAATCCGAGTTTAGAAGTGGCCTGTTGTTACATGATCGGTAGAATGTCGTAGCTCCCGTTATGTTTCATCTGGCAACTACTCCTCCTCATGGGAAAGACGACTATGCTCCATGATTGGGATTCACAAACACCACATGATGTATTAGGTGTGCCTGGCAGTATTTGATTACAGCCAAGACAGAAGGGCTATTCCCACCAGATGAGGAATTTGACGCGATTTCAGCTTTGCTCAGCAGTTCGGATAGCCAAAGGAAGGTAGCTAGCCGGGTTGAGGTAAACTTCCATTGCACTCGATTGGTGGGAAATACTGTAGCTGCAAGGTGCGGGATGCGGAGTATTCGTGTTGTTCCAGAATGCCATACATTGGGGTTCCTGCAAAATGGATCATGTAGACTTTGTCCTCATTGCTTGCTCGTTGCGACGGGAGCAGACATGATGCCATAGATATTATCGCAGACATAAACACAAGACGTCCTAGAGGCGAATGCGAAGTGAGTTGCAACCATGAGTATTCATTGAGAGATCTTTCCAGCCAGCCTTCGAAAACAGACTATGGCTTCTTCAGCCGACTTCATGATCCCACCGGGGTCTCTGGTTGTGGTTACGGGGGCCAACGGTTTCATCGCCAGTCACGTCGTGGACCAACTTCTTCAGGCCGGCTTTCGGGTCCGTGGGACTGTGCGTAGCCAGAAAAAAGGTGGTTGGACGGTGGACTATTTCAATGGGAAATATGGGGCCGGGAAATACGAGCTGATTGAGGTACCAGAGATGGGCGATCCAGCAGCTTTCGATGAAGCGGTGAAAGGCGCGGCTGGTTACATCCAGATGGCTACACCGGTCATGGAGTCGTATGACCCCCATAAGGCTGTGCCGAATGTAATCAATGGTGTATTGAACGGATTGAAAGCAGCCGCAGGCGAACCGTCCATCAAGCGGTTTGTGATGACCTCATCGTCAACCGCAGCTGTTAGTCCTCAGCCCAACAAGGAGTTTAGCGTGACTCCCGAAACCTGGAATGACGAGGTTGTGAAGCAAGCATGGAAACCCCCATATGAGGGTGTACAGAAGAAGCTGGACGTTTACGCTGCCACCAAAACGGAGAGTGAGAAAGCTGCATGGGAGTGGGTCGAAGAGAACAAACCCAACTTTGTGCTCAACGCTGTCCTACCCAACGCTAATATGGGGAAAGTACTCAGTGTGGAAGGTCAAGGGGCACCAAGCACTGTGGGTTGGATCAAGGCTCTTTGGAACGGATTCGAAGGCCAGGAAGACCTTAAGGAAAACCCACCTCAGTATTTCGTCAATGTCCAAGACACGGCCAGGGTGCATGTAGGAGCACTCCTGTACGCAGATATGAACAGTGAACGACTATTTGCTTGGGCGGCTCCATACAACTGGAATGACATCCTCGCCATTTTGAGGAAGTTGCACCCAAATCACAATTTCATTGAAGATATCCCTGACCTTGGACGAGACCTGAGCAAAGTTTCAAATGAGAGGGCAGAGGAGATTGTCAAGCGGTTTGGGAGACCAGGCTGGACAAGCTTGGAAGACTCGATCCGTGACACAACAGCAGGTTGGGCATGATGGCGTTGCACTTGACCTCGGGTGAAGCATATGTACCTTGATATGTTGGTACGGAGGACGGAACAACCCTAAGGTGCAGTTTTGGTGGGGAAATTTTTGCCAAGAATGAGCAACTCCAACTTCCAGGCAAAGCAGGTGCTGTTCCGAAATCCTCCGGCTCTTGCCTCTGGGCAGTCTTGTCCTCACTTGCCCTCCACAAATCGCATGGCGCTGGTCGTCATCACATGAGGCACAGACGGCTGTTTCCCGAGTCCAGATGTTCCCAAGGGATCCAGAAGACCAGAGGGTTCTCTGTACATAATATGAATTAGGAGTTGACGTCGCACCCTTCGTTCTCCCTCCTATCGCTCTTTTGCATACATTGCTTGCCTCACACCCTCACCTTCGTTATTGATGTATTCTAGCCCTGCGCCGTCATAGAAATCATCGTTGGCCACCACGTTCCCCTTCCATTTCATCATGAGGTACCAAACACTTCGATTTACTATGTTTTACAAGGAGCCAAAAAGCGAAACTGCACATCTACAAAGTGGGCGGTCGTCCCATTCCGCATCGTCGGGTTCGAGTTTGCGATCACTTGATTCGAATGCGTCCCTACTTTCGCGGCATTCTACCACCTCGTTGTCCGGGACCCATGGGCAAACCGAAGATTCAACAGCGAGAAAATAAGCATGAGAAACGATCGAGAGGTTGATCGCCAACATATCAGGGCTGAAAACGTACCTACCTAAGGTCCCTGCACAGCCTGCGCAATGTCCTGGAGGGGCTGTCTGGGGTTTCACGGCTGACTTGTGATGTGCGGGGAAATACCAGACGATATGGAAAAAGGTCCAACGACCAACCAATTGACCGTGACGTGTTGAAGATGTCTTCATTCACGAGTATGTGATATTGGTGGATGATCACGTGTGAAAGTACGCGGAAGCCGTCATGATGAACACATCGTGTCCAGAGGATGCAACGGGCTCGACCAGATCATGAAGCCTGTGGCGTGATGTCCCAGCGCCCGGCCTCGACATTCAAGATTCGAGAAGACAGCAGTGACTCAGAGTTCCTACAATTATTATTCCATGGAATCAGGAAAGGCACCTACAGGTATTTGCCAAATCTTGATGCACAGAATGATGGACCAGCAGCAGACAGGCTCATTTCCGATTCTCGCAGGAAAATGTCGGAATTGCCGGTGCGACATCCGGCGACGAGAATTTGCTGCAGATGTTCCGAAGAATGTTTGGCGATTTATTTCAAGTATTCTCAGTGTGCAGGCAGACTTTTTGCAGTTGCAAACCATAATACATGTACATACCAAGAACCGTCCATGACATTATGCCCCTAATCTGGACACGTCAAGTGACCATGTTCTCTAAATTGAAGTGATGATTTTCACATGTGAGAATGGGAGAACCGGCGCCTGAGAGATCAGACAACTCGAGGGCCAAGGCCAGGATGTGGGAAAAGCATGTGAAGTGCGCATTTCACAGTTCTTCGTGTCTTGGGGGGGCATTTGTACCGGCGAGATGTGCCCCGTCAGGCGGGATAGTTGGGGGGCACCAGCGGCGGTGGGAGACACCACTGGAACCTTTGTGGGCGCCTGCGGGGACTGCGCTGGGCTGCGTTGGGCCCTGGAAAGCCGGGGATCCACTCCGGTCTGAAGCCTGGAAGCTCCGTGGGAAAGAACTGCGAAGGCCTGTTTTCCGTGCTCACAGCAAGGACTTGAGAATACCGATCGCCCAACTAACAATATCCTGGTTCCTGAGAGACCCTTAGATATAAATTGACATACATCAATCGGCCGGCGATAAACAAGAGGTACTCGCCATCTGGAAGTCTGGACAGATTGATGTTGTTTGGCGTGGTCTGGAGTTGAACTTGTCCAGTACCAGATCCTCCGTAGCATGTGGGCTGTGGGCACCAGTCAGGTGAAGCACATTTAAGTGTCAGCAAGCACCGCACCCGCACCAATACCAACACCCGCACCAACCAGCCCTGTCATCCACCTGTTGCTCAGCCTACCACCATTCGGCCACACCATTCCATCGTCCACTGCATCAGCTGCCGGTGCCGAGGTTCAACTCATCTGGTCGACGAGACTCCGTTCATCTTGCTCTGGGTCTTGCCATCATCCATTCTTGCCATTCGTCCAAGCACTCTTCATTCGCAAAGTCTAGCCTGGCAGGTGATCCTTTTATTCAAACTCCCATCCCTTCGCCCTCTCAATCTTCTATCTCTCTGTCCATCAAGACTAGACACGCCCTGGACTATTCATCATGACCCCTCCTCGTGTTATTGTGGTTGGCGGTGGCCGTAAGTGCTTTTCCGTCTCCCCGTAGACTGTGGAAATCAATTGACCTGGGCATCTAGTTTCTGGCCTCAGTGCTGCCCACACCGTCTACCTCAATGGTGGCAATGTGCTAGTCCTCGATAAGAACAGTATGTATCTTCTGTTGAGGTGAGAGGCCCTTTGATCTGATAGTTTGGCAGACTTCTTCGGTGGTAACTCGACCAAAGCTACCTCTGGTATCAACGGCGCTCTCACCCGCACGCAAGTCGACCTCAACATCGGCGACTCGGTGAAACAATTCTACGAAGACACTCTCAAATCTGCCCGTGACAAGGCCAGACCCGATCTCATCCGAGTTCTGACATACCAATCTGCAGCTGCGGTCGAATGGCTGCAGGATGTCTTCAATCTCGATTTGACCCTTGTTTCTCGTCTCGGGTATGCCATCCACCCAGCTTTTCCATGCAACATGACTGACGAGATGATAGCGGCCATTCCTTCCCCCGAACTCACAGAGGTCATGATGCCAAATTCCCCGGCATGGCCATCACATACGCCCTGATGCAGCGGCTGGAAGAGCTCACAGAGTCGGATCCAGAAAGAGTTCAAGTGATCAAGAAAGCCAAAGTGGTTTCGCTCAACAAGGAGGGCAATGTCATTACTGGCGTGACATACGAATTTGACGGTCAAACGCACTCAGTCGATGGTGTGGTTGTCCTTGCGACTGGTGGCTACGCTGCTGATTTCACCGAAACCTCTCTCCTCAAGAAACACAGACCCGACACCTTCGACCTGTCGTCAACAAACGGTACCCATGCCACCGGTGATGGCCACAAGATGTTAATGGCAATCGGTGCAAATGACATTGATATGGACAAGGTCCAAGTCCATCCTACTGGCCTCGTCGATCCAAAAGACCCCGGCTCCAAATGGAAGTTCTTGGCAGCTGAAGCTCTGCGCGGTGAAGGTGGTATTCTCCTCAATAGTGATGGCCAGCGTTTCTGCGATGACCTCGGCCATCGTGACTATGTTTCCGGCAAGATGTGGGAGGAGAAGGAGAAGGGCAAGTGGCCCATCCGACTTATCCTCAACTCTAAAGCCTCCAACGTCCTAGATTTCCATACCCGACATTACTCTGGTCGTGGCTTGATGAAGAAGATGTCCGGCAAAGAGTTGGCGAAGGAAATCGGCTGCGGCGAGCAGGCGCTTGACAAGCAGTTCAAGGAATACAATGCCATTGCCAAGGGCGAGAAGAAAGATGCTTGGGGCAAGAAGTATTTCCACAACTTGCCTCTCGAGATCAATGATACCTTCCACGTGGCCCTGATGGAGCCTGTACTACATTTCACCATGGGTGGTATGGAGATCAATGACAAAGCTCAAGTTCTTGGTCGAGAGCAGAAGCCATTCGAGGCACTTTTCGCGTGTGGTGAGTTGGCAGGTGGCGTCCACGGTGCCAACAGATTAGGTGGTTCGTCACTACTGGGCTGTGTTGTTTACGGTCGTGTCGCCGGCGCATCTGCTTCGCAATATCTGTTCCAGAAGCTTACCTCGGGAGGTGTTACATCAGCCTCGCAACGTGCTGGTCAAATCTCACTCCACATCGACCCCAATGTACCAGGCAAAATCTCGGTGGAATGGGGAAGTGGTGGCTCTGGACAAGCCTCTGTTGGAACGGAGACCACAAGCCAACAAGCCCAAAAGACAGCAGCCCCTGTCATGGATGGAAACAAGTCTCAAGACCCCGCCAAGAAGAAGGATGGCAATGACATCAGTGCTTTCAAAGTTCCCGACAAGGAATTCACTCTGGAAGAAGTCGCAAAACACAACAAGAAGGACGATTTGTGGATCGCTGTCAAGGGTGTTGTGATGGATGTAACGAATTGGCTCGATGAGCACCCAGGCGGTCCCCAGGCGCTTTTCAGCCATATGGGCAAGGATGCCTCAGAAGGTAAGTTGACTTGCTTAAGCTTGTGACTCAGCACACGACTGACATAGTTGATAGAATTCGAGATGCTTCACGACGACGAAGTGATCCCCAAGTATGCTGCTGACATTGTCATCGGACGTGTTGCAGGCCAGGAAGTTCGGTTAGAGTACTAGGCGTGGAGAGTGGTATAAAATGGAACTGTTTGCATGGAGTAAATCTCCAACTGTACCATGACGGCGGACATTGAATGCGACTACTATCAGTATCCCTATATAGTAGATATATGATACGGATTCTTCTGCATCCTCATATCCTTTGTTCCTCTTCTCAATTACCTTGGGGAAGGGTACCCACAGAGGGTGATGACGCTGACCATGACCAATACAAGAACAAATACCACATCGAATGACGCGCGCCTGCTTGCCCGCACCCGCTAAATTAGCGCGGTATTTGCCCAACTCCAACTTCATCTGCGCAGTTCCGTCCCTTTCACTGCATCATTCAATTTGCTCAAGTTACTTCTTCAGCCGCCGCTCTGCTGTTGCGTCGCCGGCTCTCTGTCACGACTATCGCACTCCCAAGATCCACTTCCTTCTTGCGCGGCCGTCCACTTTCACCTATTTAGACCCTCCGATCTTGAGGTAAGGATGTTCTCTTCACGTGATTGCCCTCGTGAGCATAGAACGCGCAAGCAGGATCGATCGCGCTCACTCGCTGCGAAGACCCTCGTCATCAGGCATGCCGCTAGTCGTCGTCTTCTTCTCGTAGGAGGATACAGGCTAACTGAACAGAAGAGATCAAGCCTCTACGCCCCGCCCTTGATTGCGATCAACCGCTCACACGCCCCGCCCTTTGACAGTCTGCTTTTGTGCCATGGATCGCCGCGAGATTCAGTCCAAGGGCTCTGCTCTCCAAAAGGCCATTCAAGCAAAAGAACCCACCGATAATGTGCTGACCCTCCTGCGCGATCTCAAAACGAACGTACGGCCCAATGAAGAACTTCTACGAGCCACACAGATAGGCAAGATTGTCAACAAAGTCAAAGGCATGTCCGGACTTGACCCTCAAATCACTCAACTAGCCTCCGAAATTATTAGTCGATGGAGACATGTCGTCAACGAACAGAAGTTGGCCAGTGGAGCCGGGACACCCAACGGTGCAAGATCCAACGGAACAAGCTCCCCAGCACCCAAGGCTGCCACACCTACCCCCAAAGCTGCAAGCCCCGGGATAGCGCCTGACAAACGAAGTTGGAAGGTTGACAAAGTGCCCCGAGATGAACTGACCAATGATACTGCACGAAACAACTGCATAGGCTTGATCTATGATGGTCTATGCCTTGGGTCTACCCTCCCCATGAAACAAATCCTGGATCTCGCCAAACAAGTCGAATCTGCCGCCCTTAACCTACCAGATGCCAAGGGCTCCTCCAGCTCCCCTGTGTACAAGGAGAAGATGCGATCTCTATATCAGAACCTAAAGAACAAATCCAATCCTGGCCTTAAAAAGCGCATCCTCTCGGGTGAAGTGACACCAGCCAAATTTGTCACCATGTCACATGAAGAAATGAAATCGAAACAACAGCGAGACGAGGACATGAAGATCGCAAAGGAAAATATGAACAATGCCATGGTAGCACAGGAAGAGAAGAGTGTTAGTACCAGCTTAGAATGTGGCAAATGTCACCAGAAGAAAGTCAGTTATTCCCAAGCTCAGACTCGAAGTGCTGATGAACCTATGACAACGTTCTGCGAGTGTATGAATTGTGGCAACCGGTGGAAGTTTTCATAACGGAAAGCAATGTGGCGGTTGGCAACCGCGTGGGTGCTGGATGTGCACAGGGTCTCCTGACTGCTTCCTTGGATCATAAAAGCTCCTTTCGTATTTGGCACGGGACTTTGGAGGATATGAATGGCGCGGATGTTCTCCAGCAACTGCCACTCACCCCGAGTACTGGGTTGTTGTACGACGTGGGATGCTGAAAGCAAGGCGTATCAAGGGGGGCCTGAAAGGGACCATAGTTCCGCATAGGGTGGAATAACAGCGCAACTCAAGTACCTAGTTTACTTACACTTTTACTGGGAACATCACGCCAGACATTCGAGATGAGACCATGAATAAGAAAGGACAGTCCACAGCGCGTCAATATCCGACCAGAGGACGTTTGTAATATAGAGAAAATAGTGCAAGGGATATTTGTTCAACCTTGACAGAGATAGCTAAACTAAATTTGCCTGGCGACGTCATAGACTTGTCACTTTGTCCTTAGGTTGTTGCTACTAAGTTTTTGCACCCCTGAGTATTGCAATACGTGTGTACTTTATTAGGCATGTGTGTTTAGGCGTATCACGCGATGCCTCCAATGAGTCCGCTATTAATGCATATGACCTCGTTTCAGTTCATCATGGTCGCTGGTGATGAACCGTCCCCCCATACAAACAGCGCCCCAGCCAGAACTGGATATACTGTAGGTAGTACGATTAAACTATGATGCACCGAGTCATGCCCTACCCAGGCAGGCAGGTCGGTAGGGAGGTATCCTTGCGCAGCCCTAACGACGGAGCCGAACGACGGAGCTTCGCCGTGGCGATCCTCCGGAGCCGGTAATCTAGCCTTGGTTCAACATCCGCATCTCTGGACCATGGGGTACGATGGAGGTCTGATTAAGGTCCGGTCCGGGAAAACCAAGTTCATACATTCCATACAACACACAACACCCCTCTGTAGTGCGTACAAGGGAATCTGGCATTAGAGTGGTGCCTAGCGATCCGTCGAGCCTGGTCTGTGTCTAATTCTAGCGGAGTTTCCGGTTCCTCGTTCCAACGGCTCGGTAACCGTGTACCAGGTAGAGTTCCTAACGATCTCCCTGGCTAGCTAGCTAGGTAGCTTAAGTAGCTCATGAATCAGGAGTTGGTTTCGGTTTTCGCGTGCCGATTGCATCTTTACCCAAGGCGGGGACATGTCTGATTTATCTGATGGTGGAGTGGATCGGCGATACTGTGTACTTTATCCTGGATATATGACGCAACCTTGTCGTCACGTGCTCCGCCAGCGGCCACGAGGCTGTGCTACGAAAGGGGGAGCCATACTCCGTACTGAGTGAGGATTGAAAGGTCTCCGGGAGACGACAGTGGATTGGATGTAAGGCTTGGGGTAGAGGAAACTTCATGGCTGGACATGAGGTTGAGGTTGAGGTTGAGGTCGAGGTTGTTCAGGTTCCTGCGGATGTCTTGTGGTTTCTCGCAGCAGTACTTGTCAGGGCCAGATGCGTGGTGTGTTGCCTTTGGTGATCTTGAAGTGACCACTCTATGAATTTCTCAAACTGTAGCAGTCACATTTAGACGACCCTTCCTTGACTATTCACCACTAGCCAGCCCCTCCAAAATCACAACAATATAATTATCGACTCCGCAATTTCTGCCACCATTAAAAGCCACATCTGTGCGACTTTAAGACCTTCTGCATTGAGCTCGACTCGGTGTGGTTTGGTTGGCGGGCCTCTGGGCCTCTACCCAGGATAGGTGCTGGTTTGCAAGTCATCGGCGGGTCGCCCTATCTCGAACTACTCCACATACCGTCAGGGAAGCTCATTCGAGTGATGAACTCGGGGAGTAATCGAAGAAATGGATGCGGTGATGTAGGTACCACTAAATCAAGTTTTTCGATGGTCCAGGGTTCGAGTCTGGTTGCTGGGGTGCTGTCTTTTTACTGCTTTCAGGTTTTATTTCCCCTGTCCAGGTGAGGTGGGTGGGATTAACCACAGTCCCCATTCTCCGATCGAAGGCTGTAATGGCGTTTTCCAGGCTCCCAACGAACAGGAGACAATGTCCCAGTTCGTTGGAGCCAGGACGGATTCTGCGGTTATTTGCGGCGAGCAGCGCTCTCGCCAGATTCTGGATTGAGTTTGTCAATATTTTGCTTCGGTCTGTCCTCTGTTCAGAATTCTATCGGGGTCCCCATTTCGCCACCCAATCCAACATGGTGGGATTGAGCGCTGCCCAGTCGAGAGGCGTCGTACCAAAAGCATCAATTGTTGCGGTGTCAACACCATTCCGAATCAAGAACTCTGCCGTACCCAAGTCCGCAGCGTGTACCGCACAATGCAAAATCATTTGATTAAAGTGGTGCTTCCTGTTTATATCAGCCCCACATTTCAACAAGATCTGTCCTGTCTTCAGGTCGCCTTGCTCAAATGCTTGATATATGGCGGTCTGAGCCTGTATATCCATGCCATTGATTGCGGCTCCAGCATCTAGTAGCAGCTGGATTGCCTTTTAGTTGCCTCGCGAGCACGCGACATGTAGAGCAGTGCCAGAAGAATGGGACAAGTAGACGACGTCCGGCCCTAGGGCAAGCAACCATTTTGCCATATTCAAATGGCACCCCGACTCATCCGATATCACTGTGATTAGTGGGCTATCCTTCAATTGCACCCTAGGATTGAGAGAAGCCCCAGCCTTGTGCAACATCTCTACAACCTTCTCGTGGCCATCTCCTGCTACTAATCCTAGCGCGGTCAAGCGGCGACGTGTGGCACCAGCCTCGACACTGGCTCCTGCCCTCAACAGCGCTTGGACGCAGTTCTCGTGACCCAATACGCTTGCCCACATCAGAGCGGTATAAGCATGCCGGTCGATATTATCGATATGGTTTCTGCTTGAAATCAGCAACAAATCCAACCTATTTTAATGCTCCAAAATTGCAGCGAGCTGAAGCCCGTTCGTTTCAGGCGGCTCTAGAATAACATGATTGGTTCTCCGAAACACTGAAACCACGCATGAAAGGTCGCACTTGTTGTGTCGTATAGCTCCTGTACCTCGATTATGAGACTATCATTCGTAGCTATACGAGCATCTCGGAAGTGATTTGGCCAGAGCTCCGCGCAGTACGCGAAAAGGAACTCCAAGACATCCTCTTCATGTAGACGCAGTGGGGTATTGAAACTTGTAAATCTGTGGGCAGCAAGGCCTGCAACCCTGAATTCTTCGAGACGCAAGAATTCTATGCTCAATCCGGCCATCTCTCTTTCAACCTCAAAAGGCGCAAAACAATGCTTCCACCTAGCTGAGGGAAGCAGCAATATTCCAGGATCGCATCAGGTACTCTTTCGCTGTTTGGTGAAGGAGAAAGAATCTAGAATGATGGATACAGACAAAGAGGTTGCATATGTGATGGAAAGTATCTCCTAGGCGATTTGGGTCCAGTCGGATGTTTGCGAGAGGAGCTGGTTCGGATGAGGTCGAAATTCCCAATATGATAGACATTCCCCCCACGGCCAGTGGACGTCGTGCTCCAGCAATAATTTGTAAAACCTTTTTGACTTTGACTGTGTCCTGGTTCTTCGTCCTGCCTAAGATCTTCTCGTAAGCATCCTCAACGCCTGAAGGTATCATACTTATAACTTCATGCTCAGGTCGGAAACTGTTGCGGTGAGTTTCATAGATGTCTTTCCTCGCGAGGTGTGACTAGTGTGACCAGAGGTATGTTCGGTGCGCATCTTCAGAAGCTCGTCCCTGATTTGGAGCTTCGTATGTGGTTTCAATTTTAGGTGCTCAGCTAGCCTTGTGACTTCAGCTTTAATGACTAAGTTGATCTCTGCACTGATCTTGTCAGTCTCATCTACCCCTCGAAGTTGAGTGACGGGTGAGTTTGACGGAAAGCTATTGAATCCCAGGTGGATATCATCGTATGGTCGACTTGTCACGAGGAACTTCAATCGGTCATCTAGCTCATCATGGGATTCTGTCGATATTCTCTTGAAGAAGTCGATCAAGTATGAGATCAGTCTCTCTCTTTCAGCCTATTGGCATTCATCAAGCGCAGCCAAAGCATATGTCACATCACCAGCCTCGGGATCACCCGTAGCGGCGAGGCAAATTCACCATAACTCGGATATATCGGCTGGAAGTTTGTCACCAAGCCTATCCCATGCTTTAACAGCATATTGGATCAGTTCAGGCTGCCGAGAGAATATTTGGTGAAGCATTGCACATAGTGCTATAAATACCGTCCTCTCTTCGTTATCCTTGAAGAAGAAATAGCATACTTTATGGGGTTTGGTGCTCTGAAGCTCCTCGTCGATCAATGATTTAGCCAGTACTGATTTACCGCAGCCTGGGCCGGCGGAATTCCAGCGGAGGTCGTCACAAGCAGAATTAAGCCACCGACGATACTGTGTATTGACGACAACCCACTGACCGGTGCCGTCTATACGGTCTGGGTTCAAATTCTTCTGATCTTCATACCGACTTGTTTTGAGAGCTTGATGGATCTTAGGATATTTTTCATTTTGATATCGTATCTTTCGTTGATGTGTTTGTGTCTCGATAGCATGTAGCTGTTGGAGGCTTACAGCCAACTTCTCCTTTGAGGTATGATGTAGGCTATCAAGGACGCCTAGCGGAAGCATGTCAGTACTTGTAGAATTCGATTAACGCTTGAATAGTAAATACAATCGAACTTTTCCAGCTCTCGGATGATTCAGGCTGGGTCCGCCTAGCAAATGGAAGGCATTTTCCGCTAGCGACTAGTGTCTGAAGGTGCCACGTACCTATTATTTGGTGAATGGGCTTCTCCCGTATAGTCCGTGCTGGAGAAAAGAATAAGAGTAGCTCTTTGGTAAAAGCTGCGGGAGCCGCTGCTGCATACGAATGCCATGCATCATTTGTATGGGTATCCGCATAATCGCAAATTCCACGGATCACCAGGCAAGGATAGTTATTCATCAAGCCTGCAGCCTCCATTTCCACACAAATCGTACCAAACTGCTTTTGTAGTCGATCTTGCACAACAGCTTATTTGATTGAATCCCTCCTCCGATCCCGACCAACAAGCATATTCGAAGAGCGAAATGTTCTCATCATACCCCTAGCAACCGGAGCTGCGGCAGCAATTCCATCCACACCCACCGGCATGCAGCCGATTACAATGTTGTGGTTGTGAATGCGACCGAATGTGTAGCTGCTATTGTCTTGCGAATCTTGTTCCAGCATATCACTATCGTGCCTTCATCAAGGATTGCTATGGCAGCTGTCATTTCCTTACTCAGCGCACATATCCAACTAATCTGGTAGTCCTCAATGTTGGGGCTGGTCATTGTGATAGAACTCATAAGGTAAATCAAAAAATCTTGCAGGCCCAGGGCTTTGGTCCGTGGTGCGCAAAGTCACCAAGGAAACGCAAGCGCTACACCAGACCGAGATAAATGTGTCGATTTGACTGGTCCAAGTGTCGTGATAATATTTGAGCTTTGAAGTGAGTTCGAGAACGAGGCTCAAATCTACAGCCGTGGTCGATTTCTTGTGGATGATGCCTGCCGCACGGAAAGGCTGTTGGCAGCCTGTCGTCGATGTTTCTGCCAAGGCGTGATGTTGCCTTTAATGCCAAATGGTTCCTGTTGGTGCCGCCATGTATCACAATTTCTGATGAGCGATGGTTGACGGAAATGTCTTTCAAGCTTGTCTTCGCTCGGATACTTATGGCCATGTTTGAAAAAAAGTAGTCTTAGGATCAAAACTCTCTACCAATGGCCTCAACTTCTCCTCTTCTAGACCTCTGTAAGCCAAACCCTTTCCAGGCCACGCGTACGAGGTATAAGACGACGGATACGAGTGAGCTTAAGTTAGATCTGTGTATGCTGTCTAGAACTGAATCTGGTCATTGAGAGCCTCCAGGCCAATTCTACGTGCTTGGACCATAGACTTAAACTTGATGAAGCTCAGAAGCTGCGAGCCACGGAGAGCAGAGAGCAACAACTGTTAGCCAGGGAGAAGCAGGAATTGATTAGGCTAATTCCTGGGCACATAGCAGGATGTCTCTGACCCAAGTCTTTTGCTCACGTACACGACTAAGTAAACCAACCGACCCACCAAGCCACCGACATCTCAGGCTGTCTAAATCACGTCTTCTCTGGCATCCCTGGTAATTTAGGTGGAGACACTAAGGTAAGGGGGATCACAAACTCATTCAATCTGTCTGGTACAAACGAAGGGGCTGGAAACTCGCATCTATCAACGCCTTGTCCTCGGCTTACAAACTATGATCGAGTCTCAGCTCTCTCTCGATAAACCATGTTGAAGCTTCTTCAATAGATCACGGCCTAGCCTGAACAGGGGCAGTACTCAAATTTTGTCGCTGACAGTCACGATCCAATGATAGCGCATTCCTAGTCATGGTCTGGGTTATTCCACTTGGCGGGTGCGAACGAAGAGACAAGGCGGGCCTTATCTCCTGAGATTCAACTGGCCTGGGGCACGGCAAGCAACAGATCCAAGGACTAAAAAAACTATGGAGCTGCCACGATTTGGCACATAGGAGCCGAGTATTTGTGGAGATGCTCTTGATACACCGTACCTCCCACAAGAGGAGTGCATTTTTACTAACGAAGCTATCGCCATAGACATCATCTGTTTGTTGAAAGGGGCTCTCCCCTTTACTAGTGCTAACATGGTTGAGCGGATGTGTAACCCGACAGCTAGCTCTTTTGAACAACATAGCCAAGCATGGTTTATAGCAGGCAGCTGGAGTCCAAAAGAGCCGTCGTGAAGCCGCGCTCGGTCGGGAGTGGCATGATGCGTCCAATGGCACAGGTATCATCAAGTATCAAGTTCAAACATTAGACGAGGGCAGGCAGGAGATGCGACCTCCCGAAGGCTGGTAACATTGGGACTTTCACAGCAGGATAGGTCTAGAAACGGTCTAGGGCTCGTGGCTCAATATTCCACTTCCTAAGAACGGTTGAGTTGCTGGAAGCATCCATGGAGTCCTTCGTAGTCAGCCTTGACTGACCAGGGCTTCTTCTGGAGCCACAATTTCCCAGTGTCCGCGGCGAGGAATGGAAGATACTGACAGACCGGGCATCACCCAACTGCCACGCTGCATATCCCTCAGACTGAGGAGGCATGGATCAGGCACAATGTGTGGATTCCTGGGGCAAGTTGGAGCTCGAGGTTGCTGAATGTATAAGCAATAAGTTTCCTCGTATAGGCCAAAGAGTACGAAGAACTCGGTGCAAAGTCCGATGCTTGCCGAGGCATGGAACGCTTATACAACTTGGAAGTCCTTGTCGGGTACAACATTACCTAGTGGCAAATCCTTCGCCCAACCAGAGTGACTTGTGTTCTGGTGAGCACAACTGCCACGCTCGACAGGGCATCATGATAACATCAATGATATTATTCTGAAGTGACGAAAGTAAGTTTGACTGCTTGCCATCGAGGCCATCGAGGCCATCGAGTGCACCGCTGTTTTGTCGAGATTCCTCCATAGACCATCCATCGCCGCTGTGTACTACATAGTATTCTAATATAACCCTTACACCACAAACTAAGCCCGCGCACACAATGTTTTACCCTTTTGCATATATCCATTCTGAAATGGCTTTTTCCCGCCGCCGTGAACGATCCGTCTCTTGAAGAGTATGTATACAGATATGATTTGGTCCGACTCTTTAACACAGGATACGTCTTGCTTTGCGGTGCATGCGATGTTCAAATCCTGTCATTACTACTGCTGCTGTGCCAGTCCCGATGATCTGTATTTTGTTCCTCGTACTCGACTCGGTAGTCGATGGAGTGCATGATGACTCCATCAGTGAGACCTTTCACACTGTCCGAGGCATCATTTGGATCATTTGCCTTGACACTAACACCTCGATTGTTGTTTGCATGCAGCTGACTGTGGTTGTTTTCATGGTGGCTATCAACACTTTGCAGGTGTGAGGTAACCTGCGCCTTGCTGGTAGAGGAGAGCCCAAGTCTTGTAGCTATCTTGCTTCCCATGCCACTGCCTGGTGCGTAGCTACCAAAGCCACCACTCTTTCCAGCAGAGTGCTCGAGCTCAAATGGCTCGGAGATGGCGACATTGCTGAGGCCTGATGCCCAATCGGCGAGGAAACGTTTGATGGAGGGGATGCAGGCAGTCACAATCGATACGTTCATGGCCACAGAAGTCCATACGGAAGGGGTAATCGCAAACCAAGTACGATCTTGTGGAGCCGAGTGATAAAAGTCATCCAAGGCCACGATCGACGCAGCGGTCATGCATGGTGTCCTGTGAGTTAAAGTTAGCAAATTGGATAGGGCGGTGCTTTCATGTACTGACGCAAGGCGCAAGCTGAAGAGCATGATAACCATCCATCGCTTGTCCCGACTGACAAGCACCGTCCTCATCATGAGCGCTGGAAGTAGGACAATTCCTACGTCACTAGCGATATCTAAGCTTCTGATCGCGACCTGCATTGCATACTGATTGACGCATGTATCGCTTTCACTTGGACCGAGTGCCCAGCGGTTCGGCGAACATTGGAAAGCCAGAGCAAATACACTGGCCACAGTCCACAGACCAATGAATACAAGCATGCCGTAGCAGCCATACATGACGTTTCTCAGCGGTTTTATGGCAATCACTAAGAGGGTCACAGCGGCTTTGGCACCCGCTATCGCCAAGATCATGAGAATGTTGGAAGCGTAAAAGGTCTCTATGATGTTAGCTATTTCTGCAAAGGTGAGTCCGAAGGACTGATGCTTACCTTGCTAAGACCAGGAAGATCCGCAGCTGGTATTGCGTCTATATGTCGGCCCAGCCCTTTATCTGTAGCAAGCCCGATGCATATGGTCTGTCCAACGGCACACACCTGAACGATAGTTTAGTTGGTCTGATCTCTAACAGAATTCGCGAAAGTAGGCGCACCATAGCGACGAGTATTGCAATGTCATTGGCGCCCATTGTTCGAATCGTAGCGAGTCGAGTCCATAGCTTGACGCCCACGGTCAATCCAGTAATGACAACAATTGTAGCAGCAGTTGCCAATGCGATCGGTCCACGATTGTCAGGTGTCAGGCCCTCAAAAGGCGGTTTGAGAGGCTCGTATAGATTCCCTTCACCTGTGTCGGACATGTTTGCTGTTTCGTATGCCAGGTAAGGTGTGGAGTGTTCTCAGAAAAAAGGGAGCTGCGAATACTAATAGACAATCTTGGTAGACATTTCTCTGGGGCCAAGTGTACAAGGAAATTTCGCAATAGTCCACGGTAGTGGGCAAGTCGTACTTTACTCCTTAGCTTGGTAGCCGACCCAGTACTCTCGCCCAGGGGCACGACGAGAGTTTCTGTCTTTGTTTAGCACAAGGGTTGCCTACAATACGCACAGATGTTAATGCGGGATGTCCATGAGAATCCACTTTGCAGGAACCAGGCTCATGGGCAGTCTCATGCAGCTCGTTCGAACCTTTCTGGAAAGAGACGTGCGCAAGAAATTCACTTACCCAACACGGGTTTCAGGTTTCTAGACCGGATTGGTTTCCAATTCTTTGTTGGTACTCTGAGAAACCGATGACAAGGTCCCTTAAGCTAGAACACCAGATTTGATGACGTTCTCGGTTCAAATCAAGGTCTCTCCTTGAGGAAACGAGAAAAGCGCAGGGCAGTCAACCAAGTACTTTGGAGGATTGTGGCATATCTTGCGTTGTGGTTTAATGCAGGAACCTTCCGGACGTTCTTGAGCCGTACCGCTAAGGGGTTGGCTTAATCTGCAATGCAGCAAGCTTCCAGCCTCAAAAGCAGCCTCAATCAGGGAGTAACTATGAATGCCGACACTTGGTATCAGGTACAGGTGACTTTGGACGGCATCCGAAGCGAATGCGAAGACATTGAAATGCAACAATCATCGGGTTTTGCGTTGTTTGACTTGGAGGCTGGAAGTCCCAAACCCTGACTAGTGTCCTGATGGCGGATCCCACTGAGTTCTCACGTTCACTGGAACGTACTTCTCGTATATTTTACTCGTGTTTGGTACGAAACGATCGTCAGATCAAGTGGCATGGCCAGGGTCGACGCCTTTGCCGACGCCTCCTTTCACCGTTGATCTCCTTGAGAAGAAATGTCCGGCCCAAAAATGCAAAGCCGATAGAGGATAGGCGCATTTGTACCAAGGCGCTAAAGTGGATAATGAGGCAGAAGTACAGGGACCAGGCTTTTGCCAAGGTGTGATGGTGGTCGATGTGCAGCAAAGGCGAGGAGGAAGAGCGTAGCCTGTCGACCAACGGAGCATCTGGAGTGATAAGGTGGCCTAGGAAAGGTAGGTCCACCACACGGATTTCAGCAATCTCTCCTGTCTTCGCACTCACATTCACGGACCAGATACACACGCCGAGTTCTATGATTGGCTTTAGTCACGCTTCGATGTGTACTTCACAGAGAGACTTAGCTGGCTCTTCTGCAGCAGTTCCTACAGTATCTAACGAACCATATGCCCAACAAGCAAAGGTGCAGCAGTCTGCCATTGGACATTGGTTAGAAGGATTACTTTGAAATCGTCTATATGCTGAGAACATCCCCTCAGGTAAGCTGCGCCTCATGCTTCCCTCCTCACTTCGGCATTATTGAGGACGTCAACGGGGCTAGCTCCGCGTAAATGTTACAGATCCCCGAATAGAACCCAGTGGGATCACCTACTCGTACCCCAACTTGCTCGAGGTCGCCGTGTTTTACCGTGTACTTGGTATATGTTACGTGTATTCGGTACGGAGTATGGTGCTATGCCAAAAGAGGGTGTGGAGCTCGTTCTAGTGGCCGGGGAAGAGATTACCGTACCGGGATCTACACCCTCATTGCATCCAGCGGGCCGGTCCTGGCAGGTTGGCACCTTGTCTGCACTTCATCCAAGACAATCAGGCTCCTGGTGGCGCTCCAATCAGTCTCTCACACTTATCTCGGGTCTTACGACTCCCCGCCTCATTCGCGCAGTTGCGCCACCAAGCAGACATGGGACAGGTATCCATAGGCGAACCGAGCTGCCAAAATGTGACCCTTTGTCTGCCTGAATCAGTGCTCCGTACAGTAGCGCGCTCTGGCAACAGCGGATACTGTCCGGACTAAGGATTAACTTGGTTATCAAGAGGAGACAGGACATAGTATTCCATACCTCAAGTTCTATTGAATTGGCCGGTACCAGCAGGCAGGAGAGCTTTCTAAGCCCTCCGACATACAAGGAGTTGAACATCATGGCAGCTCTTCTTGTCAACAACCATCGACGAGGCAATGGCCAAGGCTGGTCACAAAATTGAGAACTTCGGAGTTAAGAACAAAGGAAACAAAGAAAGGTCTGTAGGCCAAGATGCCTAGGTTCCCAAAGTGCACGAGTATTATGGGAGACGGAGAACGGAATGTGGAGCCCTTCCAGCGGGTTTACCTGTGACTTCGCTAGAGAGGCCCTTGAATTTCACTATTGCTACGGAGTACTCGTACTAGCAGGGGAGCGATTTACGCACTTCAATCCTTGCAACGCTAGGCGCACTGTGCATCATCTACAGCCACTAGTAGGAGAGCACTAAATGGTACTAGCCGGGGGATGTTTCCCCTACCAGTGAGTTCACTTCAGTGTCATAACCGCGATTGGAGCTCCGGGGTGACTATCAGTGTGGTAGTTGCATACCGAGGAAGACTGCTACTGTCAAAGAAATGTATTCCGTACTCCGTACTCTGAATGGGGTAACGATCGACACAAACAGAGCGTTCTACAAACCCCTCGGTCCACATGGGTCTGTTATGCGTCTGCATGCAACCGAAACCATCGCTGCTCCGGTTCACACCACATGCAACATTCCTTGCACAGCACGACGTTGTTTACTTGCTGGCTAGCGAGCGCATCATGGTTCCGGAGACCTAAGCCGAATACTACCAAGGTTCTAAGCTAGAAATCCGGCTGGAGAGTACTCGTAGAGACAACTGGGGCTTTCTCGTGGCATCTTCCCACTACGTCTGCTCCCAGTAACGATCTTATCCCCTTTCCCACTTCGCCAAAGAACCCTCGTCAAACACGTTCAATCATTTTGCACCGTTCCCTGGTGTTCGCCTGCCTGCCTTGGTCTAGGGCCAATTTCCCACGACTATTCCACGTTTTCCCCAGGGAGGTCGGTTGCATTTGATTTAGAACTATCAAATTGGCACCTGGCATTCTTCGTTTCTTTTCATTCATTCTACTCTCCGTGTGTGCTTCTTTCAATTTCTTCAATTATCATTGCAGAGCATCAGCATCTAATCATCATTCAAGATGAGCCACGAAATGCTTCCTGTCAAGATGGGATCGATTGCGGTCAATGAAGAGAAGCCGGGATATCAAAATGGAGGAGCTTATGCTGGTGCACGAACTGAAGGGACCAAGAACACCCAAACTCGTGTTCGAGTACGTATCCGTTGCCAGCCTCTGTCGCAATTGGTGTCTAACATTTGGAATAGAGAATTTTCAGCTTCGCCCAGATTTTCTTTTTTGCTCTCAGTTACATGTCGTCCTGGGAGGCCATTTCATCGTAAGGAAGGGACAATGCAGTAGAATGGCAAAAAGCTGATGGATTGATAGAAACGTGGCGTTCTTTTTCTGGAATGGCGGACCTCGAGCACTTTCCTTTGGGTTCTTCTTCGTCATCACTGGAGTGTTGTGTCAAGTTGCTTCCATGGCAGAAATGGCCTCAGTTCAGGTATGTCTGACCCAAATTCCCAACCCCAAGGCGGACCTTTGTAACTGACTACTTCGATTAGCCAATTGCAGGTGCTCAGTACCACTGGACTCATTATCTAGCCCCCCCCGGTCACCGAAGATTCATTACCTGGATGCAAGGCTGGATTACTTGGTTCTCCTGGATATCCCTTTTGGCCGGTGTCGTGAACATCGCAGCTCTCATCGTCCAGACCTTGGTCAGCGCATCCTTCCCCGACTATGTCCCCAAGGGTTGGCACGTAACCTTGATCATCTATGCCATGCTCATCGTCCAGGGCCTGATGAATCAATTCTTCTTCTGGCTCCTTCCGTGGATGGAGTTGCTCGCTGGTCTGCTCCATATCATTACCTGGATTATTTTCGTTTCCGTACTGGTGACTCTTGCGCCTCGTCATTCATCAGAATTTGTCTTTTTGGAGAAGACTGCGCTCTCTGGATGGAATAATGAATACGTCTCCTTCAATCTCGGTATGATCACAGCAACGTGGGGCTTTGTTGGTAGGTCATCATTCTTGGACTCAGAACACCTCATTTACTGATGCGATTGTTTAGGCTTCGACGGAGCGGTTCACATGTCTGAGGAAGTACGAAAGGCACGACATGCCGTTCCTCGAGCAATGTTCTGGAGTATTGTTATGAACGGTGTCCTTGCGTACGGAATGATTCTCGTAATCTTGTACTGCCTGGGCGACGTTGATGAGATTCTTGCATCTGGCTATCCTCTCATCACCATCTGCATCAATGCCACTCAATCCGTGACTGCAGGGTCGGCTATGGTTGGCGCAAGTATGATTGTTACAATTGCTTGCTCCATCGGTAGTGTCGCCTCAGCTTCTCGACTCACTTGGGCTTGGTCTCGTGATGGTGGGCTGCCAGCATATTTCTCCCACATCGACCCCAAGCACCGCATCCCCATCCGCTCGGTCTGGTTGCCAATCTTCATCGTCATGCTTCTTGCTCTCCTCAACATTGGCAGCAGCATCGCCTTTAGCGTCATTGTCGCCCTGTCGACTCTTGGGTTGTACCAATCCTACCTCATCGCCATCGCCTGCATGTTGTACTCTCGCCTGCAGGGCAGAATCGAACCGGGTGGCTGGTCGTTAGGTTGGTGGGGTCTGCCTATCAACATCTTCGCTATCATATACTCCGCCTACATCATGATCTTCCTCTGCTTCCCTTCTTTCCTCCCGGTCGACGCCACTTCGATGAACTACGCCCTCCCAATCAACGCCTTCGTTCAAATCGCTGCTGTCATCCTCTGGTTTGCTTGGGGAAAGAAGAACTGGAAGGGCCTCAACAAGGAGATCGTCGATGCTGTCGTTGCTGACTCTGATCGTAATACCGCGGATTAAACTCATTGCGTGGGTGCGCGCCGAACAGTACATACTTCTGGCGACGAACTGGACTTCATTATATCTATCGGCTCGTTGGATTTTTCATCTGTTAAGACACCGCTCAGCAAGAGTCTGTTCCATTTCACATGCAGGAGTTGCTGAGGGGTCAAAAATTACTGTTCAATAAGTTTCAGGGGTCACTGCCGGTCGCCCCGTATAGAAATTCCATGGCTCTTGTGGCAAAAGCAACAATAAAACCATATATAATTACAAAATAGCCAAGAGGAAGAAACGTTGTAAATCTCGACGTTAAATCCGCAGCATCTATTAAAAGTCTGTTTTAGTGAGATCTCAGCCTCAATCTTAGGGAAGCGCGTCAATGCTCAACGATAACAGTGATTGCCAGGGAAGTGTTCGCTGAAGTGAATAACGCACTTACAGGTGACAAGTCCACTCAGCCAACACTTGGACCATTCCGCCGCTGGTAGTCTCATTTCAGTGGTGCCGTAACTCATTCTCATGGTCTCAAAGCCTTTGCCAGCCAGCTCTTTACGATGGCTCGCGTCCACCTCTCGTCGCACTCTGATAGTCTGGGATTCTTCACCATACTCAATAACCTGCCAGCTGACAAAATGATCCCTCTTAACATCCTTCTTGAGAACGAATTCGTGGGCGAGACCGATTGCTGAACCTTCAATCGCCAAGGAGCTTGGAGTGATGAGTTTGCCATGCACTGTAGAGCCGCCGTCATCATCAAGTGTTCCTCTGCCTTTCAGATCTCTTTTGGCAGATGCGACGACATCAGCGGCTTAAGTCTTGGTTTTGCTGGTCGGCTCACCTCTGACCATAGTACTCCCAATTGAAATGCCGAGCTCCAGGCATATTAGGTGACATGGCTTGAATTGGGCTGCATATTCCCCCGAGCTCTCAGTCTGCAGACCGCACTATTTGAAACAATCCATCTGATACTGCCTTGGTGCTTCAATGACAAGATAGACATTCATCTAATAGCATTTTTTGAAGACAGGCCGGCCATCTAACTCAAGGCAGGATACGACTTCTACGGCACCTTTCCGCTTTAATTGACTACCCTCTGAAGCTGGCTTGAGAACTTGTGGTAAATCATGGCCTCCACAGGGAGAAAATCTTAAGGTATTGTAGGGGCTTTAAGTCACAGCTGTTCGCAACAGCCGCCATCTCCAATGCGGATTTAGTTCCATCGAGAAATGAGTTTGAACATTTGAGGATTAAAGTACCCCAATGCAAGTTGCTCCTTGGTAAAGCCACAGTAATTCCACGCAGTATCTGGCGTCGAATAATGGTACTGGGTCAGGCCAGTACTTCTATATTACCCACTCACGAAGCCAATAAAACCGGAGTGGAGTGGTGTCAACAGCCCGCGCTACCAGGCTTGCATATTGGTAAGAAGGGTGTTTGGCGTGGTGCCTTTAATAACAATGTTACTCGTCCCGCAGATATTGAGCCATGGGCTATCGGATCGGATCAACTAAAAGCCGTAGGAGCCAAGCATTTCAGCACTAGCACTACCTGATGGGACGTGAAGGAATATGGGGTAGTCACGCACCTCGCATCTTACAAGAATTTCATTGATACGCATCTATTGATGAGTCGTATCTGTGCAGAATCAGCATAAAGCGCGCTGACTAGCCTACCTGGGCACACAATCGTCTTCAACGGACAACTTCCCTTGTAATGATGGGAGTCTAGAAGTTGAGCTTCACAAGGTAGAGTATCCTCTGATTGTGCCCGCTTTCCTTTCCTTTACACGTTGGGAAAGTACTGGCAACAACCAGGCTCGTTCTTTCCCTTTCCTGTCGTTTGACGACAAGGTCCCCCATCACTCTTTCCTCTCTTAAACCACCACAACTCACACCCTCTATTTATCTCTTCTTTTCAATTTCACCTTCTCTGCTTTCTCTCTACATCTTGTTCTTCGAGTCATGCACCAAGAGTGCACCCGTCACTGGAGTCATGGCCGACCAAATACCCTCCCTTGAGCCGTTGAAGACCCTCCATGAGAACAGATCATCAGACGTCTTCAGTGAGTTCGCCACGTCAGCAGCATGTCCTAGACTCATGCTAACAGAACCACAGTTCAGGCCTTTGTGGTCGAGATACCAGCAAAGTTGACAAGCAAGGCATTGAGGTATGAAAATACCTCCAACTAATAACTGCGGACCACAAGCTGACTGAAAGAAGCATCGTCAAACCAATCATTCCTTCTAGTGGAAAGAATCCTTCTTTCGGCCACCTACGACGTTTATGCAACCTGCACCACTTACCACTTGATCTGACCTGGCGTCGTGACTATGATTCAAATGGCCTTCAAACCATCTTTCTCCTCTTGCCAAACACTGTGGTTACGTGGGACTTGATCAAGGCTACTCTCCAGCCACACATTGACGTCGAAGGTCTTCCACGTTGCTTTGATGCGGTGGTTCCACGCTTCGCTCCTCTCAACGCTGAACAGGCGGCTCTCTGGACTGAACGATACTGGCCCACTATCTACAATCCTGCCGCCCAGGTTCTTCAAGATGCTCCACCTCTCAACCAGTTGCGTCGCATCCGGACAGCTCTCGAAGTGCCTGATACTGATAGATACATGAAGTTGGCGATCACCGCAGCAGAGCAAGGCAAGGCTGGTGGCCATGGAAGAGCTGTTGGTGCTGTGGTCGTTGATCCGGAAACCGGTAACGTTGTGGCCGTCGCTGGAGATGCACGTTTCTGGTCAGACGGTCCGGGAACTCGCGAGTCCATGAAAACCTCGAACTGTGAAGGAAGGCCAGAATACCATGCTCTCATGCGTGTCATTGCCATGGTCGCAAACAAGGAACTGCGAAGACGTATCAAAGCAGGAACACACAGCAGATTCGTTGCAACTTGTTCGGAAACGCCCTCCGGTCAGGTCTTGACCGCGATTGAATCTCAATACGAGGATGATGACAAAGTGCTAGGAGATTTGACAGCTTCAGTGAACAACCTCAACCTCACCAATCCCACGGATTCGACAACAGAGCTTCCAGCTAAGCAGTCAGGACCTAAAAACGAAGGTTATCTCTGTAGTGGACTGGACCTCTACCTCACTCACGAGCCTTGCGTATGCTGTGGTATGGCAATGATTCACTCAAGATTCCGGGCCTGTGTCTTGGGTCGAAGAATGATTGGGAGTGGTAGTCTCACTTCCGAAGCTGGTGAGAGGAAGTTGGCATACGGCCTTTTCTGGAGACGAGAGTTGAATTGGCGTGTCATGACTTTCCAGCACACTCAAGCATCCAACCTAGATGCAGAAGGTCGAATTGACACTGAAATATTCCATGCTTAGGAAGTCAATTATTCGGAATATCGGGCATTGTTTTTAGGCAAAGGCCGCCACCCTGGTCCAGTCGCCATCATCCTTTCTACGAAACTCAACACCTTCACCAAAGTATCCAGCATCGTTCCATTGTTGCATGGTATGAGCATCATAGGGTCCGTTTATGGCCCCGCCGTCTCTGGCGTCGGTCCACCTGTACTCCCAGAGCTGTCCCATAGAATTTGCAAGTGCTGCATTGTCCTGTTCAGCTGGCTCCTTCCACTCTTCCCCCGTCTCTTTTCGGTACTGTCGTACGAGCAATTCTCTTTCATTGTCATAGATTTCAGCCTGACCTCTGGTCATCAAAATGTCTGCTGCTTCTGTAATAGCCTCAACCCTCTTGCGGCGAGCTTGCTCGGCTGCCCCATCATGAGCTGGGGCGTCGTCCTCGATCATGCCATTGTTCTTCTTGTTCTTCTTATTATGCCACTTTGGTTTCGTATCTTTCGGTTTTCCAAGGCGTGCTAGAGCCTCAAGGATAGTCTCACCACGTTCCAACAATAGGATGAGATTGGACAACACTGTGCTGGTAGAGATGGAATCATTTTCAAGGTCACGTCTCCTACGTTCCACCTCGCGTTTTTCGGCAGCTTCTTTGGCCCTCTTGATCTCCTTCTTGGACATCCCTTCCAGCCAGACGTCGTGTTTGGCATCTGGGTCAGCCGCTTTCCGGACGTAGTTTTCTTGATCATCGAATCCACCTTCTTCCAACTCCGACTTCATGTTGAATGCGTCTAGTTTAGGAGCATGTGTCTTCTTGCTACCAGCTCCAAGCTCGGGGTCAAGGTCGTCGGCGTTGGCTCTCGTTTCGTCGTCCACCTCACTGTCGCTGCTGCTCTCAACCTCATGATCCTGGATCTTGCCCTTTCCCTTGCTACTGTTCAGGGTGAAATCTGCCGACACATGTCCCCCACTCGTCGAATTTTCCACCTGACCGACGATCTGGTCGGCGTTCAGAAAGTGCACAGCTTTCTTCTTCCCGCCTTGTGTCCCGGCATCACCTTCCGAGTCGTCCCCGTCCTTGAAGTCTTCCTCGAGATCCGCAAACATATCATTATCCTCTTCTGCCTTTGACTGCGCCTGTGCCATTTTCTGTTCTCTATCTTTCGCATCGGCACGGGCGTTGAAGTTGTCATTGTCGGAGTCGGAGTCATAGCCGTCGATGTTGACGGCGCCGCGGCGGACTTGGTGGCCTCGTCCTCCAATTACATCGGCTTCGAGCACAGCATCGTCTTCCAGTGCGTCTGGTGCAAGTGCTGATGGGTTCCGCACGTCGAAGCGAGGCTTCTTCGTCGGCTCGTCATAGGAGCCTTCTTGTCCATGAGTGGTGCGCACGTAGTCCTCGGCTGCGCGTTTCGAGCTGGTGGGCTTGTAGGACATTTTGGGTTGTGTGCTTAAGGGATGGGCCGTCTAGACACAACTTCTGGTCATCTAGAATTTGAAAAGCTCTTTGATTCTTCTGAAGCTTGATCAAGTTACAGGAATGCCCCGCGTTGTTGGATATTACTAAGGCAAGTGTCTCTTTCTTCAATTTACAGGTAGCGTCTACTGCTAGTAGGGGGACGAAGTGCTAAATTAATTACCAGACGCGTGAAAGTGTTGTCTACGTCACTTTGCATGCAAAGGTGGAGTATTATCTCCCAAATATCATGGACTCGTGAATACAAAAAGTCCAATTTCATAGCTAGTGAAATACCTCTTGGTTTATGACACGCAACTGAGTGATAGGACTTCTCGGACCAAGATCAAATAGATAGTAATAACATCACTAAAGGAGTGCTGGTGTCTGTATCAAGATGCTGGATAAGTCACGTGATAGGTATGTGACCACAAGGCGGCATGAGGGGCTTTGTCGAAATAGCTAGTGGCAGAGTATAGTTAAAGCGGCATTCAGCTATGGGGTCGTTCAAAAGGCAGGCGACAATGACGATTCATGTCACTCAGCCTGCACCATCATCTCCCAACGAGTCGACTCATATCCAACTTGCGGAATACGCGACACCGCAAGAACATCTACCCTTCTCTTCTAACTGCTCCAGACCCCACATCCCACGGTCTTCTCAATTAGTTAGACCCGTTTTAACTCACCTTTGCTACCGGGCGAGCATTGAATCGTTGAATCTAGAAGTACCCTGCCTGCCACACTCACGCTATTCCTTTCGCCTGTCATGGTATGATCCTCTTGCTGTTAAATTTCTACAAGGACTGACTTCTGTAGGCATATTATCAAGGAGATATGGTGGGGTATCCCTCGTTCATGCGAGGCGCTCCCCCAGTCGGCATGTCCACAAGAAAGTTCGATGAATATTATCGCTGCTACCCCGTTGTTATGATGAGCGGCCCTGAGAGAACGAGCGTCAACTTTGGTGGCAAGGTGTTCCTTCCACCCTCTGCACTCGACAAGTTGACTCGGTTACACATCGCATACCCTATGCTATTTCAACTGATAAACGGGAATGCGGGAAAGACAACCCACGCTGGTGTCCTGGAATTCACAGCAGAGGAGGGAAGAATATATCTGCCACAATGGGTAAGCATGAGCCCACAGCTCCGCAAAGCAGGTATCAGCACTGACGCATAATGACAGTTGATGAAAACGCTCCAACTTGACCCAGGTGATCTGCTTCAGATCAAATCAACAGACCTACCACCCGGCAAATTCATCAAATTACAGCCTCAATCACCTGCATTCCTAGACATCTCAGACCCTCGTGCAGTTCTCGAAAATGCCTTCCGAAACTTCTCCTGTCTCACCAAAGGAGACATCTTTACTTTTGAGTATAATGATCAAACCTTCGATATTGCAGTCCTCGAGATTAAGCCTGACACTAATTCTCATGGCATCGTCACCATGGAGACAGATCTAGAGGTTGACTTCGCAACGCCTCTTGGTTATGTTCCACCAGAAAGAACCAGCGGTACGAGCACACCAAGGAGTGGCATTGGAAGACCACATGGTGGCTCAGTCCATTCCCAAGGGACCATGGCACAAAATATCAACTACTCCAGCATAGCACCCAGTTCCACGACTGCTGCTGCTGGCTCAAAGGCTGTGTCATCCAACTTTTTATATGGTGGTCACAAGCTTAATTCCAAGAAAGGTTCTAAGGCTCCGACTCCGAATGCCTCCACTCCTGTCGCAGGCAGCTCCTCAAATGCGCCGAAAACTCCTCTTCCCAGAAAGACAATGGGGCCGCAACCACTACGCCTTCCTCCAGGCAAGCTATTTTTCGGGTACGAAGTAAAGCCTCTGCGTAAAGTGGATGAAAATGGAGAGCCAGTGACGGGTGAGGAAATGAAACCGCGCTTTGAAGGGCAAGGACAAACTTTGAGACAGAAGAAGAGAGCTGCAGGCACCGATAGCGGCACCGGTAGTGGCGTCAACAGTGATGCAGAAGCGAAACCGAAAGGGAAAGTGACAGGCTCCGGCCGGAAATAAGCGCATGATGAGAGATTCGCAGGGCGCTCCAAAAGGTATTGATGGTGGCCTCACGGCTTTGCATAGCGACGGCGTCCTGGTGGCTCTTCGGGCCGTTTGATAGTTATTCATCGACTCGGAGACGGGATATTAGCCGCGGGATCAATTAGCCTCATAGCATGGAACAGTGTACATTTGCATCTAGACAGTGTGGAAGGCTCAACAACCGCGTCCTTGGCAGAGCACTTCAAGATATAATTGACCTAGATGCTCTTAGACAGTCCATTGACAGGGTTGGCCCTCCATTGATGTGAAATCCTGATGCAAACCAACGTCATCACCACTCTCCACTATTGACATCAGTCGAGTGTCAGTGACCGTCAAAGATGGAATCATACCACTTTGACTAGCACTTTATTTTGTTCGGATGAAATAGTGATTTTCTCTTCGTATCTGCCGGTCATAAAGACAGGATTTTGCGTAACTCTACATCAACCTACTCGTAGTACAACTTCGCCTGCGGAACATGCCATCGTCATCATCATCATCCATTGACCCAGCAATCCTCCGCGCTTTAGCTCTGGATGCATCTTCCAAAATCTCCACACATGGCGGATCAGGCTTTGCATCGACGTTCCGCATCACGACGCCATCAACTTCAGTATTCATAAAGACCTCGAGCTCGTCTGGTGCGGCGGTCATGTTCCAGGGCGAACACGCGTCCCTCAACGCCATCCACGATGCTGTACCGAGTCTCTGTCCCAAGTCCTTTGCCTGGGGCCAGCTAGACAAAGGTGGGTACTTCCTCGCCACGGAGTTTCTGGACCTCAGTGGCCGGGGAGGCGCCGGCTCCAGAAACAAAGGAGGTTCCGGAATGAGTCTCGCACAGAAACTGGCCAAGTTGCATTCGACGCCCGCGCCCGTGCCGGACGGGTATGAAAGTCCTCAGTTTGGATTCCCCGTGCAGACCTGCTGTGGCGACACCCCACAGAGCAATACGTACACATCTTCGTGGGCGGATTTCTTTACAAAGCACCGACTTTTGGCGATTTTGAAGCGGGGAGAGAAGAATAACGGCCCGGATCACGAGCTGCGGAGGGTGGTGGAGAGGACGGTCAGCGAAGTGGTGCCGAAACTCCTCGCAGATGGTCATCTGGGTGGCAAAGACGGGATCAAGCCCGTCGTTGTCCATGGCGACCTCTGGTCAGGCAACAAGAGTAAAGGCTGCTTTGTGGGGAGGGATCAGACAAATCCTGAGGAGGTCGGCGCCGTGGAAGACGTGGTGTTTGACCCTTCAGCCTGCAACGCCCACTCGGAATATGACCTTGGGATCATGAACATGTTCGGTGGGTTTGGGTCTTCCTTCTTCAAGGAGTACCATGCCATTCTGCCTAAGACGGAGCCGGAGAATGAATATGCAGATAGAGTGGCGCTCTATGAGAGCTACCATCACCTCAATCACTGGGCTATCTTCGGTGGTGGCTATAAATCCGGGGCTATGGGTATTTTGAAGTCCTTGTTGAAGAAATATGGTGACAAGTGATCAAACAGCAGCAGCATGGAATTGATAAACTACATATCTATGATATTATTCAAGTATGTGGACAGCTACTCGGCGGACACTCGAGATCATATTCATGACTTTCGACTCATGATGATGTTGGCGTCAATGGGCCCTCTCCAGGATGTCAGCCACTTCCTCCTATCGGCTACGACCGTAAGGGTATAGTCGAGCCTTGATATGTTGGTCTGATGACTCGAATTGAGGAAGACCTTAGGAAGACACGAGCTCGCCCCAGGTTTTGGCCATCTCACAAATGAGGGTCCTGTGGGTACCTTGCAGGTAGATTATCATGATTTCCGTATCAGGAGGCTTCGCTCTCCCTTCCTCAAATACAGTATCTAATTGAGAGGACTGCCCAGTTTTTTACCCTACAAGAATTGATCCCCCACTTAGCCACCTCGAGGACATGGCGACGGATCAGCTTTGAGTTACTCATTTTTCAGTCAACGGTTCGTTGTTTCAACATTCGAAGCCGAACATGACTTGACATACATCGGAGCTCATACTGTATCGAGATTGAATCAGCATAAGTGCATGGAGCTTCAGGACAGTACCCCGACGGCTTTGCATTAAGAAGGCAGTAGCATTGAGCGCGGAGGAGGCTGATGGGCCATGCATGCAGCAGTCTCCTGAAATCTCGGGGTACATCGCTTGGCTCGCTTGTCAGGATGAGAAAATTACAATGTTGGTCACTTTTGGACTAAAATGGCGAAATAGGAGTATTGAAGTGGCAAAGGTCATACTCACTAGGTGGACGACATATCTAGGTAAACGAAGCGGGGCGGGTGCCGGCTGAGTGCCGGTATTACATACCCGGGTCGGATGACGTAATAAAAGTCTGGAGCTCTACCACATACACTCCCACATGCATGATTACTGCCCCAGGACTATTAATGCCGTCGTCTTCCATGCCTAACGCGACCTGAAACCATTGAGCGTAAGTTTTCTTGTCTCATTGAGCGAAACAATCATGGCAGCATCCAAACGAGTTCTTGTCCTGGGGGGACACGGAAAGATAGCAATGCTGCTGCAACCGAAATTGCTGGCGAAGAACTGGAATGTCACGAGTGTGGTGCGCAATCGCGACCACGAAGCGGAGATTAAAGCCCTGGGAGAAAAGAGCCCGGGCGAGATCGATGTTCTAGTGGAAAGTCTCGAAGACGTGAAGGATGCGCAGACGGCTCAAATTGTGCTTGACAAGGTCAAGCCTGACGTCGTCATCTGGTCTGCAGGTAAGGCCAACGGGGGCGATGGTTGAAAGGCAAGGACTTATAGAAGACTCACTCTAATACTGATTCATTCAAGGCGCGGGCGGGAAGGGCGGCGCCTCGAGAACGAAGGCGGTTGATGAGGTAGCTGCAAAGGCATACATCTCAGCGTCGTTGGCGACACCGAGCATTTCCAAGTTCCTCCTGGTGTCCTACATTGCTTCCCGGAAGGGATATCCTCCTTGGTGGAGTGATGAAGACAAGAAAGCAGCAGATCACGTCAACAACAATGTACTCCCGGATTATTTCAAAGCCAAGGTCGAGGCCGACGAGCATCTGGAGGCCTTGACTCAGAAACGCCTCGAGAGCGGCGACAAGTCGTTCCAGTCTATCAATCTACGCCCTGGCACCCTCAGTGATGACCCACCTTCGGAGCGGGTTTCGTTGGGAAAGACTTCGTCTAGTAAGTTTCTAAGTGGTTACTGTTCTTGCTGGGACCTTGATGGAATGGATTGCAGCTTTACAGAACTCATGTGCTAACTTGGTACGATGTAGGAGGAAAGGTCAGTCGAGAGACAGTGGCCAACGTGGCATTGGCTCTCTTGTTGAGGGATGACACTCGCGGATGGTTTGATCTTCTTGATGGCAGTGCCAGCGATCCCACGGTAGATGAAGCCATTGACGAACTGGTGAAGTCTGGGCACAATGGCTTGGAAGGCGAGGATCTCAAACGCATTCATGCGAGGAGTACGTGAGATCGTGTAATCATAAAGATTGAAGACCTTTGTATTCCAAACGGCCAAGGAGCCCCTTGGATAATATTATACTTCCTCAGCCTTCTCGCAGAAAACCCCTTCATATTCTGTTCGCGGACATAGCCGTTGGGCTTTACCTGTTGTGCCGGCTACGCTCATATACCCCAGTTTGAAGCCCCTCGGCCCCGCACTTCTCGGAATGATTTTCGCTGAATGGGCGATTGCGTCAGCGATTTGGAGTCTCGTATTACTAATAATCAGAGAGAGACATTTAGTGACAATGAAGTTGATCAGATAGCTCCTGACGACAAGAGGAGCAATTCCTTGAAACTCGTTGCATCGAGTCCGCTCCAGTCCTCCTATTCAGCCTCATACTATCTGTCCCGATGGCGATTCCTGACGCTGAAATTCATCCAAGCGCGACAGGCAAGGCCGCTGATATCGTCGCTCAGCACCAAAAGAAAGAGCCCATCACATTATACTCCGGGTGGTTCTGCCCGTTTGTCCAAAGATCATGGATCACTCTGGAAGAGAAAAATATCCCTTATAGATATGTGGAAATAAATCCTTACTTAAAGGAAGAAAGGTATTTATTACCCGCCATCGTGGAGCGCCCGCAGTTCCCGAATCAGACTGACTTGGCAAGCTTTTTGAAGCTGAATCCTCGTGGACTTGTTCCGACATTGGGTGCCCCGCAAAAGGACGGATCTGAAAAGCCGCTGATCGAGTCGAACTTGATCTCCGAATACCTAGATGAGTCGTATCCGGAGCAGAGTCCTCTTTTCCCGAAGGATCCATACGAAAAGGCGCGCATGAAAGTCTGGGTCGACCATATCACCACACGCATCATCCCAGCCTACCATAAGGTGCTCCAGCATACCGAGAGAAGCCCATATACTCTGGACAAGGCATATGGCGACTTTCACACTTCTCTGAAGACCTGGATCAAGGAAGCTGAGCCCGAAGGCCCGTTCTTCCTCGGCAAGGAATTCAGCTACGCTGATGTTGCGCTGGCGCCTTGGGCCGTGAGGCTCTGGGTGCTGGAGCATTTCAAGAAACTCCCTGCCATTCCTGCCCCGGGACAAGGGGGTGCGGACGAGGAGCTGTGGAATCGCTGGCGGAAATGGAGTCAGGCAGTTGGGGAGAGGAAGTCGGTCGCGGACACAATGAGTGATCGCGAGCACTACCTCCCTTTGTATCAGAGATATGCTGAGGATAGGGCTCAGAGCGAACTCGCGAAGGCTATCAGGGAGGGAGGGGGCGTGCCGTAAGGCCTCGAGTGTGCCGAATGTTAAAAGGTCTTAGTTAGACCCTGCTTGCCTCGTGGTTGGCCTCAAGCACAGCGCGTCCTCTGCATTGGGGACACGCGTGGCTACCATTTCAGATGAAGCACAATCCCCGCACGTATGCCAACTAAGTCGGGCACCCATTAAATCTCCGTGCTTGACTTCATATCATTTATTGTTGAGCTTTATCCAGTCAATCCTTGACACTAAACCAGTCAATGCACCGTGCCAACAAGACTTGTGGCCCTGGATTGATGCGTCTCTGCTGCTATTTGATGAATTTGGTGGCTTTCATTCCTGGTATTGGGCGGGAGCCATTTCCGTCTCTTAGGGAATCGGACCACCAGCACGATCCCAGATGCTAGAAGCCCGCTGCATGTATTTAGCAGACGAGAAGACTTGTCAATCTGCTATGGTCCCTTTATCCGACAAATTTGGACGAGGTTCGCTTCAGGGTATGTATATTAAGGCGACGAGGCATCACGACATGGACCCCAAGTGATTGCGACATCAACCACGAAGTCCTCGGCTTGGGGTTCCAAACACTAGCGAATGTTTTCACCTTGAAATCCTATGGATTCTCGGCGGGTGGGTTGGTCAGGGAGATCTGGTATTCATGTCCTCGAGAATCAAGGTCCCTCTGAATCAAATTGAAGAGTGGGGCAGAATGCATGTTCCGTCTGGGAAGCTTAGCTGCCAGAGAACTCAACTAATAGGGAATGGGAGGACTTTACTGTCGCTGACGGCGAGCTCAAGGCATGAACGTGGCTTGATGACCACGAATGGCTGTTTCAAAGAAGATCGCATATTTTGCAATATCGATACGCTCAGGTTGATCCTTCCATGCAAGAACACATCTATTGTCTCCCGGATATAGCATTCTTCCACCAAATGAAACTCAAATTTGGTTCTCAATGCCTACAAATAACATTACCATGTGTAGAGTACAACGGAAAAGATGTTGTGACCATGAACTCCAGTCTTGAGCGAATGTTAGATCAGGTTGCTCTTTGTGCATAGCCGCTTCGAGGCTTAAGTCGGATCCATGACAGCCCTGGATATACCAGTGGAATGTGCCTTGAACAAGCAAGGCTGACGTCAATAGGAGCCATCTGAAGCAGCAAGTGCTTCTGACGTGCACGTGAAATAACGCCAAGCCTAGCAAGCCTGGAAGGCGCGACCGCGTCGCCCAACATCGCGGAATATTGGTCTTGCTCTGCCCCTCCACCCGATTAGGCACACGCCGACAAAGCATACACGCCTGTGAGGCATGGCCGGGAACTCACTGCACATCGACGCCGGCTGAGATTGTACTCGGTTGTTGAAATACACACTTCAATACACCCATCAATATGCCACGAGCGCCGCGCAGAGCCGCCCACCACGAAAGAGATGTTGCCGCCACGACTCCCACCAGACCAACGGCTACGAATGCAATCACAGCTGCGATCCCCCCTTTCATGCTAGAAACTCCTCCGCATGCTGCTTTCTTGGCCACTCCTGTCCCTCCTGCCCACAACCCAGGCCAGACAATCCTGCCAGACACCAACATCCCTCGCCGACATCAAGCACAAACTCAACAAACACCTGTCGCGAACGGGCATGTAAATGATGATATCCCCGGTGGTTCGCAAGCCTCGCATAATGCATTAGCTCCGGCGACATCAGAGACTGGCCACGCTGACGAACAATCGTACCTGGAATCAGTCCACCACGACGCTGAAGATATAAAACAGCTTAGGGGACTTCGAGATATTTCTTCCTTGGCTACGTGGACTTTGTCCTCGGCAAAGCCTGGTTGTGCTCTAGCGCAGCTGAGAAATCCTAATCCTGCACTATTCTGGCAAAGTGATGGACCGCAGCCTCATACTCTCACTCTCCACTTCTTCAAGCTGGTGGCTATCGTGAAAATGCGAATTTACCTAGATTTCGAGCTTGACGAGTCGTATACACCCACGAAGATGAAATTCTTTGCGGGCATGTCGGAGGGCGGGCTCGTAGAATTCGGGTCATGGGAGGTCACAGAGACGGTCGACCCGGAGACGGGCGAAGCCCACAGCAGTATCGAGGGTATTCGAGGATGGATCGAGGTTCCGTTGGAAGGTGTTGGAGGTAGAGAAACTCGTTACCATGAGATCGCAGACTACGGTAGCGGCGGGATCGATGATGCATTGGGCCCAAATCATGAAGCTGAACAGACTGAGATGGGAGGAGATGTTCTTAAGGCCATGGTGGTTCAGATTCGAATATGTGAAAACCACCAGAATGGCAAAGATACTCATGTGCGTGGATTTCAAGTGTTTTCACGGGACACATCGACTACAGGAGAATTCAGCACTGTCTACAGGAAGAATAAGCAAGAGAAAGATACAAGTCAACCAGATGAAGATCATGGCAAAGTGGTCAGATTGCAGCCACCGGACTGGATGGGCGACCCTGAAATTCGGTAGAGAATCCTGCAGTCGTCTGTACAGACCTATTCTTACACTCCCATGGTTGATCTTCGGTGTCTGCTAATGTCAATCAGAGTGAGTATTCTATGGATGAAACCATCAGGAAGTACAAATTATAGGAGACAAGGGACAAGAAAGCAGCTCAACACGTGCCGCCGTCTCTTACCCCCCTAGGTCCATGTTTTCCGGAATGGGAAGGAGGTGATTGAAGAAAACAGTGACTGCACCTGCCTCAATTACCTTGCATTTGACTCGCACAACCATCTCCATTCTCACCGCAGTCTTCCTCTCGAACTTCTCTCTGTCTTCACTCAACCTGTTCTCTGGAAACCGAACCGTCGATTCTGTTCGTCATGCCTACTACTCGACCTTCCCTGCCAGGCTTGCTGTGTCTTACTTGTTGTCTGCTGCTTGCAGTGTTTTCCACTTGGAACCCTCAAGGTTGGTGCTTCTTCACGCCCTTGAGAGGAAGGCTGAAGCTAACTCTTTTGTTAGAGAGCACCATCAATGAGAGATGCAGTAATCTGCTGATCAGTGGAAAGTGGCCAAAGACCCTCAGTCAGAAAAATCAAACAAGGATTTGGGCACCCCACGGATGCATGCTCTATCCCTACAAGTCCGACGATGTTCAGCAATGTCTCTCCAAACGATCTCTCATATTTCTCGGAGACTCCACGGCGAGGGACTTGTTCTGGGCAATATCATACAAGTTGGACCTCTCACGCGCTCTGGACATTCACTCGAAGTCCGGAAAGCACCAAAACGTAATATTTTCCTCTGAGCAGGCTGAGGTGAAGTTTATCTGGGATCCGTTTCTCAACGCAACTAGTGCAGTCGACCAGCATGTATTTCCAGACTCTCCAAACGGTGGAGAGGTCTCAAAGCTATTCGTGGTCGGTGCTGGCTTGTGGCATATCAAACACCTGGGGCCAAGGCATCAAAGCGTGTCACGTCACTTCTTGCAAACTCGCCCAGATTCTCGCCTCGGACCTTTCAATGCCATTTTGCTCCCCATATCGGTATCCCAGTCAAAAAGATTGGCGATCAACCCATCAGGGCCATTTGACTCGGAGAGAGCTGGGCATTGGAATATCCTGTCCACCGAGATCTCGTCCTCCAAAAACGCTAGCATGGATTTTGGTATTTTTCGGAGCTATCTCGAGATGATTGATGGAGCAATCAACGCCTTTGAACAAGACGGGATTCACATCAGCCACACTATTACTCCTGTTATCGCTGACGTTTTGCTTAATTCCATATGCAACCCTTCGGGCCATATCCCAGAAGATCAATACACAGCATACTGCTGCGTCTCAAGCAACCGTCCCAACGTAGCCCAGAAGCTTTTTCTACTTCTAGGCCTCACCTTTGTCATCTGTCATCTCTTGAGACATCTCAAGCACAGAAGGTGCAGACACTGCTCGTCAGACGGAAGCCCAGACCGCGACAGACGTCCTTGCGTTGCAGAATCTGTGACTAGTATTATGATTGCACTCAATTACTGTTTTGTGGCAGACCGAAGCGTCATCTTCGAGAAGTCATCCAAGTTGGTAGACCCAACCTCCTTTAGTGTGCTCTCAATTTTTACCTTACTCCTCGGTCTGATCCCATCGACCAGTGTGGCATCTCCCACCAGGACCATCACAGACATCACAAGCTCGCACCTCCGATATCCACAGTCGTTGTCCAGGTCCCAAACTGAAGAGTGGAAAGGATGGATGCAGATCGTTATTCTGCTTTACCACTACTTTGGCATGTCCAAAGTCCTTTGGGCGTACCAACTGGCACGTGTTCTAGTAGCTTCCTACCTCTTCATGACAGGATATGGTCATACAATGTATTTCCTTCGAACTGGCGATTTCTCCAGTCGAAGAATAGCTATCGTTCTTTTCAGAACTAATATCTTGAGCATCGCGCTCGCATTTATGATGGGCACTCAATTCGATCTATACTACTTTCCAATGCTCTCTAGCTTATGGTTCCTGATCATCTATATCACCATGGTTCCATTTTCGAAATCTAGGCTCACCACACATGAGCTGATCTTTCGAATCGTCCTATCAGCACTCACGATCAGAGTTTTGGTCGAATCAAGCAGCACGCTTGAGTCTCTATTCAAAACTGTCGCGAATCTACGCATTGGCTTGATGATAATTGACGGAAAGGAGTTCATGTTCAGATTCCAGCTTGATGCATATGTTGTTTATGTTGGAATGCTCGCTGGTACTTATTGTTCACGAGATTCTGCTAACGATGATATCTCAACTGTGATACCTTCCAGAACTAGCGTTGACTTCGTGAAACGCCGCCGATGGCTCCGACGTCCAGTCGTACCTGGCGCTCTTTGCCTGGTTGTTGCATATATCTGCTTTTGTGGCAGCTTTGAAGACAAGTATGATTACAACCGTTGGCATCCTATCACCTCTCCCTTCGTTGTGGTGGCATTTGCCATCATCAGGAACTCGACAGAAAGGCTATCTAGATCATGGAGTCGTTTGTTTGCGTGGCTTGGTCGATGCTCCTTGGAGACTTTCGTCTTGCAATACCATATATGGTTAGCCTCCAATTCTCACGGCCTGCTTCGCTTTCGAAGGTTCGATGTCTTGCTAAGGTCTGCGGGGATTAACGTGATCTGGACGGATATAATCGAGTTTACGATCCTGTCAGCACTATTCCTCTATATCAGCTCGAATGTGTCATCTGCTTTGCCCATCCTCACGGCAAAGTTCATCAACGAACAAAGAGGTCCCATTAGAGCTTTCAAATCCAAGATTGATACGACAAAACCTCCCTGCAACACGATTGATTCGAAGACGCTATTCGTAGATTTCCGCACAAAGCTTGCCCTTGTCGCCCTACTACTTTGGGGGTTGAACATTTGTTGGCTTTACTTGGAATAGGGAAATATCTACAACAGAAGTTGGAGTTCGTGTGGAGTGTTCAGGAGGCTGAAAAACGCGTGCCAACAGCATTAGGAGCGTGTGGTTTTGTCTTGGGGGGAGCTATACTCGGTAGACCGGCAAGCGTTTCTCCAAGTTATATGGAGCGATGGACCATGACACATCTTTTCAATGTCGAATGCGGAGAAGAACGCTGGTTGATCGCCACCAAAATCTTTGCAGAGCAATTCGCAGTTCATAGAATGCGAAAGAAGAGCCAACCGTGTCAGAACATGTTGAGGTACAATCTCTTAGTTCCAATATTCAAGGCCTTTTGCAGTACGCCAGCTGATTTGCATGAACCAGAGAGCTTTATGAGATGGAAGAACGCACGTACGACAATCACCGCGCATCATCCCCGAGCTGACTTCGGATGTGGACTATTCGTTTTATGCACTCGTTTACTTGCCTCATTTGTATTGACCTGCGTCGACGCTTCTCCATTGTGCGGTATATTGTTGTTTCCTGGCCGATGCTCGTGAACGGAAGCCGGGCATATCGTTGTCGCGCCGCATGACGGCCAGTCGAGTCTTTACTTGCAGATCACACACATTCGACCATGGGCGCGGATATCGGAGATGAAGGAGAGCAGGTCGAAGTTGCCCTGTCGCCGAATGTAGCGAGCATCAGTCTAGCGACCGACGTTGAGCCTCTCTACGGTTGGGTTGTTTGCATAAGTCTCCACTTCATAAACGCTTTTACTTGGGGTGTCATTGCTGTAAGGAACCACTCCCTCATAACTAGATGGAAGTGCAAGCTAACTCTGGCCCTGGGTCCTTCTAGAGCTTTGGCGTCTACCTATCGTACTACATCAGTCACGAAACCTTTATTGGCACGACAAACCTAGAATTTACCTTTGTAGGAGGAGCCAATTTCGCCGCTGCCATGTTATGTACCCCAACAGTCAATCTCTGCATACGCCAGTTCGGAACTCACGTTCCAATGTATTGCGGATGCTTCCTGTTTGCTGGGGGCTTTATCGCAGCTTCGTTTGCGGTCGAGTTTTGGCAACTGGTGCTGAGTCAGGGAGTCCTTGTCGGACTTGGAACCGGCTTTGTTTGGTTACCCGCGACTCCGCTCCTCCCGCAGTGGTTTAACAGGAACCGGAGCCTTGCACAAGGTATCGCTGCTGCAGGTTCGGGAATCGGTGGTATTGTATGGAGCTTTTCAATCGTGCCAATGATTGAGAACCTGTCACTTGCCTGGTCGCTACGAATCACCGGAATGGTATCTTTTGTCGTCTTGCTCGTTGCCTCTTTCCTTATCAGAGATCGAAATGAGAAGATCAGGCCAAGGATAAAAGCTATCGACTGGGATTTGTTGAAGAGGTACAATGTCTGGTTATTGGTCGGGTATACCTTCTTTTCGATACTGGGGTATATCGTTTTCATCTACACACTTTCCGCTTTCGCATTGTCTTTGGGCCTGACGCAGAGCCAGGCTGGCATCATAACCGGAATGTTAAACGTGGGTACTGCCATTGGAAGACCGTTCATTGGAGTCGTCAGTGATCATTATGGAAGGATCACGACTGCTACTGCCTTGACAGCATCGAACTGTCTAATGGCATTTGCCATCTGGATCCCTACCAATTCCTATGGTCTGCTAATCTTTCTTGGTCTTGTCAGTGGGGCGACAAGTGGAATCTACTGGGGCACCATTGCACCACTGTGTGCCGAGGTAGTTGATCTCAAGGAGCTTCCATCAGGACTGGGCCTGATGTGGCTGTCTGTTTCGATGCCCTCATTCTTTTCTGAAGCGATCGCCCTCGAGATCAGGCGACCAGAGTCAGGGCGACCCTACCTGTGGCCACAGATATACACCGGCTTGGCGTTTCTCGTTGCCAGTCTTCTTCTCCTAGAACTTCGACGGCAGAAATGGGGCTGGCGAAGGGAACGGCATCGCTAAAGTTTTGGCCCGAAAATTTGCTCTTAGCGTCTCAGGATCTCCTACTCTCACGACCAAGGAGCAGCAAGGAATAAGGCATTCAAGGAATGGAATCACTGCCCGTGCCTAGGATGCATAGAAAGGCGTCTAGTGGGTAGCATCGTTGGTCTGGTTTCTCAACAACTTCTGAAGGGAGATGCCTCGGCTTTATACCTGGTATCACTGAGGCTCCACGAACAAGTCTTCTGAGTATATTGATTAGTGAACAAGGCTGCCCTGGTGTAAGACTCTGACCCTTGGCATCTTGTGTCCACAAATCCAAGCGAACCGAACCGCATCGTTGAAGCTAATCCTAATCGCGATCATTGCGCCGGTGATGCGACCGATGCATCATACACACAGTCAGCGAGCTCCCTGAGTTGCAACTCCAATCACCTTTCTGGTATCCATATTTTCAGAAGATACATAGCTGCCTGCAACTTGAGGCTCTCTATGACACAGCAAAGGCCCTCCTATCCGTGAACATGTGAATAACCTGCAGCTACGGCCGTAGTTGCATCAGTAACCCACAGCAAACGGATTCTACCAGTACTTGACAGCCATGGTTCCCAACACTTTACCCCTGACATCGACGACACAAGTGGGGATACCTTCTTCAAGGCTGAGGTCTGAATACGGACATTATTGGATACATAGCTCGCCTGAGCCATCAAACAGAGTCTCTCCTCATCCACGTCCTCGACCTTCACACGGTGCCGTCTGTCAATAACATGCTGTCTTTCCTGAATCCATTACCGAGATTGCCGGAATATACTGGCCCAGAGAAGGTCGGGACTGCAGAATATGAGTTATCACTATCGTCACTAGGTTTCGAGTGTATTCCAGAGCAACTTCCAGCATCAACGATCAAATTTCGAATTTTCTATCCTGCCAGGCTCAGCGCCGATGCCGCCTTTGGTGTGCCATGGCTTCCACAGCCTCAAACAGCACATCTCGGTGCATATCTTCGCATGGCTCGACTAGAGCCATGGCTTTCAAAGATATTGCTGTCGGTTCCTTTCTATTTGCGATCAACCATGATGCCAGCATACAAGAACGCTGCGCTACAATGCGAGGACGGCCCGTTGCCGGTACTGATATTCTCGCACGGGCTGGTAGGTGGTATGAATAGCCATAGTGCTCTTCTTGGGGAGCTTGCTTCTCGAGGTATCTTTTGTGTTGCTATCGATCATCGTGATGGAAGTGGCGTTCTGTCACTGGCGCGTCGTGAAGGCTCGAAGGTGCCTAATGAACAACCAACCGAAATAACTTCGGTTTACTTCAAGAACGTGTCGCTGAAGATCAGACCTGGCGTCTGGGAAGCGCGGGACAGGCAGTTTGAAATTCGACTTTTTGAGCTTATGGCAACATATAAAGCTCTGGGACTTCTTAATGAAGGGAAACATATAGCAAACCTCGCCGACGACCCAGGTAATATGAATGTCATTCCCAGTTCATCACTGAATCTCAATCCGGGTGAGGTCATTTGGGCTGGACACTCTTTTGGAGGAGCTACTATGGTTCAATTTATCAAGACGATCTACCACGAGAGCAGATTACAAGGGGTCAAACAGGAGAGCGATGCTGCCTTCCCTGAACATTCGCTTTTGTTGCAGCCAGCACCGCGAAGCCTTGTGGAACAAATCAAGGCAACCTCACCAGTGATTCTTCTTGATCCCTGGTTCATGCCGCTGCGGTCACCGAGGACAAAGTGGCTGAACCTCGAAGCCCCTTCCATGCCACGACGGAACATCAGATCAGGCATATGGACAGATGTCGACTACGATCGCTGTGCTCTCATCAGAATGTGCGTGGCACTGGCCGCAAGTGCATTCACATATGCCTCAGGTCCTCGCGGCAGAGCCACAGACAATCAAGACAGAGACGGAAGCAGAAACTCTCACCTTGTTCGAGAATTTCATCTCGCCACGACACTTCATGAACGAGTCGAAAAGGCAGAATGGGAGCTCCGTGAGGACAGAAAAGGACGCAAAAAATAGCGAGCCGACGGCAACCAGCGGGTTTGTTCTGCACGACACGACGCATGTGACGCTGTCAGATTTCGGAATTATGTTTCCTTGGATTACATGGTGGTTTACGGGGCAGAAGAAACCGGACCTGGCGAATTGGAATACTGCCAGGTGTATTTTGAAAGCGGCGGGTTTGCAGGAGAGGATAGGCTGGGATGATGATGGAGGTGGTCATGGCGTAGCGGAGGCGGATGCACAGCTAGAGCAGATATATTATTAAGTAAGCGAACTACAAAGATGAACACTAGGTGTGCTCGGATGCAATATTGATGTTGGATGGCATTTATTTCGTAAGTCGCTGGATGAGGCTGTGGGAACCGGAGCTGCTAAGAAGAGCGGAGGAATCGGCAAGGCTGCAACCTCGGCAATCTCGACGGGGTTGTCCAATCTCCAAATTTGTCAACCACAGCCGAAGCGGTTGATTATTCTTGACTATTCTCGACTCCTGCGTCTTGTTGCTGATTTCCAGCCAGAACCCACCGTGTGAGCTTTGGTACATTGATTCATTTCTACACACAACCATATTGTTCTCCCGACAATGTCCTGACGCACCAACCCTACTTAAAACAATGCCTGTCACCGAGATCCTTCTGCTGCGACACGGCCACCGGCTCGCGTGGACATTGGATCCCACCACGGGGAAATATACCTCGAGCCACCCATACCCAACAGGACTACCCGCAGACCCTCCCTTAGCGTCGCACGGGGTATCACAAGCGATCGAGACCGGAGAATACTTTGCCTCGTCGTCACCGCTCCGACTAGATGAACTTGTCAAGCACGACCGACTCAGAATCTACTCAAGTCTATTCTACCGGTGCCTGGAGACGCTACGCCCGACAGTAGAAAGGCTACGAGAGATCGAACTCACAGACTCCATCTCGCGGCATTCAAAACACACGCCGCTGGAAGTCCGGGGCGAGCGGGGCATCGGCGAATGGTTCGGGCGCGCGTGGTTCGTGCAGCCTCACCCTGCGGAGCCGGAGCGACTCAAGCGCGAGTTTTTCCCTTGGTTGGACGACTCGTATCAGTCGAGGGTCGTACCAGAGGAGCATGGTGAGCGCATCGAGCCCCTGCATGACCGTGTGGCGCGCGCACTCGCGGCGATCGTGAAAGATGTCGATGAGGAGTACTCATCAGCTGGCCGGGGTGATGAGAAGGTCGCGTTGCTGTTATGTGGTCATGCGGCGCAGATCATCGCTACCGGAAGAGCGCTGACGGGCTTGATGCCCGAGGACCACGATGAGGAGGATTTCAAATGCTTTACCTGTGGGATCAGTAGGTTTGTGCGCCGGTCACTGCCGGGGTCTGCTGATGCTGATGCCGATGATCACTGGTATTTCCGCGAGGACTGGAGAAATGGTTCGGGCGTTGCGGGCGGCTGGGATTGTGTCGCCAACAGCGATTGTGCGCATTTGAGTCAGGGCGAGGAGAGAGGTTGGCATTTCCATGGCGATGAGAGCTTTGATTCTTATGAGGGCGCAAAGTCTCTCGGGGTACGGGCATCGGATGGTGGGTTCTCATCGCAGCATAAGCTGTGATGGAGTATGACGAACCATGAGAATGAGTGCATGATTTACAGTGTAGTTCCGACGTGAAAGACCGCATGAGGCTTATGCATATCATGTCGATAAATACATGGAGATAGACGAGAGGATACATGAGAGGGAGAGCAGTTCTGATAAATCTAGTAACGAAATAAAGTGCTAAGATAGATTCCATCTCCTTTGCCTTTGATCATCATCACTTGCTCTGCCTGACAAGCTTGGGGCCAGTTCTCGATCTTCTGTTGATAAAGCAGTGCATTTGCACTCGGGCGGCAGTCGGTCTCGGAAAAATATCAAATTCGAGCGGCTGTCATCCGCGTCTAAAATTGCCGCCGTGATTTCTTGCCGACTTCAACTCCGCAAACGCAAACACGAAGAGCAGTTCAACAGCCATCCGCACCCGCACCCACACCCACTTACACAATCCACCCTCCAAGATCTCCCGCTCTGCTTCTACAGCTTCATGCTCTCCCTTCCCCCGCTGGCCAGCTCCATATTCTCCTGGCTATGCACTACACAACCACGGTTCTGCTTCCTTAGTGCTATGGCGAGCTTGGCGAGCTTCACCAGCAGCCATGTCCCGCGGCAGAAGAGCTCTCAGCTCCCCATCCGATGCGTATTATGGTACGCTTAGTCCAATCTCTTCCCCCATCCCGACTTGCTGGTCTGACCAGCTTTCTAGACCTTCTGTCTACCTTCATTAGACAAACCCGCCCACAAACACAGACCAGACTGCGGGATTCTGCCCATCACCATAGACAACGTCGCCTATTCCACGACTATTTCGTCACTCACCTTCCCTCCTCTTCTTTACACCCAGACTCCCGCTCTTTGACAGGACTTGCCCACAAATTCCCTAGGAAGGACTCAACTCCCCATACTCCAGATGGCCGATCGGAGCCTGCCGCCCACCCCTCTGTCTCCCGAGACACCACCGTTGTGCGAATTCCCTTGAGGAGTGCCAAACATCACTACGGCGCCTCTGTCTCTCGGGGGAGTCGACCCTATAATGAAGATTCACACCAGGCTGGCATCATCGAGCTCCCGGCCTTTGCGAAAAAGCCGCCTCGCTCCGTCACCACCCAGAAACAGGTCAAAGAAGCCACCTCGGCGGATAATATCAGTGGTGACCCTCAAGTCTTTTACTTTGGCGTTTTCGATGGTCATGGGGGTGCAGAGTGCAGTGATTTTCTTAGAGAGCGATTACACGATTACATAGAGAAGTCGGCCATTTCTTTCGAACTTCAGTCTAGTTTACAGAAGAAGGAAGAGAAAGATAGACGTGCTGGTGTTGCTCCCGGTTTGATTGAAGATGAAGCAGCGGTGAAAAGGGGCAAGGTTGCTTTGGAGGCGGTGCCTACCACAAGCACGGACGAACCTCAGCAAGATAAGGGTAAAGGTAGAGCTGGCGATGGACATAGCGGAGAATCCACATCTGCCAGCCGCCCTCTACACCCGGGTAACCCTCCGGTCATTCAGAATGCAAATACAGAAAACATCAAGACCTTGGAGAAACAGCTGGTTAGGGGCTGGAAAGACCTAGTCGGAGGATATTTTCGCCGGTTTAAGCCACCTTATTTTTCCATTTACAACGGAAACCCATACTCTGGAGAGGAGTCCTCTCTTACGAATGCTGGCGGCGGAGATACCAGCTCTGGTGCCTCCATCGAAGAGGTCATGACTTATGCTTTCCTCAAGGCTGACTACGACTTCGTGGCGGCTCAAGCAGCCAAACATTCAGAAAACCGAGACAACACACGAGCCGAGCGGCCGCTGAATGATGGTGACATCTTAGGCGAGCCCAGTAGGGTTGCTGCACATATTGGTGGGCAAAATCGATTCAAGGGCGGGAGCACATGCAGTATTGCACTGCTGTCCACGCCATCACCCACCCCGTTTTGGAACCCATCAACCACCTCATCCATGCTTGTTGCTCATGTAGGAGATACCAGGATTCTGCTGTGCTCCACAAGTACTGGGCAAGCAGTTCCATTGACCACGAACCATCATCCATCTTCCCCAGTCGAAAGCAATCGACTGCGTAGGTACGCGGCCACATTTGTGACTGACTCATTTGGGGAAGAGCGAGTCTTGGGGCTCGCCAATACTCGAGCATTTGGTGATATTGCGTCCAAGCGGATCGGAGTCAGTGCAGAGCCGGAGATCCGGCGAGTGGAGATCGGAGCGGCCGAGTATTCCTTCATGGTATTGATTTCAGATGGCGTTTCAGGTACGCTTGACGATCAGGAAGTGGTGGACATTGTCAAGGAGGCCAAAACTCCCGAACTAGCAGCCAGAGACGTGGTCAATTTTGCGACCGAGGTGACGACCGAGGGCGATAATGCCACATGTTTGGTGGTACGAATGGGCGGATGGGAGAGACGACAGGAGGGTGGGTTTGGCAGTCTCTCGACCAAGAACAGTCGTGATTACAAAAGGCAGAGTGCTTCTGATCCCCGGAGTCGTCGACAGTGAAAGAAAAGTGAAGAAGGAAAGCTCGGGTTCTAGATTCGTTTGATGAAGCGGGCGTGCTTTGTGTATATCTACTATGAAAGAAGTATGCCTGTGAATAGAGTTGCTAGATGCTTCTTATCAGAGGGTTAGTCGAGTATCGAGTATGTGTATGTGTATGATGTGCTCTGGAGATAAGGGCCCATGGATGGTTTTGTCCGTGGTTGGTCCGCCTCGTAAACAAAGACTAGCGAACCTGACTCGGGTCTGATGCGATCTGATGATTAAGGCCACTTCCTTTCACAACTGCTGCTGTTGCACGACCAGAGATAAATACTTCTACTCGGATGAGAAAACAGTTCATTCATCGCCTCTCAAGGGAACAATTGACACAGCTCGCGTGCTCCAAGACCTAGTCCTGCACTTTATCTCGAACCATTGGACCTCCTTATCAAGCCTGCCTGCGATCTGCCCTCTGCCCTCTGCCTCCGACACGATTCCCAGACCGACCCTCAACCCCAGAAATTTCCCAAGCCCCGCTTAGAAAGCTCCCTCAACAGACTCCTGGTCAAACTTCCTGTGAGGTGTATAATCACACGCTACTCTCTCTCCTCAAGAGCGCTTCGGAGCAGATTCCTCTTATCTGCTGCTAGCAGTTCGTCCAAGTTATCAAACAAGCCTGCGGCTTCTCCGGAAAGCCCAACATGGCCGAACGGCACAAGTCCAAGAGCCATGCCCAGCCCAATGGGAAGGCCACGTTGACCCAAGTGGTGGAAAAGATTGAGGAAGACACTTACCATGAAGAAAACATCTTTCTGTTCATTCCAAACATCATCGGTGAGCATTTTCACCAAAACTCCCCCGGCAAGAGGGAAAAAGACGAGACGAGAAACCCGGGGGGGTGCGATGGCTTTGGCTGATACCTTTTCTTTTTCTTTCCCATAGGATATGCCCGAGTCGTGCTGGCGATCGCTTCGCTCTACTACATGCCTCTGCATCCGCGGACCTGCTGTGGGCTATACAGTGTGTCGTGCCTCCTCGACGCCGCTGACGGGATAGCCGCTCGACGATACAACCAATCCACAACGTTCGGAGCCGTGCTGGACATGGTGACAGATCGCTGCACCACGTCCTGTCTGCTTGTGTTTCTTGCATCTGCTTTCCCCAGATGGAGTATCGTCTTCCAGGGCTTGATCAGCCTCGACCTCGCCAGTCATTATATTCACATGTACGCGACGTTGACCATGGGGTCGTCGGGCCAGAGTCACAAGAAGGTCGACTCGAGCAGGAGCTGGATTCTGCATCTCTACTACACCAATAGGGTACGTTTCTCTTCTCTCAAACGAAGGGTGGACTCGAAGCTTTGGATCGAACTAACATGAGAACCAAACCCACAGACCGTTCTATTCCTCTTCTGCCTCTTGAACGAGACGTTCTTCATTGCACTATACCTGCTCTCCTTCTCGTCCCCGCTCCTCTCACCTTCACTGCTGGCCGTCAACGACCACAACAGCGGCATCCAATCGACGCAACCGGGCTCGCCTGCGCACCCCAAACCGAGCACTCTGTTCGCCAACCCGTGGAGCGCAGGTGCGCTGGAGATGGCTCGCGCCAACAAGATGGACAGCACCGTGCCCTGGATCATCGCGGGCATCAGTGCCCCCGTCATGGCGGGGAAACAGATCATCAATGTCATCCAGCTCATTAAGGCCAGCAAGTGGCTGGGCGAAGGTGATGTTGCGGCGAGGAAGAAGGCGTTCATCGCTGCGGGGAAGAAGAGGGCATGAGACACAAGAACAAGCTAAGTATTCTCATGTCTAGAACGAGAAAGAGCGAGAGAGATCGTCTTCTTCAGAGTTGCGCTACGCTGCTGCGAATTGCGGGCAGCTAGAACTGAGCCCGCTGGAAGCGTTTGTCTTGATTTGCGAGCCTCTCCTATCCTAGGGAACAGATCTGTCTGCGCACTCACATGAGCAGAAGAGGAGCATTTTCCTGCCAACCTCCTATTTCTCCTGTCCCTTCCGATACGGTACGATACGCCAGATAGGGTTGGGTGCGGTTGGCATTGTCGAAAGATAACACTTGCTGGCTCTTCAGCAGATGGAATCTCGTTCATGGGACGAAGCCGAAGACTCCCCAAGTGCACGGAAAACCTCTACAAACCAACACATCCCACGCAAGCGATTGTCTATTCTCGCGCGACTTCCTTCCTGCCCTACACCCAATACCTTACCTAATCACCTGTTAACCCGTTGTTTACTTGAAAGGCGCACTTGAAACTGTCGGGGCTATGAGACTGGATCAAAGACCCCTCGATCTGGGAGAGAGGGAGTGGGCGGGGCAAGGTTCCCCCCCTTTTTTCTTTCTTTTCATCTTTGGACGTGATCGAATTGGCGTTTTGTTGTGGCACATATAATCGGATCAGGTTTTGATTTTGCTTGCTTCCTAGGCTGCCGGATTGATTGATTGGCTGCTTGTTGAGCGGACGGATGGACGGACGGAGTGACTGGTCGATGTTGAATCATAGTGTAAAACCACCTACCTACCTAAGGCCATACTTGTTTATGTAGTACCCCTGCCTAACGGCCTCGAATAATTAACTAATGACCACTCGACTTATGTGCCTCCCTAATTAAGTAGGTCCTCGGTCCTATTCATCATAGAGAAAACCAAGCTCCCTTCCCCAGGGGTACTCTGAGTACTCACCTAGACCGTCTCATACCGCTTAGTGTTTTGATTCTCTTGTCCATTTCTCAATTGACTTGAACCGCGCTGAACGGAAAGGGAAAGATTTTGGGGGGTCAATACCTAATGAGAACTATGTACTAGTTAGTACACACGAAGTAGGGTGCTTGAAGTACTCTACAAGAGCAGGAGGGCAAGAGTGAGAGTGTCATCATTAGCACTGTCGTCGGGATCGAATCGCCGGGATAATTATGTAATTAATGAATTAGAATTTACGTCCCTACACCCCATTCTACTAGATGGTGACCTACGAGTACTCACTCATCAAGCAACTATAATTACATACTGATATTTATAAACCATGTTTCACTATTAATTATATAATCAACTGCCTCGGCCCATAGCCCGTGGTCCCCGGCCTGAGGCTGAACCCGGAGCTGATCCACACATTTCTCAATCCTGTATATCGTGTATGTTGATGTGGGTGGCAATAGCTCCAGCTCGGCGCGCCTCTGAACGCTGCTTCACATGATTGCCCTGCCGCTGTGCCGGCAAGGAAAGTCAGGCCTTTCTTGCGTCACGTTGAGGCGCACATACAGGCGATGGAGCAAACCATCGAGTGCTTTCAAAGAGAATTCAGCAGGCGGTCACAGTTTTTGGCTAGGCTGGGTGGTCATATTGTAACATGTATGAATGCGTGTCAATCTTATGAAGCTATAGCATTGATTAGGCCAAGGCCGAGCATACAGGGGTCGTAGGCATTCATATATCAGAAGCCTCATAGATAAGCAGAGACAGAGCAATGAAGAAGACAACAGCACACTCTCATTAGGCGCACAGCGGTGTTCGTGAGACGAGTAGTGGCCAACAGCACGGAGTATGAGTGTACGGGTATAGTTGCGAAGTTGAATCCCAACGAGGGATGCGCGCGCTGAGGCATTTACGATACGCTCGATTTGGTTGATTGTTACGTGCAAATGCCATTGCCGACGCCGACGCCCTCTCTGTCTCGATCCGATCCATTTTACTTCCGACCCCCTTTCGACTTGGTTTCAAGATCTCGTAGTGCTGCTGCTGGTGTTGAAAACTTGTAGACAATAATGTGTTTAGGGGGAGGATACAAACGGCGTGCGTCGAAAGGAGCAGCTCTCGCTCTCTCCATGTCCAACCCTTTGACTGATCTCTTTGCCTTTCAGACAGCCCGTAACATTTGAAGCTGGAAGGTACAGGCTACCAGGCAGGCAAGCATCCGTACCAGGGTTTGTCTTAGCTATGGTCAACTGCAGCCCTGCAAAACCTGTCAGACTGCGGTGTTTTGAAAGACAACTTTCAAAGGTGCTCAACATGTTGACTGGTAAGCAATTCGGGATCTCTTCTTGATTAGACGCTGAGGGTTTAGTACATAATAAAGGACGACTGCGAGCCCGGGATTTGCCCTGTTTTGTAAACGATCACCCACCACGCAAATCAATGAGAGACGCTTTGGAGCCATCGCGGCGGCAATGGCATTCACTGGTCGCGCGCTCGTCGACTCCCTCTTTGCTTCTTCTGTGTCTAAGATTACCTTCACAATGGGGGTTCGTCACATCCTCGCGGCCTTCAGCGCACCCCTGGACAGCTCCTCACGAGAGGCGAATACTGCACCGTGCTCTTTCTCAAAACTGCAAAGTCAGCGTTCTCAAATCCGACTTGTGTAGTCGTGTGCTAGTGAAGTGAAGAAATTCAGGATGCCCAGTCGTGGTCGTAGCTCCAGGCCAAAACGTGTCTGGGCCGTTGAATTGGCACTTTCACCGGCTGGCCCGCGACCAGAACACTGCCAAGCAGATGAGACGCCAATATTCAAACCGGAGTGGTTCAGTGGTGTTACGAAGATCGAGGCAGGCTCCGATGAAGACAAGGAGGCCCCGAACGGGCAAGATTTTGAGGAGACACTGGAGCAGGCCCTGCAGCGACCCGGTCATTACCGGGTGTATATTCCCGTTGGCCATCGACACCCGTACCCCTCCCTCCTTGTGAAAGGCTCCATTTGTCGAAACATCATGTTACTCCATTCCCAGAGCCTCACACCAACTCAAATTTCGAAGAAACGCGGTACTTCGGAGGTTCTTGGCCAGTACTCGGTTGCAGAAGTCAAGGAAATCATCGACATTTGTGAGCTCTTAGGCCTCGACGGCAAAGCACCATTAGGCTCAGAACTTGAAGACTGGGAAAACTCGTCAATTGAGGGATGGTGGGAGGAGAGTTATTGCGAGGGATTGAGAAGACGTGAACCGATTGGGCGTGAAATTGCCGGGTACGATTGTGATCAAGGCTGGTGGAGCAACAAGCAAGATACCGCGAATAGGGATTGGGCTCAATGGCCAGAGGCAGAGATTGGTCCTCAAAGCTGATGCGTGGATCTGCGCGTCAGCTCTTTGGTACTTTAAAAGAAAAGGAGAAACAACGGCGGCAGCGGCAGCGGCAGCAGCAAAAGGAGGCCAAACGAGAGACTTACAGTCGGCCTTGGACAAGTTCAGCAGCAGCAACGTGGGGACAGGTGCACTGCTCGGTGCTGTCATCTCACATCCACCCCTGACCAGTGACCGGTGGTTCCACCCTGAAGTGGCTGTACCACGTGAGAGATTCCTCACGTCGCACAATATCAGGCTTTAGCAGGGGAGAAGAATGATGAAGACAACACCAACGCTTGGACCATGGATTCCAGATCTTCCCTTGCACTCATGGACACGCATACCATCGCGTGGACATATCATTGGTGTCTCAAATGGCCAGCAATGTCAGTAACCTCTCAACTATATCATCAAGCCTGGCCAAATCAGACATCTCGCTTGATGATGTAGATGGTCACGGGTGAGAAAAGTGATACATTCTCCCGTGTGGTCCCTGACTGAGAAGCAGACAGCAGACAAGAATGCAGTACATTTCTGACCAGATGTAGATCCAAATACAGACACGTAGGATGTTGTTGATGGCAATCAAGAATAAAGGCTTCAAATAATTACAACAACAACACCTTTGAAGTTTAGTCCCACAGCGGCTTGAGTTGAAGGTTAGTAGAGATTGGAGAGAGAAAATCTCCTCGCTTGGCAGTTTCTAGCCGTCCCTTATCGGCAGGATGTGGCTGTCTGTCGTCACTGAAGGTTGCGTTCTATTTATACGTCTGGGCACCCGAAAAATCCGCAGAACCATGATAATGTGAATAGGCAATCGATAGTCTCATACAGGAGCTAGATATAAAGTAAACCTTGTAAACCTCCTTTGTTTAACAGTGACCTGGACATGTTGTTGCACGTGACTTTAATACGTCGAGGCTGTATCCCCTAAAGGGCGCCTATTTGTAGCCTCATCAAGATCAAGAGTCCGTTACTCATGCCATGTATCTTCAAAGCTTTTATCAGAGAAGAGCTCCTAATAGTATTACTCGAATAGTCCCCCACTTTTCTCTCTAAACGCGAGGAAGAGTTTGGTCTTCCTGATGGCAGGATGCTTTCTGGGCTTGGTTGGCTATGACTTCCTTTTCTTCAGCATGAGCAGCATCCGAGTATGTACTAGGTATCTTGCTATATATCTCATCACTGGTGGTGGGTGGCAACACAGACAATCAGCATTGTTAGTTTGAGCAACAACATAGAAGCCACTGAACGCGCTCTGTCAGTGTTGCTATGAAGCTGAATAGCATTGATCCCTTTTGAACAGTCAAATGATCTTATTTCGAGACGGTTCAAATTCTCTAATCTAGACTATTCCGCACGACTTGGACTTGAATGAACTTGGGGAACCATCCAGGGTTGCACGGACGTAATCACCTCCAAGGTCGAGTCCATACGCTCTATCCCTCTACGGCTTCCAAAAGCCCAGAACGCTGAAGCTGAGGTGTTCGATATCATAGAGAGATCATTGATGTCTTCCCCCTTAGTTCAGGAAGTGGTCCGATTGACTTTGTTATGATGCGGGTCTATATGAGTAGTCGTCCGGGGTACATAAGCGAGCTTAAGGCTCCCCAAGTTGCATTACCTGATATCGCCGAACACGGAATCAAAGTCGTGGTCAACACCGGCGTCGCCGACACCAAACTGGCACACAAGCTAGTGACCCAGATGGTCAGCGACAAAGGCCTCAACCTGAACATTGCCTGGATTGGGGGGACGAGGCTCTTGATGCCATTACCGAGCTACGGGGCACCAAGTCTTCTCGCTTTGAGAACATATGCACCGGCCAAATCCTTGATGACTGGCAATTTGAGCCTTTGTACGCGCAGAGTTACTTGGGTCCTTTTGGTATTTCCACCTCCCTGGCCAAAGGCGCCGAGATCGTCTTGTGCGGGAGTGTCTCGGACGCCTCCTTGAGCATGGGGCCTGCCATCCGGTGGCATGGTTGGCAGCGTACCGACTACGACAAGCTCGCCATCGCTCTAGTCGCTGGCCATCTAATCGAATGCTAGACCTATGTCACTGGAGGCTGCTTTAGAGGGTTCAAGTCCTTGAAGGGCAAATGGCAATCATTGGCATCTCCCCTCGCAGAGATCAGTGCCGCTGGGGAAGTTGTCATCACCAAGCAGAAGAACACTCAGGGCATTTTGACAGTCGACACATGCACTGCACAACTTCTCTACGAGATCCAAGCGCCGTACTACTACAACTCAGATGTGACGGCAGTCATCGATCAGGCTGTATTCACTCAGATTGGTCCCGATCGTGTAGCTCCCGCAGGAATCAAGGCCTATCTACCTCCTCCAACAACCAAATTAGGTATCACTGCCCATGGGGAATACTCAGTCGAAGTCCACTACGCTCTGGTCGGCTTAGAAATTGAAGAAAAGGCCGCCATGATCGAAGAGCAGATCCGCAAATGTATGGGGGACAGAGTCAACGACTACAGCGTTTTGCACTTCCAGACTGTCGGTCGCGCTCCCGACGATCCGAACGATCAAGATACAGCTACGGTCGACTTCCGGATCTTGGCTCAGGCACGAAAAGCCGAGGCTGTGAATGCAGAGAACTTTCTAGGGAAAGAAGAAGACTCCTGTAAGCGTCCCTCTGGCTAATAGATCACCAAAAAGACCATGTCGAAGCCCCCATCATCGAAACATATCCCGGCGCAACATTTTACCCGGACCTACGCACGGCGTTGCCACGTCAAGTCTTTGAGTACTATGTGACGCTCCTCCCTAAGGTCCTCCTGCTCACGAAAAGACGAGTCTGGTCAACCAACCACATGTCTGGAAAATCTGGGCGGGAAAGACCAACTTTCCGAGCTCCCGAAGAGAGCAATGGTGTCTCACCAGCCAACAGTAAAAGGGTAAACACTAAGAATCCTTGTCTATGTCTTCGTTGGTTGTCAAACACGGATTATAGAGTCGAACTCATCCCCGCAGACGAGATCTACTACAGTATTCGATAATATTGGTGCCGTTGCACTGCATTTAATTTGTGGCACCTGTTGAGAGTGAGTTAACTTTCTTGCTTCAGGTATTGCGCCGTATGTTTTCGAGGTCTCAGAATATTGGATCCCTCGAGAGCCTACAGCTTCGTCCGGAGAGACAGGAGACAGTTGATGGGGATGATCGGCATGGTGAGCCAGGATGCGATCCATTTTCGATTCGAGAAAAAGGACTCTTTGCGTCCTGTACAGATCTGTTGGATCTTACCAACCACTACGATTTGAGCGTCTCGAATGATGGGATTGAAACTATCTGGTCGTCTCATGTGACAGAAGGAATCACGGTGTATATGAATGTCTACGCACATGCATCTATAGAGCGCAACGGCTATGGTGCCCGTCTATCCACCTCATAAAGCTCCATCTAGGGAGTTGCGTATATATAAATTGAATTCTATGGCGGCAAGTTAAGTAGGAAGCCTGATTCCTTGGCCTAGAATTCAGAAAGATTATGTTGTTAACACAGTGTGTACATTTGGTCACTCATTGTACACATTAAACACGAGTTCTTGCACCCGGCACACGTTAAGCATGGCCGAATTGTCTGTGAGTTACCTCACTATAACCAATACATTAGCCATTCCATCGGTCTGGAGAAACAACTGGTCCAGTGTCCCCCGTCGCACCGAGTGTGTATGTAATAAATAGGTGGTCACACCGTATGGAAGGGAACGTCCTCTCAGTGAGAAACCTCATGACTGTGTTACCCTCATTGTGTTCTATCTCAAGAGAAAGAGAAGAGGGAGAGAAGTATAGTAGAAGCACTAGGGCAAGAGCGCCTTGGCAGTGTCATGTGACAGTGTATAAAGTCCATCCAGCCACGGAATACCCAAATCCAAGAAGAGATTGACAAAGCTTGCCGTGTAGTCAGATACTAGGGACCAAACCGCTAATAGGGTCTGACCAAGGTGGTTCCCTGAGAAGGTGAGTGTACATGAATCGTTATCTTACAGTGAAATACGCAGGGGCAATTGACGCGCTCATAGTGCCTCTGTCGTTTTGATGAAGTTTATTACGCAAGTAGGAAAGCGATGTCATGATAATGTATACACATATCTTCTGGACAGTGGTCTATAGCTGCAGTACATCGTAGTTAGCCGTCTACTGGCCACATCACGTGAGATGATATTGGGCAAGGCGGCGTCACCCACGACTAAGAGGAGGGTATCAGTCTAGGGTTTGTGTGACAGATAGGACGTGACATCTCTCTCATTCATGCAAATAACGGCGTGTTGTCATTTATGGCCAGGAGCTTGAATTTGTAGGTCCTTTTGAGTGAACATCGTCCTGTGGCGTATCAAGGTGCCTATTAAAGTGCCTTACTAGTAATTCTTAGTGGACAACAACTCGGCGCTAAGAACTCTAGTATCTAGCGTAGTGTAAGCCTTCAAAGTAACTTGTGTCATGACGCACGTTAAATCTGCCTTGACAGTCATTCCCTGCCATTTGACGGTCATTTTACTATAGCAACGGAGAAAACTCGAATCCTACCGGTAATTAGTGATCACGAGGAGACTGCCCAGTCCTTGGCAGCCAGCAGAGCCAAAAGGTCCGCAACGACTAATATTATTTACGAGGTACGGATACTCTGTACGGATATTGGGTACTCCGTACCCAAGTTGCCAAGTTACGAAGCTACCAGTTGACGAATCTTCCTGTGTTCCCCCTCCATCGGACTTGTAGTCCAATCATGTACAAACCACCGCAACCACAACATGCATCTTTGGCATTATCCCTGGTATCCAACCCACCTTCCGACCCTCTGGGTCTTCTACGCCACTCGTTCCTCCGAAAGTCTGTTGGCCCTCTTCCCCTCAGGCTCATCTCAGGCTCATGCCCATGTGCGCGTGGACTGCAGCCACAATTGCAAGAGCCATGCATCTTTCCGTTGCGGCTGCGGCTGCGGCTGCCGTTACCGAATATCTTCCTGCTTGTCTCTCCCTCTACCACTGGCACTGCATTATCGTCATGCGCTTTCACGCTCATGCTGTCTATTCCTGATCGGTAAATTCCTCCTGCACAGGCCTAGGCCAAGTGCACCAATTCAAGTTCATCCCCTTCACTGGCATGTTGAGCATGCGATAAGCAAATCACTGCTCCCACCATGAACCCTTCCGAGCCGCAGAGGCACGACATTCATGACCCTAACAAGGCGCCTGCCATGACCCTTCGTAATCCAATCCATCCTTCAGTTGTTGATCAACTTGATCCTGCCTTCGTGAGACTCTATAACGAGTACATCGCAAATAGTCCTCCCTGGCCCACCGATCTAAATCTTGTTCGTCAGAATTATTCTACCCTCTATTCTTATGCGACCGCGCCAGCTTCAGGCGTGGGTGGCATAGGAGAAACTCAAGTACCTGGCTGGGATAAGTACCCAGGAGACATCAATGTCCGGGTCTACGTTCCACCAGGGGAAGAGCCGGGAAAACGCAAGACATGGCCAGTTCATTTCAATTTCCACGGTGGTGGTATGTCTTCCGCAAATGATCACACTCTGAACTACCGACGGGACTGACGTTGCATAGGTTGGGCCGTAGGCGATCTTGAGACCGATGCACACATATGCCATCACATCTGCGCTTCAGTCCCTTGTTGTGTGATCGATATCGAATATCGATTAATTCCAGAATACCCTTTCCCCATCGGTATCATGGATGGGCTGACGGCTGTGGCGCACATCCTCACAAATCACAAAACTTTCTCGATTAATCCCAACGCTATCACTCTCGGAGGCGAATCTTCTGGCGGAACCATCGCGCTAATACTGAATCATCTTCTTCGAGACGCCGGCTATGACGATCAACTGAAAGCTGTCCTTATCGGAACTCCAACCATCAGCGATGTCAGGAGATACGCTACACCCGACATGAGTCCTTGGCCAAGCATGCGAGAGGCTGAGTATGCTCCTCTTCTGAATTGGGAAAAGTTGAAATGGTTCGATACCTTCAAATGGATGTCCCTCTCCAGCCAACATCCTAGTACCAAGCCTAAGGAACAGAAGCGCGACATTTCTTGGTTCGCAGATGCTATGAATGCGCCCAATTTCAAGAACCTCGCCCCTGTGACCTATATTGCGACGGCAGAAGTCGATCCTCTACGAGACGAAGCTGAAGCATACGCAAAAAAGGTGGAAGAAGCTGGTAACAAGGTCATTCAGAGGAGGTTCAAGGGTGTCCCACATCCTTTTATGCACATGGACCGAGTTCTTCCACAAGGCCAGGAGTATGTTCAAGATATTATTGCCTACGTCCGACAGTGCCTTTATCCGCCTCAACCAGTGTCAGTGGTCACTCCGCCCGAGACGTAGAATGCTCCAGATGTGGATCCATCACCACCGCTACATCAATCGCCACCTTCCAATGAACAAGACAGCACCGATCGAGAAAGCAGGAAGGCAGATTCCGTGTCTTCATGGGAAGTGGTCAATTCCCAGGCGTAAAACTGCCAGGCACTTTACCCAGCACGAATATTCATTACTCTTGATTGCTCAACCATTGTGCTTCAATCCGCCGAAATGCATCGTCATAGCATCAAGGAGAATGAGCTTAATCTTCTCCGTGGCAGGCTCGCAAGCCGAGCTGTATGTCCACCCGCTCTTGCACCTTATTGCTTTCATATCTTAGATGCAGTACCGATTAGCAGGGAGCCTGGAGATACGGAAGTATCATTTGCGGGTGCATATCAGGTTGATGTTGCAAAATACGGACCTGCTAATATCTTCACAATACCTGCACCGCATGACTGGAATTGCCGGTGGATGCAACTCCCAAAACATAACCCCTTCACGATGATGCGTCAGGCCAGACTGTCGGAAGAACGAGATACAAGCCTACTTGAGTTGTGCGAGGCCTAGCACTCGCTTCTGCTGCTTGCGATCGTTGGCCTTGATATTTGTTGCGCCGCACAAGTCTGTGGCTGTTTATGAAGTATGATAGACGAAAAACGTTTGTAGCATTAGGAATAGGACGAGTCCAATAGTCCTGGTGTATTGATACTGTTATTTGAGATTAGCAGATGATACTGCAGCTTGTTGCTCTTGTGCTCTCATAGCTTCCTTTCCGATTTTGTGATTCAGTGAGTGGCCCCGGCTCAACCTCGGGAATCTTCCCCACACTGGCACTTAACGCGTCCACGACATTTGCGACGCGTCTTCTCCCCAATTCAATTTGATGATAACCATTCTATTCAAGAAGAAATCAATCTGCGCGAAGGCACTCCCAAGATCAAAATGCCTGAGCGACCCCCCTTTCCTGGACGCCCAGCACAACCTCCTGGCTTAACATATCTTCAATACTCTCCTGACGGCAAGCGGCTACTGGTTGCAGGATGTGGAAACTTTGCCCGCTCCTTCAGGACGGGCGACAATGATGACCCTGACATGCTCCCAGAGGTCCATGATGACACATACGCTTTGGCTGCAGGCAACGACTATGCTATTCTCGGATGCGAGGATGGCACAGTGTGTGAATACGAGGTCCCCTCGGGAGATTTGAAGAAGATGCTGGTCAGAACCACACTACCAATCAGAGGCATTGCACTTTCACCAGATGAACAGTTCATTGCTGTCTCGAGCGAGTATGGACACCCCTATAATCCAAATGTTCGCAACGTCTGATGAGTTACAGCGAAGTTGAAATCAAAGTGGTCAATCGAGACGACGTTGAACAGATCACCATTCTACGAAATCACCCGAAACCTATAAAACATTTAACCTACGACCCCTCGGGCAAATATCTTGCGGCCTCCGGCACCGACGGAGTCATTTACATCTACTGCATGAGCACGGCCGAACCAAAACTGTTGAAAACGATTGACGGTGTGATTCAGCGGCTTGAAACAGCCCAGGATGCCAGCTCGAAATGCGTGTGGCATCCAGATGGCAGAGCATTCGCATGTGCTACGGGAACAAGGGAGATCAAAGTTATTTCTGTGGAAGATGGTGCACATCAACGAGTCTTTGCAGGAGGACACAACGACGACATCACCGCATTGGCTTGGTCACCTAATGGCGCCCTCTTGGCCAGCTCGGGGGCGGATGACCAGCTGGTCATTTGGGAAACCAAGACTCAAAAGGTGTTGAAGACATTCAATTATGAGAAAATCCTGGATGTTGCATGGCAGAGTAAAGGCGAGAACATTTTCAACTGGACTACGTCAAAAGGAGAGGCCTTCATCATTCCGGATTTCCTCAAAGACAATGCTCACGTTGCATTGCTCAAGGGCCCAAAAGTCAGAGCCCCTTTCTTCCATGACCCTCTTGATGAGAGACCAGCACGTGTCAATGGACGCGCACCACTTGTGAATGGGCAGGGGAGGGACCGAGCTGGAACTCCGGATAGTCTTGATCAACTTCTCGGGCCTGATGATGAAAATGAATACGACTGGATTGAAGACGATGATGGAGCAGGCTATATCAATGAAAACGGCAAACGGACAAGTGGTCATCTCGGACAACCCAATGGCCATTCCGGTAAACGAAACAGGCCCGAGATCTGGCAACCACATATCCATGAACCATTCCAACCCGGCGCAACACCATGGAGGGGAAACCGGAAATACCTATGCCTAAACCTCATTGGCTTCGTTTGGACCGTCGACCAAGATACTCACAATACCGTCACTGTTGAGTTTTATGATCGCGAAATGCATCGAGACTTTCACTTTACCGACCCGTTTCTTTACGACAGAGCCTGCTTGAACGAGACCGGTGCACTTTTCTCCGCCCCAGCGAAAGATGGCCAGCCTGCTGTGATTTTCTACCGACCACATGAAACGTGGACGACCCGGTCCGACTCTCGAATAAGCCTACCTGACGGCGAAGAAGCAATTTGCATTGCTCTCAGCAGTCGCTACATCGTGGCGTTGACGAACCAGGACTACATCCGCGTATGGACACTGCATGGCACACCTGTGCGACTCTGGCGAATGAAGAGCTCCCCTGCCGTGACTTGTGCAGCGTGGGGCGACTACGTAATGACTGTCGGAAACGGAGCGGTCGGGGCTGATGGCTGCACGCAACTGACGTACAGTATAGATAACGTGCGACTGGATGAAACCCACCAGAACCAAGACGTGCTCGCCCTAGGCAGTCTTCCAGAGGACGCAGATGAAGACGAATCGTCGCTCAAGTCCGTCTTCTGGAGCGACGTCGGCGATCCGTGCATATACGACAGCAATGGCGTCCTGCTGACCCTGTTACACTGGCGGAAACATGGGCACGCGAAGTGGGTTCCTCTCCTGGACACGCGGCGGCTGGACCGTCTGAAGGACGGGAAGAAAGAAGAGACGTACTGGCCCGTAGCCGTCGCCGGCGAGAGGTTCCACTGCATCATCCTCAAGGGCGGCGACAAGACGCCGTACTTCCCCCGACCACTCCTAACGGAATTCGAATTCCACATCCCCGTCTCCCGCCCTATCGACAGGAGCACCAACCCCGACGGCGACGAAGACGAAGACGCCACCGAGACCGTCGCAGCGGGCACGGTCCGGCTGGAAGAAGAATATGTGCGGACGTCGATCCTGCTCGACCTGCTCGACGACCAAGTCCAAACTCAAGGCGACCAGGCGGGCCACGAGGCCAAGACGCAGCTCGTGCGCCGCGAGGTCCAGACCGACAAGATCCTGCTGCAGCTACTCGCCATGGTGTGCCGCGAGGGCGAGGACACGGGCATGAAGGCCCTCGAGATCGTGCGCCTGTTCAAGGACCGCGGCGGCAAGACTCTCGACGCCGCCGCGAGGGTTGCCGAGCGCTGGGGCCGGAATGTCCTGGTCGATAAGATCAGGGACTATGCCGAGAGGAGGCTGATGGGGCTGGAGGACGTGGAGGATGAGTAGCTAAGTAGCTGGTTGGGGAGGTGCGTGAGTGCGTGAGTGGGCGGTTTTGCCACTCCTCTGTACCACGAGAGGCCGGATTGAGTAAATGTCGGCCTGCGATGGCTTGGGTTACATCACGTTACGTTAGGTTGGCTGGAACGGAAGGTCCGACGGCTTGGGTTCTGGATCCATTCTCATTCTCCTATTTAGGGGTATCTATCCCATCACGAATGCGAAGCCCAGCTAGATCAATCAGTCAATCAATCAATCCAGGGTAATTACGAACTTGACTCTCTCTCTCTCTCTCTCTCTCTCTCTCTCTCTCGCTCTCTCTTTCTCTCGCTCGCGGGGCCTTGAGCCTCGGCTTTGACTGGTGCTTTTTAAAGGTCAAGGCTTTTCTGTCCATTGAGCCTTTGTATCACGGTACAGTTCAGCATAGTATCACATCCTCGTTGGGGAAGCCAGCTGCGCAAAGGTGAGTGAGTGGGAGGGATCTCGCCAGGCAAGGAAGGAATTGAAATCACGGCTTGGGTGGACCGAGTTAGAGGCTTAGACAAGTGGCATTGCAACCTTTGCACTGTATGCATGTATGGTATGTGTGGAGTATCCTGAACAGAACACGCTGGATGGGTATTGATTGTTGTATCGGCAGCCTTTTCCATCTGAGTGGTGCCCAGTCAGTCCCATCGATCCATCGCCCATATTGAGGTATGTACCGAGGTCCCAGGTAGATTAGACAACAGTTAGTGGTCTGGTTGGTCGATGCAGTGAATCCAATCAGTCCAACAAATCCAACCAATTCACACATCGGCCCTGCCCGTCCACCGTCGGTGCTGCAATATCCCTCACCAGCAGTCCAAGCTCAGCCTTCAACTCTCCCAGCTGGCTCTCCGCCCTCACGACCCTCAACCGTCTCTCCCAAATCGCAATGCAGCGCAACTTCACGGACCGCTTCTTCATGATGTGCATGCAGTCGCGCCACAGCCTGGAGAGTGATTTCGCCTGTTTTCTGCACTCGCGGGAGCGAAAGCTGGTCGGTAATTGATTGTCGCGGTCGATGTCTTGTTGTTCTCGATCCAACATGCGTTCTTTGCACTCGTATAGGGTAGTGAGGAGGTGGAGGTTGGCCTCGATGCTGCAAAGCTCGCTTTGTCGCTGTTCGAGTACCTCGAGGATGGTGGCTTCGCGCTGTTCCCGGGTCATGCACTGTCTTCCTTCTTCGATGGTGCTCATAAGGGTTTGCGAGTCGAAGGCTGCTTCGAGCCAGTCGATGGTGATCAGGCTCAGTGGTTCTCTCTCTCCTCTTTCGCCCTGTGTAGGGGCTGAAGGCGGTGCGTATGTTGTCGTTGTCCCATCGAGTGTGCTTGGTATTCGCGCTGGGCCATGGTACTCGCCTATTCTGCGGTGATCGAGCTTGCGACGCTTTGCTGGTGGTGGCATGCATTCCTCCAATGCACGTTTGGGTACATTATTGAAGCCGTCGATTATAACAAAGCCTTCGTCGGTGACGTTGGTGGGGTGGGTTCGTTCCTTATATGGTCGTGCGTCATGTGGTTCAGGTCCGTGGGTAGGAAGTTCCTCTGGTTCGGCTGGCGGTGGTGATGATCTTTCAAAGAAACAGGGGCGAAAGCTGACTCTGCACACTGCTTGGATCCTGGCCCACGCAGTGGATGAAATAGGTTTGAGATGCGTTTTTGCCATATTGATCAAATGGTCTCGAGATTTGATGAGGATTCTGGTCCTCTCCGACGCGATGCTGGAGGGAAGAGCAATGGCGAGAGGCTAGGGCGAGAATTGGTTGAGGAGGTCGTCGGTTGATCGAGAAAGTGTTTCTCGTGCAAACTATTAAAGGTTTGGCGCATCCTTTGGTGGGAAGAGGAAGCCTTGAGGAAGGGTGTGCGAGGGCGGGTGGGTGTGAATTGAGTATGAGGTGAACCAAGCCGCAAGTGTGCGTGTATTGTGAATTCAAGGCTGAGCGACGAAGAATATGTGAGACAAGAGGTTCATGTGATTTTGCCGGGGTTTTGGTTATCTTTGCCCTTCATGAATTCGGTGGGCTATTCACTGCTTTCTTTCGTGCAGGCATGTGAGGCGATCCCTAAGCGACAAGAATGAACAGGCAGTGCCAGTCTGTTCAGTTGTCGGAACATCATCACAACCCCATTGACAAAGAACCGAGACCACTTCAGCTCATATTTTCCAGTTTCCTGCGGACTAGTTCATTCCAACATGAAATCTTCGCTGGCTGATCCTGCTGCGTTGTTCCAAAAGCCAGCAGAGCCATTGTTTTCTCAATCAATAAAGTCCAATCTGTTGCAACCGTCGTCGCCAGCTAGCTCTCCGGTTCCACTTCCAGTTTCCGTCAAGATGTCTTTCACCGACGAGGAGATACTACGATGAATGAACTCTTTTGCCACTTCTCTCTCCACTCGGGTCTTCTTCAGCCGATGCATACGCTTAAGCAGAGCGTTCCAGATCCATAATCCCATTTCACGAAACTGGCGTGATGCCACTCTGCGCAGACAAGCTCGTTTCTTGGCATGGACGTCACGAAGGTCGCATTTCTGGCAAGCTGGGACATGAGAGTAAGAAGACTCAAGCTGTGTTCTGCTGTCAGTTCCGTTGTGTTGGGCGTTAGTTCGCCGTAGCAAGCGGCGTGCCTTGCCCCGTTCTACCCGCAGCCTGGCTGCATGGTCGAAGCGTGGGAGAGGACGGCGACTGCTGACCTTGAGTGCTTTCATGTTGAATTTTGGAGGCGAGGGATGAATGAGCCGGGTTTTCTGTTTTCTCTGTTTTCTGGAACCGTGGAGCTTGGACTCGATCTGGAGAGACGAGGATGCCAGTAATAAACCGCCGGGTGCTGGGGAGAAATTTGGTCAGGATTGAAATGAGCAGAAAATACATGATATCCACAGAACAAAGACCAAACAAAGATCATGGAGGTAAAGTGAAGAGTGAGTGAGAGCATGGGACACCGTCCGCCTCATGTCTGCCGAAGTAGTTGCTCGGTGGTGAGCTGATGTAGGAACGAGTCAGAGCTACCATCGTCACAGATCATAAATTATTTGCCCATGAGTGAATTAAACAACCGTATGCTTGTCGATTGATGCCGATCGGCCTCTGTACTACCTCTTGCGATCCGAGTTGGCAGCTCTTACCGCAATGACAGCGACATGCTGTATGGTACCAAGGCGTCTGTTCTCGCAACATATGATCCAGTTAGGTGGCAAAATGTCTCCTGGCTTCGTCATATGGTGTGTGCAATAATTCTTATACGATCAGGCTACGGTTCACTAATCCGATTGCCCATATATTGTTGTGGATGGAGAGGTGTATGCTCAGGAAGGAAAAGAGGCTTCAATCCCACCAAACTCAAGAGCTGCAACAGCCGAAGTAAGCCACGATAGACCTCCATAGAAAATGCCACACAACTCCATGCCTCCCACGATAAGGAGAATCATAGTCGTTGGAATATGTGCCTATAAAGACATGTACCACTGGTTATGATACGAAGGAGTTATATTGTCATCCTCGTAAGTCAGGTAATCTGCCGCAGACAGTAACCACTTTCTTCGAAACGAGGCAGAAGAGCGACTCTTCCTCGTGAGCGTAGGAGGTATTGTGAAATTGCACTTTCCAAGACTCTCTGGCCGGTCCAGGAGCTCGGAAAAATGCAGATTGTGCCTCTTGACATCCATTCTCCACTGAGATATTCTTCTGGGGCGGCGTACCGCTTTCCATATGCTGTATTCCAAGCCGCGTATGAGATGCATTGAGTCGGTCCGGAGGCGAGAAAGCGCGTGACTGAAGAGCTTGCCATCAGCATTGAATGCATCACATATGGTCTCTGGGGAAATAAGGAAATTGTGTCCGTTGCAAGCGATGAAGAGCGAGGCCGACATGTTCGATTTCGACGGCGAGTCGCCCCACCATGTTGGGTCGACACCACGATTCCACGTATAGTCGTAAAGAAAATGAGCATCGGTCGCCGTTTCTTTAGGGATGTGCAACTCATCACAGCACCGGCACAGATCCTCGAAACTTGAACTGCGCGTCGGCCTCAAAGATGTACTTCTCTTGTAATCGTCTAAGTCATCGAGGCCCACATACAATGTCTCCAGCCGATAGTTGGTTGATATCACAGCAGCCCTTTGATGTTCACAGTGCAGTTCAGGATTCAAATATGACTCGTCTCTCTCTCGTAACTGGAAGGCACCATTTATGTTCCAACCGTCGTCAGAGTCATCGTCTTCCTCCGCAGACTCATCGTTCCCAAGATCACGATCGCTTCCCTCGGATTCACCACTCTCAGAACCCAGTTGGAAGTCTTCATCCAAGCTTCCATCGTATTGATCATCAGACATCACCACGCTGTAATCGCTGGAGTGAGGGGTTGACATCTAGATTTGACCCTAATTGGAAGGTGTTGAGAAAGGATCGAGCGTCACAAACATCTAGTCAAGGGCTGTACGCCAATCGTGAAACACTGAAGATGCAGCTCCACGGAGACCGATGGGCGACTTACATCAGGGGAGAGAAAGCGGGAGAAGGATTGCTCTGAAGCTTAGAGCTTCATGAATGGAGTTAATGGAATTCTGCACAGCATCTGGCGGCTGTGGCGGGTTGCGCGGGTTGCTAGAGATAGGGAGCAATGGGTAGCTTGGTAGGCGAGCATGCGCCTTGAAATCAATGAGGGGAGTTGGATGAGACGAGGAGGCGCGCTTTTCTCGACTGAATGATCAAATGGGTCGCACCTTCCACTTTTGTGTTTGAGAAGGCGGGGGAAGGAAGTGTTCTTAGGAGGGAAGGAGCAACTCATTAAGAGGCTCGAGGTGGAGAACAGCTGGTGGCAGTGGCATCACACATTCTAGTCATTATTTCATGTCTTTTTCTTGCTGAGATCTGGTGACTTCAAGTGCGTGAGGACTATCAGAGTCACAACCAACATGGTCGTCCCCCCGATGGTGTAAGCTTTTTCACGACCGGCCCACCAGAACAAAGTGCAGAAGATGATGGGTCCAAGAGCCCTTCCCAGTTGTCCCCAGCTCCGAAGTGATCCTAGCACCTCTCCACGATTGCCAGCTTGAGCCTCAAAACTTCCAAGGCTGTTCAGGCCTGTGACAACGGTGGCTGATGTCACGGCAAGTAGTGCACCAGCGCCGTACAATCCAGTATTAGTCTGAACTTGAGCAAGTATAAAGAATGCCAATGTGCATGATACCACTCCGACCTTCACCACAGTTGCTGGAGGAAGTCGTCGGACGACAGATCCTTGCAGCAGAGATGCTATCAATCCCACAAAGCCAAGCAGTCTTCCGTTCAGTTTTGACGGCGAAGGGTGATCTGGAAACAATACCGACGTGATCAAGAATGGTAAGGAGAATTCCATCCCCGAAAATGGCAAGAGGAATAAGAAATGGATAGCATTCAGAACGATGGGGTTGTTTGTGTGTTTGAATGCTGCCGAGCCGGACTTATTCATCTTCGAACCCGTTTCCTTACTTTCGTTGGGCCTCGTTTCGGGCAATCGAGCGTAGAGGTACAACGTCTCCCCAAGAATCAAGAACAGCGAGAACCCTGCCGCAGTGGCGAATGGATTGGCCGAAAATGTGCTGATGTTTGACAACGCCGCACCCAATGCCGGGCCAAATGTGAAGGCAATACTAAAACACGCTCCCACAAGAGCCATTGTCGAGCCTCGTTGTTCTTCCGTGCTGACATCGGTTGCAATCGCCGTGGCAAGCTGAACATTTCCCTCGCTTAGACCTCCGACAATCCTGCTCAACAGAAAAGTGCGGAAGTCTACTGCAACGGTCCACAAGGCCACACTTGCAATATTCCCACACATGCTCCACAATAAAGCTGTTCGTCTGCCATATTTGTCTGAAGCGCGGCCAATGATAGGGCTAGCAATTGCCTGCAGAAAGGAAAAAAGAGAGCCCAGCGCTCCTCCCAGAAGAACTATATCATATTTTGCATTTATGGGCACCGCAAAGGATTGTTTATATGCATTCATGTAATGCAGGATGCGGTTGAGAACAGAGGAGGGGTGGGTCTCCAGACCTCGATAGAAGGTGAGAAGAGAAGGGAAAAGTGGGAGGATGAAGGTAAAGGAGATCTGGCCTTGTCAGTGACTGCACTTGGGTCAGCTCAGTTTTGTACTGACCAAATCTAAGAGTAGAGAGATGAACAAGACACGCAATATCTTCTTGCGCTGCTGAGGAGTGACGGAATCCATGGTGTAGAGTCCAAGGAAAGATATCCAGCAGGTGCAGTGTCTGAAGTATAGATCCCGCAGTGGGAGACGTGTCCCGAACAATTAGTTGCTTCTCTCTTCGTCGACAGCAGCGAGCCAGCGCGCCGTCCAATGCGAGAGGATGAAAGTGATATTACGGGCCAGCTGAAAAAGGGCACAGCGGAACGCAGGAACAGAAGAAGAAAATAATAATACTCGTAGAACAACTCCTGCTAGCAGCAGGTCGCAGTCGGGATCATCTGTCGAGGAATGCTTCCTGATCTGGCGGCTCCAGGCGCCCTATCGGCCACCCAATGACGAGTGCTGTCCGAGTCGAGTGAGCAGATTGGTGGAGCTCCCTGTTGTTCTCCCAACCGCACGCCCCTCCGGCCCCTTTTCGACGTCAGCCTGACTCTTTGCTTGGGACTTAGTCTAGAGTCGGACTACGAGTGCGAGTACGCAAGTCGCGGGTTCGGTTCGCATTGTTTTCTGCTTGGGGGATAATATGCCTGCGCGTCCTTATTTGCTTATGTGTGTATTCCGTACACGCTACTGTATACCCCGTACACTCAAGATGCTAACATGTGACTTGCAATGCATCTCGAGAATATGATGTAGCTGGCCCGTCGTCCTGATCGCTGATAATCGATTTGGGAAAAGGAAACCAGTGTTAGGCTATACTGATAAGCCTCAATCAATCGCATTCTCATCGTTATAATCATTCGCATTCAAACCATTTCCCCGAGCCAAATCTGTTTGATCCCCCGGTCCCATCGCAACATGCAGCTCATCCACCACTACCAGCAGCGACGGTAGTTTTAGTCCTCCAATCTTCAAAACTCCCCGAGATGGAGGAACCATGCTGTCCGCCCTGCTCCGCCTCTTTCTTCTTCTGTTTATCCTCCCAGTCTCCCTCTTCCTGCGCAATCAAGGCGTGGAATTTCCCTCCTTGACCTCTTCCAAAATAGATCGCGCCTTCCTCTCGCTTGGCGACTTTCTCCGTCACCAGCACGTACTTGACGCTGCTGCCCGGGGCTTCGAACATGGCGTCTCCCAAGATAGTCTCCATTTCGGTGCGGAGCGCGCGCGCGCCGGTCCCCATTGTTAGCGCGTTGGTAGCGATCACGTGGAATGCGGGCGTGGTGAAGCGAAGCTCGATCCCGGAGAGGGAGAACAACGTCACGTACTGTGCGACCAGCGAGTTGCGCGGTTCGGTTAGGATGCGGAGGAGGAGAGGGTGCGTGAGCGCTGCGAGGGCTGTTGTTGTCGGGATGCGCCCGATTAGCTCGGGGATGAAGCCGTAGGACTGGAGGTCGGATGGAGTCACCAGGTCCAAGGGATTGAAGTAATTCGGCTCAGCGGCTGAGCCGTCTGCGGCATTCTGTTCGGGGGCGTGCGTGGGCGTGAAGAATGGTAGGTGCTTTTTGTAGAGCGCTTCTTCCTGTGAGCCGGGGAGTATGGGGACAGGGGTGTTCGTTGTCGATTTGGAATCGCGGCCGTAGAATTGCTGGTTGGAGCTCGACCTGACAGTCGCGCCAAAACCGATGCTGCCCTTGGTAAGCCGGTCCATGACGTGTTTCTGGAGCCCAACAAAGGCACCGCTGCAGATGAACAGGATGTTGTCGGTGCGTACATTATACACTTCCCCTTTGACTGGTGCTGCAGGAGCGCCCGAAGACCCGGACGAGAAGTTTGCGCCTAGTGGACTGTTACTCGGGTACGTGGGCGATTGACCGCCTGCTCGAGGAGCGTTCCTCTCGGGTTTGGCTTGGATCTGGATTGTGGTGCCCTCGATGATTTTCAGAAGTGCTTGCTGTACACCTTCACCAGAAACATCCTTACCATGGCTCACTTTAGCTGTGGCAATTTTATCAATCTCGTCGAGACAAATGATCCCTCTTTCGGCGCGTTCCACATCGTAGTTGGCGGCGGCGAGGAGGCGATGGACGCAGACTTCGGCGTCCTCGCCGATGTAGCCTGCTTGTGTGAAGGGTGTACAGTCCGACATTGAGAAGGGGACTGACAAAACCCGAGCGAGCGTTTTGGCCATCAATGTCTTGCCTACCCCACTAGGGCCTAGTAACAAGATATTGGATTTCTCCAGCGTCAGAGGAGTGGTATCTACAAGCAGTGTCTTGCGAGGATCCATATTTGATGTTGGAGGACCTCCCATCCGAATGGTAGGTTGTTGGCCCGGGAATTCATCCTCGACAGGATGCCGCTCCCGACGCTCCCTTTGTGCCAGCAGATCTGCTTCTTCCTCCTCCCTCCTTTGTAGCTCTTGTACTCGCTGGTAGTGGTTGAAGACAGCCACGCTCAGCACCTTCTTTGCTCTTTCTTGACCGACCACGAATTGATCGAGATGCTGTTTGAGCATTTTGGGAGTCAGACGTGGTGTTCCAAATATATGGTTGCCACCCAGCGGGCCCGACGTAGGTAGGCCCGGCTCATAGCTACCGGTGAATGGCTGGCTGGTGAAATCAGAGCGGTGGAATTGAGATGAGGAGGGCCTTGGACTGGAGGTAGACAAGGGTCGTTTGCTCATGGCGATGTAGGAAGCTCGCAATCGGCGGGGAACAGTCATTGTGGAGCTGGCAAGTCTGCCATCAAGGGCAGGACAGAGGTAAGAAGGGAGGCAGTTGATGGCCGCCATTGCTGTAACCCTCTTGCAATGGAAGTCTCCTAGGGAGATGGAGAGGATGGAAGAAGAGTCACTTCGCTTCACGTGAAATGACTGGGATAGCGTGGGATCGGTATCAGTCAGTCAAACTGGAAGTGCGGAGCTCAGACCGCAGTGCTACCGAGAGCTCACACCTTCTCCGGATCTGGTTATCGATAAGGCACCTCCGCCTTTACAAACTCCCACTGTCCGGCTCAGTCACGTGTGACGAAAGTCAATCGAATCCTCGCGCTCGCGCACCATTTTGCTATCTCAAGCTCAGACCTCCATTTTCCCCCTATTTATTATTTTGGGGTCTTGACATTGATGTGACACTTCATATAAGAAGATCTAACTTCTATTTGGGCTGGAATAGCAGACTAGGAAGACCAGATGCGTAACGCCAGACACGCCGTACAGGCAGCAAGGCTAAGCTCGTATTCTTCTCCGTTACTCGCGCCCTTTTGCCATCCTATCATCAGGAACTCCGGCCTTGGAAGGACTGATGCTCATCGAGCCTGATCTGAAGGAATGGCCCAAAGATCACTCGACTCCTTCTCTTGGACATTGGTTGTACTTGACATTCCTACCAATCAAGAATTCAGCCCTTTCGACTACCAGCTACGCGAGCAAACTAGACTGACCATAAAATCGATAGCTTCAATACATGCCCAAATTCAAGTTGATTGGCAGAAGACTTTCTGCAATCGTCAAGCCGAGGTTGGAACAAGGCTCAACTGTAGTCATCATTCCAGCCAAAGCTCCTACAGAGTCCTCCTTTATCAATGCAGTATCATCACAACCACCAAACGCAGATCTTTGCTATACCGCACATTTTAATGCTCTAGAGCCATCTCAACAACCTTTATATACGGTTGAACGGCTTTCAATACCAGTCAGCCGAGAATTTGTTCGAGGATTTTTGCATCTCCCACCTAGCTACTCTGCACAAAACGCTGAAAGAGTGGCAGCAGCAGCAATTCTCTGCTCTGGCGCTGGTGGTGGAGTAGCAGGACCATGCGGCTCCTACATTACAATTGGCGACAAACTCGCCACTCTTAATCATGGTGTCCCAGTCCTCAGAGTGGACTACAGATATCCCGCAGACACGAAGCCATGCTCTGAAGACGTGGTTGCGGCAATGGACTACCTAGAGAATACATATTCGATCAGCAAGTTTGTCCTAGTTGGGTGGTCTTTTGGAGGAGCACCAGTCTTCACAGTGGCAGCGAATGAGAAAGGTAAAGTAGAGAGCGCTTTGACCAAACATCACGATGTGCGATATACTGACGACCCCAAGAACGGGTTATTGCATGCGCTACTATTGCTAGTCAGACAAGAGCTGCAGGGGGGATTCGACAACTATCGCCTCGTCCGGTACTTCTCTTACATGGGACAGACGATACAACGCTCAGTCCACAATGTTCCCGAAGCTTGTACAATGCATATGGTGCCCAGGGAGACCGGACGTTGAAGTTGTTTCCAGGAGATGATCATTCATTGAGAGCAAGTTCTCATGAAGCTGAGGCACTGCTTTGTAGATTCATCGCCAGATGCATTGGAATTGAAGTTGATGAGGAGCAACGGCAGCTGCTCGACAAGAGCTTGATCGACGACGAGGAAAAAGTCGGATTAATGAAGAAGGGAGGAGATCTTGACGGGCAGGAATGTGTGTTTTGAGTTATAGTGCTCCGTACTACGTACTCCGTGCTTTGTGTAATCCCAGAAACCTACCATTGGGAGCGACGGTGCTCGGTTGAGTCTTCCTTGTCAAGCACATGCTTTGCACCAGAGGCCCTTCAGGTATGGCGATCCTGCAGAATGGTTGGGACTAAGTCGACGCTAAGGAGCCCCTAAGCGGGACTGGCCAGTGACAGGCTCCCAATGCCATCAAATGCAGCGAGAATGGAGATTAAACGGCCCGCCGGAAAAACCATCGGCAAGGCTAACTGGATGGTCCAGGAGGAAGGAGCGAGGGTCGAGGGGTCGACTTCTTGTTGGAGCTTCCCCACGTCCCAATCGACGTCACTGGAAACGTATGGTACGAGTAAATTGTTGGTGCTCATTTCGCCGCAAGTCGTGGGCTTGACCTGACATGTAAACACCTCACTTCAACTCAGCTTCTCTCGCACTGGCAGCATTCATTTAAATTTCTGAAGCTAGGACCCCTCAGAATACGAAAAGAACACATTCCACTGTCTATATATCCTCCCTGCTATACTTGTATTCTCTAATAGCGGTTCACATACTCAGTGCTCTGTCTTGAATTCTCCCGCAGCATCTACCAAACTTACGCAAGGGTGGTGCTTTTCTGCATCAAATGGCCTTGAATCAAGCCTCTGCGAATTCGCTGGCAGCAGCTCCTGCTGGTCAGGATTCTGCCCCTGATGGCACAGGTCAGACACCCAAGCGTCGAACTCAGAGCATTACTGACAAGAACACAGGCGTGATCCAGCTGGACCCCTGGCTTGACCCCTTCCGAGACTCCCTAAAATCACGATTTGCAAAGGCCCAGAAATGGATCAAGACAATTGAAGAAACAGAGGGTGGACTGGAGAAGTTCAGCCGAGGGTATGAGACATTCGGGTTTACCTTTGGCTCTGACGGCTCCATAACTTACCGTGAATGGGCTCCCAATGCAGAACAGGCATTTCTCATTGGAGACTTCAATAACTGGAATCGAGATGCTACCCCTCTGAAGAAGAACCACTTTGGCGTCTGGGAAATTACTCTCCCTGCAAGAGATGGTGTTGCTCCCATCTCTCACAACAGCAAGATCAAAGTTTCCTTTATCATTCCAGGAGGTGAACGGATAGAGAGACTACCAGCGTGGATCACAAGAGTTACCCAGGACCTGAATGTGTCTCCTGTCTACGACGCCGTCCTATGGAACCCCCCTCACCATGAACGCTATCAGTTCAAGAACCCTCGCCCTCCATATCCCAAAAGTGCTCGTATCTATGAAGCACATGTTGGTATTTCTTCCCCAGAGCTCAAGGTGGCAACCTACAAAGAGTTCACCAAAAACATGCTTCCGAGAATCCAATACCTCGGATACAATGTCATTCAGCTGATGGCCATAATGGAACATGCCTACTACGCGAGCTTTGGCTATCAGGTCAATTCCTTCTTTGCAGCCAGTTCTCGCTATGGCACGCCAGACGACTTGAAAGAGTTGATCGACGCGGCACATGGCATGGGTATCACCGTGCTACTCGACGTTGTTCATTCACATGCTAGCAAAAACACTCTGGATGGTCTGAATATGTTTGATGGAAGTGACCATCTCTACTTCCATGAGGGAGCTAAAGGTCGACACGAGTTGTGGGATTCACGACTTTTCAACTATGGCCACCATGAAGTACTGCGCTTTCTGCTATCCAATCTTCGCTTCTGGATGGAAGAATACCAGTTTGACGGCTTTCGATTTGACGGTGTCACCTCGATGCTATATACACATCACGGAATTGGCACGGGCTTTTCAGGAGGCTACCACGAGTACTTTGGACCCTCGGTTGATGAGGATGGCATCGTCTACCTCATGCTCGCAAATGAGATGCTACACAATCTCTATCCCAACGCCATCACAATTGCAGAAGATGTATCAGGCATGCCCGCACTCTGTCTCAAACTCTCACTGGGTGGTGTGGGTTTCGACTATCGTCTGGCCATGGCCGTGCCGGACATGTACATCAAGATGCTGAAAGAGAAGTCAGATGACGAGTGGGACATTGGAAATATTGCATTTACTCTCACAAACCGAAGACATGGAGAGAAGACCATTGCATACGCCGAATCCCACGACCAGGCCCTTGTGGGTGACAAGTCGCTAATGATGTGGCTCGCTGACGCCGAGATGTACACTCACATGTCAACACTTACCGAATTCACTCCTACCATTGAGCGCGCCCTCTCCCTGCACAAACTGATTCGTCTCGTCACTCACAGCCTCGGCGGTGAAGGCTACCTGAATTTTGAAGGTAATGAATTTGGTCACCCAGAATGGCTCGATTTCCCTCGCGCTGGCAATGACAACTCCTTTTGGTATGCGAGAAGACAATTCAATCTGACGGAAGACGGCCTCCTACGATACAAGTTCCTCAACGATTTTGACCGAGCCATGAACTGGACCGAAGAGAAATACGGCTGGTTGCACTCCCCACAAGCTTACATCTCGTTGAAGAACGAGACGGACAAGGTGCTCGTCTTCGAGCGTGCAGGGCTCCTTTGGATCTTCAACTTCCATCCCACGAAGTCCTATACCGACTATCGAGTCGGTGTTGAGCAGGGTGGCGTCTACCGCATTGTCCTCGACACCGACAGCCCCGAGTTCGGCGGGCTCAGCAGAAATGCAAAGGACACCCGCTTCTTCACTAACGATCTCCCTTGGAACGGTCGTAAGAATTTCACGCAGGTTTATATCCCTACCAGGACCGCTTTGGTAAGTCTACACATAATCTTGTTGGTGTGCTATTGAGTTCCCGTCCTAATGAATTCTACAGGTCCTGGCTCTAGAAGATACCCTATGAGCGTCGCCCCGTCTTCCAAAAGAGCACTCCACTTGGTGCCGGGCACGCAGTGACAGTGATATGGAAAGTTAATGCTTGAGGTTAGGAAATCAAGGATTGTCGGAATAGTCAGGTAGTTAAGCAAGCCAAAAACAACATCCACCCAACACGTCGGCGTTCAAAAGATTAGCGATATAGTTGTCATGAAATAGTCAGGGTCTCAGGATTTCCAAGATCCAGAAAAGCGGGTAAAATATAATAATCGAACCATCACGACTCCAAAGGTTATACATTGGAACAAATTCTATGTCACTGCTGAAAGATTCGGGCCAGATCTTCGACTGCTACAAGTTTTCAAATTAGGAATTGGAGATTTCACAATTGAAACTTTGATTGTTGATTGTTGATTCTTCCGATTTTGATGATACAGAGAGATCTGGATATGGCTACCCTACTTGTAGTAACGTGCAAGGATATAGAGCAGCCTTAGAGCAGCCTTAGAGCAGTGCCTTGTTTTTGGCCATGTTTTCATTTCAAATCATCCCTTGGGAGTGGAGGGTATCGCCATTAAGTAAAGTAGTAATAGTAAACTGTAAATAGGAAGGTAGGCGACGTCGAGTAGTGTAGCAATATAATGTAACATAAGTTCCGTGTCAATAGGGTCGGTTCGTGTGCCCTGTATCTAGGTCGATGACCTCTGATTATCACTCCTGAACGGCGAGAGATCAGGGTTGGGATGACGGTCGGCCCAGGCCTCTTGGTTGGTCACTCACCGCCGCGGGAAAACCGTCGTTGGATGTTCCACTCATCTCGGCACACGCGCATAGCCAGCCCTGGGATGAGTTCTTGTTCCTTGTCCCCTCCTCGGCCCCATTTGGCCTTCCCCAGTAGCCAGTCAGTCAATGTGACGACTTTGTTGGTCTTGTCAAAGCCATTGTTCTCGTCGGCGTGCTCGATTGTATGGCTCGCGATGCGGCCCTTGGAATCGAAAGTGAAGATGAAGAGGCCACTAAATCCGTCTTCCTTGTTCAAGTTGAAGATTGGCTTCTCGCCGCCCAGCAGCTTTGAAATCCCGCCATTGATGCCTCCGCTCGAGGGAGTCTTAGATCGCGCAGCGGTGGATGCCGAGGCTGCCGTTGATGGGTGTCCGTTTCCATTTTGCTTAGGTTCAGTCTTCCACCGCACTACTAATTTTTCTTCGCTGAGATCAGAGGCGGGTTCGCCATTCTCATCTACCGGTATCGCATAGGCGAATCCAGTCCGAACAATTTTCTCAGAGACGATGTTGAGTTTGACATTGCCGACAATGGGGACACAGCCCCAAGCGACAGGGGCAGTCCACAATGCTGCACGGTATGCGACTCGGCCTTTCACCGCAGGCAAGTGTGGGTGGGTTGATGGGAAAAGATGCAGTGAAATATTAGGCGAGAGAATGTCGGGTGGGAGAGGGGTGCTCAGGATATTCGGCAGAAGAGGCGATAGGGTGCGTAAAGCTGCAGATTGTCAGTACGCCAATAGCTCCAGATCTCTCTCTTTGGGAACCAACTCTTTCCTAACTTAACTAGACGTTCATCCGGAGGCTTGTGATCCCGCACGCCACCCGGGCGCGAGGTATTTGCCCCCAACAGCTCATCCTCGGGGCCGGATCGTGGGGAGGAAGAAGTAAACCAGACATCGGAAATAGGCTCAGGGCGGACCTGTGCGAGATGTCTCCTGGATAGGACTTGGCGTGGTGATACGCTGCCAGCAGTGGTAGACTTGCACCTCTGGGAGAGACCAGCAGTCGCGGTTCGGACTGGTGGAGAAATGAAGCGAGTAGCTGAAGCAGAGGAACAAGTGGCGACCGCAGACAGCTTCCTCATTGGCCTGGAGGTCATCTGGGAGGCAGAAGCATTATTGAAGAGAAGATACGCAGCAGTAGCGAATACTGAATTGGAAGTATTGCATCTGGTGGGTGAGGCGAGGTCGTAGTTGGTGGTGAGGGAATTCGAGAAAGGAAATTCCACGGTTGAAGTTCAAGTTGGGGAAGATGATGTCAGCCATGGCCGACTCCCATTGGAGCGGACCCCAGCCAACAAAGGGTACCCCGTATGCCAGTTGCTCCTTCCATTTCTCCTATTTCTTACATCTACATTATTCCGTACCTTCCACCGCCGTCTACCATCAGCTACCGATCCCGCCAAGTACATAGATGCCCATTTTCACCAGGGACAATTCTCGCTAATTGAACATGAATGAATCATGCCGGGGGCCTCAAGGTCAGGTAATTGCTTCCACAATGCAAAGCTCAGTTTCTTCTACCCGCGTCATGACCTGATGCTCAGCGCACCAAGTGGGAAGTCGAAAAATATGCCCTGACCCACCCCTGTCTACATCGACCCAGCCGTCGCAAAGGTGAGATGACTCTCTATTCCAACATCTATTATTTTGGAGCAGGTGGGGCTTTTGAGGCCAGTGACCACAGTCAATCCATTGTGACAGCGCGCATGACTGCAGCCTTGAATCTCGCTTTCTACCACATTCCTTGAATCAGTCCCAGTCTCCACCGGGTAACAATCGCAGCCTTGTGCTCTACCTGGCACGCAGAAAGAACTGCCTCGGCTTCTGTTTTTATTCAGTGCGCGAGAAGCCATGATCCGTACCAAGAGTCTACCGGCCATAAGCCTCCGAGTCTTCGCGTGCCATATCATCTTCGCAGATAAGGAGTATTGGAATAGACCTCGGGGTCAATCCGGGAGTTTCTATGGGAGAAGTTTCTATATGGATATTTTCTCTTCGTCCTTCCCCATTTGGCGAATTATCCTCGGACAGATGATCCTACACGAGGGAGCAAGGATTTAGATTTCGCTACGCCATCTCTGCATTTCGGATAACTGCTTAAACTTATTTTCCGGTCTCACGAAAGCGAGTGAAACCAAAGTCTGTTCACCCACTGGACCACGTGGCTGGTCACAGCGCAGGGGCACCACATCGTCGTCAATATTTCCCATCACCAAACCAGTCTTGTCCTTCTTAGCCCGGTCGCTTGGCGCTTTGAGTCGAGATATCTGTGGCCCTCAAATTACCAATTCATATCCTGCCTCGTGCAGATCACAGTCATAACCATTTGTCCTTATCAAGGTTGCCTACATACCTGGACCCAACAGAACAGCGATCGTCGCTCGTTGCCAAGAGGGCCCAGTACCACTAGTTGGTCTCTTGAATAGGCCTAGTGGTTATCTACATTTCAACGACCCATCTCTTATCTATACCCATCGGCTTGTTTTCTAAGCAGCTTCCTCTTCTAAGTAAGGCAGATTCAACATGTGTGCCAATGCAGACATCCAATCGCGGACATGAGCGCGTCTCAGGTCACATCATTGAGACCAGGGCTTGGTATCTCTCCACACTCTCCACATTCTCGCGAATGCCCAGCCTCGCCTAGCCCTCTAATGCTCTCGAAGGATAATAGTCTTTGAGATAGCAACCCTCTGACCATTGGAGAAAAAAAATCATTTCGGTGTTGGTAGAAGGTAAAGTATGATGAAAAGAGCTTGGCCAACACTGTACGACATTGTTACGCCGCTTGTGTTCCGTTTAACAGCCTTTTTCTAGGAATGCTATTGGTAAAATGGAACCCCCGGAACGTTATCTTTACACATTGTTCAATCCTCCATTGACCAGTGATCATTGCATCTCATTCCTTGGCATTTGGACCATCCGTGATAGTATTCCGTACAATGGCCCGATGTGCAGGCTTACCTAGGTGTTCGCAAATGCCAGTATTTGGTCTTTCTCAAGTGTGAAGCGAAGCAAATGAGAACACATTGAGAAGGCCGGAAAACTATAAGAAGGTGCTTTGACATCCATCAAGCGAACACCTCGAGCCCCAGACAAATTCCAACCATGCATCGACAGCTGGTTGCTTTGGTATGCGCCGCCACTCTGGCAGCAGGTTCTGCGCTGCCCGCCTTGGGTTATGAACGAAAGCTTCTTCTCGATGCCTTGAGCAAGCGACAAGCTGCCGGTGCCAGCTGCAATACCGGCGATGCGCCGGTGACACAGGCACCCAAGGCCAATGTCTGGGCCGGAATAAGTGCTCAGGATAATTATGATGTTTGGACACTCTTGCATGATCCAGCAAATGGTCTGAATCTGACAGTACCTGAAAATGCAACTGTGACGGACAATTACGTCTTCTGGATTGACACCCTCCACACAAATAAGTCAGATGTGCTTCCATATCTGGATGGAGATGGCCCAGCGCCTCCCAAGTATGCCAGAGCCATTATCTTTGAAGGCGGAAAGGCCGAGCCCGACTCGCAAGAGTACTTCATTGGGCCGCTTCCAGTATCAGCGGAAACCACAGTGCAGAAACTGGATTATATTTACAACGGTGGTCGAGGTGGCTCTGTGCCATTTAATGCCCGCTACGCAGATGCTATTAAGGCGGCTCCCATCAACCCGTTGATTGCATCTGCCATGGGGAATATCTCTGATATCACCGCCGCCTTGTTCAACGGAACAGTTTTCTATGGAGCATCAGACAATCGGACGACACTGTCAACAACTGCAGGCACGCCTCTTTCGTTCGATGGTAGCCAAGGGTTTCGAAACATCATGTTTAGAATACCAGGGCGTGGGACATATTTGACACCAATCGACTTTTACCTACTTATCGACTGCCCTGGAACCGATCCATCCCACTACTCTGTGAAAGGATACGTCACAAATGAGAAGTTCTTTCCCGACGAGGCATCCTTGCGGGCGGCATTCGATGCTGGAGAGCTGGCTCAGGAATATGTACAGACAACAGACCAGAGCTGGACAGACGTCGACTATAAGCCTGAGCTAGGTGTAAGGGCCCTCGAAGATCGCTTCGCTCCTACAAGTCTCGAGCTCGGCGGAAAACGTTATCAAGTTGATCCCGAGGCTCAGTACGTGGAGTACATGGGATTCTCATTCTACATTGCGTTTTCAAGAACATTGGGGGTCATGTTCTATGACATCAAGTACAAGGGCGACAGGATCATGTACGAGCTCTCCCTCCAGGAAGCCCTCGCCCAATACGCTGGCAATCAGGTAAGTTATGCTCAATGACTCATTAGTTCATTTCTGATAAAACCATCAGCCGAAAGCGGCCAATACCGTGTACCATGATACATACTACAGTCTAGGGACTGACCTGGCTACTCTTATCGAGGGCTACGATTGTCCATTTGGCGCAACGCTCTGGAATGTAACGTATCATGAGGGAAACCATACAGTCACCAACCAAGACGCCATTTGCATTTTCGAACAAGATATGGGCTTCCCCCTATCAAGACATAGATATGGTTCTGGCGCCGGGGATTATCCCTTTAGCCAGCTCGGTGTTACAAAGGGCGCCGCTTTGGTCATTCGAACTATTGCAACAGTTGGCAATTACGATTACATGTTCAGGTACGTGGTTGACTTTCATCAAGAAATGCCGAGTTTGGTTTGCTGACATTTGCAGTTACCTATTCCATCAAGATGGATCGGTAGAAGTGGAAGTGCGTGCAAGTGGATTTCTACAGTCCAGCTTTTACTATCCTGATCAAGCCAAGTACGGGCCACGGATAGCACCTGCCACCCAGGGTAGCCTTCACGACCATATCTTGACCTACAAAGCCGACTTCGACATCGTGGGAAGCTCGAATTCATTCGAAGTCAGCGAGCTGGTCGTCGTGAATCAGAGCCAAGCCTGGTTCCCCGAGCTCGGTGAATTCGAACAGATGGAGCTGAACATCAGCTATCTGGAAAAGGAGGCTGCATTCAACTGGGCGCCCAACAACGAAGCCATGTTCTGCGTGGTCAACAAGAACGAGACCAACGCCTGGGGTGAAAAGCGCGGCTACCGACTCGTCCCTGGACGGTCCAACCTCCACCTGACGGTGCAAAACTCACCGTTCTCGCTGAAGAACAGCGAAATGGCCAAGACGCACCTGGCGGTCACCAAACAGCACGACACCGAGCCGTACGCCAACTCGGTGCACAACATCAACCTGCCGTCCGCGCCGCAACAGGATTTCTCCAAATTCTTCGATGACGAGGACATCGACGACGAAGACCTGGTCGTCTGGTTCAACCTGGGCATGCATCATTTCGTGCGCGCCGAGGATATCCCCGTCACGCTGTACACGGAGGCGGCGTCGAATATCGTGTTTGCGCCGCAGAACTTCAACGACCGAGCACAGGATGGTGATTTGTTGAATCGCAGGTGGATCAAGCACAATGCGACTTCGGATGAGATTACTTTTGACAGCTACGGTGTTGAGTTGCCCAGTTGTCCGATTACGATATCGGAGCCAGTTTACGGTATCTCGCCTACTGTGGAGCTGTACCAAGAAGAGTAATTAGTCAGCTACAAGGTTGCAGTTGGCCATCCACTGGCTTCGCTGGTGTATGGTTTGTCTGGGCGATCGGAAGGGAGAACATAATGCCCCTCGTGAAGCCGGGATGGTAAAATGAAGTGATGTGATGTCACCAGTGTGCATACAGGATCTTGAGGCATCATATAGCAGTGAAACCCAGAGTGGTCACCAGTATATATAGACGAAATACAAACGTACCTGGCGACTTGGCACAAATAACGAAGACCCTTTTGCTTGAGCTGGCGGATCGCACGTGATGAAAATCCGGTGAAGCACAACGATGTCCCTGAACACCTCAGCCTCGTGGCATCGGCACCGCTCAAAAAATCGAAAGGTCCCCGAGGTGAAGCATTGTGTCTTGAACCGATTGATGAGGAGGAGAGCCCCAAAAGACCAGCGGTCCCGGAATGTATGACAGATGCGAAGTTTTTGATGGAAGCAGCGGCAACGCGCGTATCTCTGTGTAAAAGGCCTTTGTCCAACTCGCATTTCGTTGGTATTGTGGCTTCCTTTGAGAACAAATTGCCTTGCAGGTGTCGTCGTTTGAATATCTGCTACAAAGTATAGGTATGGAGTAGATTGTCGCTTTGTTGGTGGCCTTGAAGGTGTCATACTGAGAGGAAGGGTGATGATTTCAAGTTATCGAGCTGTTGGGGATTTACCAATCAGCCGTATGGTTGTGCTTTATTTAATGGGATAATTTCTCACCGTGAACTCTCAACAGTTGTGCTCAGAGTCGTTTCTTGGACCCTGCACCTTCATTTTCCGCTATGTAGTTGTGCCTGGTGGAGTAATGGGTGTCAGTCGAGATCAAGGCGACTCAGGGGTCGGAGCTACCGGAGTTGGGCATCTTCCGGACAGCGGGCAAAGTGGTTCAAGGGAAATCGTGGTGTGCAATGGCTCAATGGTAGGCATCAATCAGTGGTGATTGTTGGAGGTACTGTTCCAGTAGTCTCAGTAGCTGATCGCTAACGATAAGCCCGCGTCAAAGGATTTTGCGGCCAGTTGTACAAGGTAGACATGAGAGAACAGCTGACGAGGAAGCAACGGCCATACCCGGTTTTGCGAGATAGTAACCTTGCGGGTTAAGAGTTTGACTGGAGTAGATGGCATGGCCCTGGGACTGTGCTCCAATGTTGCTGCACAGAAGTGGTTGGAGGACCAGGCGTAAGAGAGCCAAGGCAATTTCCATGTCAGAACGCCCTCATCGTATTATTCAATAGATGCTCTTGCTCATCAATGTGTTGTGTAAATGCGCGATTTCACACCAAATATCTATGTGGTATTGTTGGGCGCGGCCGCGATTTCCCTCACGGAGGGGCTTGCTGAGTCAAAGACACGTATGCGTGTTAAGGAATGGTGCCAACTGACGAGCTTGTCAGGCAGCTTCTGGCATCGATGAGACCCTGCCCCTTGCCAACAAGCGACGGTAGTTTCACAAGGGATTGATTTATCCCTAGGGACGGATTACTACAAGATCATCTTTTGATAGACGGTCTTGGGGGCATGGTGGATTAGTGAGCGCGAAGCACATCAGTGGCAGCTTGCTCTTTCCAATTGCTTTGTTGACACTCATCCACTCCTCGCACTGTTTTACCGTGTCCACAACTTCAAGGAGACCCCTTTCTCTTTGCTCCTGTCCCAGAGCAAATGCTCCTTCCCATTCATTCCTTTCTTCTTTGTCTGGCATTGAGAGTCCATTGAGTGTGACCTACGTGTGCTAATCATTCCGCCATCATAGCACTGAGCAGTCTGATCAAAGGCGCTTTTGAATCTAGACAGCCACATCCGGTCAGCATATAATCCAACCTTTGCAACAATGACAGCTTCCAAGCAAGCAGACATAGGAGATATAGAGGACAAAATCTGCTGGACACTCACCTCAATGGTCCAACAATTTCAATCTCTCCAGTCACTGATCTCCCTACTTCCACAGACAGAAGGAAATACCTTCCAAACCCTCATCATAGAAGCACTTCAAACCATTCCATTCCAAGCCTCAACAATGTCTCGAGCAACCCCCGATGATCAATTGAAGTTCCTGCTGAGCTGTGTGCGACACTCCAACAACGGCAAGGTATGAACCAGTGCTCAACAGTCTCGCATCTAGTATCAGCTGACAACTTCAGGTTGATTTCGTACAAGTCGCGAAGGAATGCAGTATCGTCAGTAAGGGAGCAGCGTAGGTCATCCCAGCCCAAGCATGGCTTAGGGCACCCAGATATTATACATACTGAGTGAAGACAGAGCCAAGCGATATGAACGTCTTATGAAGACCAACAATATTTCCGCCAATGGTTCCTCCACTGAAACTGCACGAAAGCCAACAACTGCAGGAAAATCAACAACAACTTCAGGAGAGCAAAAGCCAAAAACAGTCCATGAGAAGCCTGCTGCAGCCAAAAAGCGGAAAGCTGAGCAGGGCCATCCTCTGCCTTCAACCAAGTCGGATGTCAAGCACTCCAGCCAGGCCCAGCCAACGACCAATAAGATGAAAAAGGTTGAGCAAGCAGTCGACTCACCATCTTTCATGGTCAACCTGCCTCCATACGGTGCCAGAGGCGAAGGGATGCCGGTTGGTACGAGAGGAGTCCTTATCTCACGACAATCGGCGCCTCAAGTTTATCACAACCAAGTTCCCAGAGGCCATTTCCAAGATTTCCAAGGAGTCAGAAGTATGCCAGCTAATCATTTTCCCTATGGAATGCACATGGCAATGGCACCTGTGCAACCAAATCAAATGGACCACAGTCTTGGGCAGTTTGATGCACAGAATCATGGCTTGGAGGAGTATCTCAATAGAGATGTGTACTACAAGACGGCAGCAACTCCAGCAGTTCAGTCCCAACCTTCTCTTCTCAACAGCATGGCCCCGAAGACTTTCCCACCCCCACCACAGGAAGTACAATTCTTGCCACAGTCTGGCGAAGCTTCGGCAACCCAAGAAGCAAAAGGCAAAAAGCCTGATGGTAGCATTATCATCGAGGACTGAGCGCATTGTACTCAAGGTATGTCGCATCATCTGGACAAATACACTTGTGGTAGATACAAGAGACTCCCAGGGTCTCCGTCCACATGCTGTGTGATTCAACACAATCATTGTCCTTGAAAGCTAATTGCACGTTGGCGACTGTCTTTCCGAATCCAAAGGCGGCTTGGGAATGAGGAATGGGTTGGGCCACTGGATATCAGGCTAGCGGTGGTTCGGCCACCTGAATGTAATAGATCAAGATTTCGAATAGGAGGCGATCGGTCCTCAGACATGGGAGCAGAACAATGGTCGGAATAGAGAGAACTATCTGTAAGTAGACAACTGGACAGATTGGCTCAGCGAGGCTTTCTCATTGCAGATAGGCACACAGAATCACGCACAGGTGACCGCGAAAGCCCTGGTCGTGGTCAAACAGTCGACCCCTCGTTCTCCTCGTCGGTGTTGTCACACGTATCGTATCGTCGGGAACGACGATGATGTCGCTGACCTTTTAATGTGTTTCTCCCCCACTTAAACTTCCAAACATTTTCTTCCACAATCCTTTCTTCCCATCCCGCCATCCTCACACCCTCACACTCTCTTTACCTCTCCAAGCACGTGCTCCCTCTTCCTTCATACTGTCCACACGGTTGTCGACGTGTAGAGAAGCTGCTGAGCACTGGTCAGCCGCTCCTCATCGACCAAGGAGACCCAGTAAGTTGGGCACTGGCCGGCCATGACAAAAACGTCTAGATCTGCTGACTTTGCGCTGGATCTTTCTAATCTTGTCAAATAACAAAAGCTCTCTCACTCTCACAGGGCATGTGGAATCCCTTTTCTATCTTTCCTTTCGTCCGTTCTCAGCCGATACCTTCTACCCACTCTATTCCTCGCCTATTCAGGTTCTTTAGACAGGCACAGGGCAGTCTTCAGTCCGTCCGTCCGTCTGTCCTCCTGGACCTTCTGTTTTCGGTAGGCTTGGTGTCTCCCTCCCTGCCACACCTATACAGGCACGTGTCACCGGCACGGCGGTGCCATTGATATTCACGTGACATTCACGGTTGGCCTCGCCGTTCTTCACATTCCCACTCTCACAAGCACCAGCAGGCCCCTTATTGGTAGCACGTGACTCATCCTCTGTTCTTGTCTTTCCCAACTGTCTTTCTACGAAACTGACAACCAGATCCGCTGACCAGGTTGCACAACAACAAAGTGAGAAATCTGCCAAGATGGCTGACCCGTCCACTCCCCTTCGTATGCCTGCTCGGGACTTGGTCCGCTGGAATGGTAAGTCGACAGCTTGCGAAACTCGGCGCATGCTTCGGTTTCGGAGACCCACGCTAATCAACGGGCGATAGATGACATTGACAAAGGCTTGATGCTGACGATTCAGTACTGCTGCGGCGAATCTGGAATCAAGATCCCATGTAAGATAGGCCGAGTCGATCGGCTTGATTCGGACATGCTGACCTTCATCAGGGAGACGAATTGCTGAGGTCATGGGACCCAAGTTCACCGAAGGCTCCATCACTCAGCATCTTGCAAAGTTGCGTAAGCGAATGGTCGCAGACAACATTCCAGTCCCACCAGCTCTCAAGCGTGGCTACAACATCAAGACCCCATCGAAAGTGTACTGCAATGGGAACCCTACCATCCAGTATGAGTACGTTCTTCCATTGTACACCGAGACTCCTAAGCACGTGGAGAATCCAGCTTTGTTCTACAGTAAGGCTGGAATGACTCCGACCCCGACTGGAACTGGAACTGGCGTCGGCGAGCGATCTGACTATCAACAAACCACTCCGACCAAGTCCTCCAAGCGCTCTGGCAAAGCTAGATCCTCTGTCCGATCCAAGGGTAAAGGTCGTGCAGGTGGTGGCGGAATGTCTGATGATGACGAAGATGTGTTTATGGCTGCATTGGACGGCGATTCTGACGACGACTATGGTGCTCCACCCAAGAAGAAGACCAAAGCGACTCGCCGTGCGAAGGTCGAGAAGAATGGAAGCTCCAACGGCCTCGTCATCAATAGCGATGGTGAAGAGGTCGCAATGGTTGAGGAGTATAGTCCCACTGGGCCTGCGAGCCGCACTCGTGGCGTCAAGCAAGATTATTCAATGCTTGAAAATGGCGAGGATGATGCCATGCAATCCGAGAACGAGACTGTCATTGACTATGAGGGCCAGGATTCTGAAGAAAGTGTGGTTGACCTTGCTGATGCCGTCGATTATGAGAGTGCGAGTGGAACTGAAGCGCGTGAAGCCTCACAGTACGCCAAGGCTTACATGGATGAGCTATTTCCTGTCTCCGAGGCATTGGCTGCAGCTGAGAGTATGGTGGCCAGATCCAACATGCGCAGCGATGTAAGTCCAGCTCCCCTTCGGATTTGTATATTCACTGACAATGCGACCAGTACATGCCTTTCAATGGCAATGACCCTTTCAACACTGGAAACATCTTCGGCAATGGCACTTTCAACGGTGGAAATGCATTTGGCAATGGTCAGAATATGGCCATGTGGGGCAGCTTTCCCTGTGCAGCTCCATCCATGGTGTCGAATGTCCATCAGCCCGTCATGCACCCATCATTTCGAGATCCTTTTACAGGTACTGCTGTGGATTCATTTGGAGATCCCTTTACCACTACTTCTGTTGGTTATGCTCCTCAGGGAACCTTCCCAGGAATGTATGGCACACGCATGGCACCGCCCTCGATTCCTCACCGTGGTTCAACCGCACCTCATGGTGATTCAGACGCATCTGCAATGAGTCCATTTCATCGCGATTCCAACGCAAGTGCATTGAGTGAAATGAACATGGTCAACCGCAACAACTCTGTCTCTGCCGGTACCACTATCGCCATGCCGAACCCGGCCCATCAGGCCATGTACCAGAACAAGGTCGAGGAATTGGCTGGCATTGGAAATGCTGAAGAGTTTAATCCTACTGAGTTTGTCAATGAGGCCATGCTCCGTCTTGGGGAAGAGGAGAATTGAGTGGGTTCATCGATCCTTCTTGACTAAACAGAGCTGATCGCTTTAGGACATGACTCATCGCCCGCTTGAATGACAGATTTCAACAAAAGGAATTCCAATCAGGCGTTCAGGCACACAGAGGCCTGACTTCTTTTCCTAGCAATGTCATGAAGCACGCGTGGTGTAGTCCGGGCGGAGTTTCAGGCGTCGGTGGATGTAGTCGTCAGCACTTCTCATGTGTGCTTTTTAGTTTCGTTTTCCGAGCACAACAAAAGCTTCAGGATATTGCATTGGTTCGGGACGGTTGGGCAGGTGGCTGACAGACATGATTACTCAGTTCAATTCTGGATGGAGGGAGTTATGGATGTGGCCGCAGGTCCCGATTGACCTAGACTGAGCAGCAATTGAGCTCCCACGGAGAAAAGGCCAAGGCCCAAACGCAAGTTTTCTGGCTTGCACGCATTGAACTGGTGCACGTGCACAGTCAAATGCAAGACTCAAGAGGATCCATGAATCCCGATGTTCCCGTGGACCCGTCTCTGTTCTCTCGTCGTTCCCTACCAGTTCCCCGTTGTCAGTTGATATGGACGACGCTACGTAGCGAATATGTAGTTGATGGCTGCTCGAATCTCGGACGTCGGAAAGCGCGTGCCAAGGCCTGTCGGGAGCTAACCCGAATAGGGAGGGTGCTCTTCTGTCGCCTTCGAAGATTCTCCAAAAATTTTGTTGCTTCAACTCGGCAGCCCATAACATTTGGCAACACTTCCTCCCATCCTCCCATCTATCTCTGCATCAACGGTCCCTCTTTCACATCTTGGTCCCCCAACTAATAACATCTCCTTCAGTTACTTCCTGTCCTCGCCCATCATGCAGCGCGCTCTTTCCTCCGCTTTGCGGTCACCACTCTCCTCTGCTTCCCCGTACTCTAGATCTGCAGGCAAGAGTTTACAGCAACTCCGCTTTGCCCATAAAGAGCTCAGGTTCGGTGTCGAAGGACGAGCTCAACTGCTCAAGGGTGTGGACACCCTGGCCAAAGCTGTGGCCACCACTCTCGGTCCCAAAGGTCGCAATGTTCTCATCGAGTCAAGCTACGGCTCCCCCAAGATTACAAAGGGTTCGTGTCACTCCTAGTTAGGACCGTTATCGCTGTTCCGTGACTGACCTGATTGCGCGTAGATGGTGTCACTGTCGCGAAAGCCGTGACTCTCCAAGATAAATTCGAGAACCTCGGTGCTCGCCTGATCCAGGATGTCGCCTCCAAGACCAACGAAGTTGCTGGTGATGGTACCACCACCGCTACCGTCCTTGCCTCCGCCATCTTCTCCGAGACCGTCAAAAACGTGGCCGCCGGCTGCAACCCTATGGATCTGAGGAGAGGAACCCAAGCCGCGGTCGAGGCTGTGGTCAACTACCTTCAGATGAACAAGAAAGACATCACCACCAGCGCCGAGATTGCTCAGGTCGCCACCATTTCCGCCAACGGTGACACTCATGTTGGAAACCTCATCTCCAATGCCATGGAGAAGGTCGGCAAGGAGGGTGTGATTACCGTCAAAGAAGGAAAGACAATCGAAGACGAGCTTGAGATCACCGAAGGTATGCGCTTCGACCGAGGCTTTACTTCTCCATACTTCATCACCGACACAAAATCGCAAAAGATCGAGTTTGAAAAGCCCTTGATCCTGTTGTCTGAGAAAAAGATCTCGGCCGTGCAAGATATCATTCCTGCTCTGGAGGCATCCACCCAACTGCGACGACCCCTCGTCATTATCGCCGAGGACATTGATGGAGAGGCCCTCGCTGTCTGCATCCTCAACAAGCTCCGAGGACAGCTTCAAGTTGCCGCAGTCAAGGCTCCCGGCTTTGGTGACAACCGCAAGAGCATCCTTGGTGATATTGGTATCCTGACAAACGCAACTGTCTTCTCTGATGAGCTAGAGATCAAGTTGGAAAAAGCTACTGCCGACATGCTCGGTTCCACTGGTAGCATCACTATTACCAAGGAAGATACCATCATCCTCAACGGAGAAGGCAGCAAAGATGCGATTGCTCAACGATGCGAGCAAATCCGAGGCGTCATGGCTGATCCTTCCACTTCCGAATACGAGAAGGAGAAGCTTCAGGAACGTCTCGCCAAACTGTCCGGTGGTGTTGCCGTCATCAAGGTCGGCGGTGCCTCGGAAGTTGAAGTTGGTGAGAAGAAGGACCGCGTTGTGGATGCTCTCAACGCCACCCGCGCCGCTGTTGAGGAGGGCATCTTGCCAGGTGGTGGCACCGCTCTGATCAAGGCTTCCGCCAATGCTCTAGGTGATGTCAAGGCTGCCAACTTCGATCAACAACTCGGTGTCAGCATTATCAAGAGTGCTATCACCCGACCCGCGCGAAAGATTGTTGAGAACGCAGGTCTTGAGGGCAGCGTTGTTGTTGGCAAGCTTACCGACGAATTTGCCTCCGATTTCAACAAGGGTTTCGATTCCGCCACGGGCGAATATGTTGACATGATTGCCAGAGGTATCGTTGACCCCTTGAAGGTCGTCCGCACTGCTCTTGTTGATGCTTCCGGCGTTGCTTCCCTTCTCGGAACAACTGAAGTCGCAATTGTCGATGCCCCTGAAGAGAAGCCCGCAGGCCCACCAATGGGAGGCATGGGCGGGATGGGCGGAATGGGAGGCATGGGCGGCTTCTAAGTTCAGCAATGAGCTACTAGTAGATGCCGCTCCTGTGTGACCACCCAATCTACCTTTGCTGTCATCTTCCTGCGTTTCAGCGGCTTTCCTTAAAACATACATACCCCGCGGGCATCAATCAATCGATGAGTCATCCATCGCTGGCCGCCAAATGATAAACCCATTTGACGCCTCAATTCCGCCATAGATCCCTCTCCATGGACAACGAGGCGCCTCTCACTTGGACACAGAAGCGGATACTTCGTTCCCAACTTCTCTCATGTACCAAATTTTTTTTTTCGGCTGCTACAACATTACTCCACTCATCTTCTGCAATTATGTTTTTTAAAAAAAGAAATCATCGTTGAAAAGGCCCAGTCCTAGAGCGCACACACGTACAGGGAAATCCGAAAAGCGGAAGCGGGCATATAGGCGGGAGCGGTTTGGTGCTAATGGACTGGGACATGAAACACACCCTGTGCCATGCATGAACATTGCAAGCAAGACGAGGCCGCGATTGGAGTCAACGATGTTGGCCCGTCGAAGCAGTCCGTACTTACGTATGTATTTTGTACCATAGCTTGTATTGCCGAGTCGAGTTGGGGATCTGGCATCAGCAGCATCAGGGGAGAGAAGACTCAGTGTAATAAAAATAACTAGAAGATCGCCTTGAAAAATAACCGTTCCTGGATCATTTGATGTGATTGATGTATTGAATGAGTCAACCGTTAGGAAAGGGGACCTGAGCCCCATTGGCGTTTGTTCCACCCGAGGTCTATCGCGTATGCTCAGGTAGATGTATACACGGTGGACCCATTACTTGGAAAGCGAAGACAAGCGGGCTGGGCTGTTACTATGTTCTAATTGAGTCGAGCTTATGCTTTTGTCCTCTGATATATTTCAACAGTCTCCATGAGGGGCGTTCTTCACCACTTCGAGAAAGAAAGAAAAATTGAGATAGAGCCGAGGAAGCACATCTCGCTCACTTTCCGGCCCCTTCCAGAATTCCCAATCTACCTACTTAGTCATGCGTCACAATAGGCCCAATCGCACGCAAATCCAACCCGGGACCCCCTCTCCTTCCCCACAGAAAGCAGGCGGCGAACACCGCAATAACGACCGTAGCATAAATAGGCAGTGCATAGTTCATGTTCGTGCCCGTGACCGGCAAGGGTGGTGAGAAACGGGAGCCAGACGGTCAGGTAGATGGTCCAGAGCAGGGAGGAAGGGATTCACCAGCGCTCCGAATGAGATTGTCGATCGGCCTTGGTGTTGGAGCAATGCCAGCTAGTAGCCATCATTACCTGACCTTACAGGACCTCACCTTGATCGGGGGCAAGAGTCATGATTGCACTCTTGGTGGACGGTGTGATAGCTATCTCGACCCACTGAGATGTCCAATGAGTAGCTCTTTCTCGGGTCGTGTAGGTGTTGAAGAACATATGTACGGAGTGACTCCGCAGAACAATTGCATTTTCTAAGGATGAAAGGCAACAGAGATTGTTAGATAAACACGAAAGTCTGATCGTCGAGCTTCTTTGAAGGTCTATACTGCACGAGTAGTTATTGCCAATCCACGCTAGCCAAGTCCGAGATTGTGCATGAAGCGGCCACATTATGCTCAACACCTACTGCCTTCCTATTTAGAAGACGAGTTAGAATCGGTATTCTATGGAGATACTTAGGAGGACCATGGCGCCAAAATCCAGAATTGATTTGTTGGTGGCTTAAGCTCCCGATCCCCCTTGCGCGTACCGACAGCATGGGATAACGTGTTGAATACTGTCAGGTATCATCTCCAGGCCTTTCAAATGGGCTTTCTGCTGATGCGCCGTGATCACTCAAACTCTTTTCCAAGGTCGATGACTTGAAATCGCGTCCCATTGCTAGATAAGTGTTTCCTTCGTTGCCGGAAGAGGCGTACTGGCATTTCTTCACCAACTTGTAAAGCTTGTGCGCCTTTGATGGGAAGATTATCCCTCAAACAGCTTCACGCATTCAACAAGATTGCCATCTTTGAAGAAGTCGTGTCTCTGAACAACATGCGGACAGCTTTCAAGGAACATTCCAAACTTCTTCGATTGTGTTATTCATATAGGTGAAAGCAGCCTTTATCTCATTGACACCACTGGTTTGAAAAATCTTTACCTTCAAAATCCGCTGGCTTTCGGAGGGTAATGTAGTTATGTCGGGGTCGGGTGTTGTCTCAAGCTCAATTGCTCTCGATGCAACGTATACCAGTTCATCTCTTCTCCAGAGCCCTTCCTGCCTTGGAGCCCTTCGCATGCAGTCCAAGGCCTGATTTCGTAGTGTGAAATGTCGACATTTGACGGCAGTGTAGTATAGAGGTGCTAGGATCCCCATCTCAAAGGTGAAGAATTGTAGAACTCTTCGCTTTTCTGGCTGGGCCATCAGGACCTCTTTAGCATGGTGGATCACGGTCTGAAACCATTCGTAGCTGCTATCGAACGACATCTCACAGCCCTCAAGCGGGTTGTTAAGCCATATCACCGCAGTCAGATACCACATACGGAGTGTCGCAGACAAGCCAATAGCTGATGTTCCAAGATCCGTGACCAAACCATGGAGATTCCAGCTCCACTTCTCCAACTGGACTAGGAGCTGCTTTCGTTGTTGTAACTCTTCCTCACTCAGCGCCTGGGCAGGTAGCCGCCAACAGTGGGCTTCATTCAAGTTCTTGATAAACTCATGGGCGAGCATCAGCAGTTTGAAAAGAGCATCCCGTGCTCCTCTGAGGCAATCAAACGTTGATGGTGCTCTTGTATTTATATTTATGGACGGCTGGGGCCGAGTGGTAGAATAGTGTCCAAACAGCCTTGACATCATTGTGAGCCTGTCAAACATTGAGGATACGCATCTTCTGGTTATGGTCGAGTTAGACGTAATTTGGCTCTGCTTATCGAACATTTGCATCAAAGCGCGACCATTGAGAAACAAGACCATGGACTGAATCTTTCTGCGTTGTAGAAATTCCATGCATAAGAATAAGGGGCAGCTCAGTATTGTCACAAGATCTGACCCGCTTGCCTGTGTGCGTTGACGTGCGCCCTCAAGCGCTCTCTGATAATACTCCCAAGTCCTACTGGAAACCAGATAAGAAAAATAGTCGCCGCCGAGGTGGTTCATCCCTTGTTCAAAAAAAGCTGTGATGGCGACAATGGTCTGAAGGACAAACCGCTCCGAGTGGCCGAGTTGGAGCAAAGTGGTGGCCCAAAAGTCTTCTTCAAGGAACCCGCCAATTTGGTGTGCAATCTCAGCGCGGAAGAAGTCGAAAAGCCGCCGCTCAACTTCATCGCCTTGGAAGTTGTCAAGTTGCTGCGCAATCGGGATGGCTGACGCCCGAGTTTCGCGGGAGTTGGGACCAGAAAATACTAGAGTGAAGTTGCTCGGTCTGAAAAGGTCCGGGTACCCATTGCAACGAATCTTGAGTCTCTTGCATCTAAGTAAATCTTAGCCAGGGTGACAGATCGGCACGTAGGCATCAGTGTTTTGCACTTACCTTTTGCAGCACGGCCTCGTTTCGTCGCATTTGACCCGTCGCTCCCTACATGATTGTGAGACAAGACACAAGAAAGGTGGCATCAGCACTGCGAGAAGATGACTTGCCTACACGTCAAGCAGCCAGTCTTAGTTTTCTTTGATTCGCATCGAATGATTGGCTTTGGGTTTGGTACCGCTTGGCGTCGGACTACAGCTAGACATGCAGCGCCCATAGTCAATATACATCTCCGGAATGGCTGGAGAGATTGAAATGGATCTGGAAATCTGGAAATCTGAAAACAACTCTTTCCATTGGGAACGAGCATTGCAGAGAGTAGCTACTCCTCGTGGAGTAAGAGGAAACGCGTGACGTTGAAGCGATGCCTCGTTCGGTTGATTGAAGATAGAAAGTAGACCGAAGAGCCCCACTTCGGCCGAGGCTGAGCGATGTTCGCTCTGGTTCAAACTCGACATGATTGGCCCGTCGCTCCCATTTCCATTTACGGACATGGTATTATTATGCTTCGCCCACAAGTGCAGTACCTTTGATCTCAGAGCACCCAATCGATGTCGATCCAAGATGGTTCCGGTCAGATTGGAATGTCCCTACCAGACCCTCGCCGTGGAGACAGCCCTTTGTATAAATACTCTTGTTGAACATGTGCGCACACACCCCGATATGTTCTTCCCCTTTCCAACAATCCTTTCGTTTGACTCCCTTCAACCATGCATGCACAGAGGGTTCTCAGGTCATTGATATACACTTATCTCGTACAAGAACTTCTGGCACAGGCTTTTCAGCCATGCGCTATCCTCGGTCCACGATTTCCCCGTCCGAGTGCTTTCGCACAGGACAACAGTGTCCAGGCTGCGATCAATGACACCACTGCTGCATTCGACGAGCTTATTGCAACTGGCAATAGCACCTTTGGGACTATCTCAAATACGACTTCCTTTAGTATAGCCTTGTTTACTTCAAATGATCCGCTCAATCTGTCGCATCCATTCTTCTTCGAGTACCATTATACCGCACCGGCCCTGAAAGAAAATGGGCTGGGAACGTCTAACCTTGACTCGAACAGCATCTTCCGTATTAGTACTGTTAGCCAAGTCTTTACTGTCTGGATGTTTCTCATCGAGGCTGGAGAAGCATACTGGGTCGATCCAATAACAAAATACGTCCCGGAACTATCCAACGACAAAGGTCGCGGGTCAGTAACGTCAGGGCTGTTTTCTTGGGGGGATGTCTCTCTTGGTGACCTTGCAGGTCATCTCTCAGGCATACCCCGCGATTGTGAGTGCCCTCGACACAGGATATAGGCCTGCTTCCCTGACGTTTACAAAGATGGTATTGCCGACCTTAGTGCTCAAGGTATTGCAATCGGCTCTATTTCCTCAAATAGCAACCGCACCACTTGCCAACAGTCGAATTGCACAAGATCGGGTGAGTCAATCTCCATTGCTTATGGACTCTTTGCGATGGGCTAATTCGGATCTGCCAGAGTTCTTCCAAGACTTGACCGCAAGGTATCCTGTTTATCTGCCCGGCACCACTCCCATAATGTCCAACACAGCTTTCCAACTTCTCTCCTACGCGTTGGAAAGCATCAAACAGACCACATACGAAGCGATATTCAATGCAACAGCACAGGCTATTGGATTAAGAGGCAGCACTTTACGTCAGCCACCAACTACAGAAAATGTCGTGGTGCCCGGGGACAACATTACCCAGAGTGGCTGGTCAATCGACTTTGGCGACGAAGCAGCGTAAGTAAAGGAGAAACTCAGGTGATGTACCTGCTAATGTAGCTATTCTAGGGCAATCTCGATGTATTCTACCATATCCGATCTCTCACGAGCGGGCGTGGCGATGCTCAATTCCACGCTTGTGCCATCTGCGACGACGCGTCGATGGCTGAAGCCAATTGTCAACACCTCTAATTTGAGAAATGATGTTGGGCGACCCTGGATAGTCTACAAGGCGACTGCGAACCAAAGCCCGATCAATCCTGTTATTGACATTCTCACTAGCTATGGCTCGGTTGGTCGATATAGCTCCTACTTTGGACTCGTACCGGACTACAATGTCGGCTTCACCATTCTTGCTGTAGATGAAATCGCTGCACCCGATCTCAATGTCCACGCAGATATCGTCGGTGGTTTCATAGCAGGCCTTGAAAAGGCTGCGATTAGCCAGGCTGCAGTTAGATATGCTGGGGTCTACAGTTCGAATGAGACCAATGCTTCTCTGGTGATGGACAAACCTGACGGTATACCTGGCCTCTCATTGACCAACTTCACTGTGGGCGACATGAATATTCGCCGCGAAATTGCAGTCGCTCTGAATATTGCTCCTGCAGCATTGAGCATTAGACTTTATCCTTCGAATGTGGCTGAGGATACTGAAACCGGGGTATTTATCTTCAGAGCAGTCTTTCAAGACACTGATGCACCCATTGATGCAGGGACACCAACCTGTATTACTTGGTTGACCGTCGATGCTTTGAACCTGAATGGGAAGCCTTTGGATTTGTTCATTTTCACACTGGAGAAGGGGAAGGTGACGGGTGTTCAAATACCGGCTCTTGATCTTCAAATCGCTAAAGCCACTTAGTTGGAGACATAGTCTCAGGTAAATTTTGGGAGTTCCATTGGTTTATCGTCGAAAATAGAGCTTCTGCCTCCAGTATGGCAGGCGTCGACGGCGTTCAGCGGCGACCACTCTTGTGCGATTATTCTTCGAGTATCTTCAAGGTACGCTAACCTTTTGGAGAGAACTATCCAACGGCATCTAGTAGGAGGCTTCTAACAGGAAGACTTGTGAGACTCTTCAGCAATTTAACTCTCAGAATCACAAGTTCATCGGACTCGAGGCTAATGTAAGTCAGTGAAATTTGGTCTCAATATCTTGCCGCTAAGGTTGTTGTTGCAGGGATCCCTCACGTTCATCTTGGGGCGCTGGTAGCCATCGCTTAGCTTCGGAGTTGCTTAAAAAAGACAATGCACGCATGACATGCTGCATCTGGCAGGATACAATCAATCATCGTCAAAGGTACAACCGCAGCTGCTTAACTTGGGCAGCTCTCGTCCAGCAGGCAACGTTGTTTGCCTGTGAGCCGTCCAACCAATCCAACCATTGAGGTTTATTGGTTCTGGTCCCTGGAACGTGGTTGAACATGGCTGAACTAACGAAAGACGTGTTATTTAAAACAGTGCTGTAGGATCCGCTGAGTTGAATCTCTTCCAGGCTACGTAATTGCCTGCTAGTTAAGAAGGGGGTAGTAGCCAGATTGTCATCTATCTCCCTATTCCGCACACCTCGAGGGACAACGACAGTAGTCTAATGGGCGCCACAGAATACGGTGAAGTTTGGAGGCTTATCACTTATGTTTATGGATTTGACTTGAGGTCATCAATGTGATACATCATGCACATCATCTCGGAGAATTAAAAGTGTGGCGTACCCGTAGAGCATTTGTGCGGATATGAAACAGCATTGCGTTGACTACTTCGAACGAGTAGATATCTCATCGGCTGTAACGGTCTTATCGGAGAGATCCTGTCTGCCCTCAAACAAGATTCATGTTGACCTGTCAGCAACTTGGATCAGATCTGAGACAGTGGGGTTCTTTTCGAGATTCAGAGACTACAAGGAGCCTTGTAATGGACATCACGGAATGTTTCGACGGCGAGAAGTCTCCAAAACTCGCTGCAATGCATGCAAGTGGAGCTCATCATCTCGTCTCACATCCCAGACTGCAATTTCTGGAACTTTTCGCCCTTGTTCCCCGGCCTCGTCATCAAACAGATAGCAATTCCACCACGGCTTTCCACGGTGCTTAACAATACGGCTCCGAGTCACGGATTCCGGAGTCATGATTTTCATATGGGTGGTACAATGGCTCAATGGTGCTCAATGAAAGGAATTACACCAAAAGTCTCATGTTCTGGTAGTTGTTTAGGTACCTGGAGTATTTGGGTTCTGTTACAGCGTAGCCGAAAAGCGGCCACGGACACGTTTCAATAATCTGTTCGCCAACCGCGCGAGGGACGAGGATGAATTACTGGCTTGCTTATGTGGGAAGAGCGTGGACAAGGAGCTGTGGTTGTTCACAACTTGAAGGGTGCTCAGGTTAGGCTGTGGTCCAGGCTTCCTAGCCCCGGGAAGATCGTCTCCGTGACAAGGTTTATTTATCGAAAGTCGAGAGCCACTGACAGGCAATGATAGTGGCTCGATGGGCCAAAACTTATGAGTACAGAACCTTGCGACGATCCTGGCAAAGCCCGCATTGGAACACCTTGGATGCTTCGATTGCATACCGAGTAATTCCGGAAGATAGCTAGCTCAGCCTAGCCCCCTTGTCTAAAGCCCGCTAATATTGAAGGAGGTTAGCAAACACGAGAAGCAGGTTTCTTTCGGTATTCCACTGGTCTTATCTTGCACCCACTGAAAGATATGGAAGTACAGAGTACAGCTAAGACCTTCTGATGGGTCTAGACTTACTGCAATGTAAAGAATGGAGATGTTGACCATAGTTGCTTGTCCAACGGCTTTTCATTGTTCAATCTCGAAAGGTGGATTTCTCACTCTCGCTTCAAGGACGGCCCCTGTAGAGTCGCCAGGATTACGGAATAACTCCATGGAGTATTCAGAAGTGGGCATGGAAGAACGCGCGCGAGTACCAGGGTTAAAGCCCATAGCATACTCCATATCCATAGATCCACATATAAGAGTTTGATAGTGGAGACCGGTGTCTCTTGTTGAGATGCTTCAACCGCTGATGGGCGCTAGTACGTAGCCTACTCCGTACAGAAGCATGCATAAACTGCTAGCCGCAACACGCTCCTTGATCAGTGTTAAGATGTTACGATAGTAGAACTCAGAGGGGCTGTGAGTTTCTCTCATAACAATGGTAGTTCAACAGCCAAAGAATGATAGAATCATGCTTGCGGCTCGCTGTGAGGTAGACGCTGATGATGGATGCCAATCACACAGAAAGACGGTACATTTCAGGCACTGATCGAAGCGATGTGGTCGAAGTACGAGGTGTTTTCCATTTTGAATTGAGCCATTCGAGTGGGTAGTTACAATCGATGCAACCTCCGACAGTGGGAACCATTCCATTATCGCATGGCGCCTTCTTGTTGGGAGTAATTCCATCATTGGCCCTCTTTACCATTCCTATTTCTGCTTCCGACCCTTGCTCAATTCTCGCAGATCCCCCAGGTTTTGTTTGCAACAGCACTTGGACGTGGACAAACTTCTCACATGACCTCCTACGAGCTCCGCCTCGGGAGGCCTTTCCAAGAGTTGAATCCATGGTTGAGAGGTGTTTCTCTCTCGCTTCTTTGACACGGATGATTTCGAGCGGGTGTGCGTGCGATGCGCTGCTGGTGCCTTGCTGTCTATGGCCATATCGCATTACAGCATCATGACTTCTCGGCAACCATGCATCAGTTAGTAGTTGGCTGCTCACGAGTCATAAGGATCCAATACTTTGATACCCGGCCTCTTGGCTGGTCTCTCAGTAGACGACGGTGCCTGCGTCTCTAGTCTACTATCAGCATTGTCCTCGGTCGCATATTGCTCTTTCGCCGAACTTGACTTTGTCTTGATGTTGACGCCGCTCCAAATAGGACTATCGTTCGAGCTCCAGTCCTGAAGCATCCTGTGTCGAAAAGCACGCAGCACTCAACCAGTTATCCAAGAGATCCAGAGAAATGCCTGACCTAGCTCCTACTGAGCCTCCATTGCAAGAACTATCTTCGACCAACCGTGGGCCATGGCTCATGGTCTGCGCTTATGTCTTCCTTACCCTGAGTTTGATGTCGCTCTTTATCAAATTGTTCACCCGCTACAAAATCACCAGTCATCTCACGGGGAATGATATATGTATCATCGTTTCAATGGTGGGTCAATCTAGCACAGTTTCAACAGCCTCTCTGACATGCCACCAGCTTTTCGCGGTGTTCCAAACGATCGCTATAACATTTGCTATTCATTCTGGCCTTGGCCGGCGGCAGGAACTCGTTTCGACGCCTGAGTTCGACTCATTCGAAAAGGTGCCTCTACGATGCATTGCTGTTTCTTCTTTCGAAATCACTCATAGTTGATAGGCCTACTACACAGGTAGTATCATGATGATCCCAGCCTTAGCCGCAGCAAAAGCCTCTGTTGCGCAACTAGTGATATCTATCACTCTCACAAGGCTACTAAAGCAGCTCTGCTATGCATTCCTTGGGCTCACGGCCGCGTGGGCTATTGCTAGCATGTTCGCGTTGGCGTTCCAGTGCAGCCTCCCACAACCTTGGGATATTGAAGGGAAGAGATGTGTTGATCAATATGGTCTCAACATAGGTGTTCATTCTTTGAACATTATAACCGACCTTATCATTATTTTCATCCCTTTCGCGATGTTGCAGGGGTGGCAAGTGTCACAGAAAAGGCGTTGGGTAGTAAGGGGAATATTCGCATCGCGGTTCAGGTATACTGATGCATCCTACCCCTCGACTAGCATTCCAATGGCGTACTTACAATATCCACAGCGTCTCAACTTTTACTATAATCATGCTCTACCACATGCGAAATGCCTACAAAACAGACGACCATGACTTCACTTGGGATATACTCATGCCGCAAGTATGGGCACAAATCATGCTCCACACATCCATAATTACCGCCTGCATACCCTCCTTCAACCGGTTCTTGTCCGGAATCAAGCCAGGGTTGCTCGCAGTTCAGATCCCAGAGCACGAGCTCGCATCATCCTCTGTGCGACGGTCACAGAATGAGTCGAAATCTGAAGCTGCTCTGGATAGCCCTCTCGTCAGTCCGCGCTTATTCGCCAGCAGATCAAGCTCGACAAAGAATAGGCTCAGCAATGCCGCCATGATTGTCAGCAGCGGCATCAGCACCAGCAACTCAAACCTGTGGTCCGAGAAACAGAAGCAAGCAATTGCGAACATAGAACGCGGATATAATCGTCCACACGCAGGCAAGACCGAAAGCAGGATCGAGCATCACCGCAGCGAGAGTATCCAGGCCCTGGTCCGGGATCTAGACGACCATGTCATACTGCATTCGATCGACTATAAAGTTGAATACGAAGAGCAGAGAGACGAGCTCGATTTCGAGTCCCTGGGTCGTTTGGGATCTAGTCGCAGTCATGTATGACCATGGCAGAGGAGAAGGAGAGTCCCGTTGGCATGGTAGAACCATTTCGTTTTTGGTGTTGCTCTACGTCACTGATCTGGACTTTGGCTTTGCATCGATACCCCCGGCGAGTCCTGTGTTTTATATTTTGGAATCTTTATTTGCGTGTCGCAGAGATATGACGATTGTCAATGAAGGAATGGTTTCCCAGTACGCCACAACACTATGACACCAGCTAGGTAGTTTTAGCACGTCATCTATTCGTTTTCCCTTTTCTTCCAGTCGATCGTACATGCCATTTCCAAGCAAGGGTCTGATCCAGCTATCGATGACACATGAACATGGACTAAGTAATATTGGTCTTTTCCCACAAGGCCAGCTATCGAATTTACCTATCGTTCTAAATGAAAGATTCACGGGAATGTCTTCTTTGCACAATCGCGGATACCATGAATGCTCACCCATACCGCTATTCCAGCCGTTGAAATTGTAGTTCTGGCTCTAAGGGTGCGGGCCGCCTTGCCTCTGCCGTCCGGTTCTGGGTGCCTGTGATGCTGGACAATTCACATTACCGGGACTTGAGCTCGAATCTCGACCACGCGACTATCCATGACCTTTGCAATCGCTATCGCCGGGGCCGTGGTCGATGGAGAAGCAAACAAAGCCCGAGATGCTTGACTGGTATTCAGTGGCGTACTGACGCTCACCGGCGGGACTTGATTTCTCGGATTGAATAAGGGCGCCCAAGGAAGAGAGATGCTGTTTGGATTCCTGCAGCTGCAGTTGTTTACAAGGCTGAAGCTGTCCTTGACTGTTTTGGAGATCTGGATGTGTGCTGTCCTTTGTCCTTCTTGTGTTTTCAGCTTGGCACATTCTGATATGCGAGGGCTGGGGCCCGGGCTGGCTGAGATTTTGGGTGCTGGGGAACGACGGTATGGGTGTGGCTATGGGTGGACGGCAGGGCCGGCGCAGACCGGGATGTTCCCTCGTTTGCCCTGGAGGACGCTTCGTGCCTTGGGACTGGGATGGTTGCCACTACTGCTGGCGACGCTGGGGGAGGAGCAGGTCATGATGTTGCAGGAGGAGGCGAGTAGAACATTCTGATCATGTCGTCGTCGTCGTTACCGCTAGCCGATTCCGAGTTCGACCATCCCTTGCTCTCAGGCAATTCCTCCAGCTTTCCCGCGTTCCCCTGGGATTTGGTGCTGGTCTTACCCTTCTACACTTGACTTCTTTCTTTCCCATCGTACAAGCTTTCTGACCTGTCTTTGACGCCTTTTTCTGCACCCTTGAACTTTGACTTGCAGCTGACGCTTGCATTTTGCCAGCAAGCATGACTCCATTCATGATCTCATTGTACTTCTTGTGAGAATATTTGCAAGAGCCACTCGAACAACGGCCACTTTAGAGGAAGAGAAACAGAAATCAATATTCATGCCACCCACCGTCTGTCCTTGCTTTCGGCGATGGTGTCTGCAATCGCGGCCCGCTTGTATGGCATGGGCGCTCTCCCCAGTTGTCGCAACACCTCGGTCATTAAGAGGTAAACCTTCCTTGATCGCCACTGTGTCCTCGTTCCATTATTTGACCTGCCTTTTTCCATTTCGTGCAAGCGACCAGGCAGCATAAAAGCGCAAAGTTTATGTGTTGGACGCCCGAAAGGGAGAGTAGATAAGTATAATTGGTAGTAAAAGCTTGGAGAACAGAAATGGTGACCGGACACCATCCATCCAGCCGCTTTAAAATGTATCTCTTCAACCAGAACCGGGGACCGTCGGATCTTGTTTGCGTGCGGGCCACGTTGGCGGGCAATCCGACCATCTCGTGCAGAAGGTGAGGTATGCTTCCGTCCCATGTAGTCGTATTTAGTACTTCTAGGTAAGTACGTAGTGTCACTGCCTATGACCACGATTCGTCTTCAAGTACTCCTTGTTAAGCATTGCTCCATAGTCCTTGGATGAACTTGTGTCATATCATGCCACTCAATGAGCCTTGTCAGGCAGGCGAATGCAAAGGTAAATGAACAATCAATCTACAGGCGTGTTCTCCGAAGACGATGTCACATTTTAGTGGTCCATATTCGGGCTGGCCTTAGAAGCCCTGATCAATACAAAAGAAAGGGTTCAAATGGTGCTGAAAACAATTCATACAGCCAGAATGTCCGAGGTCTGGGAGCCACTGGCACCATGAATAAAATCGCGTCACGCGTCGGCGCGTCCATCTTCCGCTTATCACTTTCCATAGATTCATGCCAAGCCGTACCAAGCTTCGTTCTCACAAACAGGTGGGCAGTATATAGCTTCCTTTTTCTCTTGAGATTTTTTCTCTGTCTGCTGTGAACACCTGGCTACATCGAGGCTGGTGGAGGGGCACGTGGGAGCAAGCTCGTTCCGTTGTGGAAGAGTTGACAGGCAGAGCCCCACAACGCCGAGCCTTTGGCGCCTCAGCCGTGCATAGGCCAGATATTCCCGCCAGAAGCATGTCGATATCATCTTCCAAAAGGCTACGTTCATAAGCCTGCAAAAGTGAAAAGTATTCCTGAAGCAGCCCAAGTCAAAAACCGAGAGAGAAGTCGGAGAGTGGAAACGAGACATTGCCATGAAGCCTTCATCATACTTGGCCGTGGCGGCAGCCAGTTTTTTCCCGGGAGCATTGGCAGAGGAAGCAGCGAGTCAGGCTCAATCCCCCATTGCAGAGCTTCTACCTGGTGCTCAAGCCTTGACATTGGATACTTGGATGACACAGCTGGGATTACTCAAGCCACCCCTGCAAAACAAAATTCACTGGGTCTACCTTTCTGGGCGGGCAACCTGCAACGGAACGGAGAATGTGTGCGAGAGCTTCGACGATGCAATGGCTAAGGGGTACCATGTGCTGAAAGCCCAAGGACATGGAGAAAAACAACGGCAGCAACAAAACCTTCTCACACCGTCACCTGAATTCTCCTATATCAACTGCGACGAGGAGCCGATCCTATGCCACTCGTGGCTGCTGAAGCCACCGGCAATCATGCACATCACGGCCGACCCTCAAGCCGAGATCCCAGTCCTTCTGCGACCAATGCGGATAGCTCCTACGAACAAGACGGACGACGACCTGTACGCTCGCATGACGCCGACGGAGGCACGGAAGCGGCTGACCCCCATCATCAACGGGGAGCGGCCTGTGACGGACTTCCACGTCTGGGTGAGTGCTTTTGTGGACGGACTTCGAAGGCTGACAGGAAGCTGACATGACAACAGGATGGGTTGATGAATCCCTTTACAGGCCACCTTGGGAAACTCGGGCTCAATGTGCCCTGGGGCTGGTGGACGCATCACTATGGCTGGCTGCCGATCTCATGGCATGCGATCTGCATGATGCTATTGGTATTCTGCCGATACATGGTCTGGCAACTGACGCCAAAGCAGACTCAGAGTGCGGCTGAGATGGTGATGAATCCCGGGGCTACATTGGGATTCAATGATGATGATCTTCCTGCTGAGGGTGGCGAAGGAGAGGCTGGGGTTGAGGGAGGAGGAAGTGAACAGCAGAAGGAAGATAAGAAGGATCAATAGCCTTTCCCTTGTAGGTGTTAAGAAGGTGGTTTGTGCTGTTGTGGAACCAAGTCATCTGTACCTAGGTATGTATTTCGTCATTAAACCCATGTGGTCGGGCAAGTGCACCATGTGTGGCTCGTGCTCATCCACTTGAACAGAGGGGATACTTGGTGCTCATCGGTGAGCTTACTCGTGCACGCGAACCAGCAACGACGCTACGAGACATGGCCAAAGACGGAACAGAGTAAGTTCAAGCAAGAGTACACTGAGTATTGAGTAAACGATTTTTTGGTAAAAAGAGATTCAATGTACAGTTCAACCTCGCGACGACTCTTCTTCTTCTCCTGCCGTCCTCAAAAATTCTAGGTACTCTTTTCCCGTCAGGCTACACAACATAGAAAATAAACTTGAGGCCACCCATTGCCGTGTGTTGCGTCACTGATCTCTATCTTGACTCGTTCCCGTCTATCACTTTTCAAGTTCTGCCAAGATCTTCTCACCCTTCGCTCGGGCGCTCTCGAAGTCGCCAACCATGTAGAAGGCACCTTCTGGGAGGTCGTCGCCTTCACCGTTGATAATCTTCTGGAACGAACTGATGGTGTCCTTGAGATCCACAAGCTTACCCTCAATACCAGTGAAGACCTGAGCAACAGTGAAAGGCTGGCTCAAGAATCTCTGCAGTTTTCGGGCACGCTCGACAGTCAGTTTATCGGCTTCAGACAATTCATCCATACCCAAAATGGCAATGATATCCTGAAGAGACTTGTACTCTTGCAACATCTGTTGTACTCGGGATGCAGTGTCGTAGTGCTCTTGTCCAACAACTCGGGGATCCAACATGCGGGACTTGGAGTCAAGAGGGTCGACAGCAGGGTAGATACCCAATTCTGAAATACCACGAGACAACACAGTTGTAGCGTCCAAATGGGCGAATGTGGTGGCGGGGGCAGGATCAGTCAAATCGTCAGCGGGCACGTAGACGGCCTGCACGGATGTAATAGATCCCTTTTGGGTAGTTGTGATGCGTTCCTGCATGAGACCCATGTCGACGGCAAGAGTGGGTTGGTAACCGACGGCAGAAGGAATACGACCGAGCAAGGCAGATACTTCGGAACCGGCTTGAGTGAAACGGAAAATGTTGTCAATGAAGAGCAACACTAGCACAGTGTTAGCAAAACCGACTTGTAGGATCCGGGAGTCTGGAGCGTACCATCCTGTCCTTCTTCGTCACGGAAATATTCAGCAACAGTCAGACCGGTCAAAGCGACACGGGCACGGGCTCCAGGGGGCTCGTTCATCTGACCGAACACCAAGGCGACCTTGGACTCGCCATCAAGCTGAATGACTGAGGTTTCCTGCATTTCGTGGTACAGATCGTTACCCTCACGGGTTCGCTCGCCCACACCAGTGAAGACGGAGTAACCACCATGGGCTTTGGCAATGTTATTCTAGACTATGTCAGCACTGAAACTTCGTCCATGTTGAGAAATCTCACAATCAGCTCCTGAATAAACACAGTCTTGCCGACACCGGCACCACCGAATAGACCAATCTTCCCACCACGAGCATAAGGCGCTAGGAGATCGACGACTTTGATACCAGTCACAAGTACTTCGGCGCTGGTAGCTTGTTCGACGAATTCGGGAGCATCGGCGTGGATAGGAGCCAACTTAGTGCCCTTGATGGGACCTCTCTCGTCAATAGGGTCACCAGTGACGTTCATGATACGGCCCAAGGTGGCAGGTCCGACAGGAATACGGATAGGTGCACCAGTATCGGTGGCTTTACGACCTCGAACAAGACCCTCGGTACCTAAATTTCAATTAGTATCTCGCAATCAGAAAATTTTGTAGAGCTATTCTTACCGTCCATGGCAATAGTACGCACAACATTTTCACCCAAATGTTGCTGTTGCAGTCAGTATTGACAATGCTTAAGCAGTTCTAGCTCAGGTTCGTACCGCAACTTCCAAGACCAGCTTTTGTCCATTGTTCTCGGTCTCGAGGGCGTTTAGAATGGCAGGTAATTGATCACCATCAAATTTGACTACGAGACTCATCAGCGCCAGATTCTGGACCGATTTGTGGGAGGTAGATATGATGTGGAGCTTTAGGAGAGCTCCAACCGCGAGCTAGGGAGAATTTTCGTACCGTCAACAACGGCACCAATGACCTGATGGATCTTCCCATCTCTGGACGAGTCGGTCGATGCCCATCTCTGAGCTGCTGCAGGGGCAGCTTGTCTTCGTAGGGGCTCGAAAGCGCGTCGAGTGATAGAAGGCCGAGCGAAGGCAGACCTGCCCAAGCTACGGGCGACGCCGCTGGTGAATTGGGTCAGCATGAGCTTTTGAGCGTGCTTGAAGCTCAGTCAGATGTGCTACTGGAGCTTACTCACCTCTTGAGCATGTTTGCAGATGACAAGAACGTGGAAAGTAGTGGTGGAGAGAAGAGTGGTTGTCGTTTGGAGCAAGAAGAAGAGAATGATGAGGATCCGAATTGAAAGCTGTTGCTTCCGAGCTAGCAGCTTTTGGGATTTTGCTCCCGATCAGTCAGTCACGTGAACCATGTGAGTGCACCACTCACACGTGACGTTCCCAATAAATGCTTTAGGACAGTGAACACTCCCCAGGCATCAGATAATGTTTAGGTGGCTACTTTGAGCGCTCGACTCCCAGTACTATCTGTACCTTGTTATGATCTCTCAATTTCATCTGGTGGGGAGTTCTCAACTTAAATCATTTTGTCTGACAAGGCATATAGGCGATTCCTTAACGATGCCAAGATGTAAGGAGGTGAGACTAAGGATTTTCCGTGCTCGGTCAGACGAGCTAATTATCTGGATGCGAAGCTGTTAGCCAGCCACGGTTTATAGGACGAGCTCCCTCCCAATCTTGTGAGCAATCTATGAAGACTGTACCCTGAATATGAGCCTATTTCACGTATTCATCCAGGTATGCGACTCCTAGCCCAGCGAAACGAGCATAGCTATACGTTTCAGTGCGAAAGTCTAAGTCGGGGATGGTAGGGGATATATCGGTTTGGATGAGCAACCAGCTATTACAACTGGTCGTCTAGCTGTGTTCGAGCCTACAAGAAGTAACGATAGAAATATAGCTTGGTAAGATTGCTTTTTAGGGCTATCTGTGTGATTCTATGTACATCTTCACGGACGCGGTATTGCGTATCAAAAAAGAAAACTGGATGGGAAAGTGATTTTGCATTCGCGAAATTGAGACCCTCCTTTCTGGCAATAATAGTGACAGTACAGCAAAAGCGGTTTGCTTGAGCGACAGGGTTGGGCTGTACAGCGTGTGGAGTGCTTATTCTTCCGCTTCTAGGCTGATACCTTGGGACTTAGCCGACTTGCTCTGAACATGACCCGGGCCGCTATAACCTTCACTGCTAATACCGTAGAGAGGATTGCTCTTCTCGGACTGTGACAGAGATGTTAGTACATTGGACCACAACGAATCGTCAATCATTCTTGACTCCAGATAATTCGTACCTTGAGATATTCATTAGTCGCCTCTTGCCATTCCTTGGTCATTGACCTTGGCGGTGGTCTGGCAAAAGAGTGAATGGCGTAGAATAGAGCAACCGAAATGCCAACGCCAGCCATCGTATATAAGAAAACCTTGGTCCATTCACCCGGGGGTGCTTCCGCGCGAGGTCCATGAGGACCAAAAGCAATCCACCAAGCTGTAAATCAGTCAGTTAGCGAAATATCTATCCAGCATGGTGCCATTTCTCCCATCTACATCGATCCGAGTTTCCGTGAGGTAGTTTGAGCCCAACAGGACGCGCTTTGCGTGGGAATATTTCGTACCTGCTTTCTTCTCTTGCAAAGTCATTTCATGCCAATCCACCTTCATGCGGTCCCTCAATGCCATCCAAAGATCAGCTTGCTCCTGGGGAGGCATAGCTTCCCATCTTTTTTCTATGCCGGCTAAGGTCGGGTTGGAGATGGCGTGAGCGGAGCGGGATTGAGATTGGCTAGTGATGGGAGCTTGATGAACTGCGGTGAAAGTTGGGGCGAGCGAGCGCGCAGAGGATTGAAAGCTTCGAATAGTCGAGGAAGTAGCTCGTGTGCAAATCTTCGAGGTGGTCGACGAGGCACGAGCAGCACGGGGTAAGGAGTGGAGAAGCATGGTGCTGGAAGAGTTGGAAATGTGCTCAGCACATACGAGAGTCAACCAGAGAGAATACCAGCGAAGCCTGAAGCTCCGAGGCCAGTATTGCAGGATATTGACTGGGATTTGAGCTCGAGTGGACGAAGGGAAGTGGTGAATGAGGGTAGAATAGAAGTCGATTGACAACTTGAGAGACCAGAGCTAGCTCCAAGTGCCAAGACCGCAAAATTACCTGCAACCTCACACCACCGAACATCATCACTGTCACCGTCACCATTTCTGCCCGCGGCCAGTGCTCAGCCCAAATAGTTCGCTTGCTATTGGCGAGTTCACAGGCCTCACCTTCATGGCGATAACAATTACAAAAGATCGCAAGAACTCGTTCATTGACTTGATATACTCCGAGCCTGCTGGCTTGACCAGGCTGGGTATTGTATCGTAAAATTTCTTTGCCTACTACGCGTAATATCAATTCTGATCTTACTCACCTGGGTACGAGATATTCTAAGACCAGCCCCTATATCATAGGAGCAATCGCCGACAAGACGTATTATCACAGAACTCTTGCAAGCAACGGTAAGCATGGCCTCTCACAAAATTCTACCTAGGTACGGCCGATGGCTTTGAGTCAGGGAGGAATACAGACGGGTACAACTCGTCGAAGGCACATGTACCATATTCTTCATTGGACAGAAAAATATGCTTGATTTTGCAGAGACCATTTGTCTCGCGTCGTTCAATTCTTCATTTCAAGGTCTATCATTGTCGTTGTCGTCGCAGTTTCAGTTACCGGTCTTGCTCCAATAGCGCATGATTCATACCCCAGATTCCGCTTGTAGGAAAGTTTTCAAAGTTGCTTGGCTGCCACTGCGATCATGCATGCTTGGTTACCGTACTATTTGACCATGGGCGGGTTCCTCGTCTGCTAATCTTGGAGAACAAGTTTAGATGGTGCCCTTGCCTTTGCTTGCTTCCTTGAGCAAGTCGGCCCATTCCAACTCGCCGGGGTCATTGGCTTGCCAGTTCATGGCGATTCCGTTGAGGGCGTTCTTCAGGGTCTCGCGAGAGCTGGCGTACACCATGCGGGACTGAGCGCGTCAGTCATGGCGGCCTCAAGCAAGAACATATCACTTACCTTGACGCCAGTTGCATCTTGATTGATGTATGTGATGAACGCAATCTTGGACCTGGTAAAGTGTCAGTTCCACGCTTTGGAAGTCTGACATCGGATTATGCTGGGTGGGCGCACCTCTTGCCCTCACCACCTTCGAGCTCAAACTCGACGTCGTAGACAGCGTAAGATGGTCTGTCTTTGCCAGTCTTCTCTTTCTTAGCAATGAGCTTCTCTCTGAAAGTGTCGTAGTCTTGTTCTGTGCCAGTCTCATCTACCACGATTTCCTTCTGGTCATCGGAGATCTTGTAGATGATGTACTTCGGACCACCACGGCCGAGCTTGAGTTCATTGAAAGCAGACACGCAATCCGGATTTACGGAAAGTCTAGAGGTCGATGGAGAGTTAGCCAGGTTCGGGGGTGAAGGTGTCGATCGCATGATCCCATTGCTGCGTCGAAACGTACCCGGAGACAGGCTAGACAAAGGTCAGTTCACACTGGAAGCCACTAGAGATCGGTTACGTACCATAGCTGAAGATCTCTACGCTGAGACGTAGTGCGACTTGAGGTAGAGCTGTGGTTCTGGTCAATTCGATCCTGGGTCAAGGACAGCGCTTAATGAAATGTGGGATTGAGGGAGAAGGCCGGGAGATGTAAATATGATGATGGGAAACTTCAGGCATCTCCGTATTGGAGGCGAGAAGGCTTCGGATTACGTACCTTTGCTGTAGAGTATGATGCAGCGAGAGGCGATGGCAGAGAGGGAACGTATTTGAAGGTTATGAAGGCAGCTGGATAGCAGGTGCAAAGATGGTGGGAGGATGGATTGACTGATTGATTGCGCACTCAGAATGGTGGGGTCCAGATGTCAGAGCCTAGCAGCCTAACAGCCTAGCATTTCACTGCCACAGTGGCACGGTCACCGTACCGCACCGCAGTCACTCACCGCAGCCTGAAATTCAGTTTGGGGCTCGCTGGTACTTCAACCGCCTGCCGAGGGGGCGCTCGGGGTCCTATTCGCTGCCTAATATTCCTGTTGGCGGGGTGACGACAGCCTGGCAGTAGTCCCAATGCTTACCAGAATTAGGTAGACCTCCCCCACCAGCACCGGAGTTAAGTAGTGCCATTCCGCCCCTCTTTGCCTTACTCCATCTCCTTACGAGTGTGGTTTCTGACAAACACGGTCAACATCAAAGTCACCGCTTCCAGGACAACTTTATCTCGTACTAATTGTAAAGATACACTGGCTGTCTCGATTCCATCACTGTCGGGTATTTCTCCTCCTCTGTCCTAGCCTGAGCTCTAGCGGGTCCAGACTGAAGCTGAAAGGTAGGTGTTCAAGCGTCAAGCTCTTCTTAGAAGGCGGAACCTCGTTGTGTCCAGCATTCTCAAGGACCTTCTGCAACACATAGAAGTAATCCTTGGGGATGCCTGGGCTGGTCTCCTGCTACCACAGTATGATATGAAATCTGCATGGGTCCAGGTCCACCAGCATTATTTGCTCAGATGCCAGTTTCAAATCGATCATCCAGCAGGGGCCAGGGGTATTGCAGCAGTGACTTAGTTTCTCGTCATGCTGGATGCTCCAGTTGTCCGCAGATGTCGTGCTCAGCAACTATACCCGACCAATGTTAGATATCTGCCACGTCAAGATGCGTAAAACGCATTGCTTGTAAGTACTGGAGATGAACCCTATTTTAATCGCGACTTCAGCAGAAGCATCGTGACAGACTTTGCTTTTCCACATCAAGAAACTAGTGACATCAAAATGCCACCGCTTGGGGCTGCCTTTGGCTCATCAACGGAGGCAGATTTGCCATCAGTGAAAGACTTGATCGATGTACACAACGAAAACAAGCAGCTTCGCAGTGGACTTGGGCAAACGACTTCAAGCCTGAAGCTTCTCATTGATTACATCGCGCTCAGTAACCCAGACTTCAACAATCTTGGTGAAGACCTGAAATACATCATTGGGAAGGAGCAGGATCTCAAGTTAACCACCGTCGAGCAAAATCTTCACATCTGAGATTGGGAATCTGAGGATATGTGACTGACCGATTTCAGATCGCAACTCAAAGCGAGAAAGAAGAAGCTCCGACAGCGAAGACGGGTGCTTTGCCAGAAGTATAAATACCTGGATTTGGTGCACAGTAACGTTGAGCCGCGGCTCTTGTGGCGGTGTGCGGCGACAACAGCAGTATCGACAGACGCAAGGTCAATCGGCCAATTCCAGACGAAATAGCGAGCAATATAGACGACGCTCGTCCAGCCCTGCTTCGAGCGATGAAGGCCAATCAATCCCGGGTCAAGATCCGGCAAATTCAATGGCAACTGTCCATGGTGATGATGACAATATTCTGCCGCCAGTAGTCATCCACCAAACCCTGGATGAGAGCATTCGCATCAATGTGGACGGGAAACTGTTGCATCAAAAGGAGTTTGCACAATACTACCAAGCGAGCGGCCTGGCTAGATCTAGTCGCCAAACATTCATGATGAACAACATCAAGATCAACGAGATGCGAATGAGGAATATTTAGAATAAGTCTGTCCAGATCTTCATCGGTGCCTTGAAGCCTGATTTTGGCAATTCACTCCATATCCATACCATCACCCTACGTCCTTTCTTTTTGTCAAGACGCAGGACCGAGATTCTCGTTCGTTCCTATCAACTCCCCGCATCTAACAAGCATTGGGGTTGCTTGCATCACCCTTCAAATCTTCCTTATATTGTTACAAATCGCCATCATGTCGACCCCATGGAACGAGTCCACCGAAAAGGCGTTGCTCAGTGGTATGCTCGAATGTCCCGACGAGAGTTACAAAGCGAAGTTCGAAGCAGTCGACGCTCGTCTAGGAGATGGCTTCAACTCGAACCAAGTCCGGTAAGATAATCTCAACTGTTGCCCAGTATTACAGCCTTCACATAGTCTCCTCTCTCTCGCCTCACATCACTATCGACAGTGGCACTTATTTCATCCTATCCTGGCCCTTGCGTCGTTGTCGGCCTTCGCGTTCAAGACTGTGGACAACAGCGCATAAAACCTTGTCACTCCGCGACAACAATACTGCTTCCCTCCCTTTCCTTTCCTTCATTGCCCACATACCAACGACCTCATCTTCAGAGGGTGTTTCTACACAAGCACTCTATACATAAGCCCATCCGTACTCCCACCCCTTACATTCATTTCGTCTTATTGTCTCATTATTCCCACCATGAGCCCTTGGAATGAAAACACGGAGCGAAAGCTCCTTCTATGCCTGATTGACCCTGAGAAGAAACCAGACTGGACGGTTGTTTCTGGTAACATGGGCGAGGGCTTCACGAGTGAAGCATGTCGGTTAGTGCTGCGCGCCCCTCCAGCAACACCAACACATTTGTTGTCAAACTTTTTCCCACATCTTTCCTCTTCACTTGCCTTTCACTCCTCCTCTCTACTTTCCCAGCTCAACACCGCCACATCATAGCTCCCCACTCATCTTCACCAACCACTTCCACGATCCCCCATACTTCAAAGCTCATTTCAAATTCTCTACAACTACCATTTGATCTACATTATGCCTTTCAAATGGGACCCTGTCGCGGAGCGAAACCTCCTGCTCTACGCTCTTTCTGAGATGCAAGGTCCTACCGCCAGCATCTGGCCTAGTGTTGCAGATAAACTAGGTGGAGGTCTTAATGCCAATGCCTGCAGGTATCATACCTCGCTCCGCCTCCATTTGATAGCTGATTCCGAGGATCATTTGAAGTCCGTTCCAGTATAAGCACTTACTGACCTTTTTATGAAGTCAGAAGTTCTACAAGTTAAAGAAGGAGTCGGAGAGTCTTCTCAGCGGCGATGGCACAACTACTCCATCCAAGGCTTCCACTGCAACACCCCGCGGCAAGACCACTAAAGCAAAAGCTACTGGCTCTGACGCTACTCCCACTAAGACTCCGGCCAGCGGTAAGCGCAAGCAAAAAGCTAGTGCAACAGACAACAACGCTGCTACGGCCCCTTCAAAGAAAATCAAACAGGAAGTCCACGATGAGTCTGAGGCTGAAGCTGAAGCTGCTGGAACCGAGGAATCAGCAACTCATGTGAAGGAAGAAACCAATGATGCTTAGGTACTTTCCCACTCACGTCCACCCATCAAGACTTACTAGCATGCCTTAGATCCATCTAACCATCTGAAAGTCATCACTGTCCACCGCATTGAGAACTGGCAGGAGAATTGGCAGACTAGCGGAATCAAGCGTGGAACCTTGGACTTAGACTTGGACATGAGTTAGGCGTAGGGTAACTCGATACTCGGGTTGATTCCCATGGCCCAGGCATAGGAAAAGTCGGCCACATGTAACACACATGCTACCCATCAGAACACAACATTCGCATGAGCTTTGGAGCTGGAAATGGGAAACAATGTGTCAATCAATAGCGCTCAACTTCCACACCGAATTAACACTTGTTTTTCGCAAACATTCCGTTCTGATTTACAAGACGTGCTTTGCTTCGAATTTTCCGCGCCGCTTGGGCACCCAATCTCTGTTACGCCATTCCTCCATTCACTCTCAACTCTCTTCCCCGTGGTGCAAATTATCGGACTGAGTTTCCCACTAGGTCGCGTTTATAACTTCTAGTTGCTCCCACATCCATCCTCTGTGCTTGAGTCTCCAACTGACCTCCAAGTGATCTTCCTCCAGAGATCAATTGACAATACATCCACGGAAGGGTGGAAAACCAGCATTCTCCTGAGCCATGCTTGTTCAAGCAGAAGAGGATCAACAACATGGTCCAGCCCAGACAATGCCCAGTCTCGCAAGGTGCAAGTCTCGCCGCACTGGCACGAACGCCAACGTCACCGACACCGAACATCACTCCGCGTCTTTGTACTCTACCAACATAAGTGAGTCACAGGGCTTCGCACAATCTCAGTGTTCTAAAGATAACATATAACCGCAAGCGCCCAACTTTCACCCAATAATTACTACGTGACATTGTCTAGGGATGGCCTAGTGCGTTAAGTCAACACACAGTTGAGCTCCATTGACAATGGGATACAATGATGACAAAGTCCTCTGTATGAAGTCTTGTACAATACTCCAGTGGGATGTCATATAGACTTCTGATTCATACGCCCTCTAAGATCTGAGAATCCTGCTCCTTCTTTTTGGAAACCTAGGGACACAGATGGGACATGGAATCTGGTGGCGGGTCGGTCCCTGGTGATCGTGACAGCGAGACTTTTCGGTTGTTTATTTTCCTTTTTGGCGACCCAACGATCTCTGTGATATTGAATTGCTCTATATGTGGTATCATGTATTTCTCTTTCCCACGAACTCTTTCCACGACACATTTTGGGCTCAATATTTGAGATCAACAGGGATACAGTGATGACTGATTTAGTCGGCATTCTAATGAAGATCACATAACATAGTCTATATTTTGTGAACATGATTTCGACTTGGTAAACCTAGGTGTCACTCCTTCTTTTTGATCTCCACCATCGCCTCACCAAGTCGTTTCCTGAAGATTGAAAATTGCTTTAGGGTTCAGAGGATATCTCACCTGGTTTGCGTAGGATGGTATGTGCCTGCCGAGGCTCCCACTTCTCAAACATGTAGCTGGCCATAGAACGTTTCCCTTCTGTACACAATATGCCCATTGTAAAGTGCTTCTGCTAGGTCGATCTTATACCGCCGCAATGTTTACATAACGAATCAGCTTACAACAAGGGTGTGGTGTATGTCTAACGACCATCAGTGGCTTTGTGGGCCAGAACCAACAATTCTAGCACATGCATATAAGGGTTCAACATCGACTGCAGAAAGAATGTTCGTCGCGAATGGAAACAAAGCAATTCTTGTAGATATTGACAGCTGGCCCCTTTGCTTCTTGACAAAGTAGTATTTTGGCTAAGTCGGACGGCTCTTCCGCTCTCATGACACACAGCTTAGACTATCGCCAATCGGACTCCAACTTCCCAAGTGACATACATTTAGAGCCAGGAATCACTCAGCATCGTTCTGATACTCATCATCTGAACTTACACCGCCAAAATCCTTGACTGCATCGTCCATACCTGCATCCTCACATTCTGTAAACGGCTCTTGGACAAGTCTCCTAGCGTTGCGACGTGGCAGTACGCGCTTCGAAGGAGTGGGGCCGTCAGAAATTGACATCGCTTGATCCTCGGAGTCACTGTCAGGTTCAAGGCTCTGCCGTCGCTTTCGAGATTGAGGCTTTCCAGACGCAGAGCTCTTTGCCCGGGTGTTGAGGCTTGCTGGAGTTCTTGGTGGCATTTTGCTTTTGGCTTTCTCAATGGGCGTCACAACAGAGGGTTTGATGTCGTCGTCGTCATCTTCAGACTTGTTCTTGGTCTTATAGTTCGAGCAAACAATTTGTGTATCCCTCAAATAGGATTGGTCCTCAGCAGCCCGCAAAATGGCATTGTAGCGTTTGCAAATTTGGCGAGCCGATGGAGGAGCACCAGCCCCAACTAGACAATTAAGTTTTATCCCAAGGATGAGGGAGGAAGTGACTTGCCCCATCGTTTAGCGACGGCTTCTCCCTTTATGGTTGGCTTTCCAAGCGTGAGCAAGACCGTCTTCAGCAGCTAGCTTGTGTGAGACAATATTCAATAGGTCACAAAGGATCAACTCACAACCAGATTCTCGCCGTCGTTCCAAGTCCGTCTGTTTGCCATCGGAGGTAACACTGCCGTGGATTTTAACGACAGGTAGTTTCTCAGATAACGAAGGAATAGCCTATATCGAAAAGAAGGCCAGGAGTCGTGCTTTACCGCGCGGTTTGAAAGGAAACAGTAGAGTGAGAGGAAGAAGAGATCCCAGGAACTCATAGCGTCAAGTAAATTCACATGTCATGACCGCCAAGATGTTCAAAGTGAGGAAAAGCTGATTTTAGTCTACCGCTTCACTTGCGGGTAACAAGAACGCCTCGTCCCAACTGCGAGGAGACATTGCTCATGTTCTGTGCTATGGAGTAAAGATACCTTCTATCAATAAATATTATTGTAATAGTATTCCGGGATGCTAAAAGGGCCAAAAGCCGCACAGTGATATACATCCAATGTTATATCATGATCAACGCGAGCGAGTGATTACGACAAATATATGAGAGGGAGAGAACATTTCAACTTGGTACATTTGCTGTTGAGGTTGGAAAAGGGGCAAGATTTTTGCCGACTTTTACCCGACAGCCTCGTCTAGTCACTGTTCAGGAATTCGAAAAAGCAGTCTCCTGATCCATCTCATGCCAAGATTCGCTATCTAGTTACGAGGTTGCTCTATATAACACGGAGTACAGACAACCTCTTGGTCGTGCTGTGGGATACTCTGACCAAAAATCGAGTTGGGAGGTGTGATTGACTGGTGCAGGGGATTCGTTGCCCAGGCAGAACCAGGTTGGCGCTCCGCACATTTGGCCAGTGGCCATCTTTTCGAAATCATCTCTCCACCTCGCAATCGGGCCTGCATAATGGATGAGCTTTGTTTCCCACGCATCTGGTCACAATGCTACTTCATCCTTTTCAGTCTAAATGGATTCTTCTATCGCTTGCACTTCACCGCCCAAACAGTCGACCCTGCAATACATCGTGTGAAGCATGAATATTCATCACGCAGCAATGCAGCAACGCAGCAACGCTGCGGAACGATGTGAGTCTCGGAGACTTGCAGACGCCTTTCAATGGTCGGGCTCATCACGAATTGTGTCCCGGTGACGTATCATTCCAGTAATCCAACTTTGCAAGAGCCAGAACCTCTACCGTCTCTGTCAGCCATCGTCGGTTCCAGCTACTCATTCCTAGTGATACCTTTTCAAGATGCAAAGAACAGCAACAAACCTTTCCCGGCTTCCTCGATTCCTAGCACAGTTCTGAATGATTGACTAGATCAGAGGAGGACTTTGCACCAAGTCCCCCTTGTACCAGAGTCACTGAAAATGACGTCTGAAACCAATGACCAAGTCTGTGCTCAGCTAAGGGCAGCACTTTTGGTTGCACTGGGTCACAAGGTTGGATCTTGCATCATTTTGATAGCATGGGAAGAGCTAACGGATCCAAGATCACCAAGGCAATACAACACAATCTTGTTCTACCTGATCGTAGGATATGGCAGACCAGAATGCCCTGATGAGATTCAAGCCTTGCTACAACAATTCAATGAACGCGCCGTCAAGCTTGTCGGCAAGATCAACACCAATATCCTGAATATGAAACGGGAAGCAGCATCCGGAGCTTCTTTCTCAACTGTGAACTCCTTTTTGTGAATTGCTTTTGCCGTTGGTAAGCCCGCTAATGAAGTGCCAAGGCCATCGCCTCGCGCGCCAGCAATACGAATAGTGAGGACACCGACCTAGACTACATGCCTGTTCGGTCGCTCTGGTACAAAACGAAAACCAACTTTGCAACCACCATGCAGAAAGTAAGTCTCCAGGCGAGTCGTTCTAACTTCCGATGATGACGACGAGGGTGACGATAACATCTCACCTCAAACTCTGAATCCCGATATTCGATTTCGGAGGCAAAGCAACGTCTGTATCGATATCACTGCGCTTGAATGGGCTTCTTCTCCTGCTAGACTCAAGAGAAGATCGATATTGAAGTCCGTCGAAAGCTCTGCACCCTTCGAGCGAGACGTCTTTGAGATCCAATCTTCACCCGAATTCATTTCCAGTCCTGTTGGTGCCGACATATAGCCCTCGTGCGCTGAAAAGGCAAAGAACCGCAGATCAAGAACTCAAATCAGGCATTCATTATCCACGTCACCAGAAGCTCTAGGGGAGAAATCTCGAGGTAGTCGTAGATCGTCCGAGTCACAACACCACACGAATAGCAGCACCTTTCCGCCTGTGCCACTACTTAGCCTATCACAACCTGACCAAGACGCACCGCAGTCTGAAATACAGCCGATTGCCTCATCTTTTCGACATTGTGGATCAAATCAATCATCATACATTTTAGCAGAGGACATCCCTTTGATTTCATCTCCAGTCCTTGACAAGTCCTGGATCCTTCAACCCACCAGGTCCCAGGAGGCTCAGGCCTACGATGAGCATTGCAGAATCAGTCAAGTCACCAGCCATCCTGAAAGCATACCACAGCGGACAGGCTATGGCCGACAAAGTATTTCCCTCTTTGCACTGGGATGCTTCTATGAGCGGCGTAGCTCTGGGGAACTCTCCACTCGAAATTGGTCGACCCGGCATCGGGAGCGCTCTTGTACCATGGGCGCCGAGAACCAACCCTATCAAAGATCGCTATATCACCCACTAGAAAACGAATCAGGAAGCGATAACGACTTAGCTCGAAAATACTCCAAGAAAAGGCATTGCTCGAGCAGATTTATAGGGCAAGAATGTTGGAAGCCTTTCATAGGAAAAATCAAAAAAGTCCTGGATATCGTCACTCCCCTGTTGCAACCTCCAGCTCCTGTGCCCCCTGATCTGAGAAAAACCTGCTGGATGTTACAGCCGATCAAACGTTCAGTACCGAAGTGCAAAATAGTACTTCCCAGAAGACGAAGAGCAAGTACAGGATACCAGACGCGATTGGAAACGTCATCTTTCCATCGGGACACCTGTCAAACGAATCAGTCTCCCAGGAAAGACACGAATCAAACGGGAAAGGAAAAGGCTACGATTAGAAAGCATACCTATTCAACGAACTAAACCTCGAGCTCTCACCAGTTCACTTCCATCACGTCTTCATAAAAGAGGCAAGGGAATGTCCTCTCAACCGAGTCTCCGTGAGCAAGCACTGGCAGCCACGCGCAGGGGTAAACAGGTGCGCGCTCCTGCTCACTCATCAGACTTTATGATCTGGAAGGTTGTGATGGCTGATATCGTCCCTGGATGTAGTGATACTTTCATAAATGAGGATAAGATGAAAACTCCGCATCTGGCAATAATCAATCATGAGACCAATTCTCAGGGAACGTTGGGACTGACTTCCACGCTTGGCAGGCCTCATTGGATCCCCGTCTCGCAACACGCACCACCACAGCAAACCCTTATCCCAGAGACAGCAAAGCTTCCGCCTAGATCGGGCTTAGGCTTTGCAGCGGTTCAAGCCAGAGATCGGCAAGAGAACGGTGGCTTTCGATCAAGCGATCTAACATTTAGCTAGCGCATGATGGGTGCGCGTGAACAATCTATCCAAGCAGCACGAGCCAGTGGCATCCCTCCAGAGCCCACAGCCACAACATCATTCCATAAGCGCAAAACCAACAGAGCTCCTCCATCTCTTCAACACCAAGGAGAGCCTGAGAGGGTCACCCTGGATGAGCATCGGCACATGCAAGGGAACAACCGCTGGTGTCGGCGTTCTTGGTCACGCCATTCGCGGAGCCCTTCTGGCGAGTCGAGCTATGTACTTTGGGGTGGCATTGTAGCGCGTACGACATGGAATGACGATCACAGAACAATGTTCAATAGTGATTCTGAGCTCGAAATCATTGACGTTCCAAGACCATCTCGCTGGAGGAGACCGCTACCCGCGAATCGTTGGAGAGGGAGGTATAAAAAGGAAGAATATTGTGCCATTTGAAGGGGTTTCTAGTGTTGATTTCTCTGCTCGTATTTCAAGTTCTTCTCTTGAACAGCATTCTAACGTTCTCGACTCACACCGACCAAACCGCCATCTTTGAGCATATTCCTCGGGCATCCAAAACATCTAGTTGTTCAATATACGAAACTAAAAAGACCAGAACCTACATCTTCCATATCCTATGTCATCTAATTCTTGTGAGACACAGGTCACAGATTCGCCTGCCTGCGCGCCTTTAGAAATTTATATGCGTAGTACGCCATACCGGCTGTAGCAAATGTGCGATAAACGAGGAATACTGCAATTGCGACGTTGACCCTTTCGTAATATCCCGCTAGCATTCTCCCCAAAGCATGGTTAGGGTCCGGGCCTACGCCCAAGCCGCCGATCCCGACGCGGTGCTTATCTAAAGATTCGCGACGTGCGAGGCGGATGGGCTCTGCCTCGGAGACGGTGGGTACGGTGTCATCGGTGGACACGACAGGAACGGCTTCCGTAGTGGAGTCGATGGCTGTCTGGTTGGGCCAGGAGCCAGACGATAATGGCTCGGCGGTGTTCCTCCTTAGATTCCGTGTGAAAAGATAGACTAAGAAACGCAGGTCCGGGACGGTGAAGGTTGGGTACTTCCATAGCTGGACTGCGTTGTATGGCGGCAGCTGGTCCAGGAAGTCAGCCAGGACACCCAGAGTGAGGCCCCAGAGGAGAATCGGTTGCTGGAAAGCCAGCGACTTGGACGACTCGGGGACACCGTATGGTGCTTGAGCCCAGCCAGAGACTGTGCCATAGTTGTCCCCACCCTCGGTCGGAATAAAGCCAGCGATCGAGGAGGCATAGACTGACTCCGATGGCACGAGTTTTACGGCGCTAAACATCATCTTCCCCATCGTGGCGCGGAGGATTTTGTGGATAACAGGCCCGACATGCTTGGCCATGCGACTTGAAATGTCTACGAACTCTCGCGTGCGAAGAGTGGTCGAGAGTAATCCTCGGAGCGGGACCCAGTGCACGGCTGCCACTTCGGTTGGCTGCGGTTGTAGGGCTGCTACTGTTTTCCCAGTGAGGAGGAAGATGTATGGGCATAGTACCATGAGGGTATCTTTCCCCCACGTCGTTGTGACCAGTCTCTCAGGTAGGTTGCCTGCGCGGAGGCAGTCCACCGTATCTAGGTCCAGACCTATCTCTTCCCTGGTCTCACGTATCGCAGCGGCCAGGTCGTCTGCATCTTCTGGGTCCCTCTTTCCCCCAGGCAGAGCAGTGTGGCCGGACCATCTGTCACCAGGGCGGCCGGCGCGCTTGATGAAGAGTAGTTCCGGGTCTCCTTCCTGGACCCAGTCTTGGGAGAAGAACTCCTCGATAGTGGAAGGGGGTGAGGAAGGTGTGCTGACGTTTATAACCGAGCCATTGGCGGGGGGGACCGGCTGAAACGCAGGCCGGACTCGGATAATGGCGGCGACACTGGCTCGCTTCTTGCAGCCTTCTGGGGTGGGCACCGAAGGATAAGGATTCTCACTTAATCGAGTTAGGACGGGCTGTAGAGCCTTGAGTATGGCTCTGGACTCATCCGACATGCTTGCGACCTACCCTTGGCTTTATATTTGGACCCCTGTACGGAGTAACCTGGGTGGTGGTGGAGGTGCAGGTGGTGAGGCAACACCAGGCGGGCCGACAACTATTTTATATCTTGGGGGTGCCGAGGCTGGCAGAATTGGGGAAACGTACGAGGCTGTGACCGCCTTGGCACGTGATTAACCGGAATAAAGATATTGCGTGTTCCCCCGGAGCGCTAAGCTAGCCGAAGTTTAGCCAAAGCACGAGGAAACAATGGCAGGCATGATTGGTTGCTGGGGGAAGTCTCAATGCTTCCCCTCCAGGCTCGTTGCTCATGCTTCTGCCCACCAACCACCAAGCTGTCGGGGTTTTCACTTGCTTCTTGCATAACTTGATCATTGAGTATTTCTTCCTGAGCTGTGCATGGTTTGAACAGTGCTGACTACCTGACCGTCGTTATACCTCTGCCTCCTATCAGCCAGTATGCGTTTTGGCAAGACCCTCTCCGACTCTGTTTACCCGCCATGGAAAGATAAATACCTACAATACGACAAGATTAAGAAGCTGCTGCGTGAGGATGAAACATCTCCACAAGGCCGTGGTGGTGAGAGCAGCTGGACGGAGCAGGACGAAGAGAACTTTGTCCACGAACTCACCGTCACTCAACTGGAAAAGGTCCACCAGCACCAGGTGGACACCTTCAATGCTCTGAGAGATCGAGCTGCCGCATGTGAGGCCATGCTTCCCAATCCGGAGGATGAGGCTGCCAAAAAGTCCGAGGACGACGAGAAGGCCATTGCAAAGGACATGTTGAAAGAGCTGGATGGTATCTCCAAGGAACTCAATGAGCTTAGGAAGTTTAGCCGTGTCAACTATACCGGCTTCCTCAAGGCTGCGAAGAAGCACGATAGAAGAAGAGGATTGAAATACAGAGTACGACCAATACTCCAAGTTAGGCTGGCTCAGACACCTTTCAACCAAGAAGACTATTCTCCGCTCCTCTTTCGACTCTCTACCATGTATTCCTGGGCCCGTCAAAAGCTCGGTGAAGAGGATGCAGACACTAAGGAATCTGAGGCCGACATCCGTTCCAAAGATTCGTACAAGGCATACAAGTATTGGGTGCATGTAGACAATCTCCTGGAAGTGAAGACCTATATTCTCCGTCGTCTACCAGTTCTCGTCTACAATCCTCAATCAATGAAAGTCGCCGATGGAGCTCAGAAGGATCCAAGCCTCACTTCGATCTACTTTGACAACCAAAGCTTTGATCTTTACCAAGGTAAAGTTGATAAGGGTACTGCTGGCGATTCTGTTCGCCTGAGGTGGACTGGTCAGCTTGGCGATAAGCCCGAGATTGTACTAGAGAAGAAGACCGTTGGGGAAGATAACGAGAGTCGGGACATCCGCTTGACTCTCAAGGAGAAGTATATTGAGCCATTTCTCAAAGGCGAATACAAGCTGGAGAAACAAATTCAAAAGCTGGAAGACAGACTTGGACCAGATGCCGAAGAGGTCACGACATTCAAGGCCAATGTGGAAGAAATCCAATCTTTTATCAAAGATAAAGACCTGGAACCTGTCCTCCGAGCCAGCTATACTCGAACAGCTTTCCAAATACCTGGTGATGACCGAATTCGGATCTCCCTGGATACCGACCTGGCCTTCATCCGTGAGGATGCTCTTGACTCGGACCGCCCTTGCCGTGATCCTGAAGACTGGCACAGATCGGATATCGATAAACAAGAACTCGAATATCCCTTCTCTTCAATCAAGAAAGGCGAAATCAGCAGGTTTGAGCATGCTGTTCTGGAGATCAAGGTCAAGGAATCTAAGTATACTAGAAACAATACCTGGCTACAAGACCTGATGAGTTCTCACCTAGTGAAGGAAGAGAAAAAATTCTCCAAGTTTGTCCACGGCATTGCACTTCTCTTTGAGGACTATGTCAATAGTTTCCCATTCTGGCTTAGCGATCTTGAGACCGACATTCGAAGAGACCCTGTCACTGCATTCCGTGAAGAACAAGTCCGCGAAGCCAAACAAGCAGAGGATGAAATGGCGGTGGGCAGTTTCCTGGCGGCATCAAGGTTGTCTGCCTCCATGAAAGGCAAAGTTGGATCTCCTTCAAGACCAGCAGAACGCAGAATTTCAAGCCAATTCTCGCAGTCTGTTCAATCTCTTGCACGGCCTAGACCTGCTGATCAGCTGCGAGCAACTGCTGAGGAGCCTGACTCAGACGATGATGGCATTCAAGGTAACCGTCAAGTAGATGGCGGGGACTCTTCTGGAGGAGGTCTCCGATCGTTCCTACCCGCCTTCTCCAATTCTCGTTATGCTCGTCGGCATCGACAAGGTACCGCCTGGAAAGACGCGCCGTTACCTCCTGGCGTGAAGGACCCAGGCCACTGGATCAAGGATCAAGGACCGCTCAAAATTGAGGCAAAAGTGTGGCTCGCCAATCAGCGGACCTTTATCAAATGGCAGCATATTGCGGTTCTCCTAGCCTCGCTTTCACTCGGCTTGTACAACGCTGCGGGCGTAGATAACAACATCGCCCGTATTTTGTCGCTGGTATACACTGCATTCGCCATTTTCGCGGCTTTATGGGGTTGGGGGATCTACATGTGGCGAAGCAGGCTAATTACGGAGCGAAGTGGCAAGGATTTCGATAATGCGATCGGTCCCTTTGTTGTTTCTGTTGGTTTAGCTTGTGCGTTGGTCTTGAACTTTGCTTTCAAGTACAACGCTGCGATGGCTAGCCTTCCAGGAAATTCGACGACTTCGGTGTTGACGGGAAAATTGGCGGCAAACGACATGTCTCACGACCCCGAATTATTTGTACCAGAACTCTAGGGTGGGGTTTCGAGTATACATCTCACCGGACAATAGGTCATACTGATGATCGTTGCGGTGATGAAGGCAAGGGAGGTATAGGAGGAAGTATGTATTAGCTAATCTAATCGCATCCAGATATTGCTACGATCACTGGTCTAAAATTCAAGATTGAGTTGTAGAATCCAGTGCAGCATGGAGTTTAGAAAATGATTGACCGTCGTTGCCTCTCGTGTCTGAAAGGGTTTTATTCATTCGTAGGAATACTCATAGTCATCTTGAGTAGGGTTGACAGTAGCTGACGGTGAGGACTTGATCAGTCTCGAGACTCGACAAGTACATGTACATCCTGGCCATCAACACAGCCTAACTTAGCTAAGTAGACGCTGCTATCGATTGATATCAATATCTAGAGCCATATGTGACTCGACACTACATCGCCCGGTGGGGACCATATCGTGGCTCTGGCAGCATTCCATAGTCGCCCGTGCTTCTCGACGACATTGATACGTGTGAGAGTGTGTGGGTTGTGTGGAGGGACAGTATGACCTGTATGACTAGCCAGTGTCACGAGGCGAGGCGTGAGCGAAACGTTCTGCGCAATGATCGAAGTCCTCGTAGAGCTCGCTTGCGGCTCCATTGGTAATATCCAGTAAAGTCAGGCTCTAGTCAAGGGCGTCGATTCGCGCTGGTCCCTCACTGATGACCTACAGTGCCAGCTCAGGTTCGGCGCCCTACAGGCTGCAACAACTTCCAGTAAGGGTAGTGACAAAAACACAAGATTCACTGCCTCATGCTTTCCCCCTCCCCTGTAACCCCTTTACCGAGGGGGGGCCCTCCCAAAATGGACACATTAATATATTCCGGTCTCGGAAATACCGCCAACATCCGTCGGAAGCGTTGCTTCCAGGACATCCTGTGTATGGCGGATTGTTACCTTCAGTGGTTGGTTGGTGGGCCCGCTTGAATAGATGCTTAAGTTTGAGGGTTGTCAGCATCATATTCCGGATGTGATGAGCATCTGAAAAAATGGCCGGTATGATCCGGCGGTTCGAACCACCGGGAAGCCTATCAATCATCGTTTTTGCTTTTGCTTTTTGCACAGTTCGTGCTTTTCTCATCCTTTTATTTAAGCGTGTGATGATGATGAGTGAGTACTATAACTGTGAAGCGAAGTGGAGGCTTGGCGAGGCTGTGATATGAATTCACTTCCTGACAGGTACAGGATCTTGGGCTCATGGGACGTGTGGCCTTATGGATATGATGCTGGTATTTGTGGGTATCGTGATTCTGCTCAAGTAGTATGGCAGGGCAAATCTTTGGCTTGCGTACTAGTAGTCCGCTCATTCGAGATCGAGGGCCAAGGCAATCAAGTCTGTCAATCGACGTGTCCTTCATCACCTTCCACGTCCGCGTCCACCGCCAGCTCCACCACCAAACATATTGCCCATCTGGCTCATCATGGCATTCATATCCATGCCGCCCATATTCGGCATCCCACCACCCATGAGTTCCAGCATTTTGCCCATATCTCCACCAGGCATGCCACCTCTCCCGGCGCCTCCCATAGAAGCCATACGTTTCTGCATCGCCGCGAGCTGCTGCTGTCTGTTCCCGCCGCCGAGCATATTCTGCGCTCGTTGCATGTTTTTCTTGTTCTGGCCCATATTCTTCGCCAGACCGGACATCACCTTGTGCTGCGTGAGGAGCTCTTCGACCTCGCGCACAGATGTCCCCGAGCCGCATGCGATCCGCACCATCCGCGATGGTTCTGAGAGGAAGATTTTGCCGTCGGAGTCGAGCTCTTTGGACGTCATGCTGTCGAAGATGTAGACCATCCGCTTTAACTTCGCAGTCCCGTCTTCGTCTGACATGCCCGCCATCATGTTCCCTAAGGCTGGGATCATACCGGCTACTTTGGACAGTGGACCCATCTTCATGATGTTCGTGATCTGTTCTTTCATGTCTCGCACTGTGAAGATACCCTCCGCCAAATGCTTTTGTGTCTCTTTCATCCCCGCGGAGTCTCTTGTCACCGACTGGATGTGTTCGATCAGACCGGTCATGTCCCCGTAGCCCAGGAGTTTAGAGATAAACGGTTTGGGAGCGAATCTTTCCAGATCCATCATGTGTTCACCAGTACCCAGGAAGATGATTGGAGTATGTGTAGCGGCGACGGCGGAGATAGCGCCACCTCCTGCGGCGCCACCGTCTGTCTTGGTGATAATGATGGCGCCAAAGTCCGCCGTTGATTTGAAAGCGGAAGATTGTGCCTCTGCGGCTTGACCTATGGTTCCGTCGAGGACCATGATGGTTTGATCGGGTTTGATAGCATTTTGGACCTGTACCATTTCCGCAAATAGATCCTCCTCCTGTTTATGTCGTCCAGAAGTATCAACAATAATAATTTCGAACTTCTCCTTCTTGAACCTAGCCACACCCTCGGCAGCAACCACAGAAGGATCCGTCTGTGTCAGAGAGCCGTAGTATGGTATCTTGGCCTTGGTGGCATTCTGCTTCAACTGGTCGTAGGCTCCTGCTCGAAAAGTATCGGCACAGACGAGGCATGCCTTGAAGCCACGCTGGGCATAGTATCTGGCCAATTTGGTACACGAAGTTGTCTTTCCTGCACCCTGCAGGCCAACGAACATGATGACATTCGACTTCCCTTTCTTCGGCTTGTAGGGTTCGGCGTGAGGATCGACTAACTGCACCAGATGGTCAAACACAGCTTGTTGGATTAATCGCTTCTTCGCATTCGAACTGGTATGTGCCGGGAGGTCTTTGAAGTTGACGGCGCTCTGTATTGACTTTCTCAAGTTCTTCACTAGGCGCACATTGACATCGGCTGATAACAGCGCCGAACATATCTCTTTGATCATAGAATCAAACGCCTTCTCGTCGAGGTTGGGCTCACGGTTGAGGTTGGATACGGCGGCATTGATACGCCGGCCAAGGTCGGAGAGAACCATCTTGCACTGAGTCTGAAGTGGAAGAGCAAGATATCTAGGCCTACGAGAAATAGGTTCTCGCTGGGGTTTGTGGGATAGGGAAGGATGATCGTAGAAAGGCAGATGCAGGCCCTCCCTCAGGTTGGAATTCGTGGTCTCCGTGGCCTGCAGTGCGGAAACTGACTTGTCGATGAAAGTGGGGGAGTTTGTCCGAGGTTCTTCCGATCACATCCAGAATTTCTTCCCCAAGTCTTGACCGTTTCCTGCAAATCCATAATCATATGAATTATAATGTTTTGAAGAGCCAAGCGCCCCGACGTCGACCGACACCACACACCATTCACCGAAATGGCCCCTCTTTCCCAGAAGAAAAGAAAGCTTCAAGATGGCATGCGTGGAAAAACAGACCGACCTAAGAAGAGGTTCCGCAAGCAGAAAGCATATCACAGTTCTTCCGAGGATTCAGACGACCCAGAAAATGGTTTCGCGGCTGTCAATCTCGATGAATCGGGCGACGAGACACCACAGAAGGCGGCAGTGAAGAAACCCCAAAAATCACTCAAGACGAAACAGCTCGACGAGCAATCACCCGCCTCCGAAAGCGGAAACGAAAACGAACAAGAGTCTCGTGCAGATGCAATGGCACAAGCAGACGCAGAGGAGGGTGAAGATGAGGCGGACGAGGAAGACGAGGAGGAAGTCAGCACCACAAGACGCAAGAGCACAACGAAACGCAACGACCCCGAAGCCTTCTCAACCTCGATCGCGAAGATCCTCTCCACGAAACTCTCCCAGGCCGCCCGCAAAGACCCAGTCCTCTCGCGCAGCCGCGACGCAGCCGAAACCAGTACATCGTTAGCGAACGAACGGCTGGAGAGGAAAGCGAAAGCGAAGCTTCGCGCTGAGAAGAGAGAAGAACTCGAGCGCGGCAGGGTCAGGGACGTGCTGGGGTTGAGTTCAGGACAGGCGGGTGAGGTGGCCGAGGAGGAGAAGAAACTGCGCAAGATCGCGCAGCGCGGTGTCGTCAAGCTGTTCAACGCCGTGCGAGCCGCCCAGGTGCAGGGCGAACAGGCTGCGAAGGAGGAGCGGAAAAAAGGAACGATCGGGGTGGAAAATCGGCAGGAGAAGGTCAACGAGATCAGCAAGCAGGGATTTCTGGACTTGATAGGTGGTCGAGGAAACAACGCGAGCGCTGCTACCCCTGTGCAGTCGTAGTAGTAGTAGTAGTGATTCTCTAAATCCTGGCGTTGACCACAGCCTCGCTGTATTTACTATTGGAGGAAGTGCGGATGTCCCACATTGATTCCAGCTTTGCATCGATGAGCATGAGATCGTCCCAGTTACTGTTGGTACAAATCCGTATATGCTTTCTTTCCAAGTCCAAGTACCACCTCCATGATGATGATGATGATGATGATGATGATGATGATGATAATATACAATCCTCTCCTCTGGTGCATCTACTCGTCAACTTTTCTCAAAGTCCGAGGCTTGCATGTTCCTGGTCATCTTGGGTAATTTGACCACCAACCCGTCTAACTCCTTGGACATCAGGACCTGGCATCCCAGCCGTGAGGTCTCTGTGAGCCCGAATGCAAGGTCTAGCATGTCATTCTCGTCGTCGGAGGGTTCCTCCATCTTCTCGAACATTTCGTCGTTCTCGACTATCACATGGCAGGTCGAGCAGGCGCAGGAGCCGCCGCATGCGCCTAGCAACAAAAGGATCGCGTTAGCTGGGTCGTTCATTGAACTCTCCCGGTTCATTTGAGTAGATGCCCCTTGTCCCCCAACTTACCCTCCATTTCCAGGTCGTTTGCCTGTGCAATATCCAGAAGGTTATCGCCCTCGGACACTTCAAACTCATGCCGATCTCCATCCTTGTCAATAAAGGTAACATGCAACCTATACCAAACAGTCAGAGCTCATTCGAGTTCGTCTCTCAGCAACGGAGTCCCGCGATTGCATACTCTTCACCCGGCTTCGGCGGGTCGATATGACCATGCATTTGTGAAGGTGTAGTTGTGAACCGCCTCCTCCCCAACTCCAGCATTCGGATCTGAGTCCGGATCTGGTCTCTTTTGAACTCCAGTTCTGCGCGATCATGGGTTCGTCGACATCGCCATACCGGTGCCGCCGCCGCCGCCGCCGCAACGTGGATCTGGCGGCTACCTAGTCGGCTTGTGAGCAACTGCGACTCGAGTTGGAGGAATCTGGAGAAGTGGGAGGTGCCTGCGACCAGATTTCGAGCTCCGCTCCACCCCGACATCGTTCTCTCTTCAACTCTTCACCCCGGTGGATGAGAGGAGGCTGCGCTGAGGATCCGTCGTATTTAGGTTGGCGAAGACGATGTGCTTGACTCAGTGCAGAAAAGTTGAACTGAGGGTAGGGAAATCAAAAGACCGAACCCGAGTAGCAGTGACGCAGTTTGGTTCATCATGATTAGATCAAGTCATCAAGTCATTTCACTTCGGTACACGGCTTCTGCCAGCAGTTTCGTGCTGCCTGGCTTGGCACGGTCACGTAACGGATGTTATTTACACTTCTATTTACGGCTATCGGCATTTACTACATAGCTCTCTCTTCTTCCAGGACGCGCATATTACTTATTAATGCAGCTGGCTTCTCTTCTCATTGTGTCTTTCTCTGATCTCGGTCATTCATATTCCACAACCCAGAGTATCTGGCTGACAGGCTGCGGGGCTTGTCACCGTTGCCGCCTCTCGACGAGTTTGGCACTTGTTGTATGCAAAATGGCTCTAACTTCAAAACCTATTTCAAGGAGGTGAGCGTATCATTGATCGTCCCAAGATCATATGAAGACCTCCCCGAGGCGCGCGCAAGAGCCATTTGGACACTCAAATCGGAGTTACCTCTGGAGCCTGAGCAATCAGCACCCTTTTGTTTTCAAGCAAGTCCTTCCCAGGCTTGCCGAAACAGAAGCATAGGCTCAAAACCAGTCAATTGATCATTGCCGGCTGCTGCAAATGGCATGTTCCACCAGTCGTCATTCCAGTCGTCATAAGACTCCAGCGTTTCCAGGCTCAGGTTGTTCGTCAGCACGCATGTTGTCATGGGCTGGGAATCAAGCGGGATGCCGGTGCTGAAGTCCAGGGGCTCCATTCGCGGAAGGGGATGGATCCTTGATTGAACATGGTTTAACACTTTATCTTCACCTCCGAGGCTCGAATTACCCTGCTCCTGAGATGGCAGAAACGGGTCGGTTGTTCGAAGGTGCGCCCTTGCATGATTGCGCTCGTTTGGAGCCGATGACGACCCGAGGGACTGTGCTGCTTCAGGATGCCGGCTAATAAGCTGAGCAGATGCTCCTTTTAAGGCTGCTGACAGCTTCTCGAACTAACAACCTAGTTAGATCGGACATGGTCCGCGGATCACAATCATGGTAGGAAAAAGGATCACTTACTGGTCGACGGAGGACGTTCCAAAACCTGCTCGAAGCATCCAACGTGTCGACAAACATTTCAACTGTCGGTAATGTACTAGAAGCCTCTCCTAGCTCCGGAATAAATGCTATAGGATTTCTGCCTTCGCGAGAGATTTCAAAGGATAGAAGGACCGTGCCGCAAATGAATGCACAGTAGCCCAGTAGAGAACTGAGATATGTCACATCGACGCGGCCACCGAGATAGTCTTTGAGTATTCCTCCAAATAGCCAAGCATGCCGAACAGCTGCCTTTGCGCTAGACTGCACAATAGTGATGTCGACTGAAGGATCCATTTGTGAACCCGAGAACAGTGGCACAAGTGTTGAGTATAAGGTGATTTGCGAGAGATGGTACAGACCGTCGAAAAACAGGAGTTGGTGAGTAAGCCCGAATGCATGTTCGGATACCAGCAAATCCATTAGTTGTTTTCGGTGAGCGAGAGAGACAGTCGCATACGTTGTTGTTGCGAGTTCGGACAACCCACGGGTTTCTTGCACCTTTCTCGAAGTATCATAATTTGCACCATCTCTAACAGAAAGCTGGACTTTAGCCCTGGGACAAATTGTCAGTGGGGAAATCCAGCTATGACGTCCAGTAGCCAACTCACCAAACGCCCACCATTTTCATCATGGCTGCAGCAACAGGGGGCTCTTCTCTGTCATGGTCTCCGTAAATCTTCGACGCTATCCAGTCAGCGTCCATATAGTCAGTGAGTTTGATGTGCAGCCCGGTGGTCGTATTCGATATAGACGCTGGCAGCGGTACCCGAGCGATTTCTGACCATGAATGTCGCACGTAGGGTTCTGGGGACGCTACTATGCACATTGATGCCCAACAGGCCCAGAAGCATCTCCGCTTGAGTTCAGCCTCGAGTGAGAGATCTTCTGCAGACCCATCTCGATTACCTCCATATTGCATGATACAGCAACAGCGATAGGCCAGAGCTGGGGTCAAAGCAACAAAGGTTAGACATAGGCTTCAGATGATAGCTCAGAGGTCGCGAGGTCAGAGACTAAGAAAGGGCCATTGAAAAGGCCATCTTACCCAGAGAAAGGTCGCCACATCTTGACAATCCAGTTCCATACCAATATGGAACCAGCACCTCCAGCGCTTGAACTACCGACAGACTTGGATCCGGAATCGCCAACGCCATTGCCTCACTGGAGGCGGCTTTAGCCCAACTCAAACTTCGCTTATGGAAGACTCTCAAAGCGTCAAGCTCTGAAAATCGCGTCGGCCCAAAATGCTGCTCTTCGTGATTTGGTGCAAGAAACCTAGGCCTGAAGTCAGGGACATTTCCAGTTGACCGAGGAGGGGTAGATTACAACGCGGCTGTGCCAAAGATTGCTTTGAGCAGGTATGAGGGAACCTGGCCTTCGACATATTCGGAGAAGAGTTTTGGCTTCCAAAACAGGAGCGAAGCATTGTATATGCGGGCGAAGTAAATTTCAAGTAGAGCAAGCCCAGCTGCAAGGGGCGGTAACGAGGATTCCTCACAAGCTGCTCTCGGATCGCTCTGCTTAATCTCCTCTCGGTTCTCAGCTTTTCGAAGCTGCGATGCATATGACTATGAAGAGCCACGGTCAGTACTTCAAGGTCTCCCATCGGCATTCCAACTTACATCTGTCGGGATAGATGCCTGACGCATTAAGTGAACTTGATCATCCTGCAACAAAGAGCCCGCTGAAGACTCGCGCTGATTGGCAGGATCTAGAACCGACGTTGTAGCGTGTCTGACTCCCTAATCGATCGAACTGTCGTGGTTGCTAGCGATTGTCACGGCATGGTCTCGAGGCAGGATCGTACTCCTGGGGAGGGTTGCTTCTGCTGCAGAATTTGGCTCCCTGTCGCCTGCAGAATGTAGCGGACGTTGATTGTGCACCCCAGTTTGGCGAGGGTGCGACTTTGCCTTCCTTCGCTTGTTGAGCGGAGGGTACTCGCATCTGGCACGCTGTTTCGTGCATCGTTGACAACTGGGACGTTCATGGCTACATCGCAGCTGGAAGCACTAGAATCAGCACATTCCAAGCCCAGGCCAATCTGTGCAGGCTTACCTTTTGGTTCCGGCACCTTTGACAAGCGATTCGGGATGTCTGAGATTGAGACGGAGACGGAGATTGAGACTTCTGCACCCCCTGTGAAGTTCCCGTGAGTGATCGGACTGCTTCCTTTCGCGCTATCGGAGTATTTGGCATCTTGAAATACTGTGCTAGCATGTTCCTTCCGCCCCGAATCACCGAAGCCAATTGCGGGGGAGGAAAGTGTGGGCGAACGTCAACCGGCACAGTGATCGAGCAATCAAGGTCAAGCAACAGCTGGACACACCAGCTGTCTCTCTCCGCTCCTCCCTCTTCTGTGTCCGGTCAATCATGTTCTACGTTCATGCCGCCGCAACGAGCCTGCAAGGCTGAACATGCATTGCCTGGGCCCTCCATAGCCTGGTCTCATTGCGGTGCATGTCAGCAGCGAATCGGCACGAAATAGGATAGGCCTCATATTCTAAGAGGGCCATCCCTGTGGTCGACGTCTTAGTGATGAAAGGAGGCGGACTCACAGCATCAAGTACGGAGTACTCCATCATCGTACCAGAATGAAGCCCAGTGCTTGGTTGTAGATTGCCGACCAAATCTACATGGCCTCCCATTTCGGAATATGGGAATACTGATTTTCTGTTCTTATGGTGCGGCATTGAAGCCTATCACAAACTCTAATCTACATGCCCTAGCGTGTGATTTTGTTTTCATCCGTGAGAGCCATCAAGCTTCCTGGGGCGGCATCCGATGGAGGAATAGAAGTGGTCGGTGAGTTCGACTCTTAACAAGTTCTCAAGGCCATGCTGTTTGTACTGCACACAGCACTCTCGCGATAATTACAAACAGCCATTCCAAGTCTTGCTTGGGAACAGGATATGACCACATGGTCCGCACATGCCGGTTTCCTTGCAATTGACCAACCTTGTCTTGTCACGGACTCGTCGCGTGCCATCGTGCCTGGCCTGTTCTGCGGAATAAGCCCCACAAAGCCTTTGACATGGTGGATACAGCCAGTTCCCCTCGACGGATGTAAGATGCCCAGGCGTCCAGCCTATCACGGCAGAATGATCTAGACTCTTGGGGGCATGTTGATGGTGTACTATACTCGATATGCCCACCTTGGCACAACACGGCCTCAAAAATTTCACCGAGCCTAGAATAAGCGAACCTAAGACAACAACGTCGAGTAACCGGCTAGAAATGTGCCTGCCACCACGCATGTTGGAAATTTCTGAGAGTCCATTGGATTGATGAGTATAAAGCTCGGAGACTTCTTTTTGCTGAAAAGCTCAATGTCGAGGTCGATGCTGGGTAAGTAGTTACAGCTTGGGTAAAAGCACTGAAGACATGGGCTTATGGACACAGGAGAATTGGCCGCAGCAAAAGGTCTTGAGAATCTTCCCGTCAACCATACAAACTTCCAGTAAATGAGCGACGCGCTAGCGATGCCCTGGCCCTTTCGAGAACGATAAATGGCTTTAGGATCAGTAATGCAAAACAATTCCTTTCCGCGCCGTCCAATAGTTCTGGATGATGTGAAAGATCTGGGGAAGGCAAATCATCCCGCCCTCCATCTGTGAAGGCGGCTGGGGTGGTTTGATAGCTTACACGTGGAGCCGTGGGAACTATCCCTTGGACTGGAATTATCGGTAACTGCACCTTGACGGATTTCCCGGATCCGTTGAAGATGGTCGTAACCGACATTTTGGCCTCCGTGTGTCGTTTAAACCAGTATTCTACCCAGCAACCGCAGCGGAATTAGGGATTCATGCTGAATCATCTCAAAAGACCAAGCAGCGCCGAGAATGCCAAGGCCTGTGTGTAGTTTGTGTAAACCGGCTCGTCTATTGCGATTGGGCGAATCGGTCCGAACCACCGCTCTCGGCATCCGAATTCGACTTAGTCTTAATGTTCATCTCCATGGGGTCCTCCTTGGGTGGTACTGGGGTGGTATTCGCTAACATGGTATATCTTCTCGTCTGAATCCACAAGCTTGAAACAATTGCATGCCAGGCGCCCCTTTCATTACGAAACCTTAAACTTCTATACATCTCGCCGCACAACACTCAACATGACTTCGAAAGAAGTGTCGATCGATGTCGACCCAGAGTCAGATAGTCAAAATGGTGTCCAGCATCTAGAAGCACAACACGCGGACATTGTGGTGGACGAACACTTGTCTAAAAAGATTGCCCGCAAATATGACTTGCATCTCTTGATATTCTTCACTCTGATCAACCTTTTCTGCTTTATCGATCGAGTCAATATCGGCAATGTCAGGCTCCTCGGACTTGCGGAGGATCTCGACCTCAATGTCGGCCTAAGGTTCAATATCGCTCTTATGTGCATGTTTGTGCCATACTGCGTTGTCGAACTTCCGGCGAATATCCTGTGCAAACGTATCGGAGGCCACATCTGGATTCCATTCTTGGTCTCCGCTTTCGCAATCATCACCGTTTTGACCTCTGTCGTGCAAAATCGAGGTGGGCTTTATGCCGCCAGGTTTTTTCTCGGTCTCGTCGAGGGCGGTGTCTCACCGGGTCTTATCTGGTTGCTTTCTCAATTGTAAGCACATTAAACCTCCTTCGCTGAATATGTTACTGACTTCCTTCTAGCTACAAACGACAAGAGCTTGGGCTCCGGACCAACATCTACGTCTCTGCCGCTTCCGCTAGTGGTGCATTTGGTGGCCTCCTAGCTATTGGTTTGAGCAAGATACCAGACTGGGGACTCATCCATAGGTGGCGAAACGTATACTTCTTTGAGGTGGGTATCCAACTCTTGGCTATTGTTGCCTTACTTATCTCTATCCTAGGGTCTCATCTCCTTAGCCATCGGTGGAGCCTCCTGGGTCTTGATCCCACGAGGTCCAGAGACCGCCAAGTTCCTCACGGAAGAGGAAAAGAAGACCGCCGTGAACCGACTTTTAGTTGATTCTGCTGGCACGGCAGAACTCGGGAAAACAAGCCTTAAACACATTGTCCAGGCTTTGAAAAGCCCTCACGTACTTGGCTGTGCGTTCGGGTTCTATCTAACAAAGTGAGTGGCCCATCTTCGGCATCTATCGCTTTCCACGGATAACGGGATTAATGGCAACCAAAACAGTACTGTTGCGCAATCAGTTGCGGTCTTCGTGCCATCTATCATCCGAGGAATGGGGTATTCCAATGAGACTGCACAGCTGCTATCCGTGGGGCCATATGTAAGTTCTCGGGTGTAACCAACGAGTGAGTCATGAATCTGTCATACTGATGCTATCTTGCAAGGCTGTGGCTTGTATTATCTCGGTCATTGCAGGCTACCTCTCGGATAAATATAAGGATCGATCGATGGTGATCATCATCGGCGCTCCCGTCTCCATTGTCGGCTTTTTCATGCTCGAGTTCCTGCCCAACAGCAAGCCTGCCGCTAAATACGGTGCACTATACCTCGCATCAACTGGATATTATGCCTTCTACCCCATGTACATTACCTGGGTAAGTGAGGAAGAAAAGCCCCCTTCGTACTCAAAAGTCCATATCCCACACAAAAGGCTCTTTCGCAGACTAGATAACTGACAATGCTTCGCTCCCACAGGCTGCAAACAACTGCGCGACGGGAACAGTGCGCGCAGCAGGCGTAGGCCTCGTCTTCACACTGGGCAGCTTGGCCGGCGTATGCGCACCGTGGATCTATCTTCCCTCAGACGCACCAGGCTACCGGACAGGACACGCCGTGCTCCTGTCCTTCCTTCTCGGAACGTTTTGCACCGCGATTATCCTTCGCTTCTATTGCAAATGGGAAAACCGCCAGAAGGACCTAGGCAAGCGCGACCACCTTCTAGTTGGTTTGACCCCTCTCGAGGAGCAGGACTTGAGTTCTAAACATCCTGCTTTCCGCTATATGCTTTAGTTTAGCTTTGCTAAGCCGCTTGGCCAAGAAAGCACTTCGGTTGCGTTATCACTCGGGCGGGAGCCATGTTACTTCGCAGCTGATATATATCACGTCGAGTAAAAGGAAGAATAAGTAGTTGCTTAATATGGAATTTTCGCCGGCTATGCACTGATTCGATTTCCATATCCGCCCCCCCCCCCTTCATACAATGCATTTTAGCCCTTTAGAGCACTACCAAAGCACCGATCTGAGCTATTATGGAGTCCTATAAAAAGCAAAATGCCGGTACAAGTCTCCCCTTTCGGTATTTAGCTCGACCAGCCTCCTAGATCCCATGGTAGAAGCCGAAGTGAGGCGATCTGTACCACTGCACGCGCGCGACCAGCACAAGGTCCCAGCCATCATCATCACCATCATCATCACCATCATCATCACCATCATCATCACCATCATCATCACCA